TCTTGAAATACAGTATGTAAGGAGCCCAGATTCTTTTCCCCACGGCTCTCAACATCATCCGTCTTTACAGCCAAAGACCTAGAGAGCCATTAGCTTCCCGCTTGCACACTTGACCCTTCCAAGCGACCTCTCGCTTGACAGTCCAAATCCCTGTCTCTATATCATAGGTCTTGCTAGGGATAGCTCCCTGTCAAGACCCGTATATCAACAATTTCAGATGACTCGGTCTGCTTAAGCCTCTCCAGGAAGGTTTCGACATCTGATACATGATCCGCCTGGCTCGACAACTTAGGGAAACAGCTTGAGCCTCTACCCTTGCGCAGCTTAACTCCCAGGCAAGTAAGTCCCGGCAAAGTTTTCTTGTCATGCGCAGCTGGACCCCCAGGACATCAAGCTCGTTGCGATACACTCATTATACCTGAGTGACTCCTCGTATTTCAGCTGCACTTTCACGCTGTCGCCGTGAAAGACTCGCATAATCAGACTGGTTGGCCCTGATTTGGTCGTTTCCGGTGCCTTCAACGTCCAGCGCTTTGGCGAGTTATCATAACGAGACGCGACTTCATAGATTGGGTCTACATGACCATTTTCTGCTAGCGGCATGTGCTGCGACTTAATCCACTTACATCTAGAACGGGGGACGTTCGAGATAATTTTTTTGGTATGTCATAGGTGTCAAGCATGCCATAGATGTGTTGGAATCCGCTGAGTACCGGCGTCAGTCTAGGCGGGAAAGTGAAGAGTGTCTCAGGCGGTGAATGGAGTCGGGGCCTGCTGTACGGGGCTGTCTCTTTGTATATTGTAGTTTTGACTCACTTACATTAGTTTTACTTACGTCTCGGCCTAGCTAGTTCTCTCTAGTAAACGCTCGTCGTTTCCTGTACAGTCTGTCTTGTAGGCCTGGGGGATCAGCTTGTCGCTTCTTCATCATACACAAGCTGAGCTCCTTAGATCACACAGCTTGAAGCGAACCATCCTGCCACTTCGTATATCCTGATCACTCACTTCTGACTCGAAGCGATCACTCAGCAGTACGACATAGCCACTGTATTGGAGTCTTACCCACTACACCAAAACATAATCTCCCCAGACCCGTGTATCAACGCACTGAGCTATCGCAAATCCTTCCTCGACTTTCACCGTGCAAGGTCCTAGGTGTTTGTTTGAACTAGTTGCCCATGATGACGCGAGGAGTTTCCAGAACCCGATTACGACAGATGCATACCCCTCCATCGAAGCCCACGCAGGTGGCAAGCATGTAATGGAGTCTACGCCTGGCCTTGACATCGTGCGCGGCCAGGCGGGATGAAGATATGGGTGTAAAAGTGTGCGGAAAACACTAGGGTAATCGGCACTGCTACTTACCGTTGAGCGCAGACGACTGCTCCATGTGACTGTCAGTACCAAGACTAGATGGGCACCGATCTATGCATCAATCGAATCAATATGTGTATCGGTCTGTGCGTGTAAGGGGATTCTCGTAAGGGAATTTTCGGATATGGAGATCGAACTGGCTCGAAGATCCTTGAGTAACAGACAAATGGATTCTCACGTGTATCCTTGGGAACCCTGATCCTCGTTCACAGCTGGCATGGCTGAGACTTGCTCCGCTGCCGCCGCCGCCAAGCGGAATCTCGGGGTCGAACCGTATCCTGGTGTGGCTCATACTCTGCATAACAGCAGAAAATCATCATGTACTCAATGGCTCAGCGGATTGTCGATGTACGGGTCTGCGCCACCTCAAAGGGCGATTGTGTTCTGATGTAGTGGATCAGATTCCAACAAGAATTGGCCGCTCGCCGTACCTGACAATCGCCGTAGTAGTCTACAGGTCAGCTGCGTTGCACTCGAGAAGTGTCACGGGGGGCGGGAGTGGGACGTGCCAGAGCTAGTCTAATGCATGGGATAAGCGACTATATTGAGAAAGCGGAACCAAGAAGAGAGGGGAGACTAGCTACGACTAGTATGAAAGATGCACGAGGCAGGCCGCGGAAGCTGATCTACTCCATGTCGATATCTGGTGTCTGTGGGTAGGTATACGGGGTATTACATAGGTTGTCAATGGGAAATGAGATATGGACGGTAATCTACCTAATGACGAGAGCCTCCATCGGCGATGCCCGCTCTATATACTGACACTTCACGTATGATGGCTATGGCTACGGTTATAAGAAGACCGTTTGTGAGGATTCTACCTGGACCTGCGAGCCACATCTTGTAAGCCATAGGACTCGCCCGGAAGAATCGAGTGATCTCCCGCTATAGGACTGTCATCATGCAACGGGACGAAGGCAGAACGAGCTGTCTACGCTGGTCTGGATAATACTCTACGACGTCATGAACATGGAGTCCGCTAATATTGAAATCTCACCCACCACAACAAAAGACATTTGTCTATCGATGTGTCGCAGATCTGTAGATCGACAGCTAAAAGCCCTCATGTCCCTGAACGCAGTCATTCACGCCCGCCTAGTATATGACATGAATCGGCCGAACGGGTACAAGGAAGCCGACGACGTTCTCATACGACCCGCGAATCTCAGCACAGTTCCCCAGATTCTTCACCGTACCTAATTGCCAACTACATGAAGTCCAGTGACTGGAGTGTGATGATCCACTTGGCGCACACGCTCATAGCTGTTTGATCAGCGCAATTGTCTGTCTCGATCAGTATTTTTGCCCCTCGATGAGGTGCGCACGAAGGGCGAATACTGCTGTTTCACCGGAGACAGGTATGCGCGGGTTCATAATCGTATCTCTCCACGCTTATGTCAGTCTTGAAGCGCTTGATGGCCTATCATATCTTGTATACTTCAGGTCAATCAGCCGTATGTGAATGTCATCTAAAGCTCGTTCCGGCATATGCCTACGAGCAGTCATCACTCAAACACAACTTCGTAGTCGTTGCGTTCCCTTGGGATACGCTACCCCACCCCGGGCGGCCGGGTCTTGTACCTAGTTGCGTTCGTCTGCGTCTGACGCTGCTGTCGCTCGATACGTCGAGCTCGTTCATCTCTGTCGATCCTGCCATCGGCCTCCGCTGAGTATCGGTGTCTCACTGGGCGGGAACCGTAAATCCTGTTTCAGGGTGAGAGTTGTTGAAACCAATGTGTCAGGGCCAGTGATACGGAGCAGGGCCAATTGTAGCCTATTCAGTGGATCTTCCCTGTCAGAACTTTATATCTATCTCAGCGCGATCATCACACTCGACGAGTACCTGCCAATTAGTAGATGATTCGAATCGAAACCAATTGGTCGCTGTATGTGCTCGCAGCTGTGATTTTTGGACATTCGCAAGGTTCACCCCACCGCCACAATTAGACTCCTGGATCACCCAGCTCAATCATTTTTGCGAGATCATACCGCATACAAGCGCATACATTGCTGTTAGCAAAAACAAGGTTCACGGTGCACATCGTAAACTTCCGCCGCGGACTCGTGCCTAAACATGAGACTGGAGCTGCTTGTCACAGTCACACACATATCTTCAAGTGTATCATTGCACGGAACCTGGTCTACCGTAACTTCCCCTGTCCCATCAGCTCCTGCTGTGTCTCGCGACCCGGACTAAGATCTCGCTATCTTTGTCATCCCCGGTTGTCACAGACCCACCATCTTGCCCTTCGTACAAACAGCCCGAGATCGCTCGTTCGGATATTGTCATCCTCCTTCGGCTTGGGAACATTGTCATTCGCGTCTGTCATTCGCGTTGTATGGAACTGTGCCTACCGGAGAGTTAGTCCATGTTTATTGCGTTACGAGTCTATTCGTATACACAGTGCTCGTCAGCACGTCGACCTGCGGATCCGGAGTCATGCAGCGAGTCATCCACCGTTCATCCAGCAGGGATTGGGAGCGACGAACATAGTGCGCCTGACTTGCGCCTCTTGACTCCATCTCCTGTCGCTCCGACATGCCCAGGATCTCCGATCTATACTTTCCTGCTTTCCCCTCACCAGGTCAAAGTAGCCAACTTCGGCGCGCGCTAAGACTGGTCAGCTTCGCCGGTCAGGAAGATAATATCGCCTCGTCATCCGCTCGATACTTGTACACCGTGAGGCGAGCGAGCATATTTTGTCTTCGCCCCCATCAGTCAAGTCAAGACGCATATCCATGGTCAGTGTAAGCTGCCCTCGAAGGCATATGTATCATTAACATGAGGCTGTGATTAGTGACGTGCAGCTTGACAGCGTACGTGATCCGGCCTTCACGGCGATCTCCCATCGCTGAGAGCGCGCCGCTCTGCTCTCGTCTCCGGTCTGCCACGCTCCGGCCCCTTCCTTCGCTCCGCCACGACAACTCTGATCAAAATAGCAACTCATCTACGCCAGGTGACGAGCGTCGTTTGCAGCCCCCAGCCTATCGCTTCCTTTTGTGTCCATGACCTGCACGGAACAGCGAGTTTATGGTTGATCCCGGGTGGGACTGACTTGCCTTGACAGCTAGCCGAGAGAGCGTTAATTGAGGTGCCTGCCTGCGGCTCCCTTGACGCAATCCGCTATGGGAACAATCAGTAATGTCGACGTTGTGAACCTTTGCTAGGGCGCTGATGTGTCGAGGGGATGCGAGCCATCTCTTGAGTCTAGTTCTGAACGCTGTGACGTTGAGTTCGGGCGGCGCGGAGCGAAGCAGCTGTACGCTGTCCATTAGCTTGATGATATCCAGCATGTGGAGTCTGACGGTCAGGAAGTGAGCAGTCCATCACTTAGAGTCAGTCGCCCAGCCTAGGAGGGTAAGTGTCGGCGAGGGGGCGGCGCTTCGAGGTTGAGAATGTATGATGAAGACCAGACAACTCCCGCGACCCGCCTCGAGATGTTCCGGCCAAGTAGCGGTCGAGGCTGTACGGCCAAAGTGACGGAGGATGGGGATCCTGGACGGCGGATTGATCGAGGGGTTGAGAACGAGATCCATCGCGCAAAAGGAAGGAAGGGACGTGAACAATCTACAAGCTGGCATCAAAAGAGGAGACGACTGCGCATTCCGAGCATAATTGCTAATGTTTACTGGCCTCGCTTCTTGAGGTTTGTCGAGAGCTGGATGGTCAGACCTGTTCAGATAACTGGCACTGAGGTGACTTACCCATTCCAATCCTTCGTAAAGACCGTCACCTGAGGTAGCGCATGCAGCCTGGATGTACCAAGCACGCTGACGAAGAGAGTGGAGACCAAGCTTGTCGGTGATTTCGGCAGCGTTCATGGCGTTGGGCAGATCCTGATGGTGAGTGAAAGCCGCGCCTGATGATGACTGTGACCTACCTGCTTGTTGGCAAATACCAGGAGAAGGGCGTCCCTCAGCTCGTCCTCGCTCAGCATGCGTTGCACTGGGCCTGTCAGCTAAGTCATGGCCGGACACGTACGTTCCTCGCGGGCCTCAGTGATACGCTCTCGGTCGTTGGAGTCTACCACGAAGATGATACCCTGAGTGTTCTGGAAGTCTTTCGTCAGCTATTGAACGTATGCAGTCGACCTACAATGTCTCCAAAGGGGACGAATCTTGTCCTGTCCTCCGACATCCCAAACAGTGAACGAGATGTTTTTGTATTCGACCGTCTCAACATTGAAACCTGCGAAAAGTTAGACCGTCCCCGAGTGAGAAAGGGTCGCGCGGCAGACTGACCGATAGTAGGGATGGTGGTGACAATCTCTCCGAGCTTGAGCTTGTAGAGGATGGTTGTTTTACCGGCGGCATCGAGACCGACCATGAGGATACCTGATCGCGTGTTAGCTTTTGAGTCCCGGTTCCATCCGTGCGGACATCGATAGGACGTACGCATCTCCTTTTTGCCGAAGAGGCCTTGGAGCAGGCGAGAGACGGAGAGACCCATTGTGTCTGAGTGGTGGATAGAGAGTGTATATAGATGGGAAGGAGGAATGCAGTCCAGTCTCTATAGCAAGGCAAGGCAAGGCAAGGCAAGGCGCGTAGAGAGGTGTGGCGTGTGCGCAAGGGAGGAACGCGTGGATCCCTATTCAATAACGCCGAGAGTGGCAGTCACACGGCGAGCCTAACTTACTCGTAAAGACAGCCAGAGAGATAACGAGTTAGGCGTGCCATGTTTGCTCTGTGGAGCCCCTCGCACGTGCGTCACATCTATCTATCCATTCGCTCGATGCCATGTCCAGCCATATAACTTTGCATTTACACCATACCAACAATCTAATCGCACATCGCCTGACATGTCAAACGAGGCAAGTCCCTCCGGCCTGGAGAAAGTACTCATCGCTGACCCGACAGAACACCCCTCTCAACGGCACGACCGACTCGTCGATGCGCAATAGACTTCACCAAATAGCTGATATCTTCTACCAGCCGTGAGTGTGACTGACGACCATCGGGAAGGTCGCTGACACTTCCAGCTTCTCAAGTGGGGCACTCTCGCTCCTGCCTCGCCGCGGAGAAGGCGCGAGGGCAAAGAGCAAGAGGGCAGACCGCATACCAGACGAGTATGTTTTGGATCGTCCCTGTACTGACATCCAGGCAAGTAGCTACCTATCAATCCACAGCCGATCCATCCATTCGCGTCCGCGTGCCCAAGAAGGTCCTCACGCCCGTCAAGGTGGAAGCCAAGGTCTGGTTCGCAAACGAGCGGACCTTCATCTCGTACCTCTCCATGGGTTTGCTGCTGTCCACCATTGCCTCCGGGTTGCTCTTTGGAGCCAGGGATTCATCGGCGAGATACTTTGCACTGGCCTACGCCGGAATGTGAGTGCAGTCATAGCCTCGCTAATGGCAGCTCTGCGGCCATCATGATTTACGGCTGGGCTATCTTTCAAAAGCGATTGACCATGATCTCGGCAAGAGATCCAGGCTCTTTTGGTAAGTTTAAATATTGTGTTCGCTCATGCCAGACACCCTCGTTGGCCCACTCCTCATCTGCGCGGCGCTCTTCATTGCCATCCTCGCCAACTTCATCCTGCGAGTTCAAGAATCTAAGAACCATTTGGGCGTCAATCCAATGTCCTTGCGGTATGCGTGGGACCATGCCAGTTTGAAGCGACTTGGGAATTCATAATCATTACATGCAACTTTAGGCCGTGTCTTTGTATGCCTGAATGGTCAACAACCGCTGCGAGGGTGCACATACCGACATCTCTGCGTCCAACTCTTCAGCAGTCTTCGTCCGCTGCTTCGGGGCTCTTCCTCCAGCTGCGGGAGCCACCCGTCCCCGTCCTCCTGCGCCTGCTCCTCCACGTCGAGGCGCTTGACCCCGAGCCTGGACGGGAGCGACGCGCGATGCCAGCGATTGGCCGTTGTTGATGTCGAGTGCAATCTCGACCTTCATGGGTCGCTCTGAAGGTGAGCTGTGGATAAGCGGGAGACTAACGATTGTCGATCATGCGGTTGTTGTCTGGGATCAGCTTTGTTCCAGTGGCGGACTTACAAGAAGCGTGAGCCTTGTTGGCATCGCCCCGGTTCCTGAATACAATAGTCGCCTGCCCAGTACTCTTCCCAGTCGCAGTGTAGCTCATTTGCACGGTCCGGACCGGTCCCACCGTGGACTGCATAAGATCCTGCCATCAGCCGCAACCTCAAAGTCCGACTTACCCTGATGGCTGCCTCGGTGACGTCCATAGGGAGGTTGCTAATGATGATCTTGACCGCATCGGTGCCGGCTATCCTCTGAGGAGCAACAGCGGCAGCGCGAGGGACGTTGGACGCGTAGCGGTCCCGGGCGCCAGTAGGCGCACCGCGTGCCGGCCTGCCGCCCCGACGAGCCTTGGGCTTGGACGCCGCGATGATCTGGATCAGCCCGAGCGCCGGCGGGCGAGCTTACCTCTTCGAGAGGCTTGTCGATATCCATTGTATATAGGGGCTGTGAATGTACAGACTCAATCAGTAGTAGAACAACGAGGTGATGGTGGCGCATGAGCGATACCGTAAGGCACCACCCGCGGCGGCTTTTCGGCATTTCCGTAAACAAGTGGCATTTCATTTCTGGGCTGTTACTACACAACGGCTATGGCTCTTCCTTGGTCCCTCGAAGTCTAGCAGATAGCGAACCCCGACGTTTGGAAGGCATCTCCTTCCCCTTGACCCCAGATGTAGACGCTCGACGAGCCCGAGCTTGGGCAGCCTCGCTGACTCGCACTTCAAACCCTCCGCTGGGTACCTCCTCGTCGGAATCTGACGCCTCCATCTCCTCGCGAATAGCCGTTATGGTCTTGGCGACGCCCTTCGAGGGACTTGTGGGCAGTGTTGGAGGAGGAGGGATGAGGTTTGCGGCAGGCAGCGAAGTATTACCGGGAACTGGAGACCGGACGTTCCCCTCGATGATGTAATATCCACCCGAAGGTGCCTCATCGTCCGAGTCGGACGGCAGCATCAGGTCGGGGTCGGCCTTGACACGTACAGGAGGTGGTGGTGCCTTGGGACGTTTCGACTTTTTGGACTTCTGTCATCAGCGCATACCTGATTGAGCACATACCAATTCCATGCCGATCAGGAAGCTGTCCTGATGTTCGATCAGGTACTCGAGAACCTGTTGGGAAAGGACGTGCTCCTTGGGTCGCATGGCGTGGACAGGATGAGATAGAACGCCGGGTTGGAAGATAAGAGCGAGATCTAATGAGCATGGATCAAGCATGAGCTTACTGGGTGCGTTCATCAAGTTCCTTTCTGATTTGCGAGCAAAGACGCTCAGCAAATCGAGCACGTAGAGCAGAAGATATTGGTTGATGGGAGGAATCGATCGAACGAGCTCCTTGTATCGGTCGATGGCATCTGGAGGCGTCCCGTGCTCGAGAACAGCGCGAAACTACTTAGCGACATCTAGGCGCAACTTACCTCTTCGTAGAAATCGGTAGGGATGATGGATTCAGGTGCTTGCGTGAGAAATCTGATAAGCAATGTACACAGATGAGGCCTACCTTCTGAAGATGGTCGCTACATCATGTGGGGAAAAGTCGAGCGCTTTCCAGTCGATGTCTTTGCCATACTGCCATTAGCTCAGCCAAGTCAAGACATACCCTGGGGCCCGTATCAAAGATGGCCTGTAGTTCCCGCATCCGCTTGGCCGATCCAGAGATGCGGAAAGCGCCTTCCACTTCTGTGGCGTGCTCTTTGAGATACAGGCCACACTTGGCGACCACAACGGGAATGATACTGACATCAGCGAGGCGATAACGCAGACTCACCCCCAAACGTATAGCTTGCCGTCCGGCCCAGCCGTCGAGATCTGCACCGAGGCATAGGTCAAGGCCTCTGCAAGTGAGACGCCAAAGACTGCTGCAGAGTCAGGCTTGACTGCTGGGGCTTTCCACCAGCTCTTGGCACCTTGCGAGTTGTCGCTGTCGGGAGAGGTCATGGGGCGGATCGGTTCGGATCCGGTGTACGTAGGGGCTTCATTGTCATCCCCAGGAGTGTACGTTACAGCGGTCGGGTATGCTATTCTGCCGCGGGCTGGAGCTGGGGATGGGCGCGTAGAGACCATGATGGATGTAGAAAGGCAGAAGGAGAGCAGGAGGACCGGTCGCTCGGTCCATGACGATGACACCCATTTACGTCATATGCATATCCTTATCAATCTCACACAAGCTATTATATTAAGGTACTAATCAAGAGCAAGATAAGTTTACTGCTGCCAGGTTCTGATACTATCCAACAGCCTCGCAATCGCAGCACCGTCTCCACTGCGCACTTCGTTCAAGGTTACGCCCACCGGATCCACGCCTGCGTCCACCAACATGTCCATCATCGCAAACAAGCCTTCCACGCCGGGCAAGCCGTCTGCTTCCGGGTTGAATGCAGCCGGCGGAACAGGCGGTTGCGGATCGATCCCGGAAAGGGACCGAACCATCAAGAAGATCACTTCGCCAGAGACGAAGGATTGGGGAATCGAGGTGACTCTGGGGTATTGCGAGGGGAGGACGGAGTTTACCCAGACGACCAGGTCTGCATCGCTCTGCGAGTCAGTTGCGCATCGGGCCAAGTCAAGAGCGGAGATGTCAACGACTCACGAGCTGAGATGCTGAGGGGCGCCGCATGTCCTTGTTTGGCCGGCTAGGCATCAAGCTGGCTCGTTTGGTATTGTCGAGCGACATCTGAATAAGCGAATCGCCTCGCTAGATCGGACCTGCACTCACTAGGATACTGGCATCGTGTGGTGTCAGAGTATTGGTGTTTTCCCTCCTAGTTGCGCGTTGCGTCGCATCTCGGCTAGCCGGTGAAGGAGGCCGGGGACTCAGCGCTTGAGCCTCGGCGAGGGGAATAGTGGGTATATTGCAGGACGATGTCACGGCCACGGAGTAATCGCGAGCGATTGTAGCCTTCATCAACGCCTTCATCCAGCCTCGGATCGCGCCCTGCTCGGCGGAGGAAAAGTAGTGGGTCTTGTTAGCGCCGACGAGCCGGAAACCGTACGAGCCGGGATTGGTGTTTTCGTCGACAATGACCCGGTGCCCCTGCAGGGGGATGTGACCTTTAACTCTGTCCTCCTGACGTCAGCAGAGCCAAAGGGGGACTTGCCTGTTCTGAAGCTAGGTAGTACAAGTGCGCCCCCTTCAACACAAAGAAGCGAGACTTCCACCCATAGCGATCGCCCTTCTTTTTCATGTAGCCCGAGTGATCCGGCGTTCCGATCTGTTTGAGGGCTGATGCGTTGGCAATGACAGGAGATTCCTGCGGCGATGCAGGTTGCATTTGGTGCACCTGAGGTTGGATCGACCGAGTCGTGTTGCGAGTATCCGAGGGAGTGGTAGGAGCCGGTTTGCGGCTTCTGCCGAAGAAACTAAGCCGTTCCTTGTTGTCAAGGCTGAGCTTGCCCTTGCGGTGTCCGACCGAGCCGAAGGATTCCCGCTTAACGACGGAGCCAGGGGTGACTGGGGAGGGCGGTACGCTGACGGGCGTAGAAGCCACGGTCTCGTTGATGGAGTGCATGGGAGGTGGGATGGAGGTGGTACTGACTTTGCGGCTGTGAATAGAGTTGGAGTCGGCGGAGAGAGGAGGGGTGGTAGATGGAGGGGGAGAGCCCGGTGGCATGGCAAAGGTGTTGGGCGGAGCGCTCATCCCGCGAGTGCCTTGCGCCGGTGAGGACATGGACGAGATCGACGCAGGCCGCCGCAGCTCGGAGATGGCTTGCGCGATGCGCAAGCGCTTGCCGAATTGAGGGATGTCCAGCTCTTTGAGCAGGTTGGCGTCCAGCTCGAGCAAGAGATCGCCCGAGATCTCGTGTTCTTGGAATTTCGGCCATTCCTCGAACCCCTTGCTCTTTGCCCATTGCACCACCTCATCCACGCCCCACGTTGAGGCGGGGCCTGACGGCGCCGCACTCGACTGGGAGGAAGATAAAGGGTGCGAGCGCTGAGCGGTCTCGAGGGGTGGGGTAGACGGCATGGTCGGGGCGGGCTGCAACGAGGAGAGCGTGTTGGGCGCTTTGCCGTTGCGCAGGCTCCTCCGCTTCTCCTCCTCCTCATCCTCGCTCTCGTCCGAATACACCAGACCAGCTACACCTCCACTGATTCTGTGCATATCCCTCTCCTCATTCGCCAACTGCGCCTGCGCAGCGAGCCGGGCGCGCGTATCGGATCCGATCCCCAGGGATTCTTCATTGGGTTTGGCGATAGACTCGATGGCGTGCTCAATCTCCCCGATGGTTTTGCCTATCACGGTCGTGGCTCCGACAGCCGCGGCACCGATGGCAGCTGCGGTAGTGGCCAGTACACCATTACCGACTGGCTCGCCCTGGTCTGGGGCGACCTCGGGTATCTCTTGGTGGGAGGGCTGCGGAGAGAGCGCTTTAGGGGAAGGGGGAGTGGGCGATCGCTGGATGGGTGCGGGTGCAGGAGTGCTGGCAGGAGCATCCGCTACGGGGGTCTCGGTGATGTACGTGGCCGGGAAGAGGCCCTCCTCGCCTTTGGTATTGCGTCCCTGTTGTCAGCTATATTTATAGTTTGACTTACTCTCCACCAACCGTCTCCAAAGTCATCGTCCCTTTCTATAACCTCTATTGGCTCTCCTGCGGTGAACTCTAGCTCATCCCCATGCTCTGCGACAAAGGTGTGTACCGCTGTAACTATGAGCATGGCGTGTGAGGTATGGATGGATAGCAAAGAGATGGAGGGAGAAGAGTGTACAAGTACGTTGTTAGGATCTAATAAGGCTGAATGAGGAAATTATCAAAGCACAGGCTTATAAGCTTAAACTGTTTGGCAAGGGCGGCACGTTGCTCGCATCTTGCTATCATACTTGCCTTTCCGCTTCAGACACCACACTCACACAATGGCTACCACCAAAGGCGTCATCCTCGTAGGAGGCCCCTCCAAGGGCACTCGTATGAGGCCGCTTACTCTAGATTGTGAGTACAGGCAGGTCCAAGAGCTAACATCAGGCGCGAAACCCCTTCTCCCCATTGCCGGCAAGGTATGCAGCTGATAACGCGCCGCTGACCCTAGCCTATGGTCTGGCACCCCCTCGCATCGCTAGCCAAGATGCCTGGTCTCACTGAAGTCCTGATCATTGGCTTTTACGAAGACTCGGTTATGGCTGGCTTCGTCAAGGACGCCAAGAGAGAGTTCCCCAACATTGCCATCTCGTATCTGCGCGAATATCGGCCCCTCGGGACAGCTGGCGGTCTCTATCACTGTGAGCCGAGTGTAGACGTGGCTAATGTAGTCCGTGACTCTATCCTCCGCCCGCCTTGTCCGCAGAACATCTTTATCTGCAACATTGACATTTGTTGCTCATTCCCGTTCCAGGAAATGATGGACTTGCATTCCAAGCATCGCGGGGTGGGGACTATCATGGGAGTGAATGTAAGTCGGTGGAGGACGTCGCTGACCTCAGGTCAAAAGAGAAACTGCGACGCAATACGGTTGCATTGTTTCCGACCCGAGCTCGCTCGTCGTCCATTACGTCGAGAAGCCCGAAAGCTGGATCTCCAATATGGTGAACGGTGGTGTCTACCGTGAGCATCTGCATAGTTCACGCTGATACAGTGTTCGACAAGTCTCTTTTTGACGAGATCAAGGTCGCTATGGATGACAAGGCGGCACGTGCAGCCGAGGACCCCCTGGTGCAATCTGACGAGATGCTGCGATTGGAGCAAGACGTCATCGTCCCTTTGGCGGCCGCGAGGAAGATGCACGTCTACGAGACCAAGGACTTTTGGAGGCAAATTAAGAGCGCAGCGTACGTCACGCATGTTCCCCGCTGACATGAGTTCCGCCGTCTCTGCTTCCTCCCTTTACCTGTCCCGCTTCCAAAAGACTCACCCCGAGCTCCTCGCCAAGCCCTCCGCGACTGTACTCGCTCCTTCCTATATCGACCCTTCCGCCACCATCGACCCTACCGCCAAAATCGGTCCCAATGTCGCTATCGGCCCCGGTGTACGCGTAGCTGCTGGCGTGCGCGTCAAGGACGCCATCATATTCGAGGGGACCTCGCTCGAACAACACAGTTGCGTCCTAAACTCGATAGTAGGCCAAAACTGCCAGATCGGGCCCTGGGCGCGTCTTGATGGTGTACCAGAACCAGAAGACAACAAGGGAAAGATCAGCGTTACCGTGTTGGGTGAGTGTGACGGCGAGCTCGCTAATGACAGCAACCGAGGTCACGTTGGCGCCGGAGACGCTTGTCAGGAGTTGCATCGTGCTCCCGAACGTGAGTGAAGGCTTGACACGGCTGATGGAAGAAAACACTATCCAAAAGCTATGCGAGCAGAGTAGTCCTCTAATTACATCTCCAATAGACGATCTATGGCTAGACCCAGGTCATTTCCGCAACTGTCCAGCACCGCCTCTACTACCTCCTCGTCCAAGGCAGGGAACATCTGATGCAACGTCTGGACATTGGCTTGCGTTTGAGCTTGAATATCGGCTTGACTTTGGGCCTGGATCTCGGGCAGAGGTTCGCTGACATTAGCCGAGAATTGGCCGCAACTCACGATCCCAAGTCCATCTGCGCAAAGCGACGAGTCGGTGTGTCTGGCGCACTCCCTGGCGCCTCTTCATCCTCCGAGACACCTTCAAACATCTTGCCCAGAGCATTGAGCGGCTTGCTCACCGACTCCTGGGCGATATTGGCGGTCCGCTGGAAGAATCTGCGCGTATTGTCCAGGGATGGAAAGACGAGGGCGCGAGCGGGCTCTTCACCAGGGGTCGAATCGAATGGCGACATGGAAGCAGGAAGGGGTCTTGACCTTTCGGTCGATGGAGATGGCGGTAGATCCTGTATAGCGCGCTCAACATTCCGCTCAAATTCCTCTTGCGTGATATTGCTGAGGCTCGACGCATCCATGGTCTCGATGAATGAGATGGCGCCGCTCTACCATCAGCCGCGATGCTATTAGACTCACCAGACTCGAGAGATAGTATCCCGATTCTCCTTGCAGTTTAGATTGACTCCGAAACCGATTTATATATCTTCATCAGCACAATCTCGCTTCAACTCACTCTACATTCGAGATCATGTTTTCTGGATACGCCCTGAGCACGACAAAGATGAGGATGGGGATGAAGGCATCGGCAGATGTCGATTCAGGACCTGACCCTGAGATGTGTCGGATCAGGCCAAAGATGACCTTGCAGCAGTTCAAGATGCAGATCATCTTGTCTCTTGGCGCTTTGTAGTGGTTGATCTTGAGCAGTTCTGCCATTAGTTTCGTCTGGCGCGCACTTACCCTGCTCGGCAAATCCCAGGAAGCCCTGACTAGCTTCTCCCTCTGGTACGTCAAGGTGCTTCTCTCGTACCCAGCCAAACAACCTGACCCGCTGCGCGAATACTGCATCCTTCTCCAGATCATCGGTCGTGATGGGTTGTGAGGGTACCAGCTGCGGTGTGAAAGTACTTTCGTTAGCGAGGCCTTGCCAACACTCACTAGCTGTATAACCTATTCATGACCAGCTTCTCCACAGCCTCCATGGCATTATCAAACTCTGCGTTCCGTTGCGACTTCCAAGGTTCGACCTGGCTCATTTTATCCGCAATGAACTCCAGAAAGTCGTGGATCAGCTTCATCTGCTCATTGACAGTGAATGGCTTTTTGGCAAAGTTGGAGAGAAAGCTGTTGTCAGCTTGGTCTGCGCACACCCTACCTTTTGAGATAGCGAGCGATTGGCTCGGCGGGTTTGCTGCGGAGATCCCGCAGAAAGCCTGAAAAATTGAAAGCTGGCTCCTCCGTCTTTCGTGGCGTGGAAGTGGAGCCACCAGACACAAAGGGGTCGAATTCCGACACATCTGGGCGGTTGGTAGGTGTCGAGGTCTGAGCAGACGGAGTATGTGATGTTGAAGGAGTGACTTCGGGAAGATGTTTGGAAGTGGGTTTTGGCGGTGGAGCGGAAGGTGTTTCGGGCTGAACAGCAGCTGGGGTCTGGAGGGGTAGCTGTCGATCAGGCGAGTGCGCGCGTGGGGTCGACATGACCAATGGTTAAGATGGATGAGCAAGAGTAAGACGAGACCTATAGCGGAATGTGGAGTGGGCCCCGCACTGTTTGAAACAAGCGGGGCAAACATGTCATCGTTTGACCAGCACGGCTTCTCGAACCTCGAATGCGTACCAGTGAGCAGGTTCGAGGTCAGACACACAAGGCTAAGCTGATTATATACAACATTATCTATGCTACTGACTTATTGACGTTACTATACCCTATTCCTACGCAGCTCACCACGACCTCTCCACTCTCCTCTCCAGATGAGGCGATCTTGAACCTCGTTCCAAAGAACATGACTAGGTCACGCAGAAATTGCACACTAACGTCAGCCCCACTCCTGATCACACTCACCTATGAGCTGTCAAGGATCCCATACTGCACTTCCCAACGTCCTCCTTTCCCAGAACCATCAGAAGCAGCACCAGCCACTGATGCCTCGAGTCGACGCACCCGCCCCGACCGATCTCCTCTAGCAGGCACCTAGCGGCATGCAGAGCAATGTCCTCGGGAGTCTGTACTACCGGCGCTTTGGAGCTCGGCGCCACTGACAGGCATTCGGCAGAGTGGACGGCCGACGTGGATGATTGGGCTACCAGCGTCAATCCGTACCCCGGGGATTTTCCCGAGTCGTCTCCTTTATACACGTCCGTGAAGAGGTAGATATCTGGTATGTAGCGATTAAGGATCGAACGGGCCGACTCGACCATTCGATTGGCGAATTGTGGAGAGACTCGAGTGGAGTAGCTGGGATTAGCTGGGTCGCTGCGGCGCTTACGCTATGCCCCGAATCTTCTTGATCTTTCCTCTCTCCAGGAATTGCAGCGTGTTGAGTTGGCGCACGATTGGGCATTTGAAAATGACCTGACCGCCACCGAGTGGTGCTGCGCCTCTCTTTTTAATCTGTGGTCAGGCCAATTCGAGGACGAGGCTTACCTGAAGTTCCAGTCCATCCGTGATTCCAAACAGATGCAGATGCGGCAGCGTTACCGTTCGGATCATATCCACCTATCATCAGCGTGGTAAACACTACACTCACTGTCATGTCTCTCCCCTCCTCGCCCGTTATTCCGCTCAACATCACATCCAACGGCTTCTTGCAGAAGGGCGCAAGAGGAATCAAGATTTCGAGATAGTACCCGATGGACCGGCCGACGTGGCACGCATGCTGAAACGATCCGCCGGGGAGTACTCCTGGGTGGAACAGGAAGGACGTTCCTGTGATGGAGATCTCGATAGTGGACCCATTGGTAACCTTTTCGAGTAGTCGAAGCAGATTTATCTCATACTCGCGGAGTCCGACGTGGACATCCTCAGAGCGTATCCCATCTACTCGGATGGATTTGCCGCTGAGGATCGCCAGCAGCAGCCGTTGGCGCAGGTGGCGATGTGATGCGAAGCGCAGGACTTCTGAGCGGGAGGATGACATGGCAAGTTGTGGGAGTGAAGGGAAGATCCAAAAATCACAACCTCCACCAGCCTACAATTTTACGTAAAGACCATAATCCAATCGCTAACGTAAACATACCTCCCCCTCCAACCGCCGATAACCAGTGTACGGAAGACCTACGATTCAGCTTATACCTACACTTCCACTCACGTTTGACGGACTCGAACGACTTCTTTTGCCTGGTCCCCTCCGTCCCCGATGAATCGCTGATCCGCACAGAATTGCTTCAATCGCTCTTCCTTTTTCTCCCAGACTCCCCGGAGCCACAGTTCGAACGCCCTCGCCTCTTCGCTGCTGGCCATCCCGACCTGTCCCCCTGATACCACGGACGCGCTAGTAAGAGAGGGTATAGGGGACGACTTGGCGGCGAGGTCAGAGTACAGCCTCAGGTGTATATGAACTGTTGGCGGTGGAACTGAACGATAGAATATGGAAGCGAGGCCGTAACTGGGTTTAGCTCGGTCAGACTTGCACTCACTAGTCCTGTGGGTATTTGCCAAAAGGCACATCCTGGTACCCGATCGTCACGTCTAGTAGCTTTAGGTCCGGAATATGGGGGAGCAAAGCTCGAAGACAGAACAAGAGTCCCGTAGATCTGGGATGCAGCATGGTGACAAAGTCATCCTTATATCAGCCATGCAGGTTGCCGCACTCACAGTGTCCTCGCGTGCAGCGTACTTGACGCTCTTCACCCTCTCCTCATCGCTCGCAATCGTCCCTTCGGGGAAAATCAGGAGCCACAACGGAGAGCGCTTTGGGGGCGGTGCGAGGGGAATAACGTCATAATCGGGCGTGATATTGGCGTCATGGCCCAGCTGGCTCAAGGCTTCTGTAAGATGGCCTTTGTCGGCAGCCCATGACCGCTTCATGAAGATGAACCGGAAGAAGCGTTGCTGACTTTAGTAAACGACATGCTTTGACTCACCATTCCCCATCCGAGAATCGGTACCTTGCGAAGGCTGTATTTCAACAGGATAACGACGCCGCTAGCATGTCCTGGAGTAAGCATAGCCGGTCAAGTACTCACCTGAGTAACAAGCCATGATCCACAAATACATCCAATCCGTGTAGGCTTGATGATTGGCGATTGCCACTAGTCTGTCGGGAAGATTCAGTCTTTTGACTCTGCCTCGTCCGTCCCGCTCGACCAGATCGACGAGGTCCAGCGGAGCGTCGACGGTGAAATGGAGGGTCGCAGGCGCAAAGAGGACCATGATGGCGATGACTGATGTCAGCCTGACATGCAACAACAACTCACGCAGACGGCCAAATCCATCTTTTGTAAACCCCACAACCATATCCATCACGCTAACGCCCCACTTCCCAGGAAGCAGCAGCAGCGGTGTGGCTAGTAGGGTGGTCGATGCTATGCCCAGTAGTCCGACGATCATCAAGAGGGGGAACAAGATCTTGCTGGCGATAGGCCCATGCGGTGGACGGTCGGCGATGGGAATCGTATGCATGGCTCGCCCAGCTGCTGCTGGGGGCGAAGATGTCATCTTGTGCACATGAGCGAGTGTCGAGACTGCAGCGCGCGCAGAGGTGAAGCTAGGTCTAGCTGATATTCAGATGAGATGATGGAGTTAGAAAGCGGTTCTCGCCTCTCCAAGCTGTGTCTGCTCAGGTCTGCTCAGGTCAGGTCGGCTCCTCAGCGCAGCCAGCATTCCTCGCTGATCTCAGGGCCCCGGTCTGGACTTGAATTGGTCGTCATCAACCTTGCGTCATAAAGGTACACGTGGCTTTGTTGTCAAGGGTGATCTCCGAGGCCGAGGCCGACTATGTATGTATGTAGGCCGACCAATATATATCAAAGCGACACTCTGACCATCGCCAACATCTCATCAACAACATCACTCGACGCATTTCATTAGTCACAATGGATCGCCAGCAATCCCTGTTAAGCCGCCTCAATCCTCGGCGAAAGGAGTCGGGCAATGTCCCCGCCACTCCTCCAGACGTCCAGGTCCCAGATGAGGGGTCGGCCTCCAGGACCATGTGTTCGTCGGAAATCTTCTCCCTCTTCAAGAGCATGGCAGCTGGAAAGACATCACGCAGAGGAAACTCTCCGGCCAGATCGGGCTCGTCTACGCCCTCTGCTCCGCCCAGCACGGAGACTCTTCTTGCCGATGAGGGTAGGCCTGTGTCAGCAAGGCAAGAAATCGCGCTGACAAGTGTAGAACCCCACTTGACGTCGAACATTGAATCATCAAGTATAAACTCGCCAGGGAGAGGTACGTCAAGGCGGCTGTTCCTTATCGCTGACCAAGTAGACACGCCGACATCAGACGACACACCGGTTTTGGAGCCGACCGAGGCCGAAAAATTGGCTGCTATGCAAGAGGAGTACGGTCAAATAGCTTCTAGCATGGTGGACGAGCATGGGGACTCACAGCATGAGGCTATGCTCGCCGAGAGCTGGGGCACAATGTTCAAGTAGGTCCAAGTCAGAGTTGAGCTGATTCTAGGGGCCTCATGGTGGTCGTGAGTCGCACGCAGAAGCAAGTCTGACCGCAGGGCAACATCCATTTGACCTCGCACCGGCTTCTCTTCCACGCTTTACTACCCCCCGACGCTGCTTTTGTCCACCACTACGACTCTGCAGAGGAACTTGAAGCATTAGGCTCGTCCCCCTCCAGCTCGACGCACATCTTACACTCTGGGCCCGTCACTTGGCACAGACATAAGCCGCTGCTCTCCTCGCAACGGGTATGGCTGGAAATGAACGCAGATATGATCACAATTTATCCTTCGGCCGATGATTCTGGGCGGGTCAGGCCGATCAAATCGTTCCTACGTGAGTATCATGCATCTCCGCGCTGATGGCAGTGTCATCTGTGGATACTATCCGCCCTCGGGATGACACAAAAGCATCCGACATACACCTCAACTTCACTCTAGAAGGTTCTCACAAATCTCTATTCTTCACGGTCGACACCCCTCAATCCGCTGCGCAATGGCGTCGCCACATCGAGGCGGCGTTGTTTCGGATCTTTCGGCGTAGATGGCGCCACAAGGCTACCTCTGTAGCAGGGAAGGAGCCCGAGTCTAGCGTCGACCAGTGGAATACGCTGCGCTTTTGCGTACCCCTCCACCGCCTCGCACTGATCGACGAAGGCGACTACCATGGCTTTGCCACCCTCCTCAGCCTCAAGGTCGATCTGGACGAATCGCAACGACTAGTCTCGGCTGGGACCTTCTTTGCCGCGGCCGACACCGCCTCGATAACGGACAATCTGCTCAATATGCATCTGAGGGCGAAGTCAGATACCGATCTGACATTCAACTTCAATCTCGCCGTGATCACGGAGCAAGGGTCATTTATCGATAAGCTTCGACACGGAATACAGGTTGCTCATCTGCGGCACCCAAAGGCGGACGTCGACGCCAATCGATTGATCTTCAATATCGCGGGGATAGACTGCTTGGCCAGCGAGGATGATATTGAGCGAGAAGTACAAGAAGAATCTCGTCCCTCCGAGTCCCTTCCGGCTCGGATTGCTCGAAAGGCCGAGAAAGCACACACGGCGGCGGCAGTGTTTGGCTTGCACGAGGAAGAGGGGATCTGGCGTAAGTCCGAAGAGAGCGTAGCTGATGACAGTGAAACGTTGTTATCTGGATATTGTCGGCGTGCCAGTTCGCGGTCATCTGATTGTGACGCCAAGATTCGTTTGCTTCTGGCGGAAGAATACCCTTTCTCCGGATGTCAAGGTGAGCAAGATGTCTTTCATGGCTGAGAATAGTATCGCTTCGACTCCACCCTGGTCAAAGGCTTCGAGCCGGTCAACTGCGTGCAGCCTGGCTTCTCCGGTCTCGCTCTCAAGCTCCACGGTCAGCAGGACGTCGTATTCGAATTCTGGAACGTCCTCGGACGCGACGAGGCCATCTCGCAACTCAAACAATTTACCACGCCGGAGACCCGTCCAACATCGTCCTCGACAACGCCGCAGCCATCAACACCTACTCATCCCGCCGACATCCTGGTGCCCTCGAAGAAGTCACTCTTTGAAACCCGTGTTCTACCCGACGACTTTTTGTCTCACATGCCCTTCATCGCCAACGAGCCATGGGTATCGCGCTCCATTGCTTTGTCGCCCCGCACGTTCACCATGCTCACAATCGGATCGAGGGGTGATGTACAGCCTTACATTGCTCTTGGATTGAGGTTGAAAAAGGATGGAGTGAGTGCAGTCTGCGAACCAGCTGACGAAAGCATCGGGTCGTGATTGTAACGCATCAAGAGTTCAAAGAGTGGGTCGAGGGCTATGGGATCGAGCATCGTCAAGCTGGAGGCGATCCAACAGCTCTCATGAAGTTGAGCGCAGAGCACAAGGTACGATCGGTACAAGCAAGCGCTGACTCCAGATGCTCTCTCCTGGCTTCTTCAAGGAATCGGTCGGCTATTTCAGGCAATGGCTTGATGACTGTGAGTCGCTGATGCCGCTCAGGCTGATTATAGTACTCGTAGACGCCTGGGAAGCGTGCAAAGATGCCGATGTACTCATCGAGTCGCCCTCGGCAATGGCTGGTATCCATATTGCGGAGCGACTGCAGATCCCCTACTTTCGCGCATTCACCATGCCTTGGACGCGCACCAGTGCCTATCCACAGGTAAGCCCGCCAGTGCTGATGAGGAGATGCTAACCACCAGGCGTTCATGGTACCCGCGTTCGAGATGGGGCCGGGGTTCAACTACTCCACCTATGTCTTGTACGATAATATCATTTGGAAGGCGACAGCCGGCCAGATCAACCGATGGCGGAAGGAACACCTCGGACTGCCAAGCACCGACATGTCGGAAATGTCGGCGACCAAAGTCCCCTTCCTCTACAATTTCAGCTCTGCTATCGTCCCAAAACCGCTCGACTGGCATGACGATATCACAATCACCGGGTATTGGGTCCTCGAGAACAGCGACTCGGAATGGTCCCCGCCAGAAGCGCTCACGGCATTCATGGACAAGGCCAAGGCAGATGGCAAACCGCTGGTCTACATCGGGTTTGGCTCCATCGTCGTCCCGAAGCCGAACGAGATAACCAAGAGCATAATCGAGGCGGTCGAGAAGGGTGAGTTTATCAGCGAGACTAGAACCAGCTGACAATATAGCCGATGTTCGAGCCATTGTCGCAAAGGGCTGGTCTTCAAGAGGAGGCGATCCCGCCAAGGAGGGTGCCGCAATCGAGTTCCCGGCTAGTTGTTTTGGGCTTGAGAAAGTCCCGCATGGATGGCTCTTCCCGAAAGGTGGGTCTGTTGCTTTATGACGATCGAACAAAGCAGCTGACACCACAGTACAAGCTGCTCTGCATCATGGCGGGGCTGGTACAGTCGGCGCCAGTCTACGTGCCGGCATACCGACATGCATCAGACCCTTCTTTGGCGACCAATACTTTTGGTGGGTCGCTCTTTGGTCTTGTGCTCGCCCAGGCTGATGAGCAGGGCGAATAGAGTCACCAAACTTGGCGTAGGCGTCCGAGTTGGATCACTCCGCTCCGACGACATTGCCCACGCCCTCGTCAAGGCAACCACGGATCGCGTCATGTTGGAGAAGGCGGCAAGGATAGGCGAGGCGATTAGAAAAGAGTCAGGGGTGGATAATGCGCTAGAAGCAATACAGTATAATATACTCCGAGCGGGTAGCGATAGAACCAAGATGTCGTGGGCGAAGTGATGTATCTTATTGTAGTCATGACTTACTCTGCAGCAGGAGGTGCCTCCGTTAGCACCTCGGCTATCTATCCAGTAAAAGCGCCGCGGCAAGACAGAGCAAGAGCAGTAAGACCGATGCCAGCCGCCAGCCGCTGATAATCAGCTGATACTGGACACTAGCTGAGGCGTGGAACATATCTGACTTCGCCGGCGTGTGCTCAATTCGCTATGATTGGCTTGACTGATCACACGGATCTTCTGATCGTCCCTCGATCCTATACAAACTCCGGAGGATCACAGGCCTTCTTTTGTAATACCGATGGTCATACGGTGGTCGGGTAGATGACGGCCGGTAGCGCGCAAAAGTCAGTGGGGTCAGACTGTGGGTCCACAGGCAGCATGCGTAATCATCACATATCAGACGTGCAAAGGAGTAATCGTCGCCAGAACAAGATAAAGTTACAATTAGACCACAACCTAGAGGACGATGCACCCCTTCTTGCTCTTGCCGGACCTGCCAGACTTCTTGCTCTGCCTAATTAGTGCAGCTCGAGAGATATGGGGAGTGCTTACCGAGAGAGCATGCCTCGTCGCAGTCTGGAACACCTCCCTGACACCCTCGCCAGTCTTCGCACTGCACTCAACATAGCCGTTCGCGCCGATCTTTTGCGCGGTTGCGAGACCCTCCGCGCGCTGCACCGGTCGCTGGTTCATTCGCTCCAAGTCCTGCTTGGTCTTGGGGTCCTCCCTCAGATCCTTCTTGCAGCCGACGAGAATGATGGGGAGACCCTGGCAAAAGTGAAGCACCTCAGAGATCCACTGTCGGGTCAGCTGGGTTTCAGGGTCGACGCACCTTTTCTTGGACGTTATCAAGCGAGTCGGGCGAGTCGACGGCAAAGCAGATCAGGATGACGTGCGAGTCGGGGTAGGAAAGGGGACGGAGACGACTGCGGATCAGCTGAATTAAGCGCTTGTACTCACTCGTAGTCCTCCTGACCAGCGGTATCCCAAAGCGCTAGTTCCACCTTCTTGCCGTCGACCTCGACGTCGGCGACGTAGTTTTCGAAAACGGTGGGGACATAGACCTCAGGGAAGAGACCTGACGTATGAGCGTCATTCTACCAGAGGAAAAGCGGTGAGGGCTCACCCTTAGAGAACACCTAAGAAGATCAGCTTGGTTTTCTCCATGTGCAGATCTTGGTTGTTCTCAAGCATTTCTTCCTGGAAGGCTGTTGCTGAAAGTTGACGTACTATGAGAAGACAGGTCTTGCCGCACGCACCATCGCCTACAAATCAGCAAATGTCCAGAAGCTTGCTGGCACGGGTAGGAGCCTGCAGAGCGAGCCCGAGCGGCAAAAACGCCAAAGGACGCGACCTACCGACAATAACGAGTTTCCTTCTGATTTCGCCGGACATTATGAAATTGATATGGGCGTGAGTGAAGCGTTAAGTACGTGGGGGACGTGGACAGCTGTGTAAAATGGCTGTACGAGGTGTAGATGGATAGAGAGAGTGAGAAGAGGTTGATGTGCAGCTTAGCTTGAAGGGATAAGGGTTGTTAACGGAATCAAATCTTGCCATACAAATATAGTCACAGCTATCGTCTCATTCAGGGTAACTATTACAAGTAGGGGGAAACCTAAAACAGGGGGGCTCATTTAGATTCAAGGGGCAACCGCAGTAGAGTACAGAGCAGGGCAGTGCATCAGACAGTCATCTACAGTATAGTATAAAACCAAGTCATTCTACCACTCCTTGGCGAGCTTGAATCCTGTCATCAGCTCAGTATGCCGATGTAGCTCACCCCACTCGACATCCAGCCAGACATGCTGGTCATCGTCCATGACCCGAGACTGAACGGTGTAGGTGCCGGAGCGAGCCAGCATCCCAGAAGGGCTCTCCTCGGACGCAAACTTGAGTCAGCGATAGTAAAGGTCTCACTCACGACCTTGGTATAGACCTCGCCTTTTGGATTAGGGCCATAAGATCCCAGCATCGCCTCCACCTTGTCGACTAAGGATCAGCTAGGATCTCAGTCAAGCCTCACCCTTGATGCCAGAACGCTTGACGACCTGAAGGTACTTGAGGCCGGAGACAATCTCGTTCTCAACCCTAGGAGTTAGCAACGCAAGGTGCTGACTTACACAAAGGTAATCCCCACGGAATACTCGACACCCTCCTTGATGGTCACTAGGATTCAGCTCAATCCCAGAATGCACATACTTGGCTCCTTCTTCAGCTTGGCGAGCTCTGCAGCGGGTCGGGTGAGATCAATCTCGACCGGCTTGTGCAGCCCTTCAGAGGACAAGAAGAGAGTCTTGGGGACAACCTGGAGTCAGGGATGCATCCTGGAGAACATACCTTCTTCGTGCCTCCACCAGCCGTGGCGCTCAGTCCGAGGGACTGCTTCCATCGCTGGAGAGATTCGTCCTCCTGAGCGTCAGCTCGAACCAGCGAGAGGCATACCTTGTCGAGCTCGGCAAGCTCTGCTACTGATCGCTGCTGGCCAACCTGCAATGAGCTTTGTCTCCCTAGACCCAACCTTGTATCCCTCGGTCTGAGACGGCACAAGCTCGTCTTCGGTTGGCTGTCCGTCAGCTACTACGAGACCAGCTACGCCTACCTGCTGCTGGTGTGTCATGGCTGTGTTGGATGAGTATGATGATGGATGGAATGTTGTACGGCAGTCGCGTCTCAGCGCGCAGCCGGATCCAAACTGAAACACATCCAGGGGGTGGGGCCCCATGCAAGACGGCATTGTGGCACTCTCAGGTCAAACCAATACATCCAGTCTCTATATACACATCTCCTATAACGGCGCCACAATCGTTGAGGTCTTAGCGTCGGTGATCGTTCGGAGCACATAGTCGTCCCCGTTTTGAGAAATGTACCGGACCCAAGGTAATCTGCGATGTCAGCTGGGCGGGAGAGGTATGAGATGATAGCGTACGCCTCTGAAGATGTCAGCGGTTGCCATATGCACATTCGAGACACTCACGATAGCCCGACTTTTCAACAATCTTCAAATACCTGACCTGGATACCCGATACTGTAAAGTATGGAATCTCAAACTTGACCGTGATGGGTGCACGCTTGTCGAGTTCCTCTGATTGTCAGTAAGCAATCTGCGCGGTTGCGTACCATTCCTGACACTTGGCAATCCAAAGTGTGCGCGCATAATGTAGTCCCTTCCTCCGCCAAGCTGCTTGATCTTCCAGACAAAGGCCGATTTTTCTGGCGCATACACCACCGAACCCACGGATGCCTGAGGTCAGCTCTGATTACACCTGGACTTACGCGGAACTTGGGACTATCCGCATCATCTGGTACTGGCACAAAGATCTCGACATTGTTGGCGGTACTCCGCCGCTTGAATTGCCCCCTGACCTTGACCATGTACTCCACCCTCGACCCTCGATGGCTCTCAACGCTCGCTTCGACCCAGACCAGAGGTTTGACGGATTGCGAAAGGCGGTACGACATAAGTTCAAACTCGCCGTCTGGGGGAATGAAGGAGATGGTGCGGTCGTTTTCGAAGCGGGATAGCCGGACACATTGGTGGAATTTGACGTCCTCCATTTCGATGGCTTTGCCACGGGACGCTACAATTAGCTCTGTTGGGCCGTTACTCACCTCGACCGGTGGACTCAAACATGACTTTGTCATTTAAACCCAGTCTCAGCTCTGGCATTCCAGACAGGTAGCACTTCATCTTGACTGCGCCGAGAATCTCGGACCGTACAACGTTGCCTGACGCGTTGACCTGGAATAAGCTTTGCCGTGTCAAGACTCACCAAGAGATTGATGCTCTCAACCACGTCCAAGAACACCTCGTTCTTTCTGTATCGGATCCCTTCAGACCGCCAAGACACGGCATTGGTCACCGCCATCGGTGGTCTCGCCTGCGACTCGAGCTTGTGCGACTCTTGGGTGATGTATTCCTGGAGGATCTTGCTTTCGGTGGTTTGTGGAAAGCCAAAGTCCATCATCTCGTCGAGTAACTCGTAGATGATGACAAAGTTGTCCCGGATGGATTCTTCCTCGAGCTCTTTGAAGTATTCCGTGAGGACCTGCGGTCAGCACAGTCCGCGCTAGGACGTACGGAGCATAATCGATGCAGGAAGAAGATGATCTCCGCCGCGTTGGTATTCCGTTTGCTCAGTGCAAGTACTGTCGTTAGCCCCGCCTGTCGCCAGCTCACAATATAGGTTGTTGTGTCTGATGTGCATGTAGTTGATTCCATCATCCGAGAAGCAAGGTGTGACCTGAACATTCTCCTCCTCCATGTCGAGGACGAGCGGGAGGAAGCGCTCAATGTAGGATGGCGGAACATCGTCTCGGTATGATCGTTGGATGAGGGACTAGATGAGCGTGGCTAGAGGCACGACCTACCTTGCCCTTGACGTCGAGGATAGCGATGAGACTGGCCATGTCGGTGATATGTATGGTAGCAGTAGTCTAGAGGAATGTGTTGTTGGACGCGTCCAGCTAGACGGTAATCGCCGGCCTTTCAAAAGTTGGTCCACCTTTGACCTTGTACCTCACTATGACTGAATCACCCCCACGAAATATAAAGAAGCTGGCGCTCCCGCCAGATCTCATCCCATTCGCCCACCAGCTCATCTCGGCGGTTCGCACCGAGTCGATCGCGGGCGTCAAGGCTTTGCTGGAAGCAGGCGCTCCAGCTTGGTTTCAGGATGAAGAGCTCGGCTGGTCTTGCCTGCATTATGCGGCAGAGAAGCGGAACCCACAGCTACTGCAGACGCTTATCAAGGGTGGAGCAGTATGGAACGCTGTTGATAAATGGGGGCAGACGGCTGGCGAAATCTGCCTCAGTCTTGGGGACCAGGAGGGGTGGGAGATGATCCGCAATGAGGGCATAAGGACTGGTGGGTTCAACAAGCAGCGTCGCCGTGGCTCAGACAAGATCTATCACTGCGGGGTGCTGTCAGGTCTTGCGTCCAGCGCTAATGGCAGAAATGCTCCATCACATCCTATCCGCCCCTTCCTCGTCGGAAGACCATATAGCGCTTCGGGCCGAGGACGACACATCGTCCGGGGACAACATTGCATTCTTGGCGAGCAAGCTTACATGGGAGACCGGAGAGGACGGCCGGGAGAGAGTTATAGATGCTGATGGAAATGGGTAAGTCCGCCAGAGACAAAGCTGATGACAGAGTAATGATGGGATGGGAAGAACCGCTCAGTACGACCTGAATTGGCGTCGCTGACTTGCAGTGGAGGAGCATGTTCGTCTCATGCCGGACGGCGAGAATCACTCTGTATTGAACATTGGCTATGGCTTGGGAATCGTGAGGACGGTGACGACTGTGCTGATTCAGGTCGATCGCCTGTTCCAAGCGCGCAAGCCCGTTCATCACACTATCGTTGAGGCCCATCCTCAGGTCCTGCAGCACATGCGTGATACCGGGGTCTATGACTGGCCCGGGGTGCGGGTACTCGAGGGGAGGTGGCAGGACTGGTTTGCACCAGAAAAGCTAGGCGAGGTGATCGGCGCTACTCCCGATGCTTCAGGCTTCACCGCAGTATTCATGGACACCTTTGCAGAAGGCTACGAAGGTAAGCAAACGAATGACCCAGCTGATGTAGATCTCAAGTCGTTTTTTGAAGTACTGCCGGACATTCTCGACTCTGAAGAGGGCGTCTTTTCGTTTTGGAATGGGCTCGGAGCGACGAGTGAGTGCAGCTGGATACGAAGCTTACCCAGATCCTACGATTTACGCTGTGGCATCGAGTTTGGCCGAGCTGCACATTGAGGACGTCGGCCTGAGTGTAGTCTGGCACGACGTGCCAATACCGGACAGCTTGCGGGAGGAGGTGTGGAAGGGCGTTCGGAGGAGGTATTGGGATCTTCCGGGGTATCGGCTGCCCACTGCGCGCTTGTCGCTGATGTGATGCATCACTGGATCCTACTGTCTTAAGTCTCACGTTCCCGCGCATCCAAGACAAAACGGGAATATGGAGACAGGCGAGCTGAAAGGCAGTGAGAAAACTTCCTTTTTCCTGCGATTATGTCTCTTCTTTTGTGCTCGTTCCAAGCCCCTCGCGTTCAGAGGGACGGTCCTCGCGAGGATCCTTCCATAGCGACTCGGGGCTTGGGACGAGCGGACTATCACCACATGCTACCGCGCTCACTTCCTGCGCTCTCGCGCGCTCACTTGGTCCGTCGCGCGATATAAGACCCCAAGCTGTCGCTGGCAGATTTCCACAGACATCCCAACCTGCCCCTTCATGTCAATCGCTTTCTCTCCCGATTAGCTATTCACTACGATCGCAAGGCTGCACTTTCAGGTGTGTAAGAAGAATTGTCCCCATATTTAGACCCCACCCCTTCTATTCCCTGCTGGCCGCCTCTCTTCCCCGCCCCTTCCTCTCTTATTATAGAAGAGAAAGTGAAAGGCGCGAGCTCAAGGACAATTATGCATCTGGCTAAAAGTCCGACCCTTCTACGCCAAACGTCGACGCATAATTCAGGTACCCCTGCATGATGTCAAAGATGCCTTCCGGTAGATTCTACCGTCAGCCCCGATCGCAACCTAAACTCACCATACTCAAGAGCGTATACCTAATCTTGGAGTGGCCATGGACCATTCCCATCTTGTATAGATAGTGCGCCACCATGGAGGGATAAGCCGAGTCCATGTACCACCGATGATGGTAGGCGGTGAGCCGGATGGCGACGTTGAGCGTTCGCTGCAGGTCCCCTTCGTTGGCGTACATCTCGAGCAGCTTGAGGAGGGCTTTGGCGCTGAATTTGGCATCCAGGCAGCGCTGAAAGGCGTCCTTGGCTTCCTCCTTGTGGTGCAGCCGCAGAGCGAGTTCACCGAGGATTTCCCACTATCATCAGCTACGTCTCAAATGGGCCCACCTCGGTGCCGGTCTTCTTATACGACATGTGTTGGGTTTTAAAGTGCGATATTTCCGCCCGCCAGATAGTGTACACACGCAAATCCTGCTATTAGCCTTGCCACAGGGAGACTCACCTCGTACAAGACCAAAAACAGATTATCCAGCCATCTTTCGCATAATCGCTTATTGGAGAATGCCGAAATTCCGTCCCCATCGTCTCCCGCTTCCACCTCACCCTGCGACGTCTCTGGCTTCTCCAGTGGGACCGGTACGACGTTGGGGGTACGATTTGATTCCGAGGATATCCTTATAGTAGGAATATCAGACGGCGTAGCCGACCGCGCCTGGACGGTATCGTCGACCGAAGCCGTATGCTTGTGCGCCCGATACTCCTCCTCCATGACAAAGACCACCGACCGGGTCTTGAGCAGCTCATCCCATCCTATCTTGGACACCAGGAGCGTCAAGAGGGAATACGCTTTGGCAAAGGTCCCCCTCAATCCCGGCGCCGGGAGACGTAATAGGGCCACATCCGCCTCGTTATCCCGTGCCGACTCCTCGTCCAGTATACCCGAGTCGGCGATGAACTTTTTGACTGGCAGGTGGGTCCGCGCTGGCGTAGGCATACGATGCAAGTCGCGTTCGTTAAAGGTAAACATGGGACACGAGTTGAGGGTGAGGAGGGCGGCGTCGAATTGGCCGAGGTCGATGTAGGTTTGCGTCAACTTGGCCCAAGTGACAAACTCGGACGGAGCGGCGTTGACGGCTTGTTGCGCGACTTGGCGTGCCCAGTCTGGTTTCCGCTTTGCCAGGAGAAAGTCGACTTGGGAGTGGAGGAGGGGATAGGAAAGGGGATTGGCCTGGAGCGCCTGGTGTATAATTTTGACCGCTTTGATCTCCTCATCTATCGTCAGCTCGTTTGATCAGCACTTACTCATCCCCATATAGCTCTTTGCCAGCAAAGAGACAATCTCTGGGTCCTTCTCCGCTAGACGCTCAAACAGCGCGGTCGCTCGGTGCAACCGAAAGTTGTCGGTAAAGTACTTCATGACCGCCGCGGTAAGGTGATTTGTGACAGACGTAGCCACCTGGATCTCTGGATCAGATCCCAGCTGCCAGCCCTTGTCAAACAAAGCCTCGGCTGCTTGGAGGAACCGCGTCTCAGAGGCGAGCGAGGTGATGGGGTCGAGCTTGCGGAATCCGGCGAGACGGTACGAGGCATCGTCGGCATAGCAGATTGCGCGCAGTATCGCCGAGAGATACGTCTCTTGCCATATTTCGGGAGTGGCCGGATGCCTGATCAGCAACGCGCAGACGAGACTCACCTCTCACCGCGAAGATCCACTATATAAGCATCCACGCCTCCCGGAATCTTGACGTCTACCCGTACATCCACCCGAGAGAATGCGTTGAAGCAGCAGTACACGCCGCTGCTAACGTGCCATCCTGCGCCTTTTCCAAACCACGCTTGCGACTCCTCCACTGAGAACTGTAGCGAGTTTAGATAAGCTGCCAAGGACGCGGAGGATGAGGCTTCGACGCCAGAGCTGGGATTAGCTAGGACGGGATGGGTCTCACCAATAGTGATAGGATCCAAGCTACCATCAGCCGAGTATATAGCATCACTCACAGATTTCAGAGCTCCCTTGGTGCCAGTAGACTTGACCACTTGGCACAAGTCGGGTGGACCCAGCTCGCGAAATGAGGCTGGAGTTAGCGGTGCAGAGCTCAGACCTACCTAGCGTTTCCGTTCTCGCCGCTACAGATTCGCCAATGGATGTCTGTCATTAGCACGAGCTACTACTGTGCTCACCTCTATGAACTCTGGGATATCCCTGAACAGTTCCGACATGGTTAGATGAGGGTGAAAGTGAGGAATGAGGATAGGATTTGAAACGCGCAATGCGAATTCTTGCCGTTGTACACCATGATCGACGCGTCAATGCAGGTACGTCTCCAGTATGGTCCAGCTGATTTCAGGCGGGTCCCTCTCGCCCAACGGAAGATCAGTCCCGACAGCAATGTAGGTCAATCGCTGACATCGCTGACCTCAGATGCGAAGCGAAAACAAGAATACATTGAGCTCGAACGCAACGTCCAGGTGAGTACCGCAGAAGCCGAGCTGACAGTAGGCCAGCGACGAGCTCCTCACATCGCTCGCTTCATATCTATCCAACTTTCAAAACGACCTCTCTGCCGTGTCTGGCCATGTAGCAGACCTACAGCAAAAGAGCGATGCAATCGAAGCCCGGCTTCGTGGAAGAAAGGTGAGCGTCTTCATCACCAAGCTGATCAGACCATCCTCCCCCCTCTCAACGCCCTCCTCAACGACATCACCATTCCCCCAGCGCTGGTCCTTACCATCCGCGATACCCTCCCCGCCCAGAACCCCGACCTCTGGCTCACGGCCATCTCCCAGCTCGACGACAAAATCCAAATATGCCAATCCCGGGGCAAGGTCGCCGCTGCCCAAGAGATGGAATCGGTCATTGACGGTCTCCGCGCCAAAGCTCTCATCCAGCTTCCTCCCTTCCTCCTCTCGCTGATCCGCCCCCTACGGTCTGCGTCCAAGGGTATCTCGACCAATCTCGCAGTACTCCAGACGTCGCTACTGCTCAAATACCAACCCTTCTACGCGTTTCTCCTCCGAAACAGTCCAAAAACCGCAAAGCAGGTCGAGCGGGGATATGTCATCGCGGCGAGATCATACTACGAGACGGCCCTCCGTCGATACACCCGCGCTCTAGCTGTGATTAAAGCGAGGACGGCGGACAATGATACGATCAACTTGCAGTATGCAAAAGTGGAGGAGGAGGGTGAGGCGGTGCTTCTGTACATGGCGGATGACAAGGATTTTGTAAGTGCCCATAGAGCCAAGCTGACAGAAGCGTCTCCCTCTGGAAGGCCTATTCCGAAGTCTCCTCCTGGTCCTCCTCGACAACGCATCGGCCGAGTACACCTTTGTCGTCCGCTTCTTTGCCGCCCCCGCGTCGGAAGGACAAGAGCCGGATCTGCGTGAGGCAGATCGCATATGGCACGAGGTCTTTGATCCAGCTCTCGAGTCGTGCGACGCCTTTATCCAATCCCTCCTCCTCCTCCCTCCCCCCGCAATACCTCTTCTCACCCTCATCCGTCTCAACGACCGCGTCATCGACCTGGCCGAATTTCGCGGTGCCAACCCGCTCATCTCGTTTCTGCAAAAGCAAAAGCTCACGCTTTGGCCGCTGTATCGAAAGGACGTGGACGGACGGGTCGACGAGCTAAAGAGGCTGGTCGTGGACGCTGAAGGCAAGGGTCTGGCGGGCTTCATGGGGAAAGGCGTCAAGGACGCTGCGGTGCGACAGGTCGCTACCAAGTACGCGGTGCTGTTTAGCGCTACGGTAGCGTTGAGCTCCGAGGCCGACGATATGATGGTGTTCTCAAGGTGAGTCAGGCAGTTTCTCGGCTGATGTCAGTATGACTCGACTACGCAACGAGCTCGTCAAGTTGATCAACGTCCAAGCGGGCAAGCTCAAGGCGAATCAGCAGTCCTACCTGTCGACAATATTCGAGGTGGTCATGCACGAGCTGGTGTCTGGGCCGGGCGCCACGACACACCCCAAGCTGCAGGCGGAGTTGTCATACTTTCGGACGAGGGAGGAAGAGGCACGAAGAAGAATAGTTGCATAGCATCATCCTTTTGCATCTTTGGTCATACAGATAACTACTCGTCATCCTCATCATCCTCGTCATCATCCTTGGGCTCTTCTGTCCATCAGCTCGGATCGTACGGACGACTCACCATCATCCTCATCCGGGCTCTCGGGGTTGGCATCCTCGTCCTCGTCATCCTCATCGTCGTCGTCAGCCGAGACTCCGGCAGCCTTGATGGCTTCCGCCTGACCGTCAGCTAAGATCTGTAGCAGCGACTTACCGAAGCATAGTTGACCTTCCTTCTCTTTCGTGGTCCCTCGATAATGAGGTTGTCAAAGTTGTCCTCCTCCGGGTCCTCTTCCTTCTCCAAAGCCTTCGCCTCTTCCTCGGTCACCTCGCTCTTGCCTTTACCCTTGCTTTCGGCGGTGGGCGCTAGGAGTCAGCATCCAGGCACTCCCGCGTGCACAATGTCTCACCTTCCTTCTCGCCGTCCTTGGCTTTTTCGCCAGCGGGAGCAGGTGCATCTTCGGCCTTGCGCTTTTCGCCGACGTCGGCGGACCTGCCATCAGCCCAGTAAGCTTGTCTGCTTACTTGTTGTCGGCCTTGACCTCGGCCTGCTTGGGCGCCTCGGTAGCTTTGGCCGGGGCCGCAGCTGGAGCAGGGGCCTCAGTCTGCTTCTCGGCGGTAGCAGCAGGAGCGGCAGCGGTGGTCTTTTCGTCAGACATGGTGGTGTTTTGCGGTATTTTGGGTGTGAGAGTGAGAAGTACAACGCCAGAAGGAAAGAGGGTGGAGCCTTGGAGGTAGGTAGACGCGACGGACGCGTCAAAGTGGAGGTGAAATGATAACTGGGCCATGTGCCACGTCATAATTCGCTTGGACGCGGCGGACGCGTCCGCGGCTGCGCTCGGATCCCAGCGCTCTGATCAGATCCAACTCTAATCTAGACATTCCCCATCAATCAACCGAAATTTCTCATCTATACTTCATCTCTCACTCCAATATGGCTACAGCAAAGGTGAGCATCAGCTTACCGTTCATACTGACATCCAGGAAGCAGACATCAAGACGGTCGGTGCGAACCGCTTCGACTTTGACTCCACGGTCGATGTCTCGACCCTCCGCAGCTTGTACTTGGTGAGCTCGGCCATCACTCAAATTTGATGGTAGCTGATGACCAGGGCCCTGCTGCCACCTCTGCGTCTGTCCCAGGTGCTCCCAAAAAGTTTGGCGCCGAGTCTACCTACGACAAGGAGAGCAACTCGATCCAGTACAGCACGGTCGCTCACTTTCCCCCCGTCCGGCTCTTGCCCAACGCGGACCGCAAGCGCATCCTTGGTGAGCTCTCCCTTTCGCCATCAGACTTCCGCTGATTGCAGTGACTGGTGGTGCTGGTTTTGTCGGCTCGCACTTGGTCGACCGTCTCATGCTCCTCGGCCACGAAGTTACCGTCCTCGACAACTTCTTCACCGGAAGCAGGACCACCGTAAGCTCACATCATGAGCCATGCTGACGACAGGTCTCGCACTGGGTCGGTCACCCCAACTTTGGTCTCGTCCGCCACGATGTTGTCGAGCCGTTCATGATCGAGGTTGACCGTGAGTTGCCTCTGTAACAAGGCTGATCATAGAAATCTACCACCTCGCCTGCCCGGCTTCGCCCCCTCACTACCAGTACAACCCCGTCAAGACGGTCAAGACCTCATTCATGGGCACTCTCAACATGCTCGGTCTCGCCAAGCGGACCAAGGCCCGTTTCCTCATCACCTCTACTTCCGAGGTCTACGGTGACCCGGAGGAGCACCCCCAGCGTGAGGAGTACTGGGGTCATGTCAACTGCATTGGTCCCCGTGCCTGCTACGACGAGGGCAAGCGTGTCGCCGAGACCCTCACCTACGGCTACATGCGTCAGGACAATGTCGAGGTCCGTGTCGCCCGTATCTTCAACACCTTCGGTCCCCGCATGAACCCCTACGACGGCCGTGTCGTCTCCAACTTTATCATCCAGGCGCTCAAGGGCGAGGACATGACCGTCTACGGTGACGGCAAGCAGACCCGGTCCTTCCAGTACATCCACGACCTCGTCGACGGGTTGATTCTCCTCATGAACGGTCCCGAGACCCGCCCCGTCAACATTGGCTCGTCCGACGAGTTCACCATCATTGACTTTGCCGAGGCCGTCAGGGTGAGTATCTCTACGATGTGCTGGACCCAGCTGACGATTAGGACATTGTCGAGGAGGTGCAGAAGGAGGAGGGCAACTCGCTCGCCAAGCGTGTTGGGATCATCCACAAGGACATGCCCGTCGACGACCCGCAGCGTCGTCGTGCCGAGACCACTCGCGCCAAGGAGACCCTCAAGTGGGCTCCCCAGTGGACTGTCAGGCAGGGTGTGAGTTTTTTTCGATACACAGAGGAGCAACGCTGACTTGCAGATCTACGAGATGACCAAGTACTACAGCGCCCAGATCCGGTCCGGCGCTCTCTAGATTTTGGGATAGATTATTATGCATTGCATCTTGGCTCGGCAGCGTTGTCGATACTAGGTCTAGCATGGACCTCATGGACCATGGTTGAATCCATGTCTATAGAGGGGTGACTACGGAATCAAAGTGGCTTCGGGGGATACTCGGCCGGGCCGCTTTACCGGTGTCAAGCCCCACCCAACCTTTGCACCTTGTCAGCCATACATGCAATCTATCCGTCAACCTCTGTTACTGGCTTGCAAAAGAGTATCACTAGCATACAAGCCAAGACCCTCCCATCGCTCCACCTACAGATATCAATCCACATGTGAGTGCTCGCTGCTCTTATGGCCGGTCTTTGTTGCATGCCTTTGACCGGTTGACCGACGTCATCGGAACCAATCCCAAATCCAAATCGCTGACCAACGTCTATTCTTTGCATTCACTCTCTCTCTATCCTTCCCTCCCTTTCGTACACAGACACCATGCCCGGCCGCGTACGCTCCGACTCCAAGCGAGGCTCCATCCCGTCGATGGAGGCCAGCGGGAACAAACTCGTCGACCCCACCGTCATCGTCGTCCTCGGCGCCAGCGGTGATCTCGCAAAGAAGAAGACCTTCCCAGCCATCTTTGCGCTCTTCCAGCAGGGACTGCTGCCGAAGGATATCAAGATTGTGGGGTATGCCCGGACAAGTGAGTAGAAGAAGCTGCAAGTGACGACCCGGCTAACTTTGCAGAAATGGACGAGGAGGAGTTTTACAAACGCCTCACTTCCGGCTTTGACCGGAACAAGAAGGACCCTCTCCTCTCCAAGAACTTTGACGAGAAGCTCGAGGAATTCAAAAAGGCGTCGACCTACATCTCGGGCGCCTACGACAAGGATGACGGCTTCCAGGAGCTCAACAAGCACCTGGAGGAGCTCGAGTCCAACAACGGCGGCAAGTCCAACCGGGTCTTCTACCTCGCCCTCCCCCCATCCGTCTTTGCGGACGTCGCCAAGGGTCTCAAGAAGAATGTCTACACCAAGGACGGAACCAACCGGCTCATTGTCGAAAAGCCATTCGGCAAGGACACCGAGTCGAGCAAGGACCTCATCAGCAGTATCAAGGAGGACTGGACGGAGGACGAGACGTACCGTATCGACCACTACCTCGGAAAGGAGATGATCAAGAACATGCTTGTCTTGCGGTTCGGAAACGTCTTTTTGGACGGGACCATGAATCGCAACTTTATCAGCAACGTTCAGATCACCTTCAAGGAGCCGTTCGGGACGGACGGGCGGGGAGGTTACTTTGACGAGTTTGGAATTATCAGGGATGTCTGCCAGAACCGTGAGTTACTGTCAAGGCGGAGCTGATTTAGACTTGATGCAGACTTTGTCTGTTTTGGCCATGGAGAGGCCTGTCTCGTTTGGCCCTGAGGATATTCGCGATGAAAAGGTGGGTAGCAGTTTAACCTGGCTGACCCCAGGTCAAAGTCCTTCGTTGCATTCCCCCCATCGACCGCAAGGATGTCCTCCTCGGCCAGTACACCAAGGGCAAGGACATGGATGGAAAGGATCAGCCAGGCTACCTCGAAGACGAGACTGTGCCCAAGGGCTCAACCTGCCCCACGTTTGCGGCGATGGTTCTCTGGATCAACAACCCAAGATGGGAGGGCGTGCCATTCATCATGAAGGCCGGCAAGGGTGAGTGGTGCAAAGACTCTGCTGATTTCAGCGTTGGACGAGTCCAAGGTGGTCGTCCGCATCCAGTACAAGGATGCCACCCCCGGCATTTTCACCGGTATCCCCCGTAACGAGCTCGTCATGCGCATCCAGCCCGACGAGGCTGTCTGGCTTAAGATGAACTCCAAGCTCCCCGGTTTCGCAACCCGCGCCGTCCCCGCAGAGCTCGATCTCTCGTACAAGCAGCGGTTCGAGGATGCCCGGATCCCCCAGGCGTACGAGGCGCTCATCCTTGATGCGTTCAAGGGTGACCACAGCAACTTTGTGCGGGACGACGAGTTGGATGTGGCGTGGAAGATCTTTACCCCCATTCTCCACTGGATCGACGGCAAGGATTGTGAGTTCTGGTAGGAGTTGAGCTGATGAGCAGCCTCCGACAAGCCCAAGCCCGAAGAGTACGAGTTTGGCTCGCGCGGCCCGGCCTCGATCGACGAGTTTACAAAGAGGTTCGGATACCAGCGCGACGACGAGGACTAGTAGGTGGCTCTTATCACCATGAAGATTTGAGCTGATTTTGTAGCCACTGGCCAACAACCAAGGTGGACCAGCAGTCGAACCTTTGAGTGGACGAAGAGGAAAAATAGCACTGCTTGTAGATAATGAGAACATCAATGATGCAAATGGAGATTGGACCGAGCAATATTGACAAATGCATGTAAAGACTGTAGGATGTATGTCCGGCCAAGAAGGACCGTCCAAATGTGTTGGACGAGCGTGAGAGAAATGATGTGGAAACTAGGTGTGGTGGTGGTGATGATCGTGGTCGTGATGATGCCCGCCGTCGGGGTCGGGCGGATCTTTGACTCGTCCCCTACCGAGGGGTCTCCCGCATCTGCCATCAGCAAGGATCTCTTTCCGCTACTAGATCAACATACGAGCACCGGCCGTGACAGCCTTCAGCTCCGCCTTCGCCTCCATCTTCGTCCTCGTCCCAATCATCCTCCTCCCTCCCAAGGTTTCCCTTACCCTTTCCATCCGCCACATTCTTCGCCCTGGTCTTGATGGTCTGCTTTCGCCGCAACTCGCGCCGCCGAGAGCGTATCGCCCGTTTCCGAGCCTCCTCCGACCCGTAGAAGAGTGTATACTCGCAGAAGGTGCAAATGTAGTCTTCCTCGGACGGACGCTGAGGCTGGGGCTGGCCCGAAGGACCGGGATTGCGGGTGCGCGGTCGAGTGGAGAGGAAGCGCATGGGAGGAGGAAAGAGGAGATTGGCGTGAGAGGCATACGGCTCAAGGGGGTCGCCGAGAGCGCCGATGAGTCGGGAAGGGCGATCTGGGAGTCAGCTCCCACGTTGGCTTAAAACTTACAATTATCGACATGGTGCGGGTTGCTCTGATTCGCCAAGACGCTCCGCTTCTTCTTCTTTGGCTTCTTCTTCCCCGTAGCAGTTTCGCTGCCTTGGCTGCTGTTAGTCTTGCTCATAGGCGCACCGACGTCCTTGTCGAGCTTGGCCACCGGTGCCGGGGTAGGAGCGACAACTGGTGCTGGCTGTGCACGCGCCGTAGACGGTTGAGCACGTTTGAGCTCGTGTTCGTCCGCTTGAGGGACGCGAGTATTGGTGGTCGTGGTAGTGGGTTTGGCGGTCGCCAGCGTGATGGTACGGAGAACAACAGCGAGCTTTGCCAGCGCCGCCTGATCCCTTGCACTCGCTCGGAAGCCCTTGGAGGCTGACTGTCAGCCGAATCCTGACACGAGACATACCCTGACTCTGCTTCTCAAACTCAAAGCTGCCTTCAGGTGCCCATCCTCCCCGCAGGATCGACTTTCTCCCCTCCCTCAACCGCCGCCTCTTTTCGTATCCCGTCCGCCAATGCTCCAGTGCGCCAGCTGCCGCATCCGCCGCTGCATCGTCCGACCCCGTCCGCCATCCTGGATTGTCCATTGGCCAGTCCCCCACCCCTATATTCTCTAGAGACGGCAGCATCTGCTCGAACATTGCCACTTCTGGCAAGATCAAGCTGCTCCTCTCGACCCCCTTCTTGAGCTCGTTGGTCACCGCCGTCTGAGCGTCCAAGAACAGCGTGATCAGCGCCGCCTTTCGCCGAAGGAACAGCGCCTTGCGCCAGGATCCCGCCTTGGCCGCTCGCGATCGAGCCCGGTAGTAATTGAGGACCCATTTGCCATTCTTGCGTTGGAACGGGCTGGACTCTGAGCCGTCATCGTCGTCATCGCCGTCCTTGTGGAGGCAGGTATGGTTGGTGTGACGATCCCAGCTGTACTCATCCCGCCCGCCGCACTGCATCGACGAGGGGGTCTTGCGCTTCTTGCCGAGCTGGCCGTCCTCGCGATCCGAGTACGATGCGGTGGGGGAGGGGGGAGCGGGAGGGAAAGATGGATCATCGGGCGGGGGTGGACGCCGAGGGCGAACCCCGTCCGAAGCTGTAGTCATCGTGACGGGGCAATTGGAATGGAAAGGTGTGGTGGTGTAGCTGGGTCTGAGGGCAAGTGAGCTTTGATCTAGTTTCGAGCTGGGTGGCCGCCCGAGCTGACATGACGGACCGGCTTACTTGAAGATCAGGAGCGAAACATTTATACTGGATGTCTCTAAGCTCTGCTATCAAGGGCAAGAGCAAGGGCTATGTGAGCCGCAAGATGAGAAGCAGCAAAGGGAGATGAGATGAGATGAGATGAAAGAGGTGAGGCCACCGCGACAGCGAAGCCTTTCCTCAAATTAACTCCGTGTGGCACTTACTTGCACGGGAACCGCCACATGGATTTCTTCTATCCTCGAGCACCGCTTGAAGGCATAGCAAGCCTACAAGGCACACCCCATCCCCCGCAGCAAGGCACACACACGAGCCAGCTACTCATACATACAACAATCAAGCAAAAGTACAAAGCCACTTAGAGCTTACTCTCCCTCGTCACCTTGTCCCAAGCTTCTTGCCCGCCGTCTATCGAGATCGAAGCGCTCACACCACGAATGATCTCCTCGGCTTCCCTGACGATACGTGGGACGAGCTCCTCGCACGTCGGGATGTCATTAATGAGACCGACCGTGATACCGGCTCTATTCGTCAGCTTGGTCAGGTGTGCAAAACTTACGACCAGATGCCCGCATCCGAGTCTCCGTCCTCGTATACCTTCCGGCCTCGTTGGCCCGAGACAAGCTCGCGCAGATCCTCAAACTTGGCGCCTCCTGGTCGACGCTCAAGCCTAACCACCTCCATCGATACAGCATTCTTGAACACTCGTGCAGTATTTCGCAGGGATCTGCAGCTTCAGTACATGTGAGACTTGCGGGCTCACCGGAAGATGTGGACAGTGTCCTGTTCGGTTGACGCCACGATCTTCTCCTTGATATTCTGGTGTATGGGCGATTCCACGGTGCACATGAACCGAGTTCCCATGTTGATGCCCTACTGATCAGCACTCCCCTTGCGGTGGACTCACGGCTGCGCCTAGTGTCAGAGCCGAGGCCAATCCTCGACCGTCTGCGATCCCTCCGGACGCAATGTACGGTATCTTGAGCTCTTTGGCCGCTCGGGCAAGCTGAGTTGTGAGCTGGCTTCATGTCATCACATCCTCCAAACTCACGAGCACCAGACCGCCGATATCCTCCTCGCCCGGGTGTCCTGCACATTCAAACCCGTCTATACTCAGGCAGTCCACACCCATCTTCTGGCCTGATAACGCATGACGAATGGTCACACATTTATGTATGATGTAGCGCTTTGGCAGAGCGTCCGCGTTGGGCGAGATGTAAGACTGGATGAGTTTGATGATGGGACCCGCTGAAGCGTTAGTTTAAACCCAACCCTTCGGGAAAAGCTGGACGTACGGTTATTACCGGCAGTCTCAAAGATCTCCACCCCTTCATCCATAGCCGCCTTGACGTAGCCAGCACTACGCAGTCAGCAATGGACCGGCCATGCGGGATCAAACTCACTAGTCCGGCGGGCTGATGGACGGCAGAAGAGTAATGTTGACCCCCTGCCCGTGAGACGCGCACAAGATGAGCGCGACAGTCTCCTCAGATCGTTGGATCTTGAGATTTCTTTGAATGAGCACTCACAAACTTCCCCCTGCTGTTCCCCATGCGCCGCTTGGTCTCCTTGATGGCCTCTCGGAGCGCGTCGGGACTTGGTTGCGTCAGAGCGGTGAGCATGCCCAGCGCTCCGGCAGATGCGACTGCTGCAGCCAAGGGCGGTGTCCCTACCCACTGCATACCTGAGAGTCAGTCAAGCTCTCCTCTGTCATGAAGACTTCTGCCGTACCTCCTTGGACGATAGGGTGCTGTGCTGGTCAGCTACCACCTGGCAGAGCAGGATCTTGCGGAAACATACGGTGATGCCCAACATCCTTGTAAGTTCTGTTGTGATCGGCATGTTGATTAACGTCGGCTGGTCAGTGATATAAGGCTGTGGTGAGCTGCTTTATAATGGTCGGAGTGAGATGGAGAGATGGACAACACCTTGAACACCTCGCTGACCCCCTTGGCGCTTTCCGGGTACATTCCACCCGGCACCACGTGGAGCTCGATGAAACAGCCCCAAACAAGCTTCACGTAAGGGTAGCCACGTGGCAGCCCGAACGGCCTCAGCCATGGCCAGCAGCGGCTGAGCGCTCGGTGTCATCCATCGCTCTACACTCTAATCTTGACCAAGTATCCAGCTACTACACCCAGTCATGCCACCCAAGAAAGGCGCGAAGAAGAGCGCAAAGAAGGCAGTCACGGTCGAGGAAGCGTCACCATCGCCACCCCCCCTCCCTTCAGAGCCTGCCCCTGCAGTAGTAGAAGAAGGGGATGCGGATGCGCCGGTAGATGTTCCCATCGCCAGCCTCGGTGGCGACGATGAGGATGATGTCGCGGCGGAGAACGACGAGGAGGATGAGTGGGACCCGTCAGAAGAGAGGCGTCCGGGGGAGCCCGCAACCAAGAAGCAGAAGGGGAAGGGAAAGGCGGTTGAGGCAGAGATAGAGGAACCGCACCCATGGCAGGCCGTCTGGTCCGCTGAAAAGAACGGTCAGTGCTGTCTCCGCACTACGAGCTTCGCTGACAGAATCAGCGTGGTATTTCTGGAACACCAAGTCTGGCGAAGTGACCTGGACGAATCCCCTCCCTGCTCCCGCCGCCACCGAGTCCGCTCCGCCCTTACCCGCTGGCCCCGCACCCTCATCCTCAGCCCAGCCGCAGGCGCCCCTCCCCGCTCAGCGAAGATTCGGTGTCGTCCCAGAGATCGATCCAGCGCTAGCTTTCTTGCTCCCGCCCGAGGCAAGGGGAGGCGTATCCGACCCCACCGCCCAATCAGCCATGTTCAATGCCCGGACCGGGAGATTCACGGCCAACGACTACATGTACAATGTTGAGCACCTGGACGAGTACAACCGGATGAAGCGAATGAACAATCAGTACTTTGATCAGGATGCGTGGGAGAGGGATATGGCGGAGCATAATGCCAAGAAGAAGCGGGATGCGGAGGCGGGGGTGGCTCCGAAGCCGCTGAGCAAGAAGGATATGGTGAGTTTCGCGTGGTTTCCTGGCTGATATATAGGAGCGATTCCGGAAGATGAAGCAGGAGAAGAGGCTAAGGGGCCAAGCGTGGCTGAGGGATTAGCACCTAATTCAGGCTAGAGCATGTATATGGTTACATCCAAAAGCTGAGACCCATAACTAGGACACGTCGGAAAATTGTCCTCATCTATGATAAACTAAATCGAAAAATGTCTAGAGATACGAAGAAGATACAAATGAAGCTAGAGTGCCTGCACGAAATAGTTGAAGTTCCAGTCTCGGAAAGTGCTATCGTCAGCTTTGATCCAACCCAAACTCACCTGCTGAATTTGAAGACACCATCACTCGAGAAACGCTTGACGACTTGTCCGTTCCGGGAGATCTGACCGCCGATGACGCCCTCCTTGCTCGCGAGGCTGAGCTTGTGCAGACCGGCAGGGAGGTTGAGGTAGTTGATGTTGCTGTTGCCAGATACCATCGCCACGTCCGCCGGGGCCGAGAGGATGACCAGACCGTAGAGGTTGTCGTCTGTCCAGTCGGCGTCGCGAGGACGGCCGAGGGTGGGGTTGGTGGGCGAGCCGTTCTTGGGGTGGGGGCGGGACCAGATGATCATCTGGTCGGTGGGGGTGGGGTAGGCGCCGTTCTTCCACGCTGGGGCATAGTAGGCAATGAGGGTGAGCCACGCGGTGTGGGGCATGCCGTTGACCCAGCCTTGGGATCCGGGTTGTTCGCTTCGGATAGGACCGATGTAGTGGCTCTCTCCGTAATCTATCGTCAGCGATGAAATAGTCAGCACTCACCATTCCACGTAGTGATCTCTGCCATGTCAAACTGGGCCCTCATCCCTATCAGAGTCTCAAACCTCGTCGCCAAGAGCCAATTGTCGCTACGGTAAATCCAGTTCTTGTTGTAGGCGTACTGCCCAGAGGTACCGTAGTACGTAAAGAAGGCGGGAGAGATGTTGGCCATGTAGCCCTTGCTTTTGGACTTGAGCGTGGCGACGCTGGCCTGATCCCGAGACCCGTCGAGATTGGCAGAGGAAAGCGGCCATGCCGAGTCCCAGTCAAAGTGACCGTCGTACCAGCTGTTGCCGGTACTGTAGACGTCCACAAAGAGCGAGGGCATGAGGTAGATGGGGATGTTTTGCTTGGTAAGGAGCGATCGGAAGTAGTTCCAGCCGTCCAGGGCGGAACCGGTCCCGAACCGACACTGGTCGCCGGCAAAGGTGGTGACGAGGACTTTGTTCTGGTAGTAGGCCTGGTAGGGGTTGGACGCGTAGCGAGCGACAAGGCTTGCGAGATATTGGGCATCGCCCTGAGACGAGCAGTACATGGCAGTCATGTCGAACGAGCTGATGTCAGCTTGGTCGACGGTGGACTTACAAGAAGAGCTTGAATGTTGCTTTGAGACTAGCCGCTGCTTGGTAGGCGGAGGCGATCTGGTCGACCTGGTAGGAGGCTTGGCCCATGTTGAGCGCAAAGCCGTCGATACCAGCTGCAGCGGCGAGTTTGATGTCTTCCTGCCAAATTGCTGGGGTGTGTTGGAGGGTCTACCATCAGCCACGTCACACAGACACTCACGTTGCCGACCATATAATGGGACCAGAGCCACTTGCGACTCGCCGAGGCTGGCTGCGCTGCGCCAGAGATGATCTCGGACGAGCCAGTGTAGACGCTGAGCCGGCTGGCACCACCGCAAGCGTAGCCGCTGTCTCCCGTGCATCGAGTGGAGCAGTCCGAGTCGGCTTGTTTGCGTGCGTAGGTGACCGAATTGCTGCAGTAGCACTAACGTCAGCTAGGCCAGGGTTTAAACTCACGTCTCCACCAGCTTGCGCCCCGGCAAAATTGTAGCCCTTCCCCGAGCAGTACTGAACGCAGTTGTAGGGGTTCAAGGTGGTCGTTTGAACCCGCGCGGTGAAGCCCATAGTTGCAGCATCGGCAAAGCAGCCTAATCCTTTCAGACCCGCTGGGAGGGGTTTGATGGTAGCGGTCGGTGCTGGGGCGGATGTTGAGGTCCCGGCGACACATTGTGTGGTGGTTTGAGAGTTGCATGTGGCGGTGATGCGGTAGATGTTCAGACGGTAAGGTGCTCCGCAGAATGAGCCAGAGGCGCCAGCGCACCGAGTCGAGCACTGCGAGTTGTCGACCTTCCGAGTAGGCACCGGGGCGTCTTTTCCGCAGTAGCACTGTCGTCAGCGTCGCCCCAGCAGTGGCTCACCTCGTTCCCGTTCTCCATCCCAAAGTAAGCAAATCCCTGCTTTCCGCAAAAGTCGAGACAATTTGCAGGTGTCAAATCGCCCCGCTGGACTGAAGTCCCCTTGAGAGTGCGCGACGACCCGTCGTCCGTGTAGCAGCCGAGATCCGAGGCACCGGCGGGTGGGGTCCCGGTAGGCGTGGCTGCTGAGGTGGTGGTCGTGCCGGTGGAGATGCATTGCGAGGTGATCTGGCCGGTGCAGAAGGGGAGCTGGTAGATATCGAGCCGGTATGGCGCTCCACAGAACGAGCCCGAGGCGCCGGCGCATCGAGTCGAGCAGTCACTGTCGCTGACTTTTCTGCTGGAGATGGGAGCGGTCTTGCTGCAGAAGCACTGAGATCAGCTCAGATGCTTGAACTACTCACCTCGTTGCCGTTCTCCATGCCCGCGTACGCGTAACCAAGCTTGCCGCAGTAGTTGAAGCAGTCACTCGGTGTCAAGTCGTACTTGTAGATGGTCGAGTCCTTCAGAGTCCGGGTTCCGCTGTCGTCGCTGTAGCAGCCGAGACGCGTCAGAGCCGAGACGGTTGGGGCAGAGGTGGGCGCAGAAGATGTGGTGGAGGTTGGCGGCTTGTAGCCGGCGGGATAGGCGCAGTTCGTCGTGATCTTCTGGTCGCAAGTGGGCAAGGTGTAGACATTGAGCCGGTAAGATCCGCCGCAGAATGAGCCCTGCTCCCCGCCGCACCTGGAGGAACACTCGCTGCTGGCCAACTGTAGCGAAGTGGCAGGTGTCGCACTGCCGCAAAAGCACTACCGTCAGCGATGTAACGGCTGAGCTTACCTCTCCACCATTTTCCAGTCCGACCACCGAATAGCCCAGTTTCCCGCAGTAGTCAAAACAGTTGCCAGGAGTAAGGTCGTACTTGTAGAATGAAGGACCGTTGATCGTGCGAGCCGAGCCATTGTCGGCAAAGCATCCCAGCGATGTGGGCGTATCGGCGGTGGCAACACTTTGGTAGATGCTGAGATACCACCCGCCGCCGCAGATTTTGCTGTTGTCGGCCGCGCAGGGTGAGGCGCAATTGCTGTCGCTGCCTTTTTGGGCGATGCTCGAAAGAGAGTTGCCACACTGAGCTGATCAGCGGTGCCATCTTTCGCCACCCAGCTACTCACGTAGCAGTCATAACCATCTGCGCGTCAGCAATCGCGTCTGCGCCATAAAACGCGCTCGACTCACTCTCTGTCCCAGAATACACGTAGCCTTTTCCCTGGCAAGCCGCCTGACACGTCTCTGGCGTCACGCCGCCGATACCAGCATTAAAGGACAGAGTCCGCTGGTTGCCATTATCGGTGTAGCACCCCGCGTAGTTGTATCGAACCCCTCTTGACGAGAGATGCCCGCCATGACCATGCGCGGCGATGGCGAGCCCGGCTCGCCTAGAGCGACTTCTTGATGCCTGAGCGGGCGTGGTCGACGTGTCGACATTGAGTAAAGACCGGCATTCGCCTCCAATCGCTAGGACAAGGAGGGGGATTATAAGGCTTGTAGACCACATCGCTGGAGAAGGAGGAGGGGATGAAGACCAGCTAAACAATCCCGACTCTGTTTACGAGTACAAGTTATATTCGTACATTAGGAGCAGTCAAAGTTCAGCGCATCAGCTCTCTTGAGCCCTTCACGGTGCCTCTCGGGGGCTGGAACGACGGAGCATCGAAGGAACGCTGGCAAAAGAGTCTATACCCCATCCGATGGCGATCGCTAGTTCGGATCAAAACAAGCTTCTTAATTCCGAGACGCGCTCCTCTCGCTGCCGTACAATGAGGTAAACCGAGGAGGCGCTTTTAACATCCGGCAGCTTCGGCGGCAATCACTGCACGTGTAGATTGCGCGTTAGCAGGTGAGCGAGGGTCCTCTTATCAGTACGTTTCGAGGGGTTTCAGCATGTGGTGGAAGAGAGGAGATGATGGTTGGCCGTGCAATTGAGACGTGTTTCAGCTTGAATTTGCGAAACCAGCCTGGACTGCTTCAGATTGGCAAGTCCGTGTGCGACGTGTGCGCGACACTGGTTTGGACGCGAGAAGCTGTGTCCATAGCGATCTGTGCTGCTGTTCCTGCTTCTGAAAGTACTTTGGCCAACTTCTCCTGCTTCTCCTCGCAGTCTTAGGTCGTAGCGCCAGGGCTCGAGCGCCGAATCTGACTGGACGACCCCACGGCTGGCCGTTTGCGACTGGCTCGACATTTCACCACAACGTCGCTGTCCATTTCCCGCATTTCTTGGTCCCACTTGCGTCTTTGTCGATCTTGTCCTTCTTCAGAGCCCACAGCTCCGGGTGGCGTCAGTATCCAGTCCTCGTAAGTGCAATAACAGTGGAGCATGGTCCCAATTGACAGGCCAAGGACGGGAGCTTTACTACGGATCCGACCCCTTCACCTCGCTCGTCCAACCTTGAACCTTGTTCCGGTCCAGTCACCTTCAAAATTTCGCCCATCATGGCTGTCGCAATGCAGTCCAACACTGCTCATACCGACGAGCTTAGTCGAATTCTGAACGGCATGACCATCAGGGCACCCCGCATTTCACCTCCATCCGTCGTCTCCCCTCCAGCCTCGGCAGACCAAGGCAACGATGTTCTCAAGTGGCAATTTTGGCCGAGAGCGGTCGGCATGGGGAGTCTGGTCGGCAGGCGATTCGTACAAGTGAGTCTCCAAATGGCTACGCTGATTAGATGCTCGGCACGCAATGCGAGTACGGACGAGACACATCGCGAGACGAAGACTACCTCACGCCTCAGCAGCAGCGCAACGCCGCCGACAAGGGCTGGGGGAAGTCTTACCTCGCATTTGACTTTCGCAGAGAGTACCTCGTCATCAAGAGCAAGCTCTCACTCCCCGACCGCTTACTCCCGGCCGCTCTCCGACCCATCGATGCGGAGCTCAGCTTTGACGATATTGCCTCGCAAGGCATCAGCATCGACGAGACAGGTAACCGCCATTCGGATAGCAGGAGTCCCGACGGCTACCTGCAAGAAGTCATCGTGACGGTAGGCATCCGTCGGCCTCCCAAGTTCTACACCGAATTTGAAGAGAGCGACAAATTGCCGAGCATGAACGGGAAGCGGCAGTCCAACAAGCCTTACAGAAGGAGAGCTACCGCAATGGACTTTGCGACCGGCGTGACTGTGAGTTAGAGCTCGACCTAGCTGATGGCAGACTGAGCGGGACGCAGGACCCATCAAGGCGATTCCAGAGGGACCATGCGCATACGTGAGTTTTCGATATGCGTCGCTGACCCGCAGCCCACCTTTTGGAACACCTGGCGCTGGGTCTTTCACCTCACAACGGCCGACATCGGAAGGCTCAAGTCCTGTCAGCACAAGCTTCGCATGATCGCCGAGGAAGACCCACAGGTCAAGCTTCTGGCCAAAGGCGCACCTCGGTGGGATATTCGCAAACTCGATGCCGAAGCGTACCATCACATGTACGGTATGCCTGATCTCACTGGCGTCCCTTTCGCCATCCGAACCCTCATCGAAGGGCTGGTCGCCCATGGCATCCTCCGACCAGGTGATACGGCCGTCCTATGGGAGGAACTGAAGCGGAACGCCGTTGCCGACACCTTCAAGTGCAGAATCTTGGAGAGTCTCTACAACGAGGAAAGAATCAGAGACGTCAAGAAGATCGTCCCAGGTGAGTTTGGTGCCGAGCAAGCTGACATCAGCCAAGGCGCGCTTCCTCCGTCGAACTCCGCCCGAAGGTCTAGACCACCTCGTCTCCATCCGTACCGTCCTCATCACGCCCACCCGAGTGGTCATGGGTCCGCCCCAGCAGGAACCCTCCAACAGTGTCACTCGACGCTACCAGGACAAGCTCGACGGTATCCTCCGCGTGCAGTTCACGGATGAAGAGGATAGGCTCTTTGTAAGTGATCTCCATTTTGTGCTGACTCCAGGTCCAAGACTACACCAAGCAATGTGATCTCGCTCGACCTGACGTAGGAGTGATGGCTCGAGTACGACGAGCGCTCCAGCACGGCATCTTGATCGGAGGAGAGTTGTTCCTACCTGTCGCCTCATCTGCCTCCCAGCAAAAGTAGGTTACGATGTGGCTCTGACTGACGCCAGGGATCACGCTATCTGGTTCATCAACAACCGAATCATTGACGGTGTCGCGCTGCGAGAATGGATGGGCAGTGTGGAAGAGACGATTGTCGCCAAGCACTCGGCCAGGATGGGTCTTGTGAGTTGAAGTCGAAGCATCGTGAAGTCGAAGCATCGTGCTAATGATAGCCGTTCAGCTCTACCCGAATTGTCGACCTTGACATCGAGATCGGCACACCTCTTCCAGATATCGAGCGCAATGGGCACTGCTTCACTGATGGCTGCTCCGTGGCCGGCGAGGAGGTCATGAAGAGAGCAGCCAAGGCGCTCAATGCCCGTGGTCTCAACACCAACCCTTCTGCTATTCAGTTCCGACTAGGGTATGTCAACTGCTTGGGCCTCGCAGGTTACTTGCTGATCATGCAGAGGAGCTAAGGGCGTGCTGTCGGTCTGGCCAGATATGGCAAAGCCAAACGAGGTCCGGCTCCGAAAATCTTTGATCAAGTTCGAGTCGAGTCTGGTCGATCTGAATGTGGTCCGCGTAAGTTTATTCTGCGTCTCCGCTGATGGCAGCTCGCCAAGTATCAAGTCGCCTTCTTGAATCGTCAATTCATCATGATCATGTGTGCGAACGGTATCCCCGAGCAGCTCATGATCGATACATTCCAAGAATCTATCGAGGAAATTCACGGTCTCAAGACACGCGTCATGGCTCAGGAAATGACTAAGGCAGATATCGCTCTGATTAATACCTGTTCTGACGTGAGTGATCATCCGGCGGCCGAGCTGATGTACAGTTCCCCTTGAACGCCCTGATCAAAGCTGGATTCCACCAGAACCCGTTCATCCGGGACCTCTGCGACATTATCGAATGTCGAGCCCTTCAGGATTTGAAATGGCGAGCGAGGGTCAAGTTGGACGCTGGAGTGTTCTTGATCGGTACGTGAACTTCCCTTCGGCTAGCTGAAAGCGCAGGTATTGCCGACGAGAGTGGAACCCTGCAGGAAGGGGAAATCTTCTGTCAATACCAAGAGAACGACGAGACTCCAGCAGTCACGGTCGAAGGACCTGTGATCGTCTGCCGAGCGCCAGCATGTGAGTTTCTTGGCTCAATCTTTGCACGCAGCTGACCGCCAGTACATCCTGGAGATGTCCGCAAAGCGGTGGCGGTGGATAGACCTGAACTTCGTCACCTCAAGAACGTCATCGTCTTTAGTACCCAGGGCGCACGGGATCTTCCAAACATGTAGGTTGCTAATCAGTCGTGCTAGTAACAGGCTGATCAGACAGGCTTGGCGGCGGAGATCTGGATGGTGACGGTCGGTCTAGTCCCCGTTACCCGCTATGATAGCTGATTGTCAGACTTTACGGTTATTTGGGACCAGCGATTTGTTCAGACTCTGACAGAATACGAGCCGATGGACTACACCGCACCTCCCCCCGTCCGGATCAACCGGGTCTCCCAGGGACACTTGAACGAGGTGAGGACCACCTGTGATCGTTGAGGTCTCAGCTGATAAGTTAGAACTTTGTGCAGTACATATTGGTGAGTTGCACTGCGAGAGGGCTTCGCTGATTGCTCAGAACGATATCCTCGGACAAGTGGACAACACTCATTTGGCGTTGTCGGATATCTATTCCCCGTTCCATGAACGGTGTCTCCAGCTTTCTCAGATTCACAGTGTAGGTGACTCTCTCGTCCAAATGGATTCATGCTGATTTGCAGACCGCGTAAGATCGCTTGAACGTTCCCTAAGTACACAGCTGACCCCAACGCAGCGTAGATTTCGCCAAGAGTAGGTCAATAACAGAGCTATTCGATCCTCGCTAATTCTACGTAGCTGGTCAAGCGGCGATCTTGCCACCCTTCTTGAAGCCCAAAGTGTGGCCAGACTTCATGGACAAGGTATGTGGACGATTCGACCTGGTAATCCCTTCGCTGACATTCTAGGACGGTATGAAGCTCACATACGAGAGTCAAAAGATCCTTGGCAAGCTGTTCCGGATGGTGAGTGCGCTGTCCTGCTGATGGGCATAGCTGACCTTACAGGTCACGCCCGATCCTCATTTCAAACCCTGCGACGTCAAAGAGCTTGGCTACCCCGTTGATCCCCGTATCTCCGAGCTGCCAATCTATGACACCCTCCTCGAGCGCCTCAAGCCAATCAAGAAGGCATACGAGCACAGCTTGAGCTGGGACATGCGCCGATACAGAGTCCTCGAGCCGGAGATTCCGTCAGGAGTGGCTATCAAGAACAAGCGGAGGAAGCGCGCGAGGGACCAGAACCTGAACGTGAGTTCAGCTGTCGAGCATAGCTGACGTCCAGGAACCCCTTCGCGACGCCTACAACATCCACGTCAAGCACACTCGAGACGAAGCGATGAAGGCTGTCCAAGACATCACCTTCCGCACTCGTCTCACCCCGGAGCAGGTCGTCGCTCGCCATTGCTACGCCCTGACGTACGAGAAGAAGTACGTGGAAGCATGGGAGGAGGAACAGAGGAGGGGGTTCCTTGAGGAGGAAGGAGGGGACGTCGAGTACATGAGGCCTAGGTGAGTGTCGTGCCGCTATTGCGTGTAATGCAGCTGACTTTCAGGCCAATGGTCAGCTTTGCGTGGGTGTTCTGGCAGGAGCTCGTCCAGATCGTCCAAATCGATCTGTTATGAGGGGCGCAGCACCTCTTCTTGGGCTCATCTTATTTCTGTACATAAATTGGCTTGTATATATCAACCTGTGTATAATACCATATCCCGCATCATGTAAATACATCACCAAATATGCGCATGATACCTCCTAGCTAAAAGGGAAAGTCCATACTCCGTCTGAATCATCGACATTGATGCCCGACCCCTCCTGCGGGTTCTGCCAGTCCCCCATCCAGGTGTTGAAGTCGAGCGACGCCTGAGTGGCTCCTGTCTGACTTTGCACAGTCTCCCCTGCCCCTGCTTGTGGCACACCGGATCCCTGCTCGTTGTTTGCGAGAGGGTACATGCCCCAATCAGACGTCCAGAGGTGATCTTCCGCGATGGGAGGCATGGAGCTGCCGAGCGTCTCGTCCATGTTGACGCCGAGGGATGAGAGGAGCCTGAAAATTAGCTATACAATGGGGAAGTATTTGAGATACTGACGAATAGAAGTCATCCCTGACACTTCCTCCTGGCGCCGCTGCTAGCTGCTCTAGCTGAGGATACGGCTGCTGGAAGGACGAGCCCGAGCCTACACCTGTATCGAGTCCCAGTCCCATCCCGGGGTCCTGGTACGCGGGACCTGAGTGCTGCTGAGATGCGCTCGGCTGGGGCACACTGTACGCATTGAGCGTGGGCATCCGCTCCGATGACTGACCCAGCGTGGGTTGGGCGCCCATGTCGTAGCTTTGCAGGTAGGACGGTGCGTGGTTTTGACTGTGGTTCTGGGCGCGAAGGAAGGCTCCAGGATCGCTTGGCCGCGGTCCGTAGTGTACGCCAGCATGACTAGGCTGAGCCGGCTGGAGCGGGATATGCAGCGCCGGCTGCGGTGCCGCCGAGCCGCTAGTCAAGCTCTCGAGCCACTTGAGCGGGTCCGAAAAGTCGTGTGCCCCGGCCGACGTGGTAGTACTCGTCGACCTGTGCGGTTGCTGCTGCCGCTCCCTCGACTGAACGCCAAACTTCGCTTCCCAGCCCGAGACCAACTCGACAAAGACATCCTCGTACCCCTTCATCGCCGGGAGATGGCGTACGTACACTCCGAGCGAGTCCTTGCACCTCTGCAGAGCGTGATGAGCGCGACGCAGCTCTACCCGGGACGATGTGGTGGGCGAGCTTGCCAGATGGAGGAGTGTCAAGCCCGAGAGGAAGAGCCGGTACAGCGCCCAATTGCTAAGACGGTAGGTAGATGGGGCGTTGAGAAGTGACCATTGCCCTTCGCACAGCGAAGCCGCCGAGTCGAAGCACTTTGGCAGGTATTGGTCGGTCCCGAGCCGGCTGGAAATGACTGGGCGGAGAAGCATTTGGACGCAGTTGTGATACTCCATATCCTGCTGAGCGCGGGAGAGGAGGGGAACGCCAGATCGACCGGGCGGGAGAGTGGGACTGGCCGACTGCCAGGCGGCTAGGCGGGCTAGGAGGTTGTCCACCTCCGGTATAGCTTGATTCGAGGGGGATAGGTCTGTGCGGGTCTCGAGGGGATGGTCCAGGCGGTAGATGGCGTCCCTGCTGATTAGCAATCGTCGCTGATCTGCTTGACGAAGACATACTGGATCAGCTGCTTGAGGCGATTCAGACGGGCGTTGTGGATTGACGAGGTCATCTGGAAATCAGCTATAACCTGCAAACACCTCTGGCGCGCAGCTTACCGAAGTGACCGTGTCGTAGCCTGGCGCATATTCGTCACCTTGTGCCTTGCCCCGCGTCGCCTCGATCTGCCTCGTCTGCATCTCAAAGATGACCTGAGGATCGGTAAAGTCGACGTCAATATTGAGCGGCATCTCCACGTCGATATCTCGGTCTTGAATACCCGAGGGCCGACCAAGCTGAAGTGCCAACATCCTGCGAGTCAGCTAGAGCTCGAACAGATGTAGTTGGCATACCGGTCAATGGTGTACAATGTCCAAAAAGTCCTCTTCTTGATCTCATATCCGACCGGGTTGCGCTCACGTTCCGACTTAGACCTCGCCTTGCGATGGAGCCCGACTTGTACCGCCGTACGTAGGGCAAGACCAGCGGTTTGCCATACACTAATCTCGGGTTGTGGGTGTCGGAAGGAGTAGATGGTCAGGAGAAGCTCCGCCTGAACCGTTGCGATGGACGTATGATTTGCAACGTTCGATAAGCAAGCCACAGCGATGTTGTGATAGACCTGCTAGTCAGCTCCAGGCACACAAGCTGAATCTCACCTCATGCGATACCGCCCCCTCCAAATGTTCGTCCTCCGTCAATCTCGCCCCATACCCATACAGCAGCCACAGTGTGAACGCTGCCATGGACCGCCTAAAGTCTTTGCCCCTTCCAGCTCCCCAAAGAGGGCGATTGACGATTTCCTCTCGATGGTCGTGCCAGTTCCGGACGGTCGGCCAATCCAGAAAAGAGTACCGCGCCTGTATATGCTGGTAAGCCGCTTCGAGATACCGAGCGGCTAATGGGGGAGGCGGCAGAGGCGGAATAGGATGATGTTGGGAGTATAGCAGGGCGGACTCTATGCTGGATGATTCGGGTGGGGCGAGATAGTTGAAGCGTGATAGTGAAGATCCACCTTCTTCGCTAGCTCTCGGACCTCGAAGAGCTCTGTAGAAGTTAGCCGACTCCTAATTGCAGAAGCAGTGACTGACGTTGCGCACACTCTCGCCCAGTTCACCCCCGAGCTGGCTCCCACGTATACTGGTTCTCCACTCCCGCTGAGCGTGAGCATTCCCAGCCCATACGCCAGATCATCATTGCCGTTCCCTTCCTCCTCCGTCTCCTGCTTCACCACCGATGCCGGCGACCTCTGCTCGGCCTGGGTATGCGCCTCCACGCCAGCACCTCCGCCTTGAGTCCCGCTCGGACCAGCCACATGATCTCGCCATGCCTCAGGAGGATGTTGTTGCGTCAACGACTCGATAGCTGCTGCCTGCGTCCGCGAATGATCGACCACATGAATCGAGTCCGGTCGGTACTTGGCGAGTTCAAGCTCAAGGGTTGCGACCCTATTCTCGAGCTGAGATACGTATCTGACGACATCAGATCTCTATCACTGCACACGGGATGGGCACTCACTCGAGGAGGAACAGCTCATTCGGCGTCCTATCGAGGTACACGCAGACCGCTCCGGCCCCATAGCAGTTCTCGCAGGTCGGCACATTGCTCGTACCCGGGGGTGCAGGAACGCATTTCGCTTTGCGCTCTTTACACCTGACACAGGCTATTGCACCCCGCTTGGACTGGGCGGGCCGTTTCCGGGCAGTCGTCGCCTTGGGCGTGGGATCCGGCGGCATTACTAGATTGGGCGACAGGGTGTGCTAGACAGAAGCAAGAGCTGGAGCTCTGGCAGATGCAGGCCAAATTGCTGGTTTCGGATATCTCCGCGCGTTACAGACGACCAAAGAGACAGCGCCGAAGGCCTCGGCGACAGCGAGCTCCTTACATAGCCTTTCGACCTATCACCCACCTATAACTGAGGCTAGTACATCGCCGTAGAAGAGTCCCTACAGTGAATCGGGCAGTCCTCTGCGAGAAATGACGACTCTCAGGCCATTCTCGCCAGCCGACACACTCTGCTTCAACGGCGTCAACTCGGATTTCTGGACAGCGACGGTGAGTCGGGATACACGTACACTTACCCGTACTGACTCCTGATTCAGTATCACAATGGCTACTACTCGATGTATGCCGCAACATGGCCCTCTTTCTGCGTGACAGCCGAGAATACGAGCGGCCAGATCACCGCGTATAGTGAGCCGGTCTCCTTTGCTTCAAACAAACTGTTGAACTGATCCACAGTGCTCGGAAAGGACGAGCCGCCGCCTCCAGATCCGAATCATCACGGCCATCTCACGGCGCTTTCTATATCGCCAGGATGCCGGGGCGTTGGTCTCGCTCGGGTCTTCATGAACATCCTCGAAGCGCTCTCCGGCTCGAGAACCGCTCCAGCGAAGAGTGTCAGCGGTGGAGAAAGTCAGGACGCTACCGGAGGGCATGTCAGTCGAGAGAAGGCTACTGTGCCAAACAGGGATGCGGTGGATGCGTGGTTTGTGGACCTGTTTGTGCGGTGTAATAATGAGCGAGCGGTAGAGATGTATGAGCGGATGGGATATAGCGTGTTTAGGCGGGTAGTGGAGTAAGTCACCTATCTGGAAAGATCCCCGAAATGAACTTCTTGGCTGACCCACTAGTTATTACACTGGCATGGGAGAGTCAAGAGACGAAAAGGATGGATTCGGTATGTTGTGACCAGGACTTTGTCCGGGGGGTATGCTGACCTACAGATATGCGGAAGTCGATGCCGAGGGACACGGTGAGCGGGACTCACCCTCCGAGCTAGATCCACACTGACCACCAGGCAAAACGATACGTGAGACCAAACGGTCGGGATCTCCTGGTCGAGCCAGACCAGGTCTGGGCATGAACGCAGCCCGCCATGACCACCCTGTAGCTCGTCAAAGCAGCTATTCATGGTAACATAATGCACAACGGCGTCTAGCCTAATTTTCACAGTACCAGCAGATGAAGAGCGAACATCGAGATGTGCTGAACCCCACTCCCCCGTCCGGTGCTAACGATCCTCCTTGATATCCACCCCGGTCTTGAGCGGCAGCATCTTGGAGCTATTGCCAGCACGGAATACGAATGGCCCATGAGGGACGCGCCATACCTGCTTGACGACGTCCCAGATCGCCATGTCCTTCTTTCGCTGTTCTGTCAGCTCCGCGCAGACAGTCGTCCCCTGCCTCTTTCACTTACAATGGGTATCTCGACCGTCTGAGTCTCGCCTGGCTTTAGGTGTACTTTAGCGTATCCCCGCAGGTGCTTAGGAGGCTGATCGACTTGATCAGGCGGGAAGCTCATGTACTGCGTCTATCAGCTAAAGATTGCGCTAGTGGGCGAAGTAATGACCAGCTGAGCCACCTCGGCGCCTGCGACCTTGCCGGTATTGGAAACATTGACCTGCGCGATGTACTGATCGATCAGCGGAGCGCCATCAATTGGAACTGTTCTCACACATACCAAAACATCATACAACCCTGCTGAGCCAAGATACTTCTCCCTCGTTGGCTGGATGCTGTCTTGATCTTTGCGATGGACTGAAGTCAAGTTCAAGCCGCTCATCTCGAAGGTCGTGTAGCTGAATATCAGCTCGAGCCAAATCGCAAATATATCCTCCCGCCGACATACCTCAGACCGAATCCAAACTCGTACCGCGGCTTGATATCCCACTTGTCAAACCACTTGTAGTCGATCGCCAAACCCTCGCTGAAGACCGACTGTGGATGTACCTCTTTTTGGCTGAACATACTGCGAGACTGCGAACTTTAGCGCATCTCAGAAGCACGAACATACAGTTTCCCTGATGATATTTCCACTCGGCCAGTCGGAAACCATCCGGCCCATTGTGAAGGGCAACTGATGAATCAGCACAAAAACTCACACGCACGCCCCAACGTGGATATTCACCTTGCCGGACGGGTTGACATCACCCCAGAGCACGTCCACAATGGCGTTACCGCTCTCCTGTCCTGGATAACCCGCAAATACCACAGCTCCGATATTAGGTAGATCGATCTGCTATCAGCTCAATTCCACTCTCTGTGCTCTGCGTCACTCACCCAATCTTCCACGACGACTTGTCCTCCGATGTGCATCACCACTACCACCCGCCCCGCGCACCGCTTCTCCACCGCCTTGATCAACTCCTCGCCGCCCTTGTCCAGACGCAGTCCAGGATGCTCATCTCGATCCCAGTTCTCGACGAGGAAGAGCGAGACAAAGACCAGACAGACGTCCGATTGCGAAGCGACGTAGCCCATGGCGTTGAAGTGCGCCGGATCGTCCTGGAGGACAGTGTCGACCCGGATGCCCTCAGAGCGAGCGCGAAGGGAGATTGCTTCCATCGGCGATGACTAAAATCAGCGGTATCCTCGACGAAGAGGCGAGGATAACTCACCACGTAGTCCGCGTATGCTGCGCCTGACCCTCCACCAATAGTCACCGTCCCGTTCCAGTACCTCCTGTTACTCGCCACCATACAGAATAGATCAGGTCCACAACCTGAAAGCGTGTCAGGGTAATCTGCGTCGGTACCGAAAACACCGATCCGGCGAATTTTGCGCAGAGGAAGTACTCCGGTATTCTTCAGCAGTCTAACAGGTTCAGCCGAGTTGATCGCGAGGGCAGAGGTAGACTTACACTGTCGACTCGGCTGCGACCTTTCTTGCAAATTTGGGATTCGACCCCCGGTTGTCCACATGCTCGTTTCGGTAGGTGCGGCCATTAATGGTGGCGAAGTCGGTCAGGTCAAATTTATGCCAGTTGACCTTTGGATGGCCTTCGTTTTGCTTCTGCGCAAACCACGGGGTCAGAATACTGCTTGTTAGCCCATACTTTGCTGATTCGAGCCTACCGATGGGCCATGTCATCCAGTCGCGAGTGCGGTATCTTGCCTTCGAGCACAGCTTGGAGTAGCCGCTCTCCATCTGGCGGTCAGTCCCAGATTGTCAGGCGGCACAAATTAGCTCACAGTATTCCACCGAAGGCAGCTCCATGTCCATTCCGGACAAGGCTGAGGGTACGGTTGAATGTGTCGCTCCGTAGTCGCTCTGAGTATATCAGCCGTCGCCTCGAAGTCAAAGCCTGAGCACTGACGAGGACACTGAACTGTCAGCTCGTCGCCTTATCACCCTTAAGGCAGCGAACTTACAAGCCCTGAAAGCCCAGTTCATCCTTCAATATCCTGTTCATGGTCTGATCATTCTCGCATGAGTATGTTCCGTTGACCAGGTTGTAGGAGCTGTACGCTTCAGCTTCTCTTTCTTGTTTTGTTGGCACTCACTCACCACATCACAGCTCCTGTACCCGCTCGGATAGATTCGGCGAAGCTCGGCAGGTACAGCTCCTTTAGCGTTTTATCTGCTGCGTCAGCTGCATCTTCCAACGATTGGCGCGACCCACCATCAGCAACGCTGTTCACGTCCGAGCAGTCCGACCGGCTGCCATCTAGCACGGGACCGGTGCAGACGGGCTCCTGCTCGTACAGCAAGTAGTGCTTGGCGCAGGTGATCAATCCGGTGGACTGCATGCCTCGAATCGTAAGGAAAGAAAGGGTCGAGGAGAGGTAGGGGTCCGGTGAGAATGCTGAAGCACTGTGAGCTCTTGCGTTCTACGTGTAGACTCGTTAGCTCACCTTCCCAATTGCGTCCTGCGAAAGGCCTGCAAAGTCAGCTAGATCCGGGGATTTAGCTGAAGATGGAGCTCACGACCGCCCCAGTGGTCCACCTGTGACCTTGGCTAGTCAGCGTATATCTGGGAGCACGACGACTAGACTCACAGGTGCCAGAGCGACATTGATGCCCTTTCCCTTAAACTCCCCGCCTATCCGCCTAGCTCGTTCCTCGATGAGGTCCTTGTCAAAGCTCGCCGCGGCGAAGAAGGCAGATGGGAATTGCGTGACAAAGTCGGTATATCTGGGTCCGGAAGCTGTGAAGTCAGCATCCTAACCTTGATCAAGCCTGACGTGACCCATAGGTGGTAAGCTTACGCCCATCATCAAAGCAGTAGCCTGTTATGTTGAGTCTGGGAACACCGCCCGATTGGGACGGACATGGCCCAATTAATGAAGTCGTCAGATTGACCTGTGGTGTAAGCGGAAGCTGAAGCCAATGAGGATGCTGGGCAATTCAGGCCCTCATCAGCACCACTTGTGCTACCTGAGACTTCCCAAAGCCCTCATCGCCCAACATCCTTCGGCTCCCAAAGTCAGAGCAGTTGGTCTTGACTAACCTTCTCCTCAACTGTCAACTGCTTGACTACCTCCCTAGCGCTCTCAAAAGCCTTATTCCAGGCCCCTCCTGTCGCTGGCTTCGCCACATAATATTTGCTGCTCAAGTCCCTGTCTGACGAGGAGGGGAAAGGACCGGATCCCGACAGGAGAGCCTGAGCTGCCCACGTCAAGACTCGCATGTTACCGATGCGGCAGCCAAGCTCGAGTCGAGAAGAGACGTCGAAGACAGGTCACTATGCTGTAAGTCCGATAGATGAGTTGTATAGATGTAGATAGTATAGCTGAAAGGGAGGATAGACATCGCTGACCTTGGTCGTGAGGTCCGTGAACGGGTGGAGACCCCACACCTGTCGGCGTTCTCCGAGATCACGTGACCTCTCTATGAGTCATCATCCTCTCGTCATTGCAGGCTACTTGAATTACCGGCGCGTTCGTCGAAGGTTTTGCGTCGTGCAGCGACAACTCATATAGTACAGCTTCACCTTCAGCACCTTCTGGCCTCGCGAAAGCTCCAGTGCAGGATGCGCCCATCCACTACCTTCACCGACTCCCTCACCGTCCTCCCCTCGACGTCCGGTCTCGCATCCGAGCGAAAATCCACCTTCCTTTCCCAATCCGTTTGGATCCCCTTTGGCGCGAGAGGGGTGTTCGGTGGGCAGGTCATTGCCCAGGCACTCGTCTCTGCCGGTCGGACCATCTCTCCTCCTCTCGGTCTTCACTCTCAGCACTGCTACTTCCTCCTCCCCGCCCTCTCGGACCCCGTCATTGAATACCACGTCGAGCGAATCCGGGACGGAAAGAGCTATGCCAACCGCCTGGTCAAGGCTATCCAGAATGGCAAGGTCATCTTCATCCTCGCCGCGAGCTACACGCTCCCGCCAATCCACCTGCCCAAGCTGGAGAGCGGCTCGACACCCATGTCGTTCCAGCCATACATGAAGGACGGGAACGGGAGGAAGGAGGCCGTCTCGCACTCGCTTCGGTTCGCTATCGACTCGTCGGACAAGCCCAAGCCGGAGGATGATGATCTGCCGGATACGCGCAATGTGCATCCTGTGCCTACTGGCGTGTCGAATGGGTGGAAGGACGAGGATGGGAAGCCAAAAGCGAGGTTTAGGCAGAGGTTCCAGCTGGACTTCCCGGAGGATGTGCTCTTGCCGGAAGACTGCCCAGAGGAGGAGGAGCGGTGGGCAAAGTTTATCGAGGAGGTGACGGATGAGACCAACAAGCGGAAGAAGAAGATCGTGGAGGAGTACATACAGGTGAGCGAATACGTCCTTGACTGCCTAGCAGAGCTAACTCGGTAGGAACGGCGACAATCCCCAGTGTCGATATCAGCTGCCCGATTCCGAGGGCGCGAAGTCTCGGACGGCTTCTCATCCCGCAACGTCCGGATGACATGGATAAGACCTCGGCTCCTGCCTGACGAAAAGCCAGACGGCGAGCTCATGAAAGTGGGTTGTTTTATCAACCCATCGCGCACTGAGCTAATTCCCAGGCGATGATAGCCTACATCACCGACTTTCAGTTCATCGGGACCGCTGCCCAGTCGGTCGGCCTCACATGGACCTCCTCCCCTCGCCTCGGCATGCTCGCTTCCCTGGACCACACCACACACTTCTACCCTCTGCCCGACGATTTCAAGCCGGGAGACCCGATGCTGCACGTCATGGAGAGCGTGGCGGCGGATGTAGGAGCTGGGAGGGGCTTGGTGAGAGGGACATTGTTTGACCGGAACGGGGTCTTGTTGGCGGCGACATTGCAGGAGGGTGTTGTCAGGGCGAATTTTGGGCGTTCGGCTAAGCTATGAGTAGGTATCTTTGGGATTTAGGGAATGCGATAAGGGCAAACAGGCGGAAGAGGTCATCCAGCTGACCATTGATTTAGAAGACTGGCTTGACTGACTTCGTATACATAAGATTGACCACAATCCTAACCCGCCGAGCTACTAGCTGATCAATACCCGTCCAACCCTCCCCCAACAACCGCCCCTGGCGCCACATCTGACGTCAACTCACCCTGATACCTATTGCTAGCTGCCTCGGCAATCTTTCCCTCCCACGTCCTCAACCACACACCCTCCTTGATCCCGCTCATCGCGTATACGCCCAGCGGCCCAGTGACGAGCTCTCGGTGGGATGTATCGACGTGTCCCGCCGGCCTTGCAGCATCGGCCGGGTGCACGCGGGCGTGAGCTTGAACGAGTGTCTCGCCTGGGAAGGTTCCCTCCACTGGGACGTATCCCTTCAGGGCGTCTGGAAATCAGCTCGACACCGAGAAGAAGAGGAAGAGAGGTACTGACGGTCTGCGCGAATCGTGTTGTACTTCTCCCCATCCTTACCGGTGATGTGCAAGAAAATCCAGATGGCGGGGTATACCAGAGTGATACAAGCGAGGACCATTAGCCAGAACTGACCGATTAGCTGAGAAGCACGAGAATACGATTGACTTACGTTTCGCTTGAGCTTGGTGAGGCTGTTGAACGGTCGGACGATGTACCGCTTTGGGGACGAGCTGAATGATACGACAATCATGGACGAGTAGCCTGTGGCGTGGATGCAGTTCGTGATGGCTGATGATCAGCTTCTCGCCCTATGACTGGAGGAAAGTACTTACCAGCGATGACCTTCTCCTGATCCCAGCCATACACCTCCACTTTCATCTCTATCTCCTTCAGCCGCCCATGATCCTGGACGTACGCCTCGCACAGCTCCTTCAAACCCCTCGGTCCGGTCGACGTCCCTTCAACGACCGGTAGCCCCAATTCCAGGTCCTTCTCCTTTCCCACCGGGGGACTTGCCGGCTCCGGGATGGAGGCAGGTACAGGGGCCGGCAGCGGCTCCGTCGGATTCTTGAGATTGTACATTTCCCGAGTCACCGCCGCATCTGCCCACCCCGGCAGTCCATTGCTCTTCTTCCACTTCTCAGACTCTCTCGCGTTCCACGGCAGCGGATTCGCCTCTGCGCCTTCGCCCATACTTGCTGTATAGAGCGTGACATCGGTAGGCTGGCCCGAGGGGAGGGGGAGGACAGGGACCGTAAAGTTGAAATCGGTGATGAGCTTGGTGCGCGTCTGGCGGACCTGCTCGCGCTGATTGTTGTGGGGGTTGGTTCGGTAGGTATAGTAGACCTCTGTTTCGGTGTGCGAGCCTATGTGTCAGCTGGGTCTCTCTCGATGTCAAGAAGATAGAAGGATGAACGGACCGTGAACATTCACTATGAGACGGATAGGTTCGGCCGCCTTCAGTCGAAAGAAGTCGTACAGGAGAGCAGCTAAAGTCAGCTTGTACCTGGCAGAGAACATACCATCGGTCAACTTGGGATCATTACTCTTCCACTCGTTATCGTCCGGGTATGTCTCGACGAGCTTTGTGACGGGTAAGATAGGCTCAGTGAGGCTAACGACGGTGGAAGGACGGGTGAAGAGCTGGTGGTACTGCAGATCCTGGACGGCGGAGAAGGGGGCGTGGAGGTGCTCGCTTGTACCGGCAAGAGCTACAGGTGCGGGGCCAGATGAGTAGCTGGGTGGAGGTGCAGGAAGTACAGGTGTCTGCTGAGTCTGAGGGGAAGCTGGCGCTGCTGAGCTGGCAAGCGAGGGGGCTGTGGTCATCTTGTCGGTGGCGGATGGTCAGCTTGTGAAGTCCTGCTCTACTATATATAAGAAGTGCAGTCATCATGCCAAGGCCAGGGTGAGTTCCAAAAGCTTCCCAATCTCGCTTCCGAATAACTCAATCAGTAAAACGGGCGTGTGTGTATGGAGGAGGTGAGATCTGAGATCTGAAACACGGGCACACGGTCGAAGCAGATAACGATGACAATGGGACAAGACCATCTTGAGTCGCAGGGACCATAGGCCATACAGATGCGCGTCCTACACACACTCTATAATGAAGATAGTCATTCATTCGAGATTGGTCCAGACCTTCACCACGTCCCCTTCTAGCTCCAGTAACCCTACGACCCGCTCGACCGCTTCTGCCCTCTCCTCCGATATTCCCTCGCCCTCTTCTCCTTCAGCTAGCACCGGTAATGGCGCGGTGGGGAGGAAAGACAGCTCAGAGCTTTGTATTGGATACTTGTCGGCGAGAGATGGGTCGGAGAGGAGATTTGTCAGAGTCGATAGCTCCGTCGGGGGAGTGATGATCTGAATCACATTCAGCCTCAAGGTACTCTTGCGAGGGGCATCGGACGTACCTCATATAGCATCCCGTCCTCCTCTTCTACCTCCCGTACATCCTCCGCGCCAGCCTCCACGGCCACTTCGAACAGCTCATCAAACCCCCTTCCCGCTGCAGCAGAGACGACAATAACCCCCTTCTTCTCGAACAGGTACGCCACTGGTGCAATCCGGCAGTCCCGTTTGTGCAGTATCTCCTTGAGGCGCTTGACCGTTCGCGCGGCATTCTCAGTGATACATTCTCTATGATGATCAGCTACATCCCCACGATGAGAAGGATCAAGAGATAACATACATGATCATCGCCTCGCGTCCTGAAGCGCCCACAGCCTCGTAAATCACGCTCTGCCCACTCCCATCCGCCGCTGCCCGAGCCTTAGTGAAGCACTTCTCCACCACATCTTTGGGTACGCCACCATCTCGAGCTTTGGCGATTGCGGTGGCTAGACGAGCGTTGAAGACCGGATCGGGTGATGCTGGAGGTCGGAGGGCAGAGTGGATATCCTACTGCGCCGTCAGCTGATCCTCCTTGCGAGGATGGAGGAGTCAAGCGGCGACTGACAGCTGTGAGGCGAGAGTAAAGGGCGCTCTTTTGCGCATCCGCAGCACCTTTCCGGTGTCGAATTTTGGACCATCGATTGTGGCCCGATCTGGCGGGTTCGGAGGTGTGGAGCGGCCTAGGGGAGATTTGACGGGGTATGTATGCCAAGCAAGGGCGAGAAGGGCCTGCCACTAGATCTGAGATGAGCCGGGCAGATCGCATAGTGACGCTGCTATAATGTCGATAATTTTGACCAGGCGCAAGTTGACGGGCGAATGAGGAATGCGGAGTTGGGATTGTGGCTGTGACATGTAATCGGCGATCCTGATTCCTGCAGACAGACCAACTTTCGCAAATGCCGAGTATGCCGCCAGTTCACGTCCGTAAGATGCTGGAATCTGGCTGTCTGGACCGCGCAGACCATCGTACATACATACATGACAAGTTCAATAATACTGTGTACAGTAGAGGAGAACCAAATGATAATCTCGCAGTCCGATTATACACCTTGCAAGCCCGCAGTCCATCCTTGACTCCCTTATTAAACCCCAGACCCGAAGCCATAGCCCATTAATGCATACTCCCACCTTCCTACTTCTTCGGACTTTCACCTTATCTCATCCTCCACAGTGGGCGCGTCGACCAAAGAGCGTATCGCTGATCTATGCTGATGATGTTGTGTATGCCCTGGCATGCTGGGCGGCGTAGAGGGTGGAAGATCGAGGGGCTGAATGCACGATAAGAGGTCGGTATGGGAGGTGTTGAGAAGGGAGAGGAGGGGTTCAATAATATCGACCAGGATCATGTAATGTGATGATGGGGGACGGTGATGATTCTCTCGACGACGGTGGATCATCGAGCAATTGCTGAATCGTTAGCTCGTTGATCCTGCAATTGATGCGATCATCTGAGCTCACCAGCATTCTTCCTGGCCGATACCCGCTCGGTAAATCCAGACGACCCCTTCTTATCCTTCAGATCCATAAAGCTCCCCTCCATCTCGGCTCGATTCCCAAACGACAGATCCCGGGGCGGCGTCCATTTCTTGGGCTTATTGTCGGTAACGCTGGCATTGAGAGCCCCGTCCCAGAACGACGATCCTGGCTCGCGCTCCTTGTCCTTGTCTCTGCCTTTATCCTTGTCCATGGCATTGTTGACCGCGGACCGCATCCGTTTTCGCCAGGACGGCGAGGGGGTCTCCTCGTCGAACGAGATGAAGGAGATATCGGAAGATGATTGGGCGTGCGGCGGACTGGGCCGCTTGATGGGCGTGTCGGGGGAGAGGTCGGTGGTGTCGATCGGACCAGACTGGAGGGCGGACGCTGGGATCTGGACTCCGAGAAGTCGGTTCAGCTATCGATATCAGCTATATCCACAATTAAGGAAAAGCCTACTGACCTTGGCGACCTGCTGCCTCCTCACTCGACGCGCAGAATCCCCGCCCTCTTCATCATCCCAGTCATCCTCCTCTGGACTACCTGGGACTTCCTGCCCGCGGTTCCGCGAGATCTTCTCGGCGCGATAATTCCTCTGCACCGTCTCCGTTACCGTCTGCTCCCTACTTACATATACCCTCAGATCCTCCTCCTCCTTCTTGTTATCCCCCAGCCCCAGCGCCGCCATCGCCTTCTGAGCCACGCTCGTCCCTTTTTTCGCTGAAGGGACAGGCAGCTTCTCGCTGGCCTTGACGATCCGAGGCCGACAATCCGGTCGATCGTACTCGGGGATCCTCATGCCCGATGCCGAGGTCGGCGATAAGTCCCACGTGTCCTCGAACGAGGTATGGCGGACGCTCGAGGCGGTGCTTGGCCGGACGATGTGCTGGCCCACGTTGATCTCGCCGAGAGGCTCACCGAGGAGATGCTCGATCTTACGTGTACGCCGAATGAGCACCGCGCGCTGCTCGGGCGTGAGGTCGTTCCGCGCCTCCGGCTTGGGGACGGCGTGCATCTTGACGAGCTCCTTGTCGGTCGGACGACGAGGCATGGGTGGTGGAGAGGTGGGTGTCTGGTTTGGAAGGAGGCGGGCGGTGGTGTGCGTGGAGTCGGTGATGGAGGGATGAAGGGAAGAGGGGAGCGAGTCGACCGAGTCACTGCGGTTGTGCGAGGAGAAGGGGTCGGCGCGATACCCGCGGGGGACGTTGGAAGATGGGGAAGGGGGAAGGATAGGGATGGACGAAGCGGTCGGGTCCGAGGCTGATGACCGATGCCTCGGCGGCAGATTGAGGGGTGTACTGCCATCAGCAAAGAAGTACTGGTCAACTTACGTTTCTGGTAGCTGGACCGCATCCCTGATTGCCTTCTTGTCAAACTCCATCAACACCCTGGCCGTTTCTGCCCCCTCGCCCAGGATCTGATCCAGCTTGGAGATCTTCCGCCGGTCCGTACTGAAACACGCATCGCCACCTTCTTCCTCCTCTACCTCGCCCATCGGGGTCCCCACGCTCGGCGCGGGCTTGATGGGGCTCAAGCGGGGAACGATGCGAGACTCATTCTTTCCGGACGCTTTGAGAAGGTGAGCGGTGATATCCGCGGTAGACTCGGGGGTCTTGTGGGTCGGTCGACGGAGGGTAGGGGAGGGAAACATGGCGCCCGAGATGTTGGAGCGGCCGATGTGGACTCGATCACCGTGTAGCTGGCCAGAGAATGTCGAGTCCGAGGTGGAGCTCATGCTCAGCGGTCGACGGAGTTGGGGGCGGGGCGAAGTACCTCCGGGTCCGGGATGCGGGATGTCGTCGATTTGCGCCTCGCCTGGTTGGAGATAGGACGGGGACGTTTCCGGCGAGACGGCAGGATGAAGAGCAGACCAGCGACGCTGCCTTGATCCAAAGGTCCCCGCGCTATTTGTACTCTCGCGCCGGCTCATCACCTCGGGTCGAAGCGAGGGGGATGGGGTGGGAGGGTGAGACATATTATGGGGATTGTGGGTTGATGTCTCGGCTATTGGTACAGGCACCACGGAGGGGGTCGCGTCCGAATAGCGACCGGTCGACCGCTTGGCGTTGTAGTAGAATGTCGATGGGGCCTCGGAGAAGACGGTCGAGGCTGTTCTAGACCAGCGCATGAAGGATTGATCGACCGGAGGGAGTGCTGTGGCCGTCGAGCCGGACTGAGGGGCAGACATTCCGCCAGGAACTGAATCCTGCCGCTTCCCAGGCACTTGCGCCTGATCCGAGGAGAGTGGAAGGGGTGTTGACAGTGTTACTTCGAGACCGAGCTCCGCGTCCTCTTTGCTCAAACACCGAAACCTAGCCCCCAGGAGGGCGAGATCAAGGGCCTGGACGGGCGTACCGCGCCGCTCGGCAACGCTTGAAGTGGGCTCGATGGCGGCCAAAAGGCGGAAGCGAGCTGAGGGTGTTTGCGCCTGGGTAGGGGATGAGGGGATGGGGGAGGATGGAGGAATGGGAGGGTGGCAAGAGGGTTGATCGGAAGGCTTGTTGATGGGTAATAGACAGAAAGAAGCCATTCCGGTGACCTATTTGAGTGCCTCCCGCTTGGACCCCTCGAGCGAAAAGAAGCAGGCAGCGAGAAGAGAAGTGTACCGACAAGAAGAGAGGCAAGATCGGCCATATTGGCGAGCTCCTTTTGTCCTCCTCAGTAGCAGGCCATATGAATTGAGGCCGAAGCGAAAGGATACCAAGGGGTCCGGAGGGATGTGAGAAAAGGTGAGGAGGGAGGGAGTGTGTGTGTCGTCGATCCCGGCTAGCTTCTCTTCTCTCACGTTCATGTCTCCACAGTGCTCCCGAGCAAGGTACCTCCCTGACCGCAGCTCCATCGCTCTCTCTACCTAGGTAGGTGGCGCTCCGTCGCCCGACTCCCCGCTGCTTAGACGCATTTCTCGGACTCCACGATCCCTGACCCCGCCAAATGAAGAGCAAGCAAGGAATGGGCGTGTTTCAGATATTACATCCGGCTGTTCGGGGCGTTCCTGGCCGAAATGATGCCCGATTTGGGGGTTCGAGTCCGGAAAAGCTGTCTGCTATTTGCCGGCTCGTGATGGACGCTCTGCATGCATGAGCGAGATGGCGTACGATAGCAGGATGCACTATGTACTCGAGCGAGCGAGCGTGCTTGCTGCTGCTGGCTTTGTTGGCTGGCCCTGTTCGCTTACGGCATTTTCATATTTACGCCCCTCACTTTATACTTCCACCAAAGATCAGCAACATCTTGCATCCAGGCACCTTGCCTTATTCCATCGCTCTTCATCCGCCTCGCCTCACAAAATGGCACCCTTAGTATCAGGCTACGGCTCATCAGACGACGAAGATCTTCCCGGACCGTCCTCCCGCGCCGCTCCCATCGTCGCCAGCCAACCAGCGACCGAAACCGTGGAGGATGAGGACGACGAGGCGGTCGAAGCTGCTGCTCGAGCAGACGCCTTCGGCCTCTCCTCGGCTGCTTCCTCATCTGCTGCTCGTCAAGCAGCACAGGAGCGGAAAGCCGAAATAGCGGCAGCCCCGGATGTCCTCAAAGAGGATCCCAACAAGATCTCCAACGCAATCATTACTCGCCCGACGGACAAGGTGATGAATGTCAATATCAGCTATGCGGATATGCAGCGGCCGGTACAGGGACCAGAAGACCCGTTCAACCAGAAGAAGAATAAGGGGATGAACTCGTTAGCTGGTGAGTGAGGCAAATCTCCAGTCTTTCAGTGCTGACGTACAGGCCATGTGGAGGAACAATCGATGGATGCGTACACCTTCGCGATCCAACAACGGACTTTCGATGTCCACGGCTACGCTCTCAACCCATCTACCATGGGCCAACATAAGCCTATCGTCGGATCACTGAATCTTGCCCATCAAAACGGCTACCTTCCGGCGGACGCCATGAAGCCTACCAAAGCTGTTCAGCGGGAAACGAAGCGGAAGCGGAAGGGGAAAGGGGATGCGAGCGTCGTAGATGGGGACGATGCGTATATGGGGCCATGGGCGGCGTACGAGGTGGATACGGAGAAGCAGATTGAGGTGGACGATGCAGAGGATGGAGCGGAGGAATGGAGAGCAGAGAAGAAGCGGCGAGAGGAGGCGCAGGACGCAGCGAGGGAGACGATGAAGCATGCCAGGGAAGAAAAGACTATATTCCATGGTGAGTCGTGCTGGCTGGGTGGGGCTGACGGTCAGGAAAGGAATTGCTGGATTATGCGGGACGGACGTATATGCACATCCCGACCGACTTGGATGTCAAGCTCAATCCATCCGAAGGGAGTGCTCCACCAAACGCATATCTGCCAGACAAGTGCATACATACCTGGGTAAGCTGAACGTAATCTGGAGGGGGACAAAAGCTTACATTCAGACCGGCCACAACAAAGGCGTCTCCGCTATCAAGCTCTTCCCCGTATCCGGTCATCTCCTCCTTTCCGCCAGTCTCGATACAAAGATCAAGGTGAGTCCTGCTCTGGTCCCCGCTGACTTCAGTTATGGGATGTCTACCACGAAGGCAACTGTCTCCGGACGTTTATGGGCCACTCCCAAGCTGTCAAGGACGTTGCGTTCAACAACTCGGGCGACAAGTTCCTCTCGGCGTCATATGACCGATACGTCAAGATGTGGGATACCGAGACCGGCAAGTGTATCCAGGCGTTCACAAACGGCAAAGCACCCAACGTGGTCAAGTTCCATCCGGACGGCGACAAGCAAAATATCTGGCTGGCGGGTATGCAGGATAAGAAGATTATCCAGGTGAGTCGACCGCTTGGCACGAAGCTGACGGCAGTACGATACGCGAACACGAGAGATCATCCAGACATACGACCAACATCTAGGCGGAGTCAACACCATCACTTTTGTCGATGAGAACCGGCGATTCTTGACCACTTCCGACGACAAGACTATCCGCGGGTGGGACTATGACATTCCCGTGGTCATCAAGTACATTGCCGAGCCGTACATGCACTCGATGCCCGCCGTCGCCAAGCACCCGTCAGGTATGTTTTTATCTCCAGGCCAAAAGCTGACGAATAGATAAATTCGTCGCGTGTCAATCACTCGATAATCAGATCCTGGTCTATACCGCCGACGGGTCATTCCGCCAAGTCAAGAAGAAGCGCTTTGCCGGCCACACTATCGCTGGGTACGCGTGCAATATCGCATTTTCGCCGGATGGCAAGTATATTTCGAGCGGAACGGGGAGTGGAGATCTGGTGTTTTGGGATTGGAAGACGGGGAAGATAGCCAAGCGGCTGAGAGGGCACAAGGAGGTGGTGATTGATCATGCGTGGCTGCCGAATGAGCATGTAAGTGGAGAGGAGCCGAGAAGCTGGGGTAAGAGCTGATAAAAACAGTCAAAGGTGGTGACGGCGAGTTGGGATGGGCTGATCAAGCTGTGGAATTAGGGTATCTGCATGGGAGCCTTGTAGTGCATGTATAGTCCGAGCAACGGTGCGATGTGCTTTTGGTCTCGCTATGGTGCTGCACATCTGTACAAGGCCGTATCAGATGGCTGGGCGATCGCCACAAGCGGCCCCGCCTTTGGCGACAGGAACGTAACTAAACCGAACCATCTCCCATTCATCCACCTCAGCCGAGACTGTGTAGCTCCTATCTCTTTCCACATCCCACTCACGACCCTCATACTCTCCTTTGATCCATATCCTACCTATAGTCCATCGTACATGACCATCTAAGGCGTGCTTGCATTCCCCACACCGCCGCTTACTCAGCGAGAAGCACGACTCTCTTCCACCTGTTTGAGCGAGTCGCATTCCTCTTCACACCGCACTCTTCACTGACCCCCAGCCCTTCCTACTCGCCGCACCACCATGCGAGAGTCCAACTTCACCTTCCCACCCCAGAACAGGGCCGCAGTATCCATTACGCACCTGCTATATGACCGCAAAGGTACGTCGTGCGCCGATTACACCGCGCTGACGCCTTAGCTCTCGACACAAGCAGCCACCTCGCCATTCTCAACAACCTCACCTCCCTTACCTACCTCACATCCACCTCTCCCCGTATCCGCGAGATTCTCACCACCGACGGCGGTCTCGAACGCCTCCTCGACATCCTGCGCGACTCGCTTCTCCCCCGCGATGCCCCCACGCCACACGACCTCTGGGGTCTCTCCGGCCCTCCCACCGCACGCGTCATTTCCGTCGATCGTGCCATCTTATGTCGTCACTCCCTCGCATTCCAGTGCGTCGTCAATATAGGCGTAAGAGGGAGCGAGTCTATCCGGACACGGGTGGTACAAGCCGGCGCCCTGGATCTGGTCGCGCAGATCCTCGAGAGCTGGCTCAAGCAGCACGGCGTATCGATCTTTGCCTGCCCAGTAGGCAGTACGGCGGCGCTAGAAGCTGCAGCGAGGGGCATCTTTCCACCACCAGACGTTCGGTCCCAGGCGACCCCGCCACCTACAAACCCACCCGCACCTGCACCGACCGGCCGTGTGGGCGGTAGAGGCAGCTTCGGGCAATTCATGGCGAGTCTGACGCGGCGGAGAGGGGAAGCGGCTATGGTTGACCGCCTCGTGGGGCCGGCGCAGGGCGGAGGGGATACAGATGTGGATATGGCGGATGAGGAAGGAGGTGGGGAGACGGACGTATCGCTAGGTGCGGACGATGCGTCAATGGGAGCAGACGATAGTATGGAGGTCGACGCCCCAGAGGCCGGACCGTCCACCACTGTCACTGTCGAGACCGGCGGACAGACCACGACACCCCGCGCAAGCCAGGTCATACTACCCATGACCATGGCGGCGCGCACGGAGGAATCCATGTCGCAAGGCTCCAGCGCCGGAAACTCATTCACCAGCGAAGGTCTCGGCGCTCCCCCTATCGCCCGTACAGCTTCCGACCAGAGCGTCAACACTGCCGGCCAGCACGGTCCCCGTCCTGCCCCTCCCCCGCTCAACCTCGCCGTCAGAATACCATCCCTCGCGCAGGACGCCCTCAGTACCCAGTCCAGTCCGACCGGCACCCCTCGGGTCGAAGGAATACGGCGCAGAGATACCATCATTGCTCGACCGGTCAATCTTGCTCTTCCGCAGCGGGATGATGGGAATCAGAGCGAGACATCGGAAGTGGATATTCAGACGGCCACGATCCGAATGAACATCCGCGCGGCGGTCGAGGCGCAGGCACAGGGCCAAAATCCGGGCGGACTCGCAGAGCATGCGAATACGGACGCTGTCGTCGCTGTCGCGGCGCAGGAGGATGACGAGATCTCGCAGATCGGGGAAGATACCGCCGCTGAGGAGCAAGCTCGGCTAGATATGGAGGCGGGGGCACCTCCAGGTCAGCCGGGAGCGACGCAAACACCCCTCGTACCTCCTGCACCTACTCCTCTCCTTCCTCCCGCCATAACGACCCAACCCGCCCAGATCATCATCGCCAACGGCGCCCCTCGCGGGTTCAACGATCTCGGTAGCTACGTCGGTATCTCCTCCCTCCTCAACCCCGACGGCGACCAATACTCGGAAGACTCGATCCTCCTTTCCCTGCAACTCCTCGCGTATCTTTCAAAATACCCCCACGTCCGCGCCGCATTTCACCACCCCCGCCGTCCCATGCACCCGACCTTTGATCTCAGCTCAGAAGCGGACAAGCGGCCACTACCCCAGCGACCCGCCGTTTCGGAGACACCCAACGTCTTTACCCTCGTCGAGCGGTTCACATTCAGGCCCTCTCCGTCCGACCCGCACATGTTCCGCATCCCTCCAGAAATTCAGTATTGGGCGGGCGTCATCATGAGGAATGCGTGCAGGAAGGATGAGGCGCAGGGAGGTATTCGGCAGTGCGCGAATATGAAGTGTGGCAAGTGGGAGCGAGAGCCGAGGGAGTTTGCAAAGTGTCGAAGATGTAGAAAGGCAAAGTATTGCAGCAAGGAGTGTCAGAGCAAGGCGTGGTCAGAGGGTCACAAATTCTGGTATGTCCATCGATACGTGGATTGACCTAAGCTGACATCCAGGTGTAACGTCAAGACGGACAATGAACCTCCCGTTGCGCCTACTGGAGGGCCCGGGCCAGATGCAGACGATGACGATGATGGACCCCGCCCGCCTCGTCCAAACACCCGAACGATCGACCCTCGGATGCTGCACTGGCGGCCACAAACCGGCGGCGACGCGACCGCGCAGCATCCGCCTCCACCTCATCACCTCATGCAGCGTCCGGCCAATCAAGATGCTCCTACCCCGTACGACTCCATCCTCCCCGCCGATACCCAGCTTGACCTCCTTCGCCAGACTCAGCGCCGACTACGGACTACAACGGACGAGCTGGTCCCTCGGGGTCGGCCGCCACTCCCGCTTGGTCTGGGCGGACCCCACGCGTTCCAGCAGGTAGATACCGCCCTGCCGACCCGCCAGGGCACTCCCGCTGTGCGTGATGGCGCGGCGGCGCCTGCTATCAGTCCGGCGGGACCCGGCGAGTCTTTTTCTCCGCTACGGATGCCGAGCCGGGTAGTATCCGGCATCACGGCGAATCGGCCACCGCAGATGATTCCTACCTCGGCGAGGACGGTCAGCCCCTTGCAGCCTACATTCCAGATTCCGGTCTTTGGGCATGGGCAGGAGCGAGGACAACGACAGGGTCAGGGAGAGGGGTCTGGGCAGGGGAGGTAAGAAGATGGGTGGAGGTGTTACATTGAGGGGGAGGGTGTATGGGACACTGGGTAGATCAGCGGTCTGCCACTCGCATGAGTGGGGGAGGTTTGGTATCACTAGACAGGATACGATTTCTAACGATCGTTTCTTTTGTATCGGGCCCTTTGGCTATGGTATGTGCTTGTCAGCAATGCGGTCTTACGAGCTCGTTCGCACATCAGAGTACTCTCTGCTGTCCAAGCCACCGACAGACCTGACTGCCCCCGGAACCACCAGGGTTGCGATTTGCCACTTGACGTAAACCTCCACCTGGACGGTGCCAGAAAGTTCGAGATCTACTGATGCTCATCTGCTTACTGTCACCTATATAGATACCTAGAATATAGACGCAGGGGGTAGAGACAAAGCAGTATACATACCCATCCATGATCGCCCGCAAATTCCTACTCAGAACAGCTCAGCAGCCCCTCCACAGCCTCGCCGCACGGCGGCTTCCCCCTCTCTCCGTCGTTGTCCCCCTCGCCGCTCGACAATATGCATCTCACCCACCTCGTCAGCCGCCTCCAGGTCCACCAGGGAACGGAGGCGGTGGAGGCGGGCCATTCGGTGGCGGTGGAGGTCTCCCCGGTATGCGGTTCCAGGGACAGTCTCAGCCGGAGAAAGGGGAGACGCTGGCGCAGTTCTCGATAGACTTGACGAAGTTGGCGAAGGAGGGCAAATTGGATCCTGTCATCGGGAGGGATGAGGAGATACGGCGGGCCATACAGGTGAGCATTGTGGAGCACGGACCCGGGCTAGGCTGATCCGCAGATCTTGAGTCGACGGACGAAGAGCAATCCCATCTTGCTTGGATTGCCTGGTGTAGGAAAGACGGCTATCTTGGAGGGTCTAGCGACTAGGATAGTCAACAAGGAAGTGCCTGAAGTGAGTTATCTGTCCAAGACTTGCAGGACTCAAGCTGACATCATAGTCGATGCATGGGAAACGACTACTATCGCTGGACCTATCCCTCCTCATGGCAGGTACAGGGATCCGAGGAGAGTTTGAGAATCGCTTCAAGGCGCTCCTGAAGGATATCGAGGAGGCAGACGGGGAAGTCATACTGTTCATTGACGAGGTACACACCCTCCTTGTAAGCCGGCACTCTCCCTTCATCGACACAAGCTGACATGCAGAACCTCGGCAAGACGGAAGGATCGATGGACGCCGGCAACATGATCAAGCCTGCTCTAGCTCGCGGACTGCAATTGGTCGGAGCCACAACACTTGACGAGTATCGCAAGACCATCGAGAAGGATGCGGCACTCCAGCGGCGGTTCCAGCCGATCATGATCAACGAGCCATCCGTCGAGTCGACCGTATCGATCCTGCGGGGTCTCAAGTCAAAGTTCGAGGTGCACTTTGGCGTACAGATCGCCGATTCGGCTCTCGTCACCGCTGCGGTCTACTCGGACCGGTACATCCCCGACCGCTATCTCCCGGACAAGGCGATCGACCTCGTCGACGAGGCGTCCTCCGCCCTCAAGCTGGCCCAGGAGTCCCGACCGGTGGCACTCGAAGCGCTTGATCGGGAGATTGTTACGCTGGAGATCGAGCGGGAGTCGCTCAAGAACGAGACGGACCAGTTCTCGGTGTCGAGGATGAACAAGGTCGAGGCGGATCTAGAGGAGAAGAAGGGAGAGCAGACCCGTTTGGCGGATGCGTGGACGCAGGAGAGGGAGAGGGTGGCGGAGAATAAGGGGATCAAGGAGCGGATCGAGCAGGCGAATGTGGAGCTCGAGGCGGCGCAACGGAATGGGGAGTATGAGAAGGCCAGTAGGCTACGATTCGCGACTATCCCAGGTCTGCATGCGAAGTTGGAGGCCCAGGAATCGGGGGAGTCAGCTGAGGGAGGGATGAGGGATAGGGTGACGAGTGAGGATATTGCCATAGTGTAAGTTGTACCTTACACCCATCTGGCCAAAGCTGACTCAGCAGCGTCGCCAAATCCACAGGCATACCGGTCACCAATCTTCTCAAGGGCGAACGCGAACGCCTCATGCACATGGAAGACGCCCTCAAGCAGCGCGTCATCGGCCAGGACGAGGTGGTACATTCCGTCGCCAACGCTATCCGGTTATCCCGAGCCGGTCTCCAGGCTCCATCGAGACCACTAGCTTCGTTCCTACTCACAGGTCCTACTGGTGTCGGAAAGTCCGAGCTATGCAAAACCCTCGCCGACTTCTTGTTCGCGGACGAGAAGCGGGCATTGTAAGCTGAGTTCCCTCCGATTTTTGGATACAAGCTGATACCTTGCAGAATACAGCTCAACATGTCCGAGTTTCACGACAAGCACACCGTCTCCCGCCTCATCGGTGCCACGGCCGGATTCGTCGGATACGAAGAGGGCGGTCAGCTGACCGAGGCTGTCCGACGACGACCCTACGCCGTAGTCGTGTTTGACGAGATTGAAAAGGCTCATCCGGACGTGGCCAACATTCTCCTTCAAATCCTGGACGAAGGGACCCTTACCGACGGACAAGGTCGCCAAGTCAACTTCCGGAACACCATCATCTGCCTCACGTCCAATCTCGGTGCCGAGGCTCTGCAGGAGGGACTCTCGACCCATGGCAAGATCACGCCCGAGACGAGGGCCGAGGTCCTCCAGGCGGTCGGACGGTATTTCAAGCCGGAGCTCATCAATCGCCTGGATGAGCAGTTGATCTTTAACAACCTTCCGAGGACGGTAGTGAGGGATATAGTGGAGCTGAGGCTGAGGGAGCTACAGGGTCGGCTGGATGGAAGGAGGATCAGGCTGGATGTGTCGGATGAGGCAAAGGAGGTGTTGGCGGAGGAGGGGTACTCGGAGGTGTATGGGGCGAGGGCGATTGGGCGGGTCATCAGGGATAAGCTGAGCTCGGGGATCGCGGCGAGATTACTGGAGGGGGAAATCAAGTGAGTCGAGGTAGCAGTAGGGTATGAGAGAACTGAGCTGACATGACAGGGATGGAGATATCGTACGAGTCGAAGCGAATAATCAGGAGCTGGTCATGACTAGTCACCCAAATCCGGATCTCCAGGTCGATAGTACTCGCGCTCGGACGGAGACAGATCGTTCCACCGGATCCTGATCGGTTCTAGTCGAGGGGAATCTGGGGACCTTGGAGTCGGGCGAGGACGCCCAAGTCAGGGCTGCAAATGACGGATCGGCGAATCAACAGAGCCATTTACAATAGGTGCTTCTATCATACTGCATCGACTCGCTTCACACACCGCTCGCACTCATGTTAATTTGTTGTATAGCTTCTATCTATAGTATTCGTATGGATTCAGATATAGTCCGACGCGCCATATCGCCATCATTGCTTGCCGGACAACCGGAAATTGCATGAGACGCGGCCCCAGAACATTCTGATCTCGATGCTCGTCCCCGGCTGCTCAATCAGTCTGCATTAATAGACGACCTAGCGAATCAAAGTCACTGACGAGTTTCTCGTCCCACTTGCAGCTCTCTTCCTGTGCATTCTGGAATGCCTGGAGCCATCCGGTCGGCGCATCACGCTCCATCTGGGCCTCAAAATCCTTGATGGTGGGTCGATTGTGCCGTTTGGGCTGTCCGCCCTCGGTGAGGATTGGAGCGAACGAGTCAACACCGGGGAAAACCCCGCCGAGGTGACGCATGGCCTGACTGGCCAGATGTCAGTCGTTCTGGCGAGCAGCGACCCAGAATGTCTCCAACGGGTAATCGTGGACCGTGCGTATGAAGCGGTCGATGACCCGGCGTCGCATGGGCGTTGGGAGGTCGAGAAAGGAGCACAACTTAGAAATCGCCTCGAAGCATTGTATATCGGACGACTGATGACCGTCTGCGAGTGCGACCCCTGACGAGATCTCGTGAACCGATGGGAGATCCCGATGCTGAATAAGATCGGCGATCAGCCCGACGATTGGGGATGAAGCAGGCAGGGCGATAGTGGAGGGGTAGTTGTGGATTTCCGCGACCGGAGCGGGGATCGCCTGACCTTCAGCCGCAGTACCGCTCCGGAGGCGTTTGCGAGCCGGGGGATCTGCCGCGATGGTGGAAGGGCCGGTGGTAGAAGTTGAGGGAAGGTCGAGCATGTCACGGAACATGCCACCATGATCATCAGCTGCGGATACAGCTAGCGAAATCCAAGATCGGCGGGAAGGAAGGTAGTGCTCACCTGGCCGACATGAGGTGATAGCTCTTAATTGTATACTCGACATCGTCCGTTGATGTGAGCGTAATGTCGGCGTTGTAAGAGTTCATGATGGGAGGTATTGTAGTCGTTGGAAATTGGCAGATGATAGCCGCTCGTCGCGCTAGACAGGGTGGCGAATGGGAGGATGAAGTACGAAAGAGGAGGGAAGGAAGGCGAAAGACTGCCATATATAGTCAGAGAGTTAGGCGGTCAGAGCGTCAGCACGGACCACCATCACCGTTACCCTGAGCTGTTAGTATGTAGGGTCATCCGTGAGCTCGGACCTCTAGGCGCTCGCAAGTCAGCGCACGGCGCTCGGGCCTCCGTGCAAGGTAGGGAGGCCTACCGGAGCGACTTGAGCCGCGCGTTTGAGTCCCTTAAAGGCCTTACTGCGGCCATTAGCCGCTGTAGAAGTCATGCCTAACGCGGAGGGTCTGTTGTCTCACCTGCCGTCCTTGATACGGGGAGGTGTCGACTTCCAAGGCTGTCACCTCGACCAGAGGACCGGACCCCGACCGACTTCTTGCGTAGCGCCATTCTGAACGAGGGATCTTGGTATCAGCTTCCCACCTTGCTGATTGTACTCACAAGAGACTATATCGTGTAATCTGCACTGACCGACTGGCAGTACTTCTCTGCCGTGCGAAGATGGATGAGAAGCAGAAGCCAAGCTGACTGGACTACTGAAACGCTGGCTGGGGTTTCAGATTGAATGACGTGGCACCACATTCCACCTCACACCGCATTCCTCAAAGGAGAGGCGACTCCTCACTCTTTCTTACCTCTCAGGCTCTCACACTCTTGCATCATAGCTACAGCCAGCGTTGCTTCAGATACTCGCCTTCACACTACTTGATCTCACTTGCGGCCTTCCTGAGACACAGACACATCACAACATCGAGCCCTGGGTCGGCGTGAAAGGTCCGAGATGGTTGGCGTGAACTACGTTGCGGGTACTCTGTAAGCTTGATACCACGCTCATCTTGACATCTTGGGATTCATGCTCAGTCACGGCGTATCATGAGCTGATATGACAGAAATCGGGCCAAGAAGAAAGCTCCACCTTATGCGTCCGGCTCAGGTACCTCCAAGCCCGACGCGCCACGTCCTCGCGGCCGACCCCTCTTCTCTCGCCCTCCACCTATTGCCGTCCCTCGTCAAGACCGCCGTTATATCGATACAGCAAACTATCATCCCTCCCCCGCCTCCTCCAGTCCCAACGACGCGCCTCGATCCGAACGCAATATCGACGCCTACGCTGCCCCTAACGCTCCACTCGAGCTCCTCCGCGCACAACGCCCCACCGCCGGCCGATCAGGGATCGACGGGATCACCTTCCCGTGGGCCATCGAAGCGAGAGAGGTGTATCTGGAAGAACGGCGGGTAGAGGAGTATCGTCGCCAGGTGAATGCTGCGCAACGGCTAGACGAAGACGACGATGAGGAGGAAGAGGAGGACGAGCAGAGGGAGGTGAGGCGGATGGAGATGAGAGTGCTCAGAGCGAAGATGGCGAAGGAGCAAGAGATACAGAGGGGGAAGAGGCGCTGGTGGGAGGTCAGTAGGGATAGTGGCGGGAATGAAAGCGGAAACGTGCGTCAACGGGAAGGGCGCACGCGGGATGCCTGCTCGGCGGCGAGGCGCAGACAGGGTCTGGACGATGAAGACGAGTCAAGCAGTGGAAGCGCTCGTCATAGACGGAGGGCGGAGCGGCTACCAGAGCCTGGCAGAGCGGGTGAATAGCGTGCGATCGAGGGACAGCACTGATTTGGCAGAGACCGTAGCGGATTTTGAGCGCGAACGACGCATCTTCGTCGACATGCTACACAACCACGATCTGCTCCATCTCCGCGACCTCCGCCGACCCATACCACCAGAGGGTAACGCAACACCGTCTGGCAATTCCAACTCCCCCAACTCCCCCAACCGCTGATCGACAATTCCCTTCAAACCCCTCCTTTTGCTTTCGCCTTCGGCTTCGATTTCACCTTTCACCGCCCGGCATTCCGCCCGAGAAAGACTGATGGCGACATTAAGATATGCATGGGACCGACTTACAGAAGCCCAATAGCTCGAGGCGAGGCGGGGATAGTATTGTTATGGGTAGTCAAGAGGGATAATTTGTTTTTGCACATTGAGATGTAACGAGCACTTGACGCGGATACTCTATGCAGGCGTCACCTTGGACTATTCTCCGCTGATACTGAACGGGACCTCATGGAACAGATAAGACTACCATGTCAGCTTGTCCCGGGATACGTCGAAGGCACGCAGAATAACTCACCACACTCTCTCCGAAATGACTCCTCCTTATTGTTTCTGCCAACACATGGCTCACGTCAATCACCTCGAGCTTGTCACACTGCTCCACCTTCTCCGCCATCGGGATCGTATTTGTCACCACGAGCTTCTCCAACCCGCTCTCATTGATGACCTTTATTGCCGGCCCGCTGAGAATCCCATGCGTCACTATCGCATACACCGCCGTCGCGCCCTGCTCCAGCAGACTCCGGGCCGCCAGTCCCAGCGTCCCGCACGTATCCGCCATATCATCCACCAGGATGGCCACCTTGCCCTGAACGCTCCCGACGAGTACCATCCGGCTGACCTCGTTCGCCTTCTTGCGTTCTTTATGGAAGAGCGCGAAATCCGTGTTGAGCCGGTCGGCGATGGACGTCGCACGCTTGGCGCCTCCGGCATCGGGCGAGACAATCACGCAGTTCCGGACGTCAAGGTGTTGCCGGATATATTGGACGGTAGCGGGTTCGGCGTAGAGATTGTCGACGGGGACGTCAAAGAAGCCTTGTATTTGCGATGCGTGCAGGTCCATCGTAATGACGTGGTCGCAGCCCGCTTCGCGCAACATGTTGGCGACGAGCTTGGCGGTGATGGGCGCCCGGGACTTGTCTTTCTTGTCTTGTCGGGCGTAAAAGAAGTGGGGGATGATGGCGGTGATACGGCGGGCTGAGGCAATCTGCAGGTCAGCGTAGCTCGTAGATACAACTGGAATGGGTAGCTCACTCTGCAGGCATGAATCATAATGCAAAGCTCCATCAGATGGGTGTTGACAGCTCCGGCACACTGTAAGGTCAGCTGTGGGTTTTCGACCAAGATTGAGACAACTCCTAGCTCACGGTATTGAGGATGTACACATCGCAATCCCGCACACTCTCAACAATAGTCACCTTCGTCTCGCCTGACGGGGGCTGGTGGATATTGCGCTTGGCGAGGGGGATTCGGAGGCTAAATCTTCAGCCAAGCATCCCAGATTCAGCTTTGTTGCAGTACGCACCGCTTAGCGATCATGGCACATAGCTCGGGGTGCGAGCTCCCTGATTGATCAGCTGTACCCCCGGATCAAAGACGGGGAGCTAGCTCACCCGCAAAGAGCTTGATGTTGGCGTATGCCGCAGACGACATTGCGAGGGGGTTGATAGGGTTGGGTTGGGGGAGGTGTCGACAGGAGCACAGATAGCGGTGGCCAGGCTGCACAGGCGGCCGTCTTAGTCGAGCACCGTTCGGCGGAACTCTACGGAGTAGGCGCCGCGATAGGGAGCTTGGGTAGCTGCGCGAAGGGCTATTGCCTTTGTATAACAGTCGAGGCCGAATCCGCCATAGCAAGAGCTGAACGTCGGTGTTGTTGATCAAGCTGCCGGCCGAGCACGTTTGTCCTTCCCGCCCTTCTGATTAAGTTTCGAGGCTGATTCAGAGCCTATCTCCGCCTCTCTGATGGAGTGTAAAGGTAGGTCAAGCACGTTGTCTAGCTGATTGATGGACAAGCTGACTTTGAAGGTGGCTAGCTTTGCGGGAAAATCTCTGGCTCAAGCAGCCGGACCGCCGGAGAATGCCGTCATCTACCGGAGTATCACGGTACCACGTCACTCCGAACAAAGCCGACAGGCCCGTGCGTGCGTTTACCCCGTGAGTTTCAGATAGAGGACGGCAGCAGGGCACGAGGCAGCGGCAGGTATGACGGGAACAGCTGCAGCAGGCGGGGTCGTCAAAGACCAGAGGGTATCTTGCCTATCAATATGACTGGATATACAGGGCAACCTGCAGGCTGCTGCATTCTGCGATCACAGCCGGAGATGGCTCAGGCGGTCGTCCTTCCATTCGATATACTCTCCAGTCAGCTCGATGGGCCCCTTCACCGCCAGGCCTGCCAGGACCGCTCCAGGCCTATATAGTCAGCTTAATTCGTCTCCAGGCCACAGACATCCCGACTACAGGGGAGCAGAAGCCTTGACTCACTCATCCGGGGGTAACAGCTGTCCATTGTCGTACATGTCCTGGAACTTCTGTAGTTGCGTTGGGTCCATCACGCCTGGACCTTTATCTCGCAATAAGGACTGCATCTGCAATAGTCAGCTGGCGATGTCCTACATCTTCGAAAGGAAGAGACTCGTGCAGCTCACATCCGTCTGCGAGCGTCAGCTTTGCGCATACAACATATGATCGGCCGTCACTTGCGGAGAAGGTAGCTCACATTGATCACACCAGGTCTCACAGCCCATACAGCTACCCCAGCCTCCTTCTCCTCATTCGCTAACACCCTCGCCAGGGCGTTCAGGCCGGACTTGGCCATGCAATACAATCCCCACCCGACGTAGCCGGTCATCGACGCGCCGGAAGAAGTCAGGACGATACGTCCTTTAGCTCCATCTGCACCTCGTCCTTTTCGAAGATAGGGCAGAGCAGGCTGTATGATATAGAGAGCAGAATGGAGGTTGGTATTGCTGCATGTCGTGAGAACTGATAGATCCAGGTCCGCTATTCTGCCTATTCGGTTAGCCTTCTTCCCTATATACAGCGCATATACCGCCGGCTATGACTCCAGATTCGGCCAACGTACCGAGCGGCTCCAGACCCCCTGCATTGAGCACCAGGCCATCCACCCCGCCCCACTTTTCCACTGTCCGCTTCACCACCTCAGCATTCGTCGCTTGATCCCCTACATCCCCCTGTATAGCCAGAACCCGGTCGTCTCCGTATTTCTCGACCACGGCCTGAAAGTCTGGCGGCGTGGAGCGCGAGAGCGTGGTCACTCGGGCATTGTACCGAGAGAGCAGGATCTGGAGGGTCGAGAGACCGAGCCCGCGGGAGGCACCGGTGAGGATGATGATTGGGGAACGGTCGTTCTGCGCGGTGTGGGCCGACATCGTGCCCGATGAATAGTTCAGAGGAGGCTGCACACCGCTTATGACAACAGGGTGAGATGCAACATCAAGAAGTATGATAATGATAGAGCTTCACTGCAAGCCAGCGCCAGATCGCATTCCTCGGGCTCGGCTGCACGTGATCAGAGTCGTGTCAACAATATTTTGGAGCTGCAGCACTGAACAATCAAGCAGCGTGCATTCTCCACATTACATCACACCATGAGCCTCACACTGCAGGTGATAGCCTCAGGGAAGGACGTGGCGACCACTTCCACCCGGAACGTCCGTCGCGCGTACATCTCGCCCGACACCCTCCGGACACACAAGCTCATAGCTGGCGAATGGGTCCGGCTCGTCTCTGCGGGCAGGGGAGAAGTAGCCGTGCAGCTCTGGCCACAATTTGGCATCACAGATAACGGTATGCCTAGGTATAAGACCAAGCTTATCCCCAGGCCTAGTGCTCGATCCCATACATCTGCTCGGTATCGCCGAGGGAGATGTTCAGGTGTATCGGTTCGATCCGTCCTCATGTAGGGGTATCGCAAAGGCCGTCTCTGTTTCTGGTCCATCTGCAGCTGGGCGAGAGGCCCTATGGCTCGAAGCGGCAGTCAAGGAGCTGCTCAGTAAGTCATGGGTACGGGCTAGGCTGATGGCAGTGTCGATCAAGTATGTCACGCGGAAGACGCAGATCCAGATCGGGTCGGGCGAGCACTACGCGATTGCTGAGATAGAAGTGTCGGACAAGCGGAGACCGACTGCTGCGGCGAGTGGACTGGAAGACGGAATGAAGCGGATGGAGCTCGATGGGGAAAAGGGTGAAGACTTCTTTGAGATGGACTGGCGGACGGCGGTGAAGCTTGTCGAGGCTGAGACAGCGACTGGGAATGGCAACGATGGACGGACTCGAACAGGAAGGGACGAGGTATGTTCCCTGCCATCTTCTCCTGGGAGCTAGATCTGATTTGTAGGGCATCACTAAGGCCCTACCCTCGTATATCAACCTTTTCACGCCATCCGCATCAGAAGGCTACCAAAAGCTCGGCGGTCTCGATACCCAAATCACCCAGATCCGCTCCCTTCTCGAAATTCCCATGTCCCATCCTGAGCTCTTTACCCTGTTCGGTCTCACCCCTCCTCGCGGAATCTTGCTGCATGGCCCTCCCGGGACAGGCAAGACTGCCCTAGCACGCGCCGTTGCTGGCGCCTCCAACTGCTCCTGCATCGTCGTGAACGGCCCGGAGCTCTCTTCAGCCTTTCACGGGGAGAGCGAAGAGCGGCTCCGAGGCGTCTTTGACGAGGCGCGTCGACGCAAACCGTGCATTGTCGTCTTGGACGAGATTGACGCGCTGTGTCCGCGCCGAGATGCGGACGGGGGCGAGGTGGAGAAACGGGTCGTGGCGACGCTGTTGACGTTGATGGATGGGATGAGCGGCGGGGATGGGGTGTTTGTCATTGCGGCTACGAACCGGCCGAACTCGGTCGATCCCGCTCTTCGCCGGCCCGGAAGATTCGATCGAGAGTTCGAGATAGGCATCCCGACCGCCGAGGGGAGGGAGCAAATCCTTGCCATCTTGCTCGGCAAGATGCCCCACTCCCTTACACTGGAGGATATCGCCGGACTCGCAGCTCGGACACACGGCTTTGTCGGCGCGGATCTCTCATCCCTTATTCGCGAATCTGCCGTACTCGCCATCCAGCGCGTATCTCCGCCGTGTCTGACCATCGGGGATGTGCATGCCGTCCTACCATCCATCCGCCCGTCGACGATGCGCGAGGTATTCATCGAGACGCCCAACGTCAAGTGGTCGGACATTGGCGGGCAAGAAGAGGTGAAGCAAAAGCTCCGAGAGTGCGTCGAGTGGCCACTCAAGCACCGGGATACGTTCCGCCGGCTAGGCGTGGAGGCGCCGAGGGGTGTATTGCTATACGGTCCGCCAGGATGTAGCAAGACTCTGGTCGCCAAGGCGCTGGCGAGCGAGAGTGGGCTAAACTTTCTCGCCGTCAAGGGCCCGGAGGTATGTTCTGGCATGTTGCCGAGCTGACTGTAGCTCCTCAACAAGTATGTAGGCGAGTCGGAACGAGCGGTTCGAGAGGTATTTCGAAAAGCTCGTGCAGCTTCGCCATCTATCATCTTCTTTGTGAGTCTGACCCTGGGGCGGTTGCTGATATCCAGGACGAGATCGATGCGCTTGGCTCGGCCAGGTCGGAGGACGCCTCGCATAATGGTGTTTTGACGAGTTTGCTGAATGAAATGGACGGTATCGAGGAGTTGACGGGCGTCACGGTTGTCGCAGCGACCAACAGGCCGGATGTACTCGTGAGTGCCTTATTTCTGTGGGCATCAAGGCAAAGCTGACGGTCAGGATGACGCCCTGATGCGACCCGGCCGACTTGACCGGATCCTCTTTGTCGGTGCTCCAGACCTCGCTACTCGGAAAGACATCTTCACTATCAGATTCAAAGGCATGGCCATCGAACCAGGAGTAGACGTGGACGATCTCGCTAGAATCGTGAGTCCACACTGGTGGCCGGGCTAACGGCCAGACCGAGGGATGCTCCGGAGCAGAAGTCGCTTCTATCTGTCAAGACGCGGCCCTGAGCGCTATGAATGAGGATCTGGAGTCGCCATTCGTAAGTCAGCAGGTCGGCCGAAACTGATATCAGGTCCGCCTTGCTCATTTGTTACACTCGGCGAGGACGGTCAGGAGACGGATCACGCCGGAGATGATCAGGTTCTTTGAGGAGTGGAGGGATCAGAGTGGGGTGAGAAGTGCTTGAGGTGCCTGCCGAGCGTCTGCAGGTCTTTGCGATCCTGGCATCTATCATGCAGGATGTATAGCTTTGAGAAATAAGGTTCGCCACATGAGCGTCTGAGCGCACGGGAATTAGACCCGCTCCAGAACTCAGCTGGCCTCCTTCGCGTGCCGCGCCCAGCACAGCTCTCCCTCTTCTATCTGCATCTCTCGCCATCTTGGCCCGTCTTCTATCAGCCTCGATCTAACGATATATCAGGACAGACCTGCCTCGCCGAGCATCTAAGTATCTTGTAGCCTAAAGAAAATCACGAAACTGCCCACCATGTCCATGCCGATCCGGCAGCCTCGCGGTCCCTCCTCCAACCCCTCTGCCGACTCCTTCAACCCATCCTCGGGCAACAATTCGCCTCCATCCGCAGACCAAGAATCACATCTTCGGCGCAGCAACACGATCGGGTCAACGCGACACCAGCCGTCAGCTTCTATCTCGGCGTCAGCGGCCGCGTCGGGCGCGTTCCACGGGAGCAAGTTCAGGTCGGATACGAGAGGAGGTCGATTCCGGTCAGGTAGTTTGAGCAATGGGAACAATAGCGGGAGTGTCAAGGTGGGAGCGAGTGAGAGCGGGTCGACCTTGTCTCGCAAGCCGAGCGGAAGGGATGTCGAGGTCGTTCATGAGGATCAGGAAAGGGAGGGGGGTGCGGAGGGGTTGAATAGGCAGAGCAGTCTTCCGAATCGCCGAGGTGAGCTCATAGGCTGGAAATGTGGGGACCTGCGCTGACTCTAGGTCACCGCGTTGCCGTCTCATCCTACCGCCCACCCATGCCCGAGTCTATGGGCCCACCTCCTCGTCCCCCTCGCCGAACCTCTACGGCAGGTCAAGACTCAGCCCCTGGACACAACGTATCCCACTCCATGTCGTCCCTCGCTAGCATCCCGAACCCTTTGCTCAACACCCCAGCACAACCTACCAGCGTCAGCAGGACACAGAGTCTTCGGAGCCAAGCTCGGCACGTTGCATCGGCCAGTGAGGCGGATATTCAGCACGGTCTAGGTCGAAGCTCAAGCTTGCGACAAGCAGGAGAGGTATGTTCACCACTGAAGCTCAGCTGACGACAGCATCATCGATCTTTATCTGCCATCGCTTCTCCTCCTACTCCAAGCTCAGCCTTCCCGCCAGCTTCGTCCACCGCTGCGCTCCCTCCCTTCTCGCTTCCCACGCAGCAAGGGGCAGATATCAAGCGGCACCAGTCTCTCGGCGCGAGTCACTATGGCAGAGGACGCGGACACCTTACCCTCTCTCCTCTCGATCCGCGCATGTACGATCCCTCTGAAGAGGCGCCACCAACATCGCCGATCGGTCGGAGCGTGTGGGCGCCGAATCAGCCTTCAGTAGGCGATGACGGCTGGTCTCGGAGTATCCAAGGCGTCCAGGAAGCATTCACAGCCATGAACTTCCGGGGAGGCCAGGACGGGCCCGGCTCGCACCTCGGCGGTCCGCTCACTTATCCGCACGCCCAGGAGGAACCCAGCTGGGTCGCCAACCTCGTGGGCGGTCGAGACAACTCGCCTGCACCCCCGCTCCGCGCCCCCTCTGCGCCGGCATCACCATGGCAGAATGATGCCCTCCGACGCGCCGGTGGAGGCCAATTCGGCAACCAGATCTGGCCAGACGGACAGGGTTACATCAACCTCAATTACCTCCAGCAACAGCAGCAGCAACAACAGCATCAGCAGCAGATGATGGCTGTCTATGGCGGAATACAGCAGGGGTACAAGAATGGCGGAATGTCGCCGATGCCGCCGAACGGGTTCTACAATCAGCCTCCGCCGCCTCCGCCAGCGCAGGATCAGGAGGTGATTGAGCTGGCGAGGAAGAAGGGGCTGAACCCGGCTACTTTCGACTGTCGCCCGCACAACGTATGTCATTCCTCCTTTTGGGTAAAGTCCATGCTAATCATCAGGCCCGGTTCTTCGTTATCAAGTCCTACACTGAGGACGATGTCCAAAAGTCGCTCAAGCACGAAATCTGGTCGTCCACCGTCCTTGGTAATAAGCGACTCGATACCGCCTTCAAGGAGAATGCCGGACGGGGTCCAGTCTACCTGTTCTTCTCGGTCAATTCGTCTCGCCATTTCTGCGGGGTAGCTCAGATGCTCACTGCGTGAGTGTCTTTTCCCGTCACAGTGGGGTTGTGCTGAATTTGAAGTGTGGATGAGACGCAGTCCAGCACGGTCTGGGCACAGGACAAGTGGAAGGGTATCTTCAAGGTCAAGTGGATCTTTGTCCGAGATGTCCCCTCCGTGTGAGTTCCTGGTATATGCCGGAGATCGAGAGCTGATCGGTAGCATGCTCCGCCATATCCGCTTGATCAACACCACCGAGCAAAAGCCCATCACCAACTCACGGGACACGCAGGAAGTGCACTATGATGGCGGGTGCGAGGTACTCCAGATCTTCCTGGAGCATCAGAATAAGAGCAAGACGAGTCTCTTGCAGGACTTTGCGTACTATGAGGTGAGCTCTCCCGTAGAATCTTCGTGTGACCGCTAGCTGACTTCGCAGAACATGTCTCAGAATCGCCCGACCGGCGCACCTAGCCCAGGTCCCAACGGCGGCCAGCCAGGCTTGATGCTCCCCCCGCCACTCCCACCTATGCCGATGCCGATGCCCCCCATGCCGATGCACCAGCACCCGCAGCAGCCGTACATGCCTGGCATGAACGGCGTCCCGCCCGTCCCCACCATCCCTTCTCGGTATCGCTAGGACGTGACGGACGATGAACGACAATACGATCACACGATTTAGTAACTTGACGAGTGCCTATCATATTTGCTCGAGTTTCATTCTTGACGCTTCTCATCATACAAACTTGACGATGGTGAGGATTGAAGGGGGGTCCTCATATGTACGATATGCACTGGATGATGGAGTTCATGTCTCCAGCTCGGAAAGGCCCTGACCGGACCATCATACGGATTGATCAACGCTCACGTACTCGGTTGCATGCGGGAGGACTGTATCATTTGCGCCACGCCAGCTAGGGTATCTAAACCCTACATCTCCTCTGGGTCCTGCACTAACGAACCCTCAGTCAGCTTCGAGGTCCCCAAAGTCGGATCCGCCTCCGGTCGCTTCAGTGCCACTCCCCAGTAGCCACTGCTGTTGCCAGTCTCCGTCCTTGAGGGCTTCCGAAGCACTTGGGTGAAACTTTGCCCTCGCTTCTTCTCGTCAAGCATGAGCTTCATCGCGCGGAGCGCGAGTATCATCGCCACCTGGTCCCACTGCGTCATCTGCTCGAGAGTGGGCTCATTGGGTTTGCTCGCCCTGGCAGCGTCAAGCTTCAACTGCTGCTGGTAGTATCCGACGGAGGTGTACTGGTCGGCCCAGGCTTGCGGGTCGGGGTCCTCGGCTTCACGAAGATTGGTCTTGCAGCTCGACACGATCTCGCTGCTACGCAACTCCGTAGCAGCATTGATGAGCTTGGAGTACTCAATGATCTCACCCGCTTTGACGAGGCTCTCACCCTCCCGGCCCCATACAGGTTGCAAAGTCATCACGCCGTCTGCGGTATCCTTTTCCACTTAAGCTTCAGCTGAGAGGACATGTGCAATGAGAGCTCGACTTACACATGGTGATGGTGGCCTTGATGTCGGCGTGCAGCGCTTCAATTGTCCCATCCCATGGCTTTCCAGCTGCCGCGTACACGCGCTCGCGCAAGTCTTCGATGTCGATGTCGGTGTCACTGTCGAGATCCGTGCCGCTCGCGCTTGGAACATTGCTCGCGGTAGCCGAGACAAACATCCTTGGTCTGGTAAGTTTGTGATGAGTAGATTGAGGATGTAGTGGAATCCTTGAGGAAGTAAGGATGCGGAATGCACAGAGCGAGTCGGGCGCTGCACTGTCATATATGTACTCCGCTGGTCAGTGGGATCTGCTCAGCTGCGCCAGTCATCGGCCTTCTCGCACGCCATCCCGCGCCGTCTGCGCTGAGCCAGAAATCTCGCTCATTGTCCGATCAGCAATCCAATAGTACGTCGCTTGCGAGCCGAACCGCCGCGACCTGCCCCTGCGATGTCGGGATTCAAATCATCCTTTGTGGACGAGCAGTGAGTGCCACTTGGCGTGTCAGATTTCGGTCTGCGCGCTCGATGGTGGCTTCGTCCGTCCAAGGGCAGGGACTGCTGGATCTCCGCCGCGCCCACGATTATCGCGTGCGAAATGTGGGCTGAGTGCAATTTGATGTCTGTTGACTTCTTCGATTACGCTTCCGTTTGGCTGAGCGGACAGTGGGGTCAGATATTCAGCTGTAAGTTCCAGTGTAGATGATATCTCCGCTCTCTTCTGGGTGTTTACAGCAGCTTGATAGAAAGGGGTGGCATCCCCATGACCAGCATGGATGTTGAGGTGAGTCCGGCCCATGTAGACTGGGCATACATGCGTAGAATCGTCGGCCTTGACTCACAAGCCTGGGCTACCCAGACATGCCGTTCCTGAGGTTATCATATTCTGCAGTATCAGCTACATCCCTAAGTCTTTGCCCTTCCCACTTGCTCCCTTATACCTTCGCGTGACCAAACGAGACCGATCTCAACACACCCACCCTCAAACCACCATCGTCTGTCCTCGCACCGAGAGAACAGCCAGACTTACTGCTACCGGGATACCTCAACTCATTCTCGCGCCACTCCAATCCGCCAATCGCCTCCTTGACCGTCCTGACCAGATTCCGACCCGTCTCCTCCGGCGGGTCCCCAGAGAGCTCCCACCACATAGCCCCGCCGAGCCCCTGCTGATCGATGTATGCGGTCTTCTGGAGCGAGATTTGCTGTGTGTCGTACGTGATCAAAAGGCGCTTCTGGCTGAATCGGTCAGTCCCTTCATATCATATGGGTAGAGCGACGGGACGTACGGGTCATAGCTGTACGAAGCGCCGATCCGCTGATCATTCACTTCCTGTGCTCCCTGCTGGGGTAACGCCTTGTAGTCCCAATTGCCAGCCTCCCATGAGCCCTCGCCGACGCCCGAGTAGGGCTTGCCGATGCCTTCGGTACTGGCGAATGCGCGACCGTAGAGGGGCATACCTGGCGCTCAGCTCAGCTCACACAAGTACTCACCCACTACGAGCTTGCTCGGATGGACGCCAGCCTGTGAGTAGAAGCGCACGGCCTTGTCGACGGAATTGCCATTCGAGTTGTCGCTGTATAGGTTCGATTGGTGACCAGAGACCGAGTCCCATGAGCCGGCGAACTATCATCAGCGTTGCAGACGAGGTGCCTTACATCGTATGCCTATGAGGATCAGCCCAGTCGATGCTTGTTGCGCGGGTTCCACATACCATCAGGTTCCAAAAGTCTATCGAGCGATCCATCTCGGCCACCTTCAGAATCTGCATGTTCTCCAGACCGCATGGCGCAGCCACGGTCAGCTGATACTGACCCTGACGGCTTCCTTTGGAATGAGCGAGGTGCTCCAGTCCTGCGCGCAGCTCAGCGAGGAGGGATACGTAGCCGGCCGCATCTGAGGGGTTCTTGGGGTACTCGTAGTCGATCTAGAAGTCAGCTGGGCCCTTCAAGCGAGAAGGAGGGCCTACGTCAAGCCTGAGGATCAGCTACGCTCTATAGCTATGGCTAGCTAGTAGTCATCTCACCCGTCCAATCCGACATCTTCCACCATTTTGACCGAGGACCGCACAAATGCCTGTCTCCAAGCTGGATTGGCAATGTTGGCGAAGTTCTGACAGTCAGCTTTATCCATGTCGTGATAGAGTAGTGAGCTTACGGGAGAGTATGTCCATCCCCCGATGGACATAAGCACCTTCAAATTCCTATCATCAGCCCCACCATAAGGGAGACATACCGATTCTGCTGCTTGAGTTTGTAGATGGCCTTGAGACAACCGTAGAGGTTCGTCCCTTGATCATTCCAGCTATCTCCGTCATAGTGTATCTGCCATCATGAGCTATGAAGGGATCACCGAGTAAGCCGACTCACCTCGACGTCCGCCCAGGAATCGCTCAACACAACCTCGCCCGATTCCTTTTTGACGTTCGCGAACGCGTAATTGATATGGGTGAGGTGCTGATGAGGTATCGCCTGAGGAGGGAACTTGCGGCCGTATATACCCCTGATCGTCAGTACTGACGGTAAGTGGAGTACATCAGGAAACGGCTGACCAGTTCACCTGTCCCCATCAGCCAAAGCGGGTTTGCAGGGAAAGGCGATGCGAGCTCACAAAGTACCCGACATTCCGCTTACCCTGCATCTTGTCACTGGCTTGTAGCGAATGAAGCCAGAATTTAAGCGCGGAGTGAGATCGAGAGGCGACCGAAGTGGTTGTCGAGCTAGAGTATAAACCCAAGAGGACGAGCGCAAGGATGCTTCCGAGCGCGATGAGCCGGTTTCTCGTTCGCTTCGCGAGTGGATCTGGGCGCAGCTTGGCCGGGTGCAGAGAGCTTGATGATTCTGACTGTATATCTGTTCCGCTACGTGGGGTGTCTGCCATTACCGAGATAAGTGGTGAAGGGAAGATGCGTCAACGCGGGCTCGGTATCAAAGCTGTGTCTCGCGAGGATGCGGATTTCCCGCACCGCATTCCTCAACCTCGAATGACGTCATCCTAATTTCGCCCGCACTCAGTGACTCAGCCGCACTCGCTACCGCAGAATCTTCGATGCATATGCTGAGCTTCGTGTATGTTCTATGATCTACCGTATCAATCTGACAATTCCCATCTGCCACACATACAATCAGACAGACTATGCGCTACAGGCAGACCTGAGACCTCCCTTTTTCCCCATCTACGACCCGACCGCCCCGGTCTACACCCTCTTCGTTCGCTTCCCCGTCTGCTGACCTGCGGGACCTCGCTGCCCCGCATCCCCACCCTCATCTCCGGGCATCTCATCAGGCGTGACCAGATCAGTGCTGGACACCCCCGACATGGTTCGCCACGCCTCGTCCCCCACCTCCAGACTCCGCTTCCGATTGTTGTAGTCGCCAAAGACCATGTTGGGTCGAATGGTTGCGCCGCCGGTAGCACTCGAGCCAGAAATGTCGGTGCTACTCCCGCTGGGCTGGATAGTAGACGACGCCGACGACTCAGGCTGACCGATTGCGAGAGGTATAGGTTGTCCAGTGATGAAGTTGAATGTCGAAACATCGGGCATCATCCCGGTTTGGAGAAATTGCTATCAGATCAGCTTGGCCAGTACACAATGGAGATGGACTGACAGCGAGCACGATTTGGTACGTGTCATCACTCCACCCCATCCCTGCGAGAGGGTTCCTCATCTCGGGTCCCCTTCCCAACAGCCCGCTCGCCTCGGCCGCGCCCTGCGCGACAGCTTCTTGCAGTCTTTGATCCGAAAGAGGCGGTACGCCGACGGACCGCGGGACCTCGGCCGAGAGCTGAAGCGCCTTCATGTGAAGGAGGTGCTTGTCGAGGATGCAAAAGAGACCATGCTTGGTGAACGGCTTGGCGAGGACGTCGTTCATTCCGGATTGATAGTATGACACCACGTCCTCTGCAAGATCAGCTAGGTCCTCTACATCAGCGAGACACGTACGAGGCTGGTTGTTGGACGTCATCGAGATGATTGGCGTGTACGAGTCAAATTGTCGAATCAAGCTGGTCGCTTTCCGCCTATTTGTCAGCTCGCCCAAATCCAAGACTTACCCGTCCATGCTTGGCCCAAAGAAGATATCCATCAAGACCAAGTCGTATTTGGTGCTGTTCATCTTGGCTATCGCCTCGTGCGCATTCTCCACCGTCTCCACCACACAGCCAAACTTCTCTAAAAACTTGCTGCTCAGCTGCCGATACACCATGTCATCCTCGACCACCAAGATGAGAGGTGTCTTGTTCCAGTGAGGCTGATCGACGCTTCCACGCCGAGCCGCCTTGGAATTGGGAGAATCGCCATTGGACTTGGTCGAGTCTTTTTTCTTGCCCTTGGACTTGACGCGAGCGGCGGGATGGACGGAGGATTCGGGAGGAATGAGGACCGTGCCGAAAGGTGAAGTCTGGACGATGGATGTCTGGCGAAGGGGTGTCTGTTGCGGGAGAGGGCGAGCTCTGGCTGGCATGACCGGCTCGGATGGATCCTCGGTCGCGTTGTACCCCGCGGCTGACGCGCCCAGAGCCTCCATCATCAACCTGTACGCCACCCCGTCCGAGTTTTTCCGATGGTACATCGGCATGGGTACTGTGACGCCTTTGGTAAGCCACGCGGGTGGCTCATTATACACTGGCGCCCCATTTTCCATCCGGTAGGTCGACTGTTCCGGGATGGAGGGCATGATGTCGCCCTCGTCACGAGGAGCTTGGGCGTACCAGTACGATCCCGAACCGGTTGATCCAGGTGCCCCGTCAAATGAGTTCCGCGAGCCGTCCGTTTGTGGCGAGGCCGTCGTACCTGAGGTGGCACCCGGCTGGTCGGCGGACGTGGGCTGTCGCGGGGGTTGCATGAAGCCATAGGGGTGTTGAGGGCGGGGATGGTCAGACGTGAGCTGCTCGAACATCTGCCACATGTATCTGATGCGCGGCGAAGGACCACCAGATCCGGGTGTTTCGACGGGAGATGATGAGGCTGGTCAAGTACTCAGTATGCTAATCCATTATATACAACGAGATGACTTACCCCTTTCAGTCGCGGTCATATGATTCAAGATCTCCCTCAACAAGCCCGAGGTGGCTTGCTCCCTCATTTTTGCTTTTTGCACGTCCTCCACTGCGGATAAGAGCTTTTCTTCCAGCCCTCGTACTCGCGCCTCCATCTCGGCGAATCGATTGAACTCCATTTGCGGAGGCGGTGCGGCCGTCTGTGGAGGTGGTATGTATTGAGGCGCGGGTGGCAAAACAGCAGCGGGTGAGGTCTCTGCTTCTGGCTCGGTCTTTTTAGGTACTGTGATTTTTCTCTGCATGTCAGCATGATCGAGGATAAAAGACTTGCCTTTATCGACTCGAGGTCCGACCCGCCACCGGCCTGAAAGCTGGGGTGTTGGAATTCCCATACCTGAATCAGCTCTGAACATCGTATGGCTCACATTCTCCCGCAGAACGCCAGTCTCTTCATCAATATGCTTGATCTGAGAGTCAGCATATATCAGTCTTCACTACAGGAAACGCACCTTTGAGAACCCGTACTTGTTCAGCTGTCGAACAAAACTGCTAAAGTTCGAGTGGCGGAAAGTTTGAGGTCTGCAATAAGCTCTCTTCTACAACATGACTCACAGTACTTTGGTCGAAAACTCGTTCATATCCCAAACGACAAAGCTCGATCCGCCTCTTGCCCACGCGACGCTTCCTCGCTGCCCACCCGGCCCTCTTGATTTACCGGGCTCAAATCCCTGCCCATACGTCTCATCCTCTTCTTCCAGCATTTTGAACAGCTTCTTGACGAATTCGCTCGGCCCTGCTGACGATTGTATCTCTCCCGCCGGCTTTGCAGCTGTGACAGCAGTCTGGGGGACCGCCGGCAAGGGCGTGGTGGTGAATCCGCCAGGTCCCTGTCCGCTCCCCCCTCTCCCGCCCACGTTGGGGTCGTGCGACACCAGATCGTCCAGCTTGACGGATCGGGAGGCGTTGAAGCCGCCCCCTCCGCCCTCCTCCGACCGCCCGGTCGTAGCCATAGAGTTCGCCGACCATGGCCCTGGGGTGGGCGGCGATTGTCCCGATGCCATGGACCGCGCTCCATATTGTGTTGGCGGGTAATTGGCGTAGAGGTCGCGCGATAGGGGAGGTAGAGATGTCCGCGATGGTCCAGCTTCAGAATTGGTGAACTCATTCAGCTGAACGCCGCCTTGCCAATGCTGGTCGGGATAATGTTGCGGATGGTAAGACTCGGCACCGTGATATGAGGGATAGGAGGGGTATGGAGCGTTGGAGTACGGTCGCTGTGAGGGATGATCGTTTGCGGTATACAGCTGACCCCGACTGTCGTCGTCGCCTGGGTAGGGCCGATGCGAGCGATTCTGCTGAGACATTGGAGATGTCGTGAATCAGAGTTACACCTCGGCGGGAGAGGACTGAATCGTTGAGGAATGTGCCTTGGACACGTTGGCGGGTGTGCGGGCGATGAGAAGCGAGGACTGGCTCTGTCTCTTTGGTGTTTGAGTGTATAGTAGACGTACGTGTCTATTATGCTGATGTGAGAATGTTGGGGTGTGGAGGTATGCCTTTGCGGCTGCTAGACTATAGCTTAGCTTTCTTTCATCTCCACTTCAGGCACCACGCCGAAGTTCCGAATCTGATCCCGCTAATCCTCCGCTATCGCCCCTGTTGGCCTGTTGCTCCCTGCTGCCTCGATCATCCCGTACCTCAGATGCCTCGTGAGCATGGATGATATCATCAGCAGATCACCTGCAAGCAAGACTGCAACCGAGCTGAGAGTCGCAATGCAAGCTGGGAGTATTGATTTGAAGGCGTCTCCATGGACTGCCGTGTCCGCGAGGCTTGACGTCAGCAAAGTGGCAAATTCCAGCAAAGCTGTCCGAATTCCAGTGCCTGGGGGACAGCGAAGATCCTTCCAAACTGTTTCAGAGTGTATTCTCCGAAGTTTAAAGACAGGCACAAGCAAGAAGGCGTTGGAGTCGTGGTGACAGAAGGAGACAAGGCTGGAGTAGTTTTGCATGCGTGTCTGGATGTGGGAGGGCGGCTCAGCGGCCAAAATGATTATCTTCCGACGGATGCTAATTGGCGTGCTTTGCTTCGAGCCATCAGCCATGCGCCAATTACTGCAGATGCCTTTGCATCGTCGTCCTTGATTACACCGAGAAGCAGATGGCGCTTGAATAAGAGACTCTCAATGTTAGGGGTGTATCATGTGGAAGAGCGCGCTGTTTCTTGTTCCTATGATCCGGGGTCAGATATGAGAAACGCCTGACGACATCTGTCAAGTGCTAGATTTGGCTAGCCATCAGTCCAGCCCTTATTCAGTATACATCGAGCGCATGCACTGTATGGCATCTACTGTGACCTTCCTGCGTTCCGCCGCGTTACGGCTGGCTGACGCTTCCTTACCGGCCTTACCGACCTGAGGACCTATAGCCGGCCTTGTGCTGCGTCGCGGCCTCCAATCGCCTATCGGACAGATATGAGGTATGGCTTGATCAGCTCAGGAGTTGCAGATGCTCGTAAGGTGGGAAGGGCGAAATCAGCATGTTATAGGCAGCTTCATGCGTTTCCTCAGTGTAGCCCGTCGAAGAGAATTTTGCGTCAAAATTGGGTCAAGCATACAGTCACTGCAGCCGCCTCGCCAGCTTGCTAGATACTCGCGGGTCGTGGTAGGCCAGGGTGCCGCGCCGAGATCACTGCGAGACTGCGATGCACGTCGATGCAACGCATCACGCGCACAGAAGGCCGGCTCCGCGGAGCGCCGCGGATGCTACCTCGGCCCGGAGTCTGAAACTCGGCCGACTTGCCTCCTTGGGTATCTCCTCAAAGCTTCTTAAGCCCTCCTTCGTGAGTCATTTCCCTCCTTTGCCTCTTATTCACGCCTCACAGCTACACTATGCCCATGACCGCACGGCCCCTCCGCGCGCTCATCTCAGGCGCAGGCATCGCCGGCCCTGTCCACGCTTACTGGCTCAAGAAAGCCGGTCTTGACGTCACCATCGTCGAACGCGTTCCTCGGCTCCGGCGAGAGGGTCAGACCATCGACGTGCGGAATGAAGGGCGGGAGATATTTGACAGGATGGGGATCACCAAGTCGGTCATGGCGGTGACCACTAAGGAGCTGGGCGTTCAGTTTGTCGGGGCGGACGGCGGGATCTGGGGGTCTTTCCCGGAGGATGGGTCGGACAGCTTTACGAGCGAGATCGAGATCGTCCGCGGGGAGCTCGCTTCTATCCTTTACGAGCACACCAAGGAGGACGTCCAATATCTCTTTGGTGACTCGATCACTGCGATCGAGCAGGACGCGTCCAGCGTCTCGGTCACATTCGCAAAGGACGGGCGGAGGGAGCAATACGATCTCCTCATCATCGCGGACGGTCTCAATTCGCGCACTCGGGCTCTGGCGTTCGACCAAGACGTCCGGGCACCCATTAAAGTCCTCAACGAATGGTTCGCGGGCTTCTCCTTCCCCAAAGGTCCGACCGATACGGACTGGGCGCAGTGGTACAATGCGTCCGGACGCCGGGCGATCCTCCATCGTCCAGATGGGTTTGGGCGGATGCGGTCGCTCTTTGCCCACATCGATTATACGGAGGCGACTCGGGCGATTGGGAGCTCCAAGACGTCAGTGCAGGACCAGAAGAAGTACTGGGCGCAGCTGTACAGGGATGCCGGATGGGAGAGCGAGAGGCTGGTGAAGGGGATGATGGAGTCGGACGACTTTTACATGTACGAGGTGGCGCAGGTCAAGGCGGAGAAATGGAGCACGGGAAGGGTGGTGCTCTTGGGTGACGCAGCATCCTGTCCATCACCCATCAGCGGACAAGGGTCGAACGTTGCGGTGGTGCAGGCGTACGTCCTCGCGGCGATGATCGCCAAATACCCCAACGATCACGCGGCGGCTTTTGCGGAATACGAAACCTCCATGCGAGAATGGGTTGAGGGAATCCAATCCCTCCCCCCCGGTGCGCCCGCCTTGGCGGTCCCCCAGACGTTGACCGGTATCCTCATCCTCAACTGCGTCGTATACATCGGCTCCGCGCTCGTCAATTCGGGCGTCATCAACCTCTTCAAGCGGTGGTTTGGCCGGGCGGACAAGGGGTTTCCTCTGCCCCCGATGTCAGTCTTCGGGAAGGTGTAAGGTGGTGGGGTGAAGGGGGGTAACGTGGAGGGGGAGGCGGTATCACAGAGGGTGAAGGGTGGGGAAGAAGGGGGAAGTAGGCCGGGAAGATGAGATGGGGGAAAGGCGGCGCAGGAGGGCATCCAATTGGTATCGTCGGGGAAGCAGAAGGATCGTAACGCTCAGTAGGCAATCGAAAACCGGACGATAGAGACTGTACATAGAGTAGACTGGCTTGTGCCATAGAGTGCGGTGTAGAATAGGGTGATCTTGTCTAAATAGGGGTGCTGTAAAGATAACCTCACAGGAATGCATACAGTCACAACTTCTTTCTACAATCTACACCACTTATTCAAATATCGAACCTGCTCTTCAAGCTCTTGGCCATATCCTCGACGGTCGTCTCGAGCGAGTGGTACTTGATGTCGAGCACCTTGGCGCACTTGCTACCATCGTGGATAGTGCTCTCGCTGTTGATCTTCTCGCGGGCACCCTCGCTGGCGTCACCCTGGGGGATCTTCTTGTCATCGGGGTAGAGCTTGTTGAGGATCTGAAAGTCAGCAAGGTCAGAAGGAAGTAGGGAGAACGGACGTACCACGCAGTAGTCGTTGCCGCTGAAGGGGCCATTACCGCAGATGAACCGCTCTCCGCCGGCTTCCTTGACCTCGAGAGCACGAACGTGGGCGAGCGCACCTAATACGATCAGCTCGTCTTTCAGCGCCTAGCGCCTACATAGCTAGAAAACGTACAGTCGCGCACGTCAACCCAGTTTCCACCACCACCTGGGAGATCGTCCTTGGTCTTGTTTCCCACCATCCAGTCCGAGAACATTTCTGCGAGCTGTCAGCGTAGTGTCATGATCGACAGAGGCGTCAAAATGCGACAGGTACTCACTGACGGAAGTGTTGAGCTTGTCAACAGACTCGCACTGGTGGATGACTGGGCCAAGAACCTGATGAGATCAGCGCGTGCTCAGTAAGCTGAGAGAAAACAGCAGGAGAGGACTGACCATAGGCGGGTTGATGGTCGCTCCGTCCCAAGACGGCTTCTCCTCCTTCTGGAACTTCCAGAACGCCTGCTCGGCAAGAGTCTTGCTCGCTGACCTGTCAGCCCGTACCTCATCTGCATGAGGATCAACTCACCCCTGTACTTGTCCGAGTTGCTCGCCTTCTTCCCGTCCTTCTCGCACGCCGGAATCGACACCTCGTTCCAGTCCTTCTCGGTGAAAGTGTGAGGCGGCTTGATGTTGCTCGAGATGATCGCCGCGACCGACGAGGTGATGACCACGCGCTTGACATCCGGGTTGTTCTTCTTTATGGACTTGAGAACACCGAGGGTACCGTTCACAGCGGGGACAAAGAGCTCCTGTGGGTCGTCGGCCTCAAAGTGGAAGGGCGAGGCCATGTGGAGGACGGCGTCGACGTTCTTGACGGCCTCGTCGAACGCGTTGTCCTTTCCATCAGCTCATGTTCTTCGCAGTGTAGGGGAACTCACCTGTCCGATATCCTCGACGATGACATAGCTAAAGTCACCCTTGCCCTTGAAAAGGTCCTTCAAGTAGTCTCCCTTCGCGGTGCTTCGGACGGTACCGACAGTCTTGTAGCCGTGCTCGAGGAGCGCCTCGACAGTGTGGGACGAGATGAAGCCGGAAGCTCCAGTCACGAGGACGGTAGCGCCTTTTTGGATGGGAGACATTGTAATGCGTAAGCGAGTAGTATATACAGATGGGGAAGCGATGGATGTATCGAAGACAGGGGAGATGGAACAGCAGAGAAGGCGGGCTATCTATATTTGGGAGCTGGCTGAGCGCTGAGCTGACATCATGACGCTCCACTCGACCACTCGGCGAGCTCGGCGACCGGACCGCGAGATGCCGACATGCGTCGGCTTCGGTGTTTCTCATGAGCTTCGCTCGAGATCATCACTTCGTGCCACAGCATAGGACGTGCAAGGCGAGGACGAGGGGTTCAGAGGTAATGAAAGTAAAGCGGATACATGTGCAAGCAGAATCCAGAACGGAATATCACATCTACGGCAAGCCTACTCTGCCCGGGCCTTCCAAGCGTGCCCGGGGTTCCGTCATGTTATATGAGCGCCGGCACGGCAACGCGGATCGTCCTGGGTTGTCAGCTCTGATCCGATATTCGACGGGTAGGGCTCACGAGTCGTCAGCGGGGTGCTCGGCGTGCAGCTGGTCCGGGAAAACGACCCTCGCCCGGCTGTATATCTCTTCGATGATGACCCGCCTGATCCGGCCCCAGATCCTGTTGTTGACGGAGCGGCCGATGATGGTGTAAGAGGGCAAAATGTGGGTGACATTACCAGCAGCGGTGTGGAGCTGGGCGATGAACGTCGAGGAGGAGGGCTGGAGGTGGGTCTCAATCGAAGTGATTTCGGGAAGGATGGCATTTACGTCCGGTAGATCCCGGTCCAAGTAGCCTTGACTGCGATGTTAGCCATGCACCAGACGTAGAAAGCGCAGAGTGCTCACCGCATGGTTACTGTGTAAAAGCCGTCGACAGCCCGGACCTTGCGGACGACATAGCGGTCGTGATCAGGTACATGCGCGACACCGTATCCGATGACGGTCATGAAGATCTGCTCGTCAGCTCTGACCGACCCCGACCGAAGAAGCACTCACTACGACCTGCGGCAGGGCAGGGTACCGGCGCAAGAACGTGACAAAGGAGTGGGGAACACCTTTGGCCGCCGAGTCGTTACGGTAGAAGATGGCTGTGATCGGGATCCGCGGGAGCTGCTGGTCGCTATCGTCCGACTGCTTCAGCATCACTGCCTGCGAGGTCGAGAGCGCCATCTCGTCCTTGATCGAAGTGAGAATATGGGTGGTGTCGACCGGTCCCTGGTACTGCGAGAGGACTGAGCGGAGATTGACATGGTTGTTTTGCTCAAACTTGTCCTCCAGCTGTCTGCACCACGCCCAGACCGACATGAGCACGGCACTAAAAATCAGCTTAGTCCCGCATATGGACTTACAGTGATCCACCCAGAGCGAGCGGGAACCATCCTCCGAGAGGCACCTTGGTGAGCGCCGCTCCCCAGAACAGTCCATCGAGGAATCCGAAGAAAAGGAGGAAGGCGACACCGAAAACGTAGGGAAGCATCCGGACGAAGGGGATCGAGAGACTGATGAGAGTAGTAGTGATGAACAGCACGGTGGACACGGCGAACTATCGTCAGCGCTATTCTTGAAGGAGACTCACTCCATACGCCAGGGTCAAGGCAGTGGATGAGCCGAAACCGCCAACAACAGCGATCGTAGCAATCATGAGCAGCCAGTTGATGGGTCCAATGTAGATCTGGCCGGCTGTCAACGAGCTGGTATGCTTGACACGAAGCGAGGGGAAAGCGTGTTGGCCAATAAGCTGGTGGACGAGGGAGAAGGTCGCCGTGATCATGGCTTGCGAGGCAATCAGAGTGGCGAGAATGGCGAAGACGAAGACGACCCAGTACAGCGGCCCGCCGACATTACCAGGGATCGTCATATAGAAGACTGAGCCGATGACTTCTGGCGAGGTGATCAGGCGCGCTCCTTGGCCCTGATTGTCAGCTGATTCTATACGAAAGCTCACCAAGTAAGCCAGAAGTAGCATCGGGTAGGCGATGCACCCAAAGCCGATTCGAATAGAGGCCTTGTTGAATTGTCCGAGATTGGCAAACATCGCTTCACATCCGGTGATCGCCAACAAGACACCGGCGAGATAGTCGTACTGTCCTGTCCGGACGAACCACATGATCGCGCGAGACGGGTCGAGCGCGCGCATTATACCGGGATAGGTGGTGATGTTGTAGATACCGGTAGAGCCGAGGAGGAGGAGCCAGATGAACGTGACTGATATCAGCTATGAACGGGACGGGACTTACTTGGCGCCATGGCGAGACTGAGTCTGCGCGTGCCGAGGGGCTGGATACCGAAGAGGACGAGCAGGAATGCGATGGATATGGGAACGACTGAGCTGATGACGCTGGGCTGCGCAACGGCCAAGCCTCCCACCGCGGAAGTCACGGAAACGGCGGGTCTGGAATCAGCACGATCATAGCTACGACTCACGTCAAGATACCGTCCGACAAGGTCAGACCGGTCCCTAGCAGAGTCCAGCACAGGAGGGGCCATCTAAACGTGCGGAGCTTGTGCAGCCTGGTCACCTGGACGCGCGAGTGCCCGACCGAGAAGGTCGTGAGGGACCGTCCGTCGTCCGGCTCGACGCGAGGGAAGAGCTTGGTGAAGAGAGCAAAGGGTCCGCCTTCGCCTACGTCGTTTCCGAATTCGAGAGCGAAGCCGACCTGGTCGTCAGGCGATTCGGTGAAGAGCTCTTGAGGGGACGTACATATTTGACAAGGGGGATCAGGGTGATGGCCCAGATGATGGCCGAGATACCGCCAATCACGTCCTCCTCGGACGGCGCCTCGCCGCTGGAAGGCCAGATTCCGTTCAAGACGTACAGCGGGGAGGTACCTAGATGTCAGCGTCTTTCTTACCTGGCGCTGAACTCCTCGAAACGGAGTGAAGACTGGACTCACCGATATCAGAGTAGATGATACCCAAAGTCGAGAAGGCAAGCGCCAGTAGAGATGCACCTTGCACCTTGAGCGCCTTCTGCTTGTACGCCAGCTCCTTCTCCGACTCGATAGAATCGAACGTCTCGGCGTTGAGCGCGGGGGGTGCAGCGAGCTTGGACATGGTGTAGTAGCACTGAGTGGCGGGGAGAAGTCAGCGTGTCTGCTCTGTCTGTGCGCAGACTTGTACAAAATCTCTTATCAGTGGAGGTAAGTTTGATCTCGAACATATCTAGCGTAACAAATCCCTCATCGCGAAGGAAAAGCAGGAGCGCTCGCGGATTGGAGTAGAAATGTCCCGCATCTTGTATCGGGGTGAACTCGCCATGTTATTCGGGGATATATGAAGATCTGTGTGAAGTACCAGGCAAGGGGATCTGGGTGAGGAGGTCAGTATTCGGTGACTTGACGAAAATCCCTCAGACTTCGCGCTCTCCGGATTGGAGTAGAAATATCCCGCATTCCTCCAGCTATTGCTGCCGAAGGCTGCAGGTACTGGAGAGCGTCTATTTTGGGATGCGATAACGCTGAGGACGCGGATTGGTCCAGGTTGTGAGGTGCAGGTCTGCGCAGGTGGATCTCAAGACTGCACAAGGGAGGAGTCGGGATGTACAGTCACTTCAAGCGCTGGATCCAACGCGCATTCCTCACACCGCAATTTTCGATAGGAAAATTCCTGCGTGTGCCAGAGTGGGGATGAGTGGGGCATTATGAAGCTATGCAATATGGGAGTGCCCCTTTACTCGCGGATCGAAGCATACTGGTACATACAGATGAGGTTAGACTGATACAAGAGCCACTAAGCTAGAGCTACAACCATGATTATGATATACCCTTCTCAGCACGCCTCCTCTTCCTCCTGCAGCATACCCTTGAGGAGCAAGCGAGTCGACCGCTCATAGTTTGAGGGCAGGTGATCATTAAGCATTGTCCGGGCAAAGATGGCTGGAGGATCAGCTCAATCCCCTACATAAACTTGACAGACTCACGTTCCCTGAACCGCTCTTCGACAGAGGTACATCTCCTCAGAACCTGTCTGTCAGTTTGGCATCCTTGCCCAAGAAGGGTGAAGACTTACAGCTCGATGTGATTGATACATTGAGCTGTCCATACTCGGCGCAACGACCGCTCCTACTGTGGAGAGCACCTCGTGTACTTCCTGTCCGTCAGCCAGACCCGCATGGCACACTCACCATCACGTAGACTATACCGGGCGGGTACAGCTTGTCGTTGTGCATATCCGCCCGAAGTGTGCTGACGAGCGCAACGAGCCAGTCTGCCAGACTGTCGGCATCCGGAGGTTTGACGTCCCCAAACAGCGGGTTTTTGTGCATTCCCACCACCTACCCGTCAGCTCGACTACACTAGGTGGACTTACCCTGCTGAACACCTCTTCTGCGAGGCCCTGTTCCTCCGACATGGTCACTGCGATATTCTTGAGATCCCTCAGCGTCCCCAGGCTCAAACACGGGATAAGATCCGAATCCTGTACGATGGAGCTGACGAGGCCTTCGGTATAACGCGCCAGATCGGGAGACATGACGGCGGGCGGGCCGTACGCGTAGCAGTGAATCGGTCGCCCAGGCGGCAGACCGGACGCAGGCGAGGTGACGAACGCTCCGCTCGGATGAGCCGGAGCTGTGGTGGTGTATGAGGTTGCAGGGATGGCAGTGAGGAGAGCGAGAAGCGCCGCGACTCCGCCCCCTAGGGAATGGCCGCAGATGACTAGACCGTACGTCGGGTACTGGGCCAGAGCCGAGGCGACCGTACGATGTACCCGGCTGTCCTGCGCGCAGAGACCGAGGGCGGCTTCATACATTCCTTCATGAACGTAGTACTCGCCATCTCGGGCGGCTTGGTTGACATTGATCGTACGGTATGCGCATGTGAGGTCCACGAGGATATCTGAGAGGCCGAGGGTTCCCCGACAAGTCCTGCTGATCAGCTGGGTCCTGCATGATCTTGGTGGGCTTACAGTACGATAGCCTCTGCGGCATGGTCGACAGCTACGAAATGTACCAATGGTGGTGCCTTATGCCCGTCAAACATGGGTGATGTGTCGACATACGAGCAGAGCAGTAGGCACTCTATCGGGATCCCAGTATATTGCGCCTGCTGATCAGCTGCGCCACGAGCTTGTTTGAAGGTACTCACGAAAGCCCAGCTATCTGAGTGATGCTGCGCGGTACTGGGGAATGCGTAATCCGAAGTATCAGTCCCAAAGACCCGGAGGAACAGTTGCTAAGGATCAGCGCACTTCATCATACCGTACGGAGTACTCACGCCGTATGCTGCGCTGGAGTACTTCATGAAACGGTGTAGATTATGGAGGAGATGTCGCTGAGGGAAACAGCCGTCCGATCTCGAGTCGCCGTAACTTGACGAGATGACGCGCCTCGTATTTGGCAGCCGAGGCGCGGTGACCGTAGACTGAACCTCGGAGAGTGAGGAGAGCGAAGCCGAGGGCCCCGGAGGTCCTATTGTTGCCATAGTAGCTTGCGCATCGGCAGTGTTTTCCGCCGTGTGGGACACTTCAGCCATCTCGGCGTCCACCTGCTCGAGAGTCATACCGGTCGAGGGCAGGGCTTGTGGTACGAGTGTCATTGGATTCCATTGGTCCTGTGAGGTTGGCGACATTCCGGATCCGGTACCAGCCCGTGCATGAGAGCTGCCCGCCCCGCTCGAAACTGGGCTCTTTTGGGCATTCGCGATCTCCCGAGTGAGGTCTAGCGACCGGGAGCGGACATAGCGGTCGCTCCGGGGCCTTGGCCGGGGTACGGAAACAGATGCAGGGGACGAAGGGGATGTTATTGCTTGGACCCCAGGCGCGCCGCCGTTCTCGAGGGTTTGACTCCGCTTGCGCTTGGGGCGGTTGGGCGAAGAAGTAGGCGCACTTCTCAACGTGACAGCGGCCTGTGTCGCCGGGATAGGATCGGTAAGATATTGCGCGGTCGGAGAGGCCTTGACCGGAGATGATTGCTTGATAGCTGCGACCGGACGAACATGGTAGTTGTGTACCCTGTCTTCAGCCCCCTCCTAAGCTGCAACTCACTCAATCATCTTCTGCTTGCCTCTCGTCCGCTCCCATGTCGTGATTTGCAGACACGCAAACGCCGTGATAGCCTTGGTCAACATCCCCAGTCCGCCGAGCAAGCCCATCTTCTTGCTTTTCCCTTTCTTGCCCTTGACCCTCCCCTCCATGTCCAGCTCGCGGCGCACCATCTCGATGATCGCCGCAAGGGCGCGACTGGACTGCGTTGACCCAAAGAGCCCATCTAGGAGCGTGACGGATTCCTGAGCCGCATGGTGGGCCGTCTGGACCGCGCTCGCCGTGAGGTAAAAGCCGGACATGGCGAAGAGCTCGACGAGGGAGAAGGTGTGTTGGACGATATGAATGCCCATCGACGTGTACTTGTCTAGAGTGAGGAGGAAGGCATCCGTGCTTGCGGGTAGGATGATGTGGGTGTTGAGGGGGTAGGTGTGCGCATGACGCGCAAAGGAGAGAGCGGAGATGAGGAAGCGCCGAGCATAGCTCAGTGAGACCCGGGTAGAGAATTGCGAGACGTCGAGTAGAGATTCGATAAAGTAGACAGCGACGCGTAAAGAGACCCGCGTCGATACCGCAAAGGAGGTGATGATGGCCGCTAGCTCTGGCGAGAGGATAGTGGGTAGATGTGCGAGATCCACGTTGAGGTCGGTCGAGTGGCGAGCGAGGCAGAGGACATTGTCGGGAGGGGCGACGGGGGCCAACGCGCCTTGACAGGGATCTGAAGGCTCCGCAACCGCTGCAGGCGCTTCCTCTGTCGCGCTCGCCATCTCGCTCTGCGGCGATCAAGTTGCCTGGACGGCTTCAACAGCAAGGCTCGCAGCAAGAGCTATGTACGATGGTCACATCGGACGACGGCTGGCCAGGATGGCAGGCAATATCGAGCTTTCCGAAACGTCGCGTCCATTCAGGGCAAGGTTTCAGATCTGCACCAACCTGCTTCACTTCCCACAGACACCGGTGCAACTGCAGTCTTTCGGATCTTGGTCATGCGAGACACGCAAGCAGCTGTTAATTAAGATGCATCACCTGACGAAGCACCTGGCGAGCGTTTCATCCGCTCCGGAACAGCAAGGAGTTCTCCGTTTTGGCCTAGAACACCGACCGGATCCATTTGCCCTATCAGCGCCTGGTTGGTGGGGTTGCCGAGCATGAGATTTCGGACAACCAGAAGGGCGTGTTCGCGGAGGTCTGTATGATGAGCGGAGATCACTACACAAGAAGGTAAGCTTACATGGATTCCCCTCGTCCATCTCTGTCATTCCTAGGACTAGCTGCACTCCGCCTGCTTCCCGCACTTGATCACCGACATCGGTGTCCCCGAACGTCAGGACGCCTAGCAGCTCGACCAAGACCCGCTTCAGCTGAGCGATGGGCCGAGCTTGATCTGGGGGGATGATGGGTGCTGTGGCGTCTGCGCGGGCGAGACGAGGGTTGGTTCGAGGCTGGAAGACTTCCAGTTCTTTGAGGAGGTCTGTCGTTAGAGGGGTACATGGCAGAACTTACCGATGACGGGTCTTATCAAACTCGGTCTCTCCCCATCACCCAACTTCAGCCCCTTGACTACCACCACTCCCGGTACTTGCTTGAGCTCCGCGGACGTCCTGATCCCCTTCTCGTCTATACGCGCCTGTACCGCCAACCCTATCGCACAGAGGATCTCGCAGACCAAATGCAGCCCCTCGAGGACTTTCGGCAGCCTTGGGTCGTCTTGAGCGCTCCTCGTCGCTATGACGCAGTAAGCTGAGAGGAGGTGAAGGACCTGAATGAGGAAGAGGTTGGCGTTCAGGTCGATGTCGCTGTTTCGCTGGATATAGGCGTCAAGGACTTTCAGCAGGGAGGTCTGACTGGGCGAGATGACTTCGTCGACGGAAGCGAGGGCGCCAAAGAGCCGAGGGTGCAGGCTGAAGTCGATGAAGGTGGTGAAGATTTGGGTTGAGAGCTCGAAGCGGCCGTCTGAGGCGTCATGGAAGATTTCGAGCCGATCGAGGAGACGAGAAAGCCAAGAGATGCCAGCGGGAGAAGAGAGGATAAGCTCGCTGAGGTCAGTCGGAGGTCGGTCAAATGACGCACCATCTGTGGCGGGACTGTCTTGTGAGGTTGTTGAGAAGGTGTATGGTGGCTGAATTGGTCTTGGGATCTTTTGAGTCCAGAAGACGCCTGAATATTAGCCTACAGTACTGGGATCCATACCTGGTAGCTCACGCAATGACATCGTCCTCTCTGTTCCCGCTGAGATAGATCGCCAATTTCTCATCCGCTGTTCCCGTTTCGGGAAAGGAAGGGTGAATGGGCGAGATCAGATTGGATAACAGCTGAGTCATTACAGCATGTAGTGTGTGATCTGGTTGTCAGCCCGCGTGAAGGCTGCCCAGCGGATCAACCCACATTTCTCATCTTCAATCCGCGAGAAGGTCGTGATATGAAACAGTAGGGATCTTATCGCTTCCTCGTGTCCGCTTTCCCGTCAGCACTGGCGCCGTCCCCTGATCAGATGACTTACCTAGCAGCTCTCTGGTACTCCTCGATACCAGCCAAGAGATTCCTCTCCAACTTGGCCAGCGCCAAACTCAGGTTGATCAAGTCCTGCTCCTCCGAATCTTGGACGTCGACGAGCTTAGCCGCAGCCGCCTTGGCCAGCCTCTCCCAGACCAGACCGAGTTGAGACCAGAGCCGCTGTCCCGTCTGCTCTTGGAGCTCCTCAACTATCCATTCCCTACCCAAATTAGGTCCACCCTTCAGACTAGAGCAGGCGAGACCCACCGCTGGTTCAAGTTCAGGGCGACATATCGGGCCGAGCTCTCCGCCAAACGAGTCAGTTCGTTTCCGGAGCCGATGATAAGGCTGGCATCCTGCGCTAGGCCAGCTGCTAGGCTGTCGATGTCCATGAGTGAAGAGCTGGAGATGCAAAGGTGAAACAAGGAGGTTTTGGGTGCAATCTATGACGCACGGTCCGCGAAACCTTGAATATATCTCTAGCTGCCAGTACTCAGGCACGCACCAAATCAGCGCGCCCAAGCCCACTCTCTCCTTCGTACATCTACAATCCCTCATGGAGACAGCATAGACTCGGCCCTTCCCCTCATACACTGTGTATAGACCCCGGCTTCAATCGCCATGTCAGCCCCGCCGCCCCAGTCTCCGCGCCCGAACCGCTTCTCCTCCATGTTTGGAGGGGACAAACGTGTTCCCTCTCCCGCCCCCTCGGTATCCCCTACCCCGCGCGGCGGACCGCCTGTCGTACTAGGCATCTGCGCGATGGACGTCAAGGCTCGTTCGAAAGCCATGCGGGAGATCATCACTCGATTGGTAGATATTGAGAAGGGCGGAGTAGAAGTCAAGATCTTCGGAGACGTAGTCATCCTCGAGGAGGGTAGGTTTGCACATTGCCGGTCCTTGGTGACCTAGCTGACCATCTTAGACATCACACACTGGCCGCCTGTTGACGTCCTCATTTCTTTCTTCTCTACCGACTTCCCGTTGCCCAAAGCGCTCGCATATACTCAGATCCCCAATCGGCCCCCACCTATCTCGATCAACTCCCTCGCCATGCAGTCTCTACTATGGGACCGTCGGCTCGTCCTTGCTATTCTGGACCATATCGGCGTACCCACACCCAAGCGCGCCGAAGTCTCCCGAGATGGCGGACCCTTCATCCCCCGTTCGCTCCGCAAGCGGGTGCGGAAAGATTTAGGACTGGTCCTTCCTGGCCCGAAAGCGCGGGACGAGGACAACTGGGGAGAAGTGACCATTCCAGAGAGGTGGAAGGGGAAGATGCTAAAGGAGGAGGTACCAAGAGGGCGGGAGGTGATTCTGAGAGAAGATGGAGATGCGATCATTATCAATGGAGTTGTGGTGGAGAAGCCGTTCGTTGAGAAGCCGGTGGATGGGGAGGATCATAATGTGCATATCTATTATAAAGGGGGCGGAGGCCGCAGGCTGTTCCGAAAAGTGAGTATTTGTTCTTCGAGCGTCTGGCAGGAGCTGATTTCAGGTTGGTAACAAGTCGAGCGACTATGATCCGGACATGTATCACCCCAGAACTGTCGGATCGTTCATCTACGAAGAATTCATCAATGTCGATAATGGTAAGCTAGGACATTCTCCGAGCTGTGCAGTTGAACACTAAGCTGATGATCCAGCGGAGGATATCAAGGTATACACTATCGGCCCCAACTTTCAACACGCCGAAACTCGCAAATCGCCCGTCGTCGACGGTCTCGTGCGCCGAAACGCAGACGGCAAGGAGACGCGGTTCATTACCAAGCTATCGACGGCGGAGGATCAGTACGCCACGGATGTGGTTGATGCGTTTGGGCAGAGGGTGTGCGGATTTGATCTGTTGAGGTGTGAGGGCGGATCGAGGAGTATGGTCATTGATGTGAATGGGTGGAGCTTTGTCAAGGGGAATCAGGTGAGTTGCAAAGTGCAGGAGAAGTTCGGGGTAGCAGCTGACTGGCTCAGGCGTACTATGGTGAGCGATCAGAAGGTTCAGATAGAGTACTCGCTGACCAAGAAGACAAAGCGGCCGAGATCCTCTCGAACGTCTGCCAAAAGGCGAGAGAGCAACGTGCTGCTTGGTATGCTAGTCCACAAGCTGGAATCTCGCCCGCAGATACCGCTGTACCCACGTCAACCACCAGCACCCTCCGCGCCACAGTCACTGGTGAGCTGATATTCGCTCTTTGTCGAGGGCACAGCTGATCACCAGTCCTACGCCACGCCGATCGTACACCAAAGATGAAGCTCAAATTCTCTTTCCCAGCACATGAACCCTGGTCTCTCCCCTTCCTCCGCCTGCTCCGGGGCCACCGAGAAGAGATCATCCTCCGCGATCCGCGCCAATTGCAGTTCATCCTCTCCGCCGCGGAAGCTTCGGGGCGTACCGAAGGCATCAGTGCCGAGATGCTCGCCAAGCTGGAACAGCTGAAGGAGGCTTTGAGCAAGAAGATGGGGCTGGCGGGTACCAAGGCGCAGCTCAAGCCTTCGTTCGGGAAGAAGGACAAAGATAAGGGCGAAAAGGAAAAGGACAAGGGGGAAAAGAAGGATAAGAAGGATAGAGTGAAGGAGGGGAAGGCAGGGAAGGAGGGGAAAGAGAAGAAAGAGGCTGGAGGCGGAGGGGGATCGGATGATGAGGACGCCATGACGGAGACTGAGCGCGCTGCGAAGGTCACGGCGTGGCTGGAGGGGACACCGAGTGGTCGTCAGACGCCAGCGGCGGAGGACGGGGCGGGGAAGACAGCGTCGGCGGATGCGGAAGGAGGGGAGCAGTGGATGATCCCTGAGGGGCTGGAGAAGCTGCAATTGGTGCTGAAGTGGGGTGGGGAGAGCACACACTCGGCGAGGTATCAAGCGAGGGATCTGGGTGATGCGTTCAAGAAGGTGAGTCAGCTGCACGCCTGTTTGACGAGAAGGCTGAAGCTGACCTGTGCAGGATATCATGATCATGAGTGCGTCCTGGCTAATCCGATCGAAGCGGGCGGTACTGACCTCGCAGACAAGGATGTGCTAAACAACGTCAAGGTCTACACCTCGTCCGAACGACGTGTCATTGTGAGCTCACCATCGGGACATCTCGCTACACTCGTCGCTGACTCTTAGAACACCGCGCAAGTTTTCGCCCACGCCCTCCTCGGCGTCGAAGCCGCCCAGCCCACCTCCGCATCCACCCCCGGCGGTGCTCCCGGCGCCGCAGCCGGCTCTTCCGCCGGGCGCACTCCCGAGCCCTGTCCGCTCATCTCGCACCTCATCGTCCGGCGCGATCTCCTGGACGACAATAACGCCGGGAAAGAAAAGATGGCCGAAGCGAAAAAGATGCTGAAAATCCTGCTGCGTACCGGTGAGACGGAGAAACGGCCCGACCTAGCGTGGGAGCGAGGATTCAAAAAGGAGCCGGTGGAAGTGGTCGCCGAGGTGATTGCGCAATTGACCGAGTTGCGGGCGATTATGCGCAAGAATTATGAGAATGGGAATGTCGAGAAGATTCCGCAGCAGCGGTGGTGTTGTGGGGATACGCCTTGGTTGTTCAAGGAACGGTGGGAGAAGATCTTTGAGGATTGGGTGGGGGTCAAGCAGGAGAAGTTTGATCCGTCCAGGGTGAGCTTGTCGTCTTTTGAAGAGACGGATCAAAGCTGATATTGACAGGTATCAGAGTTGTATGATAGCGTACGTTCCATTAACGCTCGCATGACCAGTACTTGTAGGGCCAGCTGACAAGTAGATCAAATACGACTCGCTTCATAACCGGACCTTCTTGTTTGCCATCTTCGACCCCACCGGCCGAGGTCCGGCCGCTCCATCTCCCAACAAAGCACCTGCCGCTGCACCTACGCCCGGTCAACCCCCCGCTGAACCCCAGGACCGACGCCTGCATGATCTCTACGCGCGCGCCAAGGCTCTGTTTGACCTGGTTTCGCCGCAGGAATACGGGTTCGACCAGGAGGCGAAAGAGGAAATTGGGATATTGACCAGTCTGCCTTTGCTCAGGAAGGCGTGGGAGGATCTGGAGGAGGCCAAGACGAGCGGCAAAAGCTTGGCTTGTTTCTACTTTACGTGAGTCGTCGCGGTCTCGCCGATTTTTAGGCAAGACAAGGACGAGAGGATAGAGCTGACGAGAATAGGAAAGAATCCCATATCATGACCCTCTTCAATCTCCTCCTCCTCGCTGGCGTCCCCCTCTCCAGCTCGGCCAAGTCTATCCCGGAACTCGACTACTGCTCGCACTGCACCATCGAGCTCTGGGAGAAGAGCTCCGGGCAGGGCAAAAAGGACTTTAGTCTCAGATTGAGCGTATCGGAAGGCGCGCACAGTCCTGCCGTACTAGACAGTAATGTCGACGCTGTGAGTCCATAGTCGTTCCCAGCTATGAGCGAAAGAGCTAATGAAACAGCGACACAGTCTTACCGTCCAACCCCGGAAGAAGCTGTCCGGGCATATCGACTATGAAGTCGCCCGTGCGGCATTCTCCAAGCACTTTGGGAAAGGCGTGAGCTTCTCGACGACCCCGCTGGAAGGGGATGAAGTGTATCTCAAGAAGGCCATTTATGACGAGGCGGTCTTGCCCCTCAGTTTGCAGCAGCTGCAGAAAGGAGAAGAGACGCCGAGGGTGATGAGTTCCGCAAGCTCAGATTGTAGTGGGGCAGGAGGGCCGGGGTGGTAGAAGATAGATGAGTTGCCATTATATACATTTCACCTAGCTTGATGTAACTTCTTCGGATCACATTATTTATTCCTGCTTGACTTCTGCCAATTCCCATCCTCTCGCATATGCTCGACTCGATTCAGTACACCAGCCCAGCAATTACCTGTCTCCCGAAACCTTGCGCTCGCTCCCCACACTCTCATTCTCAGCCCCGATACCCCATCCAGCGGCAGTCTGCGCCACGCCGTGTCCAGCTGCCGTGGTGTCGTGCGTCGTCTCCCCAAGGTAACCGGTAGGAAGGGACGAGAGCACTGGGACCGAGGTCTGACTGGGGCGCTGACGGTCGCCCATCCCGGGGTTGGGGTGGTGCGGGTGCGGGTCGGCCTCGCCGATGCCGGCGCCGTTGTACCCAGGCAGAGTGTGCGCGGGGGTAGCGGTCGCGCCGGAAGGAGCGAGGGCTGGGCCCGTACCGCTAGCGGAAGTGAGGCCGGAAGAGCCCGTCCCAGTGGACTGGTGCGCGGCGCTGGCACTGGTGTTGGAAGTGTCATGGGGTGACTGCTCGTTGTCGTGGCCCCGCGCGATACCAGCGCCGCCGGCAAAGATACCGGGTGCGGCACCTCCGGGGTGGGCGCTGCGGGCACCGCTGCCGAGCTGATGCTGCGTGGGGGAAGGAGGGGAGCGGGCGGTCGAAACAGCCTCGGTGATTTGGTAGTAGAGGAGCTCGGATTCGGCCTTGGCTCCGATCCAGGCGTGGTCAAACTCGAGGCGGATCGAGCCCGACTTGGGTCCCGAACCCGCGTCCGAGAACCCGGCAATCATAGCTGCGAACTGGGAAGTGACCTGCAAGTCAGCGCGGTCTGGACAATAGAGCAGGGAAGGCTTACAGGCACAGTGATATGGTACCCCTCGGTCTTCTTGCCTCCGCCATGCGCCACCTTGCCCTTCTCCACCGCGTGGAGCGGAACCGCAATCATCCCCAGCTTCTCGCCGTCAATCACACCCGGCCACCCCGTCTCCGCATTGGCATTGACGTTGGTCGCGCCCGCCGCGTTGGCCTTGGCAGTGGGCTTCTGCTCGCCTGTAGCCGTCTGGTCGATGACGCGGTCGCCGCCCTCCGTAGCGGCTGCGTCCGGGTGAGGGACCTTGTCGCCATCCGAGGCGGCACCCTCGTGGGGATGCTTGCGGAAAAGACTCTTCATTTTGTCGAGAAGTCCCTCCTCATGGCCTGACTCGTTCGAGTGGGCGTGGCCGGGAGTGTGGGACGAGTGGGCGGGCATAGCCTCGGACAGCGGCTGGGGCGCCGAAGTGAGGACGGGGTTGGCGGGCTGAGTGAGGGGAAGGAGGATCAGGGCGTCCTTTAGGATCAGCTTGTTGTCCAGTCATCGTTTGGGGAGACTTACATTCGAGACACCAGCCTGAACACGCCAGTACCACGTCCCCTTCTCCTTGGCGCCACCTGTAGCGGGTGTCGAGTGGATCGCACTCCCCTCCTGTCCCGACTGGCCCGCAACGAGCGACTTGCGGCGCTGAGACGCATCACTCTTCCTGCGGCCGCCGGAAGCGATACGCTTGAGGATATTGCCGTCCTCCTGGTCCCCAGCGGACGACTGCGACATCCGACGAGACCTGTCGCCGCCCGCTTGAGGGGTGACGGTGATGGTCGCGAGACAGGGGTAGAGGTTCTTGGGAGGGGGAACGGTGCTTTGCGGGAGGAACTCCATTGTTGCTTGTGTATGTGGGTTGTAAAAAGTAGTAGTATTTGGTGGACAGATGTATTAGTAGGATGTAGTATAAAGATGAGCACCAGAGGGGGAAGACGGCTTTACTTATAGCTGTACGTCTGCAGGGTAAGCAGGGGTCAGGTGGCGTATCTGCTGGCTCTGGGCCAAGGACAACAATACTTCATACGTCATCGCCGAGTCCGAGAGATCCTCCTCGATCATTCTAGTGCTTTTGGGTTTTTGCAGCTAAAATGGTCACCAGGAGTCACCAGACCGCCGGGAAGAGCTTTTGACCTCGATCACAAGCTGACTTTAGTTCGGGTCGGTAGCGCCATACCTCCCTACCTTAGCGCGCCTGATCTGAAGAGATCAGCTGCTCACAGCTCGGTACAGTCTCGGTACCAGTCCCGCAATTCTAGATCTGGTCTGACTGTGCCGTAATTCGCCACCCGTACCTTGACAGCTGGCGGATCAGAGCTCTGACCGGCTGACCCGAGGCACTGGAGACAAGCAGAGGGGTCGCGCGCGAGACAAAGTGCGCCTGGGTCCGTTGACAAGATTATAAGATCATACCTGTCGAGGATCCTTTGCGTTCGTGCGGTTCTGATCATGTCAGATGCAGTCGACGTCGACTTCAGAAACAGAAAATATCGTTTGATGGTGCGATAGATGTACCTTTAGATCCCTGATGGATAATCCGACAGATAGTCCCGCCTTCTCTGATACGAGATCTGCCATGAGATGTATGTTCCGATAGATATAGACGCAGCTCAGGGCAGTTTTGTAAGCCAGATGAGAGATCCGGCTTGAGCATATTTCCGAGAGGTATCATCCGTTAGATTGACTTCCAATTTCCCCGGGATGTGTCCCTGTCAGTCGATGTCTACGACATGCTGTAGAGACCTCCTGCAGGTCGAGTATACGATATTCCGGATGTCTGAATCTGAGGCGGTGGGAGCAGCCAGCCACGTCCTGAGCAGAAAGAGATTGCCACCGGGTGGCAAAAGGTGTGAAGACTCAAAGCTTGCAGGATGGAGGTACATGCGTGGAACATGAAAAACGGAACGCTTTCGTGAGGGTGATATCAGTGAGGAGTGGACTACTGTGGTCAGGCTATCTCCTGAACAGCAGCAGCAGGATCACCTGTGCTGGTTCACGAAAGATCGAGTACCGGTGTCACACTCGGACCGCCGACCTCGAATGCTGTCCTTAGCTGCCACAATTTTGGTCGGACCTGACTCCGTAGCAGGAGGGGGTCATGTGGTACGATGCGATGGCTACAGGGATACAGGGGCTTCTAGTGTTCGCCACTTCCAGCGGATTGCTTGATCCAGTCGGTGTGGCAATCTCCGTGCGCTCCGTGGACTCGGACTCGGCAATGCCGTTATCGGAGCCGAGGTTGTCGAGGAATGCCAGGGCTGTCAGAGCTCAGGGCTTCGTGACCCCAGCTATGTAGCTCCCTGTTGTACTTCATCCTCTTTTGTACAGAATGCTCTACCTGCCGCTGCTCGCCATATGCGCTACGGCAGCCCAGGCCCGCTCACAGGAGATCCGGTATACCCAGCACAATATCCACTTCTCCTCCCTCTCTCCGCTGTTTCGATACACCCCCGCAGAGTCCTGGTCGGCCTCACGCTCAGGCGTGACATCCGCCACCCCGGGCGCGAATGTCAGCTTTGACGTCTTTGGCGAGATAGTCTACTTATGGGGCAACCAGTCTGGGACTGCACTTGAAATCACCCCGGACATCCCTGCCATCTCCCCTCATGCCAGCTATCCGAACTACCACTACGGGAATTCGGCCTCCAACGTCGTTCCGGCCTTATTTGACTATTCGCTTGGTGGCACAGGTGTTCTTCTAGAGTCGAGGCAGGTCTCGCTACAGGTGGCGGCGAACAATGGGACGGAGGTCACCAAGGGGGCGTATGTGCGGGTCAGGGAGGTTCAGGTGATGGCTGTCGTGCCGACTGATATGAGCCCGGACGATCCATAGTGAGCAGAGTCTGATCCAGATTTCGAGATCTGACTGACATTCAGTCCCGCGGACAATGCTCAAGTCTACCCTGCGGTCACCTCGCATTCCGCCCGAAATCCCTTCTACGCCGACCTGCACCACGCTTGGAACATTACCACCCTAACCTCTCCTTGGTCCACCTACACATCCGTCCCTCGGTCCGGTAGCGGATGGGAGTACGATCTTACTCCTGATACCTGGCCACTCAACGCCGTGCTATCCACTGACGTTGTCGGTGCCCCCCTCCACATCTCCATGCCCCGCAATACCACCATTCTGCAACTATACGGGAGCGTCGGTCCCCACATGGGCATCTTCGAGCTCCGGCTGGTCCATCGGCCAAAGGACGGAATGGTACCAGTCGACGTTGCCAATCAGGGCTTGGTATTACGTGTCGACGCTGAGCGGGCAGTAGAGACCAGTAGCGAGCTACTCGCCATCGCCTGGCTGGATCCTCGGTTCCACTACGATGCGGAAATGTCGCTTGTCGATGACCGACCGGGCAAGCTGGCGCAGATCCACGGCATGGGGTTCAAGACATACATGAGGGATCCTTCCTTGCTGCCGCCTGATTGGCGCGAGGAGTACAATGCGAGGTCTGCACGCGGGGCTGAAGGGTTCAGCGCGAGGACGATCCTCGTGGCCTCTGTGAGTCTACCAATATCATGCTCAGATCAAAACAGGGCTGATATCACAGGTACTAGTAATAGCACTTGTCGCTCTGGCGATAGTGATCTATGGTATCCGGCGGTGGCGATCCAGGCAAGAGAATCCTGAACGAGCTGCGCTTCTAGCGAGTGAAAGGGACAATGGAGCATAGACAAGTCAGCCGGGTCAGAGGGTATGAAACGAGTCAGCAATGGCCATAAGCATTGTTTTGCGCGTGGATGAGCTATACAGCGCTGGATGGTCCGTATATGCCTTGGCTAGGGTATGGAAGAGTAGCAGCCTGAACGATACCCACTAGCATGCCCTGCTCGCCCTCATCACGGTGTGCCACATTCGGCGTTTGCCGGCGTTACTCGGGTTGGGTGAGGTCCACGCGCTGTTCTTTAGACTTGTTTCTTCTTCTCCTTTCCATCCTTTCCACAAGCACCTTACCCAGCGTGCAGCAGCAGTCAGCAGAGCTACGCAAGCCATGTCACAGACTCCACCCATGACTGACTCGCTCAGCCAAACCGGGAGAGATAAAACTCCAGAACTCACTTCGTAAGCCATTCTTCCACACGGACTGAGCCCCCTAGCTGACCCCCGTAGTAAACGTGAGAAGCGTACTCGTGAACCCGACGAAGATGATCGTGACAGGTCGGAGCGTCGCAGGCGGCACCACGATGACGAGTCTAACGGAGACAGGGACAGGGAGCGCCGGCACCGGCGACACCGAGATCGGAGCGGGGACAGGGAGGACGACTCGGACAGGGAGAGGAGGCACAGGCGGCATAGGGAGAGGGAGGATGAGACGGATGAAGAGCGAGAAGAGAGACGTCGACGCAGAAAGGAACGAGAGAGGGGACATGATGAGCGCAGGTCAACACGTAACGCGTCCAAGGAACTCATGCCGGATGCGGACGATACCAAGTCGACACGGTCGAGCGAGCGTCCCCGGGATCGCGAGAGGAGCGACAGGCGGGACCGCAGCCGCGAGAGCCACCGGTCTCACCGGAGTCGAAGTACTCGCGAGGCGGAGCGGGAAGGGCGGCGCGAGATGACGCGCGAAGAGAGGGAGGCGGAGCGCGAGAAGCGGGATAGGGAGATGAGGGATGAGCGTAGGGAACAGGCTCGGATCAGGGACGAGAGATTTGCTGAAGTGAGCTGAAACTTACCGTCATATCGGGGCCGAGCTGACTTTTAGGTGGACAGGCAACGCGGCGGTGATCGCAGAGGCTACGACCGACCCCCTCGCCCACGGTCCCCTTACTCTCCCCGCCCCCGACGCGGCTCGCCCGTCTACAGCAACGGCGGCCCGCCCTCTGGCAGAAACGACGCTCCTCCGCCACCTCCGCGTGAGCCCCCACCACCCCTTGACCCCGCTACCCAGGTCTGGAACTCGATCGACTCGGAGAACAGGTCTATCTTCATCAGCCAGATCGCCGCTAGGATGACGAGCAGTGATCTTGGCTTGTTCTTTGAAGATTCGCTCGGACCCAACTCGGTCAAGGATGCTCGGGTCGTGACTGATCGGCAGTCTCAGCGGTCCAAGGGGTGAGTGTTTTCCCTTAGGAAAAGGGCAAAGCTGATGAGCAGTATTGGATATGTTGAATTGACTGATTCAGCCTTTGTCAACAAAGCTCTAGGAGTGAGTCGGCTTTGACGGCGATCAGGAACCTAGCTGACACTCAGCTCTCCGGGACTATCGTGATGGGCATTCCGATCATCGTCCAGCTTACCGAAGCAGAGCGTAATCGCGAAGGCAAGACTATCGAGCAACTCGTCGCAGCTGCTACGTGAGCTACTTTGTGCTGATCTTGAGGTCCCTAGCTGACATTTCAGCAAGGAGATGGAGGCAGCTCGACCCCGATACCAACGCGAAGGACGACGCGACCAAGGCATCCAGTTCCCGCACCTTTCGACCGGCCTCCGCTTGCCGCCCGGATTTGACCCAGACCAGAATCCCGACGCGTCGATCCCTTACCACAGGTTGTTCCTCATCAACGTGGCTTACAGTCTCTCGCAGGATGATATCCGAGCAGTTTTTGAGCCGTTTGGAGAGATTGACTTTATCGACCAGCACTTGGATCATGTAAGCTCGCCTCTCATTGGACAGGTGGGAATCAGCTGACAAAGTAGCACGGGCATCCGAAAGGGACAGCTTATATCCAATTCAGGGAACTCCGAGCTGCTCAGATGGCTTTGGATGCTATGAACGGGTTTGAGTTGGCTGGGCGGACTAGTAAGCTTCCTCCTCCCCACCGCTGTCGCACTTGCGGCGTCCACAGGATACAAGCTGACTCTCCAGTCAAAGCGATGGCTATCAACGAAAAGTCTGGTATCGAGGATGACATGGACGCAACAGGTCGCGGGCCGAGAGGTTACGGTGGACCCAAGCTTGACGCGAGGGGGAGAATGTCGCTCATGCAGAAATTGGCAAGGACGGAGGATGCTGGACCGGCTGCGAGTGCTTCGCCTAGGGCTGCACCGTGAGTCTCTTTATCCCTTGGGCCGAATCAGCGTATGATTGAAGCTGATGATTCAGGAGGCCGGTCCAGCGCGCTGATCCGACACCGTTCGTCGTCGTCTCCAACATGTTCAACCCGGAAGAGTGAGCTTCTCTCTTCTGATCCTTTGGTCACAGTAAAGCTGACAATCCTAGGGAAACCGAACGTAACTGGGATCTTGACCTCGCAGAAGACGTGAAATCCGAAGTCGAATCGAAGTACGGTAAACTCCGTCAAATCAAGGTCGACAAGATGTCGGCCGGAGAGGTGTATATGGAGTTTGGAGAAGGGGCGAGATTTGCGGATATGGCGGTTCAGGGGTTGAATGGGCGATATTTCGGGGGAAGGACGTTGAGGGCCGAGTTTATTAGTGAGGCGTTGTTTAAGGCGCATATGTAGGGAGAGGGCGTGAAGCGAGAAGGGAGAGTTGGGGAGGGGCGAAAGAGCAAAAGAAGGTGCAAGGGGGTTTAGGTGTTGCTACCTTATACAGGAAGGGGGCAGAGGGAAGGGGTGCGAGTTTATGGGGTAAGTGGAGTGGATGATCGTCTGTCGAGGGCATGCATATTGCTATGATTTGATCTACCGGAAGCTTGACCAAGAGTACGAGTCAAGCCTACGCTGATAGGACATTGCTTGGTCCGGTCGCATCGGGCCAGCAGATCCAGCTTCTCGAAATGAGGACGGTTTGTGTGTCCACGAGGACGCATAAAAGGGTCATCAGACAATCTTGAGCTCCTTGGAACACAAAGCCCCACTGTTCAACTTCAACTTCATCCTGCTGATCCTCTCAAACCCCAGACTCCTCGAGCGCGATGCCTGAAGCTACGCCGTTCACTTTCACGCAAGAACAAGCACGTATATTGCGAGAACCGCCGTGGAAACTTAACCTCTTCCTTTGGCCTGATTGGCAGCATAAGACCCCCGGGCCGAAGTGGGTGATGTGCGTGCATGATAACGGGGAGCAATGGAGGTTTCGGTAGCGTTTGCTAATTTTGCAGGCATCCGGACATCAAGTGCACGCCATGTCGGGAGACTGGCGGGTCTTGCATCATCACCGACCTTGCGCCGATTGGAACCGAAGATCGGAAACTCACCATACCGGGCCCCTGCCTGGAGTGCACGCTTTTCGACAGCGGCCGGCCTTCGCGATCGGTTGAGCCCCTGCGGGAGCCAATGTGCTTCAATAACACACCTTACAGACCTGCGCCTGGTGGAGTGGGCCTGGTACTTGTTACATCGGGGGCGGAGGGCGAAGAGGAGAGTGCTGCCGTGACAAGCCCTCCGCGTAAGCTCAGAGATACTCTGATGGACAGCTCGAGACTGCTGTTGACACAACAGCTCAATACCAACCTCAGCCTCTGCCATCCGATGCGGGAACCGGACCAGCAGCCATACCTATCTCCAAGCTCGCGTTCAGCGCCGCACCCACCAAGACAATGATCAGTGTCTCGACACAGACGGAGGACTGCACAATGGCGGAGCTGCTGCGCATGGTCGGCGAGGTCAAGCAGGAGAGTGCAGATCGGCTGCGCCAGAACCGTGAGCTGGTCAAGGATATGGACGAGTTCAAGGGGGTGAGTGCACAGTGTCAGGTGTGAGTGCGCCATTTGACGCCGCTCAGCGTTTGGAGAGACTCGAAGCCGCTCACGCCATGGCCTCGATGGCTGGTTCGATGCCGATGCCGATTCCGATGCCCCACAACCCCTTCCATCCTGACCATCCAACGGAGTCTGAGAGGTCGCTGTCTGTTGCCCTCGACGTAGATATGGGATAAATCGAGAGGGACGTTATAGAAGAGGTCTGAGGATAGGCAGGAAGGGAAGAGATTCAGTGGGTCAGTAGTCATGGTATTTTCGTCGAGTTGTGGAGGACTTGGGCTCAGCTGTGCAGCTCGTGTGTGTGCTGGGCTTGCGCTCACGCCGCATCTAGTGAGCAGTGGGTTACCGCTGGCGAGACGACAAGTACAAGTACAACACGTACTTAAGCATACCCTCTCCAACACATGCCTATCCCGGCGCCAACTTGAATCGTTTGCGTCATCGATCTGACCCGTCTCAGCCCACCTTCCGAGCGTCCATTTCGTGCCTTCCTTTCATACCCCATATATCAACCACAACTACAATACTCCTCCGACCTGGCTACCACTGGTAGCTTTTCACAGCCTCATCCGCTCACGTACCGCTCCGACTGCGGATCAGAAGCAAGACCAGCTCGTCGAATTGAAAGCCTCAATACACGATGGCGTCGATATTTGGGGGGATCCTGAATTGGCTGAGAGGGCTGTTCTTTGCAAAGCACCTCGAGGTGACAATAGTGGGACTACAGGTGAGCTTCGGCCTCCCCATGCCCGTCAGGGTCGTCAATGAGTGGAAGAGCTGATATAGTAGGCAAGCGGAAAGACCTCGTCAGTGCTCTTCCCCCGCACCCGAGATTTACTCCCAGCTCGGATCTTACTCAGCCCTCGGAGGCTCTCTGACGGCTAAGCTGAGAACGTGCTGACACCTGACAGCCTCGTCAATGTGCTCGGATCGAACCAGTGGTCTGAGGATGTCGTTCCTACCGTAGCGTTCAATCTCCGTCAAGTGCGGAAAGGAAACGTGACCATGAAAGTGTGGGATGTAGCTGTGAGTCTTGCTCTTCATCTCTGGCGAAGGTGATACCAGTCGTACTCTGATTTCTGGGCGGACTGCTGGGCTATGTGCTGACTTGAGCAGGGCCAACCAAAGTTCAGAGGCATGTGGGATAGATACTGCCGAGGTGCAGATGCCATAGTGTGAGCTTAGAATACGTCCTTTGCGTAATAGAGGAAGGGCTGAGAGCTGATTCCCACAGATACGTGGTAGACGCCGCAGATGTGAGTTACCGATCCCCTCCGACTCGTCAGAACCCTTGAGTAGCAGGCGGACCACAGCTGAGACCTCTATTAGACCAAAAACCTCCCTACAGCCACGTCAGAGCTCCACGCTCTCCTTGCCCTCCCCGCACTATCCTCCGTCCCCCTCCTCGTTCTCGCAAACAAGAATGACCTCCCTGGCGCTGTCGGCGTAGATGACTTGATCAGAGAGATGCGGCTAGGCGAGATCGCAGGACGGGTCGTATCGGTACGTTCAAGCTACTCCCGAATTGCTATAGAAAGATGCGGGGCTCAAGAGCTGATGGCGTAGTGCTACTCGACAAGCAACAAGACGAAACATAATCTGGATATCGTGCTCGCATGGTTGATGCAGCGCTCGCACTAGTCATCGGGACAGAAATTCATCGGTGTCACTCATCCGTGAAATGAGGGAGGGCGGCTTGATCTGGGTCATCGATTGCCTTGCACACTGGGGTATGGGGAAAGATGTAGATCTGGGGCTGGTTCAGGCTGGTCACGAGGAGACGAGCAAGGGGGCAGGTAGAGATCGCTACGATGTTGTAAATCAGATGGATCGTGTACAGCTGTGTCATGCCTGAGAAATGGTGGTCGATTTAAATGATACAAGCTAGATCGACTCTGTGCTACTTCTACTCTCTGCTACTAGAACCCTCGGTTGCCACCAGCTCTGCCTCCAACGCTGTTTCCTCCACCCCCAGCTCCGCCGCGGGCTGCCGATGCGCAATCCACTCCCATCCCGCCTTATCCCCTTGTCCACCATGCACTACCTGTTCGACCCACCCCTTCTTCTCGAGCGCCTTCACCACCGCAAACCACCTCTGCAACTCCCTCCCTCTGTGCCGGAATCGAAAGATGACATCCTCTCCCTGCATCCCTTCCGTCCGCCGATCCGCCCAATCCTCATCCATCCCTCGTTCCCACTCCGCCTTCGCCCCGTCCTCTTCAGCGACAGCCTCATCGACCCGTTTCTTCCCAGCCCACCACCCCTCCCATGCTTCCCTCGCCCACCGTTGATCGCCCGCCAAGAGCGCATATCGCGCCATGTGACGATACGTCTCGCATCCCGGTCCGAGGGCGAACTGGACGCGGAAGAGGGTGACGAGGTCTGAGACCTGGGTTTTCCGGTCGGAGGAAGTTGGGAAGGTATGGACCGGGGCATACAGGAGGGAGAGGACGAGGAGGTGTAAGGTCTGACGGGTAGGTGGGATGTGTGGGACGCGTAGGAGGAACTGGGAGAATGGCGTGAGAAGCGATGAGGGGGATGACACGGGGGTCTGTCCGAGGTGTGGGGGCGGTTCTCGAGGCGTACGGTAGGGCGTATGGAGCGGATAAGAGAGGTGCAGATGGAGTAGCGAGAGGAGATCTCGATCTTTGACGCCAGGCAGAGCTTCCAGTGCGCGGAGAGAATCGATGAATGGTCGCCGGGCAGGCTTGGGATCGAGGATCTGACGATGCGTATCGCAAAGAAACCGATATGGCTTCACTGGCTCCTCCGCCCCCCATGTCCGCGGGAAATGGACCTCTGGCGGAGAAGGGGGCCACATCCTCCTTGCCCACGCATTCGACCCCGCCCTCAGCTTCTTCATCTCGGGCGAGATGGGCTTGTGCATTTTTTCAAACGGTATCGCTTCTGCTGCCTCCGCAGATGCGAGCGCAGGCCCGAGGACCAAAGGTGCAGGTTCAGGGGGATCATCACCCGACCCGAATGCCTGCTCCCCATCCACCGTCTCGCCGATCCGAGGCGTACGGGGCGGCTTGCGCTGTCGCCGGTCCCAACGAAGCGGCGGAGAGATCCACGAGACGGGAGCGATGCGCTCTCGGCCGAGCGTGTCCCGGATGGAGGTCTCGGTAACGCTATCCTCGACCCGCTGGGCGTAGCGGATGAGGAGGTCGCCGTTTTGCCGGGTGAGGGGGTAGCGCGCGGAGAGAGCAGATGGGGAGGGAGGGTTCGGGGTGAGGAAGTGTGAAGCGAGGGGAGCGGGGCGGCGGCGTTGGCGCGAGGGGGTGTCGAGAAGGGGTAAGAGGTCCGAGGGAGGTATGTCGGTCTGAGGGGTTCAGCTGTATTCCGCGTTACAAAGCGGACATGGGCTTACAGAAATGGTAGGTATATGGAGCGCGGTGCCAGACTGTCTGCCTTTCCCCTTATAAGCCGCAGCTTTGTACTCCGTAGGAACACCTCCTTTACTCTCCGATAGTTGCCCCGCCCATCGGCTCGGCCCAGCTACTGCCGTCTCTCCCTTCCCATCTCCATCAGAGTCAGCAGCATCCTCTGCCACAGCAGGGTGCCCCTCTACAGGCCTGACAGCTGCAGCCGAAGATCCTGCTCTGGCGGCCGTCCCCCAACGCGTGCTGGCCGAATCGACCCCTCTGAAAACGCGGGGAGCGAGGAGATCGAGCAGGGGCGAGCTTCCCGGGACGAGAGGTCTTGCGCTTGAGAGCCTTGCGAGCTTGAGGCAGCCCCTGCCACCTGCCATAGACCTATACTGGCACGCGGTCCGTATGGGTGAGATGGTTGTGGTAGAAGAAGGTGTAGACTGGTGGCCTGGTGGAGTTGTGGAGGGAAATTGTCTGGTAGGAATCGCCCCCGGAACCGCTGAATCGCGCCACGTGTACACGGAGTGCGGTGGGATATCCGAGCCTGCCATCGGACTATCTTTCCTCCGCTACGGCCCTAGGCTAGTAGGCGGAGAGGTAGGAGGCTGTAGGAGGCCTGCCCGCTGGTTCAGCCTGCCGACATCCGCTTAGGGTAGTACATCTGGGTATGTGTCGCTGCGGATCCCATGACATTCCATCTCAGACCCGGGAAGGTATATCTCACGGACCTATACAATGCTGCTATCACTACGCAGCCCTCCGCTGCCAGCCAAGTCACGATCACTGCTTCTTCATCTCCGCCTCCAGCTCCTCCCTCGTATTAGCCCCCAGCCCCTTGAGCGTATCCAGCAACCATACTGGCCACGCACGAGTCGTACGCAGGAACGAGTACGATTTAGGAATGACCAGCTGCGTCCCCCTGCACCTGAAGATCTGGTCCGCCACCTCCTTTCCGACAAACTGGGCCGACATCATCTTGCCCGATTTCTTCTCGATGAGTTCCTGCCGGAACGCGACGAGGGGGGTGGCGACCCAAAGAGGGTGGACGTTGGTCACGTGGACGTTGGGGGCGCGATACCATGTTCGAAGCTGTTCGCGGAGGCCTGGAGTCAGCAAGCCCACGAGCTAGTACTCACATTCGCACAGCGCCACCAAGGCGATCTTTGTCGCCGAGTACGACGAGAAAGATCCGACACTGACAAAACTGCTCATGCTTGCAATCTCGACAATGTGGCCCTTATTACGCTTGACCATATCCGGCGCGAACGCTCGGCAGGTGTACCAGTGGCTGGTGAGATTGACATCGATGAGTTGCTTGACTTTGGCGTTGGGCGCGTCAAAGATGGGGTAGTCGTTTCCGATTCCAGCGTTGTTGACGAGGATAGAGGGGGAGCCGATCTTGGCGCGGATCTCATCCGCTACGGCGTCGACGGCGTCTCCATCCGTGACGTCGCACTTGAGGTACAGGGCAACGACTATACCGTCAGCCACGTTATGACCGTGCAACGGTGCACACACCGTTCTTGAGCCGGTCCGGAAGAGGCGCCATATCCAACACAACCACCTTGACTCCCTTGGCCGCCAGAGCCTTGGTGATCTCCTCCCCGATACCTGAGCATCCGCCGGTGACCACCGCGATCTCCTCGGACCAGTTCCAGCGGCTCGTGTCTGCAAAGACCTTCCAGTTGTTCAGGGCGATCCCGCTCAGCGTGGAGCTGACGTACTTGGTCAGGCTGAGCGCGAGGAGCCATTTGAGGCCCGTGATGAGGGATGAAGGGGCGATGGTGAATGGGAGCTTCTGGAGGTACTCGAGAATGGTCCGCTGGGTGGATTGGGAGGACCGAGTCAAGAGGTAGAGCGCCGTGGCTGACGCGAGCGAGGTGGTGGGGACCATGATGGAGGGAGTACGGTAGCAAGGATCGACGAGCGTTTTTCGCAGACGATGCTCGCTATCTCTGATATGTCGGCTGCTGGACTTCTCGACGAAGGGGATACTCGGCCGCTACTATATACCCATTCTTGTCTGCGGTAAGCAAGCTGTTGGGGGAGGCTAGCCTCGTTTTAGTGGACCCCTCGGATACCAGTGAGCCGGAAAATGCCGTTATCATCGTGGAGTTCAGCGCCGTCTCCGCTGCCGGCTGACGTCATTTCTCGGCTTTAAATTGCCTCCGCGGCCGTCCGTTCACAGCGCTCAAGCTGCTGCTGACATGACAATTTCAACTCTTTCCTTCACCAACAATCAAGTCAACTCACATAATATGCCGGGTTCAGCAGCCGCACCAGTCGTCTACACTTTCCCAGCCGTCCCGGCACTCCAAGAGTCCCTGGCAAACTTCATCGTCAAGGCTCAGACCGACGCCATTGCCAAGCGCGGCCGGTTCACCATTGCCCTCTCTGGCGGTTCCCTCCCCAACAACCTCTCCCCGCTCGCCGAGCACAAGGATATCCAATGGGACAAATGGCACGTCTTCTTCTCGGACGAACGGATCGTACCTCTCGACCACGCCGACAGCAATTATGCCGCCTGCGCCAAGGCGTTCCTCGACCACGTCCCTATCAAGCGTGAACAAATACACACCATTGACGTCTCGCTCTTTACAGACGAGACCAAGGCGGATCCGACGGCGGGACCCAAGGACGCGGATAAGGCGGAAGAGGAGGCAGTGGAGATTGCGGATGAGTACGAGAAGCAGTTGGTAGGGTGCTTTGCGGCGGGGAATTCCGCGCGGTATCCCACCTTTGATCTCATTCTGTTGGGGATGGGTCCTGATGGCCACACGTGCTCGCTCTTCCCGGGACATGAGCTGTTGAGCGAGAGCTCGAGGTGGGTGGCAGAGGTGCAGGATAGCCCAAAGCCCCCAAACAGGAGGATCACTCTGACGTGAGTTGAGCTCACTCAACGTTCGGATTGTCTAGGCGTTACTGATATCCAGCTACCCTGTTCTCAACCACGCTTTCCGATGCGCCTTCGTAGCTGCCGGCGAGGGCAAGCAGGACATGCTCGCCAATATCCTCGACAGGCCAGAAGATGGGTTACCGTGTTCGCGCGTCAGGCCAGCCGCGTAAGTCTCTCTGCTTTACTCCATTGTGCTTTCTGGACCGGCACAGCTCGTCACAAGTGCTATCCCGACCGATCTAGTTGATCTCAAGCTGATATCCAGACCCGGCTTGGTTTTCTGGTTCGTCGACGAAGCAGCCGCCAAAAAGCTCAACTACCCCGCGACAGAGTACAAGTGGATCGAAGATGACGATATGCAGGGGTCGGAGGACGCAATCGCGGCGGAGAGGAAGAAGATGAAGGCGGAGGTGGATGCGGTGGTGAAGAGCCATCAATAAGCGGATGGTCAGCGAGGGAGAACCGATGAGAGCCAGGGAGATGGGTGGGGAAGATAGGCGAAGGAGAATGGGAGAAGGGATCAATAGACATACATACAGATATATCATGAAGGGCAGTAGGAGTGTATATAGATGGGTAAATCGTGTCTATGCAGCCACAGATAGATGCTTCCAGCTTGGGCATGAAGCGCTGGTTGCTTGAGCGCAGTGCAGCTGAGTCAGCGAGATGACAATTCGCCACCGGTTAACATTCGACCCAACCGGAACTTGGCTCTGGATTTTGCTCGATCTTGATATTGCCTTTGTTTGCTTCACTTCATTCCATTAACAAACTCTACTGATCTACTACTGATCACTATGGCAGCCGTCAAAGAAGGAGATTTTGCAGGTCAGCTTATCTGCTTTTAGGTAAAGAGCTGCCCAGCTGACAAGTATAGCGATCCGGGGAGAGGTCCGAAAGATCTTGAAGCAGCCGGGGTACGATGATGGTTCCATCGGGCCCGTGCTCGTCCGGTATGAAATCCTATCTCCTATCTCGCCTACGGTCTACTGTCGCTTATATCTGCAGATTGGCATGGCATCAGTCCGGGACGTACTCGGCCATCGATTCGAACGGAGGATCTAACGGGTGAGTGACACTGCGCAGAGCGGTCCGCCCCAGCTTGAAGGCAGAGCATGGCTGATCGTACAGAGCTGGTATGCGATTCGGAACAGAGGTGACTCTTTCGACGCTACTTGGCTAGGCGTAGCGCTGATCAGCAGAAAATGGACCCCGCCAATGCTGGGTTACATCACGCCATTACCTACCTCATGCCTATCCAGGAAGCGAACCCCTGGATAACTCACGCGGACTTGTGGAGTGAGCTGCTCCATCCCCTTCTGAGGACAACGAAGATGGGAGAAGCAAAGCTGATGGGGTAGCGCTCGCTGGTGTGGAAGCTATCGAAGCGATGGGCGGGCCCAAAGTCCCCTGGGAGGCCGGGCGGACGGATTATGAGACGGAGGAGGCGGCGACGGACCACCGGGGGGAGATTGTTAACAGGTGAGCCTCGCTGTTGCGTCACACTGCCTCGTCGCTTGTGTGCGCGGAAGTAAGGTTCGACTGGACCTGACTCGTCATAGATTACCGGACGGGTCGAAAGGTGCTGATCATATCCGGGACATCTTCGGCAGGATGGGCTTTTCTGACAAGGTATGTTCCATCGTACCTCTCCTTCTCGGACTTTACGCGTCCTATCCTTCTCATTTCTCCACTGGTACTCGGCGTGACATGAGATGTTGGCAGGAGCTGACAGTCACGCAGGAGATTGTAGCCCTGTCTGGCGCACACTCGTTAGGCCGCTGCCACCCGGACCGATCCGGCTTCGACGGACCATGGGTCGTCAACCCCACTCGGTTCTCCAACCAATACTTCAAGCTGTTGATGACGCAAAAGTGGAAGCCGAGGGAATGGGAGGGTCCGTTCCAGTATGTCCTTGATCAGCTGCGAGTCGCCGATTTGTCGTTGGGTCGAAAGCTGATATGATAGGTATGAGGCGACGGTGGCTGGTACGAAATTGATGATGCTGCCTACGGATGTGAGCTGCCGCAACTCTGACTTGGCTTTACCAGAGAGGATGAGATAAGGATGGAGCTGACGGAGTAGATGGCTTTGGTCGAGGATGAGGAGATGCGTGTGTGGGTTGAGAAGTACGCGGCGGACAAGGATCTCTTCTTCAAGGTTAGCTTTGTCGAGCAGGCCCTACAAACAGACAGCTGATACACGTAGGACTTCGCCATGGCATTCGGCAAGCTCATCGGTGAGATCAGCTTCATCGCCGAGATGTACACCGCAGCAATTGTAGTAGCTGATATCACAGAATTGGGTGTAGAAAGGGATGACTCTGGGTTCGCCCGGCTGGCAAAGAAGGCAGCCAAGGAGGGCAAGCCGCTCGACAAGACGTCGTTGCCAGGCAAGGGATGCCCTTTCGCTGGTACAACGGGCAAAGGTCGGAGTGCCAAGCTGTAGCTTGACTGCGTGTGTCGAGCGTTGTAGATTCTGCTGGTTTGTTGATGCGATAGATGTGTTGGATCTATGTGTGTATGCATATACGCTGTCCAATACTATAGCTACGTCTGCGGCCTTATGAGACAAGACGAGGTAGATAGATCCGGCGATATGGGAGGATTACATGAAATCGTCATCATCCAGCACATCCTGGTATGCGTCCGTGTCGACCGTATGGATCGCCTTGGTCGCGCCGAGTTTTGGCTTGGATGCGCCCTACCCCATCAGCTCTGACCACAGACCTTGCGCGGCTCTCACTCAGCTGAACCCACCTTGTTCTTCTTCCCACTTGCCTTATCCCTCTCCTCCTGCTGCTTCGTATTCCCCAGCGTCGCCAGCCCGCTCCCCACCTTCCTCACCTGCACCGCCAACAGCGGCTCACACAGATCCTTCGCGAACCCCTCCACGAAGGCCGGGAACAGCGCGTGATCCGCGTGCTTCGAAATGATGAGCGCCATGATGTCCTTGGAGAGCTTGTCGAAATCGGCCTTGGTTTTGGGCGCGGCGGTAAGGATCGCCTCGAGCGTCGCTTTGGGGTCCGTCACGGCTACATCGCCAAAGAGATCCTGGGCGGCCAGGAGATCCGAGGCGAGCTCGCGTTCCCGCGCTTCGCGCTTGGCGTCTCGGGCCCGATCTTGTTCTGTCCGGTTGTCTATCAGGTCGTCGGCCGGTCCTTGGGCCTAGGGCATCAGTTATTGGACTTGAAGCAGGCAATGGTCATATAACTCACCAGAGCACGCTCCTTCTCCGCCAGCTTCTCCTTTAGCTTCTTCTTGCGCACAGGCGCAGGCGCGCCGGCCGGAGCGGCAGGCTTTGCCTTCTCAGAGTCTGAGACGTCCCAGTCGTCCTAATCGTCAGCCTTTGCCTCCTTTCTGTCCTGCACGGCCAGCTCACCTCCTCTTCCTGCTCTGCATCCTCATCGGCCCATTTCCCTCTAGCGGGCGCACGGGCAACCGGAGCAGTCACAGCAGGCGTGGACGTGCCGGACTTTTTGGGCTCTTCGATATCTGAATCTCCATCAGCTTTTGTTGATGGGGGTTGGACGACAAGAAGAGGGCTCACCCCAGTCGTCGTCGGACATGTTGCTGATTATCTGATAGGTAGAGTAAGGGGGAGCGAGGTGCTGTGTGCTCGCTGTGTCTCTTAGCTATGAGTAGACTATGTATGGGAAAAGAAGTAGACGACGAAGTACAATGGGATTTTTTACCTGCGCCAGCCTCTCAGAACGCCTCGTTTCAGAGTATAACGTAAGCAAACAGCCCTATGGATAACTGCAGAGTATGGCCTTGCAACTAGTACATATCACCTCTTTTTCTTGCATCATAGCTGTCTAGAAGTATACAGTGATAGAGCATGTCTCGCCAGCCCCACCCGCTCGTGACCCTCGCGCAGCTCGTCAATACCCCGTCGGCCCAAGATGGGATCCCGAAAGAGGTGGAGGACGATCTGAGGGTCGTAGGGTGTATGATGATCCAGGAGGCGGGGATCATGCTGGATCTGTGGGTTTTTGCTCATGCGGTAACGAGGGACGCGGAGCTAGGGGTGAATTATGACGAGCTGATGTGCAGGCCGCAAAGCACAATGGCTATCGCCCAAGTCATATTCCACCGGTTTTTCTTTGTGAGCTCGATGTGCTCGTTCGGGATCCAGGTAGGTCTTCATCTTTCGTATCTCAAAGCCTCGACTCGCTTCTCTGCCCACGATCTAACGCTACTAAAGATGAAGGACCAAGCTGATCATCTAGGATATCTCCATATCCTCCCTATACCTCTCCACTAAGCTAAACGAGACCCCTATCCGGCTTCGCGACCTAATCAATACCTACATGTTCCTGGCCGCACGAACGGAACATCTCCTCTCCTTCCCGGCTGATAAGGCTTTGCCGATTGACTCGCCTGGACCGAGCTCCATGCGATATAGTATGGGGATGGACGGGAAGGGAAAGGGAAAAGAAAGGGCGAGGGAGAAGGTGTTTGAGGGGATGGTTTGGGAGGTTCCGGGCTTTCACGATGAGGTATTCTGGGACTGTGCGTATTCGTTTCGCTTGAAGATAGGAGAGTAAAAGGGGGATGGCAGCTGATGTGATAGGGAAGGACTCGATCGTTGGGAATGAAATGCAGATCCTCAAAAGGCTAGGCTTCAACATGCAGGTGAGCTTTTGCGCCTCCGAGGTTTTTCGTGAGGGCTAAGCTGATCTCAAGGTCGACCTGCCATATAACCACGCTATCAACTATCTCAAGATCCTGGATCTGGTATTCGAGCCAAACGTAGCTCAGACGACCTGGTCTATACTGAACGACCTGTATGTCTAATCTTCCGTTCTTGCCCCGTGACTAGCTCGCGCTCTTCAAGACGAATCTTGAGCTGATAAGTAGTCTCCTCTCGCCCGTGTACGCCATTCACCCTGCCTATGTTCTCGCGTGCGCCTCTATCCTCCTGACGACCCGCCTCCTCCGTATACCGTTACCGAGCGAGTGGTACCTCCTCTTCGACGTAGAGTTGGACGATATCCTCGGCGTCGCTGGCTGGGCTATGCGGCTATGGCATGATTGGGGAATCGGACCTGTAGTGGGCGGTACCAATGGGATCGGGGCTCTGGACCTTGGCGGTGGTGCGAGAGGAGGGAAGGATGGGGAGGGACAGGCGGGGCGGAGGGAGAAGGAGAATAGATGGCGGAGGGGATGGGTGTTGGGACAAGGCAAGAGGGCGGTCAGGAGATGGGTGGGGGAGCGGGAGAGAGCGGCGAGGGAGGACGTTGGGCAGGCTGCGGCGTTGTAGTGTATCCGATAGAGATATGCGCATGTCGAGGAAGGGTCGATCTGGAATGAGGAATGTGGATCCAGCTGCCGGTTTATGATTCCGCCCTACGCGTTCATTCGGCCAAAGGCTTACCATCAACCACCTGTCTCACCGCTTTGCATCTGCCTTTCTACCTCTACGCCTCACCCGCGGACGCGCTGACGCTCCGAAGCTACTACCCCTCCCCCATCATCTCCCCTCACGCCCCTCTGACTCTCCTCCACACCACTTTCATCACTATGGTCCTCGGCAGGCTATTCCACTGGGGCTTTGACGCGATGGCGATCTCAGCATTACTGGCAGGCGTCAAGAAGACCACTGGGTTCTCGTACGTCTACTTCTCTCATCCATAACCAATTTAAGGAGCATGGTTATTGTACTCTGTCCTCCGTGTGACTGCCCCGCCCGAAGTCGCGTGACTCAGCTGCACCCCCTCCTATATCCTCGCCTGAATGTGTCGGATCGCCAGTACCTAAGCTGACGACATCAGACCAGCGACTGAGATGATCCCCGACTCGTCCGTCAGGTCTATAGCGAACGGCTATCTCGGGGCGGGCGAGACGATCTTCAACCTTGTTTCGGGGCAGGCGGTGACGAGTCAATACTTTAAGCGAAATTTATGAGCTCGGCTGCTGGGGTAGACGACCAGAGGCGCATAGCGACGAAGGAGGGGGGGTGGGGGACGCGCGGCGCTGAAGGTGGCAGCATCAAGTGGGGCTGGGAGGGACTGAGAGAGGCGGGAACGTAGAGGACGGGATGGGATGGGATATCCGGCTGTCAGGAGCGATCGGGCGGGCGGGGACGGTGGAGTCGTCAGTGAGGCATGAGGAGCGACAGAGGGAGAGAGCGAATGGTCGAAGGGGAACAAAGGAGGAAACGTGGTCGTTTGTAAGCTCAGAATAACACGATACAATGTAGTCCTCCAGAGGTCTCTGATGGTGTCATACAAACCGCTTACATGCCTGACTATCATATAATACGATACTCACTCTAGGATGGTCATGCGCAAGAGACCTTGCGCCGCATAGCGCCAGCTGTACAGTCCCTTACACCCCGCGATTTACACAGCGACCACCGCCCCCGCCGAACGGACTTCAAGCTTCAGACCTCGTCCTTCTCACCACCCGCCCTGTTCCTAATCCCGCTTGACAGTTTCCTCGGTATGTACCCATATCTCGCTCGGCCTAGGTGGCCTCCTCGGGGACATACTCCCCGCCGGCATCGGAGGCGTCTCGGCTCCCTGCCTCTCCCTACTCAAGATACTCGGGACCTCCGACCACCTCACTCCCGTCTTTGGCGACTTGGCCCTCTTGCTTCCCGTGCCCGTACTGCCCATCGCCTCCTCCATCGCCGCCTGCTGCGTAAAGATGTGCTCCTCGCTCTGACTGGCCTTGTACCCCTCTCGCGTCGAGTCGCCATCCGCGCTCGCCCCGCTCGAGGCACTTGCGGGCGGTTTCGGCGCAACCTGATGCGGCAGCTCGAGCAGGTCCTCCGTCATCCCGCCCATGGCTTCGCGGTCGAGATTGAGACGCCGGCCGAGGATCGCCATCTGGTCGATCTGAACTTCGGACCCGGCGCGGCCCCCACCTCCAGAGCTGGCAGTGAGCGCCGCGCTGTGCGGAGGGTTGACGGATGAGAAGCGGGGTCGGGGGTAGGCGACCATGCGCATCTTCGCGGGAATGGCGGTAGCCGGCAAAGCCTCGGCCGTCATGTTTCGCGGAAGGAGGAGGATGACGGAGAGACAGGCGACGATGAGGACGGCGACGATGGCGGTCATGAGGACGAGGTCGGACGCGAAGGGGGAGGTGTTGATGGGTTTGGCGGAGGAGAGGCCGTCCGCTGATAGGATGATCTGCGGGTCAGCCATGTGCCAGCGCCAATTGAGTAACAAGCAGACTTACAAAGGCGATGGAGTAGATCCATCGGAAGACTGTCCGGATTCCGTTCATCTCTGCAAAGAAAGCGAGGCGGTCGAGAACCTCATAAGAAGCACCTTGGGAGCGGACGGTGCGGACAAACGAAGGCACGGCGAAGCACAATCCTGTGGAGAAGATCGCAAGGCTGAGAATCAGCTCTTACTCTTGCCCTTTGATGATCGACAATGACATCAGCTCACACTGCGCTAGAGGCTCCACCGACGAGGAAGAGGTACGACCGCATGACCTCGAGATCGTTCCGCTCGATATTGACCGCTCCGTATAGCAGCACCAGCCCAGCCAGGGTGCCTCCGACCCAGATCTTGAAGTAGACGGAGCGGACCCAGGAAACTTTGGGACCGGTAGGGTACCGGATGGACGACATGAGATGGGCCCAGTAGAGGAACTGAACATCAGCCGAATCTCTCGTCCCCTCACAAGGTGGACGTACCTCCTCGAGATGAACAGCTTGGAGACACGCCCAGCCCATGGCGAGGATATAGAGACTATCTCGCCAGAGCTGCTGGAACCTCTCGGGCCAGAGCGTCCAGGGTTTAGGAAGGGTGATACCGTTGATGGTGGCAAAGTACTGCTAGGTCAGCTGGTAAAGCCTAAGCATGGAGGAAAGAGAAGAGGGGCTTACCTGCGAATACAAGACATACATCTGTATCAGGCCGCAAGCGAAGAGGAGGCTGATGGATGCGAGCATGAGGTAGCAGATGAGGGCGCGAAACCAGTCTTGACGCGTCGGGATGAGGCATCTGACGTGTCAGCAGCCCTACAAGGAAAGGAGGGGTTTGAGGATGCGGGCTGGGACGTACCGGAATCCGTCGTATCGCCACATATGCCAAATGAAGAAGATGAGACCCGAGCCAGAGAGGAGGGAGAAGACTTCCATGGTGTTAGGGCTGTGGGTCAGCTGTGGTCATATCGGGACCACGCGAAGGGGGAGGACAGCAAGCGATCAAGCGTGGACTCACGATAACATCTTGGCGACGCGTCGGGGGGCAGCAATGTATGAGCTGTCGGATAAGGGAGGGGGAGCGCAAGAGAGGGGAGCGCGAGCTGGCTCTGTCTGTAAGAGCTTGAGGGGATCAAATGATCAAACGGGTGCTGGTGTTGATCTTGTCAGCGGGGCAAGTCGGGCGAGCCGCGAGGGTGGTCAGACTGCCTTTCTTATATCTGCTAGCTTGGCTAGGTCCATCGCAGTGGGTCCCGCGTGTCGCCGCAGAAGCCCAGCCGAGTACTTAGTCGGGCAGGAGGTCCGTCAAGACTCAGGCATATCCTTCGCAGACACCTTCGTCCCCCCCCCTTCAAGCAGGGCCTTTGGTGAGTGGAATGACAGGAAGCAAGGGCGGAGCGGCGGAGAGCAAACAGCATGAAGGGCCCACACGGCTTCTCGCCTGTCCTTCATCGGGCGGGGTGTGTGAGCAGTGCCGAGGACGAGACCAAGGCTGTAGTTCTGAGAACGCATGTGTGTGATGGGATCGACGACCTCAGGTTTGTCCGCGAGGAATGTGGAAGGACGGGAATGAGGAAAGGCTGTCCTTCGAAGTTGTCCTTTCGGGACACCGGGATGCTATAGAGTTCGAGCTCGCCCGTGCGCCAGCGTGCGCCCCGCGGCAGCATATCGCACCATGCTCTAGGCCTAGACTATCACACCCTCCGGTCGACTCGGCCGTAAGCGTAAAGGCACAACCTACTCGTATCGTATAAGACTGCACATGTGTAGGATACCCAGCCCAAAAGATCTAGATGCTCATCTATCGATATCTCCCCCTAGCCCAGTCCCGCCCCCGAAGCTCTCCTCCCCACCTGCGCTTGCGCCTGCGCCTGCGCCGACGCTGAGGTCGAAGCCGAAGCCGATGGTGCCCGCCCCCTACCCGGCCCCCACACCACACTCTCAATCTCCTCTTCCTCCCCTGGCTCATTCTCAGACGTGGCACTCAGCCCAGAAGCGGCGGTGGCGCTCGTATCTGCCCGACGGCGGGTTCGGCGGCGTTCGCGTCGCATGAAGGCTAGGTATCGGGCGAATCCGCCTTGAGGCTCTGAGGCGGCAGGGGCGGCGGTGGGAGCTGGCGTGGTTGTCGAGGCGGAGGTGGAGGATAGAGGTGGTGCGGGGCTGGAAGAGGCTGTGGAGATCGAGGTGGACGGAGCGGTAGGGCCAGAAGATGGTGGAGCGTCGGGGACGTTGAAGTCTAGACGATATCAGCTCGATGCCTCCAGATATAAACTGCCGTGAATGTCAGCTCACCCTTCCGGCACAACGGACAGCTTCCAGATACTCGCAACAACCTAGACCCATCAGCTATACCCTTATCCCATACGGGCAAGACCCAAACTCACCAAGGATCAATACAGCCCTGATGGTACATATGTTCCCTCTCACACGGCAGCACCCTCAAATCGTCCCCCTCCTCAAACTCCAACAGACAAATTGGGCAGATATCCCCCGGCGTCTCCGCCTCTGCCTCTACCACTCCATCGAGCGTCATCCCCTCCCCGCCCGTTCCCGATGTAGGCCGCGACATGGTCTTTCGGCTGCCCGCCCGACTCGCCGCTTGGACATGCGTCATATCCGAACCTGAATCCTCCTTGCCCGCCGCATCCCGATACTCTCCGCCCGAATGAGGGAGAATGCTCAGCTCCGTATCCGAGTCGAGGCGCTTCGGTGACGCGCCGCCAAATTGCGACTGTGACTGCGAGTGCGCGTTTGACTGGACCTGGTTCGTCCCGTTCGCGGCATGCCGCCGGTTGAACTTGATGACCGGGAACGTATCCAGCATGGCCTGCGCAAGACCAGCAGCGGTCGTCCTTGGCGCCTCGCCCGCCTCTTCCCGCCGACCGTACCGTTCTGGATGGCGCCGAGCGCGCCGCCAGCCCAGGAGAAGCATGAGGATGAAGCAAGTCCCGATGAGGCCGGTAATGACGTAGAGGGCGATCATGGAGGGTGAGACTCGGCTATTAGTCGCGGCAGGAGGGGACTGGGTGGAGCCGGGGATATCGGTCGGTGTGGCCTGGCCGGTCGAGTTGCGCGCTTCGAGCGTGCCGATGAGGTAGGTGGTATCGTTAAAGTTGACACGGGTGCGAGAGCCGGCGAGTGAGGCATTCACCAAGGCGCCGCTGCACTGTCAGCACAGGTCTACATCGGATGCAACAGACCTCTGACTTACCTCATATTGAGCTGCGTGCCGTTATAGACATAGTACGTCTCGTTGGTATGGCGGAATTGGCTATCAATGACCCTGACTATCAGCTCTTTCACATTCGCTTTTACTCAGGACCTACCGAGCGATCTGTACCGAACGAGTTGCAAAAACATCCAGCGGCTTTTCAAAGTCATTGATGTACCGCGGATTGAGCGCACAGGATGCTGACTGGGTCGTATACAACAATGCTGACACAGCACCGCGATCTCGCGCCAATGTGAACACATCTGTCCGTCAGCTCGACGATTCTGATATAACAATCATAACAACTGACCATCCTCCATGCTCGCGCCCGTCTCGTTCAGATCACAACTGATGAACGCGATCCAGGGCGTGCTGGTCGTGAGATTCGGCCCCATCGTCCCTTCCGAGAAATGTACGAGCGCGCCGGTGGTGGTGCCATTGGTGGGTATGTCCGCTTCGAGCTGATACGATCTATTCGTCAGCTACAGCCCCTATACTACTCCCAGCATCGAATGAAACGTCAACTGACACTGAGCCAGAATATACACCAGGGGGATTCCTCCATGATATAGATATACTAGACGAGTCCGTCAGGTTGAGACTGGACGTGTCGTTGATAGGTACCGCTGGGATGTAGGCTTGCGCCACGGGGAGTGACGAGAGGATGAGGGTCGAGATGGATGGGATGAGGAGGAGGTGGGAGATGGTCAAGCCCGGCATGGCGATAAGGCCGACTTTCGACGCGGGCGAGCGAGCGGGCGAGCGAGCGGGCGAGGGCGGCGATCGGGATGTGTGTTGCGATGGGTCTGGCGATGGCGGTTCCTTTGTGCGAGTATGGTTGTCGTCCTAATGGCGGAGTCGAGAAAGACAGGACTGAGTAGTTCGAACGTCTACAAAGCAATCGTCGGAGATTACACGACCCTTGAGTGCAATCGCACCCTGCGTGCCAAAACGGCCCAAAATCAAACACGGGCTTTTCGGACACCGAGGAACCCGTGCCCAACTTGCGAAGTCGGCTCTTGACGATAAGGGCTGCTGAGCAGGAGGCAGCAGCTATCGGAGGCAGCCACTGGCAGGGTATAGCGAGTGAAGAGATGTTAGCTGGATATAAGGACAATCCAAAGATAGATAGCAAAACGCGCTGTGCGAGATCGAGGCTTTATTTATGGTTGTCCCGTCCAATTACGTACACCCCCCTTCGGATGCAGAAATCGCGCCCTGTTCGTGTAGTCGTTGCTCCTTATATGCCTCACTCTCCCCTCCCAGCTCTTGCCATGTCCACCAGCTTCAGCCGAGCAAGAGGATTGTTGAAGCTTCTGCCCCTGAAAACTCACCCGACAAGGGTCATCGGCTCGTGTTGGCCGCGGCTTCCAAGTCGCTCTTCGGACGTCCTGGTCAGAAGATCATTTTCGTCCTCTGCCACAGGGAAGCCCTTTGATATCCTCTTCTGCGGCTCCGACGCCTTCTCCACTGCTTCTCTTAAAGCCGTCCTCGATGCGAAAGGTGATTCCGGCCTCGTGCAAACCTTCTTGTGAATGTAATAATGACAGGACTGACGCTGATACTGACAGATGTCTGGCGAAGTCTGACGGTGCTTGTCCCGCATGAGAAGCCTGTTCGGGTCAAGGGATCCATCACGTCTGTTCCATGTATGATGATCTCACTCTTTTGACAGCTCGAGTTGCAGCGGAATACTGATTGATAGGTGCCCTGAGCGAGTTCGCAAGGGAAAGCGATATCTCAGTGTTTCAGGTACCTGCGAGCGGTATCTCCGCCTACGAGGTCAGTCTCGTCGTAACCCTGCGCTCCAGTCTATAAGGCGGAATCGGTCTCATCCTATGGTTTCGCTTGACAAAGCACTGTTACACACGAGGAGTTGCGAGTTGACCGTCAGCTTCCAGAAAAACACCTCCACCCCTCACCCACCTCCCTCCTCATCACCGCCTCCTTTGGGCACATTCTCCCCGACACCTTTCTATCCCATTTCTTACCCACTCATCGACTGAACGTCCACCCATCACTCCTGCCTAGATGGAGGGGCGCAGCGCCTGTTCAGTGGACTATCGCTTCAGGGGACAAGGAGACGGGCGTGAGTGTACAGAGGCTGGTAGAAAGGGGGAAAGGGATAGATTCGGGGGAGATCGTAGGGGTGAGGGACGGAATCGTGAGCTCTCTCCATCGCTTAGATGTGAGGGCGCCGAGGCTGACGACATAGCCGGTCCCCGACGATGCTACTTATCATTCGCTCCTTCCCTCACTGGCGGAAGTGGGCGGGAAGGTTCTGGTGGATGTCCTGCGGTCTATGCAGAAAGGCGAGGTGAGCTTGTCCTCGGAATCGTCCCCAGTGGTAGAGCACGACTCATAAGCAGATCCAAGGGCCGACCCAGGATCCAGCTCTGATCACGCGGGCACCCAAGATTAACGAAGAAACAGCCCGTATACGCTGGACTGAGCAGTCGTCAGAGGTGTTGCTCCGCCTTTCCCGTGGGATCTCACATCAGGTCAGGTCTCCCCTTTGTCATCTTCTTCCGAACCAAGCTGAAGGGACAGATACCATTATGGACCATCTTCGCGGGACAAAAGATCCAACTCATCGAGATCGCCTCTTCGGGTTCCTCGCCTGCCTTCGCATCAAGTGCGGAGGTGTTGGCCGGTACAGCCGTCCTGGACCGGAAGGCGCAGGTGCTCCGTGTTGCCTGCGCAGGCGCGGGGGCGGACGGAACGGATGTCAGCTGGATAGCGGTCACTCGTGTCAAGCCGGCAGGGAGGAGGGCGATGGGGGTCATGGAGTGGTGGAATGGCTTACCGAGGGAGGTACGGGCGGGGAAGTACATCACGCTCGGCACATGATCGTCTACACCAAGACGATAGAGACCGAGCCGCCCGGATGGTACCGGGACAGCCGCCTCGTGTCCCTCGGGAATGATCTATGCTGGGGCTGTGAGGTATGACACACCACCTGCAGGCGCATCCCACAGCCTGTAGAGAGCTGGCGAGCATGACCCGTAGAACTTGTATAGCGCAGGAGAGATGTGTATGCCGATGCATTGTCCGATAACCTGCCTCACAGCGTGCCCGTAGCTGAACCCTCCGCCGCTTCCGCCTTGATAGTCGACGAGTCCACCGAGACAGCATGCGCCCTGACTGGCGGTGCGTCCACCGCGCCCACCTCCTCTCCGCCAGCTTCCGAGTCGAACGGTCGTTCTGCGTTGGCCTGCTCGTCGTCGTCGATCTCTGCCATACGTCAGCTCGCAGTCCGCAGACCCCCGATTATCTTCCAAAGTACAGCTGACTTACCCTCGCCATATATCTCCGGATGTAACCTGAAGCAGTCCTGCATCCCCTTGAACTTCTCGACACAGTCCACGCCCTTCGGTTCCGCCTCGGAATAGACAAAGCATGAGAAGGCGGCTTTGAAGTCCTCGCCACATGGTCCGTCCGCCATTCCGCCTAGGCACTACTCCGTCAGCTAGGTTACTCGAAACCCTTTGTGCAGGGTCAGACGTCTCCTGCTGAAGCTGTGAACTTACAGGGCAGTCCCAGTTGATCTCGCCTGTCTCCTCATTGAATGCTCCCTGGCTCGCTGCGTTCTCTCCTTGGATCGATTCCTCTGCTTCATGCTCCTTCTTGGTGACTATTTCTGGTACAGGTGATGATTCTGGCGCTGCATTGTCAGCGCAAATCCGCTGTCCCCTTCGACACCCTCTGCCTCCTTGCCCCTCTTTCTATCTCGGCCCAGATTCGACATCCTCCATACCTCTACTTCTCTCCGCCCGGACTTTGACTCACCTTCCTCCTTCACGTACACCGGCTCATCCACCTTCTTCTTATCCCTCACCACGTCCTTATCCCCCGCCGCCCTCGCAGCCTTCACACTCGCCTCATTCGTCACCTTGCCCCGTTGCGACAGGATCACACCTCCGACACCCAGCGTCAAAGCTAGCGTGAACAACGTCTGGCTCATCCCTCCGTCCGCCGAGGACGATGACGACGCAGAGGCGTTGGGCCGGGAGGCATAAGATCGCGAGATCGTGGTTGGGGCTGTGGCGGGCCGGGCGGCGGCATTGAACTTCCGCAGAGCGGCTCGGGCGGGTGATCGTGCTGAGAACATCTTGTCTTGGCTTTGCGCAGCTGCTCCTAGTGGATAGTGAAGGTGGTCTGAGGGTTATAAGATGATTGATGGAGATCGGTCAGCGTTGCAGCCAGCCGCGGACTTTTTGGCTGAGACCCGTTTGGTTCCGAGAGTATTACGGCAGTCCAGTCGAGGCCGAAGGCCGAGATCCGCGTCACTTTCAGCTCAACGCGATGCTCGAAGCTGTGAGAATCTCAGAAATTACACCTGCATATTGCCTCTACATCCCTGTATGTGGACAGGATGGCCGCGAACGATAATGTCGCGGACCTGACTGCCAAGGCGTACGAGATCACCAGAAGGATCCCGTATGGGAAGGTCACTACTTACGGTACGGCTCATGAGCGACTTCCTGAGCTGAAGGGCGGCGTTGACCACTTAGGGCATATAGCTCGTCTGGCCGGCTATCCCACTTATCCCAGGTAAGCTCCTAGCGCTATGCTATTCAGCCTGGTGCCGAGAGCACAGCTGAGCTGCTCAGACATGTCGGAAATGCCATGAAGATGCTCAACCCCGGTACTGACATCCCCTGGCACGTAAGTCTGCGCTCCGCTCACTCCCAGGGAATCAAGGCAATGAGGCCGTCTTAGACCAGACGAGGATGGTGCAACCATAAGCTGACCTATCAGCGGGTGATCTCCGCGAAAGGCATCATCTCACCCCGCGGTGATGCGGGTCTAGGCGTCGAGCGCCAGCGACAGCGATTGGAAGCGGAGGGCGTGGTAGTGGAGACGCTAGTAGGGCAGGGAGGTGAAAAGGTGGATATAAGGGAGTATGGGTGGTTTCCGGAGGAGATACCTGGGTTTACGATCGCGAGGGACTAGCGGACAGGTTTGATTTTGGGCTATAGGTCATGACAGTGAATGTTCACCTTTTGAAGACTTCAGCTTGCGCGGGCTGACGGGCTCTACGGGGAATAGGTGGCTGATTTGATACCCGACTGAATAGGCTGATGATACTTTACAACGAAGAGTCCCAACGCGCTGATCGCCGCGGCAGCTAGTACGCCTCCTTTCCCCGGGTATCGAAAGGAAGACACGCGATAGCCAACATGGACATCCAAGCAGCCCCTCCCTATATCATCAGCTCCGCCAGTGGACGATCCAAACAGGACTCACAGCGAGATACAGCACCCCCGGCGAGTCTCCGCCAGTATACACCCTCCCGGCCACAACAGGCGCGACAATCCCGGCCACTCTGCCGAGAGTCGACAGCATCCCGCTCGCACTCCCTCGATAGGTTGCCGGAAACGCCTCGGGCGTGTAGGCGTATAGTAGCGCCGAGTACAGGGACTGACACCAGTATTCGAGGGCGTTGAAAGCGATATTGGCGGGGATGGAGTTGACGAGCTGGTACTGCAGACGTCAGAGGTGATCAGGGGGTAGGCGAGCCCAAGGACTCACGAGGAAGAGGGATGCGCCCATCAGACCTGCGGCAAAGACCATTGCCCATTTCCTGCCGATTTTCGGAAGGTCCATCGCGTATGCAGCAGCCCAAGTCGCGGTCACTCCGGGTAGGTCTGGTGATCAGCAGGTACCCTGACCAATCAACGAGTGGTTGATGAGACTCACAGATCGACACGTAGGATCGGTACGTCTGCGACTGGCTCATTTCCATCTCCACGCCCCTCGCCGCGAGGATGAGCGGCAGAAACCCCCCGGCAATCGAGAATGAGAAGAAGAGCGACATGTACCTACGCCGTCAGCTCCTGCGTACCACATGGGCAGTTCACTCACGCAATGGCCAGAACCACAAACAGATACGCATATACGCGACTCCGAAACATCCCGCCTAGATGCCCGACGTACTTTTCCAGTCCGCCCAGCTTGCTCTTCCAACCCCGAGTGGTCTTTGGCTCAGCCTCCATTTGCTGCTCCACATCCCTAACCTTGACGTCTTTCCGCCACTCCACATACTCCAATGCTTGAAAGTCTTCCAGACTCAGCGCGGGTAGGGGTGTCCCGTTGAAGACGGCGATCGCGTATAGGACGTCCAAGGCGTGCGCGTCGTGTCCTGTCGAAAGGAGGAATTTGGGTGATTCGCGAAACTTGAAGACGGCGAATCGAGCGAGGAAGATAAAGGCTGTGATGAAGGCGATGGTGAGGATGGTGTAGCGCCTGCAGGTCAGCCCGGGTCCAAGAGCGCAGAGGCATACATAGCTTACCAGCCCATATTATCCGCTTTTGGGCACGGTGAGCCCGAGGTTTGAGGACAGCTCCAGCCGGGAATGATGGCCCATGCGATCAAAGACGCAGCGACTGTACCGAGCGGCTGGAACGTACTTAGCGCCGCGAGGAGGTATCGCCTGTTTTTGGGCAGGAACTCGAGGACGATTGTAGCGTCGATAGGGATATTGCCGCCAACTCCAATCCCAACGCCTGCGGAAAGTACGCAGAGGGAAGGAAAGCTCGACGGGACTGTTCATCAGCTTTCATGCTGCTACTGTATGCAGTACGTACGAGCGAAGAGGAAGCCAAAGACTGTGGAGATTAGGCAGGTCAGATTGAAGCACCATCTTCTCTACACCCATCAGCTTCTTACTTCCCGCTCGTATCGACACAGGCCCTCACCCCAATCACATCAACGGCCATCCCCCATCCCATCGCGCCCGCCATCAGTCCCGCATTGAAGCTCGCATACAACCACCCAATATCCGCCTCCTTCACGCCCATCTCGGCCCTAATCGGTCCTGCGACCAGACTGAACACCTGCGCATACAAGAGATCCAGAAAGTATCCCAGGCCGCAGAGCAGGAAGATTAAGTGTTGGTAGTGGCCCATTCCCATCAGACTGCCATCAGCGTTTACGTTGAACCGGGTGCAGAGAGGGGCGTACTCGAGTTCACGGTTCACAAGGACCGACTTCTTTTCGTATAATGTCAAATCGTCGAATCCTTTCCCGCCTAATGAGGTCTCTCTCACTCCGTCGCCTAGAGCTTCGGCTCGGCGGATGAGGTCCTCGGCGTCCCCTGGAGCGACGTCTTTCCGGGCTGTACCGAAGCCGTCGACAAGGGCCGAGTCGTCCGCTGATTGCAAGAGCGGTTGAGCATCCTCGCTATTCGTCGGGAAGGCGAGTGCGGATGGCCGGCGAGAGGCCGTGGGTCGCTGAAAAGAGAGAGGCTGGATGGGCTGGATGTACTCGAGGGGTAGTTGATGTGGGAGGGCGAAGAACTCGGAGAGGACGGAGCGGAGCATCAGATCTTTCGTGAAGATGGGCTCGAGATATAGAGATTAACTCGAGGTGAAAGTTCGTTGAGAGGTCACGAAAGATGATGCTCGATCTGAGAGGTATGTCGACAGAGATACGTTGTGTGTTTAGTCCCAAGCCAAAGGGATTGTTGTTGTGGGCGGACAAGATGCTTCGATTAATGCTTCTAAGACCTCGCCCGAATAAGGGTGCCGTAAACAACACATTCCTTATCTGCCCTGGACCTTATCGATAACCTCAAGATGACCTAGCGATACCTCGTCCCAACCTCGTCCGACAATGACACTTCGCCGGCTAGGTATGACATAGACAATGGAGACTCGTTCGTAGGAGTTACCTCCACAATATCCCGTAAGATTTTGCTAGTGTCTTCCGATACGTTCACCCAGGTATCGGTCGGATCTGTCTGAAAGGATTGTGCCACTCGGGGCTCCCTTCATGCAGCAGGCGATCTCTCCAGTCACAAGGGGTCAGGGCAAAGGATGCAGAATTAGCGACGTGTGCCGGCGCCCGACATATCATGGGCGATTCACTGATATAAGCTGAGCCCTTGAACCTCTTTTCCCCCTCAATATCTTTCGACAGGCCTATATCCTTTCGATATCCACAATCAAGTCAGAAAAGGTCAAATCACCAGAGTATCAACTCACACTGATCTTTCAATCTCTCGCCCTTCCTCTCATCACACTCAGGCATATCAAGATGCCTAAAGGAATGCTCCCAACCGAGAACAGCCTGGTCATGTTCTCCACCGCCCAGGAAGAGGGGGTTGAGCCCGCCACCTTCTTGCATGTCATCGATGAGGCGAAGTTGGAGCGGATCCGCCTGCGTTTCCGTGACGAAGACATGGTGCAAAAGGTCTCCAGGAAAGAATGTCCGACCTTGCTCGACCTCTACAATACCATGCGCGACACTGGTCCAGGCTACCTCGTCGACACTCTTCAGGGGCGTCTCAGAACCGCTCTGAGGACCAGAATGACGGACAAGACAGACCTCTATTACTCACCTTTCGAAATGCGTTCCCGTCTCACGCACACCAAGATGTCCCGAGGTACCCTCCCCAGCGGGACCAGCTCGATCAATTTCTCCACCGTTCACGAGAAGGAAGTGGAGCCCGCCACCTTCTTGAATATTCTAGATGGGGCAGAGCAGACACGCATCCTCTTCCGAGATGGCGCCGTGGTCCGGTTGCTGTCCAACAAGAAAGGTCAGACCTTGGATGATCTCTACGCAGCCATCAGCGATCGTGCCGCCCTTGAAATTCTCCAGGGTCGCCTGATGCATGCCGAGCGAACGACGATTCCGGAAGACACATCAGGCCAAGCCTCGCGAGGGGAGTGAACGGGATCTATGGTAATGCTGATTAGCTTGTATATATTTGGATCCTCTCACAGCCATGCATTCATACAGAGCCTGGCATCGTAGAAACACGGAGAGAGAGAGACTTGAAACATGATAGCCAATCCATGAGCCGCTTGATATCGATCAGTTGGGCTATGCATGCAGCGCGGCTCACCGAGGCAATTTTGCATAAGTTCAACGAGCCACCACCTTGTGTATTGATATACCCTAATTCCGGACAAGCATGTATAATGAGAATTCTGTCCCAATGAAGCTTAAGGCGAAGGCTTCACCGGCAGCTTCGCGTTGCACGACTCCGGATGTAGAGTACAGACCACTTTCCCCAGGCGCGGTCTCCCCTGTGTCGAGGCCGAGGTACCTAGCGCGCTGCAGTGCCACAAGGTTGCCTGGAGTACTGCTGGAGTCCAGCCGCGACCGCCATCATTAGACTAGTCAGCGGCGCGGACTGATGACAAACGGGCCAAGACAATGAGTGTCCTAGGGGCGAGTATTGATTTAGCAGGTATCAGCATCTACAAGCCATGCGACACTGATTGCGGCAATCAGCGCAATCAGCGAGAGGAAGGCAGCGTGAGCGTGTTCTGGACAGACTTGTGAGATTCTGGCATGAAAAGACCATACTATCATTGATAATCTACGAGCTCCGCTCTATAAGTATCCGTACAGCAACCCTCGCTCATAGCCTGATTATCAGCACAGCTCTCAGCTTCGAAGCCCAGAGCGCGAGCTTACCCTATCGCCCTCATTATAGCGTATCCCACAGTTGCAATCACCTAGTCGCATCAGCTCCGTCCCTCCCTCATATACCTCTCTCCTTATCCCTCCGCAAAGATCAGAACTCACAAAAGTAGCGAGCATACTCGCCGGGATCCCATTCCGCAAAAAATCACTCGCGCCGATAAACCTCTGCCCCAACTTATTCTCCTGCGTAATCGCCGTCATATTCGGGAAGCCCGAAACGGGCAGCCCCATCCCCGCCGAACAAATCAGCGCCGTGATCATGATCAATAATCGGGGGTGGGGCTCGTCTAGCGACTCCCCGATCCGGGTGGCGATGGGTACGAGCAGTACCGCGGCGATAGTGTGTGAGATACTGCTTCGTCAGACTCTGCGCATGCGGGAGAGAGGGGAGAAACGTACAATGTGGCAATGACAAGCGCTAGAGCCGAGAAGATGGCGAGGATACTGTAGAGCCCTAGCCCGTCCACGAGGTTTTCGAGCACCCTGTCGAGGTCGTCCAGGAGTCCCGAGGAGAGTGTGGCTTTGCCGAGCGCGATACCGCCCATCGCCAAAAAGACGATGGACCAGTGGAAGTGGTGGAAGTCTTCCTACTCTGTCAGCTCTGCCGGTGTGGGTGCTCACCTTGGACAGAATGCCCGTTCCAAAGAAAGCGAGCAGCGGTAGGATGGCGACAACGCCCATATCCCCCACCCACCCCTCCATATTCTTCTCGAAACACCACAACAGAATCGTCCCGCCGCTAACCGCCAGCACATAGTAATGCTGCATCGTGAGCGTATCGGTATTCTTCCGCATCTTGGGGATCCGAAGGTCCGACTCCCACCGATAGTTGAGGTGCAGGAAGGCCCAGATGACAAGGACGGAGAGGGACGAGACGGGGATGGAGATGGCGAACCATTCGAGCCATGATAAGGGGGGATCCATGGCGCCGAGGGCGATGAGGTTTTGCGGGGAGGAGATGGGGGAGGCTTGGCCGCCTATGTTGGCTGCGAGGGCGATGGCGATCTGGATCAGCGGGTTCGAGAGGCGGACTTACGATGAGAGCGCGAGAAAAGACGGATTTGGGCGGTAGCTCATTGGTAATGGGCTAAAATCAGCACTATCCAGCTGAGAACTCACCTTGATGAGGGCGTAGCACAGGGTCGGAGCAGCGACGTTACTGATCCACATCGAGGCGAACGTGGCGACCGCCATCAAAACCAGCAAGACCACGCTCGGGCGTGTCCCCGCGGCGTTAAGGATCCGGGTGGCGGTCATGACGTCCAACCTGGTCTTGGAGAGTACCGCCGCGATAGTGAACCCGCCAATGAGGAGCATGATGGTCGGTGAGAACATTTGCGAAAAGATGTATTTTGTAGCGTCCGAGGCGGATAGTCGGCGGTCTGCCGAATCGCCAGACCGGATGACCCTAAGAAGAACGACGAGCATCGGGACTGAGAGCGACGTGACAAAGAGGGGAATTGCCTAGATCAGCCACGTTGACCCTCAACTCACCTCTGTCGCCCACAGGATGGTACAGAAGACAAGCATCGCCAGGCAATTACTCTCCTCTACCCGCTCAAACGGCTGAATCCCCACAATAGCCACCAGCACACCGACGGCCAAGCCAAAGATGAGCCCTTTGGCAGAGAACCAATCCGGTATCCTCAGCCTGCCAAGCGGGGTCCGGAAAGACCGCTTTGTCTCGCCCGTCACGACCAGTTCTGGCTCGACGGACCGGAAGATCCCCTGGCCCCGGTGTCCAGAAACCATCTGGGACCAGACCGTCTCGCGGTCGACGACGACCTTTTCGCGGAGTTGCGAGCGGAGCTGATCCTTGGCGAGTTCTTCGTCCCCGTTCGCGGCGACGCGGCGGTACAGGAACAGAATGCGCGCGAGGAGGGCGTCCAGGGTAGCCTTGTCGGATTCGGCCCATGGGCATGACTTGAGCACGACATTCGCGACGTATTCTTTTTTGAGCTATTGTCAGCTAGGAAGTCGCAGCGGCTCACCTTGGAGTTGGTGTTCTTGTCATACCTACCATCAGCCCAGACCATGACACAAACTCACTTCTTTAGAATCTTTTCAAACGCAGTCAAGTTCAACTCGACATACTGCTTCAAAGCATAAGCTTCGAGCCATACCGCCGAGATACGCTTCTTGAACCCGATCCGCATGACCGTGGCATGGTCGTTATTCCCCGTCCACACGAAGACCGGTCGGCCCTCCTCGACCTCCTCCTCTTGCTCCGGCTCGGGCATATCCGCCGTGTCCACATCCATCTCCACCAGGCCCAGCGCCTGGAGCTTGCGCCTGGGATAGAACGCATCGCGCTCGTGGGACGAATTGGACGATGTCGAGGGCCGACGGACGTGCTCCCCTGCCGCCGCCGCATCGTCCGATTCAAGATCGCTTGACCGGCGCGGGTTTTTAGCCTTATTGGCCGGGTCGTCGTAACCCGAAGCAGAGAGGCTGTGGTTGGACTGCGACATGCTCCGGCTTCGGCCCGCTTGACGCAGCATGGGCGGGATCGAGGCTTCGACGAGGTCCGTCTCGTGTCCCGTCGTAGGCATGAAGCTCTTGCGACGACTCCCCCACCCGCCCAGCCGGCCAAACATGGACGTCCGGGACCGCGCCATCGGTCGGCGAGGAGAAGACCGCTGTTGGCTATCTCGGCGAGTCAACAGCCCTCCCTCCTCCATATCCCCGTCCTCCGCATCATCCTCCTCATCCTCCGGCTCCTCTTTGATCGTATCCTCCCCACCGAGCTCCCGATCCTCGAGCGCCGTAGTCTCCTCGACGACCGTCAAGTAACCCTTCCGCAGCTCGGCAAGCTTGGACGAGTAGAACTCGGCCACCTTGTCCTTCTCCCGGTCCAGGGCGATACGGAACTCTTCGGGCGAGGCGTACTTGTCGGAAGAGGTTCGGTGGGTAGGCAGCAACGAGTCGGACTCTTGCTGGGTGGAGTGATAGGTCGGATCGAGCGGGTTGGAGGGGAAGAGCTTTTTGAGCGCATCATAGCTGGGGTCAGCGTCGTCAGAGGGTGGACTCACTCGACATAGTGGTTCCACCACTCGATATTGCTATTCAGCTCTAGGAGCGTTCTGCGGGTCAGCCCAGTCCGAGCTCCAGCAAGGGACATACCCAAACTTCATCTTGTCTCCTGTTTGTGCTAGTCGAGAGGACCGCCAAGTCCAAGTCTGCTTGCCTAGCTCGGAGGGGCAATCGCTATCAGACTCGCTGATCCAGGTTAGAGGATCGAGAGATGGTTGGTGCCCAGATGGAAGGGGTAAAAGCGCAAAGCTCTCGTCAATGTGACTATCGGCTGTCGTACGGCGGGCGCTTCCGCTGCCGTTTCCAGAAGGTTTTGAGAGGTTCAAGATATGATTTACAGCGTTGGAGATGGAGAGGGGTGGTATAGTGACAGGAGGTTGGGCTGTCAGTAGCCCGGTATATGATATTTGTGCAAGAAGATGCTTCTTTTTGCCTGACGTCGACCTGAGCCTGAGCTTTGCGTTGAGCTCGGCCGGCTGGGCGCGGAGACGGATCCGGAAGCTTATCGCTGGCTAGCGGCTATGCAACGAGTGTCGAGCTGCAAGTTGAAGATCGGATACAACGTTCGCGCAGCGCAGACACGACTTGAACACGAAGAGCAGAAGAAGCAATGCATATCCTATCCTGCCACAGCCCCACCGCCAAACCCTCCAGAGTGAACAGCTCCCCTCGGTCCCCGATCACCCAGTGAAGGGCTCGACAGGACTTGGGTATAAGCGTGCGACGGCTCCAGTTGTGCCATTCACCCCTTCAGACCTAGCAAGAGAACAACGAAAGGAAAGATATACAAAGCCAAGCTAGGCTGCACCTAGTACAGACGCTGGGGCTTGCCCATGGTCGACTTGATGTGGAGCGACCCGACGTTTTGCCACTGAAGGGTCAGCCAAGCTCTCGGCTGTTGATGACAAACTCGCCTGCTTCTTAAGAAGAGAGATCAAGAAGTTGATCGACAACATGGTGTTGGCGACAATCTGGTCCTCCTCCATGTTGACGTGGCCGACGGCGACACCGAGGCAGAGCACCTTCTTGAGCTGGAACTTGATGGTGGAGCGGACCTCGTTGACCTTGCGGGCAAGGTCCTCGGAGTGGGACACCGGGGTGGGGAACTTGCCGGCCTTGGACAGACCGGGGCCGAGCAGACTAAAAGTAAGCTAGATAAAATATATTGGCGGAATCGTGAGCTTACCGAGGGATCTGCTTGATGAGGGCCTCGGAGGCAAGGAAGGCGTCGTACTTCTGGGCGAGCTTCTTGACGAGCTTCTTGTTCTGAAGGATCAGCTCGTGTCCGTCGGATGCGATGACATAGCTCACCTTGTTCAGCTTCTTCAAGTCCTCCACGGTCATGAAGGGGAGCTCCTCGTCAAGCTGCTTCGCCCTGTCGACGTCGGCAGCGTCGGCGAGAATGCAGAGCTGCATACGGGGACGGGGGACGTGGGGAAGCTTGACAGTGCCGGACTGAGGGTCAGCATAGGTCAAAGCCAAATTTCCTCCAGCATTTCTCTTTTCATCCTCGTCCTCCATTCCCTCATCCGCTTCTGCCTGTTTTCTTGCTGCGCTGAAACTCACGAAACGCTTGTCACGCTGGGGGTCGTAGTTCTTGAGGCCAATCTGGAGCTCGATCGTCTCGATAAAGTTCCTCTTCTTGCCGCCAGCCTCCTTGTGGGTCTCGAGGCTGGACTGAGACACGAGGGTCTTGACGGACGATCGCACGCTTGACGCTTGGAGCTTGGACATTGTGGATAGATGTCGAAGGTTAGTGTCGAGATGAGGAATAAGGTGGACCAAAATTGGTAGAGGCCAAAGGTTTCGCTGGGCGCGGCATTTAATTCGGCGTTTGCCGAAAGTGGCACTTTACTCTCTAACCTCCACTTCGACCTTCACCTCGTTCACCTGTAACACACTATACAAGCATCCACCATGTCTGCTGCACTACGCAAGGTCCTGTCCCGCCCTACCAACCCCGCCATTCTCCCTATCCCTCCCAGAACAACAGGAAACAACGTCCCGAAATCCCTCCACAAAACCCGCCGGACCTGGGCGCCCAATACTACCCGTGCGGACTGGGCGGTCTCGATCCCCGCGGCGTTCAAGCCGGACGCGGTGCAGCTGGCGTATGGAGGGGAGAGTAGCTCGGCGCCGGCGAAGCGGGGAGAACATGTGTTGAAGGGAGTCAAGATGCAGATGAGGAGGAGGAAGGACGTGGAAAAGGCCGGTGGGATCGAGGGGCTGCTGGTGAGTTGAGGTCTATGGATTCAGGCCTAGCTGACCACCAGCTGTCGAGACCGGCAAAGCACCTGACGCCGTTCGGCAAGCAGCTGCGGTCGGCGCTGTTTGCAGAGCTGCATCGTGTTCGGGCGGCGGCAGAGGCGGATAGGGCGGAGATGTCCCAGGGTCTCGACAATTCGCCATCACATCCTCTTACCGCCGACTTGTCAATACCAGCCCCATCACACATATCGGAGCCACCAATACCATCGGCGACGGCGACGGATGGCGGAGGGGAGGAGGCTATTCTGACGGGATCGGGAATATGATGCATGTCGCCGGGACATCTTACTAGCTCGAAACACTGACTACAAGTCTGACAAATACCACGCCGTCCAGCTACGACTTTGCTCCATCTTACAGTGGCCGGGTCACTGACTACAAACCTGACAGGTACCACGCTGCCACCGCAGCCACTGCGCTCCACTTTGTCCCAGTGAGTCTGCTCGCGCCGCCCGTACTGGACGGCATCGGGGCGCTGCCGCTCGGCTTGGCTGCCTGCGTTGGCGAATTAGCCAATGTCTGGATGAAGGGATTCGGCTTCTCGCTTTGGGGCACCACCAAAACCCTATCGATGATCTATCAGCCCCATTCTCATCTCCACTCACATGCAAGACACCATTCTCAAGCGTGATATCCGACCGCAGGATCTGCGCCTTTTGATCGCCGAGCGAGACGTAGCTCGTGTCCCCCTCGACGCTAAGCTTGAGCTTATCCCCGTTCATTATCGTCAAATCGGTAATCGTGCCCGAGGTCCAGTCAGGGGAGAACAGCGAGTAATTTGTGGTATACTGTCGTCAGCTCCGCCTCACGTCTACTCACGTGGTTCCCGATCAACTTCGCTCGCAAGGTCTTGTCAGCAACCTGCGCCCAGGCGTCCTTGCCCCACGCGTCGTCGACAGGGGCGAAGAATGTCAACCCTCCAGGCTTTATCTCGGTGAGTGCGTCCGCGCCTGACGCGGAGACGTTCGCTATCGCCGCTTGGAGAAGGGGGAGGCCATTCGGCGAGCGCGTAGTGGACGGCAGGGTCAACGCGGTGGATATGTTCGGTGGGGCTTGGAGTACCTAGTGTCAGCCCATCCTCACCCTTACTTACATGATCAATAGGCAGAATGACAAGGTTATCCAACAAGTACTGCGCCGAGATATCCGCCGGTCCAGACCAGGACGAAACCTCCCCATACGCCGTCTTGACAACGACCATACCCCTCTCCCCGCGCTTCATCACCACCCGCTCCTCCCATTCCCTCTTGCGCATCATGCTCCGCCCCACGCCCATCCCGGCCTCGGGCAGCTCATTGTACCCATAGTGACCCTGCAAGGTGTGGAGGCCGAATAGATCGACGAGATAGTCTTTTGACTGATGCTCGAAGGGTGCCCAGACGGCGGCCATTTGAAACGCAGAGTCGGTGGGTACGAGCAAAGTGAAGGTTTGGTCGGATTGGGTGAAGATGGTGGAGAGGAGGTCGTAGCCAGAGTCGGTGGAGGTGATGTCGGCGAGGAGGGACTCGAAGGTCGTGAGTCCGTTGGCGTACAGGGCGTCGATTAGCTGGAGGAGGTATGAGGTCAGGTCGGCATTGTCGCAGTCGACCGTAGACTGGGAGAGGGCGGGGGTGGGTAGGAGGAGGGGAAGAAGCGGAAGAAGGAGAGACAAGGAGAAGCGCATTGCGAGTAGTATGCGGTAATGAATGTGACCAGTAAAGAGTGAGACGAACGCTGGAGAGACAGATTGTCAACAAGGACAATGCCAGGTCCTCTATATCCCTACCCACCCCCTGTGTGGAAATGACCTCCTTTCACCACGTTTCCCGGATAGCCCCTGACCTCCTTCCGCCCAGAACGGGTGGCAAAGGTGTAGCAGGGACAAAGGAGTATCTGCTGAGACCGGACATTTGAGTTGATTCAGTCAATCCCGCGTTTCAAGCAAGCGGCGTAGGATAGCTTTGAAACGCTTGGGAAGGATGGACGAACTTTCGATGATCACTCAAAGCACCCAAGATTGATTAATGCATACCGATATTTAGCTCCAATTGTCCCGACGCCCTCCAAAGATCGATTGAGGACCACGGAGCGTAGGCCTGCCGGTGGCCTATAACCTCCTCGTCCGTATGGATGTCCTTGTGGTGGGCGCCTTGTTGTAGTGATTGTTCCTCAAAAGTGCCGCGCATCTTGAGAGGCTTCGACGTCTGCCATTGCGCAATGCGAGTGATGATTCCGGTAACACTCATCGCCCCGCTTACCCGCCGTCCTCATCTGCCTCTTCAACCTGCCTCCTCACGCCGCCTGTACTCTGGAGCATCCGGGCCATACCCATCCCTCGACTGGACCTTCTCCTCCCTCTCGCCCCTACCAACCACCCTCCTACTTGAGCATCGTCACCGCCGTCTTCAGCGATAGCTGGCATCCCTCGGCCTTCGCCATCCAGGAGCTCTATACCCATCTTGGACATGTAGACCGCCCACACTCTCGTCTCCCCGCCTGCTCCCGCCTGCTGAGCCGCGCGACCGAGCTTGGGCGAGACCCAGGAGAAGCTGTCGATCTTGATCCTGCGCAGATGTGGAGGTGGGCTGGAGATGATTGTAGCGAGAAAGGGGTTTCCAGAGGGAGGGTGCGTGCGGATAGAAAGCCGGTCGAGGTGAGGGAGAGGGAAGTTTGGCTGGGTGGGCGCTGGTGAGGCAGAGGGGGAGGCGCTGACTCTGTCGAGCCATTTGGGGAGAGTAAGAGAAACCAGCGGGTGATGCTTCGCGGTTTCTCCGATGAGACCCCTGGCAAAGTCCAGCTTCTGTTGCAGAGCTGGATTGGGAAGGAGGACTGCCAGGTCCAGTAGATTTGGGCAGAGAGCGAGGGTGTCCAAGGGAGGTGTCGGATGGATAGCGGGCCATTCCCGAGTTTGCAGGAATGTGAGGGAGAGCACCTTCTCTCCGTGTGCTTCGAGGAAAGCAGTGGTGAGGTCCCCAACGGTCCCGTCGTAGCTCGTGATGAGCAGCCGGCGGAGGTTCGGGAGTTCCGAAGCGATGAGCGCGGCGAGGAGAGGTCCGCGCTGGACACCGTCAAGAGTGAGAGTGTGGAGGTGCGGCAGGTCGAGAGGGACGGCGTCAGGGAGTGGGGATGGACCAACGCTGGACGAGCCCGGTCCGAGGACTGACAAGACCTCCAATCTCCGCATCGGCTTGAGCAGCACACACGCCTCATCCCCCTCGTCCGAGATCTGGACACCTTCCAGGGCTCTCAGGCGACCGACGAATGGGCTGTCGAGGATAGTTCGACAGGGTATGATGCCCCATCCAGTCCCGCCGGGGAGCTTGAGATGGGTGAGGTTGGGGAGGAGCGGGAGGAGCGCAGCGCACGCCTTGGATAGGGAGGTGACATGCGGCCCGAAGTAACCGTCAGAGAGGGTGGAGAGGTCCAGAGTGGCCACGTACCGTCCGGGAACGGAGTGAGGGTGGAGGCGGGTATCGTCCCATTTGGTATCGCCGAGCTGGACGGCAGCTGCGAAGGGGAGAAGGGTGATGGCGGAGACTGGGGGCATGGCGTACAGATACTTCTGCACGACAGGCTAGGTCGTCAGCCACGACTCGCACAAGGCCAGCCAGGGCTCCTTCCTGAGATAGATGCGGGTCAGAAACTCACTTTCCAGCTCTTGCACACACGCATCAGCTCCTTGCCCGTCCGCATCACATCTTCCCGCTCTTTGCTTCTTGCCAGCGCGATCTTCTTCCCCATCTGCCCCGGCATGCCTTCCCACCCCTCATCCCCGACGGCCGTCTGCCCAACTCGGCCATCAGATGGAGAGAGAGGAAAGGACAGCGCGAGATCGAGCCGATGTTTTAGTATCCGCCGTACGATCTCGAAGGGCAATTCTGGCGCCGCAGTGGTGCCTATAGGTGCAGTAGTGGGCGTAGGCATTGTAGTCCCCGTACGTCTGTCCTGTGGATATGATGAAGGGGGGGGGGGTTGAAAGATGGCGACAAATCTGGTGCAAAGCGTAAACAAATCCTGCCCGGTTGTCACCGGCTCGAGCGCTATCGCCGTCCTCGAACTACCTGTTTCTTCTCATCTCTCACAGCTCACACTCCCCCATGCTTATGCTTATGCATCTCTGGTCATACTGTACCCCAGGGCAGATCATCATTCGATAAGCCATTCATCTCTTCAGAACAGGTATAAACGAGCCCTAGCGCTATGTACAAGATACACTATCCCCTATCCACCCCGTCCACACCCAGCCGCTTACTTTCCGGCCGGTCCCTGATTGCCGCTAGCCCCGGGAGCTGGGATGGCCGAAGACATGCCCTTGCCGTGCGCCGCACCCGCTACGGCCTGAGGATGGTGCTCGCCAGTGACGGCTGGGTGCTTGGAGTCGGTGAGGGAGAAGGCAGGAGAGCGCCAGGCCGATCCGCTGTGGCTAAGATCCTCGGTCTTAGCAAGTCTCTTGATTATGCTCTTTCCGTCCGAGTGGGTCATCTCTGTTAAATCAGCTCCAGCCCGCGAAGGTGGAGGCAAGACGTACCAGGGTTGAGCATGGACTCTTGGTTGGTCACTATACGGAACGTTCCAGTGTGGTCCTGTTCATCAGCTGGAGCTTCAAGGATCATATGCGGGAGACACGGCTTACCTTGGCAGCCTCCTTCTCACGCTCCGCCTTCTCGGCCTTGCGCTTGTAGAGCTCCTTGATGGCCTCACGCTGGTTGGTCTCGTTGGACTTGCGAGCCTCGGCAGCAGTGTTGCGGACCTGAGCAAGCTGGCTGTTACCCTCCTCGAGGGCATTGGTGAGAGCGACCTTGACGGCCGCCTGGATCGCCTTCTTGATGATGCCGGTGGCGGTGGCCTTAAGGAACTTGTAGAGGATGTCGTGCTTCGAGTCCCTGATCTTCCAGGTCATGTTGTCGATCTCGACAGTAACATGGTTCACTTTGAACTGGCCGGTTAGCCCTGTTCGCAGATTACACTCGAAGGGAGATCGACGGGAGACATACCACATCGTTTCGCCTGTGCTCAACCGACTCGATCTCGGCGTCAATGCTGATACCCTTGCCGCTGATGATGACATCTGTCAATCAGCTTCATTCCGGGAGACATGCAGAGTCACATACCCGCAAGACCATGGTCGGAAAGCTTGGGCCACCCCTGACGATCAGTTTGGACTCAACAGGCTAAAGTGGTTACTCACGCTCTTGCGCTTGAACGAGAAGGCAACGTCGCGGATGTCGGCCTGGATAGTCAGCGCTTGCGCCCTCATGGGTTTGACCAAGCTAGACTTACCTGAATCTGGCTCATACCGAGCCTCATCTTGTGGTGATGCGTGTCGAGCGTCTTGTTGATGTTCTCGTAGGGGGAAAACGTGACGCGGTTGTTTGCTTCGAGCGTTACGACGTTGGGGAAAAGGTTTGGCCCGCTCAAGATCAAATTTTCGATGACAACAGCGATCTAGACGGTCAGTGAGATTGCGAGGAGGCCTGGGAAACCTTGGCATACCTTGTCGTCCTCATACTCAGCACGGGGTATAGGAACGTACCCTGGAAGTCAGCTCTGCGAACATGTTACAAGTCGAAGCGAGCTCACCAATCTGCCGAATCACGGCGGGCAAGAAGTGGACCCTGAGGTCGTTCCAGAGGTGAGGCTTGAAGGCCAAGTTACCATCCTCGTTGAAGAGGAGGTCCTTGGTGAGACGCTTGACGTCGTCGCCGAGACGCTGGTTGAGCGGATCTTCCGCGAACGCCGTGAAAAACCGCTGGAGCTCCTCGAAGAGGGTCTCCTGGCTCTTCTTGTACTTGTCGTCGAAGAACTCCTTGCCGCCCTCCTGGAGCTGACGCCCCTCCTTGTCGGCCTCGTCCTCGAGGACGAATCCGGGCTCGAGGAGGACGCGGTGGACGTAGTCGTTGGCGTGGGACCACCAGTTCTTGAGCTTGGGGTCGTTGGCAGTGTCGCGGTACATCTGGTCGAGGGCGTTGTAGACGCCGTCGAGGGACTGGCCGTTGGCGAAACGCTCGAGGAGGCGGCGGAAGCGGAGGGTGGCGTCCTGGACACCGCCGTCGCTGGCGACACCGTCCGCGGCGTTGGTGGCCTTGTGGGCGACGTGCTCGGCGGCGCCCTTGTAGTTGTCAAAGGTGTCGAGAAGCCAAGTCATGGCCTCGCGGTAGTCCTTGTGCTCCTGGAGCTCGACCAAAACCTAAAGTCAGCACCACCCAAACCAATAGCTCACCTTCTTCAAGCGGTAGATGAACTGCTCGCGCCTCTCCTCGGGGAAGGCATCCTGGATGATCTCCTTCTGAGCGTGGAGCTCGTCAGAGATCTTCTGGCGGTGCTCCTCCGGGATCTTCTCCTTGAGCTGGTTGGCCTTGTCGCGGGCCTGGTTCTTGGCGTCCTCGGCGTTGTTGGGGGCGCGCGAGTCGTTCTGAGCCTGACTTTGAGCCTGGTTCTGGGCGTGGTCGGCCTTGTTCTGGGCGGCACCGAGGACCTGGTCCTTCTGCTGCGAGAGCGAGGCGTTGGGGTCGCGGTTGCCGGCGACGTCCTGGGCGTGGGACTTGAGTTGCTCCTTGATCCCGCCGGATCCGCCTTGCTCGTTGGCCTTCTGCTCGGCAGTCTGCCTGACCTCCTCCTTCTTCTGCTGGGCCTTGTCGTAGAGACCGCCGGCCGAGTGGGTGTTGCCCTGAGTGTCGGTCACCCTGGAGTCAGCAAAGTCAATGCGATAGCTGAACAAACTCACTTGGCCTGGCTGGGTGCGTCCTTGGGGTTGTACCTGACCTCGGCACCGTCCGGGCCCTTCATCTGGAGCTCGGGGGTGTCGTTAGGTCCGAGCTTCTTGCCGTCGGCACCGATCCACTGCTTGGAGGGCGCCTCACGGTCGACCTGGTCGAGCTGCTGCTGCGACGGGCGGGCCTTGTCGGCGGCGCGCGACGCGGTCGAGGCGAAGATGTCGCGACCGACAAAGCCGAGATCCTTGGCGAGCTTGCGGACTTCGGCGTTGGTGACAAAGAGGGTAAGGAGGACTCGGAGGTGCTTGGCGGCTGAAAGTCAGCCTGACTCCATCATTTCAAGGATAGACTTACCAGTCTCGCCGTCAGCCTTGGCGTCCTCCTTGGAGATGGGGACGACACCGCTCTGTTTGGCGTGCGAGACGTCGGTCTTGACCGAGGTGTAGAGAGCGTTCTGGAAGAGCTCATCGGCGTTCTTCTCGTGGACCATCGCGCGGAGGGTCTCGATGATGTCGCTAGAGGTCAGCCAAGTCCATTCAGTGTACTATGAAACATACCGTGTGTCGTCAACAAGGACGCGGCCCTCGGGGGAGAGCTTGTTGAGGTCGACGGGGGACGCCTTCTGGGCGTACGCGAGCGCAGCGTCGATCTGCTTGTTGTCGGGCATGCGCCTGACGTCAACTCTGCCCAGTTCGGCTACTCACCCGTCACGGAAAGCCTCAATGACACCCCAGACCTTCATCTTGCGCTGAACATCGGCCTCGAGCTCCTTGCCGGAGGCGGCGACGGTGACGCCCTGCTTGGACGGGTGCTCCCGGATCTCGGACTTGGTAGCCATGGCACCGGTCATGTTGGATAGATTGGTATCTGGGGTCAGCACTGGTCCAGAGCTAGTACTCACAAGTATGGGTAGGTGGGTAGGTATAAACTGCAGTTATAGATGTATCTGCAGTACGGAACGATCAATGGGGGAAGAGATGAGGGGGGCGTTGTCTTAAGAGATGCCACACTGGACCAACCCAACACACGGACGGTGTCCGTTTCGTCTCACCTCGCCCATCTCGCCCCTGAAAAGGATCCCAAAACAGTGGAATTTGCTACAAGCGGCAAAGATTAGGGGAATGTCACGACGTCATTATTGCGAAATTCCTTTGCAAGATCGCCGTGGCCGTCATCGGGCTCGTCATCGCGGTGACATTCCAACAACTCTAATCTGCCGATGTGCCTCGTGGACGTGGCTGTCTTTGCTAAGGTTACAGCTTTTGGGCGGACAGGCCACGGCGCCGGGTAGGCGAGTGCGTATAGAGAGTGTATAGAGTCTGTTTAGAGTGACAGTAGCTGGCCCAGCAGAATCTACTTATTGCAGAGTGAAGACTGTTGAGACTGCCACCTGACAGTCTGAGGTCATCCAAGATCCACACGGCGCCACACATATACATGACAGCTCATCTAATAGTACCCTCTCCACGACGCCTTGCGCCCGAGGATCAATCCAGGATGGACCAAGTTGAAGATGCCCACAGCAATGACCATGGGGATACCATCGAGCACAGCTTGGTATATCTCTTATCGTCAGCGCGATCTTGACGATAGGTACTCGTTGTACTCACCGTGGCTGATAAGATACCCACTCCAGCCCTGTGAAAGCTCTACCGATCTGAAGAAGCCTGGGAGTGAGCTCAAGCACCACGCACCAGAGAGAGACTCACCTCTGAGCAGGATCATCGTGGAAGAGATGAATGTCGCCGCCATTATCTTCCGCCACTTTCCCAACTCTGCCTGCTCCCCCTGATCCGACCCCGCGATCTCCGCTCCCTTCTCGGTATCGGACGGTGTGGGAGTGAGCATAGACGTAGCAGTAGCCTGGGCAGAAGCCATACGCCTGACCCTAAACGCCCACGGCTTGTCCCGCGCCGCCCGGATGGCAAAGTCGATACCGCACCCGACAAAGATCGCCATGGTGCAGAGCTGGAAGATGATACCGGCGACCATGATGTTGGTGGCTGTCTGGGTGGGGGCGCCGGTTGCGGCTCCGGAGGCGGCTTGACCACCACCGACCGCTTGGAGGACGAGTGATACCAGATCGGCACAGATGAAGGTGTAGAAGTACTGATTGTCAGCAGATCCCCGGGTGGAGGAATGGGACTTACCATCTTGGGAGTGAGGACTGAGTATTGCTGTCCTATCCGATTGATAGCCATACCGAGGACGATGTAGACAAAGGCAGAGAAGTAGACCGGGGCGAATCCAAGCCTATCTATCAGCTCAAACCCAAGGGATATGGGGAGCGGACTTACAGGACGATCTGCATGAGGAAAGGGTCCAGCTTGTAGACATCTTGAGAGCTCCATACCCTTGCCGCATATCCCATGACTTCAACGACCGCGCCAAGAACGAGGGTGGGGTAGAAGATCCAGAAGCGGGATCGGTACGCCTGGTAAGAGTGGACCAGGGCGCTCAGAGCGAAGAGCGCGAGGAAGGAAGCATTCCAGCCGAGGGAGGGGACGTAGTGGTAGATGAGGAAGTTGATGATCTTGCCCATGGTGACCGTGTAGTAGACTGCGTAGTGCTGTGAGGCTTCAGTGGTGTCAAAGTATAAGTTCAATGTCAAGGGGGGGACGGGGATCTCACAGAGATCGCATCAGCTTTATAGATCTCTCACACGGGCAAAGCAGCGGTCTTGGAGCAGCGCGCTGCTGTGCCAAGCTGCGCGATCTCTATCTGTGCCAGATCTAGACGGTCTGCGCCTCCATGTCCGTGACGCGTGAGGAACGCGGAGGGAGGAACAAAGGGTGATGCGGTGTCACGGGCATCTATGACCGCACCACCGCGATTCAGGCACGCACCAAACGGCTATCGGCGCCGTGTCAGCATTCCTCATATTTTATCTCCGGCCCGATGTCGATGGTGCGGTCAGCATGGCCTCATTGGGTGATTACTCTCCACCAAAGTCCATCTATACTGCTTTGATTGCGCCGAAAACAATCAAACCACAGCGCTATGCCCATAAATCTCGCCCTCGCCGGTTCAGGCGTCTTTGCCGAAGCGGCCTACCTCCCCGCTTTGCTCGCGACGACTTCAGCCATCAAGCTCCACACCATCTGGTCTCGCTCGTCCTCATCCACGGACAAGCTCGTCGCTTCCGCCAAGACTCTCGAGCTCTTCAAAGACGCTTCAGAAGTCAAGGTCCTTAATGGCCAAGACGGCTTCGATGCTCTTCTCGCTACTCCCGAGGTCGACGCAATTGCGTTCGTCCTGCCAATTACGGCCCAGCCGGATCTGATCATCCGGGCGCTGCAGGCGGGCAAGCATGTCATGAGTGAGAAGCCGGTGGGCAAGGATGTGGAGACGGCCAAGGCTTTGATCGGGAGGTATGAGAAGGAGTTCAAGCCCAAGGGTCTGATCTGGCGGGTTGCTGAGAGTAAGTCCGGCCACCGGATTGAGCTGATCGCAGACTACAATCACGATCAAAGCATCCGTGCAGCGAGGGAGATCATGCAGAACAACAAGGACATCGGACCGGTGCTATACTGGAGCTTGCAGCTTCATGCGTACTTGGAAGACGGGAGCAAGTATCAGGCGACCCAGTGGAGGACCATCCCAGACTACCAGGGAGGTGAGCTACCCAGTGTTCATAGCTGGTACGGTGCTAATAGCAGGCTTCCTGCTTGACGGCGGTGTCCACTTCGCCGCTATGGTCCGAAATGTGCTCCCCAATCCTCCTAACCGGGTCATCTCCCACACCTCCCTCCACCGCGCCCACATCCCGCCAACCGACACCATCGTCGCTATCGCCCGCTCGGCCGACAACCTCACGGTCCCCGCTCACGGTCCCGAAACTCAGCTCGAAACGCTCATCACCACCTCGCAGATGCCCGTCCCCGCCGGCAAGTCCTCTCCGCAGGGTACGGTGCTCATGTCATTCGCGGCGCCCGATCTCGCACCAGAGGATAGGCTACCCGCTTCTCTGCGCGTGACGTGCCTGAATGCGGTGGTGCAGGTCAAGGGCTCATCTGCTGGGTGGGTGGTGGAGGTTTTACCGGGGAAGGGAAGCAAGGTGGAGAGGTTTAGCAAGGAGAGTAAAGGGAACGGAGTGGAGGTGGAGCTGAGGGAGTGGGCGGAGGCTATTGCGGCTGTCAAAGAGGGAAAGAAGGTCGAGGCGAGGGACGATGGGGAGCCGAGGTTGGCGTTGTGGGACTTGGCGTTCGTGCAGGCGTTATTGACGAGCGAGGGGAAGGAGGTGGATATTGAGGCTCTTGTGTCGAATTAAAGTCATAGTCGGGCACGTAGAGCTCTGGGCAAAATGCCTCTAAGTACAGATGAGCCCTCTCATGTCTTGCTCCGACGTGGTATGCCGTGATCGCTGGCGAAGTAAGTCCTGTACCCGCCAGCCATGCTCAGTACTCAGTACTGGCGGCACTGCGGTGGATCTCTGCGGAGCACAACGGAATAATCTCGGATCATCCTCGTGTCAGATTCCAGATCGCTCTGCTTGGATTTCAGACATGATTCCAGATGGCACCCTTCAAACGGACTTGTCGGCAAGGTAGATAAGCAAGCCACACGAGCGCTTGCCCCGCCTGCCAGTTCACGAAGCCCATTTCCATACTCACACTTTCTCAAGCTCACATGTCCTCACCTCGCGCAAACACCATCGCCATCCTCGGCCCCCGCGGCTGGGTCGCGTCCGCCGTCATCTCCGCACTTGCGGCTACCCCGTCCCACATCAAGGCCATCTACCGGCAAGGCTCCTCTCCCGGCGACCTCCCATCCTCTGTCGAAGGGATAGAGGTGGACTGGGCAGACGAGTCAGCCTTCCTCGCCGCTTTGCAGGGAGTCGTCATCGTCCTGTACGTCCCTCTCTACCACTACGCTGACCCCAGGTCGCTCGTCGGTCAGGCCGGACTGGCCGAGCAGCTCCGCCTCGTCCCCATGCTCCGCCGAGCCAGTATCTCGCTCTTCATCCCCTCCGACTTTGCCTATGTGCATACCAAGGAAGACGACAAGATTCCCGTTATCCACAATAAAGAGGTCCTGGCGACGGCGCTAAACGAGGCGGGGGTCCCGATGCTCACTGTGCTCGCTGGGAACTTTGCCGAGTTTGCACTCAATACACCGTATGTCCTACTGAGGCGTGACTGACAGCTAGGCGGATAGGGGTGGATATGATCAATAACCGGATTGTACATACCGGCCATACCGACACCCAGCGGATCAACCTATGGTACGCTCTTGCAAGATGGAGCTGACATAGTACACGCGCTTATGTCGCTGCTGCCCTGGCTGCTCTCCTCCCTTCCACACCAAGTGACAAGCTCAAAGGCCGTACGATCGGGCTAAACGAATTCTCCCCCACCGGCGCTGAAATCGCCTCGGCCATGGAACGCCGGTCTGGCGCGCCTCCACGAGTCGCGCGCGCGACAGACGAGCGCAGCCTTCGGCTCATCGACAAAGGCAGTCCGTGGGCGCTCGCGGAGAGCGTCAAGCTAAAGTGGTCCAGAGGGGAGCACTCGGTCGGGGAGGACATGTACGATGTCAAGGGCTATAGCAAGGTCGGGCTGGAAGAGCTGGTAGTCAAGGGTCAATTGGTCAAGTATAGGCCGCTCCCTTTTGACTTTGCGACTGTTCTAGACGAGTACTTTGAGTAGCGTATGTCAGCACGGGCTAATCTGCATCAAGCCCTCAGGACACCGCTGGCTATAAGAGGAATGCCAAGGGAATCATTAGTAAATGCAGTCACATTTCATTAGGAATTAGCCTATTCTTATTAGGAAATTGCAAACGTGGTCGATTCGTTGACGCTCGCGGCTCGTGCGTCATCGGCCCCCGACGCAACCTCCCCGACGTGGTCAATGCAAGGGCGACTTTGAGACTGCTTCTTTTACGTCTATTATCTACATCTCCAGCTACCATCAGTTTGGACACGTCCGTATAGTTCCCACACAAAGCACAGCACCCAGCGCCGCTTTCCACTTGCGCCAGCCAGCCCGCTAGTCCAGACCACACGACCGCCTCGCCGCCGCCCCATTCACCAACATGGGTCTCCTCAACCACGGGATGGAGTCTCTGTCCATCAAGGGTCGTCGGTCCTCCAACGCCAGTAGCGCACATGAAGAAGTAGGCGAAGGGGACGATACGTCTCAGCTGGACAAGGAAGAGGGGAATGTCTTGATGACGATTATATCGCAGCGTCAGTCATCTCTGTCCTTGGTGCCGTTCTGATTCCTTCGAGTCTGACTCATGGGCGGACGCTGACGACCAGTCCGCCCTGGGATGGACCTGACCAAGATCGCCCTCCCGACCTTCGTGCTCGAGCCCCGAAGTCTGCTGGAGCGGGTGACCGACTTCTTTTCGCACCCCGAGCTGGTATTCGGGTAGGTCCACCCTGGGTATGGGGAACAAGGCTGACAGACAGCGCTGGGAAGATCGACGACCCAATGGAGAGGTTCATGAAGGTCATGACTATGTATTTGTCCGGATGGCACATCAAGCCAAAAGGAGTCAAGAAGCCGTAAGTTATGGCTGGTCGCTTTCTGAGGTGAAGCTGCAGAGCGTGCGCTAATGCCTGCAGCTACAATCCCGTCATATGCGAATTCTACCGCTGCTCGTAAGTCTCGAGCGTCTCATGTATCGGTGATCGCTGGCGCTGATGGTCCAGCTACACTTATGAGGACGGTTCACAAGGATACTACCTAGCCGAGCAAGTCTCACACCACCCTGTAAGCTAATAGCCCGACTCTTGCTATGGGAACGGAGCTGACAATCAAGCCCATTTCAGCCTTCTTCTATTGTTCTCCCAAAAATAACATCCTGGTGACTGGCGAGCTCGTACCCAAGTCGAAGTTCCTCGGTAACTCTGCGGCGACCATTATGGAGGGGGAAGATAGGATACGGCTGCTGGACCGTCCAGAGGATGGGGAGTACTGCATCTCTGTAAGTCATAAAGAGGCACGCTGACAAACATCGCGCTAATGGTAGATGCCAAACACGTATGCTCGGGGAATCATGTTCGGGAAGCTCGTCCTGGAGCTGTGCGAGATGTCGAGCATCGTTTGCGCCAAGAACGATATTCGAGCAGATATCGACTTTAAAGCCAAGGTAAGCTAACGTCTCCATCATCTTTCCATGTGGCTCAAGCTTACCATAAGGGCTGGATATCAGGCGGCTACAACGCCATCGCCGGACCCGTCAAGCACAAGCGCCAAACCGTCGGTGAAGTCACAGGCCACTGGAACTCGGTCATCGAGTACACGGACGCCGCGACGCATAAGCGATCCGTGATCTTCGATGCGAATGGAGCAAAGTCGGTACCCAAGTCGGTACTGCCCGAGTCCGAGCAGGAACCGCAAGAGTCTAGACGGTGAGCTATCTGAACGTCATGACGGTGATAAAGCTGATATATAGACTATGGGCAAATCTGACCACCGCGATCAAGAGCGGGGATATGCACGGTGCGACGGCAGAGAAGAATATTGTCGAGGAGCGTCAGCGAGACTTGGCGCGGAAGCGCGAGGCCGAGGGCAAATCGCACGAGTTGAGATTCTTCAAGAATGTGGGAGGGAACAAGTATATGCCAAAGCTGGACGTTGACAAGTGAGTACATCACTGCAGGTCGCGGGCATAGCTAATTCCTAGCCTACCCAAAGACCAAGCAGAGATGGAGAAGGTCATTCGTTCGTTCGTTTATGGCAGTGCCGACAAGGCATCCGGCGCTTCCTCATCCCCACCTGCCTCAGCGCCTATGGTGGCAGACCCATCGTCCCGCTCTTCACGCTCAGACTCTTCGCCGCAGAGCACACTAGCACCTGGTGGCGTAGCGAGTGCGTCTAGCTCCGTCTCCAATCTTTCCAACGCAAGCACAGCGGAGCCTCGTAAGTCCTCGAGTCGACCGAGCTGACCGTCAGCTGCAATCCCTACCGCTCCTGGACCACCTGCTCCCGGCCCGAAGGCTGATCATCCCATCGGACCAGCAGTGTAGCGCGAGTTGAAGTCTTGTAGCAGGAGCTGTTGTTGATACGATTGAATTCACATGGAGCAGTATATACAGATTAGGGATCGCTAGGGATGAACACTATCAAGAAATCGTTTACAAGTCCCGATACCCAAAACTTCTCTCCTGATTGCCTACGCCTCGACGACCTTGCTCTTGCGCTTCTTCTGATCATCAGTCCCACCCAAATCCACACTCACCTTCTTCTCGGGCCCTTCAGCTGCATCCTGGTGCTTCTTGTTCTTCTTCTCTGACCCGGTGGCGGCAGCAACGGCTGCGCCGAGACTCCCTTTAGGGGCGGCAGGTGGAGCCTGGTAGACTGGCTGCTTGGCAGGTGCGGGTTGTTCGTCCTCCGAGTCGTCCGAAGTCTCCTCTGACGAGTCGTCCGAGGGTGTCGCCTCTTGGGCCAGACCGGCTTGTTGCTTCCATCAGCCCCGTCGGACCCAAGTACTCACAGCTGCAAACGCGTCGGACGGGCCATTCTTATAGTCCGCATCCTGCACCTTGTACGCATCGTGCGCGAGCTCATACGCCCCAGAGTATTCCTACCATCAGCCAAAACCCAAACCCCAACACACCTTCTTCTCCTCTGCAGTCATCTCCTTCCATCTCGCCGCAATCGCAGCAATGACATCCTTGTACGACGCGTCGGCAGGGAGCTTGGAGCGCATCTCCTCCCGGACCTCATTCTGGAAGATGAGATAGGCGGAGGGAGGGCGCTTGGGGGCGTTCGGGTCCTTGACCTTCTTCTCCTTGTTGGGCTTGCGGCCGCGCTTGGCGCCGGCTGGGGCTGGAGGGGCGCTGACAGAGAAGACGGGGTTGGCGGCGGCGGCAGCGGCGGGATTGTCGACTGGTGCGGCGTTCTTCCGGGGTACCTTGGGCGCCGCGGGGGCCGCAGGGGCCGCGGCGGGCTCAGCGAAGGGCATAGCCATAGTAGGGAGGTTGACGCCAAGGGTGGCGGGCGCGTGGCGCGCAAAGTCATTGACCAGGCCAGCGCACTTGGTCATGGCTTTGGCGACCTCTTGGAATGAGGCGACCATCTATGGATTAGCTAGGGTGAGTAGGGGTGACATACCGCCGCGCGCTTCTTCTCCATGTCGTCGAATGTGGGGTTCATGCTGCGGCTGTCAGCACGATCGCGTCAGCCACGGAAAGGCGCCTATAGTGGCGAAGTATTGTCTGGGCGAGATGGACTGGTACATACCTGATATCCTTCGTGTCTTTCAAAAAGAAGTCGCGGTAGGTGGAGGTGGGTGGGGTGATTAGGAAATGGGCCTAATAGAAGGTGTAGTGTCAACAAAGGGGTTGTTGTTAGAGATGGTTGAGTAGGGATTAGGAACTATTAGTTTCGGGACTAACAGCGGAAGTAGATCTGGGCTAATGCTCATTAGAAAATGTTTTTATATAGTCCCCCCTCCTTTGTTCCTGGTTCCTAATGGCGGTCTTCTCCGAACTCTAATTCGATTAGAGATCGCCGGCTGTTTGCGGCTGTGCATAAGAAGTCTTTCTCTTTCGCTCCTGTATCTGCTTGCACTGATCATTGATATCCTACTCATAGCACCGTTCTTCCTGGCAGGAGAGTCGAAAAGGCCGATCCCTGCGAAAAAATCTCTCCGATCGATACAGGACTGGCCGAGATAGCATTAGCTTCACTTCCACCCCCTTTCGCTGACCCGACCATCATCCACCATGGCCTACCGCGATAACGACGACTACCAGCCCCGCATGCCCCGTTCGGGCTCATTCCATCCCACTCCCAACTCCCTCCTCGCCTCTTCGCACCATCAGCAATATAACGACCCGCATCAGCCCCAGCCTCAGCGGCAATCGTATGGGTACAGCCAAGGCGGTGGCGGTCAGCGATACTCGCAGTACCAGCAGCAGCAGCAGCCGTATCATGATGACCCCGATGACAGGCCGTTGAGGGCGCTGTACTACGAGCAAGGCGAAGACAGGGATGAGACGTTTGATGTGCGCGCGGACTTTGACGGGAAGGGACCGAGGTGGAGTGAGATGTACGGGACGGGGAAAGGGGATCCGAGAAAGTGAGCTGCTTCAACTATGGCCTTTTCGTGAAGTAGCTGACGATACAGCTACGCTCAGATGGACGACCGGGCATCGTCAAAGGGATACACCCAGTCGGTGGCGCCAAAGTCAGCTATGGTGGGAGCATCAAGGGAAGAGCTCGTCTCGGTGCCTGTGCTAGGTCCAGAGTAAGTCAGTTCTGTCGCAGCATCTCGGGATCTGTGCTGATCGATAGATGGCAAAAGTCGGAGCTGCACGAGCTATCCCGCCGGGGCAAATCGGCAGTACGCAAAGAGAAGCGTCAGCGGATATGGCGCGAGTGGACGCGGGACCAGCGAGGCGTCTGCGGTGTCACTTGGCTGACCCGTAAGATGCTGGTCATTATACTGTCTTGCATGGTTGTCGGGTAAGCTTGACGTACCCGATCTCTAGGGTGACAGCTGACCTTCCAGGACCGCCCTCGTGCTGTTCTTCACCATCCCCAGACCGCCCTCCTACTCTTTCTACGTTTCCCAGCCATTCACAGTCAACAACTCGACTGTTCAGTTCGCACGCACACCTGCCAACTTTTCCTTTACAGGCAATCTCAACATCCTAGGTGAGCTGACTCCATCTCGAGTGATAGAGCAAGCTGACATCTCAGCCGACACGACAAGCTCATACCTCCCCCTCCAATACTCCGATATCTCAGTCCAGCTATACCACCTTACGACAAACAAGCAGATCGCAACCGGCAACTACGGCAAGAACAAGGTCAAGAAGGGGAATCAGGAGCCTGTCTCCATCCCTGTTCAGTTTTCGTACTCTGCCCCAAATGCGACCGATACGACCTGTAAGCTATTTGCCTCATGAGAGCAGAGTGCAATTGACACGTCAGGGAACGACATCTACTCGGCCTGCGGGCACATGTGGACAGGCACGGTACGACCACCATTACGACTCCGACTCGTCCTGACCTCCAATATTGTCGGGCTTGTCACGAAGCCGGAAACGAGCACGCAGATTAGCGATGTGACGTGTCCGTTCGAGTTGTCTTCGAACTCTGTATGATATCTTTAGCTGTAGCTCTTATGGACGATGAGTCTCGGTCTTTTCTACATATTACTAGGTACTCGTACGGGTATAGAGTATAAGCGAACTGGAGAAGAAGGGACAGAAAGTACAAGAACGAGCACAAGAGAAGTAGGTATCTACCAACGACAAAGACTGAGAAACAGGCACTAGCAGACGATAGGACTTTGATTCTGTCCCTTTTTCCCCTCACTTCCGCCTACGCCCGACGCCAGATGCGCCTCTGTTCCCCTCCCCGCCCTTCTCCGTCCAGCACTCTGTCCTCCTCTCATCTCCGACCCTTTCAAGGCCCTTTCTTGATCGAGGCCTGTAATGTCAGTCGCGGTCCTCAAGCTCAAGCTAGAGGAGACTTGCCTTAAGTCTCACATCGGCTTCGTCGAGCTATCCTTGCAGATCCCGGGGTGCTGGATCGCCTTCGTACGCACCATCATCCAGCTCTTGGGTAGAAGTACGAGCGTTCGAGTTGGAGAGTCCACTACACGATCAGCCTCTTCACCCTGCTCTCTACTCATCTCTGACATACCTTTCCCAGCAGAACCCGTAGCGAACACCTTGTCCGAGTCCGCGTGCCTGATAGCCTTGGTTCGACGGAGCTTCCGATTCTCAGGGATCACCCTCAGTACCTTGGGTGTCTGTTCCACTGGTCGGACGTTTCCGGGTCCGCTCTGGACGGTGATGGTGGTAGTGGGAGGAAGGGGAGGCGAGGATGGTGCGGATTGCGGGCTGGATGTAGGTAGGTAGATGGGAATGTAGACCCACGCGTCGAATCGGCGCAACATCCTTCCTGGGGGGATACGACTACGACTAATGGAGGTGTTGCCGGTACTGGCGGTGGGCTGAGCGATGGCTTGGGTGGCAGAGGACGACATGATGCTATAGCAGGAATGCGATAGATTTCCAGTTGAAGGTATGCTGAAGGTCAAGGTAAAGTGGCAAGACAAGTGACATTTCGATCCCGATCTTATATATAATGTTTGTGGACGGGGCGGGTTGATTGCGGACGACGTGGAAGGGTGGCGACGGCGGGTATGAAAGAATACCGGTGTTGATACGGTCCAGGCATGGCACCTGAAACATGTTACACTTGCCTTTTCGGGCAATCCCGCTCGGTCCCCAAGTCCAGAGCCCATACCTGTAGCCCATACATGCATTAAACGCTACAATGCTAGCTGAAGCTATTCTACGAGTGCAGTCTTACCGACTACCCTATCTACTTATACTACTTAGTATAGACGTGATCTACGTATCAAGTGCCGTCGTACCAACCTCCCCTCTACATCGCCCTTGTCGCCAACCGCATCTTCTCCACCCACGCCCTAGAAGCCTCCTCCGCCCCCGCCCTTCTCTCTGCATGCCTAGCGTACCTCTCCGCCATCTCCTCCGGCGTCCTTTTTCTCTTCATTGGGCCCATCGGCGGAAATAGCAAATGCGGCTCTTCCGGGCGTTTGTAAGGATTATGAGGGGGCTCCACGATCCCCAAATCAGGCGATGGCGGCGTAAGAACGATCATTGGCGTGTCCGCCCCACTCGCTCCGACCTCCTCCACCCCCATACCCATCCCCCACCTCGAACCAAATACCTGGCTCTTCTTCCTCTCCGTCCCAGTTGACGCCGCATGCAGGTTCAAACACCCCGGCCCGGTATTCCACAAAGGACGAGGAAGGGGCGCGCCATTCCCCTCCCAGTTCCCATACAAGCACCCCAGCCTGGGGAATGCGGGCTGGCGGTAGTTCCACATGTCTGCAGCCGTCGCCTCGGGGGCTGGAGCGCCGGAGCGGGACCGCCGACGTCGGTGTTTCCCGTCCGGGCTCGGATGGGCGGTGGGTGATGGCGGGATCTGGCTGATGTGGGCAGGGAGGAGGGTGGGCGTTACTACCGGTGTAAGAGGTGGGGTGTGGGTCGGTGTGGCGCTGAGTGTTGGGAAGAAGGGGAGCGGGGAGAATAAGCCGAGGGGGTCGAGTGGGTTGAAGTTGATGGTGGGGGCGGAGACGCTCAGGTGGGCTAGGGGGGCGTCCCAGAAGGTGCCAGAGGGCGCCGCCGGTGGGTCGGAGGGTGGGGTACTGGGTGAGGTACTGGGTGGGGTACTAGATGGGAGAGGGGCGAGACAGGACGGGTCAAGGGTGGTGCCGGGCGGAAAGGAGAACGCCTCAACCGCAGGCTCGGCAGAGACGTCTGTCATCTCGACATCTTCCGCTTCCTACTCTGTCAGCTCTTTCCCTATCCTAATCCCACAATCGAACATGGCTACTCACAGCGAACCCCACAGCTTCCATCTTCAACATCCACTTTTTATCCGCCAAGAACGCACACCCCTCCCGCATCTTCTCTCTCCACCTCCTTGTCCGTTCCCCCTCTTTCCGCCCAGTGCGGAGTACCAGCATCGCCTCGTCCGGTACAGGCAGTACGAATGGCAGTTCCTGACCGCGCAGTTCGCGCAGCATGAGTGCCTGGATATCCGAGGTATTGATAAAGTCCGCGAGTTGGGTGGTTGGGATGTGGAAGTTGATCTTGCGGTGCAGGGGGTGGACGATGGGTGTGAGGTGGATGGGGGAGGCGATGATGACTAGGTTGGCTGTTGGGTGGATTGGGGAAAGGAGCGTGGGGAGGACGGTGCCGCCGCGGATCTATGAGTCAGCTGAGTGATCGCCGAGAGGGGAGAGGGGAGAGGGCAGAGGGGAGAGGGGAGAGGGCAGCAATTTTATGGAGGGGACTTACGGTGAGAGCGGAGATAACATCTTCGGATGGGACAGGGCTGGAGGTGTGGAAGTGGAACTTAGTATTCCACAGACTCTGCACTCGAGCTGCTTCAGCCGCATCTAGGACCAGCGCGGACATGGCCACCCCGAGCACTTCTAGACCGCGCAGAACAGTGCTACTGCGGTCGAGGTATGGTGATTTGGCAGTACTCTGCGAGGTCTGGTCGGACGGGGGGGTCGTAGCTGGTATGAGTGGGTGGAGGTTGGGTGGGGGTGGAGTACCTAGACACACAGTAATTTAGCCAGGTCAAGCAGACGGACGGAAGAGTATACGCTCATCCATCAGCTATATACCTAGCTGCTCTACACTAGCGCGAGTCACTGTTAGGCTATTGCGGTGCAGAGGGGGTGGGGGGCGGGAGGTGATGTCGACTTGGAAAGGTAGGAGAAAGATGGTTGGATGGAAGGTTGTTTGAAGCTTGAAGGCGAGCAACGCCCCTTTCTTATATGTTTGTCAGGTGGCGAGGAATTCGAGTCGATTCATGGCTGGTATTTAGCCGATTAGCGGTGTTGGTGGCGAGTGAGACGTGGCTGGTCGACTGTTAGGGCATGTCTCGGGTATGGCAGTATATCCGGCAGGGGAATGACGTCGAGTGGCACTTTGGGTGGCGAAGCGAGTTGAGTTGAGATTTTCCCTCCCCTGACCGGTCTGCAGATGTGCGGCCGGGATGGGGGATGGGGATGAGCAGAGTGAGTGTATCAAGTCTGGGGTCCGGCGGTGAAACAACGCAGAATCACCCGAGCCGGCAATATCGGGTCGGCAAACACCGCTACGACCCCTGGGCGAATCTATCCTTTTGCATCCAGTACGCCGATAGCACAATCAGGCGGAACCGCTCTTGCAGATATCGATGAACTCGGGCTTGAGCGACGCGCCGCCCACGAGGAACCCGTCAATATCCTCGGACTTGGCTGAAATCATCAGCTCTCTCCGTCCACTTCTTTTCACAGTCAGACCCTTGCCCTCCTGTACTTACCGAGTTCGCGGCAGTTCTTGCCGTTGACACTGCCACCGTAGATGATCCTGGTCTCCTGTGCGACCTTGTCCGAAATGGTCTTGGCGAGCCACTTGCGGATACCTGCGTGGGTTTCTTGGGCTTGCTCGACGGTCGCGACTTTGCCGGTCCCGATAGCCCAGACGGGCTCGTCTGTGGGTTAGCTCGGTCTGTGTACTAACTCCATGCCAAGTCTAGCTTACAAGCGATGACAACGTCCCTGCTATATCAGCTCAGATCTACCAAAGTGTTCCGCTCAGAGCTGCCACTCACTTCCACTTGTCCTCGTCAATCTCCTTAGCAATAGCCTCCAACTGCCTCTGCACGACCTCCTCGGTCGTCCCATTCTCCCTCTCCTCCAACTTCTCCCCAACGCACGCAATCACGCCCAACCCCGCCTTGATCGCCGCGCGCACCTTGTCCGCGACGACCTTGTCCGCCTCGCCAAACAGGGCACGACGCTCCGAGTGGCCGAGGATGACCCAGTGGACATCGGCGTCCTTGAGCTGGGACGGGGAGATCTCGCCAGTGTACGCGCCGGACGTCTCGGTGAAGCAGTTTTGGGCGGATACTTGGGCGGGGGCAGAGAGGGTTTCTTGGACCTTGAGGAGGTAGAGTGCGGGCGGGGCAACAATGACCTCTGAGTAATCAGCAGGAGCAAGAAGACAGGTGGGAAAGAGGCGTACCGGTATTGTCGTCGAGCTTGGCATTGTTGATCTGCTCAATGATCTCCTTGATCATCTTGATGGACCCGTTCATCTTGAAGTTCCCCCTGAAGTATGAGCTCAGCTCGGGCTTGATCTTGACCATCGAATCCTCAGGAAAGCTCACCCGACGAAGAATTTGCGGCCTGCCATTTTGTCTGATTGTTTTCTGTTGGGGATATAAAGGACAGAGGTATAGAAGGAGAAGTATAGATGCAAGGTATAGCTTCAACTTGTGCCTTTGCGCTGTTCTGGTCTGCGTTCCGCTGATGTGGAGACCCCACCGGGAGTAAGCGGCTCTTCCCGAACGTGGCACTTGATTACGTCACTGCAGTGTGGAGGTGGTCCAAGCGCGTCAGCAAGCAACGAGATCGACATGCACTGTGACCCTATCTGACCATCACATAATATAGACATCTCCACGCCCTGCACCACAAACATGTCGCTCGGCTCTCACGCAGACCCTATCGCTCAAGTCTCCTCCGAGGAGCTGCACGCACCCACCAACACCCGGTCCGACCTGAACCTCGCGCCTGAGATCCAGCTCACCGATCTCCAAGCGTATCACGTCGGGGTCGTGTTCGATCTGTTCCAGGGAAAGGGGACGAGGGGGAAGCTCGTTGATGCTTTCAGTGAGGATGCGGTGTACGAGGACCTGTTTGCTTCTTGCAAGAACCGGGAGGAGGTCGGTGAGTGATGCGTCCTGTATGCTTCATGAGCGGCGAGGATAAAGGGCCGAACGAAGGCGGCAACCTCTAGTGCTAGAGATTCGGGATCATACCAGCTACCACCTTCAGATAGTTCCCGAACCATCAGACTGACATCATAGCCGGCCAACTCCTGAACCTCCCCCTTCTCCTCTCATCAGCCAAAACAAACTCCCACCTCATCACCTCCATCTCACGCACCACCACCTCGACCCACGCCCGCCCCTCCATCCCCGCCGACGAGATCGCCATCAAGTTTAACCACACCTTCACCTTCAAGGCCCCATTACCCGACAAGATGAGCTCGGTCACGATGGACACGACGTTGATGGTGTATTCGGCAGAAGGGGAGGGGAAGATTGTCAGGTTGCAGGATCGGCCGGATGAGAAGATTCCGAATAATGGGTTCATCAATGTAAGCACTGTGGGATGAAGGGGAAAGGGCTGTTAGGCATTTGCTAATATCGTAGATTATCCGAAAGATGAATGCGGTCGGCGTGCCCAAAATCGTCTCGATGCCGAAAGACGACAAGGAGGATGCGGAGAGCGTGCTCAAACACCAGCGCTAGTAGCGAGCCATAAAGAAATGCCAGGTCCATGCAGTACTGTACTATAGATAGTGAAGAACAACAACCCACACACTCCGTGCACAGCACTAGTCCTCACAACCCTTCAGTCCAGCGGCCTCTCCCGCCCGGTATGTATCGTCCTTGCACAACCAAGCCTCCCAGCCCGAAAACCCGAAAGTCCTTGAGAAGCCAAATGGCAGAAAGAAAACCCATCGCCCTAAATGATCCTACTTCATCAGCTCGGTCCTTATCGATTCGTCCCGGGGGCAGACGCGAGCACTCACGCCATCTCCCTCAAATTCGCCCTAACAATCGTATCCAGCACCGCCGACATGACGACCTTGATATTCTCGCTATTCGTCGCGGTGGTAGGGTAGGCATAAATGGTCTTTTCCGGCCGCTTGTTCAAGGCAAAGAACTTGCGCTTGAAAAACTCGATGGCGTCGTCTTTGGATTCGGGCTTGCCGGTGTAGTCGGGGAAGTGGGCGGCTATTTGTTGAGCGGGGTCGAGGAGCTTGGTAGCGAGCACGTCGACCTTGTTGAGGAAGAGAATCTGGGGGTCAGCTGCAGGACGGACTGGGGATGAGGTTGGTAAGTTGGGGAAATGGAACGGGACTAAGTAGTGAGATACGCACGATAGAGGATTTGATGAACCCTATCGATGTCAGCTACATGCGCTATCGAGGCTTGCGGAAAGGGTAGCTCACATTGCGAGTTGACGATAGACTCGAACAGGATCAAAGCCTCGACCATACCGTTACTATCTGCACCAGTCAGCTATCTACCCCGGCAGCCTACCGGGGACCACGCAGCTCACCCTTATCTTCGATAATGCAAGCATTGTAATCACTGAGTGAGACCAAGAACAGAATCGACGTGACGTCTTCAAAGCATGAAGCCCATTTCCGTCGCTCAGAGCTAACGCATCAGCTCGCTCCTCGCCTTCTTTCTCTCCGTTTTCCCCTGGTTCTCCCCCTCCACTTCCCTCCGCAAGCAAGAAATGGGAAGCCTAGCTCACCGCTGCCCACCGACATCAAACAGCCTGACCATCATATCTCCCAAATCAAACCTCGTCTCGCTGATCCCTGTCGTCTTTGACCGGACGCGCAGGATGTCCGAGTCGGTCGGGGTGAAGTTGGGTTGGAACAGCCGGTCGAGGTGAGAGTAGAAGTAGGGGAGGTTCTCTTGCCTGCAATGTCAGCGCTGGGCCCATTCGCGTTGGCTCTACCCCAAAAGGTTGGCTGTCACAAGCTCTCCCAGCCCTGGCGTGCGATATCACTCTGACCGATTCTCCGCGCAGTCCCGACCCTTTCGCCCAGCTCGTCCATCCCGACCAGACTCCTTCAGACCTCCCACCTATCTATCCTCTCCGGCATGATAGGGGTCACACTTACAGTGCAAACTCGTGCGCCCTCGAATACACCTCACTGACCCCCTCGTCCCCCCACAGCCCCTTCAGCGCCTCCAGGTATTTCAACGGGAACGCTTCGCCCGTATTGATCGGAATCTCATTATCGACCAGCGAGATGTGTTTGCGGTTGGGGACGGATACGGCGATTCCGAGGTCGTCCATCGTGTCGATGATGGAGCGCATACCGCCTACTATATTGGAGAAGACGATTTTCCTGCTCGTCAGCCACGTCCTCTTCATGGCATATGGGATTCGTGGATGGGACGGGGAGAGGTACAGGAGATCACGGACGGAGAACATACCGGTAGTCCTCGATCTCGTCTGCTGAGTAGGGTCGGTTATGGAGGAACCGCATTTGCTTCAACCTAACAATCAGCTCGGTGTCACAGTTGCGAGGCAGGGTGAGCTTACACCGTGGACTTTCCACTCGCTCCAGCTCCGAGAAGGAGCAGCTTGACTTCCTTCGATAACCGCTTTTCATCCTGTCTGTCAGCACTGGCTTCTCTAGTACCGAAGAAGGGAGAAGGAAGGGGACTCACTTCTCTCAAGGCCTTATCTATCATGCGGCTCCTTTCTGCGCCGGCATCGACCCCGCCGGCTGGAGTGGAGGAGGTGCAACCCATTGCTGCGAAGGGCTGGATGAGGGGGGAGGTGAATGAGGGGCGGGATGCGTAGTAGCGAGCGACGGATGGTCAATGATCAAGGTCTGAGTGATATGAAGGTCTGAGCACCGGCGTTTAAAGTGATAAGGACGAGGTCGAACTCCAGTGTGTAGAGGAAGGTGAAGGTGAAGACGAGGGATGGTGGGATGGTGAGGGGTCTCCAAGACTTCAGTACCCTGACCGTCCGGATGGGGGAAGAAGACCGAAGAGTGGTGGATCCGTGCGGGTGTGTATAGTGTGATGGGACGTGCGCAAAGGGGTATCAAGGTATAGCCGCGGATTCAGCTGATATCCTGATCGATTCTACTGAGCTCGGACCGTTGGACTCGCAAGCAGGTGTGAGGAGTCGTCGAGCGGTGTAAAGAGGTGATAGGGATTGAGAGATGGTCGACGTCAGGCACTCCTTCCGATTATCGCCCTGATGTGTGTCTGGCGGGAGGGAAGAAGGGGGACAGCTAGTGTGGATGTGAAACGACAAGGTGTCCTTTGAGCCAACGTAGAGTTGAGTTGAGTTGAGTGGGAGTGGGGAGTGTGCGTCCGCCGGGGCTTCCGTTGGGAAGTGCAGTACTTACGCGGCGATATAATGACCGAAGAGGGGACACCCACCGCCAAGGCCTGGCCTCTAGGGGAAACAGAATTCCGCGCACCGTCCTCTCAGAGACCTCCGCGTGTTTCAGAGTCAAAGCTACCTTGCGTGCGGCACAGCGGGATAAGCCGAGCCGAACTGTGTTTCGAGGTGTAGCTGACGCTGGTGCTGACAGGCAAGGAGTGAAGCAGAGCTGAGGTGGATCGCTCGTAAAGTGAGCTGCATGCAACAGCATGGCGCACAGAGCTCTCTTCTCTGCTCCACCTCTGAGCGATCGACAGAGACAGGGTGAATGAGGAACGCAGGGGCGGCCTAATTCTCCGAGCCGGTCTGAAATCTCGGATTTCGGGCGCGGACGGTAACGTAACTGAGGGTATCTACCGGATCAGGCAATCCCGATCGGCAAGGTGGAATGTGGCACTCAAAGTGGCAGCGGCGGCCAGCTGGCCCAGCACTGGCTGCAGCGGTGCAAGCGGTGCAAGCGGTGCAAGCTGGGAAGATGGGCCAGGATGGGCCTCGCTGATAGTGACAGTCCGCGATGCATACATACCTGTTGGAAATGCCGACGAACGAAGACAATCGATCCATGCGCTACGTAGATCACGTAGCTGCCCACTGAGATCTCCAGGCTTCAGGTCCCTCTGTCACCACCGCCTGCTTCGCCGCGTCCGCGTAGGTCGTCTTGCAGATGTTGACAAACGTGTCCTTGTCCTTGCGGTCGAGCCTCAAGACGGCTGATGTCGAAACATCGCCAGAGCAGCTGAACCTTTCCGTCGGAGGAGAGGTGTAGCCGAGACCCGAAGACGCGTGCGAGTGCAGGGCGGTGCCAATGTGGGAAGGAAGGACGAAGGGTAAATCATATGAGCCAGGAGCGTGCATAATCAGTGTGTATGTACCGTCCAGATCAGGAGTGGGGAAGGTGAAGGTGGGGCTTGGATCGGTGGCCATACTGGCAGTCTGGCCCATTTTTGCGGACAACCAGCTTGAGAGCTGGCCGTAGAGGTCATGGACGTATTTGAGAGACATACTGTGTGTACGGTGGGGATAGAGTATGCTTGAGGAAACGAACACCTACATGGCGGCAAGGTAGCTCGCTCGTCGTCAACGATCCTTGCAATATAATCCCTAGAGGCCACTTGACGTGTCGCGTGGCTATAGCTAAGAGAGCCGCGATCCCTTCATGATCGACCCTAGAAGAACCCTAGAATGTACTGGACCCGATCGCTGCTTAAGCGGCGATTGTTCTCCGTCGAGGCGATAGAGATACTGTGGGATCCGCCAAGCAAGGTACCGACATGCCGGTTTGCGACACCCCAATCAGTACTGATGTCATCCACGGGTACGGTGAGGATCTGTTGACTTTTTGGGAAGATATATGTAGAACAGCAGTGTGGGGATGCATTGGACTCGACTGCTCCCCTTTATATAGTGCTGGATAGACCCCTGCGACGCGACGCAGCGACGCTGCGACGTCGACGCACGTCGCTATCTACGTCCTGCAACGTCCCAGCGACGTCCTACGAAGTCTACACTACATCCAGCGACGCGACGACGTCGCTGCGACGTCTCAGCCTATATATACTACAAACTATGAGTGTGGCCGGCGCAGTCGCCGTCTGCCACTCAGCGACGTCTAAGCGTTGTCCCAGCGACGTCTAAGCGTTGTCCCAGCGACGTCTAAGCGTCGTCCCAGCGACGTCTTAGCGTCGTCCCAGCGACGTCTCGGCGTCGTCCCAGCGACGTCTCGGCGACGTCGCTAATCCATCCGTACATCCGGACCAGTATTCCATCCGGAATGCAGCTCTCTGCGACGCCGTCGCAGCGTCGTCGCAGCTCTGTCGTCTAGCGACAATACAATCATCCTCCCTTGGACGATTCGCCACCCAGATTTGCCACCCGGGTCTCGCCACCCAAATCCAGCTATTTCCAACAGGATCAGCTGGCTGCTCGTGTCTTCGACCAGAGTCCGAGCAAGAGGTCCCCTCGCGAGGAGTATGCGCAGAGGCCCAGCGAGCTGACTGACGATTGCAGGTACGGGGAGCATTGTATACATGTAGGTTCGCATCTCTGTCTATCTCTACCAATCCTGCGACCGAAAACACAGAAGAGAACGCTTGATCTCCCATGGTCCGGCACCGAGGTGTTTACCAGTCCACCGGGTGCAACGCTTGGTGCGCGCGTAGGCGCACATCAGCGGGGGAGTCCTTGGTGCTCTCGTCCACGATCTTGCCGAGACGGTCGTACTTGTCGGGGCTGAGGTCGGTCACGGTATTCGACATCCGTGTGGCCGTCACGGACGATTCGGCAGTTAACGGTCCTGTGACGCTGCCTCTTGTAATGAGACACATCCCACAGCTTGGTCGCGAGATCGAAGGGCAATTGAAAGAGCACCTCGTAGTCGCCTTTGCTGTTCTCCATGTCCCACCTGAGCATGGATAGCTGGACAGAGGCCTCCTGGGGTCTCGCATCCGAGGAGTCGGGGAAACTGAAGGTGAAGAAGGTGTTTTTCAGATCTCCATCGCCAACGTCGTACTGGGCGGTCGAGCCCGAGGACGACGGCGTTTTCCTTGCGTACTGCTCGAGGAATTTGACGTACGGTGTGGGAGGCATTCTGTAAAAGACTGAAGTGTATAGTGGAGCTATGTCGACGATGGGACCCGGTGGTGAATGAAACTGTTAAAGGGACGGGGGCGAATGGGGAGGCTTGACTTATATCTCTCCCTCCGCAGCTGCAAGGACTCGCTGCATTCCCATATCCTTTGATGTCTGACCCTCATCACTCGGCGTGTCAGCTTGTGGAGCTAGCTCAATTCAGTCTTGATCCCTTACAAGCGATCGACTCTATCGTGCTGCAGCCCAGATCTGGCCCAGACCATGCCTTCCTCATATCCTCGCTCACCTGTCTGCTCAGCTGCTGCGCAGACGTGCGGCCACTGGCTCATTCTTTCGCTCTGACGTCCTTATCATTGAGTTTGTGGGGCTGTGCAGGCTGGAGACAACGTGGGTCTGACCGATACGCAAGCTTATGGAGCCTAGCCTCCTAGGTGAAGCCGAGTGGCGAATCCAGAACATCCCGAAGGTCACGGTCATCTGGCGTCAGCTCGTTGCAGCCTAGATCTATCTTGAGATCGTTCCGATGAGTGGTCTCATTCATAAGCCACTAGGACACCCATTCATCGATCAATACACTCTCACAAAGCCATACATGCCCCAAGAGGAACCCTCGATACCGTAAGATAGGCGCGGACGAGGCTCAAAGTATCCTCCTTCAGCTCGTCTCGTCGGGAGTGTACAAACCCACGCTGTATTCCACTGCTCCAGTCCGGGTACACGCCGTCTTGATGAGCCCGAATTGGGATCCGAATGCGCCGTCCAGCTCCAGCAGCAGCTTCGGGTCAAGACCCAGCCCCTTGAGCTCTTTGCAGCTCAACGAGCCGCCTGTGCTTCCCTCATTCGCCTTCGACTTGGCAAACAGTGCGGCGATGATCGTTCGACCCGGAGAACTGGGGACGTAATGGGTCACGGTGCGGCTGGTGTTGCCCTGGGTGGCGGTGGCGAAGAGAGAGACAGTACCAGGGATCTCCTCGGCCGCCGTGAACGTCAGTTGCGTTTGAGCGGACATGCTGGGATGGTTGTTCTGGTCAGGGAGTTTGGAGTCACAATTGTAAATAGAGTGAAAGAGAAGACAGTCGATAGTGGGATGAGAGACGAGCTCGCGGGACAATGGCGCTTGTACATAGCGAGCCGCTATCGCCCTGCCGCGCATCCCTTCAGGTGCACTATCCTTTGTTAACGCGCTTCACAGCCCTCATTGAGGCTACATATGGCGTGCTTGCAGTACTCATACGTAGGCTACTAGGCCGATGAGCGATCCTTTCTCTTCGGTATCAAGGGCATGCGCATCTGAAGAGCAGTAGGTTTGCGCGAGAGCTCGGGTTGAAAATATCGCTCGACCATTATAGTGAGGCGACTGAGTATCGCAATCAGGGCATCGCAAACCTGTTCCAGTGAGATCAGATGCGCGTAGGTGTGGCGTGAGCCTTTATAGGCGATGCGCAAGCGCCTGAGCTCGTGGAAAAAGGTGTCCTTTCAGGTATACCTCTTACCACGGTCATTGCACTGGTCACCTGGTGGAGCCGAGCGCCGAGCAGCAGTGGGTATCAGTGCTAGACGAAGCTGGACGCAGTCGTATCCGAATCAGCCTCAGGGATGAAGGTCAGAGTACGTGGAAGGGTCAGTACACTCGATCTACACAGACTTCATGCTTTGACTATTGTTCTTCATCAGCTTATATACAGATTCTCATTCTTCTTCTCTGCCGGACTCCCTATTCTTCATTCCGCGACCATACTTCTCCACCCCACATCCCCACTCTTCAAACTCTCCTTCCTTGCAAGTACATGCGGCGGCACAAACCCCTTATTCTCCCTCAACGAGCCCACCCCTTCTCCCCCCTCTCCGTCCTCATCATCCGGTACATCATCCTCCATCGCCCCCAATACCGCCCCCGGATCCGCCCGGAACACCTCCCCTCCCGGCTTCGTCCTCGGCGTGACGTCCGCTCCTTGGCTGGGCGACGACAGTCCGAGCGAGTTCCCATCCGCTAAGACCCCCCGCTGTCGCATCGCCTTCATCAGCGGCGGAACGAGCATTCCCTCCCGATCCGACAAACTCGTCTTGCGCTCGAAAGCATACGGTGGGGCCCGGGGAGTGATACCTCGGATCCCAAAGCCAATAGGCATAGGTACGCTCGTCGCCAGTTTCGAGATGGACGATTCGTCCTGGGTACCGGATGAAGCGTCGGCGCGGCGAGTGGGAGTGTAGTTGTCTTTACCACCCGCGAGGAGCTTGTGGTGTGCGGACCGATGGGAGGGTGCGTGCGAGGCATATGTGCTGGCTAGTGTGGCTTCGAGTTCGCGGGTCGCGGTGAAGCTGGGGCCGGCGATGTCGTCTGCGGTAGGAGGGGCAGCGAGGACGGTACGATCTTCCAATTCAAAGTCGAATACGTAGTCTGTGGATAAGCACAAGCCAGATTTTCAAGGACTGGGGTAGCTCACCATCATCCTCTTGGTCCATCTTCGGCCTAGTCACGCTTCCAAACTCCTCATCCAACCCGTCGTCCACCCGCTCGGCCACTGGCTCCTCGAATGACACCTTGGCCTTGGCCTTCGCCTTTCTCGCTTCGTCCAAGAACGACCCCCTCCGCTCCTTCCTCGACCCGACCAGCGCACTCGCTTTCGGCATCGGCGTCTTGCCATCCGCGCCCTCCCCGCTGCTCTTTTGCTTTGCCTTGTTCTCCGCCTCGACAATCTGCTGTTCCCGCCTCCAGGCCTCGGTACGCTCCTCGTCCACCCAGCTATCTCGCCCGTGCACATCCTTGACAGTCTCACTCTCCACCGCCTCATCCCGCGCTGTAGACTTTCCCATAGCCCCGTCCATACTGCTGAGGACGTACGACATGGCCATTGCCCTCTGATCCCCTTGTTTGTTGTACGTCCGGGTGATCTCGTCGATTGTGTTATCCACATTGTCCGGTATGGGTGTCGGTCGAGGCATATACGAAGCCTGGCTGATGGAAGCCGAGAGGAGTGATGCGCCCGTCTGAGCCTGCGCCCTGGCCGCCTCGCGCATGATGGGGTTGTCCATAGGCGTAGGCGATACGCCGGAGGATCGTCCACTCTCATCCCCATTCCCGAATCCTCCCCTGTCCCTCCCCTTCCCCTTCCTATCCCGACTTGCGCCAAGAGACTCGCTCCGCCGCCTCTCGCGCTCCTTGACATCATCCCGCCCTGGCCCCTGGACATACCGCTCCCACATATGCTCCACCTCACATCGGACCTGCTCTTTCAGCTCCCGCATCTCTCGCGCCTTGACTTCGATATACGCCCTGATTTGCAGTTCCGACGCCTCGTGCGTGGCGTTCAAAAAGTCGACGGCGTCGGAACATAGGTCTCGGAGGTGAGGGTGTGATGGCATGAAGGGTGGAGGTAAGAAGAATGGGTCGGGGACGGAGGGAAGATGAGTAAGGGAGTGGTTGGAGACGATATCTGCGTGAGAGATCTTGAGCGAGTCGGTGGGTGGACGGCCGAACGTGGAGAAGCAAGATACCGGGAGGTTGAGACCGGAGTAAGGTAAAGGTGTGGGGTCGGCTCGTCGGTCGGACGTTTGAAGCTAGATATCAGTACGAAGTCACCAAGCCGTTGGAGTTTTTAGCTTACCAGTATTCCACTGTTCCGGTCGATTGTCACCGTCGCCCCCTCCACTGCTGGATCATTCCGCCGCCTGCCTTCCGTCCGATACAGCTTCGTATCGCACATCCAGCATATTCTCCATACCGGCTTCGCGGTAGATGACGACTCTCCTTCCGTAGTATAGCTTGCGCGCCGACTCTTGCGCTCGGCCTCGACATCGTAGCCTACATACACCGCGTATTTCTGCCATCAGTCAAGCACAGTATGTAAAGTGATGAACATACCTGCTTCTCTGCACCCTTCTTCAGCCATATCTCCTCCAGACCACTATCCGGCCTTTCCGCATTGTCTGACGCAGTATCACCGGTGGTACGACCATAGACGACGACATTGGAGCAGCGACAGGTGAAGAGGACAGCATCCTCGTCCGCCTCCATGGGGTCCGCGTCCATTGACGAGCTCAATGCCCGGCTGAAGGCCCCGTTTGCCTCGCCAAAGTCTGACGCCAGGGATACCATATCCTTACGAGTCTCTGGCTGCAGGAGTATGGTCGCTCCGTGCTGGTGATATGTATAGTGTGAGGTAGATAAGAGGTTGAGTCGAGCCAGCTTGGGCGAGATCGGATGGCAGTAAGCCGACGATTACGTCAGATTACCCCACATTCCCCACATTCCACCAAGGAACCCAATACAGCAGCAAGACGACGCAGCTATAGGACAGCTCCATCTACATCTAGCATATACACTCAAGGGCCACAAGTCGAGCCACGCCCAGCTCGACAGTATGCAGGCAGGAGAAATGACTGCAAATGGCGTTCGCCGAGGAGAGGAGGAGGAGGGGGAGGAGCGGCCAGTCTCCATCGCTTCGCTTCGTTCGAAATTCGAAGGGATGGCTGCGGCGTCCGCACCTAAGCCGCAGGCCGTCAGAAAGCCAGTGCAGAGTGCTGCGGTCGCTCCGACACTCATGTCGAAGGTGGTAGAGCCGGCGGCGGGATTAGCGGGGATATCAAGGGATCAAGAGCAGATGCCTACGCGTATAGAGATTTCTGTCGCCTCGCACCCTGTATGTTGATTTTCTAGATGATGATGAGCTCTGCTGACATCTAATAGATTCCGGAAACGAGCACAGACACCACTGGCAATGATGCCAGAAGCACAGATCCCACCAATGTCCCTCTCATCAAAGCTCGCCTGAAGCCGCCTGCTCCTGCCCCAAAGCCGCCGGCACTCGCTTCACGGCCATCCTCTCCAGCTCTACCGCAGTCCGACGCCAGGGATGGAAAAGGATCCAGAGCACCATCCTCCGCATCATCTACTGCACCGTCCAAAGAAGAGGTCGCAGAAAGGCCCGCACCTCCGCCGGCGGCAAGCACGCCTCCATCAGGAACCACGCCAGCGCCCTTGTTATCGGCGCGAATACCATTGACCAACCTCACGGCTGCGGACACTTCGGAAGATGGTGAGCGGCCCACATCGGTCCAAGCGATGCTATCTCGCTTCGGGGGCGGAGGCGTAGTGGGCGAAGCTGGGGGAGCTGGGCGGATAAACGCAGTTGCCGGACCCTCTATCGTCAAACGCAAACCAGCGCCACCTCGTCCAGACGCGTCCGCTCCTGAGACTCCTTCGGCCGCTCCTGAAAGGGACGCTGAAAAGGCGCCTATGCTGAGGCGCACATCTGCAGGTGGGGAGAGCAGTAATGCTATACCGGTCTCCTCACCTCCAGCTGCTCCCGGCGGAATTGAGGATCTCCAGCGGTCGGCTTCACCTCGGCCCATCAGCCCAAACCTCCCCACCTCTCGCTCGAGATCTCCTGCCCCTCTTCCTTCCGCTCTCACCACTCCATCCATCGGCAGAGCACCGTCACCAAAACCGCCGGAGCCAGATCGGGCTTTGAAACCAAGCAGACCGCAAGTCTTGTCGGAGACGAGCCAGGCTGCGCCATCGAATCCTCCCCCATTCCGGTCGGAAGTGTCAGCTGCTCCCGGCCTGCCTGTCCGAAAGACATCCGCGCCCACTCCCTCCCCTGGCGGTCCCCCTCCTATCCCACCCAATCGTCCCAAGCTCGCATCGGTAGCATCAGCCGTGATGGCCGCTCAAGCCTTTGCAAGCGCGCCACCCCTGCCCTCAAGGTACCGCGCCGAGACCGTAGGGACTCGCGATACACCACCCTTGCCGAACCGACTGGCCGGCCTGCCACCCCCCACCAAATCTGCCTCGGTCATACCAGCCCTCGGACCCCGCAAGGACCGCGGAACCAGCATCTCGGCTGTTCCCTCTCCGTCTGGGCGGGGCGAGGTTCTTGCTTCTCCTACCGAGGACTACCGCCCTCCTCCTCCACCCACTCGGACCATCCTTCCGGGCGCTACCCTCCCTACACCTCCTCGTCGGCAGGATACGCGCGCAGAAGTCCCGCTCGAAGCGGAATCGGAGGACGACGAGGACGTTGACGGGCCCAACCAGATCCCGGGACTAACCTCCGCCGCCAAGCGCGCGCTGGAAGACTCCCCAGACTCGACTCACGCCAATCGCCGTCCGCCTCGCTTTACGCCCGATATCAAAATCACCGGTACAGCCCACACCTCCTGCTTTGCCATGCACGGCCGGTACGTCTGTACCGGCTCGCACGTCGTACGGGTATATGACACCCAGCTCTCGGACCAGCCTATCCACTATATCGACCTGCACCAGACGGGCCTCGAGTTCCGGATCAAAGACCCCAAAGTCACAGCGATGTGTTTCCGGCCCGCGGCGTTTGCGAGCGAGGAAGGGCGGTATTTATGGTGCGGGACCAAAGATGGGCATCTATGGGAGCTGGATATCAAGACGGGGGACGTGACCGATACCCGGGCGTGTGCGCACGGATCGCCGGTGGTCGGGCTCTTTCGATACAAGCAGACCATCATGTCTCTTGAGGAAGGCGGGAAGCTGCACGTCTTTGATGTCGGGCAGAGGGAGGATGGGACAGAGGAGATTGCGCGGATTCCGCAGCTCAGTCGGACCTTGCGCGTGGTCGAGAAGTTTAATTTCGCCAAGCTTGTCGCGGGGAAGTTATGGACTTCCTCGGGTCCGGCAAACCGCTCTACCACTTCGGCAGCAGCGGCCAAAGGACCGACAATTCGGATATACGACCCCACCACGCCGGGTGCAGCGACGAGCGGGAAAACGGTGTGGGCGACGGAATGGACGGGTGCCGTGACGTGCGCAACCATCTTCCCGCTCCGCCCGGACAAGGTGTATCTGGGGCACGAGGGCGGATATGTGTCTATCTGGGATGCGGAGGAGGCGGTGTGTCGCCAGGTGCTCAAAATATCGAGTAGCGATATTTTGAGTTTGGAGGGTGTGGGAGAGCGGCTCTGGGCGGGGAATAGGAAGGGGCAGATTCACGCGTATGACGTCTCGGTCAAGCCATGGCAGGCGACCAATCTGTGGACTGCACATCCGTGAGCACTGTTCTGCTGTGTCAGGGAGGAGCTGACGTGGTAGAGAACATGCGGTATATCAGCTGGCGATAGATCCTTGGTCGATCCAAGAGGTACGTCGAGCTCAAGTCACATTGTCTACTAAGCTGATTCCCAGACTGGCCGCTTCGTCCTCTGGTCGCTCGGCAAGGACTCACTCAGGGCGTGGGACGGCCTCCTCACCGTAGACTGGATCGGTATGTCTTATCCTAATTCCAATGAGCCCTAGCTGATAAGGCAGATTCGCAAATGACCGCCCGCCAAGCCGACTACAGCGACTTCAGAGAAATCAAAACCCTCGTTTGTTCCTGGAACATCGACTCTGCCAAGCCCACCGACCTCGCCGGGTCCGAGGCGAATGTCAACTTTCTCCCTGATCTACTGCACAGTGTACACTCGCCGGAAATCATCGTGTTTGGCTTCCAGGAAGTCATCCCTCTTACCGACAAGAAGTTGACCGCAAGTGAGTTCCCACGTACTGTTGAGTAGCTACGAGATATGGCAGACGCTGATCAGTCAGAAACCCTTCTCTTTGGCGTTGGCTCAAAAAACAAAGAATCATCCGCCACTGCGGATAAGGTCTCGCACGCGTATCGTCAATGGTCAGACAAGCTGTCCGCGGCTGTCCGCTTTGCATATCCGGAAACAACGTACCTCAAAGTCCACTCGGAAAGTCTTGTCGGGCTCTACACATGCGTGTTCGTCAAGTCGAGCGAGAGGGATTATCTGAGGGATGTGCATGTATGTACGGTCAAGCGGGGAATAGGCGGGATATACGGGAACAAGGTGAGCTACAGCCTCATATGCGACCTGAGGGGATGGACCGTAGATAGGGCTGATGGTTCAGGGCGCAATTATAGCTCGGCTCGTCATTGACGATACCTCCATCTGCTTTATTAATGTACATCTCGCCGCTGGACAGTCGGCCAAGGCGTCCCGAAATGTCGACCTCGGGGTGATCATGGAGGACAAGGCGATATTGCCAGTGACGGATGGATTACCGTTCATCAATGGCGGTGATGGGACCGCGGTGCTGGATCATGAGCTGGTCATACTGAATGGAGATCTCAATGTAGGTCTCAATCTTTGTCTAAGCACCGGGAATAGCCGCTTATGAGCAGTACCGTATCGACCAACGACGCGAGAACGTCCTCTCTTCCATCCAGGCCGCCGAACTATCATACCTCCTCGAACATGATCAACTCCGGAAAGAGATGCAGTCAAACCACTCGTTCCGCCTGCGCAGCTTCGAAGAGGCGCCGATACATTTCAAGCCGACATACAAGTACAATGCGGGAAGTTTAGAGTATGATTCGAGCGAGAAGAAGCGAATACCAGCTTGGTAGGTCCCTCCCCTCGAGTCCTTGCTCCTGAATATCTTACAGTGGCTCATTGAGAGATCTGGACTTGGCTGATCATCAGGTGTGATCGGATCCTATACAACAAAACCCCTCGCCTCCAATCGCTCCATTATAGGCGATATGAGCCGACTGTCTCGGATCACCGGCCCATCTCGGCCGGGTTCAGGATGCAGGTCAAGGCGGTAGATCAGGGCCGGATGGAGGATGTTCGGAGGGACGTGAGAGTGGAATGGGGGAGGAGGGAGGCGGGTATACTGGAGAAGTTGGAGAGAGCGTACTTGGATCTGGTGTAATCATTGTTAACTTTTCCAGGGACCAGGAGGCAAGATATGTTTCCGACAGCAGAGTGGGGATGCATTGGACTCGAACAGCCCTCCTTATATAGTGCTGACAGCGGTCCTAACTATGAGTCTCCTACTAAGTATCCTACTAGGTATCCTACGAGTCGCCTACGAGTCGCCTACGTCTGCGAGGTATCCGACCAGTCTCCTACTGATCAATCGAGTCTGCGACCTGTAGCAGACGAGTATCCGACTCGTCGCCTACTACCTTGGGGGTCTCCGACTCGCCTCTGACGTCTCCGACCCGTCTTCACATCCCTTCGCGTATCCTACGCGTATCCGACTTGTAACAAGAGTGTATTCGCCACCCGGTGGCAAACCCCAGAATCTCATATTCTCAACAATCATGGCTCGTACCAAGATCTTGTGCAGAGGATCGTGCGGACGGTTCCTTGCGTATATTGTAGCTATACATCTCATCTTAGGTTCTAGTAAGCAAGTGGCCATGGGCGGCACACCTGAAGCGGACGCTACCTCACCTCGAGATACAGCAAGTTTCAAATGATCAGATATGACAAAAATATATTGGTCGTGGCCCGGAGGCCCAGTCTTTGACCCCCCCTTCCGCCCCGCCCCCCATTACCCTCTCTAGTATCTATTGAGGCGGACCACAGTCGGGTTACTAGGGTTGTTTTGGTTATTCCGGATCGAAGCTTTTAATGGGTCGCAGCGTTTGCTTGGTGGATGGCGAATGTTGTTTACTTGGTCGATTCTAGCAGGTGCAAGGTAGTTTAATTGGTTGATTTCTGTCGTCGAGGGTCTACACGGGAGAAAGCGTTGGTGGAGGATGAAAGTTGGAGGTGGGGGGTCCCTAGAGTGTGCGGCGAGAGAGGAGGGAGGGACCCCCGACACTGTAGGTAAGCCGGGACTACACCCGATCGGCTCATGTGCGACTTACGGACTGAGATGGAAATGCCGAGGAAGTGGCACTCGTGGTACTAGAAGTAAGGTGGAGGTGGGGGTGGAGGTGGGGATCGTGGACGCGACGTGGGCGCGGGCAGGGTTGATAGCTTAGGTAAGAGATGGGTGAGACATGTTTTGGATCAGAGGGGACCGCGACGCGCCGCGCTGTGGTGATGCGCCAGTGGTATCCGCATGCGTCAGCCGTTACGCGATAGACAGGCCTGGGCAACACGGTCGACCTCCAGGAATAGAGGCAAGACATAACGGCTGTCGCAGAGTGCAAGAGCGAGAGATGAGCAAGAGATGAGGAATGAGGAGTTGTGTTTGGCGGGGCCGAAAAACTTTTGGGTCTTTGACTTTTACTCGGGCCGTGGAAAAGTCGCGGGTCAACCCTACACCGATGCTCATGCCCGCCAGACCTCTACCTCTTACTCGCTCTAGCTCGCTCTAACTTGATTAGATCCCCAGAGATGGATTGAGATGGATCAACGAGCTCATGACATCTCGTATACACAGTGTGAACATACTTGGACTACTCTAGCTATTACTCGTTATCATAATTAAAAATCGTGAGGCGTAAAGGGTTTCGTATACGTAGCTCAAGCACAAAGACGAAGACATTATACACACCTCCCATTTCCCCCTCCAAGGCAGCCCAGGTTCCCCTCAAGCATCATTCACACACTCTCTCCCTCCCATCCCTAGCGCCAGCTCTAGACCTGGACGCCATACCACGTCCCCGCCTCCCTGTCTCCGTTATCTGGTGTTCCCATGATCACCGGCCCAAACCCCTCAGCGGACGTACTTGCGCTCATCGACAAGTCTGGCGTTCCCTCCGGTCCCAGTCCCATCATCCCGTTGACTTCCTTGGGTGTCTGAACCGATTCGCGATGACTGGTCTCCTTGGCGGGCCCGGTAGAGGGTGGCGCTGGGGGTGTTTGAGGAGCCGAGGAAGGGTCGGCAGGATGGGAGGGCCGGAAAGGCTGAGACTGGGTGTACTTGCGGTGTTCGCGCCGGTCGTAAGAAAGGGCGAAATCCCTCCAGAAGACGTTCTCCTGTTGGAGCGCTTGATTTCGGATCTGCTTGTATCAGCTGGGCACCCTGTCATCTGATGGCATCCTCCAACTCACTTCCGAGATTCGCACAGCTCCTGAGCGCTCCGTAGCCACCATACCCAGGTTCATCTTCTCCCCTTTGAGCTTCTCCACCTCCGCCTGCAGCTCGATGGTCTTAGCTTCCGCCGCAGACCTGGCCTTCTCGGCAGCAGTAAGCGACTTTCGGAGGTCCGACTCGGCGGAAGCAGCGGCATTGGCAGCGGTAGCGAGGCGGAGATCGGCATCGGCGATCTTGCTGGAAGATTCGTAGACCTACACGTGTCAGATGATGGCCTGATTGTGATCTTTGCAGACGAGTCTTGATCCGACATACCTTCTTGCGCAGCTCAGCGAGCTCTGCCTGATGGTTCCGCTTATCCTCCTTCAGCCCCTCAATCTCGCTGTTCCTCGCTTGAGATGCTGCCGCGCCGTTCCCGGTCAAAGGTCGGACTTCCGCGATCAGACAGTCCTGGAACGCCTTGTTGCCGGCCACCAGAGTCTGGAGATCGCTGATCGAGGAAGACGAGTGTTGGATCTGATGAGTCGCCTTGAGTGTTTGCGTGTCCAGCTAAAACATGAGCTTGTTTGTCCACGTTCAGCGATGTGAAGGCGTTTTGGAAGCTCACCTCTCGCTGCAACCTATCCAACTCCACTTCCATTCCCCTCTGCCTCGTAAAGCTCTCCCTCAGAGCCGCAGCCAGCCCATCTCGCTCAGCCACCACCGCCATCTTGCCCGCCTCCATCTCATCTGCCCTGGCCAGGGCTTTCTTCTCCCTCTCCTCTATCCCTTCGTACGCAGCCACGAGCTCCTCCCTGTCCCACTTGGTTTTGGCCAATTTGGTCTTCAACTTGTCCAGCCGCTCTTTGGCTTCGTCTCGTTCCGCAAACGCCTGGATTTCCGATTGTCGAGCCCCATCCGCTTGGATTCGAAGAGCAGAGATGACCTCGTCTTGCTGCTCCGCGCTGACCTTCCGAAGCTCCAAGTCCTCCTTCATCGATCGGATTGCCTCGACGGCGGTAGTAGTGTCCCGACTGTGCTGCATCGAAGCGTGCGAGGTGGACGAGATCTGCTCGAGGAGAGCAGTCTGGCCCGTAGCGAGAGCCGAGAGGGTGGCTTGGACCTGTTCGCTATACGCACTCAGTACCGAAGGCTCGGTTGTCGGCGGCTCATTGGCACGATCGACGAGCGCTTGCAGCAAATGCCGCTGCTGCTGGAGTTCGGAGTGGAGGCTGTCATTTTGAGGCGGGTGGAGGGGTGATCCGAGTCGGTCTGCTTGATGAGCTGGATCCCCGGTCTCCAAGAATCGATCAACTCACCCTCAATGCTGTCCCGCATCTCCGTCATAACGTCTATCACCTTCTCTCTGAACCCTATCATCCCATCCCCCTTTTTATCGTCCTCCCCCCCATTCGAGCCCCTAGTCCTCGCCTCGAGGTCCGTCAATATCCCCTCAATTCGTCCCAGGGTCGCCTCCAACCGTTCTACCTTCCCCTCCGGCTCGCTAGCCATGCGCGACTGGCCAGGCCGAACAGTATCCTCCGAGCTCTCCTCATCCTCCGGCGCAGAATTGGCGACGACCAACCTCCGCCTCTCCTCGCGCATCGGGAATTCCACGCTGGTCCTCGCCAAATGAGCCGCTCGAGCGCTCGCACTCGCCGCCGCGTCCAGTCGGGAGGACATGACAGTTGCGAGCGCTGTGGAGGCGATACCCGCCAAGCTAGCCTTTTCGACTGCTGGGATAGGGAAGGTGAAGCGGCGCATGATGCTGGGTCGATCAGGGAAGATCCCGCCAGGGAGACGAGGTCCGTTCGGAGCCGCAATGCCGCTGGCCTTGAGCTGGACGAAGGCTGGGATAAGGCATTCCGGTGACGCAGCGTTGCATGTAAGTCCGGGCGACCCGGGACGGAAAAGTCTTGCTTCATCGAGCATAGCTGAGCGGGATGGAGGCCGCCGAGCAGGGGTCGGCGAGACATGTACCGGGACTTGAGACTCGATATCCGTAGTCTTGTGCGGGGTAGCGGGCGTCTCGAGGTATCTCCGAGGTAAGAGCGGACTGCCGTCGAGCGTCTGGTACGGCTGAGATGTCGACGCACGGAGAGAGGCCCGGTCAGCCTCGGTAGGCGTCTGGGGCGCCTCGCCGAGCTGCGCACAGCTATCCATACGGGGAGTAGGAAGATTGTCGAGCGGTGTGGAGAAGATGACCTCGTCCTCTAGATCACCGGCTGTGCTTGACTGTTCGGAGTGGATGATGTCCGCTGAAGGGTGAGTAAACGAAGGGACCGACGCGTGGAAGAGAACTTCGGCCGTATCCTGATCCGGTCCGCTTTCGCTTTGCTGATCCGCCGGCAGGGACAAGTGAACGTCCTCCAAGACCGATACGTGATCGTAAGCAGGCGGAGCATCCTCCTGTACTGCCTGCTCGGCGACATGCTCGGACGCCTCTCTCGCCTGACCGGAGGACTCTGCTCCATCGCTGCCGCCTGGGCTGTTGTCCTGCGACTTCCCAGTGTGTTCCCCACACGAGCTCGGCAGATCGTGAAGGCGGCTAGCGGGCGAGGTTCCCCCTAGACCGCCTCCAACCCCGGTAGGAACCGCAGTGTCCTCCCCAGATCCACCATTGGCCTCCTCCGTCTCCTCCGACTCCGAACTACACAAAGCCTGCCTCAAACGTGCATCCAGCTCATGTCCACGCAAATGGGCCGCTGGTCCGGGCGGAGAGACCCAATTGGGAGGTAGAGGCCGAGGAAGCGCACCTGAGGGAACGAATGTCGGCGCGGCGGGACGAAGCAGGCCAGTAGTAGTTCGCTCGCTCGCGATTGAAGATCGGTGGGATGTTGTGGAGGCACCAAGTGTGTGGTGGTGAGGGAATGCGTCGGATGGATAGCCAGGATTGATGGGTTCCGGATACGGTCCATGCACTCGAGCAGGTGCACGTGCGGCAACGTAGGTTTCGGCCGCTTGTGGGACCCATTGGACGTTGTGGAAGCCCCCAGGCCCGGTGTCTATACCCGGACTGGGCCGCCGAGAGCTACTGCTGCTAGTGGCGCCTATATCCGGTCGGAACTCTGGCGCGTCGACTCGGAGATCCCGCCGAGTCCCTCCCGAAGCAGCCAGCTCGCGCCGATGCCGCGAAAAGCTGCGATGACGGCTGTGTCCCCCAAGCGGTGGGGGCACGCTCATCGAGCCTGAACCGAAGGTGAAGGGCTCGAAAGGAGGTGCTTCATACCGAAGTGTAGCGGTGCCGTGCGGACCAGTGAGGGACGAAAGGGGATTGGATACCGAACGCGTAGGCTCGAATGTCGGAGCGATAGGGTTGAGCCGGTTGGACGAGGAGACGCTGTGGCTGCCGGACCGGTGGCTATTTCGCCATGCGACGAGGGGGTGGACGTCCGGTTCGGCGGGTGGCTCGGGCGCGGGCATGTTCGGATCGTAGCTACCGTCCCAGGCCCATTGCTGTGCAGGATACCTCCCGAATGGACCTCGAGCAGCTTCCTTCTTCTTCTTCTGGTAGGGAGATCTCGTCGTGTGAGACACCTGGGCCGTCAGCGACTACCCAAATGACCGATCGTGGAGCTTACGAGAGAGCGGCCCCTTTGTTGCTCCACTTCGCCGGACGACTGCGTGCTGCCGCGACGACTAAGACTCACACCGCCCGATAGCGGCGAGCAGCGTGGACTGGGCACCGTAGCTGGCGGGACTGACCCGCCACCTACGTTCCGAGCGAGATCGAACCGGGTCTCAGGGGCCTGGAGAGCGTCAAGCGATGGGAGATTGCGGTGGCTGTGAGGGAGGGAGGCGTCGAACGGGGCTGGTATAGCCGAGGGTAGTCGAACTTCTACCACCTTTCCCTCCCACTGCGTATCCGGGACTCCCACCTTGGCGAGCTGCTGTGAAGTCTCCTCTTCCTCGACCTGATCGGAGTGATCAAGACCATTGATCGGCCGATCTTGGAGTCCCCGGAGCTCTTCCCAGGGTCTGCCGTTCGGACCGCCTAGCTTCGCCTTTGGGAGTTGGCCATAGGTAGACCGGTCAGAATCCCTATCTCCCGCTTCCATATCCCATCCCGAAAGAGGGGGCGGCGTCCGCGAAGCTCCGTCATCGCCCGCTCGAAGCTCCTCGTATGTCTTCCCGTCCGGTCCGCCGAGCTTAGTATGGGGAGGCGGGCCGTACCGCTTTCCTTTGGGGATATACTCCGATCCGGGAGAGAGGGGCGCTCCGGCAGAAGTCCTCTGCGGCGGGTCGACAGAAGGCAAACGCACCCCGATGGGCTTGTCTCCCCACATGGCCGGCGCCTCTTCAGCCGTCTGCACCTGCTGTGAAAGTGCACTCTCTTTGTGAGCCCGCGAGGGCGTAGGTGAACGTGATCTCTCCGGCGCCGATGTTGTTCTCGATCGCCGTAGATCTGCCCATAGCTCCCCGTATACGTTCCCCCTCGGTCCGCCCAATACACTGGCCTGCGGGCCCGCCCATTCTCGTCCGAGATGCAACCCATCCTGGGACGATCCAGCCGGGGCACGTATGCCAGAAGGCCGAGGCTCGTCGATCGGGATGTACGGTCCTCGGTCGAGCGGGCGGCCGGAGTGAGACGCGACGAACGGAGCGAGGGACGTTTGGGACGGCGCGTCGAGTGACCAGGACCGATTGGTCGGAAGGGCAGGACGCAGGTGTGAGGGCAAAGAGGGACCGAGCAGCCGCTTTGGTAGTGCAGTCGGGTCGAGGGAGAGCGGCGATATCGCCCCCCGTCCAGCAGCGGCCGATTGCGGTGGTTCGGGAGTGAGCGAGCGGTACCTTCCTGACGGAGACTGGATCTGACCAAGCAGAACACCATCCCTTGCTACGAGCGCCATACCGCGGGGATCCCAAGGTATCAGACCCTGCGACCACGCCCGCTCGTCCGCGATGACACCGCTTGGACCGTTACCGTCGGGCGGGCCGATCAGCTCGACGCCAGCGAAGGATGGGATATCGGGCAGGACAATCTGCGGTTGAGCCAGCGAGCTGTGGGGCCGGAGCTGGATACCACCATTTTGACCCGGTGCGGGTCGGGAGGATGATCTGGAGTATGGGTGGTGCTGGTCATAAGGCGGTTGGGCGGGGTCTTGCGAAAGGGAGCCAGAAGGTTGGCGGTGGGAGCGTGACTGGTAATCGCGGGGCGGAGCGGGGTGATCGTCCCATGATGAGTACATCGTGGGTTATCGTAAAATCGTATCTGGATGGTCAGCTTCAGCACGAAATCGTAGAGCTACAAGGAGTGGAGTCAGAGCTGAAGGAGGACAAGGCCAAGGCAACTCACGTTTTGCTTCCTGCGTCACCGTCAACTCAACTCACTCCGGCTCAAGGCCTACCACCGGATCCTACTCTGCCTACCTGCTGTTCAAAGGTAATTATGATGATGGAGGACAGAGGGTGAAGAGGCGAATGAGAATGTTCGCGAAGGGACGAAGTGACGTCGGGGGTCCGAAGCTTCGCGCTAAAAGGTCCAAGCGTTTCACTTTCGCCCAAGGCATGTTTCACCTCAGTTCAGGTATGCGGCTTCCTCTATCGCTTCTCTCACTTTCACATCAATAGACTACCTTCGTGCCTCCCAGGACTGTGGATGTAAGAAGAAATGCATGGCTGCTCATACCTTCTACCCCTGGCATGTCAGCAATTTGTACCCGGCGCGAGGGAAAGGAGCTGAACACGAACCTTACTATGATTGGTCCCTTCAAGCGCGCCTGCCACAGCTCCAGCCATCATTGTGTACTGGGCGCGAGGCCAGCGCACTTGCTCACAGCCATAGGAGGGAGAGACGCGCATCATCGAGCTGTCCCAGCGCTCCGCCTGGCCTCAGCAGGAGTTGGCTGTAGTTTCAGAGTTTGGCGAGCTAAACGAAGCTTCCGTCGGAAGCAAGATTTCTGGCTCAGGCTGATGAGCGCTGCGCTGAAAGACAGCTTACCTTTGCCTCTCGCCATCTCCCAGCATCTCCCCGCCCTCAGACCTCCTGAAACTCGTAGCCATGGGCAAGAAATCCTCGTCAGCAACCGCTCCAGCCGCCGCGGAACCCGACACCTCCTTCTCCATCGACGACATCTTCGCCTCCAAGCCCAAACCCAAATCCAAAACCCCCATCTCCACATCATCCAACGCCGTCGCTTCCTCCTCTAAGGCTCCCGAGCCAACCAAGAAGAAGAAGAAGAAGGTCAACGTCATACCTGTTTTCATCCCTGATGAGCCATCAGCGTCCGCTGCGGGCGGTGCAGAGGCGATAACGGGCGAAGCGGATCGGAAGAGCAAGAAGGCGAAGGTGTCGGGGTCGGCGTCGGTCTCGTCAGAGCCAACCCGGGTGGTAGAGGAGGTCTTGGATCCTTCTATACCGAGACCAGCTGCACCGTCACATGTGCCAGCTGGGACCTCGGCGGCGACGGGAACGGCGAAAGGAAAGAAGCGGGAAAAGCGGAAAGAGGCGGCTGAGGACGATGAGATGTTTGCGGATTCAAGAGGGACTGGACCCAGTAAGTGCTGCTAAATTTGCCTACCAGACCACGTCCCCCACGTCCAATGAGACCATAGTGCTGATGGCTACTAGGGAGGAAGACAGAAGAGGGTTTCCTGATCTACAAAGAGGCGGAACTGCAGATCGACCCAGAAGCAGGAGGTGAGCTAAATCGTGCTCTTGCACCTGGCCCAAGCACAGCTGACTCAGTAGGCACACCGCTCTGTCCGTTCGATTGCGAATGCTGTAAGTGCTACCGGACCATCCAAGCTCTATCCGACCGCTGACACAAGCAGGCTTCTAATGTGTCGTGTATTGTCATGCATCATCAAGATCGTCGTGTACGAGATGGATCATATACGAATTCCCAGCCCTACCCTTCTCTTCGTGTATGTTGGTCATTAAGCTCGTCTTAGTCGTGTATCGTGCTCTCCGCCGCATCATCTCGCTTATCGCCACCACCGCTTCTTCTTCTCCTGCCCTTGCATCCCCACCATCACCCCCATCCCCTTCGCTTCCTCCTCATCCGCGCAATCCCGATATCCCAGCACAACCCGGCTCTTGCTCCCCTGGGTCGTAATCGTGATCTTACTCCCTTCACCACCTGCGTGCCCTCCCGCCGTGTCATCCTGGGGCCGCAGGAACTCGGGGATCCAGCGCTGCTTGGACGGGTTCCGCCCCGGTATTGCGTTTGGAGCCGGGGTCGGAACGACGTTGGAGGAGAGGGGGGCGATGCTCGTGCTGTAGACGGTTTCGTATGGGTGGGAAATGGGAGAAATGGCTGTTGAGATGGAACGGCAAAAGTGAGGGTCAGGGCCGGGGGTGGTGATATTGATGCCGCCAAGGAAGTTATGGGGTCTGCTATGTCAGCTTCGCTGCTGCAAGTGCACACAACGTCAAGCTCACAGTAGAATCATCACATCGCCCGCTTTGGTATCCACCTTCAGATCGACTTGACGGTTCTCATCCAATTCGATCTGCTCATCAGCTGCGTCACACCCCTTACCCAGCTTATTCGCACTCACCAGATCCAACTTGATCCCACCAGTTCTACTAAAAACCTCCACCCTCGCCCTTCTCCGGCCTTTATCTCTTCCCCACCCCTCCTCCCCCTCCCGTCCACCACAATCAATGACTCCCAACCCCAGCTCGATCGCCCCCTTATCCGTCGCAAACTTGCCATCAGGGGGGACAAACCACCCCTTTGCCAATCTAGCCATCCCATCGACCTGCGCAGCCGTCGCCGCGTCCTTGGCAGCGAGATTGGAGACGGCCTTGTTGGTCATATCGGCGACTTGTTGCGGGATATTGATCAGTGGGTTCCGAAGGCAGGGGTCGAGGAAGTGTGTCGACCAGATGGGAGTACGGCCGTCCGCTTTGAGTACGACGGATTCTTCGGCGGGTCTTCGGGGTTTCGGTGCGGCTGAAGCTGTGGCAGTGGGGGTCTGAAATGGGAATGAGGGAGCACCAGGTGGCGGGCCTGCTGGAGGAACAAAGGCTTGACCGGGGTGAGCGGAGTTGCCTAGGGGCGTCTCGGCAGAGTAATGCTGACTGGAGCCGGACAGGGGAGTGTCGGTGTACTCGCTAGTGCTGCTGCTGCCGTTCGGGTTGGTCGAAGAGGAGGCGACACCATACTGGCGCTGAGGCTGGCGCCGAGGTGGTAGACCAGGTGGAGGAGCTGATAGCTGGGCATAAGCATGCTCGACCGAGCTCTGCGTGAGTTGTGCCGGGATCTGGGGTTTATAGTCCGGTCTACACCATCAGCTTTTCCTTCCGCATCTGCAAAGAACCAAGCAAGCTTACTCCCACCCAGGCGGTTCCTGCGCGGTCAGCTACGTCCTCACTCAGACCAAGACAGCTCGAACTTACAGGAGCAGGCACGTTTGTGGGTACAGCAGGTAACATTCGTCTTCCTCCCGCACTCCCACCCACATATCTGGGATACCCCGGATCGCTCTCATACCCATCCCGCCGTCCCTCCGGCTGTCCAGCTCCGACACCTACCGTCCCCATCCCTGACCCATACACCTCACTCTGCCCCTCTCCCGCCTGAGAATGCGATAACCAGCTCGGCGGTCTTGTACGCTGTATCCCACTCCCACTCCCGCTTCTTTGCCTCTGCTTCTGCTTCCCAACCCCCCACCCATTCTCCGCCGGGTACGTCGACTCTGGGATCATCGATGGACGCTTTGGAAGTTCCGGCGCCTCCTGGGGACCAGAACCAGGGGCGATATACCCATCTTCCAGCGAACTTCCGCTCATTCCCGCGGACAAGTTCAGACTCGTCCGGTGCGCCTCCTGAGCCGCTTGATGTACTGGTGACTGAGGAGGCGTGAGGGAGTGTCCGGCACCTACGCCCGCAAAATTGCTAGCGCCGAAGAAGGGACCACCGCCTGGTCCGACGTCCACCGGGGAGGTCGCGTCGCGTCGGGGCGAGTGGGGATTATCGCCTCGACGGAGATGATGCGATAAGCTCGATGGGGCCTGGTCCGCCTCGAGCACAGACCCGCTGGCGGAGGAGGTGACGCCATATGTGGATGTTGAGGAGGAAGCGGGCTGGCGGAGCTGATTCTGATATGCGAGAGCTGTGGCTTCGCGGTCGAAAGAGAGGGGTTGATATTCCGACAGAGAGAGGGAGCGGGGGCGTTGGGATGGAGCTCGGTTGGGGAGTGAATTCTGTAGAGCTTGAGTCGAGTTGTACACCATCGTCGGCTACTGCACCTCTTGGGGACTACTGCAAAGACTAGGATAGGCTCGATGCAAACGGGACAGGTGATAGCTCACTGAAAGATGCTGCAGCAACGAGAGAGTGGGACGCACCTGACGTCATCAGCGCCGTGCCTGAGTCGGTCGCGTCCAAGGCCCGCCGCTATAGCCGACGACGGACCTTTTAACGGACGCTTTGTATCTCATCATACGCATACGCTAACGATTGTCATCGAAAGTGCGCGGTGATGAGTGAGCCCGGATACCCTAGCGATTGGACGTCTGGGGTACATAGCGCTATCTCAGGGCGCGAAGCGCTGGACTTTCGGTGGAAAGGCCGTGCTGTCGGACACGCGGGCCATACACTAGATGGGTAAGCGGCAGACTAGAGATCTCACACCTCTGACCGACACTAATGAGGCCTTGCCCTACCCATACTGACTGCTGAGCTCGATACAACATCCGAGTCTGACTGGAAGAGGGAAGAATCCCAACGCGCCTGTCACAGCTGACATGTGCGCTGGTGCAGCTCAAGCGCGTGCAACAGTCTCAACGCCTAGCTTAGCATCATGATATCATGACATGGCTATGGGACTCTTCAGAGCTCGGAAGGTTGACATACTGAGCACGTCGTGACTGGCGGTACGACGGCGGCCGTATCGGCTGTACGAGCGATCAGGCGACACAAAGGGAAACGCGGAACCGAGCAGCAAGCACAGCTTTCGTATTGATACGTGTGTCAACAGCGCAATCTAGATCTGCAAGAAAGGACTTACTGAGAGGCGCCCAAGGCTGGCGTAATTACTGAAAAGGCGTGAGAGAGGCACAGCTTACCCCTTGATTGCAATCTAGCACAAAGGGTCCATGGCTTTTGGTGTTTGATTATTCACTCGCAGCCAGTCCAAGGTGTGACCTGACCTTTCTCACAGGCTATATAAGGATGGATGGGAGCCGTTGCAATTCAAGATTTCTTTCCATCATCTAAACTTAACATCCCCCATCTTCACTTCACGTCCGTACCAGTCAATTGATTACCAGCTCACCTTCGACTCGTAGACGTGCCCTCGAGAAAGAGTACGTCTATCACTGCTTATTACTACTTCATGTTTACTCTTCACCATCTCCTGACACAGCTTCAGGTCAGTCATGCGGGGACGCAACACGTACACAACTGTCACCGGACAGATCGCTTGCAATCTGCCGAAGATCCAGATACAAACCACCGGCGATTGCACCTCGGTCGACTCGACGATCGTGAAACGAGACGCGGGAGATGTACGGGACGATGACACACCGAGCAGAGCGGACAGATACGCAATCACCATACCAGCCGAGCACAGAAGCGCATTGGAGGCGGCAAGGGCCTCGGGCAGCGAAGTTCCAGAACTGACGAAAGCATGGGTCGACTTGAAAGATACGATCATCACGGCCGAGGAGGGGGAACTAGCGGAAGGCATGGCGTCTCCCATGTCGATCCTGAAGGGAGCATGGGATACCTTTCAATCTCAGAGCCCGTGGGGTCATCTGCTCACTCACATTCAAGCTCAGTGGATCGAAGGGGGCTCGGAGAGCCTGATGTTCCGCAGGGGTTTGCTGGATGCTGTGACTGACACACTCGCTGCCGACACGTTCCCCAAGGCCTTTATCACCGTCACACCACGGTATGGAGACCTTGGGAAAGAGAAGTCTCGCGTCACATCAGCCATCTTCTCAAAGCGTACTGGGGACACTGAGGGAGAACCTGCCAGTACGGACACAGTGGTCAAATTTGGCGGCCACTATCGCCTGACCTTGAAAAAGCTGGGCGAGTCAGTGAATTCACTGTTGGGAGAAGAATTCCCGGTGCCCGTGCGAGGTGCCGAGGAGATCTGGTTTGCCAACTACCTGCAAGGTCTCCTGACTGAGGGAGACAACGACCGGCTGGGGGTGTACTATCACATCCGAACGGAGGAGGACGGAGTGGAAGCAAGCGCACAGGGCTGACCCCGCTGATGCCTGCCAGCCCCCTTCCTGGTGACGAATATTTTCTTGGCAGCCGGTTCATTTGGAAATTTGGGATGTTTTGAGGCACTAGGCTTGTATATAGCGATGATAGAGAGACTCTGCATGCTGATTGTGACCAGGATGGAGATCTGACAGAATTGTGGGTGGGTCGTTCGTCTCGGTCTGGACTCTGCTGTGACAGTGGGGACCATATCGCCGACAGAGAGCTGTTCCCATTCCGAGGCTCAAGAATCATTATGAAACGGGTAACGATGCGGCCGCGGCTCTGACTGTCATCTGCACTCGAGCTGACCTACGAGATAGTAAAACGCCTTGCCCTTCGATAGCAGTCCAGCATCAGAGGTTCGCGAATCTGATCGATCACGGACTCTGGGGCCACACAGGGCAGAGCTCAGAGCGTGCACAGCTTTTCTGTTCATACGTGTGACAACAACCCAAAGTATAGACCGAGGTGGGGCGTAGAAAGACAGGGCGCGATAACATAAAGGTGTCAGCTGAGCATGAAAACTGCACAGCTCACCCCTGGCCTCGAGCGTATTCCATGTACAATAATAGTGCACAGGAACCATGAATGTTGGTGTCTGAAGATTTGTCGCCAGCAGCTCTCTCAAATTTGAGACACCTATGCTACTTTGGTCTACTCCTGGGATTACTCATGGCCAGTAAATGTCCTCATGAGCGTAATATAGGACAAAGGGCACTCAGAGTGGGGAATCGCTCACCCCCACCCTAAATTTCGAGAAAGCCAACAAGCCATGGCTGAGAGGCAACTCGTTACAAAGCATTGATCTCAGATCAGCACAGCTTTTCTGCTCATGCGTGCGTCAACACTACAATTTAGAACAAAGGGCTTGCTCTGGGGCGCAACGAAATGGCACGATTCTCTCAACAGCAGCAGCTGGCCGTCAAGTCTGCACAGCTTACCCCTTGAGCGCAAGCGAGCATAAAGGATCCCATGAGTGTTTGGGGTTTTGTTTTCGCGGCCAGCAGAGCCCGCCCTGTCTATCGACCGTGCTACATAAGGGCACGCGACGCAATCGTATCCCGTACTTCTCCTCCTACAATCCCTCCACCCACTTCGCATACGTGTCACCTCAGCTGCTTCCAATATCTCACTCACCATCGCAGTCCTGCCGCTGTTCACTCTCAATACTCCTACATCAGTGTACGTCGTTCCACGAGCGTGCCCACTCCCACCTTCTGCGGCCATGAATCCATCATTCTCCTGCACACCCGTCAGCGCTACCACTCATCTTGCCAGCAAGCTCCTCGACTTCAAGATCCACGTCACCGGCAGCTGCTTTGACCACGACTCGTTCATCACCGCAGCTCCTCCCATCACACTGCAAAGCCATCAACGGATCGGGGACCAAGATCTACTCGCCAACTACGCGATTGAAATCCCTTCGAATGTCCGGTGGGACATGGTAGAAGCGAAAGCCCACCGACTGCTGGGTTCAGACGATTTCTCCGTCGACGTTGAGAAGAAGATCGCCTTGTACGATGCATGTCACGCGTTCGCCACCAAGATCGTGACTTCACAGTCCGCTCGCACTTCCCCCGCCCAAGGCGTCGAAGATGCATGGGTTGCGTACAAGGCGAAGAATACGGACTCTCCACTTCCGGACCACATCCTGTGCACGTTCACCTCCACCAGGCCGGAGGGAGCAGACGGGGAGGAGAAGACGGAGGAGACTGAGCGAGTGCTGTGTGACTACGTGACCGCGCAGGCGATCCCCTCCATCGGATGCAGAGCGGAGCTCACAGCCAGTCTTTGCAACACTGCTGGCAAGTCGAGAATCACCAGGACGGCTTGGAAGATTGGCGAAGCAGGGCAAACAGAGGTCAGCGCTGGTGGAGTCCTGCTGGCTGTGGGCCACAAACCGTTTGAGTTTTTTTCGCCAGGAGGAGTGAAGAAAGCAGTGGATGCTCTTCGGAGCACAGAGTTCGACGTCTTCCAGGGGGAGTCTGAGGCTGATAGCTGCGCCACGCACCTGCGAGACGACTTCCTGGCGGCCTCGTTGGAGGGCAGCGCATTCTACGGTGTGCCCATCATCATCCGGATGGCGCCCACGCAGCAATGAGCAATGTTCGAGATGATGCAGCGCCGTCGAACCACCAGGGCGAGGGGATTCAGTTTCTCTTATGCGATTGTATTTGGCAGTAAGAAGAGGCGTGGAGTAGATGCGACGCGAGGTTATGATAGAAGTTGACGGCCGGACCTTGCCTGGAAACTTGCGGGTATGCCGTACAGAAGCTCAATTGTCTGATCAGTCTGCCTTTTGAAGCAGTATGATTCAGAGGATTGCTCCTGCGAGCACAAATGTGTTACCATCATTGACATGAGTGGGGGCCACACCGGCCTCTGCTGGATCCCAAAGCCTGTGCATCCGAGACATTCATCCGACTCCTCGGCAAACATGCCCTGAACAAGGTACATCGCCTACACATCTTCCTTGGAGATGACAAACCACTTAAAGCGCACGAGCTCTCCTTCAGGCCCTCAAGGCCAGCCACAGCCTTCGCGCTCTGAGTCGTCTGCCTGTCGGCGCGGCGCTCTTCCACGATGTGCTGTGAGGTATGCGGTGCAGCGTGTTTCATCTTGTTTCAGCTTGCCCGCCAAAGAACCTGTATGCTTACGGCACCGCGATCGACAAAGCGGGCCAAAGGCACACACACAGACACGGAATGTTTCAGCCCCCGGCATGTGTGTAGCTGTACCCCCACGCGGAGCGCTCGCCCGTTATGTTTACACAGCACAAGGCAGACCTTTTTGCAGATCTCGCACTGCCCTTCGCACTGCCCCCTCTGATCAGCACACAATGGGGGTCTGCGCGCAAAGGGGGGCCATGCGGTACATGGATCCGCCGATCGTCTATATAAGCCAGGCAAATTTCCGCCCAACATTTTCATCCATTCACTATCAGTTCTTCACCCTCACTGCCATCTCCACTCATCAACATTCCCCATAGTCCCCTCCAATACCCCACAATGCTGTTCGCAATCCTCCTCGCTCTCGTCCCATTCGCGCTCGCCGCTCCTACCCCAGACATGTCCACCAGCTCCTCCTGCCCCGTCAGTTCCATCGAAGTTCCCATCATCCCCGGTATCGAGCGAGCAGCCGGCGAACAGACCATCTTCAGTACTGTCGGACGCGGGGTCCAGAACTACACCTGTACCGCCGGAAAATGGCTCAGCGCTGGAGCGCTCGCAGAGTGAGTACACTATCACTCAACCTCCTTTCTCCGATCCGCGCTCATAAAACAGCCTGTACGACATGTCATGCATGTCCACGGTCCTCTCTCCTCTCTTCAACATCAACCAAACCAGCACCGCCATCGCCTTCGGAGCCCTCCAAGCCATTCCCTTCCCCGCTACCGACCCCTCCCTCGTCAAATTCGACCACTTCTTCGTCCGTACCGCCGCGGGCGGGATTGCACCTGCCTTCCGGGACTCGCGGGTCGGGATCGAGGTCGTCGGGTCGCTCATTAGCAGGGCGGACTCTCCGGCGGGCAACGTGACGACTATCCCTTGGTTGCATTTGACGGCGGCGTCGGGGATGCTGTCCAAGGGTGTTTTCAGGACGCATACCATTGGTGGTCAGGCTCCTCCTTCGGTAAGTTAGATCTTACACTGTTGTATCGGGATGCGCTGACCTTCTTTAGTGTGCGGCCGAGGGCAGGAGCTTGAGCGTCCCCTATACCGCCATGTACTACTTCACCGCATGACCTAGACCATGTTCGATAGATAGACTATAATAGACAAGGACAGTTAGATTTTTTAACGAATTACGCCCATAACCCATATTCTCTATACTCTATGACATGTACGCATCTGTGACCACCTCAGCTCCGCCATGTTCCCTGTTCTCCTTTCCCGATTACACCAGACCCTCCCGCTTCAACGCCCACATCACGCCATCCTCCACGTTATCCACGATCTGCGTAGGCCGATGAGCCGGTTCCCCGCCAGCGTAGACACCTGTCCGGACGAGGAGCGAGACCCAGCCATAGGCGTTGGCGCCTGCTATATCTGATGCGGGATTATCTGCTGGATCAGCTGGTTCCCCCTGCCTTGTTCGACCGTGACTGACCTCCGATCATGTATCTCAGTTGTCAGCTTCATCGCCTGCTTCGTGGAGAGACGAGAAGCTTACACGCTAAGGGGATCTGCTGGGTTCCCGCCGATATCGGCAAGATGCCGCCTAAGCATACTCTCTGCGAATTTGTAGGTCGTTGTATGTGGTTTACCGAATTGAGTATAGGGGAGGTCGCACCCCGTCAACTCCTATGAAGTCAGCCTTATGCCAACGAGATCTCCGCAACGAACAAAACAGCTAACCTTGTAGACCGCGTCCAGTCCGGTCCGGAAAGCCCCCATCCCAAACCGAGGTACAGGATAGTCTCTACCTCGTCAGCTCTGCCTCAAACCCATCACGAGAGCATCAGCTCACGTTGGCCAAATGAAGTCCGGGTTGGTCAGAATGAGCGGGATCTCCTTCCCGTCCGGCACACCCTTCTTCCTCTGCCTCTGCGTCCCCATTCGCCCTCCATCCGAGTTGAGCAGCTCGGTAATGACCTGTGTCGCCAGGGCCCAGTCGAGGCCCGCATCGTGAATGACGAAGATGGCTGAAAAGGGGATATTCGAGAAGTCTATGTCGCGCTGGAAGGGTCAGCTCTGCTCTCGTCTACATGACTCCAATAGCTCACTCGTACGAAGCTCTCCTCGGCTGCTGTGAGGTGGTACCGATCCCATACGTTCCCTCGCCATGCGACCAGGTCTTGCAGGAGGTACGCCTGTTTGAGACCATACCTGAAGTATCAGCTCAATCCGCCCGCTTCATCCAGACGGCATAGCTAAGTCTCACGAGTGTGCAACAGATCTCGCCGCGTCCCCCTCGCCTCCGCAGACCAGAACAGGCTTATCCCTGTATTCGCTAACATAGTCCTGTAGGGGCGTGTGTGATTGAACCAGTTGATTCTTGCTAAACTGGCCAGGTCAGCCAGATCCCCGAGCTTTCCTCTCCAACAGACAGATAGCTCACTTGTACTCCAAAGTCCCCCTCTAGTGCTTTTAGGCGCTCATCTTCCGTCTGCCCACCTCCATTCGTCATGAGCAAAAACGGTACTTTTTGAGCGAGTACCTCTGGCGTTCGGCCCGAGAGGACATTGAGGACCCTATTTGCTCCGGGCAGGATATGGCTTTTACCATGTTTCAGTACCCCGTCCTATCTGTCAGTAGCGTCAGTATAGGGATAGCGAGAGGGACGCACGATATCGAACGCGAAAGCTGTTCGGGCTGGTCGAGGAGGTTCCGATCGGAGGTACCGGACTTGCTGTCGAGGAGCTCTCTTCGGTCGGAGAGAAGCTGCGACCACTTCCTGACCAATCGACCGGACGCTCGTACGTATGCTCATCTTGTCTGGGTCCTAGGTAGATGTACAATTGACACTACCTCTGCACCTTGCATCTATGATGTGGACCTGCCCCACGGACCTCCACTTTGGCTCAGACACCAAAAAGAGAGAACAACCTGCCTACATCATCTATGTCTTGCCTACATCTGTCGGAGTAGTAGTGTCCTGTCGCTACCGCACCATCTCTTCCGCTCCTCCTCTCCTAGAAGCCTCTCAAATCCGCCCAGAACAACTCCCTCCTCGTCACAACTCAGGATCCCCAGCTCGATCCCCTCCCCCCAAAATGTCCGCCCCATTCGCCCAACACCCGTACCGCGAGTCCCGCGTCGAATCTGCCGAGACAGCAGAGGACATCTTTGATATGTACGGTGCCGGCGGCGGAGGCGGGAGTTCTGTCGGCGGGAGAGAAAGCTGGGCATCTGGCGCTCCAGTCGGCGTGGCGCTGGGCGATCCCAGCTCGGATACGGAGACGGACCGGCCATCTTCGTCTACTTTTAGGAAGGGGAATCGCGATTCGCTCGGTCCTCCTATACAATCCGATCTTCGGCGGAATGGGAGTGGAAGTGGAAGTGGGCGCTCTTCTCCGGCGAGACATAATGGTGACGGGGACGGGCAAGGACAGGGACAAGGATATCGGCTATCCCAATTACCGCCCCGGGCGGACGTGGAGGAATTGGAAGACGAGGCGCACACTCCCGCAACCCAGCACTCATGGGATGGACCCATGGCGGCCCTCTCGAAGCGTATGAGCGGGATGTCGAGCGCTTCGTCCCTAGGCGAATCGCCTGCTGGGCCCGTCCGGCGGCTGAGGGAAGAAGGGCAGGGATTGGGGATTGGGCTGGAAAGGGATAAACGCCATTCATACGGGAACAGCTATACCCCCGAGGTCTTGGATGGTCCAAGCTCCAGTTCCGATCCCAACTTCGGCACTGGCTCTGGGTCAGGCTCAGGCTCAGTCTCTGCCCCTGCCTCGGTACGAAAACCTCTCCCTACCGTCACCGTCACGCCCGATATGACGCCCACTCGCGCCCGCCAACAACAGGCCTCTGTATCAGGCGACGACTCCCGTAGAGTGTCCATGCTCTCTTCCTCTACTTCCGACTCGCCCTCCCTGAGTCGTCTCACACCGAGATTATCAGGCGGATACGGGAATGGGAATAGAAGTATGAGCCAAGCGAGCTTTGGGAGTAGCCAGTACCCCGGTGAAGACCCCGAGGCTTTTCGCATCCGGTCGACATGTAAGTATAGGCCCTGGGATAGCGCTGATGATAGATGCGAGACTAGAGTCGGAAGGCGTACATGGGGACGGATACCTACCAGGGGTAGAGCGGACGCGGGGCGGGCCGAATGTCGGTAAGAGAGCGACAATGATGGAGGCGCAGAAGGGGGAGGCGGTAGGTGAGAAGGAGAGGGGATTTCTGTCCAGTCTGGATCGGTATGTCCGCTCTCCGCTTCTGCTTCTACCTTTTGCGTCTATGATCCAAGCCCGAGCTCATGGTAGATATGGCTTCATCTCTGAATCCGTCCGAAATCGGTCTGAATCCCGCCTAGCTCTAATACCTACCGCCCCCCTCCTCAAGATACCCAAACTCCCCTCGACCTCCCCGCTCGCTGGTCAGCCCCGCGTAGATCCACCCCCGCCCGGACCGGGAGGTGGAGATGGGCCGTCTCCCCGCCAGCCGCCAGCAAGGGGCGAGGCCGAGTCGGAGAGCTCAAAGCGGAAAGAGACGGAGAGGGTGGAGAAGTGGATGCGGATGATGGGGGTCCAGAGACGGGAAGGTGGTAATGCGGTCGAGTGGAGCTGGAAAGATGAGGGGACGACCAAGGTGGGTATCTTCTGTAAAGATATGAGAGGAAGAAGGCTGATACCGTAGTTGCGGAGAAGGGTGTATAAGGGTATTCCAGATAGATGGCGTATGGCGGCCTGGTGGACACTTGCCGAGGCGCGCTCGGGGGAACATCACGGGAAAGGCAAGAAGAAGGCCGAAGAATTGTGTTTCGATTACCGAGTCAGTCTACCTCGGGCCAGTAGAGAGGAAAGCTGACACGTCAGAACTCAATTGACCTCCCCTCTTCCTTCGACGTCCAAATCGACCTAGACGTCCCCCGGACAATATCGGGCCATACGCTATTCATGACCCGGTATGGCGCCGGGCAGCGATCTCTCTTTCACGTCCTACATTGCTTTGCGATGCTCTGCGATACATGCGGGTACTGCCAGGGTATGGGGCCTATTGCCGCTACTTTGCTGTGCTACTTTGATCCAGAGGTGAGCTGTCATGTCCTCCATTAAGCCAATTTCCACCATGGAGAATGAGAAGCTGATCCTGATAGCGGGTGTATGCCCTCATGGTCCGCCTGCATGACGTATATGGGATGCACGATATCTTTGGTCCGGGCTTCCCGGGGCTGTTGGAGGCGTTCTACGTACAAGAGAGGCTGATGGAGTGGTTGATGCCAGACGTCTACAAGTCATTCGTGAGCTACCTCTAACCCATCTGCTGTACTTTGATCAAGTACGGGATCGAGCGAGGAGATCAAGCTGACGCCCGAAGCAAAAGAACATGATCTCCTCCTCGTCCTGGGGTACAAAGTGGTATATCACCTTGTTTGTCAACACTATCCCCTTTTCTCAGCAACTTCGGATATGGGACGCGATGTTTCTGGATGGGCGGGATGTGATGATTATGGCTTCTGTGGCCATTCTCTGGAGTTTCAGAGGTTCGTCCACTCTCTCTCACCACCAACAACTCCCTGTACCGAGCCTTGCCTCTCGGCTCGTCTCTTTGCGATGCGCAGTGAGGAACTCAGGCTGATCATCAGACCTCCTAGCAGCCCCCACCGCCAACTTCGAATCCATCTTATCCCTCCTCTCGAGCTTCTTTGTCGCAGAGGACGAAGACAAATTTATGCGTTGGATCAAACGTATGATTCATCAGCCAGGGATGAAGTCCCGGATGGACGGATGGAGGGCAGAGTGGCATACACTCGTCAGGGAGGGAAAGGACAGGGATGCCTTATTGTAGCTATACCGTAGGTCAGGCTGATCGGTCGATCTCGGGGATGCATCTACACATGCATTTGCCTGCTGCCTGCTACTGGTCGCTTGGCGCAATGTACCCTCTACCCTCTAATTACCTTATCTACACATCCGCCTTGACCCCATTGGCCTCCGCCGTCCCATTCACCTCTTTCGCCCTCCTCGCCTCCACCTCCTCCTTACTACTAAACACCCCCGCAAGCGGTACTCGTCCCCTACACAACCCCTTGAAAGCCTGCACCTCCCCCTCCGTCCCCTGAAGCGCCTTCAACACCTCAATACCCCTCCGCATCGCCCCAATCTCCGGGTGGATATCCGGACCCGCCATCTTCTCCAAGATCGCAATCACCTCTTTCCGCTCTCCTCCCGTCAAAGCTTTCTTCTCTTGCGTGGGTGTGGATGAAGCGGAGAGGACGGCGATGAGTCCCTGGGCGGCACCGAGGATATGTGAAGGGGAAGAGGAGTGGCGCGTGAGAAAGTCGGCGGTGAAGTCGCGAGGGGAGGAGGATATGATGCTGAGAATGGGGAGACGGTCCGTGAATGCTGTTTTGAGCGCATCGGGGACGTCTGATGATGGTACTGTCGGTGTAAGCTTGACTCTCATCCGTGAGAACAACAGGAACCGAGAGAATGCACACAACTCACGAGCTTGCGCAAATGTGACGAGCTGCCTGTGCAGAGTAGGGTCCTCCGCGTCGAGACTATAAGCAGCCAGCAAGCACTTGTACGCGGCCGGCCAGCGTTCTATGCCGTCAGCTCTTGCCTTGTAGCCCAGGTCACCGCTTTCGGCTGAGCTCACTTCTCCTCATCTCAATCTCGAACCCAGAAGTCCACGTCTCCACCCGCCCACTCGCCATCCGCTCGAGTGGTACCCAGAGCTTGTACGCATCCTCCAATGGCGTTTCCGTCTTGATGAGTAATTCACCGGTCGGATCTGGGTCGGGGGCGGGTGTGTCCTCTTTCTTGGCGTCTCCCGATGCGGCGGCGGCTGAAAGGTCAGCTTGTAGTTTCCCATCAAGAAGGGGCGAGAGAAGCTTACCCTTCTTGGCCTTTTGATCAGCTTTTTGAGCCTTCTTAGCTGCCTTTTTACGTTCTGCTTCTTCTTCCGGTGCTGTACTCGTAAGCTACCTGCGTGCGGCAAGTCAATGCGTCCGAGCCAACTTACATAGCTTCTCCTCCGTCAAGCTGGGATCATCGTGAATCGACGTATAAATCTCAATCGCAGCCACCGCCGACTTGAAGTAGGCCGGATGTGATCGCAGTTGGTCTTCATACCGCATCAACCTGGGATATCAGCTCTTCGCACACCTGACGTCAAGGGACGCATTTCTGAGCTCACGAGAGGTAGGCAGATATGGTCATTCGGCGCAAGCAATACGTGTGAAAGTCGTATTGATCGTCTTCGTAATCTTGGAACACCTACTCCATCAGCTCTACCCCTGGGCTCAAGGCCTGGACAGCTGGACATACCGTCGCTGTAGCCTGATATCGCTTCAACGCCATCGCCAAATTCCCATTTCGGCGATACGAGTCCCCTTCTTCTTGCAAGAACCAAAGACACTGCAGGTCCGTCAAGTCCGACATCGCCGAGATATCCTTCTATTCCCGTCAGCCCCTTTCCTCATATTCAGACCCGCCTGGCTGACCTTTGTAAACATAGCCAAGAGCTCTTCCGCCTTCTTGACCTCCCCAGCTCTCAACCAATACTTTGCCGCCTTGCCATTCAAGAACCTATCTTGCCCATCTAGGAGACGCGCCTCTTCCATCGTCTCTGCCGCGCCCATAATATCGCCCGCGCGCTTCAAAACCATCGCTTTGGCCATGTACACTTCAGGTAATGTCGGGGTATGTTTCAAGGCGATCTCGAGGAGGTCGAGCGAGCGCTTGAAGGAGGGGTTTGGGTGGAGGGGGTGAGAGAGGTGAAGGGCGAGGTAGTAGTATGCCCAAAGAAGGGTCGTGGGTGGTGCGACGGAGTCTGAGGTCAGTGATGTTATGACGTGGACGTACCGTCATCGTGCAGACTGGAATCCTTCTGTAGTGATTCAATCAACTCTTCGACTATTTCGCCAACGGCAGCCATCTTTTCGGGGTTTTGGTAGAGCGACTTGACGTCGACAAAGAGGGAGGGGATCCCCTTTTCGAGGCCGTTGATGAGATATGGCTTGACTCGTGTGCGGAATTCTGAGCCGGATGAGACGGTGAGAGCCATGCGCTTGGGGACGGTCGATTTGGGGTAGGTCTGTGCGAATTGGTCAAGCTCCGCTAGGACTCCGGATGTGGTCTGCTCAGACGGAGATGAAGCTACAATATGAGCTACAGTCGACAGATCTTGAAGGACACAACAACTCACCGACATCCAATCCCTTCGCGCGGAGGTATCCCGTATAGTACCCTAGATTATCCGGATTTTGCTTGATCAACTCCCTGTACGCCTCTACCGCCTCCTCCATCCTCCCCAGCTTACTCAGCATCTCCGCCCTCAGCTGCGTCACCTCCCCTCTCGGACTCAATATCTTCCCCCTGATCGCTCTGTCCAATCTCCGGAGTCCATCACCATCGCGCCCCATCTCCATGCACACCTTGACCACATTCAACATGATTTGCGCCTTCTCGGACGGACTCGCCCCGTCTGCGTTGATCGTCCCTACCATCGCATCGTACAGCTCCAGAGCCTCCTCATTGTTCCCGTTCAGTTGGTGCGCGACCATGAGACCGAGCCAAGACGAACGGACGTTGGGGCGAAGGAGGAAGTAGTGGTGTCGTGCAGCGACGGCGGCTTCGTATTGACGAGTGTGAAGGTAGAGGGATATGGAATCGCGAATGATGGGAAGGTTGTCCTAGTATGTCAGCTACAGGTCCGGTGATGCGGACGGTTCAGATACCCACACTGTCCTGTTTCCGAGCCATAGCAAACGCTCGACTGGCCTCTTCCCAGTCTTTCCGCCCCTTCGCCATGATACCCAGCACGTGCCAGGTGATATGACTCGTGATGTCCTTCTTGACGGCCGTCTTGGCCATAGCCTCCGCCTCGTCCTGCTTCGGCTGCGATGCGGCCGTTGCGGGCATAGGAAGGCCAGAGAACAGTGTGAGTGCTTTCAGAGCGAGGGTTTCTAGGAGATCAGCTATAGTCCATAAAGCGTACAGACAAGTCAGCTGACCTCCATGGTTCGGAAATTTCTTCAGGATGGAGTCGGCAGCTTTGATGCCCTTCTTGTACTGCTTGTGCTCATATTGAACCTAGAATGTCAGCTCCTTTCAGCTTGTGAGGCTTGTGCAGATTCTATCGCAGTCCCATCGAGCCATCGAGGCACCCGCTTGGTTCCTCCCCTTGGCTGGACTCTCATGGCAACGGTAAGGCCTGCGCCTCGTCGTCCACACCCTCGTGCGAGCTGACGACCAAGCTGAAGGAGCCAGACTCACCAAGAGCTCCTTGAACAGCTTGGCCTCCTTATCGGGGAGCTGACGATGCTTGGGCGGTGCGCTGGCCATACTGGGCTTTACTCTCCGTGTATCTGGTGGGCAAGTGGCTGTAAGGTCAAGCTATGATAGCTTCGGACTGTAGATGTTGGAGATGGAGGTAGGTGAGTGAGCGAGTCCCTCCACCTTTGGCTGGCAGCCAGCTCGGGAGATAACTGGGAAACTGACAGCCTGGGATATGATCGGCATTAGAAATTACTAATGTGCCGGTATCTGAATAGTGAATTCAATTTCATTAGGACCGAGTCCCCCGGAACCACAACAACAGACCACCCATCAGCACCAAAAGTTGAAAGCCTCCACTCACCCTACCACTTGCCATACTATCCACCAACTACAGCTATGGCCCCTACACCTTGCCAGCTGTGCCATACCGCCCGCGCACTCGTCAAGCGCCCCAAGACAGGTCAACAAGTGTGCAAGACGTGCTTCTTTGAGGTCTTCGAGACGGAGGTGCATAATACTATCGTAGAGGGGAATGGGATATTTAGGAGAGGGGAGAGGGTGGCGATTGGTGCGAGTGGGGGGAAGGGTCAGTTCACGCACCCCTTCGGAGGTCATTATGGGAAGAAGAGCTGATGACCCAGACTCGACGGTGCTGGCTCACGTTTTGACTATGCTGAACCACCGATATGATTATGGGCTCGACTTGTTCTTGTTGTCGATTGATGAAGGGATCACAGGGTACCGGGATGATTCCCTCGAGGTGCGTTACTTTGAACAGCTATCTTTCTCCCTATCACCTAGGCGTAAAAGCTGACCAGGCAGACTGTCAAGCAGAATCAAGTAGAGTACGGTCTCCCCCTCAAGATCCTCTCCTACAACGACCTCTACGGATGGACGATGGACCGGATTGTCGAGCAAGTCGGAAGGCGTAATAATTGTAAGCTACGATTCGCTCATTCGCCAACCGTGGGTCAGAGCTGACAGCAAAGGCACATTCTGCGGTGTCTTCCGCCGTCAAGCGCTCGATAGAGGTGCGGCCCAACTCGCAGTGGACCATATCGTCACTGGACACAATGCGGACGATATCGCCGAGACGGTATTGATGAACAGTGAGTCAGCTCACTCATCCCGCGTAGCGCTTCTGGGCCGCTAAGAGAAGTTGGAGCTGACCTGTAGTCATGCGAGGGGATGTAGCCCGTCTAGGGAGATGTACGGCCGTCACGACGCAATCGGAGGATACGATCAAGCGGAGCAAGCCTTTCAAGTATGCGTACGAGAAGGAGATTGTGATGTGAGCTTTGTGATGCGCTGGCTTGGCTGGTGAGAAAGCTGATATAAAGGTACGCCTACTTCAAGAAACTCACCTACTTTTCGACCGAATGTATATACTCTCCAGACGGTGAGCTGCCTTGTATTTCGACCTGGAACCATGAGCTCATGACCTCAGCGTACAGAGGGCACGCCCGAGTCTTCCTCAAAGATCTCGAAGCGATCCGTCCTTCCGCAATTATCGACATTATCCATTCTGGCGAATCGTTCGTGCTCGACCAGAACACCCAGAAGGGGATGAAGGCGATGCGTGAGCTGTCCTGTGCTTTCCGTGGTAGGAACTAAGCTGATACGTGACAGAAACATGTCTGCGGTGCGGCTACATGTCTTCGAACGATCTGTGTAAGGCTTGTGCGCTCTTACAGGGATTGGAATCGGGAATGGACCGGTCAGCTTTGGTAAGTCTCGAGTCTCAAGCTGGTCAATATGAAGGGCTGCACTCATCAGAAGCATCAGAAGCAGGGCGGTGACACAGCCGCTCCGAGCGGTCATCGGACCATACCGAAATATGAGCGACACGCGCACGTCCCAGTATCTGCTGAGGCTGGAGGTGGAGCCGAGGGGATCGACACACCCCTGAAAGCACTCGCCATCTCTTAACCCCTCTCGCTCCACTTGTAATTGGTAACATCTCCAGCATCCAGCATCCGATCTGGCACAGTTGTAGCTATACGTTCGGGCATACGGTATCGTACCCTGACCATCTGTACAACATGCATTCGCCTTTGATTTATTGCTCCGCGATCGTAGTCTACTCGACAAGCCTGACATCCTGCTCGGGATACCGCTCCCCCATCCTCTCCCACACATCCCTCTCTGCGAGCTGACTATCCCCCAACTGATTGCCCAGCGTTACCCACCCTGGTCGGGCATTATGTTTGCGGCCAAACAGCTCGAGTTTCCGACCGTTGGGGGCGAGGCGTTCGAGGATCGAGTAGGCTTCTTCGGGCTTGCGCGAGGTTTCGCTGGACGTCAGCTGGGGTTGTCTCTCGCATCTCTTGGCTGAGCTAGGTAATGAAGGAAAGGGTAAAGTACGTTACACGGAGGATGACGATGAAGAGCGAGAGAGGAATGGAGATCGGCAAAGAGCTGAGCTTACCGGACTTCCGCAACTATGACGTCTGTATCTACCCCTCGCCTGAGCTCGCGCAAAGTCGGGTCAGTGTCCCAGGGTATGGGCGCGTCGCGGGGATGGCTCTCTGGGAGCTTGACGGCGACGAGGAGGTGTTCGCAGGTATGGCTAATCATCAGCGCTTGCTCCTTCCCTTCCGTCTGTCTGCTCTCTGCTCCCTTCCGCTGTACCGCGTGATGGTCCGATGAGATCGGACATTGCAAAAAGCAAGTCCAGACTCACTTCAGCCAATGCCCCGTCCTTCCGGTCCTAATCAGCCTCTCCACCTGATTCACCTTCACCCAAACCACCTCGTCCACCCTCTTATACCCCCACACCGAAAACAGCTCGCGCCCCAATTCCATCGCGCGCCCCGTGACCCATAGAGCCAAGACACCCCAATCGGGCTGGAGCTGCGGGAGAGGGAGGCGCCGGAGCTCGTCGTCCGTCATGGTGCCGTACGGGAGGGACATGTGGATGTCCCAGGGGGGGTCGGCCATGATGACTTGGAACCTGGGCGTCAGCTCGGGCTCGGGCGGGTATCGGTATTGTTATCCGGTATCGAGCAGCAAAAGATACGGTGCCGGTGCTGGGTGATGCAAGGAGGGGATGGGCGAATAAGGACAGGAACTTACTGTCCTAACACAGAATAATCAAACGTCCTCAGATCGCAATTCACCCACTGCTTCTCCCTCCTCCATCTCTCACTTCCCTTTCCCTTCGCCCTATCCTCGCCCTCCGACCCGTCAGATAACAGCCGCCTGCGGACCACCTCACTCATCTGGACCGGGAACCCCTCGGGCACGACAACATGTCGCTCCCGAGACGGCTGGACGTGGAAATGGAGGTATCGGCACTCTTTCGTTCCGCCCCTAGGCGCGCTGGGGTCGCCGGAGGTGCCGGCGCCGAGAGAGGGGTTGGAGCGGAAGAGGGGCTCGCCGTAGCATAGATTGAGGTATCTGGGTGTCAGCTCGGCCACTTAGGTGTATCAACAGGGAATCCGAGGAAATATGAGGGGAGAAGGGCCGAAGGGGAGGGGACGGGAGAGTCGAGACATCAGACATACGAGCAGTATCCAAGCTTAGGGTCAGTGTAGGGTCTGATAATTGGATCAAAGTGCGTCTGTGGCGTCAGCTGTGTTCTCCTCCAGTTCGAGTGCAAGGCATCAGGAACAATCAGCTCACCCTCGTACAATCTTTCCGGACCTTCTGGCACGCTGCCGAGGTCGTAGAGGAGCAAATGGGATTGAAGAGGGGTACATCCGGTCCTCTTGTCTGAGATATCAGCTACGCAGCTCTTCTCTGCACTAGGGCGCGACAGCTAGTGATGAAGAGCTAGCTGCGGGCGGGATTTGGGGAGGGCAGGGCTAGGGGCGAGAGTGAGGGACTGACTGCTAGTCGGCGCAGCTTAGTTTTGGCCGTTTCGCGGCTTAGTAGGCCGTTCAGCTCATGTATGAGCTCTGGAGCTACACGCGTCAGCTGGAGCATCGAACGGATCGCTGCGAGATTGTGGTCGTACTTGTTCGTTTGCGAGACGGACCCGCTTCGGCCTCTATGAACTCGGTGTTCATTTTGGGCGCTGCGAACGAGGTGTTGCGAATGAAGTTGAGGCTTCCTGTGGTCAGAAGCGGGAGCTGGACCCAAGACACTTGGCGGTTTATAATCAGATACGATTGTGTAGCTCTGTTCTGGGCGTGGTCTACAGGCCTAGGGTTCCAGAGGTTGATATTAGATGAAAGAGCGGGATAAGGTGCAAGAACAACTCGTTGGGCGGCACTTGGACGCGCTGAAACTCGCTTGGACGTTTCGAATCCATACCTCATCCTCTTCTCCCACTCACATCTTCATAACCGCCTATCTACCTCTACGCCGTACCACTCCGAGTCCCCAGAATCGGCGCGCAAGATGATGAACTACATCCTCCTCGTTTCTCGACAAGGTACGTTCCTTCCCCAGCCCACCTTCTGAGCAGGGAGCTAGCGCGTCAACATCCTCCCCTCCTCCAGCCCCCCAGCTGCTTCAGGTCCCAGCCCCCCAGCTGCTTCAGGTCCGTTGCCAAGTTGAAGCTGACACGCCTAGGCAAAGTCAGATTGGCGAAATGGTTCCAGACACTGCCGAACAAGCAGAAGGCCAAGATTGTCAAGGACGTGACGCAGTTGGTGCTCGCTAGACGGACGAGGATGTGTAATTTCCTGGAATATAAAGGTGGGTTCCTCGCCCCTCTCGCCTTTGTTGTCTGCCTGATATGCGTTGGGGTCGCTACGAACCGCTCCAGCAGCTGGCTTTATGGAAGGTCTACAGATCCCTGGGAGAGAGTCCGAGTGGACTGGGTGGGAGGAAGTGAATCAAGGATTGGGCTGATAAGGCAGACACCAAAGTCATCTACCGCCGCTATGCCTCTTTATTCTTCATCTGCTCCGTCTCGCCAAGCGATAACGAGCTCGTCGTGCTCGAGACTGTACATCGCTACGTCGAATGTCTGGATCGATACTTTGGAAATGTACGTTTGGGTTCCGAGGTCCGGGCCGCTCATATGGGCTTGTGGGGAAGATCACTCCTTCTCTGTCTTCGGGGTCAGATGCCGCAGGAGACACGGGGCGGAGGTACTACCGGGCCGCCCGAGATAGGCTGAATGTGGCGGTACAATGAGCACAGCGCTGATTATCATCAGGTATGCGAGCTCGACCTCATCTTCAACTTTCAAAAAGCCTATGCCATCCTGGATGAGCTGATTATTGCCGGGGAAATGCAGGAGTCGTCAAAGAAGGCTGTACTGAAGATTGTACGTCTATCCTCTTGTGCCTTTTTCCGGCTTTATACCTTCCTGCAGGGGCGCCATGAGTCGTAAGGCGGAACACTGATCCCACAGGTCGCTCAATCCGACGCGATAGAGGAGGGTGAGTCCTTAGAAAATAGTCTGCAGGCAGGGGGGTTCATATAGCCCGGGGTTCAGGGGTGATTTTGGAGTCTGCGCCGGAAATAGGGAATGGGCCAGGGGGAAGACGTGCACTAGAGCGAGAAGGCAGAGGAAGAAGGAGACGTGTGGAGGACGAGGCTGATGGGTGTAGCGGAAGTATCGGAGGATTCGCTGGGACGGCTCGGGAGTGGGTTGCAGCAGTTGACGAGTGGGCGGGCTTGATGTCGATCTGCGGGTATGCTGGGTCTGATGTGGATTCGGGTACAGGGAATTTGAGTAGCGTAGAGCCATGTACTGTATTCGCGATGGTACATTCTGGCGTCAGAGCTCAAGCACCAAGAGCAAGAGGCAGTGTCTTCGCCTCAACAGTGATGGACTGGACGGCAGACTCAAACGCTCGCGGACGGAGCCTTGCAAGAGCTGCTCATCATAGCGATCGTTGCATGTAAGGTACATTAATCATAAGGGACAGTATGCTACACTATCTCGGGGTGATCCTTGGGCATGAACGCGCTGACAGAAGGCCCATCCCGGGCGTCGAGATGCGGGCGAGATGATCGTAAGTCCCGACGAAAGTGCGCTGGACGATGTCTGACTAGGTCGCACAAGAGTCCTGAGTTCCGAAGATAGCTAAACTGTCTATGTCGTGTCAGCTGTGTACGGTGATGGGAGAGATGTTGTACGTGAAAGCTCACATCGTCGTCGTATTGCCATCGTGTGAGCTTGGGATTTGACGGTGCACTTCGGACATATCGGTCATTGCCTTCTGGTCTTTACAGTCAGCTGAGACCCACTCAAAATGCCTCGCACATGCTGGCGGGGGGCAAGGCTCACCTCTCCTTCTTCTTATTGGATGCGAGCATGGATTGCATGGTGATACATACAGCGACCGCGTTCAGCACTGGTAGTAGTCAGCTTAGGCCCTAATCGCCATATTAGGGAAAGCTCACCGGGAGACCATTCAGCACCTGACGAGTCAGCTCATGGACCAGCATATGATACATACGGACGAATGCAAGAGCTCACCCAGGATTGACGCGCAGATATGGCCATTCGAGTAGACGTGCGGATGTAGTGGAGGTATGTATTCGGCATCAGCCAAGAAGGTGACCTACAGCTTTGTCAGCTACAGCCTTCATAGAGACATCAAGTCGTCAGAAACCCCCGAGCTCACTTCCGGACTGTCTATAGGATATCGGTTTGGGAACTTCAACCTCAAAGCGAACGTCTCCCCTACACTTGTTAGCTCCGGTGCGCTGCCGGTCGGGGGGAAGGTCAACACCACAGCTCACCTGCGTATATTGTCTCGTCTCCTAATACTGATATCAGAAACACCCATTGGTCCAGCGCTACCGCATTGAGCAGGACAATGCCTGGCGGTGTTCCTTTTGTCTTGATTTCCGCGAGCTCCTTCACTAGACAGGTCAGCTAGTGCACTCCAACGTCGCCTGGCAAGACGGTTGGAAGACGTCTAGCGTACTCAGTCGTTTAGTAGCCAGTCCTGTCGCCATTATTGCTGCTTCTTGAGGGGTGGATGAGTATGGGGATGATAGGTAGAGTGAAGAAGCGTGGACTTGGGTGGCGAACCTTGACGCGACGCGCGTGGAGTCCCCAGATTCCTCGTCTTCCGACGGAATGAGGAGTTACGAGACACGGAGATTGACCGAACCCCAACCAGCCAGCCAAATCGCGCAACACTCATGGTCAGCCAGCCAAGGCTTTGCGTTTCTGTCTCCATTCATATTCACCTTTATCCCAGCAGGTCTACAGCGATTAGAGCAACAGCATATCAGGCGTAGCTGTCAGAGAGCCTCCTTACCGTTTGCTGACACCCTTTATTTTCCATCGTTGTCTGACCGAGGAAAAATGAACAATGAGGAAGGACAAGCGGCGGGACCGTCAAACGAGTTTATCGAGCTCGAGCCGGGGTCGGAGTGGCGCTTTGAGCTGGAAGCGGATGAGAACATCGCAGTAAGAGTGAGTCATGGTCTCTAGTAATGGGAGTTGTGCAATATGGCAAAGAGGCTGGTCTACTGGAGTTGAAAGAAACCTAGGCGTCATATGTGAGTTTCCCGGCTCCCACAACGAAAGGGACAATGCTGACATGCTTCCTCTTCATCTTCCGATCTCGTATATACTACTTTGCTCGGTCCTTGCTCTCCTGGGATAGCTTTACTGCTTCTTTCCAGAATGCTATAATGATTGTGCCATGGTGTCCAGCCATCTCACCCGTCCAAACATCCTTTTCCCTAGACAAGCTGCAATGACACCAACTCGGTGCCATGGCTCCCTGTTCCGCCTGTTGCGCTGTACCTCTGCTCATCACTTTACTGACTCCACCTTCATCAGGTCCATACCGCCGATCCAATCTACATCAATTCGTCCGAAATCCCACGGTCGACATGGTATCCACTACACCGATATCTCAAGTCCGCGCTGTACGGCCCTAGTGGTGGCAGGCTCGAAGGTGACTTGTATCCTCCTGACCGCTGGGAACTGCGACTGACGCGATAGTATCCGCACTCCCCGGCTCGCAGTACTCGTCAACAACAACCAGTCAGCCCGCTCTCGTTTCTCTCCACCTGGCGCTGGAAAGGCAGCGTATCCTCGCTCGGCGGCATATCGCAGGTTCGGACGCACCGGCCTACGACGCGCCTGTGACTCGCGGTCCAAGAGTCATGGTCCTCGGCCCTCCAAACAGCGGCAAGACGACAGTCGTGAAAAACCTGGTCAATATGGCTCTGGGAAGCGGAATGGGCTGGAGTCCCGGCGTTATCGGTCTAGACCCTTCAAGCGTACGCCACCTCGTACTGCAGGGGATGAAGCTAATGATCAGCCTTCAAACCTCATTCCAGGCTCATTGTCACTCTCGACCCCCGTTCACCCTATCCCCACGCATCACCTCGCGCACCCCCTCGGCTCCCCACCCGGCTCTGTTGCGGCCAACACGCTGTCAGGAGACGTCAGTACGATGGGATGGTGGTATGGCCACGTCGAGCCGAGTACAAAGGGTATGGATCTGTGGATGAAGGTGGTGGATGAGATGGCGGGGCGGTGGAAGGAGCGATGCGATAAGGATCCGAATGGTACGTTCTGGTTTGGCATCGAGCTGACGACAGCTATGGCCAGCGGTCTGATCATGGACACCTCGTCCGCTTTCGCCGTTCCTACACTCGGAACACGAAAGACTGAGCCAAAGTCACGATACTCGCTCGTCCTCCACGCCGCCGAGGCATTCGAGAGTGAGCTAGCTGAATTTCGTGCAGCAACAAGCTGACATTCCAGTCGAAACACTCCTCGTGATAGGCAACGAAAAACTCTCGATCGACCTCTCCCGCCTCCTTCCCGCGCTCAACATCATCCGCCTCCCCAAGTCCTCCGGCGTCGTCGACAGGGACGAGCCCCTGCGCGAGACGGAACACACCCAGATCATCCGATCCTACTTTTACGGCGAGCCCGCCCTGCCCAAAGAGATCGATATCCTCCTCGGCAAGATGGTGCATCCCGACCACTCGCTCTCGCCCTACTCGTTCCAGATCGGCTGGGAAACGCTCACGATTCTGCGCGTGGGCGAGGAGAATGCTGCGCCGACCAGCGCATTGCCGTTGGGTTCGGCGAGGACGTTGAGCCGGACGAAATTGAGCAGGGTGGATCCGGCGGGTCCGGCGCATGTGGTCAGGTTATTGAATACGGTGTTGGCGGTGGTGGCTATCAATAAGGGGGATTGGACGGGGGCGGAACGGAAGAGAAAGGTCAAGGAGGAGGTGGAGGAGGCGGTCAAGGTGGAATGCGTGAAGGAAGAGGGAGCGGAGGGTGGCGGGGAGGGCGAGGGTGGAGATGAGGGGGAGCAAGGAGAGGGGGAAGATGAGGAAGATGAAGACGAGGTGCCGTACAAGGAGGAGATTGGATGGAGGGAGGTATTAGGGTTCATTGTCATGTGAGTGATGGGCTTCAGAAGTGGGAAACGGGTGCTGATGACTAGTACGGCGATTGATACGCAGCGGAAGAAGTATACCATTCTTTCGCCCTCACCCGGAAAGCTGCCTTCGACAGTGGCGATTGCCGGGTCGATCGAGTGGGTGGATTCGGCGTAGGCGGCAAAAGGGGAGGAGATATCATATGGGGAACGACCTGGGGGTAAAACAGAAAGAGCATGCATATGCACTAGTGTGGTCTTATCGCTGTCACTCGAGCTTCCCTATATGCGGCTTTCAGGCAGAAAGAGAGTATGATGCCCCAGCGAACGGAGGGGACAGGTCGGTGGTAGTAAGCATTAGAAGGACGATAACTCGAGTAATGGCTAGTCCTGGGTTTAGTCTCAACCCGTAAGCTCGCCGAGCCATCTTGCGAACCAACCCAAAATGGACAACACTGGCATATAGGTAAAGTGGTTATACGGCGTCACAGTTCTTGTCACACCACCGGTCGTCGCCTTGGTACAGGACGACTGGAATCGTTGGAACCCCATCTGCAGCCAGCAGAGGTCAAGGGGGGCAGCCCTACCGATAGCGAACATCAGGCGATCCACATTGCACCCTGTTGAGGGGAAACATAAAATCGAGAATAGCTCCAGGTGGCTACTGCGATCCAAGACCGAGATGAAGGCGTCGATGGAGGGGTGGGAATTACCTTCTGCGGAATCCTCGGAGAAACCCTCGTCGTCCAAGCTGCCCAGGCGCAGATGGCGAAGCTTGGTTGCACCCGGTGAGAGGGTTCTGGCCAGACTGGCTCTGGCTCCGGCCCGAAAGTGTCATCAATGAAGACGTCGAGCGACTCTACCTCCGGTGCTAGGTCAAGAGATATGCGCGGAGCTTGGGCGGACCGACCGTCCTGTACGGCAGGATCACGTATGTGAGGACTGGTAGGTTGATGAGTCCGAAATCGACGAGTAGAGTATCGAAAGTTGGTCGATGAAGGGGTGGGACTTCTTCATCGTGTTTTTCGGACACTTCGATATCCAAGATCCGTATCGAATTTGCGACCGCCGTGAAGATCACCGACATCGCCGAACCCGGCGGTGGACCGGCTGGATAGCGCACTATCCTCCGCACCGCCGCCCATCTCCTGGCATTACCTGCGCGCACGATGCTATCCACTTTGCTCCACAACTCGTCCTCCTCGCGATACGCCAAATCGATCAGCCTGGTAGGGTCATCATCATCCGGGCCTTCGGCAGGGGTGGGCTCCCCGAGCGATAAGACTAATTTTCGCCATATGGCAACATCGGCTATCGGCGTGAGTCAAAAGGTTCAATTTGCGCTCTCTCATCGATCTCATCCTCCAGTCATGCACAGTAAAACTCGGTCATTCGGGGTACCTTCACCTTTCAGACCTCGCTCTGATCAGCAGAGCCTCGTAGCGGCCGCACTTGCTTCTACACCGCAGAATCAGACGTCTCAGCAAGTGGAGCGCCTCCCGTGTTCGGACCCCGGCCCGTGGCTGCTGGCCTCACGTCGTACTGGCGGATATTCAGCGTCGGTACGCTGGGCGTGCCTTGCCGCTCATTTCCTTCAGTGCTGCGGATTCCTGCCCCGGCTTAGCTGGTCCGGGTGGTACGGAAGGGACAGGACCTCGAGGAGATGGCCGACGGACTAAAGAGTTGAACCATCCGGGAGACGGCGGACCATCATTGTCTTTGTGGCGTACATCCATATGCTAGGCTTTGCCCGTGTCTTATCGCCCAGATGCGCAAGAAGATACAGGCATCGAGCTTAAAGGTCAAGCGATCGGACTCGACGCAGCTTTGAGAAGCTCAGACGTCGGGTTTCGGACTTCGAGCTTCGGGCAGGGCTATAGAGCGGGTCTCGAGGAATGAGTCTTTCCGGTCGACATGCCGCATGCGTATAGGTTGCCGCCAAGAGCTCTTCTTATCTCTCTCGACACTTCCTTGAGTCATCCAGTAGTCTTCCCTTAACTCTTATCGCACCACTAAAGCAGCTCACTCAATTCGAGGCGAAATTCTCCGCAATCCCGAGTGATCGCCAGGACCGCCATGAGCCCTGCTTCGGCGCTTCGGCTTCCCCCTCCGTTATCTTGCCGAGGCGTCATTTATCCGAGGCCAACAGACCCCGAGGCAGAGGACGAGTGCAAGAGCTCTTGATAGGCTCCTCCGCCAGCCTCCGCCCTCTCCCGGGCATGGATAAACTGTCGGGCGCCGATTGGCCGAAGACTGGAAGTCGTATAAAGCCTCTGTCCTCGAAATGTCTGCTCAGCCCTCTCCCTCGACTTGTGGAACTTTCGAGATGTTGAAAGTCGTCCTCCTCCTCATCTCCGGCCTCGGCCTGAGAGCCAGCGCCTCTCCTGTGTTCCCTGCGACACATCATCTAGCGGCGAGATACCTGGACAATGCCGCGGACGAGGTCTTCCCCATGGTGAGCACTGGTTCAGACTGTGCTGACGATTCAGCCTCTTTGCCAGGGACACCGAATTGAAGACGCAACAATCGACCAGGTGCAAGTCTGGTTCGGCGAGGGCTCTTTGACCTCCGCCCAACTCACTCAGTGCTACCTTGACCGGATCGCCCAGACCAACGAGTAAGTCTAGCCCAACGGAAAAGGCTGACTCCAGCTATCTGCACTCCGTTTTAGAGCTCAACCCCGACGCTCTGAGTATTGCCGCTGCGCTCGACGGAGAACGAGCTGCTGGAAAGTACCGCGGGCCTAGTAAGTCACAGTCCTGCATGTTGCTGGAGGATCATGGCTGACCAGCTAGTGCACGGTATCCCCATTCTGACGAAGGACAACATCTAGTACGTTCCCGCCTTTCAACTGAAATATGGCTGATGTTCAGTACCCAAGACAAAGTGTCCAGCTCGGAAGGCGGCGTCGCGCTCGACGGCCAGTACTATCCCCGAGAAGCCTTCGTCATCCAGAAGGCTCGCGCTGCAGGATGTGTCATCGTCGGCCACTCCAACTTGGTAAATCTTTCAGACGATCGAGCTGATAACAGGCCGAGAACGCTGATCACCGAGCAACCATCGACTTTAGCGAGGGCTACAGTCAGAGAGGCGGGCAGTCTCGCAACCCGTACAACCTCACTCAGGTAAGCATTAAACTACGCCTACCTAGTCGTGTCCTTGGCAGGGCTAAGATCTGATGCCTAGTCTACCGCCGGAAGCTCCACGGGCTCAGCCATCGCCGTCAAGACCAATCAGATCATGGTTGCTATCGGTACCGAGACTCACGGGTCCGTCATGCACCCCTCCGGACATATCGGGGTGGTCGGTATCAAGCCGACTGTGGGACTCACCTCCCGATCTGGCGTTATCCCTGGCTCCTTCTACCGCGACTCGGTCGGGACACATGGTCGGACCGTCCAGGACGCTGCGTATCTTCTCGATGCCATCTATGGGTGAGCTCCTTTTGTCTGCGGTGGGGATAGACGCTGAGAGTCAGTATCGATCCCAGGGACAACCAGACCCTAGGACAGATCTCGCCTCCCGAAGGCTACGCTGCGGCTGTATCCAACAACGATATCCTCAAGACCGCTGTCTACGGAGTGAGTTTGCGCAATCTTCATAGCTGACGATAGCTCCCCTGGTTCCCCTACTGGGCAACTACCGGCGGTGTACGCTCTCCCGGGCAATTCGACATGTTCATGAAGAGAATTCAAGAGATCAAAGATGCTGGAGCGACCATCATCAATATCACCACCCCCATTCCTCACATCTACGAGATAAGTACCTCCCTATACGCGTCGGTCTATGCTGACTGCCAGATTCAAAACGCGTACGGCTGGGGAGATGCTGTAGGTACACCCGCGAACGTCTCATCTAACCGAGCCCTCCTTGTCGACCTCGCTGCGGGCTATGCTGCTTGGCTCGCAGAGGCTACATTCCCCGGTACGTCTTTTCACTTCGGCTAGGCCGCCTCGTCAATACCAACTGACCAGCAGAGGGAGATGAGCGTAACAACATGTCGACCCTCGCCGACGTGGCCGACTGGAACCGGCGCAACAACGCCACGACCGGAGCACTCGGTAACAGCACCTACTGGTTCAACAAGATCACGGGTCAAAACTACTTTGACGACGCAGCAGCTACCAATGGCACACTCGACACTGGGTATTGGTACGCCTTGGAATGGAGGCGATCTCGAGCTCGGAACGCCATTGAGGGTGGACTGATCCATACCATGGAGAATGGCACGGTTATCGAGCTTGACGGGTAAGTTCCTGCACGAGCATTACTGACGGTAGGCTGTTAGTTCCCAACGTCGGCGGTGGAGGTGGTTCTTCCAGCTGCTCGAGCGTTCCCGCCGCTGCTGGATATCCCGTACTTACCGTACCTATGGGTCAGAATGGCTGGGACGTACCCTCCGGAATGTGCATCTACGTAAGTTGCTTATGAGGTTCATTGGAGCTCAGCTGACGATCGTAGGGAAAGCAATGGGGAGAACAGAAAGTACGTGTATCTCTCAATCAGCTAGAGTGGCGGCTGACTGGATAGCTCGTTCGACATGGATCTGCCCTTCAGGATGTCTGGCGATGGAACGTCAAACCGAAATACCACAATCTCAACACTACCAAGGTGCCCTTTGACCAGCGCTGGCCTGGCTACGCGTGTACGCCTGCGAGTCTCGAGCGGGGCATGTGTGTTGGCGCTTGAGTCTGCGGTCCGATTCTGGGCAGAATCCACTGTTTGAGTAATCTTTATAATACTTTTAGATGCATAGAGCTATCATGTAATCGAACGGCCAGTGGCTATAGCCGTACAATGGTCCAAAAGCAAGCCTCAGGCCTCTGCTGTGAAGCTGGACGCGGCCATATGGCGGACCAGTCGTAAAGTGTGAGGGATGCTGAGACCCGTGCGCGCCATCTCAGGCCCTCAGGCAAACTTTCTTCGCAAGATTCTGTTCTGCGAATCTGCTTCATCTACCCTACGTCACCCTCGCATCTCCTAGTCATCGCTGATGGACCTGCAGTCATGCTCCATGGGTCGACATCGCGCTGCCAAGCGCGCTCAATCTTTACTAAAAGCTAGCATGGCCAAGTTATCTTTGACCAATTCGGCGGAAAATGCCTGCCTATCCTTGGCTCGAGTGCAAGTCGCACCTCGTCCATCTCGATGTATGGTCGTCCGCCGCGCAGACACGCGCTGCGATCTCGCCAAAGAGTGGTTCAGCAAGCGAGGCGCAAGCTGTCTGTGGAGAGGCGTACTGAGCAGGACTGACTGCCTCGAGGTCGCCTCGAGGTCAAAGCTCAAAACGCCACGCGTGTGTGTGTGGACCCCGGCCCGAATGCGGATCAGACTGATTTCGGTGCTAGACTTTTCCTTCCTCCTCTCATCTTTCTCTCTCTTACCTCCCTTGATGCTCTCACCGACCTCGGATCAACCTCCTCAACCCATCAGCTCCGCATACATCCTCGGCCTCCTTCTCGCTGATCGCACCACTTCCTCTCCTATCACACTCTCAGCGACGGTCCCGCCCTCATCAGAAATGCGAACATCGTCACGCCCCAGGAAGCCTATCGGTAGCTACGCGGCGGAGCCCGATTATGGGATCTCTAAGGATGACTTGGTGCTCAAGGTGCCGAAAGCGCCGGTCGCTTTCACAGCCGGAACCCCCAGCCTTGGCGATCCACCTCTCCCAGCGACTTCGCTTTCCCTTCCCTCCCTTCCCTCCCTTCCTTCCCTTCCTTCCTCCTTCGCCTCTGGCCCCAAAACCGACCAAGCCATGTCTGCATCGTCGATCAACAGCACGGCCAATACGGCGGAAAGTTGGAAGGAAGGAAGCGGCATCACGCAAGGGCGGAGTGGTAGCGGTGTCAGCGAGGATGATGGGCAGGAGCAGGGCAGTAGTGGGGACCTTGCAAAGGGCGGAGGCGGTAGTGGGGACAAGGATGCTGGGGATCAAGGAAGAGCGATGACCGCTGGCGGTCAGGAGGGCGCAGGAGAGGAGGGAGGAAGGAAGACGCCCAACTCCAAGAAGAGAAGCGTACGTCCCCCACATTCTCGCACATGACTCGCGCTGACCGTCAGGCCCATTCCAGTGTCGACCGCGCTGTCAAACAGCGGAAGGTTGCGGACGGACGAGAAGTTGCCCTCGGAGGCGGAATCCAGGTATGTCTAGCGGTACTTTACCACTTCGGCGAACACCCGTTGATTCCTAGGTCACGCTTGACGAACTCCTTTTCACCCAATACCAGGCCGCCATCGCCACGCCATCTGCGCCACAATCCCCCATGCACTTCGCTGCTTTCAACCTGGCTTCAGTGGCGCCACCGCCCCCGTCCATGCCGGATGACGAAACACTCGATCTCATGAAGAAATCCATCCCTCCCTACCTCTTCGAGCCCGAAATGATCGGTCGGCTCCAGCCCTTTTTTACAATGGCCGATTCGCACCGCGCCCTCCCCTCCATCATCGCCTGCATCAACGACACGCAGGCGCAGATGGCGCAGCTCCTCGGCTACCTAGCTTCGGTAGAAGAGGAACACGCCGTTCGGCACGAGATGGCTCAGAAGCATGTCACGGACGCCGAAGCCCAGAACGCCGATCACGCCTCGGCTCGGTATCATCTTCAGCTGGAGCTGGTCGAGATGAAGGCGACAGCGGCGAAGGAGCGGGAAGCTGCCCGGTTTGCGACCGGGAAAGCCAAGGAGGAGGCGGAGCGGCAGCTGCAGGCGGTCAGGCGCGAGGCCGATCAGAAGCAGCAAGAGATCAAGAGGGATACGGAGCAGGAACTCCAGTCTGCGAGCGAAGAGGCGGAGCGAGCGCTACAAGAGGCGAAGGCGGCAGTGAAGCAGGAGATGGAGAGAGGGAAGAAGGCAAAAGAAGATGCCATTGCGGAGCGGGACCGGTTCCACCGGGACCGTAGCACTGCTCTGTACAGCCATCTCGCCAAGGCCCGAAAGGAGTTCGAGACCAAGACCGGCACACTCTCCGCACAGCTCTCGGACGCCAACGACCGGATCGGCTCCCTCGGCGCAGAACTCGAGACCTCCCAATCCGCCCTGACCACCGAGCGCGAAGCGAGTGCTGCAACCTCGGCAGCACTCGAGCAGGCCAAAGACACCATCCAAAACCTCACCTCGCAAATCAAGGACAAGGTAGCTATCTGGTCCACCTTCTCCTCCGATATGGTCGCCCTCGCTCGGAATTTCGTTGAAATCATCGGTCGGCTCAACAGCGGTTTATCGTGAAGGAGTGGAGGAAGGCGATGGCTCGGGGTACGGGGTGTCTGGGAAGCAGCACACTTTGTCCGTACGAGGACAGCAGGGGGTACAGGGACGGAGTCGGGATATATAGGTGAAGCGGCGCACAGAGTACATGCTGTATTCAGGATCTTTCAGGGAAATCTACATGCAAACCCATCATTGTCGGGGCCATCGTCAGGCTGCTCAGCTACCGGGAGACTGAGTGTGCACGTCCTTGCTGGTCATGGTGAGCGGCCAGATCAGCCTTCGGCATAAAGTACTGCTTCTGCCTCACCGCCACATCAAGCTGCGAGGTCGAGGAATGCTGATCCCGTGCGTGCTCGGGCGAGCTCAGCTCACTCTTTACCTTACTATAGCGTGTCTGAAGACGTATAGCTCAGAGTACGGGGGGCACTCTCTAGACGATACATGCCGATCGTCTCGGTGTGCGTTATAGCTCACAATCTGGTCGACCTGCGCGGATGGAATCATCGCTTGGCCGGCCCCATCTCGGTTATAATTGCAAGTCCCACCACTCAGCATGCAGGAGACCCCAGCATCCATAGCCGCGACAAGTTGATGTGCTCGACAAGATCAGTCAGTGCGTGCCCGGTATGGACGCCATCAATCCTGCGAGGTCCGAGCGCTGAGACTATGAGGGACGTGCAATTTCTGCCCACGCCCGACGCGGTGCCGACCCGATTTGCTCCGGAGACTTCTCCTTCCTCCTCTTATCTTTCTCACCGTCCATCCCTTCCGCAACGCTCACTCCAGCGCGTGTCACCTCTCACACTGTATAGATTCTCCTCGTATCCCGCGGAACCTTCGTCCTCGGCGTCGGCGCGGCCGCAAAATCTCGGTCAGCCACAATGAGCAAAAGGAAGCTCATTCGACCCACTAACATCAAGACAAGGCCTCCCCGCGAGTCTCGCCTCCGACGCCGTCGCACGGGTACACAGGTCCTCTCACAGCGGCTCAGAGTACGATTACGAAAGCGACGCGTCGGAGACCACGGCGGTCAGGTCCCAGATCGAACTCATACGGACGGCTAGACCCAGGGCAAGCGATCCTCCAGGCACCAGCCCGGGTCCGCCTTCGTCATCGCCCAGCTGTCAGTCTCTATCCGCCCGTGAAGTAGAATGGGAGGAACCCTGGAATATGTCGGATGCGGAGGATCAAGATGCGGTCAGTGGAGAAGCAGGAGATGACAGTGGGGACTTGGCGGAAGGAGGAGGCGGAGGTCAGACGGGCGGGCTTTGCGGTCTCCCAGAATTCGAGGCGGAAGAAGATGGAGACGTGTTCGGCGGACGCGAATCGGACCTAGAGTCGTTGTTTCGAGAGGAGGAGGACTGGCGGACCGTGGGCGTCCCGCTCAAGAGAAACGTAATTACAAGTGCTACTATACTCGTATCGCTAACTGACTTCAGGCCGATGACGAGCTCGACAAGGACAAAGCAAAGCTTCCAAGGCTCATCGATGCAGATCCGGATGAGCTTGAGACTGGAGTTCAGGTATGTTTCTCGCAGCTCGCATTAGCCTGATTGTGTAGAGTACAGGCTGATAGAGAGGTGTCATTTGCTGGTGATCTTCACCCCAGCTTCCTCCTCGGATTTGCGGTACCCTTCATCCCAACCTCCCCGCTCGTCGTCTCCCCAGTCGAGCTCGACATCTCAGCCGACCACCCACTGCACAAGGAGGCATTCGACACGGTCGCCAAGTGGTTTGCGGAAGACGACAATCTCGGTCCCGGACCTAGAAGACAATTCGAAAAGGTGTTCGTATGGGCCAAAACCGCGCTCGACCTCAGCACCGGTATCGGTCGTATCAACCAAATCTTCAGCCATCTCGCTACGTCCTTCGGTCGACTTCTCGCTGTCATTCACGGTCTCAAGGCTCAGCTGGAGGATGAGAGACAGCGCAATGCCAAGCTGATCAGCTAGGGGCAGGCGGCCCAGACTGCTACGGCGGAGCTAGCTGCCACCAGCGCTGACCTTCACAATCAGCTCGAGCAGGCGAGAAACCTCAGCGACTGTATCCAGTTCCAGCTTGCTACCGCCCAAGATGACCACAAGAGGGACAAGGAGGCTGCGGCATCCGCCATCAACGAGCGGGACGACATACGGGGTCGACTTGCCGAGCTCGCTGCCGCCCAAATTCAGAGGGACAATCGTATCATCGACCTCTCCTCCCAACTCTCAAGTGCCAGAGGCGAGATCGCTCTCCTCCACAAGCAGCTGGGGGATACCAAGATCGCCCAGCGTTGTGCCACGGACCTGGCGGTCTCAGCGGTTGACCGCGTGGAAACCCAAATCAACGATCTTGCCGCCGAATCCGCACGAGCGTCTTTGGCCTCTTCTTCCGCTATCCGCAATGTCGACACCATCAAGCAGCTACTGCTCGTCCTCGCTTCGGACCTCGGGGCCTCACATGCGTCGCACACGTCACTCGAGGCAGATTTGGGTCTCGCGCTCGGATCGATCCGGGGGGAGAGGGTCAAATTGGCGGCGGATCCTATCGAGGCGGACGACCAGTCTTCGGCTAATAAGATGAAAATCGATGGGATGGAATGAGTGGCGAACCAGCGGGTGGAGGGGACATCATCTGGAGAGAGGGAGGAGCAGAGGGAGGAGACATGGGGAAATTGGGAAGAGGCACACCTATGGAGCGGGTCCAACACGTGCGCGTAGCGTGTCAAAAGCTATCTGGTCATATATCAGAGTTGATTTCATCTATGTCCTGCCGACTCTATCACACCCTTCCACTGGTGTAATAGCGTAGTGATACGCGCAGAAATGAGGATGCACTACCGTGGACTCGCTCGGAAACGAATTGATGCGGGGGTGACCGGCCGACCGGCGACCTGTCTCATGTCTCAGCAGACTGGAAGAGGGTCGCCTGTGCTCATCGATTCATCTCCCATTTCTCCATGAGTCTCGTCTATCTACATTCACTCAACCTGGCGTTCAGGGCTGCTGATCTGGCCCGTAGGACGCTCCCAGACCGATGATGGCTGAGAAGAGGCGTAGTCATATGCTCAATTCGACCGACACGCGCGCCTCCCTTGCTCGACTGTCCTCCGACGTCCTTCATTTACCGCTGGTCCGGTAATGCTCATCACTCCGTCCAAGCGCTACTATTCAATCCCTGCACAGCTGTGTGCTTCATCGATCAAGCCCTGATAACTGATAAGATTGGGTCGGATCGAGGGATTGAGATGGGGTAGGGATGGACGCGACTTGTGTGTCGAGGACAAGAAGGCGACGCGTTTGGCCTCACCTCCTGATGGCTGATTAGGCTGATGGCGCATTCTGAGGTCGTACGACGAGAGGTCTATCAGCTCATCACATCAGCTACATCCTCCATGAACACCTCATCCGCCCATAGCAACACTTCCTATCACACTCGAGTAGCTACAAGCCACACCGCGTCCATCATGGCCGATCCTTTCCCCCTCTTGACGCCCACTCTCACACTTGCCGACCTCCCGGCGAATCACCAATACCATCCCAGCAACCAGGCAATACGGGAGGCGGAGGCGGTGCACTTCCCGAATCGCAAAGCCCCCACGAACGCCTACTACGCCAAAAACCCAATGATGCACCCCGCCAACCTCGAACGGCATTTCAATCTCCTCGAGCTGCTACCTCCATTGGCTTTGGCATTCCGCAAGACGGAGGAGGATTTCCGTTTGAGGTTCAAGCAGGTAGAGTGGCCAACCCACGCGTTCGCGTGAGTCTCGATCTCAGGGTTCAAGAGCACAAGGAGATGATGACATCGTGCTGATCTATAGACACCCACAATTGCTTTGTCACAAGAACCTGGCCATCATTGACCGCATCGTGCGAGGTGAGAATGGTGATTATGTGGCAAAGAACTGCTTCACCTGCCGGTATGGCCACCGGGGAGGCGGGAAACGGCCCTGCCACATGGCAGAGGGAGTATTCACGCGGGACGATGAAGGGCGCGCGGTCTTTAGGGCCGAGGGCTACGAGGACGTTCTCTTGATACCTAGTGAGGTAAGTACTGCTTTAGACACCGGCTGATTCTAAGATCTTAAAGCAGACGATGGCAAACCTCCTTCCTGGCCGGGATGTTGACGCTGCGCTCGATCAGGTCCTGCACGACTTGGTCTCGCGCCAGGACCGTAGCCGGAGAGAGCAGTCAGTTACCTCTTCCGACTCACCTGCTCCTGTATCGCGGTCAATTGCTGCTGGCAAAAGACGATCCCGTCGCGTGAGTATGATCCCGCATCGATCGCTGACACCTCAGCTGATCATTGACGACCCGCTCTCCTCGGATCCCGAAGCACCCCAGCAGATCAGGAAGCGGTCCAGGCGTGAGCAAAAGTCGGCCGCGCTCGAGGATCCAGATTGGAGCAGCGTGCTGGAGCCGGGATCTCTGGTAAGCAATGTTATAAAGGGCAACATGGAACCAGCTAATCAAGCAGGCCGATTACCTTTCTGGCTCGGTGCTCGAGAAATACCAGCATGGTCGAAACAGCTCGGATGTCCTTTCCCTCAACTTCCGTATCGATCCCCTTCACTCCTCCGCTGAAGATATCCCTCCCCTCCTGGATCTGGAGACCGTCACATCTGGACTCGTCGATTTCCGGTGCGATAACCTTGGTCCGGCCAAGACCAAGGCTATGGTCGATTCGCTCATCCAAATCGTCGCGTCCTATCACGAGAAGGCTCTCCGCCTCGACAAGGCCAACACCTCCATGATGGTCACCGCCAACGCCGGCATGGAGGTACTGGTCGACTACGCGGGTCGGACGGATGCGAGGTGCGATGCTCTTCTCCTGGAGAATGAGCGTCTGACGGCCGAACACGGTGCTTACCAGCTCGAGAAGGGACAGGCGGATTGCGGAGAGAGCAGTGCTGCTAGTCGGATCCAAGGGGCTATCGATGGTGCGGCCGAGGAGGTCAGACTGAGGGAGAAGGCGGAGGGGCTGCTGGCGGAAGCGATTATTAAACAGGGCGAGATGGAGGTGGAACTCGCCGGGGAGAGGGATAAGATGAGGGTCATGGGGGAGAAGATGGAGCGCCTTGAGCGGGAGAGTCAGGCTGCGGCGGCGGGTATGATGTGGTAGCTTTGCTATAGGTATACCGAATAGAACGTGCGTGTAGATCTGAGATTGCGGCAATGGCGTGGGGGAGAGTGGGGAGTGGCTTCGGACTTGAGCCGAAACAAGGCCGAGGCAGCCACGTGGTTGAGATCCCCAACCAGCCCGGCCCCCCACAAATCGTCGCGCAAAGGCTATACCGACTATACCTCTCTCTACCTATCTCCACATACACCTCGTACACCCTCATAGAGCTACAGGAGGCCATACATACAGCGTCAGAACCCCCAGTCAACTTCCCAGCGAAGCGGAACAGCTGGAAACCCCTTTTCTCAGCTCCCATCAGCTGCCCCATCGTCCAACCTCCACCTCAGCAACGCGTTCACCATGGCGGCAGAGATGGACCAGGAGAGTATTGTCCGGCGTGAGCTCACGTCGCGATGTATCGCCATCGTAAGCCGTGCCATTGTTAGCTAGAGCCGAGCTGACGGAAAAGATGAACCGAGCGGACCCTACCCTGCTCGAGTACATGAAGTACACTATCGACAATGTCGACCCGTCCAAAGGCCCTACCTACGAGAAGGCCAAGAAGTTCGGGCAGATCCTGATTGACAACTGTGAGTATATCGAAGAGCTCAGTTGACGATAGGTCAAGAAGTTGTCGACAAGCCTCCAATCTACCGAGATGTCGCCCTTCCCACCGCACCCCACACCGAAATCTCGGCCAAGGGAGATATCATCTACACTGAGATCATCAGGCACAATGTGCGCAAGCTGGAGAACTACGTCAAGGAGATGGCGTCGGGCGGAGAGGTCGAGCCGGTTGTCAACTTGGACAAGGTCACCTCGGACATTGGTGAGTTGGCTGAAAGGTCCGTGCTGACGTTTAGAAAAGCTTTGGGAGCTTGTCAACTCGCAGCCATCCATCACCCCCGCTCAGAAGGCCGCCATTAAGAGCATGTACGCCGAGGTCGTCAAGCACCTCGGACACGAGCCGAACGACCCTCCACCAGAGAACCCCGCTTTGCTCCGGGCCAAGGGGCCAAACAGGCAGCGGAGGAGCTCGTCCCAATTCTTGCGGCCAAATGTGGAGGACAGGACCGAGGTGGATGAGGAGCACTTGCCATTCTTGCACTTGAAGCGGAAGACTGGGACGTCTTGGGCGTACAGTCAGAAGTTGACCAATATTTGTGAGTTCAACCCAAGGCAAAGCTGATTTAGATCTCGACGTCTTAACCGAGATTGCCACCTCCGGTGTCAGCTTCGCCAAGAAGGCCGCTCTTCTCACTGGTGTCGGCAAGGGATCCATCGGTGTCGAGATCCTCAAGGGGCTGCTGTCCGGCGGTGCTACCTGTGTCGTTACCACCTCGCGGTACTCGCGCGCGACCGTCGACTACTACAAGGGCATCTTCCACGAGCTCGGTTCCAAAGGGTCCAAGCTTGTCGTCGTTCCGTTCAATGGAGGTGAGCCAAACTCATAGCAAAGTTGACTTTAGCTTCTCGCCAAGATACCGAAGCTTTGGTCGACTACATCTACACCACCCTCAACATTGATCTTGACTACATCATCCCCTTCGCTGCCCTTCCCGAGAACGGTCGCGAGATTGACGGTATCGACGACAAGTCTGAGCTCGCTCACAGGCTCATGATGACCAACCTCCTCCGTCTTCTCGGCGCGGTCAAGGTCAAGAAGGCCGCCAGGCACTTTGTCACTCGTCCCACCCAAGTCGTCCTTCCCCTTTCCCCCAACCACGGTCTCTTCGGAAACGACGGTCTCTACTCTGAGTCCAAGATCTCGCTCGAGACACTCTTCAACCGGTGGTCGGCGGAATCTTGGGGCGAGTACCTTTGTATCGCCGGTGCGGTCATCGGCTGGACCCGCGGGACGGGTCTTATGTCCGCCACCAACACCGTAGCCGAGGGACTCGAGAAGCTCGGTGTTAGAACCTTCTCTGCCAAAGAGATGGCCTTCAACATCCTCGGTCTCATGCACCCCCTCCTCTTCGACATTACCCAAATCGAGCCCATCTGGGCGGACCTCAACGGAGGGATGGACCGGGTCGCCGGTCTCGCCGAGGTTACCGGCAACATCCGCGCCGACATCCAGCGCGTCGCCGAGCTCCGCAAAGCTATTGCCATCGACAATGCGGCGGACTTCAAGATTGCCAACGGTGATCAGGCGGAACGGGTGCACCAAAAGGTGTCTATCGCGCCGAGGGCCAACTTCTCGTACGAGTTCCCCACTATCGAGGGGGACGACGTGCTCAAGGAGCTTTCGCACCTTCAGGGTCTTATCGACCTAGACAAGGTTATTGTCTGCACCGGTTTCGCCGAGGTCGGACCATGGGGTAGCGCCCGGACGCGATGGGAGATGGAGGCGAGGGGAGACTTCACGATCGAGGGATGTATCGAGATGGCGTGGATGATGAGCCTGATCAAACATTTTGACGGCAAATTGAAGGATGGCAAGGCGTACGTCGGATGGGTGGATGCCAAGTCGGGCGAGCCGGTCGATGACAAGGACATGAAGGCCAAGTATGACAAGGACATCATTGCCCATGCTGGTATCCGATTGATTGGTGAGTTCTTGCAAAGACGGAGCTGATACAGAACCCGACCTCTTCTACGGCTACAACCCCGAGAAGAAGGCATTCCACCAGGAGATCGAGCTCAACCACGACCTCGAGCCGCTCGAGATCTCCGCCGAGGATGCGTCCAGGTTCAAGCGGGAGCAGGGGGACAAGGTGGACGTCTGGGCGCTGGAGTCTGGGGAGTGGTGTGTCAAGTTCAAGAAGGGCGCGAGGGTGTTCATCCCCAAGTCTGTCAAGTTCGACCGCGTCGTTGCTGGACAGATCCCGACCGGATGGGACGCCAAGAAGTACGGTATCCCCGAGGATATCATTGCGCAGGTCGACAGGTAAGCCCATGTACGGACGGAGCTGATGTAGAACCGCGCTTTGGGCTTTGGTCTGCACGATGGAGGCGCTCATCATGTCCGGTGTCACCGACCCGTACGAGCTGTACAAGTACATCCACCCCTCTGAGGTCGGAACATGTCTTGGTTCGGGTATGGGCGGTATGCGCTCGCTCTCGGCCATGTTCAAGGACAGGCGGGAGGAGAAGGACGTGCAGAAGGATATTCTGCAGGAAACGTGAGTTTACCCCACGATAGAGCTGATTCCAGTTTCATCAACACCGTTGCTGGCTGGGTCAACCTGCTCCTTCTTTCGTCATCCGGACCGGTCAAGATCCCCGTCGGTGCATGCGCTACCGCCCTCCAGTCCGTCGAGATTGCGTGCGACTCGATCCTCACTGGCAAGGCCAAGGTCATGATTGCCGGTGGTTTCGACGACTTCTCCGAGGAAGGCTCGTTCGAATTCGCCAACATGAAGGCTACGTCCAACGCCGAGACGGAGTTCGCCATGGGTCGCGAGGCCAACGAGTTCTCTCGACCCATGACCAGCACCCGCGCTGGATTCATGGAGTCGCAGGGATGCGGTGTGCAGGTCATCATGTCTGCCCGCACTGCCTTGGAGCTCGGCGCTAGCATTCAGGGTATCGTCGCATACACGTCCACCCACACCGACAAGGCCGGCCGGTCCGTCCCTGCTCCGGGTCAGGGTATCCTCTCTGCCGCCCGCGAGATCAACTCGCCCGACGCCCTCCACATCCTCGACGTCAAGTACCGGGCTCGCCAGCTCGCTTTCCGCCGTCGTCAGATCTCGCAGTGGCTGGAGAACGAGCACGAGCTGCTCCGCGCCGAGCTCGGCTCCAAGCAGAGCGACGCGTGGTTCCAGTCACGCGTCGGGTTCATTGACGACGAGGCGAAGCGTCAGGAGCGGGATGCGCTGGCGACATTCGGTATGCTGGAGGGATCCCACCCAAACATTGCCCCTCTGCGCCGGGCATTGGCGGTGTGGGGTCTCGATGCAGACTCGGTCGGCGTCATCTCTTGCCACGGTACCTCTACCAAGGCCAACGACAAGAACGAGTCGTCGGTCTACAACCAGCAATTCACCCAGCTCGGCCGGACACCTGGAAACGCCGTCCCCGTCATTGCGCAAAAGTCTCTCACGGGTCACCCCAAGGGAGGCGCCGCCGCGTGGATGTTCAACGGTATGATCCAATCCCTCAACTCGGCTCTCGTACCCGGAAACCACAATGCAGACAACATTGCCGAGGAGCTCCGCGCTTTCCCTTACCTCTTCTACCCCTCCAAACCCATCCAGCACGTCCGGCTGGAATGCGGTCTCCTCACTTCCTTCGGTTTCGGTCAGGTCGGTGGTCAAGCCGCCATCGTCCACCCGCGATACCTCTACGCGTCCCTCCCAGCGCACCAGCTCGAGGCGTACAAGGAGCGCCGGCGGAAGCGGGAGCTCAACTCGTACTCGCGCATGTCGGCGTCCATGATCCAGAACAACCTCGTTCAGATCAAAGACGCGCCACCTTACACGTCCGAGCTCGAGAGCAAGGTCTACCTCAACCCCCTCGCTCGGGCTGGACCCAGCAAAAACTCCTTTGCCTTCCAAGGCAAACTCCCCTCTACCGTTCCCCTCCAATCCGCCAACGCCTCCACTCTCAAAGCTCTCTTTGCGCAAGCAGGAGACATCGCCGGCGTCGGAGTCGACACCGAGCTCATCACCAGCGTCCCTACCTCGGAGACTTTCCGCTCGCGGAACTTTACCGACGCCGAGGTTCAGTACTGCAATGCGGCGCCCGACCCGGTTGCGTCGTACGCGGGCAGATGGGCCGCCAAGGAGGCCGTGTTCAAGGCGCTGTCTGTCCCGTCCAAGGGGGCCGGAGCGGGCATGAAGGATATTGAGATCGTGGCGGGGGAGAAGGGACCGACTGTGAAGCTGCATGGAGATGCGCTGACGGCGGCGGGTAAGAAGGAGATCAAGGTGTCGTTGAGTCACTCGGACACGTCGGTCGTGGCGTTTGCGGTTGCGAATTGTCAGTTGGCACTTCAATGTGGTGGACATAGCTAATGAGCAGAATGATTGGTTGGATAGATACGGGTTTTGGTGGATAGGATACATCGGCGTACATGCGGACTGCTATAGATATTATGCACTGTATATAGATCACGCAGTTCTCAGCTGCCATGTCCACACTGCACAGGTCACATCGACCGCCAGCTGAGATGCAGGCGCCTGACTTCTCGATCTGACTGACGTCATTTGCGGCAGTTGCTCGATGTCGATCGCAAGACCATGTACCGACTTTTCGCTTTATACCTCTCTTTGCATGCTCAGCACCATACGCAGACTCAGTCACAGCATGTCCAACACCTTCGTTCATCTCCATACGCTCGACCTGCGGACGCATGACTCGCCGTCACTGCACCACGCTCATCACCCCTCGTCCAACATTTCTAGCCGGGTCACCCATTTCCTCCCCGTCTACATTATCGACTCGCGCCAGCTCGACACTACATGTCTGCCTGGCACTCCAGCTCAAGCTCCTCCTCCATCCGGGGAGACGGAGCTGGAGAAGCAAGGAGTACCTACCAACCCCAATCACCACCCCCAAAAGTCGCGAAACTCCCCCCGATCGCGGGTATGCGATTTCCACCGGACCTCGCCTCATCGGCTCGCATTCCTCCTTCAGGCAGTGTACAGTCTACGAGAGACGTACCGCAAGTCTGGAGGGGATATGCTGATTGGGTATGGAAAGCCCGAGGTGCTTATCCCTGCTCTTGTGGAGAGCCTGAAGAAGAAGGGCAAGGTGGAGGGCGTGTGGGCGCAGAAGGAGATTACAGTGGAAGAGGAGGAGATGCTCTTGCGTCTAGAGGACAAGCTGGACGTCAAGCTCAGTCTGAACGAGAGCAAGACGATGCTTCCTGTCGATCAGCTCCCGTTCAAGGTCAGCCAAACGCCCGATATCTACACGTCATTCCGGAAGAAGGTGGAGGGGTTGGGGTTGCAAGTGGGAGGTGGGATGCTCGTGGAGCCGCTCAACACGGCCGAGTGGAAGACGAGGGATGGACGGTGTGGCGAGGTCAGGGTCAAGGGGCTCAAGCCGTTCCCTGATGTGGGAGAGGTCAAGCTGGCCGAAGGACAGGGCGGGTGGGTAGGGAAGGGAGACGATATCGACTCAGTCGAGGGGATGTACGCCAAGCTTATCCAGCCTCTCCTGGACAGCCCACCTATCGGCGGCTGGACGACCGCACATAAGGGTACCGAGATGCCGGCGAACCACCAGAATACCGCCGTACCGTTCAAAGGCGGGGAGACGAGCGCGCTGGGCAGGCTGGAAGACTACGTGGGACACCCCGAGGAGGGCAAGTGGGTCGGAGGGAACAAGGCGCGCAAGTACAAGGCGACCCGGAATGGGATGATTGGCGAGGGGTTCAGCACCAAGTTTGCCTCGTTCCTCTCGCTCGGATGCCTCAGCGCTACCGAGGCGGGATGGCGAGTCGCTCAGCTGCTCGAGACGGTCGGGAAGGACAAGGATACCTACCAGAACGTCTACTGTGAGTCCACACTCCGACTCGGCTGATATCAGGGATCATCTTTGAAATCCTCTGGCGAGACTTCTTCCAGTATACCACGGCAAAGTATGCCAAGCAGAAACGATCCTCCCTCTTCGACCCTGTCGGCTACTCGCAGATGATCTCGTCTTACCCCGCGTCCGAGCGGCCCAAGCCGGAAGACTGGAACGATGCCAACTTTGACGATGAGAATGATGCGGCGAGACGCTGGTGTGAGGGCAGAACGGGTGTGCCTTATATCGATGCCAACATGCGGGAGTTGAAGGAGACGGGGTATATGAGTAATAGGGGGAGGCAGAATGTCGCGAGCTTCTTGGTCATGGATCTGTGAGTTAGCGGTCTTGACACGATGAGGCTTTAGCTGACGGTTCAGGTACGTGGACTGGAGGGTCGGAGCGGAGTTTTTCGAGATGCACCTGATAGACTATGATACCTGCTCAAAGTAAGCTCTTTCGCGCTCCGAGGATGGAATGAAGCTAATAGTTTAGCTGGGGCAACTGGCAATACCAAGGTCAGCTCCACAGCGGCTAAATGCGTCTTGCGCCTTAAGCTGACTTCTCAGCTGGTGTAGGAAACGATGCTCGCTCGTCTCGACAATTCAACCCAATTAAGCAGGCCAAAGACTACGATGGGCACAGCGACTACGTCCGGATGTGGGTGCCCGAGCTCAAGGATGTACCGGATGATCATGTTCAAACACCATGGGGTCAGTTATTATCTTCTGCCTCCATTTCGAGTCGGAAGCTGACTTGACAGTACTAAATAACCCTAGCAAGCTTGGCGGATACCCACACAAGCCCTTGGTGGAGCAACAGTCATGGAAGAAGTTCTATGGTGGTGGCGGAGGTGGAGGAGGCGGGCGTGGCCGAGGAGGACGTGGTGGCGGGGGACGGGGCGGTGGTGGAAGAGGCGGCGGAGGACGAGGTGGTGGTGGACGAGGTGGTGGGAATGGCCATGGTCACGGAAGAGGCCGGGGCGGACATCACGATTAGGAGAAGTAAAAGCAAGCGATGCACCGCTGCAGGAAGGCAACTGGGTAGTCTGACAACCGCAGGTTCTGCCTGAATCATGAAGTTGAGCCCTCATCTGGCAGTGAACCTCTGACAACCGACCTCCTGCCCCGCTAACATTGTAATCTTTGTCCCGCTCACATCGTCGCCGCCTGCTGACTGCGCCACTGACGCGACAAGTCGTTACAGCCGGGAAACTGATCAACGATCTTGCTGGAAGAGACCGAAGTGAGAGATTGCTCGGAATGTGTGTCTGTCATCCGGGAGATTATGGGCAGCTATGGCCTCCTTGCGACTCCAGTTGAGCTCCAGTCCCTCACCGACCACCGCGTCCCCACAGACCCTGCCCTCTTTTCGGTGGCCAGAACCCCTTGGCTTAGCTGCAGGGCGGGTATTAGCCAAATCTATAACCGAAGCCCGGTCTACCGCTTTGTCGCGCCTCGTCCGCGCCCCGTGTCCCCACTTGTAGGATAACAGATCAAGCACATTCATTGCATGGTGTGAAAAGGTCTTCTGACCCTCTTCCGATGCTCCGCGACTCAAAGCGCACTGGTATTGAAATATCGCCAATTTCCCCACTCCAGCTCCCCCACTTAGAGACATCCGGCCATTCCGGGCCGGCCAGCTGAGCTACAGCTATATCCGCTGACCTGTCCTTCGAGGTCTCCTTGTTCTACCCGGACAGCTCCAGCTGATCCACCATCTTGGTGCCCTCGCCACTTTCCCCTTTCTGATCAGTACTTTTCTCAACCCACATCATCACAATGTCCACCACAACAACGGAGGCACCGCGCCTCGCGCTCAACCTGAACCAGGCACCCAAACTCCCCTCCAACTCCCAGCTTGAATGGATCCCCCTTCATGACACGTACGGTGCCGAGTGCCGAGGGATCGACTTTACTTCGCTTCCCCTTTCTGACAATATCATCGACGAGATCCAGGCGGGTATCGCCAAGTACGGCGTGGTCGTCTTCCGCAACACGGGTCTGTCCGACCCTGACTTCGTATCGATTGGGGAGCGTCTGGGAGAGATAGCGGACGCTGGGCAGAGTAGGCGATTCCCCACGGCCAAGTTGGGCGACCCCAGTAACCTCTATCTGGATGGCAGCATCGTCAAGCCAGGAGAGCTCAGGTGGTTCTTGGCAAAGGAGACGGGGCTGTTCCATGTCGACGCCGTAAGTGACCGAAGACTTCAAGGCTGACAGTAGTCGTATGATGCTCGACGAGTTCGCTTGACCGGTCTCATCGCCCACCAACTCCCTCCTAGAGGTACCGGCGGGGCCACCGAGTTCAGCGACACCCGCTCGGTCTACGCGGATCTCGACGACGAGACCAAAGCCCTCATCCAAGGCAAAGTCGGCGTTCACTCCCACTTTCACTCCCGGCGCGTCGCCGTGCCCACCTTCCCCACTTTCGCCGCGCTGGACCCTAATGACTACCCCATGTCCAGTCACCTTATTGCCCAGACACACCGCGGCTCGGGCAGACCCGTCCTATACATCGCGTCTCACCTGCACCATATCGACGGGATGCCCGAGCCGGAATCAAGCGAGCTCATCCTCAAGCTCAGGCGCAAGGTGGAGGAGGAGAAGTATCTGCTCAAGGTGTACTACGAGCAGCCGGGAGATGTAGTCATCTGGGACAATACGGCGACGATGCACCGCGCCGGCAAAGGGGAGGGGGAAGGGTGGGCGGGGAAGTATGTGAGGGACATCAGGAAGTGGACGGTGTTTGACAACTCGCCGGAAGAGTGGGGGTTGAATGACAAGAAGACGGAGAAGTTCTTGGCGGGGCCGGTGATACAGGCGAAGCACGATGAGATCTACGGGCAGGACGGGAAGGTGTGGGACTTTGATGAAGATTAGAGCTTTTGCTCGAGGAGGATATAAGGATGAGGCCATGCTGCTTCCGATAAGGATCATTAATGTATACATGACCTATCTCGCCGCATACGGTATGTACATGATGGTCATTCTACGCTATTGTATCCTGTCGTATCAGCTACATCCGTCTGATACATCAGCGATAGAGCTCATTTCTACCTCCTTGGATCGCCCCTTCCGCCTACCGCCTGCTTCACGGACGTGGGTCACTCGCCTCCCGTCTTGTGCCTAGCGCCTCACTCCGCCCCCCCGCCATGTAACAACTCGCCAGGACGGCCACCTGTGCGTCAACCTTGATTCGCTCCCTGTTTAGATCCAAATCTCTCGCGTCCAGCCCCGCCTGTCGTGTATCCAACGCTTCCTCCCGGGCGCCTAGTTTCCTGTGCCACCTCCCCAGCTCCGCTTCATGCATGTCGACCTGCAATTCCTGTGCCGCCCGTGTCCCCAATAGTTCCTTTTCCTGCCACCTCATCTTCTCATCCCTTTCAGCAGCGAAGCCTCGCTTCTGACCACCAAGCGTATCATGTACATCGTCAAGGGCGACGCAGCGGATGCGGAAATCCCTGATTGGGCGGGCGCCGATCAGTTTACGGGCACATTTGTCCAGCAGTACACCACCTTCGAGGATGGATTCGCACCTCTTGGCGTACTGAGAAAAATGGCGGAGGTGGAAGGTTTAGAGGATGATTGGGAGGGCAAGGGGGGTCAAAGTCGGAGATGATGCCTGGGCGATTTTGGTGCAGTGGCAGGACTGGGCGAAAGAGTACAAGGACAGTTTGGCGGATTAAGAGGAGAAGCGTGCGCAAGAGATGTGAGTTTCGCTTGTTTGAGCTGTGCCAGGTGAAGAGCTTCTTACTGATATGTGGGCAGGTCACCTCCCTGCTCATCGCTCTATCGCTTTATCCCCATTTAACCATTTCCCGAGACCACTGAAATCACTCTTGACGAGTTCAGTACGTCAGATCTTCCCTACAACTGGACCCCTGTGATCGCTGGACAAGAGTTCAGCTGATTCTTCAGCAAATCCTGCCAAATTAAACCGCATTACAAACCTAGACTAAGCCGGTCTTCCCGCGCATCTTCCAAACGGCGATGACTTGTGAGTACTACCCTATTACTATGTCGAGCACCGTCTTAGTCTTCGGCGAGAGCAGAGCTGAGACTAGGAGTACAATTTGCATTCACTACATCCCCCCGAAATCACTATCACTCATCACTATCACCATCTCCTTCACCTACCACCCTGCTCTGCTCGCCGCGCCCACTCAGCCCGAGCTGGGAACACGATGGGCGGATCGTGAAGCTGGCAGGTCCTGCAGGGCGGGTGTATGGCTGAGCTGGGAAAGGAGGCGGCGGCGAGGTCTACGGCTACGCTGCAAGCGAGCTTAGGGATGAGGGAAATGAGGATTAAGCGGGGTCAAGGGGATCAGAGTCAGTAAGTTCTCTGCTCTCCCGCACCAGTCCAGCTGATGTCAGATCACTCAGTAGCTGATGTCAGATCACTCAGCCATCCCTCACGACCTCCCAGCTATCTGCGAACAACCTACTTCGAGCTCAGCCAGTATCATCTTGTGATCCGCCTATCCATATCACGATCACGGTGGTATGGCTTTGATTCCTGATTAGAACAAGCGGATAGCAGAGTCCAAGGGAAAACGCGGAACGGACTTGCTGCACTATCCATTCCGAAGTATTGGTAGTACGGACAACTAGACTGGACTGATATAGACTTGACCGAGAACTGCTTCAAAGCTTCCCCTGTCCCTCTTCCTTCTTCTCATCTCCCTTCTTGTCCTTCACGAACGGTCCCATCCCCTTGCCCTGCTCCGCCCCTTCCACCGGGCTAACCCACGCCGCCCGGTGCTCCGAGAATATCTCCACCTTGGGCTTCAGCATGGTGTCGTGCAGAGAGTGATCATCGATGATTCCGCCCCGCATGAATCTTGTCCCTGGAGCAATCGTACCCGCACGGAACATGAGCGTCCCACACGTCTTGCAGAACGAGTTGGCCATGGTCTCGCCGGTAGTGGTGGTGGAGGATTGGGAGAAGACGGTGAGATTGTCTTCGCCGCGGACGAAGCGGGTGTGCGAGTCCAGCGAGGTGAAGTTGGTGGCGAACATGGAGGCGGAGACCTTGCGGCAGTCGGTGCAGTGGCAGACGAAGGTGCCCTGGAGACCGGGGGCTTTGAGGGGCTGGGCATTAGCGATAGTCCAAGCGGCGAGGTGATAAGTTGGGATGAAAGGGAGTCAAGCTCGCTTAAGTATGACAGCCGCACTCACTATAACCATCTGCACCTTCCCACACGCGCATGTAGCCGTCGCCTCATCCTCGTTGGACCAGCCGTCATTGGTCTGACCTTGGTTGTATGGGAAGCCGACGGATTGCTTCGAGTCTGACATGTCGGGTAACAGTGGCTCTTGGAAGTTGGGTGATGTAGCTGATACTCGACGGGGTGCGGAAATGATAGTCGACGTGTAGCTGGTGAGCTGATTATAATATGTGTGTCTGCGCGAAGAGCTAGCAAGTAGAGAAGCAAGTTCAATCAGCTTGTAACAAGCCAGGTCCCGGTTACCAACCACCATGCCTGATCCGACCTGACCTCCACCTCCACCGGTCCACCTCCACTCTGTCTACGTCATCGTACCCCACCCCACCTATTCCCATTGCAGCGCAGCGTCAGCCTCGGTAGCTGTACAGGCCCTGCACATCGAGCTCGATGCACAACGTCTCGCCATGCGCCTCCTGAAGACGTCCTGCTTGAAGTGAAAGTCGACAGTGCCCACAGGGCGTCCGCTCACTGTTCTCCGGTCTCGACCCGACTGAAGGAGCGCAAGAGACTGGTGGGTCGCACCGGGCTAACCAGGACTGCCAGATCAACAGGAGGTAGATATACAGGAGGCAGACTGAGTGCAGCTTTGCACGGGACGATGATATTGACCCGGTATATCTGACGCCACTGCTCCAGACTGCGTGCTGACCTTTACAGCGCCAAAAGCACTCGCAGTTTACACTTACCAGGCGCACATGCGGGGCGAGTGAGCCTCAGTGCGCTAGTCCAACTGCAACCTGGAAGCTGCCCTTCTTAACCTTCACTGGCCCAAAGACATATGCCAATGACTGATTGGCAGAGTTCACTCTTGTGGGAGCTGAGTGAGCCTTCTTCCAAATGTCAAGGCCGAACATAGCTGACTATGCTGCTGGGGCTATGCAGGCCGGGTCTGACGAAGAAGGGTCTAGTCATCACTGGCTAGTCATGGGATTTGAACACGCCCTACCATATCGATTGCTCGATGCTACCATCGGCTGTCAGACTATGGGCATACGACTCCTCCGCACCCGCCGCAGCGTTGTACTGGATGGACACTCATACTGAGGCTAGAGATCGGATGGAGAAGTTCAAGGTGAAAGTTTAGAACACCAATGCGTTTGTCGGCATTCAAGGACACGTCTGGTAGGTCGGCAGACGGTAATGCATTGGTTGTCGGATAATGTGCGGAAGGAAAGAAGATCCAGCCGATATCGAGTTCACTGCGCGAGACACCGGTCTGATCAGTGGAGTTGAGTCGAAGATCGACGGCAGATACTAGCGCAGATCTGCAGCTCTTCGGATCACCTCTGCGGGGACCAATGCCCTTATCTCCTACCTGCTCTTCGGCTATGAGATCCAGCCAGCCTAGCCTCTACCTACCCACTGCTTTGTCAACATGCTGTGTCGTGCCGGTGTGGAGGAAAGGACGGTTTGGCTCTGAGTGAGCAGCTCAGGTACAGCTGCAAATGTGGAGTCTCCAGACCAGTACGTAATCCCGTGCCAAAGTGGCACTTCTCTCGAGTCGAGGGCTTGGTACTTTAGAGTAGTATACATAGCCTAGGTAGACTCAGCTAACAACCGCCCACCATCATGCACTGCAGCTGGTCCCCCCTCTAGCAAAGTTACAAGCTCATCGATACCTCGGAAATCGACAGTGTGTAACCTAGCACCTCTCCCCCATCGACACACATCCCTTCGTCACCGAGCCAGTCCACCCTGGTATCACCAAATGACTATGCCTCTCTTTCGTCATTATACCACGATCAACTCACTCACCACACCGGCCATCGCAATCGCTCCCCGGATCAGTCTGACCAGCATGCCGCCGTAATAGCCGCAACTCCTCATTCCTCAAACCGGCGCACGCCGGCGCACCCGATGCGGACGCGCTGAGACAATCTGTAAGACTGAACCTCCGTCTCCTTCTCCCTTCATACGCATGGCCTCGTCGAGGCTAGCGCGAATTGATAAGGTCTATATGACTGCTAGGATATCGCTGATATCAGGATCATCATGCCTGCCTCCCTGTCCTCCCTTGCTCCGGAAACGCTCGCCTTCATCATGACGTTCAGCGACAATAATACCGGTGCCTTCGCTCTCGCCTTCGCTCGCGCCAATAAGGCCTCACGAAGCTGCAGATATCGCCATCTGGCGAGTCATCGACTTCTATATCCCAGTCAACGATTCATACATCTTCGAGGTGACCCCCGCGGAACGTCTCGTCTCTGCATACCAGGATGACGACAAGCTCATCACCCTCGCAAATACGGTCTCTGCGCTGGCGACCCCGAGCCGGTGGTCTATCGTCAGGGAGATGAAAATAGGCAGTACGCTCAAGATGTCGCTAGCGGTCACCGTCCCCAAGATCATCCCGCCGGTCTCGCAGTATGATCGGTCCCTCCATGTCTCTCCACCCCCTCATATGAAGACGACGAGGAGATTGGCGGAGGTGCAAGCGGTCCCTGAGTCCGGTCCGATCTCGTATTACTGCTCCTGTTGCTGCCTTCTTCATCCCCGCCGGCGCTCACGCACGTCTACCTCGGGGACAGCACCATCGCGGACCCTGCGTTCATCGGCTATCTCTAAGACATTGCCAATCTGACCGACCTCGAAATCCATATCAATAACAACTTCTCTACACCTTTCCCCTCGCAGACGCCCTCATCCCACGGACTACCTACGCGCATCCAGTACTTAGGGATACATTGCAGCGAGGGCATGGTACATCCATCGGTCACTTGGTAGCGCTCCTGGATCGGTGCCCGGAACTATCGCTGCTGTCACTCTGGTTTGATCCCGATCCGGGGGCTGCCCACTGCGTCGATCAGCTCATTACAGCGATAGATCGAGCACGGCCTCAGGATTTCTACTGGCCCAACATGGATGATGCGGGGTCCGAAGCGCAGTGTTCAGCCGGACCTGCGACCTCAAGCAGAATGGTCACCTTGTTGTCGGACTGGACACTGCCGGTGAGTCCGGCTCATATCCATCGCGATACGAGAATACTACAGCTGATTTCCAGCCTGATTTCTCAAAGGGGTCAAGCAATGCTCGAAGCATCTTCTTCGCGCGGTTCAACGATAATCATATCGTCTCCTCCTGGAATACCACGTTGCTCGCCTCCACCGGTGTCAATCGCCTTTATGTGCACTTTTCAGAGTGGCTCTCTGCCCCACCCAGCACTGGAAAGCGTATACCACTTATGGAAAATCGATCATCTCGATGATCTCGGTTTGTCATCATCGCTCGACGCCATCGAAGTTGTGACTACACCGACCTTCCGAATTCGGTCCCTGTGTCGTGGCGGGGGCGAGCTCCTCCATGCGCAGATTCGACTGCTACAGGTCGTTGTTGGCCAGACCCAGGATAGGGAGTTTGACAGCGCGGACGAAGACGACCAAGATGACAGGACGTATCCGCGAACCAAGCGTATCCTCTTCGTCGACCGCGGCCACTGCGACGAGAACGAAATACCCTGCTATGTCCGAGGCGCCAATACTCGCAGTCCCTTCGATCAGGACTACACCTTCTTCAACGCTCGGAAGGTCGATCGACGCGCTCGTCTCATCGGCTTCTCATACCATCCTCATACAATCTACGTAGATATCTCTGTGCACCTGATATCATACAGCTCGTGATCGCCCTCATGTCCACCAGATCTAAGAGGATTGTGTATAGCTGTGCATGGTCTGCTCGATCTAATCAACGAGACCTCCGAGATCCAAAACCTCCCGCCCGTACGGTACCCGTCGCACGGACTGTTACCGCCGGCCGGGGAAAGCCGAAAGATCTGCCGTAACCGCCACGTGGAGTTCCCCAAGGCAATTCAACCGCGCGCAAGAGTGGAGGCGCTGGGGATTTCCTCTGCGCTATGATACAACCTCCTTCAACCTTCACCTCCACTACTGTCATCCTCCTCTCTACACCATATATAGCACTCCCTAAGACCGTCCTTCCCGCAGCTACGACCACTCTGCTCAGCGTCTAGGAAAGCAGCGCTCGAAAAACCTACCTACACTACCTGGGCAGTCCGCCATCATGGCGTCCCCAACCCGCCCCCTCATCCTCCACTCCTCCTCCGCTCGCGTCTCTATCCCAGTCCCCGCCTCTCCACTCTCAGCATGGATCGCCTCCGAGACGCTCGCGCAAGAGTTCCACGACTCGCGCGTCGGGATGGACGAGGAGCCGGTTGAGGAGGTTGACGAAGGAGCTAGTCTGGGCCCGGCGTCCAGCGAGCCCCAGATCAAGCTCCTTTCGCGCTTCCTCTCCTTCGTGGCCGACCGAGTCGACCAGGAGAACTCGGACGTGCTTCTTGCGGCGTACGACCGGTTCAATGAGCTCTTCCTTTCGGTCGTCAACATCCACTCGCTGGTCCAGTCATTCGACCCAGAGACCCGTGCGGAGGTCCTCACTGCCTACTTCAAGGCGTTTGCTGTCGGGCGGGAGGTGCTCGGAAGCAAGGTCAAGCTGGCGCACACGTCGGCGTTGATCGAGTCTGCCAAGAAGGGCGAGTCGGAGATGTACGCGTTGTTCGGTGGACAGGGCAGTAACGAGGTGAGCTTGGACCTTTTTCCCCTTGAGCTCAGCTGATCCCCAGTATTACTTCAACGAGATCCAATCCCTCTACTCCACCTACACTCCCTTCGTCGCACCCCTCCTCGCGAAAATCACCTCTACCCTCATCCCCCTCCGCGACCAAGCCGAAGCCAACGGCTACACCTACTACTCGCAAGGCCTGGACCTCATGTCCTGGCTCGATGGCTCGGTACCCCGTCCGGACGTCGACTACCTCGCCAGTATCCCCCTCTCCATGCCCCTCATCGGCGTGGCCCAGCTCGCCCAGTACGTCGTCAGCTGCCGCATCACCGACCTCACCCCCGGTCAAATGCGGGACCTCTTCCACGGCGCTACCGGTCACTCCCAAGGAGTCATCTCCGCGGTCGCCGTCGCATCCTCGGACAGCTGGGAGTCGCTCGAGGCCAGCATCCTCAAGGCTGTCAAGCTCCTCTTCTACGTCGGTCTTCGCGGACAAGAGGCGTTCCCCCTTCTTTCGATCGAGCCCCAGATCATCGCCGACTCGGTCGAGAACAACGAGGGCGTCCCCACTCCCATGCTTTCGGTCAGCGGTCTGAGCCTCGGTGCGCTGGAGAAGCACATCAAAAGCGTCAACAGCCACCTCCCGTCCAACTCCCAGGTCGGCATCTCGCTTTACAACGCTTCGACCATGCACGTCGTCACTGGTCCCGCCAAGGCTCTGTACGGTCTCGCTACCGCTTTGCGCAAGGTTATGGCTCCGGCGGGCCTGGACCAGGGGCGGGTCCCCTTCTCCAAGCGCAAAGCCGTCTTTACGATGCGCTTCCTCCCCATCAACGTGCCATACCACAGCGCCTACCTCACCGGTGCGACCCAAAAACTTATGGAGGAGGACATCGGTGGCGAGGTCTTCTCCACCTCGGACTTGACTATGCCCATTTTCCACACCGAGGATGGTAGGTCCCCTTGATTCTAGTGAGATTTGAGCTGACGATCAGGTGTCGACCTGCGCAAGCTTGCCTCCTCCCTCACTGCGTCGCTCTGCGACCAGATCTTCACCCTTCCTATCCACTGGGTCAAGTGCTGCAACTTCCCCGCTACCGCTACCCACGCCGTAGACTTTGGACCGGGAGGCAACAGCGGTATCGGCTTCCTCACGGGCCGTGCTCTTGAGGGGCGAGGTGTGCGCATCGTCGTTGTTGGCGAGAAGGGCAAGGCGGCTGCCGAGTTTTACGACTCGAGCAGAGTTAGAACCGAGTCCACTTGGGCGCAGGACTGGAAGCCTAAGCTTGTCAAGACATTGTAAGTAACTCCTACGAATTAGCTGACAGCAGGGATGGCAAGATCCACATTGACACCACCTTCTCGCGCATGCTCGGAAAGCCGCCAATCATGGTGGCGGGTATGACGCCCTGCACGGTCGGCTCGTCTCTCGTTTCGGCCACTCTGAACGCCGGGTACCACATCGAGCTCGCCGGTGGTGGTCACTACAACGCTGCCGCACTTCGCAACAAGGTCGCCGAGATCCAGCGCCTCGTCCAGCCCGGTGTCGGAATCACCCTGAACGCGCTCTACATCAACCAGCGTCAGTTCAGCTTCCAGCTCCCGCTGTGGCAAGAGATGCGCAAGGAAGGCCTCCCCATCGAGGGCTTCTGCGTTGCCGCCGGTATCCCTTCGTCCGAGAAGGCTACGGAGATCATCACGGCGCTCAAGGACGCCGGGATCAAGCACGTCTCGTTCAAGCCCGGATCCGTCGAGGGTATTCGCCAGGTCATCAACATTGCCGCTGCCAACCCCGACTACCCCATCATCCTCCAATGGACCGGTGGACGGGCGGGCGGACACCACTCGGCTGAGGACTTCCACCAGCCCATCATCGCCACCTACTCGTCGATCCGCCAGAACCGCAACATCTCTCTCGTTGCCGGATCCGGTTTCGGCGGTGCCGAAGACACCTGGCCGTACATCTCGGGTGACTGGTCGGTCAAGCTCTTTGGCCTCCAGCCTATGCCGTTCGATGGTGTCCTCTTTGCCTCCAGGGTGATGGTTGCCAAGGAGGCCGACACCTCTCCTTCGGTCAAGCAGCTCATTGTCGACGCGCCGGGCGTTGACGATGCTTCCTGGGAGGGGACGTACGATAAGCCAACCGGCGGTATTCTTACGGTCCGGTCGGAACTCGGCGAGCCCATCCACAAGATTGCCACTCGTGGTGTCAAGCTCTGGAAGGAGTTTGACGATACCGTCTTCTCCCAGCCTAGGGACAAGCGCGGTGCTTGGCTCGAGGCCAAGAAGGACTATGTCATCGGCCGTCTCAACAAGGACTTCAACAAGCCTTGGTTTGGAGAAAAGGCGGACGGGACGGTCGTCTCGGACCTCGGTACCATGACGTACGAGGAGATCACGCGGCGCATGATCCGCCTCATGTACGTCTCCAAGCAGTCACGGTGGGTCGACATTTCCCTCCGGAACCTCGTCGGCGACTGGCTTCGGCGCGTCGAGGAACGGTTCGCCGGGATCGACGGTAACAAGACCAAGCAGTCTTTGATCCAGTCCTTCTCGTCGCTGGACAAGCCAGAGGAGGCGATCGATGCTTTCTTTGCCGCTTACCCCGCGGCCAAGACCCGCCTCGTCGCTTCGGAAGACAAGGCGTACTTCCTCGTCATCTGCCAACGTCCCGGCCAGAAGCCCGTCCCCTTCATTCCTATCCTCGACAACACGTTCGAGGTCTGGTTCAAGAAGGACTCGCTCTGGGCCGCCGAGGACATGGACGCGGTATTCGACCAAGATCCCCAGCGGGTCTGTATCCTGCAAGGACCGATGGCGGTCAAGCACTCGACCGTCGCGGACGAGCCTATCAAGGATATCCTCGGCAACGTCGAGGGTCTGCTCGCGAAGCGGATCCTGGAGCGGTACTATGGCGGGGACGAGAGCAAGGTGCCTCGGATCGACTTTATCGGTGCCAGGCCGGGATCGAAGCGGGCGGATATGCAGGAAGAGGTGGATGGTGATGTGCGGACCATCAAGGTCACGACGCCCATGCCGACCGAGGACTGGCTCGAGTACATTGCCGGCCCGGACGTCAGCTGGCTTCGCGCCGCTTTGACCTCGGTCAACATTGTTCACGGTCAAGGGTACATCTCCAACCCCTTCCGCCGGATATTTGCTCCCCGCGCTGGTCAGACCATCAAAATCACCCGGGACAAGTCGGTCACCCTCTACGGCGCCGCCCGGTCTTTCGGGCCCCACCCCGCCGACTTCAAGGCCGTCGAGCTTTCGTTCGCCAACAACCAGCTCGACCTCGTACTCTACGAGGAACGCCGTGACGTCTCGGTGCCCCTCCACTTTTCGTTCGCGTACAAGCCTGAAATGGGCTTTGCACCCATCCACGAAATTACGGACGGGCGCAACAAGAAGATCAAGGAGTTCTACTGGCGTCTCTGGTTCGGGGATGACCAGAAGCTTCCTGAGCTTGCTCTGGACACGACCTTCACCAATGAGGCGACGGCCATTGACGCCAAGGCGGTTCAGCGCTTCTGCGATGTTGTGGGGAACCAGGGAGAGAGCTTCAAGGCGGTCAGGAGCGAGAAGATCATGGCGCCGATGGACTTTGCGATTGTTCTTGGATGGCAGGTGAGTAAGCTTCTTGGATAGAGCTGATTCTCAGTCCATTATGAAGGCGATCTTCCCTTCGGCTATCGACGCGGACATTCTCAACCTCGTCCACCTGTCGAACGGGTTCAAGATGATGGACGGTGTCGCCCCTCTCCGCGCGGGCGACTCGTGCTCGGCTGAAGCTCGCGTCGTTTCCGTCATCAATGGCGATAATGGTAAGACCGTCAAGGTCAAGGGATACGTCCTGCGCCAGGGCGAGCCCGTTATCGAGGTCTCGTCGGCCTTCTTCTACCGCGGTCGGTTCAAGGACTTTGAAAACACCTTTGAAACCATCGACGAGCCAGACTATGTAGTCGAGATGACTCGCCCTACCTCGGTCGGTATCCTCCAGTCCAAGTCCTGGCTGGAGTGGGACGACGACTCGGTGCCTCTGGACGTTGGGTCCACCCTCACGTTCAAGACCCGCTCGGAACTTCGGTACCGCGACAAGACCACCTTCAGCTCGGTCAAGGTCACGGGTGCGGCGTTCGTGCGGTCCTCGACCAAGCAGCTGGTGCAGGTCGCTACCGTCGACTACGAGGCGCACAACTCGTACGGTAACCCCGTCGTCGAGTACCTCAAGCGCCACGGCAAGGCTACCGGTCTTCCCATCCCCCTCGAAACCGGCGGATATTCGCTTACGGACGGATCGGCCAACTACCGTACTCCCCTCACCAACGAACCCTACTCCAAGATTTCGGGCGATTTCAACCCCATCCACATCAACCCCTACTTCTCGGACCTCGCCTCCCTCCCGGGTACCATTACGCACGGGATGTGGAACTCAGCCGCGGTACGCAAGTATCTCGAATCGTCCGTTGCCGATAACCGGCCGGAACGGGTCACGGCGTACAATGTCAGCTTTGTCGGCATGGTCCTCCCCGGCGACGATATCAATGTCAAGCTTACCCACATTGCTATGCGGGAAGGCAAGAAGGTGGTCAAGGTGGAGGCGTTCAATCAGACGGGGACCAAGGTGATTGACGGGACGGCGGAGGTTCTCCAGCCTCCCCTTGCCTACGTCTTTACTGGTCAGGGATCGCAGGAGGTCGGGATGGGAATGGAGCTGTACGCGTCTTCCGCGGTTGCTCGGGCGGTATGGGACGCAGCGGATGCCCATCTTACCACGGTCTACGGTTTCTCGATCGTCGATATCGTCAAGAACAACCCCAAGGAGCTCACCATCCACTTTGGTGGGATCAAGGGTCAGGCCATTCGTCAGCGGTACATGGACCTCACGTACGACACCATGGACGACAAGGGAGAACTCAAGACCCAGCGTCTATTCAGCGATATCGACCTCTACACTACCAGCTACACCTTCTCCCACCCCCAAGGTCTGCTCTTCGCGACCCAGTACACCCAGATCGCCCTCGTCGTTACGGAGAAGGCGGCCTTTGACGACATGAAGGCCAAGGGTCTCATCGACGCCAATGCGGCCTTTGCTGGCCACTCGCTCGGAGAGTACTCTGCCCTTGCGGCCATTGCGGACGTCCTCCCCATATCGTCCCTCGCGGACGTCGTCTTCTTCCGTGGTATCACCATGCAGCGGGCGGTCAAGCGGGACGCGACCGGTAAATCCAACTACGCCATGATGGCTGCCAACCCCTCCCGGGTCGGCAAGACCTTCTCGGAGCAGGCACTGCGAGAGATTGTCGACACGATCTCCAAGCAGAAATCCATCCTGCTCCAGATTGTCAACCTCAACGTTGCCAACCAGCAGTACGTCTGCGCCGGAGAGCTCATTGCTCTGGCAACATTGACGAATGTTCTCAACATGCTCAAGATCCAAAAGATTGATCTGGAGAAGCTGTCGGCGATGATGTCGGTGGAAGAGCTCAAGGAGAAGTTGGCGGAGATTATCGATGGGTGCTACGATATGGCGCGTGAAAAGGAGAAGGAGCAGGGATCGGTCGTTCTCGAGAGAGGATTCTCGACCATTCCCTTGCCCGGAATCGACGTACCCTTCCACTCGCGATACCTCTGGCCAGGGGTCTTGTCGTTCCGCAACTACCTCATCAAAAAGATCGACCCGCTCCAGCTCAACCCGGATCGCTTGGTCGGCAAGTATATCCCCAACTTGATCGCCGAGCCATTCGAGGTCAGCCGGTCGTACGTCCAAAAGATCTTTGACGAGACGTCTTCGCCCAGGATGGAGGCGATTCTCAAGGCGTGGGAGAAGGACGGGTGGGAGTCGGCAGAGAAGAGGCAGAGGTTGGCGTACAACATTCTGACTGAGTGTTTGGCGTACCAGTAAGTCTGTCGTCTCTTGGGTTGGATTGCGCTGATGATTAGATTCGCCTCGCCCGTGCGGTGGATCGAGACCCAGGACGTGCTCTTCTCGCAGGCCAAGTTTGAGCGCTTCGTCGAGGTCGGCCCGAGCCCTGTGCTCGCCGGTATGGCTCAGCGGACACTCAAGGCCAAGTACGAGGTCCAGGACGGTGCGATCTCGCTCAAGCGTCAAATCCTCTGCGCGGCCAAGAACCAGAAGGAGGTGTACTATGCGTTCGAGGACGAGGCGGAGGAGGCTGCCGCGCCGGTCGCGGCTGCTACTACTGCTGCTCCCGCCGCCGCCGCCGCCGCCGCCGCCCCTGTGCCTGTTGCGGTTGCCGCACTCCCACCCGCTGGCGGTGCTGCTGCGGTCGAAGACGTTCCACCCAAGGCGGTCGACACGGTCCGTATCATCGTCGCCCAAAAGCTCAAGAAGCAAGCGTCCGAGATCCCCCTCTCCAAATCCCTCAAGGAGCTTTCCGGCGGCAAATCCACCCTCCAAAACGAAATCCTCGGTGATCTCCAGGTGGAATTCTCCTCGGCGCCCGACAAGGCCGAGGATCTCCCCCTTGACGAGCTCGGAGCGGCCATGAACGTCGGATACGCCGCGCTCGGCAAGCACGCCATGGCGTTGACGAACCGAATGGTCGCCTCCAAATTCCCCGGAGGGTTCAACCTTACCGCCGCCCGTGGTCACCTCAACAAGCAGTGGGGTCTCGGACCAATGCGAACAGACTCGGCGCTCTTCTTTGGTATTCTCTCGGAACCGGCCAAGCGGATGGGATCGGACGGCGAGGCCAAGGCCTTCCTCGATGCCCTTGCAAACAGCTATGCGGCCTACTCGGGCTTCTCGCTCAGTACCGCCGGTTCAGGCGGGGGTGGGGGCGGAGGCGGCGCCGGCGGGGCGGTCATGAACTCGGAAGAGTTTGATGCGTTTGTGGCCAAGCAGGAAATGCAGATGCGGAGGGAGATTGAGTTGAAGTATCGATACTTGGGTCAGGATGTGAGGGATGGCGAGAAGAAGGCGGATATCGAGAGGGTGAGTTGATATATCCATCAGGATCGACGTACGCAAGCTGACAACAAACAGGAATCCGCCGCTGGCCTCCAGGCCAAGCTCGACCTCATCAAGGCCGAACATGGCGATGCGTACATTGACGGTATCCAGCCCGTCTTCTCGGCACTCAAGGCTCGGTCCTTCGATTCCAGCTGGAACTGGGCGAGACAGAGTTCCTTGGAGTTGTTTTACGATATCATCCATGGTGATTTGGACCCGACGACGGTGTTTGGGGATGAGCCGTGAGTTCTTCGGTTTTCTTGCTTTTGGGCAACGGGGATAGAGCTGATGGAAATAGGAGGTATCAGCCCAACCTTCAGGCTTGAGCTCGGGAGGTGAGGAGCGATAGGAGTGGAAAGGTATAGATGTATATAGATCGGATCGGTAGGGTATAAGATAAGATAGGTAGAGGTTTCGTTTCTTCATCATACAGTATGCGGGGCTGGTAGATAGGCAGGCAGCCAGAGGCGGTGGGCTTGTGTAATAGCTTTGCCGGAGATTAATACGTTACATGCACCGGGAATTGATACTATGCCGTCCTCTCCAGCTTAGCTATCATGTAGGCTGACGGACCTTTGGAGTTGTTGGGGACCGACAGAATTTGTGATTATCAGCGATCTCCTCTCCCGAGGCCTGAGGGAAGTCCGGTGGTGACTTCCCCCGGAACCACTGTACGAGGTGGAGGTGCCTGGTGGAGGCGGGTGCTGGCGCGTTGCTGTGTGCGGTCAAAGCACCCTCTGCTTCCTGCATCTTCCTTTGTCATCTTACCATATCCCCTGCTATCAGAACATATTGCAGCCAACATGGAGCCCACACATCAAGACGCTGGCGAAGCGCGAAAGGCGGCTCAATCGGTCGAGGAGGACACGACGATGACTGAGCCCGACACCCAGCCGGAAGCCAAGTCTGATCAGCCCGGAGAGCAGACCACCTCGCCGCCCGACATCGTCGTCACAGAAGCGGCATCCACTTCGGGAGATGTCAAGGCGGAGGATGCTGTCTCTTCATCTCTGACAGCTAGTGCTGCTTCTTCAGCGGCGACTGAGCCTACAGCGACAGCGGGAGCTGGCCCGAGTTCGGCCATGAGCTCGTCAGCTCCTGTCGTACGGGTCTTCAACCCTGCAGAAGCTACCTCTTCTGCTTCTACACCATGTACGTGTCGATCTTACAGAACACATCCGCTTTCTTTTCTGTTCATTATCATCAGGACAAACCCAGCCTCTTCTACCCTCTGGACCTTGTACAACTCAGCTGTTGGCCACGCCTCTGCGGTCCAAGCTGATCCTTACAGCGGACCTTGATGACGCCTTCTTCACTCCGACCCTTTCAGACGCGCAGGCACACCACGCCAGTGTCGTCTCGCGCTCCAAGCGGCTGAATGAGGCGCCGTTATTGACAAGCAAGCATCGGGATGAGGAGATGGCGGGGAGGGAGAGGAGGAAGGCTGATAAATGGCCCGAGGTGAATTGTCGTTTCACTCTTGAGAGGCTATTCTCTTGGGCAGGTCACCGCCAGAAGGCTGGAGACGACGGAGTTGTCACTTGGGTGGAGGGCTCAGGTCAGGAGGAGCAAGGCGCTACCAGAGTGATATAAATATCGTGAGAATGGAGCTGATCGAGCAGACGACAATACGTATTAAATTCTCAGATGGGACGCAGGTCCAGAGCGTCTTTCCTTCTTCCAGCCCGTATGTCTCTTCCCAGGACATATTCCAGCTATATACCGCGGCTATTGCAGGGCTGACAGCTGATATCCCCAGCATCCAACCAGTCTACGCTTTCGTCCGGACCTGCCTCGACTCCTCAGCCTCCTCCAAGCCCTTCACACTATGTACGTCCATGTCCACCTGCCACCTTCCACCTATCGTCTCCCTGCTTCTCCTTCTCCTCATCCTCAGCTGGCTATCACGCCCGACTTGTGCGCTAGACGCTAGGCTAAGCTGACCACCTTAGGGCAACCACCCCGCTTCACCTACCCCGAACACCCCCCTCCGCCACTCCCCGGCCAAAAGCCCAAGCCCAATCACACCAGCACCAATCCCCACAAACGTCCCCTTCCCACCTCGTCCGCCGTCGTCACGTCGGCAAACTATGGTCCGGTCCGGGGAGCGCCAATGCCGGGCTTGATGGGCGGTACGGGCGGGAAAGAGACATTAGGGGAGCTGGGACTTGTGCCGCAGAGTGTGGTGATGATTAGATGGGCGGATGATGATATGAACGGTGAGTGATTGGTACAGATCAGCTGGAGCGGATAAAGTGAGAACACGACTGATCGCTAGTGACTGGATATCCCGCGCCGCTTTTGCCTGAACTTCGACAAAAGGCGGAACCATTACCCACTCCAGGGGCGCACCTCGCCGAGCAGAAGAAGCCTGAGGCAGCGGCTGGAACGAAGCCGGGAGAAAAGGGGGATCAGCCAAAGGAGAAGAAGATACCAAAGTGAGCTGATACGGACACTGCTGCTATAGTCCCGTATGGAATAGGATAATCAGGAGGGGATAGTAGCTGATCAGGCAGGTGGTTGCAGAATGGTCTGCTCAAGAAGAAGAAGTAACGATAGGGCAGAGAAGTTGGCGCGAAAGGTAGAAGCAGCAGCAGCAGGGCAGGAGTAGATTAATAATGAGCGGCGCAGAAGAGGAGATGTAAACTTATGCATTCCAGATCATGCGCACCTCGTCTCAGATCTCGGCCGGGTCCGCCACGGTGTCTCACGCCTGGGCTGTCTATTGCTTGGACCCGTAGTCGAACATTCATGTCTGAGCGCGTCACATCAAGATGATGTATCTGACTGATCAGCTTCTCTCTCCCCGCGGTTCTCGATCATGCGCTCACAGTACACGTAATCATCCACCAGCGGCAAATACCCCTCTCCCAAGCCCGCGACCATCCCAATGAGCGGCCATCGGCCAAACCACTCGACCCATCCTTGTATCTTGGGCCGCGTGTACCCGATCCACATAGGACCAGTGAGGAACGCATGGACGAGCAAGCGCTTGTCCTGGCTCGCGTGATGTTGCGCCTGGAGAGGTGATGTCGATGCTTCGCGTAGATGCCGAGCGAGGAGGCGCATGAGGAGGGGAATGAGGAAGGGTGGGAGGGAGCGCGAGAGGGTGGGGAGCGAGAGGGGGCGGTAGGACGCTGAGTTGGGTTGATGCTGCGGATCAGCTACAGCTACAGCGGGACGAGGGAGCCGAGAAGACTTACTGCAGCTCGAAGGAGGAGAAGAACCTGTACGAGCGTCGCTGAGCTACTGAGTACCTCTGATATATAGCCTCCGGCAGTTTCGATCTCAGGAAGGACGGTCAGTGGATGAGGGAGGTATTCTTCTGGTAGAGAAGAAGCGAGCGGGTAGAGGTGTGTCCGGAGGGCTGGTCCGGGCGGAAGCAGCGGGAGGATCGCTTGTGATGTTCCGAGTGGAGTATGTTCGGAGGCGGGGTCGGAGGGGTCGAGGCTTGGAGGATCGAGGATCTCGGTAGGTAAAGTGGAGATGTCGAGGTCCCTGTGCGGGGTAGGGTGGGAGAGGACCGGTCGGCCCGTCAATCGGAGGATCACCAACCGGAGGAGGGTTCTGGAAGTTCAGCTGATGGTCGAGTCTGGCTATGCCCAAGCTGAGAGAGCTGACTTACTTGATGCTCTCAATTACCAAGACCAGTCTCCACCTCACCCTCTCCCCTCTCCTCTTCGCCAACATCTCCAGCAACAGCTGCACATACCCCAGCGTCGTCAGTACCCTCGCGGCCTTTCTGTACACGCCGGATCGGGCGGTCCAGTATCGGGTATACCGATTATGGTCGCTCGTGGGCGGGAGGACTGGCTGGGTGCGCGGTGGGATCTCGGGATGGTCGGGGTAGGCCGACTTGCGGCGGGACCGAAGGAAGGGATGCGGGGGGAGCGAGAGGGAAGGGTCGAGACGTTTAGTGATGAGTGTGTCGTGATACCCTGATACGACGCTCAAGAGGGTTGTCACTACTTGTCAGCAGTAATATGGTAGAAGAAGGGGGTAACGGTCATCCTTCTGAAGCTACCTCGGAATCTTCGAATCGACCGGGGAGGAGCCAAGTGACGTTCCGGATCCCGCTCTCGATCGACTGAACGGCCGAGAGGTTTCGGAGTAGGAGCTGTTCATACAGTCTGATCGCGGCCGTCATGGCGATCGAGCTGCTTCTTCTACGTCTTGCCTCTTTAGTAAATGGTTATATGTAGGTAAAGAGCAAGTTCATCCAACCCAGCAGCTTTGGGCGAGGAATGTGGGGCAAACCCGGTTAACAATTAGCGCGGGACTGCTAAACTCATCTCATGCCGTTATAGGTTTAACAGAATGACGCCACCCAAATTTGGTCCCGCCGTTCTATGGCCTGGGCGAGCGCTCGCTCCTCCACATCCACCTCATTCATCCTCATTCTTATACAGCTCATACAACGCATTGAAGCACGCTCGTCAGCACAGCTACCATAGGCTGAACACTCCGCTGTAGCTCCGATCCAGCGAGATTCAATCGCATCTACCTAGAAACCTAGGCCTTCCCTACCAACGCTTGAACGTCGACTCCATCATGTCCGCCCTTCCCAAGCGTATTCTCAAGGTATGTCGCATGCCTATCAGCTAAATATATTCCATCACCGGGGAGGAGTTGACCGTTTCAAGGAGACCGAACGGCTCATGTCCGACTCCCCACCCGGAATCTCGGCCGCACCAAAGGATGACAACTTGAGGCATTTCGACGTTTCCGTCTCGGGACCTGGACAATCGCCATATGAGGGTGTGTGGCAGCTGCCGAATTCCCGAACTTTCTGTACCTGGGGTATAGCTGATATCTCTAGGTGGTATCTTCAAGCTGGAGCTCTTTTTGCCTGAAGAATATCCTATGAACCCGCCAAAAGTCCGGTTCCTAACAAAGATCTAGTGAGCTTCTTAGTCCACATGCATGTCGAGGGTTTAGCTGACACAGCAGTCACCCCAACATCGGTCAGCTTACTGCCGCGTTCCCCGTTGGCCAAAGCTGATATATAAGATAAGCTAGGCCGTATCTGTCTCGATATCCTCAAAGACAAGTGGTCCCCGGCGCTTCAGATCCGTACCGTCCTGTAAGCTACCCTCTTTTTATCCAGCTGTGCGGAACCGAGGAACATAGCTGACTCTTCCAGCCTCTCCATCCAAGCCCTACTGGGCGCTCCTAACCCCGACGACCCGCTTGCCAACGACGTCGCGCAGCACTGGAAGGAGAATGAGAAGGCGGCGATTGAGCAAGCGAGGGAATGGACCAGGATGTACGCTCAGTAGGCGAGGGGTGAGGGGCGAGGGGCAAAGGACGTAGGGGTTTGGGTCAGGGTATAGATTGAGAGATTGCCTGTGGGCGGGAAGATACAGAAGGCGCGAGACCGAGTCTTGGTTGGAGAGCGGGAGATCCTGTGAATATGCAGCTGTGTTGTACTAGCCCAAGGCGCCTGATGTGGGAACAGTCATTACTGACGAGCGCTCATTCCTCACCGATTTTTGGGTCTTATCGGCGAGAATCTGGCAGGTGGTTATACATCGTATATACTGACTAGACTAGCTATAGATGTTACAACTGCACAACGTAAAAAGGGGGTCATAAGCATCAATTACTCAAACACATCGTCCTTTGATCGTTCCCACACATCACACATTGTCGTAGATCCTCGTCCGACATATCGCCTCTGCTCCCGGTTTAGTCCGCTAGGCCCTCTGAGCCCAGAGTCCCCCGCTCAGTGACCCTCCGCTTCGAGCTCCGCCAGGAAGTTGAGCCAGCTCTTCTTGGTCACCAGACCCCTAAACAGCCCATGTCCATCGACGACTAGCAACTGCCTCGCCCCGAGCTTGACAAACAGCTGTTGTACGAGTTCGAGCGGGGAGTGGGGTTGAACCGTGATGGGTGCCTGATGATCAGCTTGTCCCCATGCATGACATCATGAGAAAGTATCAGCCAAGGGGTTCTGGCATGCTGCAGACGACGACGAATGCGGAGCAGGACTTACCCGGTCCAAATACCTCGACAGATCATACGGGTTCGTCTTGCCTACATCCGCACTATCCGCAAAACTGAAGATCGAGTGGATACTATTCTTCATCCGCGTTTCGTCAGACGGCATGAGATTGAGTCGGGCATCGGGCTCGTCCGCCAATAGAGCTGGGGTATCAGCTGCCACTCTCCGCTCCTCTTCGTCCTCAAGTCTCCAACGAACGACGGAGATGCAGAAGCAACCTAGCAGCCAGGCGAGGTACCGAAGTCCGAATTGGGAGGGAATGAGGTGGACGAAATGACCCACCTAGAGCATGCTCCAACTCATTCGTCCCCAAAAACCCAATAACTCTCATCCCCCCTCGATCCCTCTCCCTCTCCTTCCCGTTCCCTCCATGTCCGTGTCCATGTCCATGCCCATGCCCATGTCCATCATCTTCTCTCCGACCCACCGCCGCCCCATGTTCCCTAACAAGCACCGGGAACCCCGTATCCGCCAGTCCACCCCTCGCAAGCTCCAACATCCTCCCCGTCAAGGATCGGACGGTATGTACTTTATCCGCGCGAAGGACGGGGACGGACCGGTCTGCGATCTCCTCGACGACGCGCGAGCCCCAGAGGTATTCATGTTTACTGTCGAGGTAGGGGAGTTGGTTCAGACTATGGGTGATCAGCTTTGACTCGTCCCTCGATGAAGATGACCAGGAGGCAGACGAAGCTGATTGAGACCTACTCGATGACCAAGTCATATATCCCCTTCTTTTCCAACATGTCCGCCGTTGTCTTGGCGAGTAACACAGCCATCATAATAGGAACGACGTAATTGAGTGACCCAGTCAGTTCCAGCATGATGACCACGAGGGAGACGGTCGTCCGCGTGACTCCAGCTAGAGTAGCCGCTGCTCCGACCTGGCGTATCAGCTGACTGGTCTGTCCCTCGTACTGCGAGAGCAAGGAGGGAGGTAGTAGCTCACCATAGCGTACAATCCAGGCACAACACACTCCGTCCCACGACAAACATCAAATATCGCGAAACTAGGATGGGTATGTTCGACCCATTCCATCCCTAATCCCACAATCCGGCCAAAACACGCTCCGACAACGAGGGAAGGGATGAATATCCCAGCTATACCGGTCAGCTTCGGGCGCCTCCAAGGCGACGGTCCGGACAGCTCACCTGGAAGCTTAATCCCGAAAGTGATAATGGTCAAACAACCCTTGATGACCAGAGCAGTCCCGATCAGGAGGATGATCCCGGTTATTTCGCTAGGGTCATCGACGCAGAGTCGGGAGGTCGAGTCGTGTTTGCATTCAGCGAATAGCTGGGCTGTCAGCTGATGACCATCCTGCTACCTCAAAATGATTGGGTGAGCTTACACTAGCGACGAGCTCAGTCCCGCCCATTCGGCAATAAGGGTTCATGAACGAAACAAGCGTCGTCAGGCCCGTCACCTACTGCATCAGCTATGCTGCCTCACATATCTTGTACCATCAAGCTAGAGGACGTACGATCAGGACCTCGACGATCGGGTGTCGTCCGACCCAACTTCCTTGCCGGACATTCCGACTCCAAAGAATGTTCAACCGAGAGAAAATGGCGCCATAGATTCCGCCAAAGATGCCGAGGAGGGCAAATATTGCGAATTCCCAGTTGTGATATGGCTTTGTGTAGGTCACGGCGAACTGGTCATTAGCTACTGCTAATCGGCAAGAATGGGGCGGAGGACAGGCAGGAGGGTTATGAGGTGTGGCAAGGGGGTGAGGGGAAGGTGCGAAAGGGGACCCACGAGCACGATAGAGCCATTCCCAAATGGATTCAAAGCTCGGAGCGTGATAGCAGCCACCGCAGCACACCAGAAACTGCTCCAGTCAGCTCACTCCTTCTCCACTCATATACCATTACGGAGCTGAATGTAGCTCACCTTCTCCACATCACCTTTGGCGGGAAGTAATACGACACCTCCTCGAGCGAGAAGAGCACCCCTCCGATCGGCGCACCGAATGCCACCTGATAGTATCAGCTTACAGATCCCCAGCACGACCGAGGGTAACAGCAAAGCTCACCGAGACACCCGCTGCACAAGCCGCCGATAGAATCTCCCTTCGTTTCGCCTCGTTCAGCTCAAACTTTGTAAACAGCCTCGATACGATGTTTCCGCAGCAACAGGCAATATGTACAAGGGGTCCTTCTTTGCCTAAACGGTATCAGCTCAGCTCTCCTGCCACGATGCGGATCACGCAAGCTCACCCAAAGATAAGCCTGACCCGACAGACAACGCCAGCCCTGCGCTCTTGGTCAGTAATGTCCACCCGCCGAGGTATCCGTGGATAACGAAACCTACGCTGTCAGCTTCGTCGCTTCCTCCAGGCACCATGCACGATGAGCCGGACGCAGCTGACATACCTGACAGTATCGTCTTGATCTCCGGAATCCCGCTCCCTGCCGCATAGTACATGACTTTCCTAGTCGGGACCTGCGCCTTCTCTTCTTGAACCCCATTTCCCGCATCTCTCGCGAGCAGCGGTTGACTCTCGCCGCCGCGCCGAGACTTTGCGGTCGGGGACGAGGAGGCAGGAGTCGGTGGAGTAGAGAGGAGGGTGGAGTTTTTGGATGTGACGTGGTGCTCTGAGGAAGATAGATAGATGGTCAAAGTGGAAGCCAGGCCAGCGAGGATTAGCTAGACCTGTCAGCTACGGTCCTTCCCCACCACACGGAGAGAGAAATACGGGCAAGCTCACCGCAATCAGAGCATACGTCCCAAATTCCGCCACCCCAAAATCCAGCCCTCCCCAAACTCCCTCCGCCTTGTCACTCCACCACTCCCCCCACCCGACCCAGTCTGGGCATTCATCCACTTCGACCGGGTTATGGTGTTCCTCCATATTTCGAAAGAACGGGGATTGGAGCGATAGGAAGGAGAAGGCTGAAGTGGTAGCCGAGGCGGAAGGAAGGAGGCGATGTCGCGGAGTACAGCAGAACCGTTTGGGAGATGTCGGGGAGGTGTAGCAGAATCCTTCTTTGAGGTCAAAGAGGACCATTTCGGTCCGGATGATGAGGAAGGCTATTATTGCTGATATGACGCCTGAGTTGTCAGCTCTTACTGGTGCCGAAGAAGAATGAGAGGATATGGGAAGAGAGACCAGGGGGAGGGAAACCCACCTATGACAGTTACGAGCATCCAGCCTTGGAATCTGTCCCATGCGTTTGCTATTGCGCCTCGATAGGACCGTTTGGCGTTCGTACGCATTCGTCGAACTCGGGAAGACTCTTTGATCTGATAGTCAGCTGAGGCCAATCTTTCTCGAGGCCAATGCAGCTCACCGCATCATGTATCCAGTCTATCGTCACGTATGAGCTATCTCATCAGCTACTGGCCATTTAGAGCAAGTCGACCCAGCAGCGGACATACCTATACCACACCCTCATCCCATTACTCTTCCTCGCCTCGTCCTCCTCCTCCATCCCCGCCTCATCATCCCCGTCCCCATCCCCATCCTCATCCTCCTGATCGTACCCCTCCGCCCTCCCCAGACTCAGCCCCACCGCGCTCGCCGTCTTCCTAATCTTCCTCATGACGCTTCCTACCGGACTCTGACTCTGGCTCTGATGCCGAACCACCGGACTCCCATGCGCCGAGTTTACTGAGAAATTCCGCCGATGCGTTCCCCCGCCGCCGACCGTGGAGCCGTACCCCGGCTGAAGGGATGCTTGGCGGAATCGAGGCGTAGAAGCTGAGGGAGGCTGGGAATAGTACGCTTCGTTCGTCGGTACGCTTGGGAGAAGGAACGAGTTGGAGCTGGAGCTGGGCATGGTGGCGGGGTATGGCGAGCCTTGTCCGATACCCCGAGAAGTCGATATCCTGCGTGGAGAAGCTAGAGCATCATCCTTATGATGCTGAAAGGCCGTCCTCGCCCCTCCTCCCGGCTGGCCCAATCCCAGTCCACCTAGACCCAGACCGGTACTCGCCATATCCCCCAGCGCTCGGGGAACGCCCGAGCCCTGCGCCTTTCGATGTTCCGCCAGCCCCGTGTGTCCCGATCCTGGACCGACCGAGTTACTTGGCGTAGCCAAAGACGAGCCTCGGCGGGGCTTGTGGGGTGAAGTTGAGCGGGAAGGGATAGGAAGGGGTTCTTGGACGAGTCGAGGGGTCCGCTCGCCCGACGTATCGCTAAGTGGCATGGTGGAGTGATCGATGAATGGGTGATGGAGCGAAGGGGAGGGTGGGAGGTGGGCTAAGAGCGTAGAGTGTATACTATTAGGTGCGAATGAGGATGGAGGTGGGAAGTAAGTGATAGGACCTACTTGACTGATGCTGTCAGCATATCAATCCAACCGCGTGCAGAGTCAAAGCTCCGAGAAGGTTAAAGTAAGGTTCAAGCTCGGCCCTCGTGCACTGCGGGCTGCTGCAACTCTGAAACACGCCCACACACAGGGAGGACTTACTCGACGTCCACGCTCTGTCGGCGCGAATGGGGTCGTTGGGAGCTCGGAGGAGGGTGTACTTGTCGTAATGAGCTGATACTGGCCGGCCGATGATGGGGGTGCGTGGCGCCATAGGACAAAGGTACACCTGGGTTGTGCGAGGCCGACGCGCGCAGGGTGGAGGAGCTGCTGGCGATGGGGGATTGGCGCCCGGATGACGCGGGGGTGGGGGTCCTTTGTTCTCGGTTCGGCATCGCGGCGACTCGTTCATCGCCTGCGGCGTGCCTGTCTGTAGTAGGGCAAGTGGATGTGGCAAGTGCTTGACTAGATTTCCAAGGGGCATGAGCGATCGCGAGTTCGCGACAAGGTCGCATTGACTTGGCTTACGGCATGCCAGGATGTCACCATCACGCATGGCTCAGAATGGCAATTAAGAGCTGTTTCATCCTGGCGTGGGTAGGCGTGGGCTTGCAGTGCTCAGAGCGGTGAGGTTGGTGTAAAAGTAGCATATACGCCACTGAGTCCGAGAAACATGAACCAGCTCACTCTATCCATAAAGTCTTCCGACCCCTACGGTACTCCCTAAACAACTGGCCTATTCACACCCGCATTCATCCCTCAGGCCTCAGGATCACTCTCGCTCGACGTCTGGTCCTCGGACTCGTCTCGCCGTTCCTGTATCTCCTGCTTGGGCAGACTGTCGCTCGCCTCGACTGCAGCTCGCTGGGAGACCAGACTACTGAGCATACCTTCGCTCGCTCGCTCGCCGGCGGCAAAGCGCCGTCCCACCGATGACTTTTCGTACTCCTCCCAAGTACCAAACTTCAGGTGCTGCCTGATGCGTGCCATGACCTCGTCTTGTTCAGGCCACATCAGTCTGTCTCCGTTGATGGTATTGTAGATCGATTGCATGAGCTCCGCTTGCTCCTCTGCGGGGGTGATCATTGATTCGCTCCATGTGTTAGTGGAGGCAGGGTGGTCTTGTGTGCTTTGTCGTGGCGCAGTCGATCTGACGAAAGTGACACTGTTGTCTCTGTGCGCAATGACCTCGTCCATCATCAGAAGGCTTGCAAGGATGTCGATCGTCCAAATGCAGGGAGAGTCCGCAACTGAGGCGAACACGCAGCTCCAATCGCCATTGTCGCTCGTCACCGCCGAGTCGTCTTGCTGATCGTCAAGGAGTGTGCCCGGGATTTTCGGCAAGTACAGGGATTGCTCTTTTCTGTCTTCTCCGCGGATGACCATGAACGTGTCTGCAAATTGTGGCGCCAGCTTACGCAGACCGCACCAAAGTGACGGGTGAGGCTCTTCCGGCTGAGCGACCGTCTCCACCCGAATGCTGGTCAAAGGTGCAGAGGCAGCGATTCTGGAGATTCGGGCTGATAGCTCTGGATCGACGTTCGAGCCATCGTGACGGAAAGGATTCAGGTGAGTGCAGCACTGCTTGGTTTCCGCAGAAGGCAATTTGCTGAAAATGGTCAAGTGGTTTTCGGCTCTCGTCCCATCCTGGCGCAGTTTGTACCATGTCCCAAGCTCGTCCAGGGTTCCAGGAGCGAGGAAGGTCCGAGTGGGACGCTCCGATTTGATGGTCACGTCCGCGGTCTTCTCTGCTCTCTGGAGGGATACTCGGTCTTCCAAGCCTTGGAGGAGCGGGACGATGCCGTGTGCGAGGATATCAGGGGGAAGACCGGTTACTGTGAGCTTTTGAGTCTGTACATCAGCCAATACTGGAGGGACAATAAGGCCATGATAATCAGACTACTGCAAAGCAACGTAGAGCTGTTGACATGTCTCTAGATCCGCAACCGGCAGCTTACTCACGTCTTGCGAGGTGGTCATGTTGAGGGTTGTATGTTGCTGGCGTGGGTTGTAGGCGGTATAGGCTGTGGTGAGCAATAGGGGAACGGAGGAAAGTATATGTACGAATCATGATCGAGTGGGGTGTTCGTCCAGCTTTTAGCAGCCGCGCAGCTGCCAGACCTGCGCCAGGTCTGGGGGGCACAGGGGCGGATTCCGCAAAGGAACCCGCCACTGTGACATTTTTGGTCGATCAGGCCTTCGGATCCCCAGGTCGCCTCCTTTGCCGAAGCCCCTAGTGCCTAGTGGACACATACGCGTTTGGACTGTCGCGTTTGGACTGTCTCGTCAGGAATCTCGGTCTGAAAGGAGCTATTATAATGCTCTGTGGAGATTGCTAGAACAATCGTCGCATGCCTTTGGGTCGGCCCGCCGCTGCGCACGAGTCGACAGATATCAGTGCCCATTCGCGAGCGCTGAGCATAACTAAGTCACATGGCATAAGTTACCATTCACAGCTGCACCCTCGCTCCTCGCCTGACGTCGTCAGTATCGTCGGTCGCCTCCGTCGTCATTCGCCTATACCTTCGATCCCGGCATCTTCCTCCCTCCCTCTGATATTACTCCTCCATACCGCCATCACCCAGCTCTTCCGCCTCCTCCAACTTCATCCTCGCCTCTCCCTTCTCTCCCTGCCCCTCACTCCCAAGTTCCCCACTCTCATCTCCCTCGCCCGGCCCCTCCACCTGATACAATATCTCCTGGATCCGCCCCTGGACATCATCCTCCCCTTCATCGATCTCCCACTCCAGAAACAGCTTGGCGAGCTCCTCGGCTTGCGTGAGCTCCTTCAGCTCTTCCCCGGTCAGCTCTTGGTCCAGGAGCGAGGCGAGCTGGAAGGTGGAGATGCAGCGGCTGTTCATCAGCTTGAGATCTGCACCGAGACTTGAGATAGGCTCACGTGACTTCTCTGGCTCTATTGACAACGTGCGCCGGTACGCCATGCATGATGGCGCATTCGGCAGCATTCGAGGTTGTACTGAGCGAAGGGACGAGTCTGCCTTGTCAGCTGGAGTCTCCTTGAAGACCGCTACAATGGGTCAGAGATGCCTACGCAACTCACTTGAAGAGGTAGGTTAACTCCTCTGCTCCATCCTGGATCAGGGTCCGCATGTGGCAGAACAGAATAGGCAGCTCCGGCTCGAGGAATTGCTGCGTAAAAAGCTCGCTGATGAATCAGCCCGGACCAAGGAGGTCATCCTGGAGAAAGAAGCTGTGATGTTATACGACTGACTGGAAGTGCGTCAGGACGATAGTCCTGGGCCTAGCGCCGTGAATCAGGTGGTCGATGACACCTGCCAGCAGACCGGCTCCATCCGCTGATGTCGTTCCTGCTCGGTCAGCTACGACACTCGAAAGTGATAATGTCAAGGATCGGTAAGCTTACCCTTTCCGAATTCGTCCAGGATGATCAGAGACCGCTCGGTCGCACCTCTGAGCGCATGCGAGACCTGCGACAGGTCGATCATGAATGCCGATCCAGTCTGGCGATATCAGCTTGTTCCGGCGCAAGGCACATCACGCTGGCTGGTGAGCTCACCCTTGAGACGGACTCCTTGGTCTGCAAGCGGGTATAGACTGTCGCATGAGCTCATGAGCCTCCCCTAAGTATTTCCAGGTGACTCCTTCTAAACTCACTTCGATCGCACACTCCGATCTCTGCTGTCTCCGCCGGTACAAAGCTGCCAATCTGCGCCATGAACGCGATAAGAGCTACTTGCTTGCCGTATGCTGATTTGCCGGACCCATTGGCACCAGTCACCACCATCTAAGGTGATCAGCTTGAGATACCAGGAAGAATGTAGTAGGATAGACGCGGAAGGGAAGATGACAGATTGAGGGTACAGCAGAGAGAAGTGCGAGAGGGTAGCAGAGAGTCACCAGGAAAGGCTGTGATAGCTGGTCAGAGCGATTGTACTTACCATACTGCAGTACTCCCCATCCTGACCGCCCTGCATCATCGTATCATTGCAGATATACTGCTGCACGGTCAACTCCTGCAGAAAGTGTCGTCCATTCTGGATGTGCAGGACCGGCTCGTCCGTCATGGTCGGGCATCGGAGATCATACTGGACCGCAGCGAATGCGAGGGCTAGAAGACTGCCAAGTGAGCTAAGCCCCCGACTAGGTACTATGAGGGGGGAGACAGCTCACCAGTCCAGCTCGGCGATGATGTCGTTGACGGCCATGATACGCTCATCGACGGTCCGGACGCTCTCAACGAGTTGCTGGATGATCTCGATCTCGCGGTCTACTGTATCAGCTAGATTTTCCCGCCAAGAGAAGAACAAAGCAGCTGACCCGCAATACAGTTCTCCAGATCCCCAAAGTGCTCGTCCAGATGGTGCATCTGCTCATTCTTGAAGTAGTGAAGGCCCTCAGCGTCAAACTAAATGGTAAGCTATACGCCATTTCTGCACGCGGTATACGTGATAAGCTCACCGTGATCTCCCATCCTGGTGGAGCAGGGAGGTCATGCCTGAGCAGCTCCACGACCAGGAAGAATCCCAATTGCGGGATGTACTTGACGACAAGGGTGTCGCAGAAGGACGGATCGACCGTCTGAACGATACGCTGCGAGATGGCGTCAAGCTGACTATTGAGCTCTTTTGCATCAGCTCATGTCCCTAGGTGACGTGAAGAAGGAAGGTGAAGACGACTCACGAGCAAATTGTTCACGGTACTGGTCGAGCAGACCATCGATACCGGTCTTGACGCATGTTCGGCCTCGGTCGCGCGAGGCATCCCAATCGATCAGCAGATCAGCGAGAGCTCCATCTTTCTTGGCGCTATAGGATGCATAACAAGGGTAGAGCAGTCCAGACATCATCGAAGAGAGAGGGATCGACTCACGACCGAAGTAACATTGTGGACAAACTCGTACAGCTGTTGGTCCACGCCCTCGATCACCTAGAAAGTCAGCTAGATTGTCGCTGTGGGAAGTCCGAGTAGAAGCTCACCTTCTTGACGATATCGACGTTGTAGGTCTTGAGCATCCCGACTATCTGGTCCCTGACCATCATACACGCCGTGAGGGACTGGAGGTCAGCTTTGGTCACCCTGGTTTCGTCTCAGTCCACTGACATCTGCCAGTATCTTCCAATGCGCCACTTGTCCCCTTCCCCTTCTGAGCAGGTTCATCACCCGATTCACATTCCCAAACTTCTTGAGGTGCGTCCGGGAGATATCGGCCGTATGCTGATTATCGATGTAAGAAAAGAAGGAGACGGCGGCATGTCGAGCGCGGATGACGGGAAGAGAGAGGAGGGGGCGAAGGTGCCAGGTATGGAGAAGCCGTTTGCCGGAGGGAGTGACGCAGGTGTTGAGGAGGCCTAAGAGTCAGCTTGACTGATACCGGCCAGGTTGTACTGGAGGCGCAATCGGGATGGAAGAAGAGATAGCTCACCGAAGAGGGAGATGGCAGTCTTCTTCTGGGTACTATAGGAGTACGCATGGCTTTCCGTATCAAAGACAGCGAGGGAGCTGTACCGTCAGCTTCATACGCCAGGCGGAGCGATGCAAATAACAGACTCACTTGAGAGCGTCTTGATTAATGAGCATGTGCTGGTCCCTGAGGAGTCAGCTCTGACTCGTTGATGACGGTATCTGAAGTACAACTCACAGGGACAAGCTCTCGATACCGTCCAGCTCCACGCCTGGGCCCGACTCAATAGCGACGCTCCCGGCCTTGAGCTTCTGAAGATAAGTCAGGAGGCCCCCGGATGCGCATACCTGAAATGTCAGCTGATGTGCTCCTAGCAGCCTCGACCTGACCAGCCAGCTAATTAATCACGTACCGCAGCTGGCGCGTCCACGTTGACCCACGCTCCCAGCTTCACCATAGACAGCCGGATCCTCCCCATTCCCGCTGTCCCAACCTCCTCCCTCCTCCTCGCTTGAGCCGCATAGATCGCCGAGGAGTTTGCGTCGCTCGAGGGGTGTACGCTTTCCTCTTCATCCTCGTGAACCGGGGCAGAAGCATCCGGAAGACGAGCTTGAGAGAGGGCGTGCGTTGCAGAGGCGAGGTTGTAGGATTGACGGACTTGAAGGGACAGGGTCACCTTGTTTTCTTCGCCTACACATTAGCTCAGTACCCGGGCCAAGAAGGAGAAGAAACCTACAATACGCTCGGACAATATCGATGAGACTGTAGTGCGCTGCGCTGCTCATGATGATCATCTCGGGAGAGGTCTGCTCCATCACTGGATCATTAGCGCAGATTCACGAGTATTTGACAGTGACCTACCCAGAGAAGCCAAGTCCCATCCCGTGGTATCCTTCGTATCCTCCACAACGAGTATTTTGTGCTGCTCGGGATCCCAGAAGGCGGCGGCGAAGTTGTACCCGGAGGGGGAGTGTATGGAGAGTACCTGTATCATCAGTCAAGGAGCATGTGTAGGTCATTTAGGCGGTACTCACCCTTCGCTCATCCCACTTTCTCACATCACCGTTTCCTTCCTCCGGCACATCCTCATTATCATCGCCTCCCGCCCCCGTTCCACCTTCTTCGCGATCTTCGTCGGGAGGCAGGAAGTGTGGCTCTCCCCACCTAATTCCTCTGCCTCTCATCCTTCCGCCCCCGCCACCGTTGTTCGCTCGAGGAGGAGATGACTCGACGTTGGAGGAGGAAGATTGTTGCTGATTTCGACCCTCGTAGAAACTGGACCGGTCGTTGTTCCATCCTCCGCCTCCCCTTCCCCTCCCTTCTCTCCCTCTGTATGACCCTCTGCCCCCTCCTCTACCACCGCCACCTCTGCCTCCCCTCCCTCGCCAGCCTGATGATCCGCCGCGAGATGATGAGCCGCGATACTTACCGTCAGAGCTGCTGTTAGTGTAGGGCATGGTGAAATGATCGTGAGGCGTGGAAGAATGATGGAAGATGGGAGAAGGAAGCGTTCAGAAAGTCGGAAGTCATGGAGAGGCGGGTGAGCATATAGTGGAGGCATGGGTGGAGGTCCGAGCAGACCGTGTGTGCGCGGTCCAAGCGCATTGGGTGCATGCCCGGGAGGGACATTGCCCGTCTCCAGCTCTCGGGGCCGGACACGGACATGATTCCCCATGCAAGGACCATTCCAGCTTCTGGGGCTCCGCCGCAGTAGTAGACCCGTGTCATATTGAATATTGATTTGCGGACGAGTATAAGTGGATAAATGCGGCTTGACACGCTCGACCTCTGCGCCTGTGACGCGTCCGAATTTAGCGTCCGGTTGGTTTCTGACGAGGAATGTAATCTGAAACCGGAATTCCGGCTGCTGATGTGGCTCAAAGCGGTATTTGTGTGGGCGCGTCCCAAGCCGCACTTCGGTCGGTGGAAGAACCTCCCGCGGGCAGGTGAAACACCCGGATCCATCTCGTCCTCGTCGCTTGCTCTTGGTCCCACGCATCAGACGCGCTCAAGCGAAGGGGTGTTCAATCCTCCTCACCATTGCAGCAGTGTTTGCACATTGTCATACGGTGTCAGTGGCTCTGGCGATTGGGCCCTGTCATGGTAAAGTCATGAGGAACAGTACCTGGGTACATCACGGGTGGCGCGGAATGACCAATGACCTCTTGGCTCTGTAGCCACCCAGGATTCCGCACGAAGTCATCCGACGGGTCCTTCCGCCCTCCTATGACCACTGAATGGGTAGCGGAGATCAAGTCTACTGCTACCTCACCGTTAGCGCCCAAGTCGGGTTCTAGGCTTTGTGCCTTCAGAACGCAGTTTTAACACACAATGTTCCATAGTCCCATCTACCCTATTCGGAGCTTCGGCGATACGTGGTGATCAGAGGTGTGGCGGAGCTCGGCATGTGACGCCTTGCCGCCAATGGTCAGCGGTCAGTACAATCTGGAAGTCCGCTGTTTCTACCAGATATACTTGAGTGATTAAGAAAACGGTCTATCCTCCGCCAGTGGCGAAGGTCTACTAATTATCACAGATGGCTCGATGTCAGCACTGATCAGAGAACCCCAACTTCGTGAATATTTTGAAGCCGATTGAATCCATGTACAAAGCTGATACGGCACTCCAGAACGGGCTACCTTGAACTATCACACGAACGCCGCACTCGAGTGAGTCAAAATTTTCTGAATACAACCCAGCACTCGGTACACCGAGGAATCCTGCTTCGGCCTGTTCTTATACTCTTCAACACTCCTGAGAATGCCCGCAGAGTCCCGCGCGTAATCTTCCCGCATCTGTCCCGCTGCAGTATTGGTTTCAAGGAAGTCCTCAGTGGTCTGGAAGCTGAGTCGAGCTTCCACCCACTTCCTGATGACTTCTGCTCGCTCGTCCTCGCCAATCTCATCAAAACTCACACCGGAGGCGATCCTTTTGCAGACCATTCGTGTCAGCTCCTCCGAAGCCTCCGCTTCCAGATTATCTCGTGATGCGAGCTATCAGACCGTATGGTGATGTATTTGGCGTGATCGACCACAGTGACAGTGTTGCTGAGTTTCTGTCTTCTCTTGAGGATCAGCGCGTCCGACACCAGTCGCGCCATGCCAGTGAGACCGGTCAGTGATATCGAATGGCCCATGAAGAAGTGAGTATCGGATTCGACTGGCAGGGCATCGAGTGTCTCACCCCGAAAATTCTTGATCTTGTCCGCGGCGGTGATGGATAACTGCTTTCGATGGTAGATGAAAGCGTTCGTGAGCGCAGAACTTTCAGCTTCGGTCAGCACCAGTACGTCTGCTGTGATGGCCTTGTACAGCTGCTGACGCAAATAAGGGTGACCGCGCTGCATGCCGCTAGAGACAGTTTCACGGATCCCAACCGTGCATCTGTCCATCTTCTTAGGCAACGCCTTCATGAAGCTCGCTGGGAACTTTGCCGTCTTGCCGGCTGCCAGAAGATACCGGATGTTCTTGGCGTAGGTGTCCGGCATCAGGATCGTGACTCGGGGGAAAGGCCCGTCAACAGCAGTCTGGCCGCTGCGCCGGGAGTGGGTTCGCCGCGGGTGGGTTGTATAGGTCCAGCTTGAGACCTTGGTCTCCTTGTCTTTGGCAAAGACCACGGTGGTCTGAATTGGTAGGATCCCATCAACCATCTCGTGGGCTGCCTTGGAAGCAAGTCGGAGGTTCATCAAGCGGTTGTTTCGAGCGGAGACAAACGCGTTTTCCTTTGGGTCTTCGTCTTCTCCTGCGTCTTCGTCTTCCTCTGAGTGTTCGTCGCCGTCTGGAACCGAGACAGCATCTTGACTGTCCGTGGGGATCTGCTTGGCAATGCCCGGTCCGACCACGAAGCTGACTATGAGATTGCGCAGCTCGGCAGGGAGACTGGAGAATTGATGGAATATCTCGGTCTGAAGAGTCAGTATCCAACGTCCGTAATAATACTGACAAAGCAGACAGGGGCTTCTGAAGAGAACGGGTCCCGAACAGGAGGGGGGGATTTTACGTTCCAGGACGGGCGGGGACTGCTTCATTGGTACCATGTACTTACAGGTGCGGTCTCAGTTGAGAGTGCGGTATGGCCGTTGGTCATGCTTGCGTGAGGGGGTAGTTGAGCAGGTGTAAGTCGGATATGTAACGAAGAACTTGCAGATCTGGTTTGTATGTACAGTTGGGAAAGAGGACGAGGGCGGGGGGACCGAGCCACCTCCTCGATCCTGCGTACGGTCTGGGTCTGGCCCTTTTCAAGCTCAGTTTGCCCAGCATGAAGGGGATGAACGGATGCCCAGGCGGAAACACGATATCGTCAACGTCGTGATGAGTTATCCTTAGTATCGACCCCGAGACCCCCTGGGCATGTCAGTAGTGCTTACCAGTGAGTACATATGACGTGGCACCGATGAAGACCATGTCAGTGCTTGATTAGTGGTATGTAACATGCGCTGTCTGATCGCGGCTGGAAGCTAGGCGCGACAGCCCCGCCTGATGTCACATGATCTAGCTCCTGGGTCGCGCTTCAAGACATCTTGCCCCTCGCTGCTGCTCACATTCCCATGTATTCCCCTCCCACGTGTGACACCATGTGATATCTGCCGCCGCAAGGTGGACATGCCGATTATAGCTGGACCGCAGGCTCCCAGCTGGCCAGCGGCTATGGCGGGCGAGACATATTTTGGTTCAGGTGCTCTGCTCTAATCAGCTTCTGAGATCGGCAGGTCCCTCAAGCCTCTGATACGAACATGTCGACTGATCCTCGCGTCCCCTGAGACCTTCCTCGCCTTTCCTGCTCACTGCGTCTTCTTCCCCGCCGCAACCGCTGGAACCGGTACTGCCGCAGGATACCGCTTGGAGATACTCCTTGCGTGATAGAACATGTAGATCGTCGCTGGGACCATGACTATTGCGGTGACGATGGCTATAAGTCGGACCTGCTCGTCCGACATCTCGTGCTCGACTTGGTGCATGGTGAGGGGAGGATGGATGGGGAAAAGGACGGTGGTGCGGGCGCGGGAGGCGCTTCTTTCAGTCCGGTCGAGATTGGAGTTTAATGAGACGATCTATGAGGAGCACTACAAGCTTTGGTGGTCGGCCGAGTCTTGCTTGCTTGTCTGATGGTTCCTGCCAGCCTGGAGGTAGATGAAAGATGTCAGCAAATGCGTTGTTGTTGCTGTCGAGTGCCGATCTAAAATGGGAGGACCGGCTGAAATTGGCTCGCCGGCCAACCTCTCCGGCCGCCACTTGCCTCGATCTTCTTTGCGCTCCTACTTTCTATTCATCTACATCATACGACCTCCACCAACAGACTATAAACTCCAATACCCGTCCCACCGCCTAGCCCCGTAGGCCTCTACCTACCTCCTCGACTTTCCGGAGCGCCCAACCACCAACTACTCGCCATTCTGCATATGACCAATCGGAGCCATATCCTTGGTCAGCAGTAGTACAAAGCTATACCGAGCTCGATATAGTTCAGGCGGACCTATCCCTCCCTATACTCCTGTCAATCAACGGCGGAGAACACCTTCTCTCCAAGTCTAAGCTCAGACCGTGATGTCTAGCTGTATCGCCGGCCCATCTAGATCGGTATTCCGCCACCGTCTCCCTCTCGCCCTCGTCCCCACTGTCCTCCCCTCTCGCCCCCTTCCCTCAGCTCCCCGGTACTTCACTGCCTCGTCCACCTCTCGGTCCGACTCACGGAGACAGGCATACACCCTCGCTCAGCCTATATCGGATTCCGGCGGATTTGAGGGGATTCCAGCGGCGGCGTACGTGGGCAATGTAGAGACTGCCTCGATAGGCAAGGGAAAGGGGAAGGAGGTTGATCCGCATGCGGCACCGCAGCCCGTTGCCCCGCCCGTGCCGGGTGCGAAGCCCGCTGTGGAGCGGAAGAGGGTTATCAAGGCCAAGAAGGCTGCGATCACTATGGTGAGTCCGCCACAAGCTCCTTCTCTCTCGCCCGCAATGGATCTTTCGCCTATATCTACTCAGCTTCGCCGACGGGCTCCTACTGACTATCAGACACCTGCCGCCCTAGATCGTCTGCGAGCCCTAGTCTCCAACCCCACCCCCCAGCTCCTTCGAATAGGCGTCAAAACCCGCGGTTGCGCCGGGATGGCTTATCACCTCGACTACGTTTCACCTCCCGGAGGGAAGTTTGACGAGGTGGTCGAGCAGGATGGGGTACGGGTATTGATCGACTCGAAGGCGTTGTTCAGCATCATTGGGAGTAAGATGGACTGGAGGGATAATCGGCTGAGTGCGGGGTTCGTCTTTGACAAGTGAGTCTACGTTCTGCTTTCTCCATGCGTATCCTAGCTTGCTGCCCGGTCTCGTCTCAGATCGGCGTTCTACCGCTATCTCAGGCAAACGCTGACAATGCAGCCCAAATATCGAAGATTCGTGTGGATGCGGCGAGAGTTGTAAGTCGCTATCCATCTGTCAGCTCGTGCTGTATACACGGCTAACTTTTCAGTCAATGTACGAGCTTAGCGGTCAATCCTTTCGGGCTTTGCGCTCAGAAGAGTACTTGGATCGATGCACGCCTTTTCCGGCTCGCACACCCGAACAGTATCCTCTGTGGCCTGTCCATAAGGCCCACATTCCTAATCCTCATCTTTGCTCTGCCTCACAATACCTGCTCAGCCTTTCTCGACCGTCCACATGCTTGACCGGGAAATCAACTACGAGCGCATCGTCATCGCACGGCGTGCTGCTCCGGTATAGCTGTGCACTCCCGGCCAGCCAACATGTCCACTGGAGCAGCGAGTGGCGAATTTCCCCTTTCGGCAGTTCCAGCTCGTAAATACACAGCCTCCTCATACCGCAGCGTCCATTCCACTTGCACTGTTATCATTTCTGCAATCATACCTCATCTCCACCATCTATCTGCTACTGTACCATATCCAGCCACCCCGGAGTCAAAGGATACGCGTACCGCGGGTCAAAAACGAACGGAACGTCCTGCTCGACGCGTCCATAGAGCGAGTTTCAGCCTGTGTAAAGGGTTTCATACCCTGCCCTGTACCCTCTTCAGCTCCATCACTTGGCGCGAGACGCTGCGCCATCGTACCTCCATACCCGGACCCTGCCACTTCCTATTAGAGCGCAGCCTCTCACACTTACATCGGACGCGTACAGGTCGCGTATTGTCCACTCATATACTAGAGGGCACATCGCTCGAACGACCGGCGGAATCTTCATCGACCGGCGAGACCCATCCCTACTCTACTGCATTCCCCATCCTTCTAGACACCAACCATCATGGTCTTCCGCCCCCGACAAGCCACGTCAGGCACTATCCTCTGCCTGGCGTCCGCCATCCTCCTCGCGCTGGTCTCGTTCAATACGCCCCTCCTGAAGTCGATGTACTTCCTCGAGGCGAACTACTCTACCGGGCAGTATGCTGGTAGAATACGGCTCGGGACGCTGGGATATTGTCTTTTGCTGGAGGGGACGGAGACGTGCGTAGGACCTACCGTAGGGTATAACTTCAGTAAGTCCTCATTCCTGCTCGAGCTGCGATTAAGGCCAGTTCCGAGCGCTGCTAACGCCCAGACCCCAACACCCTCTTTGGAATAACCAACTTCAATATCCCCGAAGCCATCACGCGATATCTCACCTACACGCTCATCCTCCATATCGTCGCCCTCGGCGCTGCCGTCGCCGCCGTCATCCTGGGGCTCTTCGACCACATCTCGACCCTCTCCCTTCTCTGCTTCCCTACCTGCTCCGCCTGGCTCACATCCACCTGCGCGCTCCTCGCGCTCATATTCGACCTCGTCATCTTCTACATTGCCAAGACGCGCATCGACGCCGTATCCGGCGCATCCGCATCCATCGGCATATCCGTCTGGCTCACGCTCGCCGCGTGGCTGTGCGCGGGCCTGTCGGGCTGCGCCTTCCCGCTCGGCAAGAAATGGGGGAGCAAGAAGCGGGAGAGCGGGGATCCGCATCGCGATAATGGGTATGGGAAGGACTATGGAGCAGAGACGCTCCGATTGCGCGCGTTGCAGGATGAGCAGGCGAGGAAGAAGGAGCAGGGGCTGCCGAGCTTTGCAGAGGTGGAACGGCAGCCCTTGACGGCGAACGAGGATAAGTATTACTACGAGGAGCCACAGCAGCAGCAGATGCCAGGTGGGTTGAGGAGGGACGGGAGTGTCCTCAATGGTGTCGGAGTGGGGTATGGGCGGAGGACGCCAAGGAGTAATGAGGGGCATGGAGGGCAGTACCTTGCGGCTGGTGCAGCTGGGGCTGGGGCGGCAGGAATGTACGCTCGGAGTGGAACGCCTGGGTCGTTGCGCCCGCCAGCGAGCGAGATGAGCTATCCTGGGAATGCGGGGGTCGGCGCGGGTGGAGCTGGCGTGGAGAGGAATCAGCCCCAAGGTCATGGAGGGTATGACGGGGGATACTACGATCAGCAGGGACACGATCAATGTGAGCTCTTTTCCGTTTAACCCCAAGTCCGTGCTAATATATAGATTACCAAAATGGCCAACAGCCCTATGCGGATCCATACAACCCCATCGATGCGTACGGGAACCGCGGTATTCCCGAATCGCAGTCCCACGGCCAGATGTACCCCCCCAGCTCGTCAGACCACGGATACGATCCCACCCCTACCCAGAACTACGACTATTCGCGGCACGCCTCCGACCCCTCTTCGGGCTTCGTCAACCCTTATCCTGCACCCGTACCCCAGACCTACCCGCCAGCCGCGGCTGCTGTGGCGCCAGGATCGGGATTCAGCTCTTACCCCAACCCGCACGATGATCAGCGGCCGACATCCAGCGGCCCGTATGGCGGCTATGACGAGGACGAGACTGATCCTGGAGCCCTAGGGGTTATTGGGATGATGGCGCAGTCGAACGCGGGCAGGCAGGGCGGGGATTATACCGGCCAACAAGGGTACTCCAACGCGCAGGTCGTTGCGCCCAGACCGCAACATCTGGCCGATCAGCGCGGGACGGCCGAGATTCTTCGGCATGCCCAAAGTCCAATGAGTCCGGAGAGCGATATAGGGGCGCAGAGGGGGATGATTGTTGGGAGTCACCCGCAGCAGCAGGGGAGGGGGTACGGGTATGGAGCGGGCGGACAGGGACAGGGCCAGGGGTCGGATGAGGGGCATGGAGGAGGGAGTGAGGCGCCGCCACCGAGTTATGCGCCGCAGCAGGGGTATGCGCCTCAACCGGAGAAGGCGGGATATAGGCCGGGCCGATAAGATGGGGGACTGGGATGGGGCTGGGACAAGGAGAGGTGAAGTTTGTAAGCTGTCTTGCAAGTATGTAAGGGATAGTAGACGACAAGAGGGGAGACACTCGCTGATCATACTGACACATCCTAGGATGTCCTACAAGATTATTAACAGGTATCGCACAAGATGAACAGCTAGGGTACAACTAAATATAGCGCTATAGGCAAGAAATACGAACTGTACAATTGCTCTCTCTTTGGCTTACCGCCCTCCGGCCCACCAGCCCCAACCGACGACGCCCATGATCGCAGCTACGACGAGCACCCGCTTCCAACCCCTCAGACCCTCCCTGAGCGGCCTGAATGTCTTTTCCAGCATCCCCCGAACGCCCAGGCCCACCCCCCCTTCTGGGCTCGACAGGCCTCGGCCTGACCGCTCCTCTGCTGATGGTCGAGAAGACGACGCAGTAGGCGGGAAGAGCGGGATACTCTCCATCGGCCTCATCCCGCCCAGGGCACTAGCACCGTCTCTCGCCCCTTTACTTCGTCTCCGCTTACTCGCCGTCTTCTCAACGGCCTTCGTCCCTGCCCCACTCTCTCGTCGCTTGGCGACCCGCCTGCTCAGACCCGCTTCCCACTCCTCGCCGCCCTGTGCTCTACCTACAGTCGGCTCCATCTGTCCACCCCCATCCAGGCCCGCCGCGCCAGAAGAGGACGTGCCCGTCCCGGTCCCCTTGGAGCTGTTATCGAGGGATGAATCGCTCGATTCGAGGTTTGGAGCGGAGGGGGCAGGGCGCCAAGCGAGGAAATGGTCGATTGACGCTGAGAGGGCGGATGGGGAGTCGAGCGCGGACTGAAGGGCTTGCACGCTGGCTGAAATGCTTGCGGGGAGGGCAGGGGATTCGGGAATGGGGGAGATGGGCTGAGCGGAGGTAATGGGATGGCTAAAGTACGAACTGGACTCGGCGTGTGGCATCGGAGTGGGATCGTCCATACCATGCGAGGGCGACTGAACGGGGACGGTGACAGGCGATGACTCAGTGGGGCCCATCGGCGAGAGAGGTATCGCAGATCGAGGAAGCATATCGACCAAGCCGTCCAGTGAGTCAGAGCGTAGTCCGGCTAGAGGGTCAGCTTCTGGAGGCATCATGGACAAGCCTCGTGCAGCTCACTTTGCGCATCACCAGCAATGTCAAGAGCAGCGTGCACCCAATCCTCCTGGTCCGCATACCTAGCCACCATCTCCCTCAGCTTTCCTTGATCCCCTTCTGCGGCGGATGGGTTCAGCAGGCCATGTAGGCCCGAATACCCCGCAATAGCCCGCTGCGTGATCTGAGGTTGTCAACGTGGGAACGGACGCAACGAAAATGAAAGCTTACCTGCTCTTGGGACATTCCAGTGAGGAGCACCACCTCCAGCTTGCCGCCTCGTACCACCCCGACCTGCCTTCCAACCTGCACCAACTCCTCCTTGTCCTCTAGGGCTCTCAGGAAAGCCTTGACCTCCTCTCCTTCCCCAAGAAGCGCAATCTTGAGCCCATCCACTGGGCCTCGGTATGGTCTGAGTGAGAGGTGCAGGCTCGAGCTCGGTAAGCTCAGCGTGGGAATAACCAGATCTGTCGACCCTGCTTCTCCCTCCCCGCCGCCAACCGTCCCTTTCCGGGATACACCCGACCTCGCCCGTTCCCGTTCGAGCGCCAAAGCCTGCAACACCCCGCCCATCCCCATTCTCAATCCCGCGTCTTCGCCCGATCCCGACCCCGACCCCGACCCTGGATCCGTCGAGTACCCCAGCCCCGGCGAGCTGGGCATAGACATCGACATCTCCGAAGCGAGGTACGAGGGCAGACTTGTCGGACTTGGAGGCGCCGAGCCGTCTCCTTCACCGCCGACACCGGTGGAATAGTCGGATATCGCCGACGGGGAGTGGTCGATTGGGGATGTGGTGGAGGGGGAGTGCTGAGGCGGGGTGTGGACCGCGGAGGAAGGCTCTGGAAGGAGGAAGATGGCGGGTGAGGGAACGCGGATGGGCGCGGGAGCGGAAGAGGGGCGGATGGTCGCTCGGGTGTGAGAAGTGGGGAGTGACGGCGGGATTGACGTTCCCGAAGGCGCAGTGACCGCTGCCTCGGCCGGGTGTTCACTTCCTGCATCTAGCACCGCTGGATCAACCTCTGTATCCCGATGATGAACGATATCCCCCAGTAGCGTGTCTTCCTCTCCACCGTGAGCCTCGAGAGGTGACGGCGGCGTAGGTACGCCTTCGATTTCTGCTCCCCACGCGACGCTCCCATTCAGGCTGCGAACGCCGAAACAGCTGTCCGAGCCAGGCGGAGGAGGACTGGCCGCCTCCTGCCTAGCTGAGTCCGATAAATTGGGCCGAGCGTGCCGATGCGCCCGGCTAGATGTTGCGAACATGTTCCTTTATCGGCCGCGGTACGATGCGGTATAATGATAAGGCCGTCGGCTGGTGAAGTTGGGAGCAGGTATGAGGACGGCGGGACAGGGCGCGTCGCCGATGCCGGTAGTAGTCGTAGATGCGCTGATACGAGGGAAGAGTCGTTCAACCTCGCCGAGTGAGGGGTAGTGAAAGGAGGTACGGCTATAGCTTGGTCGCGCGCGTATGGAATGGTCGAGTTGGGTGGCGACTATGGCGTGACCGAAGGATCAGCTGATGATCACGCGTCGTGAGGTGTCCTTTCGTTCGCGCAGTCCGTCTCTCTCGAGGAAAGCTGTCAGATCCACGAAGTGGTGGAGTCCGACAGTATATAGCAAGTTGGGTGATAGGAGTGTCAGCTGGAGTGATAAGGGCAGAGAGAGAGGTCGATCGTGTGGGGCAACGCAACGCGTAGAGGTAGTTACGTCACCGGCCGATAGTGGCGCCCAGTCCGAGGAATGTGGCGAACCCGCTCAGAGTCAGCATGCCACAGAGTCCAGGATGCTCGTGACTCGCAGAATGCTTGGGCAAAGATGCCGCATCGTTGGGGCTTTACACCTGATATAAGTTCGTAGACACGCATAAAAATCTTCAATCCACTTGTAGCACCTAGATCCAAAGCGAGAGAACAGAGTACCACGAAGAGGCGTCTTTGATACAGCATACAAGAAGCCAAGTCTCAGAGCCATAAGATGTCTGCTTGCAACATCGCTTGATAGAGCGCAGCCTAAGCTCCCGTGATCCTGTCCTCTTTCCAGGCTCCCATAGTTGCGAGCATATTATGCCACCCCGCATCGTGTACTGACAACAGCTGTCCTTCGGGGGTCTCCAGGAATTCCTCCAGCCACACCACCCTGATCCGCGCGTCGATGCCCGTTGCAAGATCCCCCAGTGTTCCATCTGGTTCGACTCCCGGCGACCATCGATTGAGCGCCAGGCTCTCCTGGACATCGGTCACAAGCCTCTCCTTGAACTTGCTGATCATACCTGCAGCAGCCAAGCCCAATTTGGCGGATTCACTTGATGCCTTCAGGATATCTCGTTCGGCTCTCACACGGCTGCCGTACAGTACCGTACAGGAGTCTTCGAATGGACCTTTGTCGCTCCAGCCATTTGTGAGGATATGAGCGGCCATGATACCATCGTAGGAGCTTCCTTTCGGGTCAAGACATCCGATGATAACATCGTGTCCAGCCCCGTCCTCGGCCTTCGGCTCGTCTTTGGTAACGCTGTGAGAGTCGGTCGCCTCCGCCATGCCCTCGGCATGGGAAGCGAATACGTGGATCTTACCGTTGACAGCACTTCGGAAGACAGACATGACCGGACCCAGGTGTTGATAGCTCCGCTCCCTCGCACAGTCCAGAAAGTAGTCCAATTCGTCGAACTCCACATCGTTGTTCTCCGAACCAGAACCGTCGGCATCCACTTCGTCCGACGTAGGAGCTTCTATCTTGGGCCTTCTAGTCTGGTCTGTGGATTCGACAATGACTCTGGTGAACTTTGGCTTGGGATCAGAATACCTGTCCCAAACTCCCTTGCCACGGGGGCCCGCCCGCGCCCTGCTCTCATTCTCATCGAGCAGATCGACAGGGCAAGATGTACCCTCTGAGGTCGGAGCCAGCCCGTACGTGAAGACTGTCAGATATCGCGTCGGGGATCCGTGGCCTTCGGATTTGTTGCCGAAGGTAAAGCGGCGGATCTTGGCTGTTGGGGACGCCGGGAGAGAGATAATGTCGTGGCGATGATGTGCTGCATTCGTAGCGGGGTGTAGGGGCTTCGAAGTGAGTAGGAGAGACCGCAGATCCTTGTAGTCCTTGGCTTGATTCAGGATCGTGTACAGCATCTCGAGAGGGAGGGTCTGCAGGGTTGTGCTCGATGCCTAATGATCATCAGCCCTCTCCGCATATTCAGGTGCACTTCGGCCCAACGCGGGATGAGGCTGCAGACGTACTGTTTCGGTCATGGTGACGGTGGCAAATTTGAATCGAGAAGAGTGCGTCGGAAGGCAGAGTCATGGCGAGGAGAATAGCGCGATGAAGCCTCAGCAGTGGCTATGACAGGGCTTTTGGGCAAAATTCTGAGGATGAGGAGCTCAGCTTGAGAAAGCGACGAGGGAGAACCAGGTTGATGCGCAGCGCGAAGTAGAGCAGTCAGGGGACAACCTTTTGTCCAGGCATCGACTCGATCTCGCGCGAAGCCTAGAAGGATGTCGGAAGCGAGACGTTCGACGAGTTTTTGCGTCATCGCGATATCCCTTCAGCTCCAAGAATCAAGATGTACAGGATAGATCTCGTTGCGTAGTCAAAGGACTACTGCGCCGCCGGCCTTGGGGTCACCATAGGTCGCAGATTCCAGGTCGTCCGACTCAGCAAAGAGAGAAGTGCATCCCAACTCTCTTGACAATTTGTCAGCGGCACTGGGTTGTGATAATTGCTCGACCTTCAGCTGGTGATCTAGAACTTAGTACACTCGTATTGCAACCGCTCGCTCTTGGCTAGCCTGGATCTTTGAGTCGCCGCGCGACTTTGTTACAACTAGCACATGCGTACAGAGATACCTCTCCTGTGTCGTTGCGACGACTCTTGACTTTCAGAGAATCTTGGAAGGTACCCGTTGCTGAGCGGAGAAGAAAGGGGCAACCCCAGGTCACAAGCGATCGAAAGCGTAATATATGCAGGGTCTTGGCGAAGCTCGCAGGCGTTCTGTGACCGACTAGGGTGCTCGATGGTAATCGTGACCACCAGACTTTTTGTCTTTCACTCTTTCACTATGCCTTGAGGGAGCTGTACGGGGGAGGGCCTGACCACGAACCAGTGGCTCTGAATTAGTAGAATATATCACATTCCCAGGGGCTGCAAAGCGCAACTACTGATCCGAGAGTCCTGCATGAGTGAGCATCCTCAGACGTTCAGCCTGTGTTTTGCGACCGACTCTCCTCTCCAGCTCGGATGCTCGCAAGCATATAAACTGCCTCCGCATCGTGTGACATTAGTAGCTGTCCGTCAGGACTCGCCTTGAAATCCTCCAGCCATGTCACCTGGATCCTGCCGTGAACGAATGATTCTATGCCCTCTCGAGCATCATCGTGGGTCCCCGGGGGCGACCAACGCGAAGCCATCAGAAGATCCACCACTTTTCTCTCAATTTTCTGCCTGCTTTTGTTGGCCACGTCCTCGACCGTGTACGTACGCGTCAGACTGAGAGCGAGTCCGCCGCCATTCGCCACCTCGTGTATCTCTCTTTCCGCCGCAGCACAGGTACCGCACACGACAGTGCAGGAATCTTCGAACGTACCCGGCTCGTTCCCCTTCTGTGTGATGATCTGACAGACTAGCATGACATTGTCGTCGAAGTATTCGTCTTCCTCGATCCGCCTTCGATCCGGAGCCCCAATGGTATGCACATGGTGGAGAGTCAGAGGATGACGTGGGTTTCTGGGGGGAGCGAGATGTGATATCGGTTCAGGGTCCACACCACTTTTCACCTCATCCCATCTCCTCTCTTTCCTCTCATCCACCCAGTCATCACCTGCATCTTTGCGTTTGCCCACCATCCATCCCCTTTCTCCTTCTGTCGTTCCTCCCTTCTTTCATTGGTTGCTCGGGTGCGCTTCCTGCGAGAGTCCCATGCGGTTATCTACCTCGTCAGCTTTAGGCGGCCCCTCGCATTGTAGACGTAGCTAATACTTTCGTTTCCTCAGTCTTAGCTCAGTGGATCTGTTTGTTCTTGTAGTTGTGTGCTCCGTTGGCATCTCGTCGCCTGAAAGGCCGGGAGGAGCGGTCCATGCCTATGCATGTTTGGCCTGGGTCGGAGGGTGTAGAGGGTGGGAAAGTCGAGCGGAGGACAGAAACTCGTTGTCTCCTCAGATCTCGGCCCTGCTCTGGTGACTTTCTCCCACGAGGTTGTATCTGCCTTGCTCTGCGGAAGGCAAGCGAACTGTTCCAATCTGCCGGTCATACGGTGTCGACCAACGAAGATGCGCGGACCGCGCTCTTGGAGAGGCCGTAACTCCGCAAACTCATCGTACTCCGAGTCAGTCTCATCGTCAGTTCCCGCGTCTTCTTCCTCGGCTTCGGTACGCCAAGCGTGCTCGGCAATGACTTTTGTGAAGCTTGGCTTTGGGACAGGGTACCTGTTCCCGACTTTCCTCCCCGGGAAGACCATTCGGCGTCCCCTCTGGCCGCTGGTCAGGGGATGAGAGTCAGTTGATGTGCCAACTGTGGATGGGGGCAGACCGTAAGTGAACACCGTCAAGTACTGTGTGGGACTTTTGCGGCCTGACGATCTCTTGCCAATACTGTAGCCGCAGAGCTTTGCCTTGGGCTGATCTGGAACGAAGACATAGTCATGTGGGTAGAGTGACGACATCTCTTCACACACCTGCTTGGAGCAGAGTCTGAGAGCTTGTTGGTGCAGATTAGCCAGTCTCTCTCCACACCTCGGAACGAATTTCGGCAGGGAGTGTGAGAAGGGTAGTGGGTGGGGCCTGGATACTGTCAGACTAGGTTGTTGCGTCCAAATATCATCGAGTGAATCAAGCTCAATAGGATACGTACGGTCATGATGAATACGTGATTCTACTAAGGTGCGTGGGCGTTGCAGGCTAGAGGCTGCTGGCGGCACAGCAAAGAGAAGATCTGCGGACAGGAGAGAACAGTGTACGAGTGACTAGCACAGTATCGGAGGAAAGGACGAGGAATCCGGAGGAGGGCGAGGTACTGCTTGGAAAGCGCAGGTCGGTGGGCCGCCTCATCGAGGGCGAGGCGGTGCGACACGGAGATCCAAAGGCGAAAGGAGCACATCAGTCATCCATTGTGCTCGGCATTCGGCGATACTTATTACTCGCGCAATAGGGAAGCTTGTGTGGCGGTGACGATGGTGACGTCCGTGGGTGCCTGATAGTACGGAGGATTACAGCGCTCGCGGCGAGGCAAATAGCTGCCAGGTTGCGGGCAATCGCACTAGCTCAGTGTGGTGGAATATTGGAAGGGCAGGGATGGCCAGACTAGCCTTCGGCTCCGGCGTGATGTGTCTCAGCCTACAGCAGTCAGTCCGCATGAGTATCTGACCAGACGCCACGCGTAGCGCGGGTGATATGAGATAGGAGGTCATCAGAGTAAGAAGTCGATCGAGTTTCATCTCATCTATATATGCACAGCGCCCCTCATTCTCAAAACCCAGACCTGCAAAATTGGGTACTACCTATAAACACCTCGATCACACTTTCGCGACAGCACGTCAATTCCACGATGGTTCACTGGCCGGCTGGCACGACCTGGCCGCCTCTTCTGCTCGCTTCTCCACTTCAGCGCGGATGTTGGCGAGTACACCGGGCATTCTTGACTCGTGTACTTGCAGACGTTGGCCATGGGTTGTAGCCTTGAAGTCGTCCGCCCACATCACGCTGACCCTCTCGTTGACAAACTCCGCAAGGTTGCGGGCATCGTAACCCGAATCAGATATGGGTGCCCATCGGTTCCAATTCAACTCGAGGAGGACCGCATCCCTGACCTCAGCAAGTAATTCTTCGTGCGCCGTCTCAACATCGGAACCCCCAGCCTCCGCAACTGCCTCGGCATCAGCTCGGCTACCGCGCACCAGAGTGCAGTGGTTCTCGAATGGTCCAGTCTTCTTCCACCCGTCGGTGATGAGCTGCGCAGCCAGCCAGTCCTGATCCAGCTGGGCTGCCTCGACCCATTCGCCGATGATGAAGTCTTTCCCGCCGACACTCGCCCCGGACGTCTCCTTCGCCCCCCATCTCTCCGATATCCCTTCCGCGAAAGACGTGGCTTGTTTCACATCCGATCGGCACATGTATTGCGCTGCCTGACCGTCTGCATTGCGGTGGATGAAGTCGACAGGTCCAAGACCCTCCAATGCACGGAACGCCCAGTATGGGAATGGGTGGGTTGCGTCGTCTTCATCCTCACCGCGATCTGCAGCCGGTGTGCGCTCGCTTCCTGTGAACTCGACGGTGACTTGGTTGAACTTCCCCTCCTGCTTGCCGAGTGTGCTCTGGAGCCTGTCATCTTGGACACATTTGTAACCCTTGTCGACTCGATCATTGAGTAGACAAGGATGCGTATCGTCCGATGGAGTAAGGTATGTCAGGATGGTCAGAGAGTGAGCGGTTGTCTTCGGGTCGGAAGATGGATCGCCGAGTGTGTACGTGATCGCATCCCCATCCAGTGAAGTGGGGAGTGCAGTGAAGGTGTGTAGCATTTCCGTCTGTGCGTGTTAGTTCAGCAAGTATCATCAGGCGTATAGAGCTGGTGGCATGATCAGGAGCCCGAGGCCCATCCCATCAAGATTGTTATCAGAATTGTCAGAGCGAGTATGAGCGGCGCTCGCCGAGTACTTACAGACATTGTCTTCGCAAGGAGATCAGGGATGATGTTGAAAGCTACTCGAAGGTAGTAGGTGAGGAGAGCAGTGGCCGAAAGGACTAATGATGGAGGATGATGTACAAATCGAAGCAGAGCAGGGCAGTGGGCGAGTCATCGCCTCGATTCCGGCCCCGACCTTGTGCGCAGAGTGTGAAAGGATGTCAGGGGTAAGACCCCAGAGGAGGAACGCGTCATCGTGACATCCCTTGATATCCTCATATTCTGGAATGTTCGCATTGTCAGGTTACGGGCTGAGCATACCTTGAAGGTCACGACAGGATCGGAGGTTGATGCCATACTCAGCGAGAGTTTGAGGGGGCTTTTAACAGCAACTTGGCCGATGATTCCAGGTTAGAAGTCGAACTTCGCATCTTGCAGGCTTTGGCTCAGTCTCAACTCTAGCAGCTGACATCAGGTCTGTAGCGGTATCAGTATGTGGTGAGCAGCGCAAAATTTCAAGAGCTTGGCATTATAAGGCTGACAGGTTCTTACAGTCTCCCACTATCCGAAGTCTGATGTCGACAGTGACGCCCTCCTGCGCTTCAGGAACTGAGCGCGTCCGCCCAGCCAGCACACCTTCACTCGCGACATCTACTCCGCCTTTGGCCCCTTGATGACCTTGACCTCCTCTACTTCCTCCTCCTCAGCCTCATCCTCCTCATCCGACCGCTCATCCTTCAGCGGCTCCGCAAAGACCGCCCTGTACCGTCAGGCCCATTCTCCACGCACTACCATAAGGGAAAACGTACCGATACAGAATCCTCAGAATGAGGAAATACCAAAACAGATTAATAAGCTGCAACAAGAAGATCGGCGCGAAGATCATCTTGCGAAGCCAAGGGGCTGCCCACTTGTCGTTGAGAGGGTCAAAGAGCTGACGCCGCTCATATCTGCCCATCAGCTCAGGTCTCTTGCTTGGCAGAAGAGAGGACGTACGGGATCAAGAAGAACTCGTTCCATACCGACCAGAGAATCTTGATGTTCAGGTAGTGACGGAAATAGCTGCGCCCTGTTAGCTCGAACGAGGAGAGTGTATTCTCGGATAGTGAACTCACGTCCATACGAGAACAAAGAATGCAAAGACGGGCTGAGAGGCCTTTTCATCAACGTAATTTGTGCACTTGGCGAGCTATCATGTCAGCTTCACACTCGCAGACATGTCCGAGTTTTGGACAGCTTACAGCAAGGAACACATCCGATACATCCATGGTGACAAAGATGGCCAAGCCGATGTGCGTGAACTGGTCCGAATCAGCGAGGCCGCCTTGGGGCCTGAGCTGACTCACATAAGTCATGTAACTCCAGAAGATCAGGTAGAGCGTCACGATGTGCTATAAGTATCAGCCTCTGCTCGGTCTCGATCCAGAGTCCAGCTGCTCACATGCGCGACAAGCTCCTTAAAGTCCTTCCTCGGCTTTTCAATCTTGGCAGCGAGGATGATGGTCTGCTGTAACCAATAACTGAATTGAAGGAGGTAGAACAGCTTCATGCCCCATGGGATTAGCGTGTGTGGGTATTCCAGCCAGAAGTGTTCGGTCTTGTACCCTGGATTGTCAGCTTATAATCCCAGGAACAGATGGGGAGCATGAACGTACACCACATAGGCAGACCGCGCATGATGGTCTGAGCCGGTCAGCCAGCTAAATAGCTTCGAGCAGAAGCGATACTTACGATGCCTGATATACTCGTCAAGCCCATGTAAAAGATAGCATAGCCCTCTGATACGATCAGCGAAATGACGCGACTGCAGAGATGACAAGGGCGGACACGCACGCTCAGTGAACCGCTCAATCTTGCCGCCTTTGATGCCGAACGATTTAGCCAATGGCCTCAGCACCTTCAGGGTCATGAATTGTCGGACACTACCTGGTCAGCTGCCTCTCTTCAAGGTCAAGAAAGGGAACTGACAAGGACCACCAGATAATCTGGTGTGCGATGAACAGAACATCGTTCCAGTGCTTCCCATACCGTCCATCTGCCGCTTGACCCGAGAGGAATAGCAATGGTCGGACAGGATTAGGGGAGTCCGGAGATAGAATATTGGCGTGAACGAGGAGGGTGTGATTGAAGTGGTAGAGGACGGGAACGAGCAGGAGCTTGAACGATGTTTCTGCGGTAGTGAGCTAAGGCTGCAAACATGATATCGGAGAGCAAGCTTACCAGGTACCAGCATCCACCTGCCGGTCTTGAGATCCTGCCAGAACCCTAGCGAGTCGTACCGGGCTGCTGCGTCGTTCGGGTCTCGACGAGGCTTTCGGGGCTTGTTGTCCCGGATACCAGTGTCGGTGCTCGTCTTCTGCAATTTACTGATTGCGCATTAGCCCAGGTACCTCAGAAGTATCTCTATGGCGTTTGTTAAACCAAACAAGACGTACGAAGGCGTAGACCTCTCATTCAGCGGGACCTGGCTGTCCTTGTCAGCTCCATTTCGCGCACAAGCCCCAGACATGAGGAGAGCGACCTACTTGAGCGCATTGGTGATGGATGAGCTCCTCCGCCTGTTCTGAGGCTTCTTATTATCTGCGGTCCTGGGTGGAGTGGAAGTGGACATCTTGGTACCCTGGTCTGGCAGCTGATAGATGCGGGAGATGATAGCAAAGCGAAGACTATTGTTGCTGCAAAGGTTTGGGTTGAGTTGGGTGGGGAGGAATGTGTCAGCATAATGACCAATCAGGGGGCGTTTCAGATTTTGGTTAACGTCATAGCGCAACTCCAGCTGTTGACCAGCCATCAACTGTATTTAGCTCGCACTGTCACCTCTGGCTCTGACCCGCAACACGGTATGACCAGCTTGCACCCAGTTCACACAGTCGATGAGAACGTAGAGGAAGACCCGCTCGATCTCTTCGATACCTCTCTCAGCCTGATTTTCTCGGTCCCGCCCATCGCCTTCTCCTCCTCTTCCACCGGGACGTTCACCTATACTCCCCCGCCCTCATCCAATCACACAGCGCCAATCGTCCTCAAACTCCCCTCACCACCCGCCGAGCTGTATACCACCCTGCAAGCGAACCATGTTTGGCTGGCGAGCGTATTTCTGGCCGACAAGATCGCGCTGGGATCGATCAACGTCGATGAATGTCGGGTAGCGGAGCTCGGAGCGGGCGCGGGTCTGCCGGGCATAATGGCGTGCATATCTGGCGCGGAAGTCATAAGCTCAGACTGGGACACGCCGACCGTCATTGGAGCAATCAAGGAGAACTTTGGTGGGGCGTGTAAAGAGGGGAAATGGGCGGTAGTGGGCCATACATGGGGCACGCCAGTCGCGCCCCTGCTCCGAGCTCTGCTCTCAGGCGGGGAGCGGCGTTTCGACATACTGTTCTTGGCCGATACTCTCTGGGTGACCGACGCCCACGCCCTCCTCCTCGATTCGGTCTTTGCGCTGCTCGCACCAGGCGGAGTGGCGCACATCGCCGCTGGGCTACATACCGGTCGAGGTCCGGTCGAGCGATTCCGGAGCGCGGCAGTGGCTCGGGGCGCTGAGCTATCAGAAGTAAAGTCGGTCAAGTGGATGACGGGCGGAGGGTGGGAAGATCACCTTTCACCGCAGAGCGGACTGGAGGAGGAGCGAGGGGTAGTGGTGTACTTTACACTCCGCCAATCCGCCTCGACATACAATGATCAACCTGCATAGATCGCCCATCTATCGCACTACAAGCTACACTGCTAGCTATACCAACGATTCCTCATCCCTCCCCTTCTCCGACCCCTTCGAGCTCCTCGCATACCGCTTCCACCTCTCCCCACTCCCCCCGCTCTTCTTGATATCCAACGGCGCGACACTCCCCTTCCTCGCGCCAATCATACTACTCGCCGAACTACTACTCCTGCTCACTCCCTCGGCACCGAGTAATGCCGCCTCGATATCCCGCCGAGCGGAAGGGGCGAGGCTACACCGGTCCTCGTCGTCCTCTTCGGTAATCACCAGCCCGGCACCCCCGGCTCGGCCGAACGTGTTGGACGAGACGCCCTCGCGACTCGTCGTGCTGTTCCGGGACAGACCAGAGCGGTGTGTTGAGGACCGGGAGAGGTACTGGGGAAGGACGGGGCGGGTGAACTTGTCGTCGTCTGGAATGGCGCGGGGTCCAGAGATGGCAGCTAGGAGGGAGGTACGGAGGTTGGTTGCCCAGGTGGAGGACTGGGGTGCGCCGGCGCCGGTAGATCCCAGCTCGGCTTCACCAAGGGTCATGGCGGATTCGGTCGAGGCAGAGCGGTCCCATTTGTTCTTAAGGGATCCATGCCGGGAAACGGCGGTGGACCCGGAGGATTCAGAGTGGGAGTCGGAGGATGCAGCGTCGTGGAACGGGGAGGGGAGTTCGCCGGTGGAGGAGGGGAGAGAGGTGGTGCTCTTGTTGCGCATCCACCCTGCACCGAGGTTGCTCAGTCCACCTGTAAGTCAGCTCTCGTCCCGAGATGAAAGAAACTAGCTTACGCTCGTTAGACCAAGACTTTTGCGCGGGCATCGTCCTAAACTTGTCGCCGTATCCTACTACCTCATCCCCGAAATCGCTCTGCGCCCGGTTCCGCACTTCCAGTCTCCCCGTCCCGAATTGGTCCGGAAGGCGCGGACTCCCCATACCGCCCATGCCCATCATCAACATGGCGTCCTCGGAGGGCATCGTCGCCGCTGGCATCCTCGGCAGCCCCTCATCTCCCAAATCGACATCTTCCATCCCATCCCCAGCCATCGCCGTACCGGAGTGAAGGAACGGCGCGCCCCTCCCCATCTCCTCCGCCAGCAGCGAACTCCTCTTCTCCATGTCGTCCCCGTAAGATCCGGCGGAGGCGCCGGTCCCGTAGCTCCCTCGCCGGCTTTCGAAATTACGGACGATATCCGACAGGTCGTCCGCTTCGACGTCGCGCCGAGAGCGGGAAGAGCCCTTGCCTTTCCATCGGAAGAACCAGGACAGGGCGGTGGCGATCATACCGAGGAGGATGAGGGCGGAGAAGACCATGAGGAGGATAAAGGCGGGGGAGCGGATGAAGGGGGTACCGGAGGATGCGGCATCGGCGGAGGCGGAAGGAGAGATGGAGGCTGAGGGGTCGGTAGCGAGGATAGGGGAGGGGAGGGCGGAGGCGGAGGGGTCGACACTGGCGATACCGCTGGGATTGGCGGATGCGGATGCGGCGGCGGTGGCAGTAGCAGCGGTGGGAGAGGCGCTGGGTGCAGGGGCGGTAGGCGAAGCCTTCGAATTGGGCGTAATGGCGCTAGCGGCTGCGCCCGTCTTTTCCGGACTCGGCGCGATCGCCCCGGACGCCAGCTGCTGCTGTATTGACTGCATGACGGCGGGGTCCAGCCCCTTCTGATCTGGCGTATTCACGCCCATCCCCATCGCTGGGCTCGCCGATCCCAGCACGCCCACATCTCCTCCTCCACTCCCGCCCTTGTCCGCGCCGCCGCCACCACTACTCGACCCGCCATTACTGTTCCCATTCGGCATCATCACGGCCTGTCCGCCCTGCGCGAACGCAATAGGACCGTTGGCTTGCACGGGCGCCTGCTTGCCCGCTTCGATAGCGGCCTGCGCGGCCGCGGACTGCAGGAACGAGTCGGGCGGATTCATGACGATCCGCCGGGCGTTGCCGCCGGTCGAGGGGTCGGGGGACATACTGGCCGCTTGAGGATTGTAGGGGATTGACATGGGTCCGCGTGGGATCTCGCGGGTGAGATGCAAGGGGGGTGGATGAGGGGGAAACGGAGGGGGCTCGCACCGGGCGAGAAAACCGATGAGAGGGCAATCAATGCCTCGCCTAGATTTGGGGAAGGTTGTTGAAGAATGGGGTGTGTCCAGCACAGCGGGAGGTGAAAAAGGGCGGAGCGGAGAGGGGAGAGGAGGGAGTGACCGGCACGATGGTATGTGGGTAGAAAATGAATGTAAATGTACCGACCTGCGGTGAGCGTATAAAAGGTGGAGCAAAAGAGGGGGCTGAAAAGGGGAAATGCTATACCAAGGGGAAGAGGGATCGTCTATATCCTGCATGGTGCGGGCATGGGTGGAAGAGGGTGGAGAGGTCATGTCTCAGACGAGGTATTGGTCAGAGTCGAGGTGTTTCAGAGGATCAGTTGGGTGTCTCGGACGGTATCCACGGGCAGCGCAGGGGTCGAGTGACGAGTGAGCGGTGCATACGGCCTGGCTTAGTGGTCAGTACTCAGTAAGTAGATGAACCATTTGACAGCTGATTGCGAGAGGGGCACAGTGGATACTCGTATCGATCCTCATTGGTGGTATGGATTGATGGGTTTCCCGATTCACGGCTGTACAACTATGACCTTTCTTCTGCACGATACTTCATACTGCCTACTCGTCGCTCTCTACCTCGTTCAGCTCATGTGCCCGCTTGACGACATTGTTCTATAGCATCAGCACAATCCGTCTCTTTTCATGTGAAGAGGTACTCAGTACTCACCCCGCTTCGCTCAATGACGACCGCCGGATCCTCCTCCGTGCCCTTCTTCTTGATCTCATTCCCCTTCTTCGAAGTCACAGTCGCCTCGCCGGGTACCACCTCTGCCACCTTGCCAGCTACCCTATCAGCCCTAACCCGTCTCGTTCAACCGATGGCTCGCGGTCTGGCTCACATGGTTGCCCGCTTCCCCAGTTCCAAGACACCTCGTCCCCCTTCTTGAGTTCGTCTGCCATGTTGCTGGTGGTGAGGTGAAGCTGATAGTTGCTGTGCGTTGGTAATATCACCTGTAGATCTATTGTTGTGATCGTGTATGCTACAGCGATCAAGGTGGACCTCCCGGTTATCGATATCCGCTGCTGTCGATCTGTTTGCACCATGACGTCAATCTATGACGTAACGATAACCAACAAGGTTCAGGGTCTCGGATCTCGACCGTCGGAGAATCTTGAAACAGGGCCGAAGCTAGTAAATTTTGGGCCTCGGATTCTTGAAACACCTCGCAGAGTGGCAGAGCGCTCGCCCCCATTGTCAGTGGTCCTGGAAGTGTACATACAGCAACACCCTACTCTACAACGAAATGGAGCCCTCTCCAGCGTCAGAGATGTTACCGGACTTTTGGTTTGCTCTGCGTTGCAGCTCTCGATCAACAGGACAAGTTTAGCCCCCGCCCCCCGGGACACCTGAAACCCTTTTAACGCCGCATGCGGGTTTGTCGGAATCTGTGATGTCATGCCGGCGGGAAGGCTGTCCGGATTCCGCGACCAGCTGATTAAAATTTTTCCCGTCTCTCAGATGTTCAAGTCATGGGAGTCAGCTGCCAGCATGGATCGCCGAGCCACTCGCCGGTCCGTAAGCATCAACATGCGTTCCGCGCGGCATTTTATACGACGAGGGAGAGGGTGCATACGTCGATCCGCGCTCGAGCGACGGCGCTTGAGCGGATGCGGAGGACGAGCTGTGCAGTGGTTCCGGCGGAAAGTCGGTGTCGCCAAGGGGATCGGTTCCGGGGATGCAGATTTTCCTATTCCGAACTGCCGCAAGTGGCAATTATCTCGCGCAATTCGACCCGTTTGGGCCAAAACTGACCTCCACCGAGCCATGGTATTGGCTCTTTCCATCTGACAAACGCAAGGGGTTCCCCACAGCCATGCATGGATCCGGCATGCGGCCAGACCTTTTGGCCCAGCCAGCAGGCCGAGTGACAGATGAAGGATTCTGCCCCCGCGCCCTCTGGGTCTTGCGCCGTATAAGGCCCGTCTCAAAAGTTCGGGGCCACACATCCCCCCCTCTTCCGCCTCTCATCTTAACCCCCCATCTCTCATGCCGTCCCCTAACTCACCTACCTCCCGGTTCCACGAGCAAGGCGAGAAGACTACGATGAACGAGAAGTCTACTCTGCCTTCGCCGGAAGCACTGGCTCAGCACCCGGTTGTCGGTCCCGCCCCCGAGCTCCAGGCTACGACTGTGCTCGACGATGCCTCGTCTGAAGAGACCAAGGTCGACTACAACAACCAGGCGGCGGCCGAGGGCCTGGAGCCGGCCTTCCTCGCCAAGGTCCACATTCTGAACCACGCAATGAAGGAGATTGGGATGGGTCGATACCAGTACGAGCTGTTTTTCACTGCCGGTGAGTCTTGGCTCTAGCGAGAAAGGCACGAGAGCGAGGCTGAAGAGTAGGCTTCGGATGGTACGCCGACAACGTCTGGTTGCAGGCTGTGTCGATTCTCCAGCCTGCGCTCGCCCGCGAATTTGTCGCCTCCCCCTACGTCCGTCACTCCACCACTGCCCTCTACGCCGGTCTCATCGTCGGTGCCTTCTTCTTCGGAACGTGAGTATCGCCTGCTTCAGCTCAGACGTGCGAGAAACTGACTGTACAGATCATGTGATGTTGTTGGGTGAGTCCTTCTGCTAGATTTACCGCCGTGGCCAATTTCTCAATTCTTGCGCTAGCTGCTCCCTCATCCCTCCGCTGTCTGCCCGGGAGCCCGCTGATCTCCTCTAGCCGTCGTATTGCCTACAACTCGACATTGTTAATAGGAGGTGTATTCGGTCTTTTGGCAGGAGCTGCGCCCAACTTTGTCGTCTTCTGCGTCTTCATTGCCCTCGCCGGGATGGGTGTCGGTGGAAATTTGCCCGTGAGCTTCTCCTGAGTGGCTTTTTCAAGAACAAAAGCTGATACTGCAGGTCGACGGAACACTCTTCCTTGAATTCTTGCCAGGAAACAAGCAATGGCTATTAACACTTTTGAGTGTGTGGTGGGCTATCGGACAGGTTGTTGCATCCCTCGTTGCGGTAAGTAGCAGTGCGCCGCAGTTCTCAAACAATCTTTGGCTGATTTGCTCAGTGGGTCTTCCTCGCCAACTTCAGCTGCGCCGACCCGGCCCCCGGTACCTTCTGCTCCCGCGCATCCAACATGGGCTGGCGATACACCTACTTTACCCTCGGCGCGCACATGATTGTCCTCTGGGGCATCCGGTTCCTCGTCTTCCCGGTGTACGAGTCGCCCAAGTTCCTCGCTTCCATTGGAAAGGACGAGGAGGCCGTTATCGTCATCCACAAAATCGCCAAGCGGAACGGTACAACCTCCTCCCTCACCCTCGAGCACCTCAAGGCCGCCGCACGCCCGTACCTCCTCGCTGCTGGCGAGAACCCGGACAAGGTCGAGGTGAAATTCTCCACCATGGAGCTCATCAAGCACTCGGTGGACGATTTCCGCGGCAAGAACATCCGTAACCTGTTCTGCACCAAGCGTCTTGCTTGGTCAACGTCGCTCGTCATCCTCGTTTGGGCCCTTATCGGATTGGCGTACCCCCTCTTCTTCGCCTTCCTCGGTTCGTACCTCACTGCCAAGGTCGGCGCGACCGGCGGAAACCTCGACTCGACGTACGCGTCGTACACGTATCAGGCGGTGTGCGGTATCCCCGGATCCATCCTCGCTGCCGCGCTCGTCGAGTGGGGTCGGGGCGGACGCAAGTTCGCACTGAGTCTGTGCACGCTCGTGTCTGCCATCTTCATGTTTGGTCTCACGCAGGCCAAGACCGAGGCCCAGATCAACGCGTTGACGTGTATGGTCAGTTTCTGGTTGAACGCCATGTGTAAGTCCTCTCCTTTACGAATGCAGTGGCTGTCGCTGACAAAGTAGACGGTGTGCTTTTCGGATACTCGCCAGAGGTGTTCCCTACTCCCAGTCGAGGCACAGGTGATGCCCTCGCAGCCACCGCCAACCGTATCGCCGGTATCCTCGCTCCTATCATCGGTATTTACTCGGTGGCAGCCAAAACACCAGACGGACCCGTCTTCACCTCGGCCGCCATCTTCGTCGTGGCCGGTCTCGTCACTCTCGGGTTCCCGATCGAGACGGCTGGCCATGCCGCGCTGTAATGCAGTACAGTTCAACACTGGACTGTTGCAGCACCGCCGCGAGGGGGGAGTGAGGCGGAGGGGATCATGTAGCAATTATCTTGTGCATGGGGAATCTAGATCACATTTTAGGGAAAAGATCAATAAGATCATGCATCCGTCGAAACACTTCTCCGCTGCGGCGCTGCCATCCCACCTAGAGTATAGCTTTGTGTTCACCCTTGTCGAGCGAAGCAAGGTGAAAGCAATGCTGCTTAGGGGTACGCTACACGACGGCGACTCGACGGGCAGAAGCTGCCCGGCGAAAATCAAGCTTGGCCCGGCCGATGACCGAATCCGAGCGCCGAGCCGGTCAACTTGAGACACCATGTCTTGCTTTTCTACATCTATCATCCATATCAACCAAAAAGGGGAGCTGCCAGTCAGCCACAGCGACGGCATGCCAGTGGCAAGCCCAAATTTGTTCATATCCTTATAGCACCCGAAATCCTTTCATCTCCACCCAGCTCCTATCTCGAGGATCAAAACACGCGACAAATCTCAAGCCTTTCGTGCCCAACAGCGACCCCGCCAGCGCAAACTGCCAATCGCAGCTTTGGTCACTAGCCCATCATGGGCTGCTTCCCATGTGGTAAACTCGCGCCGGCGGTTTCCCACCTGAACGAATGTTATCCGCCGTCCAAACAGCTCGTAGCCGCCGGACCGGACTACAAGCCTCTTTCGCAGGACTTGAGCAAGCTTGTCTACTTTGCGGTCCACAAGCCAAGTCAGCTCGCTAAGATCGGGGAGGAGCTGGAGGGGCGGGTAGGAAAGGAGGCGAGGGGTAGTTCGGGCGGGTACGCCAAGTCTAGAGCGTGAGTACACGTGCGCTCTTGGGTCAGACCGACAAGGGGCTGATAGACAGGTCGCTTCTGATCTCCCTCGCTATCCTCAAATCCCTCATCACCGAATGCAAGCGCGACCTCAAGCTCTTCTCCCGGTCCGCCCTGCGGTGCATTGTCCTCTCGCTCGATGTCAAGGTGTATCAAAAAGGCGGGCCGGACCTCGAGGTCATTGGGCGCGCGGCGAGCTGCTTCACTGCCTTCGCGACGTACACGGACGGCGGACCAATAGGGGTGGACGACACCCTGACTCGGGACTACGTCTCCGCTCTGACCAAGTTCGGGCGGATGGCGGTCGACGACCATACGGACGTGGAGAGTGGAACGGAGAAGGTGGATACGGAGACGCAGAGGCGGATGCGCCTTATCGGCCTTGTATCGCTCAGCGGGGCGTCCGGGTCAGACGCGCTCTTCCTCTCGGACACGACCTTCGCACGTCAAATCGACATCATCGTCCCTGCCCTCTTGGCCAACCTCTTTGACGCGCCCATCGACGAGGTCAAGCTCGAGACTGCCAAGGTCCAAATGGCCGCCTCGCCCTCTCCGTACTCTTCGGACTTCTCGGCTCGGCGGCCGGTCAATGAACGTCGGGCACCCTCACTGCGCGCGCATATGCCAGGGGAGAAGGGACCGAGCGGGTCAGCCATCCTCGCTGTGGCGCTCAGGTCCCTCAAGGCCCTGGTGGGCCAGTGTCAGCTGAACCAGGCGTCTATCCTCCTCAGTTCGGTATTCGCCTACCTTGACAAGCGAGGGTGGACCGACGTCGAGCGGTGTTGCTGGCTCACGGAGCAACTCGCACACTTTACGTCGGTACAATATCGGTTCGGCGTCCCTACCCGGCTCGTCGAATTACTGGCGGACCTCCCGGACTCGACACCGTCGGTCAAGCGGTCCACGCTACTCGGAATGATCACTACCATCCTCACTTCGTCCGTCTCCCTTGTGGGCCTCGGCGTATCCGAACTCCTATCCAGCCTCCTCACACTCATCATCCGCCGTATCCGCCTGAACGAGCGCGATGCCCTCCTCCCCACACTCGTCCAGTACGTAGCGTCGCTCGGCGCACACATCTACTATGCGGACCAAACCAACGATATCGTCGAGGAGATATCGCAGCGGATTGCTGAGATTCCTGCCGCGGACAAGAGCCGGCCAGAGATACTGCGGGTACTGTTACATTGCATCTTGGGCGTACTGCGTGTGGTACACGCGGCGGACGACAGGGATGCGCAGAGGAACCCTCCAGCGCAGGTGGTCAGTGCGGATAAGGGCAAGGGACCACAGGTCGGGACACCGGAACAGGCACCGCAGCCGCTCGCGGCGTCAAGGCGGAATCCGGTCGCTCCGCAGGTATGGCAAGAGACATTGCCGCTCCTGTGCGAGTCGACTTATGCGGTGCGCGCTGTCTATGCCCGGGCGCTCTTACTGTTCCTTCAGCGCGAACTGCCAAGGGAGAATAGTACGAATCGGCCGGGACATCTTGCCGCCACGCGGTTCTCCAATGCCCTCCACGCGGCCATTTACACCCTCGCCATGTCTGCCTGCCTAGGGGCGGCTGCTCCAGCCGACGACAGCCCGGCGGCGTCGCACCCGGCCTCTCCGGTCCGCACGACCCACTCTCCCCTTCTTCCACCTACAGGCCGGGATTCGCCCCCCAAAGGCGACTCTTTCAATCTCACCGGACCCACACCATCGGACACCCCTCCCACCGGCGCTGCCAACGGCACGCACACCCCACCCAAAGCCCAATCCCAACCCCAGAAGCGTCGGACGTCCCGGCGCGTCTCACTCCCTCTCAATCGCCTCAATTCAAGCACCTCCACACCCCTCGTTTCGTTCGACAATGTCGCCACGCCACTCGACTTTGGGTATATCGTCAAGATCCTCAATGCGCTGCATGAGGCCATTCCGGGCGTGGCTTTGATGACGGGCGGGCCGATGTTGCTTGCGCTCGATGCGGAAGCGGCGACCGAGTTGGTCAGGCGGCAAGGGGACGGTAGGGGCGGAGCATGGGTATTGGAGCGAAAGAGAGGTGTGAGAGAGACGGTGGGGATCATGTGGAGGAATGTTGGGAGGTGGTTGAATATAAGTATGGTCGAGGAGTTGGCAGACAAGGTGAGTTGGGCAGTACCGACAGTAATCAGATTGTATAGCTGATCATTCAGACGCTGGCGGGACTACCTGAACCCAATGTAATTCCTCATCTTCCTGCGGTGGACGAAAGCGATATCCTACCTCCTCCCGATGAGCCATACTCTTTCCAGCAGCACATGATCGAGGGCGAATCATCCTCCGCTTCTAGGCCATTTGTGGATGCCGAAATCCTCGTCTCTGCGTTGGCTGGGAATGAGGGGGTGCAGAAGGCGACGGGGAGGGACGGGGCGGGGATCATGAGGCGATTCGGTGGTGGATGGACCGTTGAGTCTGCTCTGAGGGATTGTGAGTCGTCTCCAACATGCGAGACTTTCGGAGGAAAAAGCTGACGAACTAGCGGTCGAGCGATTCACATCCGACAATGTCACCTCACCGGTTGAAGCCCACTCTGATATCGCCTCGGCAGTCATGACAAATCCAAATGCGTCGTACCGGTCTATCCCACGCGGTTCGCATTCCATAGCTCGGCCTGTGGATATCACGGATCTCCGTGAAGCGTTAGGACAGGGTCAGGCCAGTGGGGGTGCGAGTTTCATTTCGACGATCGGGACGGGAGGGAGGAGTTTAATTAATGGGAATGGGAATGCGGAACATGGAGGAGGAGGGGCAGGGGCAGGGAGCGGGTTGAGATCGAAGGAGGATGTGAGAGAGGTTTTGAAGGATATCTTTAGGGACAAGAAGCGGGGCGGGGGTGCGGGGAAGACTGTGGTGGCTGCTTGATGTGCTACAAGGGGGAAATTGGGATCTGCTGGGATCTGGCAGGTCGGCAGGATGAGCGTATCTAGCAGGCCGAGGAGGGACAAGGTGAAGGAGAGGCTGAGTTTATAATGACCCGGTATTGTTGTTTCTAGCTATAGGCAGATCTAATGGGTATGAAATGCATGGTAAATGCTCGAGAGCCTTTCGCAATAGAGGCCAAAGGTACCGAAGCACCTGAAACGGCCTCAGGCACATCAGGCACAGCAGGCACCACCAGAAGGCCTCACGTCGCAAACAAGGTTCGAGATCTCCTCGGAAATGGCGCGGTCGAGAGCGCGCATTCCTCGTATTGTCCTTTGGCCTTTTGTCCAATCACTGACCAGTATTCGATATGGGCTAGTCAAAGGGGGCCGGGGGGGTGATGCCTTGACTACGGAGCTGCTGATGCTTGATGGGGGCTTGGGATATATAAGCTGGCCCCTCAAGGAAGAGGGCATACTCATTCCTTCTCATTATCATTGCACTGATATCTGATCGATTTATCACTCAATCTCACCAAGCTTGATCGCGCACCAGACCAAACGTCGATAGATCATTCCTCAACGTCCTTGCTCAAGTCAGACTCGCTAAGATGGACATGGGAGGTATGGACATGGGCGGCGCTGCGAGCGGGCCCGCTTGCAAGAGTAAGTGATAAAATGACCATGACTTTGCCCCTTCCGCCCCTTCTCTACACCTTTAAAATCGTCCCACGAGTCTTCTATCGGGTCTGATCACTGACCTACCCTACATCCTTACCTTATTATGCCCATCTCGCCAACCGCATCCACCCAAATTCAAGCTGACAGATAGTAAGCATGCTCTGGAACTGGAACACTGTCGACTCGTGCTTCCTAGCCTCATCATGGCACGTCCGCTCCAACGGTATGTTGGGGGATTTTCCGCGTGATTCGAGACTGATCTAACGAAGGCATGTTCGCGGGGAGCGTCATCGGTGTCTTTTTGCTTTGTATGATGATTGAGGGCGTGAGGCGGCTGGGGAGGGAGTATGATCGCAAGCTGGTCGCGCAGGCAAAGGTATGTCCAGCAGTTGCCACTCTTCCCTTCCCTTCTTGGCGCGTCACAAGCAGACAGGGAGCAAAGACAAGAGACTGATCCAGCAGCTGCGCGCGGGTATCACGCCCGTCAACTCTGTTGAATCGCCTACGAAGGGTATCCTCCCTCCCTGCCCCACAAGCTTTGTGTGAGTGTCCAAGTTGTCTCACCCCTCATCCCGGATCGCCCATATGGAGACCATGAACGTCAGCTGATCCCTCAGCCTCACCCCGTCCTGGCCTCAGCACCTCCTCCGAAGCTTAGTATACGGTACCCAGTTCAGCGCGGCGTTTATGGTGTAAGTACTTCTCCATTATCCCAGGGATCCCATCCTCTCCGATATCGCCCGAGTCAAGCTGACGGCTAGGATGTTACTCGGCATGTACTACAATGGGTAGGCCACTCTCAGAAAGTCCAGTGGAGGTATAAGCTGATCTATCAGATACATCCTCATCTTCGGAATCTTCCTCGGCCAGACGGCGGGGTATGTCGCCTTTGCGAGGGACACGGTGATGGGCCATGATAACGGTTCGGGCAACTGTTGCTAGGTCCTGTTTCAGTCAGAACTACCGAAAATCAGTTTGCTTTCAGTCCAGCGACTCTTCTGTGTAGATCGTCGTCTGCTATGTGCATGTATAGACTAAGAAGTCCCATCTGTACCACCATGGCGCTGCCCATGGCCCACAGCGCCAGCACCGCCAGCTGGCCCAGCATACCTCCGTCCTCGGGCATCGGCCTCGTCGTGTTATCGGCTGTTCCATCGGAGTTGTCCGTTTCGGCAGTGCCATAGGCGTTTTGGTCGTCGGCTCTGCCGTCTAGACCGTCCACATCTCCATATGGCATAGAGTCACTTGCCCGCTCCAGCTTGCCCGACGACGTCGATAGGCAGCCCCGATAGCCTAAGCTAAAGTCGAAATGTTTCAAGAGATACAAGGTGAACTTCGCTCTTCCTCTTTTCGCACCATATCTATCAATCCTCTGATCTCCCGCCACCGTCAACAACAACAAGGCACCTGACTATACTGACTCGCCAGACCCACCCACCCGTAGCGTAGCACAATGGTAGCTACCCGCTCCCTCCCTCGCTTACTCCCCCTCACCGCTCGCCGAGCCGTTCCCACCCTCCGCGCACCACACTCCCGCTCCGCCAGCTCCGCCTCCCCCCTCGGCGCAGGCCTCCCACCCCAGACCCGCTCATTCGCGCGCTGGGGTCTGATTCTTGCTCTGGGAGGGATCGGCCTCTCCCTCATCCCATCCACCATGCCCTCCCATCCCGAATCGGACGAGCTGGAGACCTCCCCCCGCGCAACATCCACCGCCTCCTCCCTCCGCTCCACCTCCACTCCCGCCCTCATCCGCTCCTACCTCGTCTACACAGCCTGCTCCTTCCCGCTCATCATCGACTCGGCCCCGGGCCTTCTGCATGCCTTCACGCACTCCGGGATCCCAGGTCTTAAGGGCCTCACAGAGTTCGTCGTGAGACATACATTCTTTGCGCAGTTTGTACCGGGCGAGACGGTCGAGGAATGTATTCCGCAAATGGAGGCGATGCGGCGCCGAAATGTAGGGGCGATGCTGAATTACTCGGCGGAGGCGGATCTGGATGCGGCAGGGGAGGGGGATAGCAGGGAGGCGGGCAAGGCGTTTGAGAAGAAGAGACTGGAGGAGGTTTATCGGGCTTTGGAGAGGGCAGGGGAATTTGAGGCGGGGATGGAGAAGAGAGGGGGGATGAGAGGGAGTACCTGCTTTGCTCTAAAGATCGTGAGTCACGCCTACTCCTCATATCTCTGCATAGACCCAGATCTACGTATAGATCCTCAGCTGACCCGCAGACCGGCCTCATCGACCCCGATATCCTCGCTCGAGCATCCACAACCCTCCTCCGCCTTCGCCCCCTCTCCCAGTCCTCATCCCCCTCTTCACCTCTCTCCGGCCCTCACCCGCCGGTCGCCTACCCCGGCACACCCCTCTCGTCCGATGCCCAGGTCATAGCGCGCGAAACGGGGGATACGCGGTATCTCCTCAGCCTGAAAGGCGGGGTGGAGGGGATGGGGATACTGGAGAGCGACGAGGGGTTGCAAGACGGCGATCTGGAGGAGCTGGGCGTACTCTGGGGGAAGTTGAGGGATTTGGGGGCGTTTGCGAAGAAGAAGGGGTGAGATCCCTTCCGCTTTACTTGCTGCATGGCGGATAGGCGATGGGGGTCGAGAGCTGACGCCCAGGGTCAAACTGATGATTGATGCCGAACATACCTGGTATCAGCCCGCTTTGGACGCGTATACCATACTTCTTGCGCAAGAGTACAACCGGCCGCCCAAGCGAGGTCTGCTGGGTCTGGGCGAGACAGAATCGCCCATCGATGGGCCGCTCGTCTTGTGAGTTCTTCATTTGCAGGTAGTGTGTGGGCTGGAGCTGACGAGATAGCGGGACATTCCAGTCATATCTGAATCGCCAGCCCGAGTACCTCCAAGCTGCCCTACACCACGCCGAGGAGAATGGGTATATACTGGGCGTGAAGCTCGTCAGGGGCGCGTACTTTGTGCAGGAGAGGAAGAAGTGGAAAGATGAGGGCAGGCCGGGTCCTGATCCGATCTGGGCAGAGTGAGTCTCCTCTACGAGACGCATCGTCCTACATGTCCAGCTGTCTACCGCGCGTAGCAGAGCGTAGAGACCCGCAGCTGACTCGCGTAGCAAAGAAGCCACCGACAAGGCATACGACGGCTCAGTCACCACCATCATCTCGACTCTCGCTCGCCAACTCCACTCTACGCACTCTGAGCGCGCCCTCAACGTCGTCTTCGGGACGCACAACCAGGAATCGTGCGATCTGATCGTGGAGCGCCTGAAGGCTGAGGGGCTGGCTGTACTCGGCGAAAAGAAGGGGAGTGTCCGGTTGAGAGAGGACGTGCAGGGAAAGGTGTTCGTAGCGCAGCTGTATGGTGAGTATTCTCTACCAGGCCCGGGCTTGCGTGGAGTGGAGCTGATCAGTAGGTATGAAGGACGATCTGACGGACCGGATGGCGGCGGCGTTCGAGTATGCACCTATTCCCTTTGCGCTCAAAGTGAGTTTCGCTCCGTTCCCTCTTCAGGCGGAGCTGATTGATCAGTACATTGCCTATGGCCAACTTGCGGAAGTCATGCCTTTCCTCGGAAGGAGGGCTATTGAGAACAAGGCGGTGATGAGTGGGGAGGGAGGCGCCGCGGCCGAGAGGTCGAGATTGAGCGGAGAGCTGTGGAGGCGGGTCTTCGGAGGATAGGGCCGAGCGCGGGGGTGTCATTCTTGGGAAGTGCTTGATCGGGGAACGCAGGGTGCCAAGGAGGGATATGGCTTGTTGTAGGAGTATATAGAGAAGCACTTTGACTGAGTATAATTGTGCGTATTGGTCAGCAGGTCAGAGCAGCGGTGGATGTCATCAATCGGTTTGCACCAGAGTCGACACGAAGACGCAAAGAGGAGTCCATGCTCCCGAACCATCCATCCAAGGACATATGGAATTTCCCTTGACTCCTCGACCAGCTGTCAGCTGTCCATGTCGCACGAGCGGGCTCATCCTCTGCATGCAGCTATCACCTCGGCCCCAACTTAACGGACGCGCTTGTTTTCTTTTGCCCCGCGTCGATGATGGTGCTGCCAAAACCTCCTTCCTCCCTCTTCCGATAGCGAATGTTTCAGGACGTTAACGAAGCGTGCATGTATGCGGAGTTGTTCCTCCCCTGACTTACTCTGTGCGCACCTTTTGTATGCCCATGACGCCGAACGGGTGTTCCAGTCGTGTCGCTGCGGTATAGTCCATGGGTAGAGACAAGAGGGAGCCCGTTGATTCCGCTTTGTCTTGTTGACTCTGGAGACTCCACTTTTGGCTGGTCTCGTCATCCCTTTGGGTTTGACTGAACTTCCAGCCACCAACAACTGTCTCGGTTTCTTCTATCTACATCCCTCTCTCACCCAAGACAATAGCTCCCCCTCCCTCCCTCCCATATCCTCCCAGCTTCTGTCGACGACAGCCCGCCCGCCCGCCCGCCCGCAACTCACCCTATACGCTCTTTTAGCTTTCGTCTCCGCCTTTCAACCTCCACTCCTCCCCCTCCCTTGACGACCAAGCAAACAGGCCGGTATCAACCAACCCAACCGACACTGACGCCTTCGGATCCAACTTCCGACCCCGGCTTGTTTTCGTTGGATCATATCTCCTCCACCTTCTACCGCTCATCGCTCTCTATACATCCCCTCCACAACACCTCCACCGCTCCACTAATAAATCAGTCAACATGGCTTCCAGGGTGAGCACCAATTCTTCCGATGACGTACAAAGAAGGGCCTATCGCTGACCTTGCTTCTTCTTCTTCAACCTACATCCAACCTCCACCTTCTACATCCTCTCCCTCTCGCTTCCCCTCCCCTCGATGAAACAGGCACCTACCACACGCCGAGCAGCGGCTTCGCGCCGAAACGACGAGAATGCCCTCCCTGCTCAGACCACCCAGGCGACAGGTGGACTTCGCAACAAGGCATCACTATCCAACCTCGGTCCGGCGGCCAAAGCGGCGGCACCCGCTGCGGGCGGCAAGAAGGCGGCGCCCGTCAAGGCTGGGGCGAAGCGGACTGCTCTCGGTGGCGTAGTAGGTAATGGGATCAAGGAGGAGGTTGAGGAGGAGAAGAAGGCCGGTAAGTCTCCATGCTTAACGTTGATGTATCGCGCTGATCTTCAGGCAAAGCAGTCAAGACGGAAGCTCGTGCACCACTCGGGAACCGCGCCAATGCCCAAGCTCGCCCAATCGCCCCTGTCCCCGCCCGTACCCGTGTCGTCCCCGCATCGATGGACCACCTCCTCCAATCCGCCGACGAGGTGTCCGAGATGGACATTGACCACCGGGTACAGCAAGACGCTGCGTCTGCTCGTGCAGCACACGACGAGGAGTTGCTCGATGACGAGGACCAGGACGGAGACGAGGAGGAAGAAGAGGACGAGGAGGACTGGTTGCGCATGTCGGACGAGGAGGTGATCCGGTGCAGGGAAGAGTTGGAGGCGGTCCAGTCGACATTCTACGACGAGGTCGATATGATGGACACGACGATGGTGGCCGAGTATGCGGATGAGATCTTTGGGCACATGGAGGAGATGGAAATCACTACCATGCCCAACCCTCGCTACATGGACTTCCAAACCGAGATTGAGTGGTGAGTCTTGGTCTTTTTCCAAGGGTAGAGCTGACGGTCAGGTCAATGCGCACAACCCTTATCGACTGGCTCCTCCAGGTCCACCTCCGATACCACATGCTCCCCGAGACCCTCTGGATCGCCGTCAACCTCGTAGACCGCTTCCTCTCCGTCCGAGTCGTGTCCCTCGTCAAGCTCCAACTGGTCGGTGTAACCGCCATGTTTATTGCCGCCAAGTACGAGGAGATCCTCGCGCCGAGGTAGGTCGTCCTTGTCTTCTGCTTGGGATCTGTACTGATGATCAGCGTCGAAGAATTCGTCTACATGACAGAGAACGGCTACACCAAGGACGAGATCCTCAAGGGCGAGCGCATCATCCTCCAGACCCTCGACTTTTCCGTCTCGCCATACTGCTCCCCGTACTCGTGGGTCCGCCGGATCTCCAAAGCGGACGACTATGACATCCAAACCCGCACGCTCTCCAAGTTCCTCATGGAGGTCACGCTCCTCGACCACCAGTTCCTCCGCGCCAAGCCGAGTATGATTGCTGCGGTCGGAATGTACCTCGCGAGGAAGATGCTCGGTGGTGACTGGGTAAGTCTCTCCTTAATCGAGCTCAAGGTCAAGCTGACAGACAGAACGACGCCTTCATCTTTTATTCCAACTTTACCGAATCGCAACTCCTCCCTGGTGCCATCAGGCTGTGCGAGCGCCTATGCGAGCAGGACTTTGAATCGGTATACGTTTACAAGAAGTATAGCAACAAGAAGTTCCTGCGGGCGAGCCAGTTTGCGAGGGAATGGGCACAGAGCAGCGCCGCGTCCGTCTTGGGGTGAGTCAAGCTCTTCAGATCCCAGCTTTGGACTCTGCGGTTTCGATCGGAATTCAAACTGACATACTAGATGTTAATCGATGGAGATACCTTGTCGTTGGACACTTGGCGTGTTGGCGTATTGGCGTTTGTGGGGAAGGCGGATATCTTGGGAATGAGCTTGAGTACCGAGGTTGGGGCTCGGTCTTGACAGCGCGGGCAGAGAGGCGGGGGCGGGGGCGAGGGCGAGGCGCGAGGGGAGACGAGGAACGCGGGGGGCTCAGCAAATTATTCTCATATCGGACAATCATTTATCTCTTTTCTACCTTACACCCTTCTTCTTCCCTCTTCTTCTTCTTCTTTACCTCTCTATTCTTTCTAGCCATAGCCCCTCTCTTTAGCTACCTACATACACTAGCTGGCCCGTGAAAGCATATCACATGTCTCATGTCTATAATGGATCTCACCCTTGTCTTTGTCTCGTCATCGTCTTCCTTTGAGACCGGCGGCGCTGAACAACTCGCACTCCGCGCGGATGCTTACCCAGTGCGTCCCAATCCATCTCTGATCGCACACTTTATACATTCTCCATCGTTACCACTCATCGACCATCCCGTCAACTTGAGCAGGATCAGACTACCACTCAGTTGAGCAGGCTGTCACCTTCAATAGAGTCGGATCAAATATCAGCTTCGTATTCGCCATCATGTTACCATCCTTCTCGCGCCTCAGGCCTGCATTCCTTCTTCCTGGCAGTGGTGGTGGTGGACGCGCTGGCTTCAGCAGCGGCGGACCAGGTGGGAGGCAAGGGGGAGGCGGAGGCGACGGTCGAGGACCTGTGCTCATCGCACTTGGCGGTATAATTATTGATCATCTGACGAACCGTCCCAGTCTGAACGCTGAGGAAGGGACTTTGATCGGCGGACGATGAGAGACATGCGACACGAGCGGAAGCGGACCGACGCAGCAATTTAGCTTTGACAGCGGCCGGAAAATTAAGGAGGAGGGCTGGGGTTCTCGTACCGACGGCGTACGTATACCGACGGCGGGCGGGTAAGACGTGGACTGAGGCTACGGTGGAGCTAGGGGCTGGCGTCATATGCGGGATATCCTATTGCGAGATCAGGGTCCCATGATGCTGGGGCGGCTGAGTGTTAGATAGCTTGAGAAGAAGTCAGCTAAGATGTAGCAATACCGGCCTCACTCGACAGTTGACACTCATCGTCCCAACTTGAAGGCTTTCCCAGTCAGTCGCATTGTGCAGGCTGCAATGTCGCTTGACGCTGGTTAGTGTCGTTACTATCTGCACATGGGCGAAGCTACGGTTATCAGTCGAGCAGACGTTACCTATCGCAGCTCCCACATACAGCTCGAAAATGGCTATGTACACCCAAGCTGGAGCGCTCTCAATCATCAAAGCGTGATCCCGTGCACTGTTGGAGCGCGTATCCGATGAGGAGCCTACTCCCTTTGTCCTCCGCTGCCCCGCTACGAGCGAACAGGTGAGCGTATCAGTTGCTGAAGCACGTATAGAGTTTTCCATGCCAAACGCGTATCCGCTCCTAACCCTCAAACGCCCCTCGGTGGATGAAAGGATCGGCGATATCAGCAACGCTCTCACCCGGGCGAACTGGTCATACATATAGCGTACGCCTCAATCCGATCGATCACGCCCTCTATCGCGTCAGTATCGTCAATCCCAAATCTCAGGAATCAGTACTCAGTACGCTCTCGAGTCTCGCGCCCTGATCAACCTCCCCGCCCATACCCGATCCCCAGCTCGTCCTTGATCCTCCAACTCACGCTTCACCATGCACCCCACTCTAAACATGGACTTCAACGCCCTCTCCCTTCCTCCCGACGCCTCGCGCCCTTCGTCCGCCGTCGCATCCCCCATCACACCGAGCTGCCCTGTCAACGGTCACAGAACTACTGCTCCGCCACCAACTCACGGCCACATCGCGCTATCGGCGGAGGAAGAGGCGCATGTGCTCTCCGAGCTGCTTGATCCGGCAGTACAGAAGGACAGGCGGGACATGTTGCTGGGCCTGCTGAATCCCAGGATGCGGGCGGCCGCGGCGGAGGTGGTGCGCCAGAACGACTGATCGTTCGGTCGACAAGGAAGCTTGATGTCGATAGGGGAAACGATAGTGTTGTAATTGTAGACGAGAAGATGTAAAGGTGCCGAGTCAGCGTGACCAGAGGTCTATCAGCCTCGCACGGCGCCCCGCTAGGTCTCAGTCAGTACTTATGCAGCCCGGTCGTATGCAGTCGGCAAGCGGTCAGTAGCTCCTCGGAAAATACTCGCGTAACCCGAACCCCCTCGGCTCGCCTTGTATGATCCTCCACCCCAGATGCATCTCCACTCCACCTGACCCCCTCCTCATCTCTCTAGCCATCTACCCCCTCTAACCCCCTACCCGCTCACTTACTCCGCTTATATATCTTCCCCAAAAAGCTCTCAAACACCTCCCGCTTCAACCCCGCTCCTTGTTCCTCCACCTTCCCAATCAGCCCTTGCAACTTCGAATACACCTCGGCCTCGTACGCCTCATACCGCTCCGGGATCGAGATGGGCGCCTCGGAAAACAGGGCCTTGACGCGTGCTTCGGATTCGGGGTTCTTGCGGCCATAGTTGTCGTCCAGGATTTGACGCTGGGCGGGGGTGGCGTATCGGAGAGCGGTGTTGATGTTCCAAGAGCACTTGTTGTCCTGGAGAGTCAGCTCTGAAGATCGAGGGGATGAGAGGCCTGAGGTGGACATACCAAGATGTCTGTACCGATCTTGCCGATATGTTCGGGCTTGCCGTAGCAGTCCAAATAGTCGTCCTGAACCTGGAAGTACTCGCCGAGGGGAATGAGGATGGAGAGGGCGAGGTCATAAGCGGCCTTATCAGTGATACCGACCTAGCGACAGATCAGCTGAGCTCTCAAACCGCACTAGGCGATCAAAGCGGCCGGAAGCTTACCACACGCATAGCAAGAGCAACGGGGAGGTAGAACGAGTAGAAGGCTGTCTTGTAGACGACAATAAGGTGGTGTCTGAACAGTCAGCTAAGCCTACACCACCTGGTATGAGAGCCGTCTAGCTTACTTTTCGAGGGAGAACTTGTTCAAGTCGACAGAGTCCTCTGGGGCGGTGATCAGGTCGATCAGCTGTCCAAGCTCAGTCTGGAAGGTGGTCTAGACAGTCAGCTGGGGTGGTCTATTCATCGACAGGGACGAGGTAGCTCACCTCTAAGAAAAGCTCGAGCAAATCGACATAGTAAGTCTGCTGCCTGAAGTGCTTCTTCAGCAGGTGGTAGATAGCAGCCTCGAGCATAAAGGCATCGTTGATGGCAATGTTGCCGACTCCAGGCTGCAATATCAGCCGCGACCCGTATCTTGAGCTGATCCACTCCAGAGCAGGATCAGGGGACATACCTGACGGTACCAACATGGCTGGCCTCGGCGAGTGACACTCTGGTCCATGATATCGTCTGCAACGAGGAAGTAAGCCTGGAGCTGCAGGCATCAGCTCGGACCCCTGAGTTGACAGAGTCCGATGAGGGCATCCCAGCCGACAAGACACGTACCAGCTCAACACACCATCCCAAGATCGCAGCCTTCAGATACTCCTCATCGCCAAGCTCCGAGCCCTTCAGGATCTCCACACTGTCCACGACGGAGAGACCACGGTTGAGCTTTCCACCGGGGGTATTGGCGTACAGGTTCTAGCATGTCAGCTTCGCTCTGGCCACCTCACCACATGGCACTTCTCATCAAGAAGGTAGCTGACGGCTTGCTCCTCTGCCTACAAGCATGGAAGAGACTCACCTTCTCATACCACTCGACAGCATCCTGGGGCATGCCCTCACCACGGATGTACCCGAGGAGCTCCTCGGCAATGACCGGGAAGACATCCTCGAAACGCTTTCTCCGGGCTGCCTTATCGACACTGGCCTTCTTGGTAGGTGCGGTCATGGCTCGCTGAGATGCTATAGGTGTGTAGAGAAGGAAGAGAGATGTAGAAGGTGTAGCTTTTGACTTTTATCGTTCGAGCCAGGAAGTTGGCCTGCCTGACCCAAAGACGCGTCCGAGCGGTGGGGCGGCGATCGCCGCAAGATCATCCCTATAGCGGGGGCCCTGGACATGCAGCTGCTTGCTTTACTCTTATGCATGTCCGGTACCATGCTTGACTGACCCTACTGACAGCTGGTGCAGTTCCAGCTGGGGCGCTGGACCGTGGAAATCACGCACTGACCGTCTCAATGGCGTCCGGAACTTCTCGGCGTAGCCATATCAGGCATCCTCGAGTGCGTCGAGAGGCGCTCATCTGTTTCCTCTCGGATTACTGCACGGTGATCATATATGATCATAGATCCGGATACTGCGCTGCACGTGCCGATAGGTTTCGCTGTCATCTGATGCCACCAGATCTGACGAGAAATCGATGACCGCTCACTGTACCAACGCCTCTCCCAAAAGGATATCGCTAGGTTGCGATGTCGTGCTCTGTCAGTCACCGAGCACGCGTGTCACCTAATGACTCCTTTGATATCCTGCACTGCATCGTCGGGGAATAGGGTGGTGGGCCTGTAAGCCAGTGCTCTCTGTCAGCGTGAATGTGGCCTATGTCCGCTAACAAAGGTACGATGGTGGCTCACGACCTGACGTGTTTCACAAGAATTAGATTGTCCACGTCCTTTCAGGATGTCCCTGAGATCGGAGCAGTGCTGATACGCCCTGTTGTGGTCACAAAGCTCGATGCGGAGTGGATACGAGCTTTTCCCCTCTCGCCATCCGCCTCAAACATATAGCATCTTCTCCAATCTACGTACTTCAACATCATTCCGCCTGCCACTCGACTGTCGACCTCTGGCCTTCAATCCACCAGTCTCTCAGCATGTCTGTCAGTAGTTTGTTGCTGCTTGACCCTACTATACTTCACGGCGTCACCATGGACAAAGTTTTCCTCTGCTGAATCTCACGCGACTGATACCTCAGCCTAGCAAACGCACGGTCGGCCCACAGATTCCTCAGGAGGTGCTGAACAGGTTCACAGATTTCACGGGCCCGAAAGACTGGACGGCATTCATGGAGAGTCGCAGCAAAGCCTTGGTGTCGGCTGCAATCAGTGCCTCACACCACAACCAGTACATTCAACATCTCCCTGACGGCCAAGTACTCCTACTCCGCCTTGATCGCCGGTCTAGGGCTGAGGAAGCTGCTTCGGAACCTAAGACGATACTCCCACCCCGTCATCGTTCTATCATTACCCCCACAATCCCCGGGCGCGGGATATGTTCCTGCTGCAATGGGCCCAGTTCAGCCCATTCCGCTGACATCCGCATGAAGCTGTGGCTGTATCTGCATGACCTTCCTGAATCGCTGGAGGATGTAACGCTCATCTTTCGGACGGCCGAAGAGCCCTGCGACAACACATACCGGCACGCTCTGATGAATTGTCAGATGCGTGAATGGACCAAAGCTATTACGACGATGTTCATCCAAGAGCACCACGGTGGAGCGCCAACTGTATTCATGTACCGCCCTGCCAGTACCGACGACGCCGACATCACGATTGCTCACGACATCGAGTACGAGGAGGATGAGGAGGAGGACGCTGTGGCCCTCCTGCGTAAAAACCCGGCTCAGGGGAGTCGTCAATACATCAGCGAGCTGGAGGAAGACCTTGACGATCACCGGAGCGAGAGTTGGAACCAGGACAAATGGGACACCGTCGTGGATCTCGCGGTAGATCTTCTTGCCGAGGGTACCTGCGACAATCACTGCACCGTGATCGGAAGTGGCAGGGAAACCAGAGCGCCAGGGGTCATTGAGAACGTCTCTCAGTTGCACAAGATGCTCTTCCCCGAGCTGCGAAGACGAGTTCGGGCTAGCCTGCTGGGGCGCCATCCAGAAATGTCGGACGACGAGGGAGACGAAATGATCAAAGCACACATCAAGAATCACATCAGCTTCATGTCGCGCAAGGATTTCAAGGAGTCGTCGTACGGCTGGCCGCTGCTCAGTGACTACCTCGAGAACGGCAAAGGAGTATCGGCGATCAGTGACAGGACTGCCGGCGAAAGCAGTGGAGCGCGATCTGCTTGATTCCCGGTCATTTCCACTTCCCATACCTAGTCATCTTGCAGATCGACCGTGGCTTCCGCATCTGAATGACTGATTCCGGGCATGATCAGATTCCCGGCTGCGCGCTTTCCTTCTGGTCCGTGTCTCGCCAGGGTCACTCCCCAACCTGTAGCCTCCGCGGATACGGTAATTTCGAAATTCCCAGGTGCGGGACCGGATGGCAAATCGATTGTCGATTTCGATTGTTCCAGCTATGTCTCTGTTCCAGATGCTCTGCGAAGTGGCTCAAGTCACTGGAAGGTGGATGTGGACGTATTCGCCATCAGGGGTCGAGGCTTCAAAAGCGATCAGTAGCCCATGTATATCAGCTTATCCTGCTAGTCAGGCCACATAATCATCAAGCAGCGCCCGTGTTACAGGCTACAGGCTTCAAGTGAGCGCCACTTCTGTCTTTCAGGCGCTTGACCTGTCAGCCTTGACTCGCAGATCAAAGGATCCTCTAAATTGCCGTGGCGTGCTGCCCCCGGCTCGTGTGTCGGCTCTTCCTTCCCTTGACACTCTGCCCCGCGCTCTCTCAGCTCGACATGGACCGCTACAGCTCTCTTCCCTACATATAGCCCCCTTGGATGCCGGACAAATCAGCTTTCTTACATATCCCTTCAACTTATCGAGCTCCCCAGATTTTCAGCCTCAGTGCACCTACCGACTGTCCTCCTTCACAGACTTTCTGACCTTGCGACCTTGACTCGAGGACTCGATCATGTCTGTGAGTGCTCTCGTGTTCCGGTCTACTGATGGTGCATTCACAACAGACCTAGTCTTGCGCGGCGTATGCACCTGCTCATCACCTGCAGAACGACCTGAGCAAGTCTGCTACCATCCTCACTATCCCGGTAGAGATACTCAGAGACATCCTCGGACGGGCAGCGAGGACTGCGGCCGGCGATCCCAGCATCAGCCTTGAGACCAGTATCCGTCTTGTCTCCCGCAAACTTCACCAGGAGTTGACGTCCATCGTGCCCATCCGGTCTGTCCAGCTGCTCTGCCAAGATGATGGGACGGTGATCGAGTTCAAGCCTGATGGAACGTCCCGCATCCCCGACAAGCGGGCAACTATCCGCCTCAGCTCCCGTGCCCCGCGCGCAGACTTTCCGGACCTGTACAAATGCATTGACGAAGCCCGAAAGCGTGGAACCACAAGCTGGCATCTTGAATTCTCCATACCAGAGCAGGACCCCTCGGGAGAAGCCTGGCACCTTCCTCCGGGATGTGAGCTGCTTCGATATCTTTGTCCTGACCAGCTCACGATCACTCTACACGCGCCTACGGCGGACCACACGCAAGGTCCCCTCCTCGGCTTTCTGATCCGAGATGGCACTCCTCATGGCGGAACCGACCCTGACAAGGATCCGGACACAGCCGCAAGCTCGTCGTCTCCAGCAGAGCTACAATCAGCATCCCGACATGAGCACATCACCATCGGTTGCATGAGCACCAAGGCTTTCGAGGCTGGTACCGACAGTATCAGGCAGAGCATGTTGGAATTGGTCATAAACCCCCGAGAGACCACTTACACTGTGGTCGGGGCGCACAATCTCCTCAGTGTCTTCCAGGCCCAAGACGCAGAATTATCGATCACAACGAAAGTCAAGGACGCCGTGCTGACTGTGATGAAGAGGCATCCGCCGGTGACAGACGCAGACAGAGTCTTCGCTTCCAGCTGCACGAAACATCAGAGCATGGACATCTTCCGAGAGTCTGTCACAGGGTATGGGTTGTTCGCAGACTTGCGCGAGGCGAGGATAGGTGCGAGTCTGGAGGCCGAAAGGACCAAGCAGCTGGCCAATTCTGGTGACGAGGGCAGTAATGTGTGAGCAGAGGCAATACAGTTTTACATGGTCTTCAGTGCTTCGGGTGATGTATTGTGATTTCTGCTAGATGGCTGAAGTACCTGCACAGAGGGGAGTGAGTACACTGCAATCAGTCTCCATATGTCAGCCCACAACATGTGATCCTGCATATCAGACAACGCTTTCCTCTTACTCGACCCCCTGACCCCTTGACCCTACTTACCCAGCCATCTCCTTCTCCTGCTATCTTTACCTAGTCCTGAACGTCCTCCCACTCGCCGTCTTTCTCTCCGCAACAGCCACCTCCGGCTTCGCCCTGTTGAGCACCTTCAAGAACTCGGCGACCCGGTGTCGCATCCTCGAGTGCATATAGGCCTTGGAACACTTGATGTGGTAGTGGAGATAGTCGCGGAAGAGCTGGATACGGTTGATGGCGGATTGGGCGGTGGCGGGGTTGGAGAAGTGTCGGGGGGAGAGGACTGGCGGGTCAGCGAAGGGTTCGAAAAGGACAGCACGACGGCCCAGAGAGGGGGATGGAGGAGAGGGAGGAGAGAAGAAAACAGCTGGGGGACTCACTGAATGTCACGTATCCCCAGTCTTCACCATTCTTCAATCCGGGGAGATGCCGGATTTCGAGCGGTGGTTCCCGGTTCGAGTACTGGACTTGCGGGGCAGACTGGAGGGACTGCAATCTACGCGCATCGACGAATTCCTGTCGTCGTCAGCAGCATTCCAACTTCAACCTGGCCTTTGACTTACTTGCAGGAAGACCCTCCCATAAACCCTATCCGTCTCCTCCTTGAAGACCGTGCTGAAAATCACCGTCACGCGATCATGGCTCGCCTGGATAAAGATCGCCTCTTCCTCGCGATACTTGATGATCTTCAGATCGCCCTTCTTTTCGCCGCCTTGTCCGCCCAGATCAGACTGTTGGGCGCCGGCAGCGTCCTTGAAGTTGGCCTGGAGGGAGGATTGTTCCGAAAAGGCAGCGAGGAAGGGGGCGGACATGGTGGTTGATTTGAGGTGGGAGAGTTTGGAGATGAGTTCGGCTCGGTCTTCTGCTTCTGTTAGCTGGAGGCGGAAGAGAGGAGGATGGCAGCCTCACCAGGCCCTTCTGGCAAAGCCTCCAGATCAATCCTTATCGATACTTGATACTCCGGCTCCGTCTCGCCCTCGCCGAGCAACAGGCTTCCATACACCTCTTGCAAGTGCTCCCTTGCCCCGTACTTGGCAAGATCAGGCCAGCACTGGATGCTCATCGATAAGAGGAGGACCGTCTTGGCTTCCTGGGTCGAGAGGTGGAAGCGGACATTGTCGTAGTCCACGAACTGGATGTCGGCCCGGGACGGTCTAAGAGGATCAGCGAGAGCTCGGGAAGGCTTGCTGTCCATCCCCAGCGGATGTTATACATCCAAGCGGTACGCCTAAGACGGTAGATATAGCGAAGAAGCCTACCGCTCGAACCGGTCCGTCAGGACATCCTGGATGATAGTGTTGTGTGACTGCGGAATGTCAGCTTTCGGTGCCCTGGAAGGGAATTTCCAGCTCACCTCTAATAAGATCATTCTTCTCGCTCTATAGCTGCTATAGGCAGTGTCAGTCCTCGGAGTTATACTAGACGATGTGGATAGAAAGAGGTCGTCAATACCACCTCTATGCTCGTTGTCGCTGCCGGCGCGGTGCTGTGCGTCATCCCATTACCGGTCACTAATGGTTCCCTTCACTTAAGCGTCGTTCCGCCGGGACTTGACCTTGCTAGAGCGCTTTTGCCTTGCTTGCTTGATGCATGCCCCTGGTCCCTAGGAGTATGCTTTGCAATACGAGCACCTGGAGCGTATGGTCGACGACGCCATGGGAGCCATGCATGCCTGCGCACCTAGTCCGATGGTGACCTCTTCCTCTGCCTCGATTGGCTGAGTCACGTCCTTCCGACGGAGAGGTGTCCTTCCGTCGGAAACTTCTGAAACACGGCTTGGTCACGATGCTTGATTTTTCAGCTGCAGGTATAGATAAGATACGCCGCATCCCGACCCTCCATCTCACCCATCATATGCCTGACCACCCCGTTCGCGTCAAGTCTACCACGTCTCGCTCATCTGTATCCACTCAGCCAGCACCCCCTGCCTCTCTGAATAACACTGCGCTCCTAGCCCTCCTCTTCGCGCTGTTCGCCACCATTCTCGCCGTCCCCTCCGCCCGGTCATTCCTTGCAGCTCGAACCACACGTCTCGTCCCTCTCCTCCGTATCCCGGAGAATCAGACCAGAAGAACTATCGTCAATCCCCCCAACTTCGCCATGCCCGCTAAGGCCGATAACCCCAATGATCCCCGGTGGAACTAGTGAGTCCACCTTTAGACCCGAGTGCGCTTGAGGGAGAACTATGACTGAGGGTATAGCTTGGCGGAGGGTATGGACCGGTATCACGCCCACTTCAGGTGGGAGTTCAACCGGGTCTACGACGTGAGTCGACCGAGTCCGTGGATTGATGGAAGACAAGGAGCTGACGGGATAGCTCGCGGATGGCGGGTTCCACAAGGAGGGCATGTCGCTCCCTCGATTCATCAGGGAAGCTGCGCAGCTCTCACAGCATCTGGACATGCATCACAGAATAGTGAGTCCGGCTCCGCCGCGGTAGCCATTCAAACAACAGCTGACGCCTTCAGGAAGTGCGTATCTCTCGTCTCCGGAGCTTCGGCTTTCTTCCTATTACTTCCGTCCCGCTGACATTGTAGGAAGCCCATATCTTCCCTATCCTCGGCAAGAAGATGCCTCAGTTCAAGTCTGGAGCTAGAGAATCGGGCGAACACCTCAAATCGCACAAACAGATCCATGATGGTCTGGACCGGTACGACGCGTTCTTGAAGGCGGTGATGGCGGATAGCAGTCAGTATAGCTCGACCGGATTGAGGGGGATCATGGATGGGTTCAGGGGGGTTCTGTTTAGGTGAGTCTGATCTCGTAGGTGTTCAAGATGAAGGTTGCCGAACCGGTACCGGGGGATGAGCCAGTGAGAGGTCATAGGCCCGGACTGGGATACTTGGGATTGAAAGCGGAAGCCCGTGCTAATACAAGCAGACATCTAGACGAGGAGGTACACGATCTCGGAGCGGAGAGTATGAAGGCCGCAGGCTGGACGTTGGCCGAGCTTAGACAGGTGAGTTGCACCCATACCATACGTTATAGCAGACTTAACGCTGACTGGGCAGATTCCCATGTAATAAACATCTTTTACTGTACTTCTCCTATCTCTAACCATCTTGCTGTATCAGATAATAGCCTATCTTGCTTTACTCATAATGCTCACTCTACCCCTCCGCCCCTCCAGATTTTGCTTTCGTTCACGATGCAGTCTCGCTCTGACTGCCTCGGAGGAGTACTGATCACTATATCCGGATCTGTCACGATTCTCATCATACTGACAGTGACAGCTCAGACATTACGCATTGCAATGTCTGTAGGACCACATGCTCTCTGACGCCGGTTTCCATCAGCCCGCACGGTACCCAGTCGCAGCGGCCCATGCCATCCGCCGAGGTGTAAATTACGGTGGCCCACAAGCTAGGTCCCAAACTCTGACGCAAGATTCCTTCCTGCGCTAGCAGTCCCAGACTGTACATGCGCTGACTGCTGGCATCACGCACGCGGCCCACGCGCTGCATGCGTGGCCTGCAGTTGAATAAGGGGTCATGCCCTGCACCTACCTACACCTTTCGCTCCGCCCTCGCACCGCAATATACCTCAGCCCACTCATCCCCAGGGGTGACGGAGCTCGGGAGAGGTAAGCTCCAACGCGAGGTCCTTGAAATTCAGGCCAGTCTTAGGAACGGCACACACAGATCTGAAGGCGGGCTTCGAAAAGGAAGATTTTTGAACGGGTGCGTCGGAGTCTCGAAGATCTGAGCGTGAGGCCTTCTGGTAGGGACGGTCCTTTGTGCCCATCAGTTACTCGAGCGCTCAGGCGGCTCTACTCGTCCTGACGTCAAGCCAACTTCTTGCCACCAGAGTTGTCGAGGTGATAATGGTCATCTTACTGAACACTGACATGTATCAGCATCTATTCCGGACCAAGGAGGTGGTCTACGAATGCCTCTAGCTGCGAAGTTCTACGGCCAACGGCTTGGCGCACGCGCCTTCGATAATTCAGTTTGAATCTGCGGTCCGAGCGTGTGTGGCTGACCTGATCCAGATCTGTGTGTGTGCCTAACGACTGACGCGGAAATCTGCTCGGTCCGTCCCGGCTGATCGAAGCGTCAAGGCACGGACCCGCAGAGGGCGGTGGCGTCGCATTCGAGCACAAACTAACATACTCACCGGATCCATACACTTACCCCTCGTTCCTCGACAGACTCAGCGGCGTTCTTCCCACTGCTCTGCGCCCTGCCGTCCCCTCTCGCCCAGCAGGGTGAGTGGGGTAGAGTGAGGCTGACGGGATGCCTGGTCGGGTAGCTATAAGAAGAGGGGCTTGCGCCGCTTCCCCTCGAGCCATCTTCGCAAAACTCCCCTCACACCACGGCCTGACCACCGCAGCACCGCTTCGACAGCATCTCCAAGCATCACCCTACTCCTCATCCCGTATTGCGAGACCCCGCATCCCTTCCGCCCGGCCTCCTCTCCAACAGCACATCACCTCACCCGACCCGCCTGGCCTCCTGTCGATCAGCACTAACAGTGCGGCCCCCTCCTCCCAAGGCCAGCGCGCGAGCGCGCGCGGCCATGCTCTTCCCACCTCTTGTCACCCTCTTCCCCATCCCCCCGCTTCCTACCCGACCCTCTCCCCCACACTTCCTCTTCTACCCGTACGCCCACCCGTTCCGCCTCCCCCCAATCCTCTCACAGCGACCGCGAGCAATGACCCCGGGTCGGGAGACCGAACGGATCCCGTCGATCTTCGTTCGGCCTCTACGTCCTCTCCCTGCCCCGCCTGCCCCTGGTCCGGCAGCGTCGTTGCGCCCTTCTCCCACTTGCCCCAAGCTACTGACTCCTCCGCCCGCTCATCTCGCCTCAACCTCCCCCACTGACGACGACGATGGCAGGGGCCCGCCCTCTCACTCTCCCGCCCTCTCCCTTCCTCCCTTCTCGCGCGGCGTCGACACCGCCCCCCTCCCTTCCACCGCAACGAATCCGCCCAAGCTCGCGCGGCCCAAAGGCAAGTCGGGAAAGAGAGCGACGGCATGCAGAGATTGCCATGCCCGAAAGCAGAAAGTCAGTCCTCCTCTTATATTACCTCTTCCTTTCTCCCCTCTACCTCTTCTTCCTTCATCCCGTCCCAAGCACACCTCTCCCTCATGTACGATTTGCATCAGCTGCCCCTCCACTACCACTGGCCAAAATCACAACCCCAGCTGACCCCACAGTGCTCCCAAGGCACTCCCTGCTCCCACTGCCATCGCCGAGGAACAAACTGCACCTACCCGGCCCACCACTCCGAGGCCGCGCCGGGCGTCAGAGTGCTGCTTCTCTCTCTGCTGCCGCAACCTCTCGATCGACCCGACCGACCCGACCCAAAGGGTAAGGGTGATCTCGCCCATACCTCCCTCCCTCCTCCCTCCACCCCTCTCCCCCATGGCCCCAAGGCGCCACAACGCCTTCGCCTTCTCGTCCATCCCCTCGAGTCCCTGACTACCCAACTCCGCGGTCAGATCCTCCCCATCCCGACTCGGCAGGAACGGACAGCTTCTCCAGAGGCTCTCGGACAGCCTCTCCAGAAGCGCCGGAACGCTTCTCCAGAGGCGCTCGGTTCCCCCTTTGTAGAGGCGGCGGTCTTACCCTTCATGGGTCGCGACACCAGGCCAGACCAGACCCGGACGTCGGTAGCGGGCGGTCATATCGGATATCAGCCTCCAGCCCCCATACCCCATCCCTCATACCCCTCGACCCCCCCTTCCCATTCCCCTATCGCACCTTCGCGAGCGCGTCCGCAGGCGGCAGACATGTCAAGCCGATTCCGACTCCATCCAACCCTAATACTCGACTCGCCTGAAGTGCGTGCGGCTTGTCCTTCACGGGCACGCAAGGTAAGCTTTGAAGCCGAGAGTTTTGCGATACCTCCATCGATGTCTCGAGCGGTAGCTGACTTGCTTGCCTCAGTCAGTGCGATGACGCGCCGGCGCCGTGTCGATCCCATTCCCCTACAGGGCCGCGATTCTGAGCAAGGGGTGAGGACGAAGGGGTGATCAAGCTTCGGCTGAAAATAGCTCGTATGGTGCCTCGACTCTGTGATGCATGTATGATGTCCCCCATCTGGATCTTGTTTGTGGGCTAAGTCACATACGGTACTCGAACTCGTAATGCCTCGCGACTCGCTCGAGCTCGACTACCTAGCGTCTTGGTAATTAGGCTCGACTCAGTATCAGCCGAGTTTGCCAGGTTCCATATAAGCGATATCCAAAATCGTGGTCAGCGAGTCAATCTACGCAGGGGTAGGCGAAGAGTGCTAGTGAGCGGTCAGTCTCCCATCATTACGCAAAGATGCATTTTCAGAAACACGAAAAGAAAGGAAGAGAGGCGCAGATGTGGTTTAATTCCGATCCGAAATCCAGGCTTAGGCTCATCCTGACAGACTCTACTGCTGCTTGCACTCTTCCTGACCGGCGGCGGGCGCTGGAGCCCCTTCGTCGTCCTGCTCACTATCAGCGTCAGTCCAGATCACCACCCATTACGCCTCTTAGACCACTCCCAGCTACTCCTCTTCTCTTCCGCTCACCCTCTCCCCTCCCCCTCGCCCCCGCCCTTTCCCCCTCTAGCGAGAGATGCGAAAAGTACTCACCTCATCATCCTCATCATCAAACCCCTCATCATCATCCTCAAAATCGTCCTCCTCATCCTCATCCTCAAAGTCCCCATCGTACCTTAACGCCCGGCCCGTAAAGTAGTCGACCGCGCGCGGGATAATCTTCTCCTTGAACTCCTCGCCGAGCTGATAGTCGAGCTCGAGCTTGCCGTCGAGCTCCTCGAGCTCGTCCTCGTCGATATCCTCGCGTTTGAGAATGTCCTCGGTTGGGGGCTGAGGGGGCTTGAAAAAGTTGAAAAAGGACTCTTGGGGGACGTCCTTCTTGATGGTCCGGGTGCGGCCGGTCGCTGGTGTGATCAGCCTGTGGCCGGACGCTGATCCAGGACAGAACAGGAAGAACAATAATTGAGGAAGGAGGAAGGAATAGAAAATCTATCAGCCCGAAAAAAAGGCCTACACTTGTTGCGCTGCTTCTTGATCTCGACCTTCTTGGTGAGGTCCTTGTCGCCCTTCCACTTGATCTCGTGACCGATCGCGCGGTCATACACAAAGTCACCCCCGTACCCGACTTGCTCCTGTCACATCAGCTTTTGCTCCGGCCTGAACATAACCTTCAAGAGCACTATAGCTAACCCACCTGGTAGTAGTACGTCTTGGTCATCTCGGTATCCTCAAAGAAGTCGTTCGGCCCAAACGTAAAGTGGAGCTTGAATCCGGGCTTGTCGTCGAGGTAGGACAGTCGGACATTGAGCATCGACTTGAGTGCCTAGGAGACGGGTCAGCCTTTTCTTGGATCTCCACTCATTCTTGGCAAGACTCACCTCCTCGTCGTGATCCTCAATCGTCTCATTGACGGCCGGGTGGGTCCTCAGCGCCGTCAACCAGAACTCGGGAATACCCTTCTCTCCGCTCTCATCCACCTTGTCCTTGCCCTCATCGTCCACCTCGGTGATCTTGGCTCCGCCCTCGTCGTCATCATCATCGTCCGACTCGGCGTCAGAGTCGGCCGCTTTGCCCTCGGCAACCTCCGTGTCCGTAGGCTCGGCCTTTCCGGCGATAATCTCGGCACGGCGCTCGTACAGGGGCGAAAACTTGGAGAGGAACTGTAATGCGAGTCAGCCCTTGCCCTTGCAGCCGGAGTGAGGGGAAAGAGCAGAAACTTGCCTTCTTCTCCAAATCGAGAATGGCCATCTGGAACTCAGACTCAATCTTGGAGTGTTGAGCCTGGACACCCTTCAGCCCGTCAATCCGGCGACGGACGGCTGGGGGCAGGGACTCGATGTAGCCCGACGACTGGCCGATGAGGGAGGCGAACTTGTTCTGGGCCAGAGCGAGGAGGGCGGGGTTCTGGGCGTCAGCAACAAGCAAGGCAGGACAACAGAAGACAGGGGAGTGGGGGAGAATGAGATGAGAGAAAATAAGTTGGTAGATGGAAGGCCGCCTCTTTCTCCGGTGGAAACGAGACAGATCCCCTCTGATGAAGGGGCGACTCGTGTATCTCTTCTTCCCGGCGTTATCGCCTTTATCGCCTCCCTGCTCATTACACTTCGCCATCGCGTCACCCTAAACATGTATTCAAATTTTCCTCTTCCCTCTTGCCGCAGTTCCATCACACCGGCCACACTGCCCTCAACAATTAATGCCTTCCTCTGACTCACATTCGCCAACAGACTCGCCGGGTTCATGCCCGCGTTCCCCTCATCCGCATCATCCTCATCCTCCCCCTCTCCGATATCCTCGACGGTCGGCTTGCCCAGATTTTTCGCCGGCCGACTGCTGAGGACGGCATCATTGACCAAAGAGTTCTGCGGGGTGGGCGCGGGGTCGGTGGAGTGGTCCCTTCCCTTAATATTCTGTGAGCTTGACATGGTTGCTATCGTAGTAATAGAGAGATAAGAGAAGCTGGGAGGCAAACGTGTGGTGTGCGCGCTGAAAAAGTGGCGGCAAGCTGCGGGTGACGCGTCTAAAGGGAGGATTGAAGAAAGAAGGAAATACAAGGTGGCGGATTCTGATCCCGCTCCCTCTCTCTCGTCTCCTCCACTCGACGGAATTTCAGAGCCAACAGGTGTACATCCCGTATAGCACCATGACAAGGCCATTTAGAAGCGTCGTCAGCTGTACGTGCACTATCGAATCCCGCTAGTATCGCCAGCTGACGTGAATAGTGGCACAAACTGCCCAGGCTCTGGCCGGACCATCCACTTTCAGACCTCTCCGACCGGCCCTCCCTCTCCTCTCCCAGCCATCTTCATCCCGATCGTCAGCTCATTCTTCCAGATGTCTGTCTCCAGCCTAGCTGACGAAATAGAGCCTCCTTCTCAGGATGGGAGCAATACGTACCCTCCATTCTTCGCCCAAAGCGAAAGACGGCAACCCCTGCTGTTGTCGAGCGGACGTCAGAGACGAGCGTGGATATTCCTCAAGAGGAACTAGCTGCGACGAGTACCGGGAGTCTGTTTGAGGAGATTGCGCAGGAGGTGGTACAGTCTGAAAGGAGACGGAAGGCGACACAGGTGAGTTGACACGACAGGACCTGGGGAGGGCCGGAGCGGGTGGATAGGGTCTTGGGGGACGTCTTCACGCCGTGATCAAGGCGTCATCAGCCAATACAGTAGGAGTGGATCTGACTCGCAGCATCGCTACTCTACCGCGCAACACAAAATATCTCCTCGGAAGCTGAATGACCTCTCTCGCCAGATATCCGGTCTGCCCATTGACGAAGCAATCGTCCAGATGCAGTTCTCGGAAAAGCGCGCGAGTTCTTGGATAAAGTCGACGCTGTGTTTGGCGAGGGATCATGCGTTGGATAAAGGCTTGGAGAGGGGGAGATTGATTGTTGGTGAGTCGAGTGTGGTCTTTTGATCTTTGGCGCGAGGTTCCGTGTGTGTATTGGAGGAATACGGAAAATGAGAATCAACGGGCTCAGGATCACGGAGGAACAGTACTGGATTCTGCCTGTTCCTTCTGCCCTTTCCTGGCGGTCGAGACCTGGCCGCTATTCTCTTCACCCCTTGTCTTGGTTCTTCGCCCTGCAACTTCACCCTTGACTATGCGTTTACGCTGCGCCGGGCCACAGCTAACCCCTCAGCCGAATCCTGGACCTCCAAAGGGCCCAAGATCAAGCGCGTCGACATCAAAGGTCGCGGTCGCGCCGGGATAAAATATCACCCATTGGCCCGCTTGCACGTCCTCCTGAAAGAAGGCAAAACCCGCAGCGAAAAGGACCAGCGGAGGTTTCAAAAGGAGCTGGGGCTTGTCCGGTCCGCGGGCGTCGTCAGGGAAGATGGGGTGTTGCGGCGCAAGGTGGTCAGTGGGTGGGCTTGGTAGAATCGCCCATCCATATATGCAGGCTGCTGCATTCTCCTATCTCATTCTAATTATCACACCTACCATGCTAATGTCCTGATCTCCAACTTATTCAACAACGCTCAAATATCCTAAACAAGTCAGGCAAATTCGCCACCTGGACCACTTCCTTCCCCATCGCCGGCCAAGCGGTATATCGCCTGAAACTCGGGAAGAGCACATGCTGGATCTGCCACAGCGCATGCTCGGCCTCTCGTGTCGTCTCCTCCTCCCCTTCTCCCGCCTCTTCTTCTTCCGCATCAACGACCCCGACATCCGGTGGGTCTTTTTCCACCTCCATCCCATCCTCATTCGCGTCCACGTCCGCGCCTCCCCCGCCTCTCCGCCTCTTCCCTCCTTGAGTGCGACCGGCTGCGGTCGGAAAAACCGGTCTTGGCGAGTAAAAGTATGCCAACTCCTTGAGAATCCCCTGGAAACATGCCTTCTCATCTTCCCAGTCGATCTGCCTATCAGCCTCCTGCTCTCGCCCCTGCCCCTCCGCGCGCAAAAAGGACTCACCTCCACCCCAAGACGCATCAAGAAATCTGGTAATCGGTCCATATTCGGCGTGTAACCCCTGAGGACCATCGGCAGACTATCGACTGCGCCAGCCTCGGTCAGGCGGAGGGAAAAGTACTCGTCAATCATTTCGCGCTTGTCCATGAGGGTGTCGTAGAGTCGCTGTAGTCGTCAGCGCTGAGTCCTGTGCGCCATGCCGATGGCCGCAATACGGTATACACCGTAAACAGCTTGATTTGAGATTGGGGACGAGAGGCGCTCACATTGACCACATCATCCACTTTCAGCCCGCACGCCCTGACTCCCTCTTCATCGTCCACCGCGAGCCACAATAAATCTCTCAGACTAGGCGCCGGATCAAGCCGGAGTCGATGCATCGTCCCAAATTGCCTCAGCGCGAGCTGATAAAAGTGCTCATCTCTGACTGGTCAGCTGCGACCCTCCCACGCATCAAGGACACGGTAATTCGGCCAGCTAACAACCAGAGACTCACGCCAACGAAGCATGATTAACGAGGTACAGCTTCGTCCCGTTTTGAATGAGACAAAGGGAGAGGTCCCGATCGACGACGCCCACAAAAGCATGTTTGGACATGATCTCGGTCATCTCTACTCTGTGTCAGCTATACTCATTCCCTGTGCTGCTCGCACCTGGTCGGGACTTTAGGACTTACCCGTACTCCCCCGTTTCCTAGCCGTACGTCGCAACTCCGTAATACTCGTAAACTCGCACATACTCTCTTGTATTTCCCCACTTCCACCTCCGCTCGCTTTCCCTCTTTCTCCAGCCAAGACCACACCATAAGCCCCTCCCCCTTCTTCCCTCTCATCCTCCCGATCCGTCTCCTCCAGCTCCAACGCATCTTCCGGTCTCTCCCCCATCGCCCTTCTCTTCCCTTTCCGTCCGTGCCCATCTTCACCTTCACTCTCCCCGGTCCCCTTTCTCCTCCCCTTCCCACCTCCACCCGTAACCCCGCTCCCACTCGCCCATCCGCTGCGCGGAAGCGTCTCGGACTGGGTCCACTCCCCCACCTGACCTGGATGCTGCGGCGCCAACATCCCATCCAACGTCCGGACCGCCATATCCGTCCTGACTTTATAATTCGGCGCCGCCTTTCTCTTTTCCGCCCTTTCCACTCGCTCTTCATCCAGCCCATCTCCCTCCCCCTCCATTTCTGTCCCGTCCCCTCCATTCCCCACTCTGCTCTTACTTCGAGCACTACCACCACTCGCGCCAGCCCCAGGCTCAGAAGCGCCCGGAAGTAGCGTCTGCACCGTAAAGCTCCGACTCGTATTCGCTCCTTTCAGAACATCGTGCACCGCACTGACGACAGCCTGGATCATCTCGTCCTCGTTCAAGAAATGAACTTCGGCTTTGCTAGGCGAGACATTGACGTCGATCTTGGCGGGGTCCATTTCGAGGCTAAAGAATCAGCTTGACATCCGTATCAAGTCTGCCTCAGCTACTGAGCCAGGAGAAGGGACGGACCTGAGGTATACCCAGGGATTGGAGCCCTTGGCAAGGTACGCCGTGTACATCGAGTCTATAGCCTTCTTGATCTTGGGGGATTCGACCAGTCGATCTATTGCATCAGCCCTTTTCTGAATAACCCGTCTCTGTTTAGGGATTTCGGGCAACTCACTATTGATAAACAACATCCAACCCCCCTTCCTCGCCCAGCTACTATTCGCATTACTCACCCATCCTCTACATTTCGCATCCAGCATCTCTGGCTTGAGCGTCGTGAGCGGCACCTCCAGGAGCTCATTTGCGAGTGACGGGGTGTAGAGGAGAGAGATGTTGGCTCGGGCGGTAGAGTCGACCGGGGTGGATATGTCGGGCATGTTGGAGCCTGCCTGAGCCAGTCAGCTTTCTCCTTGCTTCTGACAAGTTACATGCTGAGCAGAGATACAGATCCGATTAGCTGACCTTCTTGCATACCCATGCGCAGTGCGGATTGTGTATCGCATACTTGGTCACCACGTCGAGGATCTTGTTGTACTCTTCCGACGCTGATTTGAAGGATCGTTTTCGCATTGGGACATTATAGAAGAGGTCTTCAGCCTAGAGAATCAGCTGAAGCCATATTTGACACGCGCAACAACAGACACAAGAAGCTTACCGAAATGATCGTCCCGTCGTTCGCTGCTGCAGGTCTCGGTTCCGCCCCCGCCCCCGCTTTCGCAGGAACGAGCGCCCCATCCGAGTAATGCGCCCTGCTCTATCAGCTCCCCTCCCTCCCTCCTCTCTTCGCCTCTCGAGACTCAGACTCACTTCCACCCACACCCATCCTCCCTAGTCTTCGTCACCACCTCCACATGACTACAATAACTGATACTCGCCAGCGCCTCCCCTCTGAACCCATACGTCCGCATACTGCTCAAATCCTTAAACTCCCGCAGCTTGCTCGTCGCATATCGCTCGCACAATAACGGCAGGTCGGCGCGATTAATGCCGTGCCCGTTGTCCGTGATCTGGATGAGTTTGAGCCCGCCCTCTTTGATGGAGAGCTTAATGCTCGTCGAGCCGGCGTCGAGCGAGTTTTCGAGGAGTTCCTTGATGGCTGCCGCAGGCCGCAGGACGATCTGGATGTCAGCTGAGTTTCATCGTAGACCGCTCATCGAGTGAAGGGCCTGTCAGAGAACATCTGCCGTTGACTAGATGGGACATCTTGCACGCACCTCTGACGCAGCGATCCTGTTGACCACATCCTGGTGGAGCTTGAGGATCGGCCTCGGCCCCTTTGGCTCGAACGCCGCCGGCTCAGCAGGCTCATCGACATCCATCCTTCCACTCCCTCTGCACTGATGAGATGTATGGACTTTGTCTCCCGGTATCAGAGTAAGGCAAAGGAGAAAGGCAGAAGAGAAGCGCAAGGAGAAGCTGCTCTCCGCCTTCGCGGACTTTCTGAGCGAGAGTACTGGCGAGACGCGTCTCGAAGTTCGCCGCTATACGTAAGCCTGATGACGTCACCCAAGATCCGTGCGTCCAAAATCCGATCCTTTGAGCTTTGCGCGACTTGCCAGCGACTATACCTTCTCTCTGTGCTCCGTACACCGTCTTCTCAGCTCACACTTGACCTTTGCCGCTAGACGTACAGTAGGTGCCGCGCCAAGCTTGAAGGAATCTTCAGAATGCCCGTGAGATTAGCGGATCAGCCCCGGCCAGTGCGGCGATATAAGCATTCTCTGCGGAAATCACCGTACCTCGTCTCTATGGTGTTTTTGCTCGCGGCGACGGTGTTTTCAGTGTTACATATATATGTGAGTGGAATCAGATGCCAGATATTGGTACCGTTCGAAACGGACGCCAGAACAGCAGCTAATAGCCCAGGTACCAGACTTGATTCGGGTAGAGGCGTATCCACATGGTCCAGTCGGATTCATCACCCAGTAAGCGCTGCTCCTTGCTCATATCGGATCTACGGACCCGAGCAAGCGGCTGATTCTCAAGGTACGGTCTTTATAGGAGATGTACCACCACATTCCCCAAATCCGACTCGGACGCGGACTTCTTGCGCCCATCTCAGCCGTTGACGCTGTCGCCTTCTTTCGAAGAGCAGTTCGAGTCGGTACCGAGCGCGTGGGCAATGAAGAAGGGCGAGCCTGTCACCGAGTGCGAAGCTTTCCCAAGCCGGTACGTACCCCTCCCCATCTTCATGTACCCGCTGACCCCCAGGTCCGAATGTCAACTCTTCGGCGAGCGCTTCTGCGTCCTCTGGTCTACCTCAGGCTACCTCGCCCAGCTCTCCCTCGTCCCGTGCCTCCTCGCACTCGCCTCTCTCCTCTTCATCTTTCTGCACCGGGGTCAACGCACCGCGCGCGCCCGCGCACGCCGCCAACAGTGGAAGCTCGTCACCGTGACGATGATTATCCATTTGGTATTGCAGGGTGTGGATCTGGGACTGGTGGCTTATGTATTTGGGACGGATGAGCGATTTAGCGTTCCTGGTGCGAAACTACGTGAGCTTTTGTTCTACTTCCGCTTTGTAGACGGCAGGGGACCAAGCTGACCGCTGACCCCTCAGACAAAGCATGGTCATTCGGCCTCGTCTCCGCCATTCTCTCACTAGCCATCTCCGCCTTGCTTTCGTTCACGGGTATAGCGGCCCGCCAAGGGAAGCCATGGGCGGCCGGGAAATCCGCTCGACAAGCGCGTAGACATAGGCGGACGAGAAGCGGGCACGTCGTGCCTGTTCCGGAAGGCACGGTGATTCCAGAGGAAGAGGTGGTTACAGTGGGTGAGGTGGAGGCTGCGCGGGGGGCGGTGGACGAGCGAACGGGGCTGTTGGAGGGTGGGCTGGGGAGGGGGACGTAGGCGATGCATAGGGACATGAATGGAGTGAGGAGGGGTATCTATAGACGGGTATACGATGTGTGGGCTTGATAAGGTACGCCGAATGCGGATAGAATCTCTGAGAACTAACTTACGTTGCACGGTCATCAATGCTGTACTTGTACATTCATACCATTGCTGACTTAGCAAACCTGACGAGAATGAAGCTATGAAGTACAATGATTGGGCCATTTATCGAAGTCTAGTGTTGTACTGATACAAACGCAGTGGGAGAGGCCACAAAATCGAAGCACGAAGCGCAAAGGGAAAGAATGATGGTAGTTCGTTTGATGCGGTACCGAGCAGGGGTATGGCCTATGGCGGAGTCGAATCGAGTCGACCTATACTTTACTGAGGAAGTTGGAGAGTGACAAGTCGGCGTACTCGTCCTCGGGGGGTAGATCGTCCAGTCTAGCCATGTCAGCAATGCCGCACAAAAGACGGGTATCAGGAGCTTACCCTTCGAGGATGCGAGCCGCAGACATTGGCCCTCCAGCTGCCTTTGCCCCTGCCTTGCCTTTACCCGCCCGATCCCCGTCCGCTGAGACCTTGAAGAGATCCAGCACTTCTCCAGTATTCATTGACCCCAATCCCGCGTTTTGCTGGGTGACGACCGACGAGGCGATATTGAGCTTGAAGCGTTGTAAACTGTACAGTTAGCTACACTCCTTTTCTACCTGGTTGCCAGAGGACTGCGCAACTGACCCCATAATCTTCTCCTCTAGCGTCCCCCGCATAATCAACCGATACACATTAACCACCTTCCTCTGTCCCAGCCGATGCGCCCGATCCATCGCCTGCAGATCCTTCATCGGGTTCCAATCGTGATCCACGAAAATTACCGTATCCGCTCCTGTCAAATTCAGACCCAGACCGCCTACACTCGTCGTCAACAACAGGACATCAATGGCGGGATTGTCATTGAAGGTCTGGACGACGGCGTGGCGCTTGCGCGGGTCGGTAGACCCGTCCATCCGCATGTAGGTGACCGTGGGCATGTGCGGGGCGAAGAGGGAGGTCTCGATGAGGTCGAGCATGGGGCGGAGTTGGCAGAAGATGAGGACGCGGTGTGATGGCGAGTCAGAGATTTTGTCTGCGGAGGGAAGACCTATGCCGCAGTCGTTTAGTAATTGCCTGGGCGTCAGTGCATGGTCACATGTGGTCGAGTGGAAGTGCTGACCTCAACGCCTCGAGTTTTGGCGCATTCCCCAGATCCCGCAATCCCACTTCCTTCCCCAGTCCCGCCCGACCCTTCAGCTCATCCCATCTCCCCATACCGTCTCCACCCTCCAGGACCAGCGCCGGGTGGTTACACAGTTTCCGCAAATACTGCAGACTCTGGAAAACGTGTCCCTGCCCCGAGGCAGCCGGTGCCGACTCGGCCGTAGCGGTCTGAACCTCCTCACCCGCCTCTTCGGCCGCACGGGACTTGGCAAACTCGTCGTATAGTACCGACTGGATCGGGGAGAGGTCGCAGTAATAGTCCTGGATAATCTTGGGCGGGAGGTCTTGCAGGACATCCTCTTTCAGCCGACGAAGGAGGAACGGGAGGACCTGTTTATGTAGCGTCTCGAGCGCGACCGTGGCTATCCTATCAGCTCTATTCCTTCACAACCAGGGCTAAAGGAGCTGCTCACCCGCTTCCCGCTCTTTGGGCGTCGCCTTCCCCTCTCGATCCGCCATGACCGGCTTCCCAAACTTCTCTTGGAACCCCCGCTCACTCCCCAAAAACCCCGGCATGAGGAAATCAAACAAACTCCACAATTCCAGTAAATTATTCTGGATGGGCGTCCCGCTCAACAATAACCGATGCTGCGCCTTGATACACTTGACCGCCGCCGCGAGCTTTGTTTTCGCATTCTTGATGATATGCCCTTCGTCCAGGACGCAGTAGAGCCAGTTGATTTTACCGAGCTCGGCGATATCCGCGCGGACAGTCTCGTACGAGGTGATGATGACGTCGTAGCTCGTCAGGGAGGGGCGGAGGTGAGCGCGCTGGGCGTGCGTCCCGACGTACTGGAGGGGACGGAGGGAAGAGGTGAATTTGAGGATCTCGTAGAACCAGTGACCGGTCAACGTGGGTGGACAGACGATGAGTGAGGGAAGGTGTGCCGAATCGCGCGAGGCGCTGAGGCGGTGCCGCGTAAGTCGCTCGTGGTGCTTGGAGCCGATGATGCAGATGCTCTGGAGCGACTTGCCGAGGCCCATATCTGCGGTGTCAGCTAGACCTTTCATATTTTCCACTACTCTGCAACTTACCGTCGCACAGTATCCCATGCAATTGATACTTCGCCAAGAAAGCCAACCAGCTCACTCCATCCTTCTGATATTGCCGCAGATCCGCCTTGATCTCGATCGGAATCTCGTACTGCTCCGCCTTGGACCCGTCTAGCAGCTGAGTGAGGAATTGCCGCTCTTCGTCCCGCTTCGCGAGGAGGTCAGGGGAGAAGTTATGTGGGTCGGGTATGCCAGCCTGAAGAGTCAGCTTGTCTACACTTGACAGACACGTGTCTTCCGTAGATAGTGTATAGAAAAGCTAGCTTACTTCGAGAGGGACCATCTTGATAAGCGAAGCAAAGGTGCTGGTCGACAAGAGCCGGACAGACTCGTCCGGATCACTCATCCGCCCAAGGATGGGCACAATGAGGAACAGGACATAGGGCAAAGCCTTGATATCCAACAGCTTGATGATGTCTGTCTATATCAGCTCCCCTTCCGCGCTCTACCGGACATTAGGGACTGACGGTGAACAGCCTCCACGGCGCCCTGTCTCGCCTGTACCCGCCTCGCATCCCCAATAAGCGGAACCACGCCGTCCACAACGGCCTTCATCGCTTGGTCAATCATCACGTCACACAGTGCCGCAAGGCACAGCGCGGCGGTATGTCTGATAATGGCAAAGGACGACTGGAGCGCGAGTAGGATGGAGGGTAACAGCGTCGCTAGGCGGGGATGGAGCCGAGAGTCGAGGTCGGGCGATATGAGCCGGAGAGAAGTGAGGGCGTCGATGACTTCTTGACCTGCTTGGGGGGTTGTGCGGAGCTTGGCGTCTGCTCCTTCTGCCGAAGATCCTGAAGATCAGCTAAGTTCTCTGTTCCTGAACCTCAAGGACAAGGTAGCTCACCCGCCGGGAAATGCGCCAACAACCCCGCCCCAACCCCCTCCCACATCCTCGGCACGACCTCAAACAGCCCCTCCCTTCCCGCCCGCGCCAGCTCCCGAAAGGCCTGCAACGCCCCCCGCCTCGTCACCCGCATCCCCAACTCCGCCTCGCTCTCCTCCTCCTCGGCCTGATGTTTCCCCTTCTTCCGGGCCGCTTTGGCCGCCGCCTCCTTTTCTTCCCGAAGCGTCTCAATCCCATCCACAGCAGACTCGGCGCGGAAAACGGGCGTGATAGATGTATCGGAACACAGAAAGGTGAAGAGGTTGGAGACGACCTTGGTGGATGGATTGACGGGGCGGTCAAATAGGGGCGAGGAGCAGAAGGCGATGAATGCGGAGATGGAGTGTGCGGATCGGGTTTGGAGGATCGTTGATTCTTCTTTCTGGGGATGTCAGCTTGCGCCCTATCCGTACGATATGAAGAACAGGTACCATCGAGCTCACCTTGATACTGTCCATGATGGCCTTGATCAATCCACCAAACTTCGCCGGCAACACCCTCAGCGCCACCAGCGCGCCCGCTACCCCCGCCGCCACCTGCGTATCATACCGGTCCTTCATGACCGCATAATACCCAATACTGACAATCACCTTCCTCTGCCGATCCTGTAGCCCCGGACCCGCAGACTTCGCTGCGCTCTTTCCTAGCTGTCCAAAGAGGCTGTCAAATTGCGTCGTTGCCGCCGACTGGGCAGTAGCGAGCGTGAAGACATCAGGGCTGGTGCTAGCCGCAGCATCCACCTTCTTGGGCAGGGTGGGGATGAGCTTTTTGACGAGCCTCCCTTCGGTCCCGAATGCGCTGAGGAGCGCCTGACAGTCGGCCTGGATGCGCCGGAGGAGGGTCGTCATCTCGGTATACGTCGACCGGGGCGGGGACTCAATGAGCTTGATGAGGATAGGAATGAGGGTGGCGGCACCGGGATGCGAGGAAAGGCTGACTGCGGGACCGAAGTGGGTCCGGTCGGCTTGGTACGCCCATTCTTGGATGATGATGGTGGCCATAAGGGCCTTATGCGCTGATCCGGACGAAAGGGCAGATCTGAGGAAGTCGAGATCCTAGATGTCAGCTTCTTCCTTCTCCCTGGGAGTGTCTAGAGGTGTTTGCTTACTTCAGTTGATCCCAAACTCCGTAAATACCCCAGCGCCTTGGCCCCATCAATCCTCGTCTCCCACATGATCTCCGCATCCACCAACCCCAAATCACCCGCCATCATCGCCTTGTCGACATTATGCCCTCCCGACTTCTTGGCTCCTATTCCGCTCTGGAACAGATCGGGGTCCAGCGGCTGCCCCACCGGGGTCATGACGAGCCCGTACCAGTCCTCAACGCCTTCCAGCTGCGCACCCGGCGTGCTCATCCCAACTTTGAGCGCTTCCATGGATATGCGCCGAATTTCGGGATTCTGCTCCAGGATGAGATTCTCAAAGAGGTATGCGAAATATTCGGGTCGCTTCCAGTGGGCCTGAGAGAGGTTGTCGGCGGTAGATATCCGGTGGAGTGCGGAGACGACGGCGAGGCGGACAGAGACGATGGGGTGGCGTCGGAAGGGGTAGATACTGGGGATGAGGTGGGAGTTTTGGGTCGTCTCAAAGAGCTGGATGAAGCGTGGGTGGGCGAGCATCGTACCTGGACATTAGCTAGGGCAGGGGTGTAACGAGGGGAGGGACATACCGAGGAGATCCATGATGGCGCCGATACTGCTCCCGAGCTCATCTTGGTCGTTCGCGAGACAATGCCAGACGGTGTCGAATATGGACCGAAGGCGGTCTGTGGGCAATGTCTCGGCGAGCTGGCCAGCGATAGCAAGGAGAGTGGAAGCAGCGACGGTGCGGACGTCGTCATCTGCGTCTTTCATTCTAATGGTCAGCTCACCCTCACGTGGCTCGCCGAGGGGGCACTCACGATAGTATCGCCACATCCACAACATCGTCAATGAGCGAGAACGCTTCCGGCTCCACCTTCATCCCATCTTCGGCAACACCGAGTAGGTCACCTCGCACCGCTACCTCATATTTCAGTCCCAACAGCCCCGCATGTCGGATCTCCCACGAGAACCGCTCCCACTTTTCCCTCCCACTCCCCTCTTTGCCCCGCTTCGCCCACGTCTGCCGGATCATCTGCACCAGCGTCCCATGTACCTCCCTCACCGCCCCAACCGACAGGTACTTCAGGCACACGCCCAGCCCTTGCGCCGATGTCTCTCGGACGGGGGCGACAACCGTATCGCCCAGAAAGTCGCCAAAGCGATCCAATGCCTGAAGCGTGAGGAAATGTCGAGCGAGGGGGAGAAGGACCGTATCGTCCAGCGAAGGGAGGGAGCGGATGATCTCCATGATGCCCTGAGCGGCGCCATGCCGGGCTTGCCATGCTGGATCAGAGAGGAAGGGGATGATTTCGGTGAGAACGGTCACCCAGGGAGATTCGGTCGATTGAACCTTGATGAGCGCTGCTCGAGCTTGGGAGACAGCGTTCCCGTCTGCATCAAGAGTCGGCTCCACCTGTCCGCCTCCGCCGCTTACTGCGGCCGCTCGAGCTTTGGCGCCCGGGTCGATGACTACCGCTCCTGCAGGTGCAGGGGGAAGTGGTGTGGTAGGAGTGCCGGGCGAGAGTTTCGGAGTGGGTGTCGCTGAGGATGCGGGGGCGGTCGGTTTCGCAGCTTGCTCGTTTAGCTTCCGCATTCTACACTGTCAGCTTTGATCATTACAAAGATCCTTGAGCTCACTTATTCGCCTCTTCAGCCACGTTGCCCTTCTTCCTTTTGAGCATGATCGCCTGCCTCGCACTCAGCCCCTCAAAAATGTCCACTGGAGGAGTTTCCACCTTGACCGCTTCTGCACCAGTCGCCCCTTTCCCCATATCCTCCTCATCATCTCCTATAACCTTATCCACATCATCGCCCCACCCTACTGCGTCGCCGAGCCCTATCGACCCCATCATAGCCTGACGCCGTTTCGCCTTGTCCCCGGTACTTGGCTTTGCGATATATTCCCGGCCGGCCGAGGCGAGGAGAGTACCACCATTCTGGACGAGGTCAAGGATGTCCACCGGAGAAGTGTCGAAGGGTACGCTTGGTGGAGGTACGAGCGAGGAGGAATGTGGGGGAAGGTAATTTGCGAGGAGACCGAGCGCATGGGCAGCCGCGCTGCGGGATTCGGACTGCTTGGACCGGAGGATGGGGACGAGCTTGCTTATCGTCTCAAGCGCCTCATCCCACGCTTCGTCCTCGCTGACTGTAGCATGTAGGGCGACAGCGTCCGGGTTCTTTGGCTTGACATCCCGGGTGGAAGGACCAGCTTCCTGCTTCTTGACGCTATCGTCGGGTCGTGCCGCCTTGTAAATTTTGGAGGTGAGCTCGGCCAATTGCTTCGATGCTGTGCGACGGACGGCAGAGGATGTGCCCGTCTCGAGCAGGAGGATGAGCTTGTCTTGTCTGGCCTATCAGCTGGCTCCTGATCCAATATGGCTGAAGTACCTGTAAGACATGGCGGACTACCTCCACCTTTGCTTACGGTAAGAAGGTATCCGATATTTGGTTCCGCGGGGGGATTAGCTGGGCAATACGAAATTCACGCTGACGCTATAAGGAGTTCCTAATATAGCCATTTGTAATTAACAAGTCGGCGGAGGCCGATGACAAATCGCCGACCGCGTATTGCCGCTGCCGGCAAATGTGGCACTTTCAGACGAGGAATGAGGAGTGATCCGCCAGCAGCGCCTAATAGCTTGAGCTTCAGCTATGTGCATGGCTCAACGACAACATCCGCCATATGTAGCTCACGGTTACTGCGGTAAGCTGCGATAGCTTGAACAGTATCTCCGCCGATCAAATGGCACCCCCACTTATCCGTACTCACGCTGCAAATCCCAGATCTGAGGCTATCGGAGAAGCCGGAAAAAGGACGCCCACTCAGTGCGGACTGCCTTTGAAACTCTAATCCGATGGTGTCCTTCACTCAACATCGACACTTCACGCTGATTCTTCACTTGTACATCATCCTACCTTTACCACATCACAAATTATCATTATGCCGGCTGATCTGTCGATGTTTACTATCCGTCTCGCATTGACGGAGCAGGAACAAGAACATATGCGAGCCTCCTTTGGGCACTGGGGAAAGGGTCACGAGTGGGAGGTGAGCCAACTTGTGAAGAGAGGGCCGGCGGAATCAGCTGACCCTAGGCTTACGTCGAGGAGGGGAAACGATGCCGCATGTCCGGAGCATGGATGGAGGACGGTGGAAATCAGTGCTGGGTTTTGGTCAAGAAAGACGAATATGATGGAGCCATCTACTCGGGCTGTGAGACGTGAGTCATTACTTTGTGTCATAACAATATCTTGCTGAGGAGGAACAGCTGGCGACGCAAGACTCTGTTGAAGCATCACGACGGCGAAATGAGCGATGTTGTGACGTACAGCATCGCATCCGTGGTCACCCCAATCGAGCATCGCCGTATGTCTTGTCCTACGATGCGTGTGCGACAATACTGACGACCAGACAAGGGCTTTGCTACTCGCCTACTCCAACTTCTTCACTACCACCTCGCCTCGCCATCGACTATCCCTCCCTTCCCATCGAGCTGGGGCACACCTCCTCCCCCTCTTTCCGACAAAGACCGCGCTCAAATCCCCATCGCTCTCGCAAGCGTGCTCTACTCGGACGTCGGACATCAGTTCTATAAGCGCTGCACGATCGGTCTCGACCGACCAGGCTGGGTGGTGAACATGGAGGACCACTGTCAACTTATCACCTGTAAACTGGCACCTCTGACCTCCGCGCCTTCCCAACCTCCGGCTCGGAGCTGGCTGTTCACCAAAGATCTACCCACTGTCGCTCAAGAGCTCTCCACAGCCAAGCGAGAGGAGATCTCAGCCTAGCCGGGCTCAAGCTGGTGCGCAGACCCACTATCGCCGGGAATTCTCGCCTACATCCCCTCTCGCGTGCTCCGACCTCGTGCCAAGGACTTTGCCCACGTCTTTGACACGGAACCATGCCGTATCCGGCTCTCTTCTCTCAAGCCGGACAGAAGAGACACCATCGTCCTCTTTGCCAACTCCATGGGCAAGATCAGTCGCGGTCTACTCGTCACATACGTCCATAATCTGCACCCGGAGCAGCTCCCAGCGCTGCTCGACGCGCTGGACGAGGCGGGAGCTATGGCTGGGCTGGATGAAGGGATGGTTTGGGGCATACACCCGGAGAGTGAGCTGGGAAGGGCGTGGGTTAGGCAGGAGGGGAGAGGGGCGGTGGCGCGCACGAGGCCGGAGAAGGATGGGCATTTGCTTGGGGTCGCGTGGTACGGCGGGAAGCCGGAGGAGCAGGCGGTACTCGCAGACACCCAGATGTTCAGTTGGTGTTGACCAAGGAGTGATGCACGACTGAACGGCCGGACATTGCCGCCCTCCAATCCACTGTTCAGTCTCAACTGCTCTCCTTATCGAAAGCCTCATGCATCGGCCATGCATCAGGTCCCGGGCCGGAATGGGCCGGAGAATCGCCTATATCCGAAAATCCATGTGCTCCTCATTCCTCACTCACCGCTGAGTCAGCGTGCACCCGCTCAATAACCATGACCCAACAATTCCATTGTACCATCACCTCGCAGTCTTTCCCCCCCGCCTTGTCTTTCAGCGGAGACCTGCCTCTGTACCCTCTGAATACCCCAGTGCATTCAACCAGCATCGAGCTCCAATGATGTCAGACCAAACGGATCTGTCCAACTATACCATCCGATTGGCTTCTTCTGAACAGGAGCAGCAGTACCTGCGCGCGACCTTTGACGTCTGGAGCAAAGGAAAGTCATGGAAGGTATAACATCTATCCCACAGTTGCTGTGTAATGCTGACTGGAAGGACTACAACGAGTTTTTCGAGAAGACCTTGAATCAGGGACAGTGGACGGAAGACGGAGGAACGAAACACTGGGTGCTCGTGTTGAGAAGTGACTACGATGGCGAGATATGTTCGGGAGCTCGCGTGTACGTTGATGCTCCTCTCTGCCAAGAACGGTAGGACTGATCTCGTCAGGTACAGACGCACGGCCCTACTCAAGGAGACCTCGTCGACGGAGATTCGGGACAAGTATATTTACAACGTCACAGCTGTTGTCACCCCCAAATCCAAGCTCCGTGAGACTCCCTCAAGCCTGGCTTCCTACTGCTCAGCTGACTCACTAGGGAGAGGTTTCGCGCGTCACCTCTTGAAGCTTCTTCATTATGAGCTCGCCCCTCCCGAAGCTCTCCCACCGTTCCCTGAGGCTGAGTGGGGTCCTCCTCCTCCCCCTCTCTCGGAACGGGATCGAGCAGACATCCCTCCCTCTCTGGCTAGCGCTCTCTGGTCGATCGTCGGGAACTTCTACGAGAAGGCGGGGTACATCATCCAGGAGGAGCACTTGATGCAGATCAAGTGGTCATTACGCGCCCCTACGTCTTCGGAGCCGCCGCCCAAGCGGAGCTGGATATACAGTAGTGACCTGCCAGCCATCGGTGCTGAGCTGTCGGAGGTCAAGCGGGCAGAGCTCTCCTCCCAGCAGGGCACAAGCTGGAGCATCGACCCCAGCTCGAAAGGCGTCCTCAGCTATATCCCAACAAGAGTCTTGCGTCCCCGCTCTCAGGACTGGAACGAGGTGTACGATCACGAAGCGGTCGGAATTCGCTTGCCACCCATCAAAGCCGGTCAAGGCGAAGCTATCGTCCTCTTCAGCAACGCACTTTCTCTCCTCCCCGGTCTGCTTGTCCTCTACGTACACAACCTCGAGGCGGACCGGCTACCCACCCTGCTCGAGGCGCTTGATGAAGCCAGTGTCGCGGCCGGAACCAAGGAGGGACTGCTATGGGGGCTGGCGGAGGATAGCGCGCTGTCGAAAGCTTGGCTCAGCCAGCCTGGGCGGGAAGCGAGTATAGCGAGGAGAGGAGACGCCGAAAACCAACTGGCGGTGGCATGGTATGGTGGGCACGAAGAGAAAGGGCGTGTCGTTGACAGCCAGTTGTGGACGTGCGCGTGATCATGAGGGTAGCGAGATTTGCGTTCCGGGACAGCTTGACGGGGATGCCGTTTTTCCATCCGTGTCTTTCGACATCCAGACTCTGTACATATCTATCGTGGTTGGACCCTGATAGCGTAACCTCGGCTTTCACTGACACAGAGCGCGAGCACGCTCAGTACCGACGTCTATCCATATTCAGGGGCGGATCGTCGATACACACACCTTGTGTGTCGAGTTGAGATTCGCCTATTATTACCGAAAGATTTTCGTCTCATCCTCTTTACCACTCACTACCTGATAGTTCTGACTATACTCGATCTGACAGCTATAATAGGCTATTGATATGGCCCTCCCACCATCACCAATGTTCACGGTGACGCCTGATCGCCCTCAGCGGGTTGATCTCTCATCATACACCATTCGCCTTGCGAACGTCGCACAAGAGATCGAGCACTGGCGGGCGTCTTACGTCCATTGGGGGAGAGGAAAGGATTGGGCAGTAGGTCATCACTGCTCCCCTCAGTTCCTGTATGAAGCTGACGAGGCGCTAGACATTCAAGGTGGACCAAGAAAAGTGTAAATCGGAGGGCGATTGGGGCCGCGAAGGGGGCTTCCGATGTTGGGTGCTCGTCAGACGAGACGCCGTGGAGGGGCCGATCTACTCCGGGTGTGAGACGTGCGTATCTGTTTGCTCAATTGCGATTCTCGAAGCCACACGCTGAAAGGACAGTTTTAGACGGAAAGCTTTTCAAAGGGAGAACGGCTCGAATGAAGTGAGAGACACATTCTCGTACGCTGTCGCGTCCGTTGTGACGCCTGAACCCCTTCAACGTATGTACTCCAGGCCCGCACACGCACAACGTCTCCGAGCTGATCTGTCAGGCCAAGGCTATGCAAGCCACCTCCTTTCTCTGCTACACTATCTGCTCGGCGATCCGGTCTCCCTTCCTCCATTCCCCACCCACCGCTGGGGACCACCTCCTCCCCTTCTCTCGGCAGCAGACCACGCCCAGTTCCCGCCCGGCATCGCCTCGGTGCTATTCAGCGATGTGGGCTCCACTTTCTATGAACGAGCAACGATCGGTCTCGATTGGACGGGCTATATCGTTGAGGAAGAAAGCTGTCACCAGGTAACCTGGGAGCTCAAGCACCGACCGGGACCCACCGAGCACCAATGGGATTGGATCTACCTTCGAGATCTATCAGCTGTATCCGGGGAGCTCTCCAGAGGCGCTCGAAAGCGGATGGAGAGCGCTCATCCGGACTCTACCACCTCGGTCTGGGCACCCGATCCGGCATCGGACGGAACGCTAGCCTTCGTCCCTACCACAGCGGTGTGGTGGCGCTCCAACCCCACCTCCGTCCTCGAGGCGGAAATATGCGGAGTGCGTCTTCCGGCCATCAAGGCGGATCAAGAGGAAGCGATCGTGCTCTTTACGGCCGGCCAAGCGCTCATCGGGGACGCCATGCTGGTTACTTACGTCCACAATCTCGATGCGGACCAACTGCCGCTCCTAAACGAGGCGCTGGACGAGGTAGGCTCGCGGATGGGGCTGAAGGAAGGTTGGATATGGGGCCTAGAGCAAGCAAGCGAGCTGGGCAAGGCGTGGATGAGCTTGAGTGGGAGGAAGGTCAAGGCGGGTAGGAGGGATGAAACGATGGGGCATCTGCTTGGCGTGGCATGGTATGGCACACCAGAGAGTCGAGGGGAGCTGGCAGACAGTGCGATGTGGACCTGGTGTTAGGTTCCAGTCTCGGTGCATTTGGGATGGACCTGGCAGCTTGTGCTGGGACGCGTACGATTGTCACGAAAGGTTATAATTCCTTTCCGCTCCACTAATCATACTATGGCATTGGCTCTGATGTGCGCCGAGGATCCCGCCTGCAAGATTCACCTCTAAGGAAGTCAGGCAGCAACCTCGAATAACGAAGAAAGGTCGACCAAGACTGTAACATGCCACATGCCACGCTCATAAGCGGCGCTTACTCCGACGGATCCGAGAATTGGCTAGCACCGAGGTCGCAAATTCTAGTGAGTTTGGGCTTGTACTTGTGAGCCATCTGTGCATATTCTGACTCCAGCGCAAGAGCCAGTGACTGGACCGGACAACAGAGGATACGAGCTGCACCCTCCAAGATTCCCACCATCACCGCATCATACCATGTCCGCCAAAGCCGATCTGTCCGAGTTCACCCTCCGTCTCGCCTCCCCCGACCAAGAGGAGGCTTATTGGCGAGCGACTTTCGTACCCTGGGCCCGAGGGAAAGAATGGGAGGCAAGTATCCCATTTAGTAATTGAATGGAGTGCGAAGCTGACCCATAGGCAGGCCTTCCGAGCGAGCCAGATCAAGTCGAAAACTGGGGAATCGCACCAAGATGGAGCATGTAAGAGCTGGGTCCTTGTTAGACGGGATGACCTGGACGGAGAGGTCTACTCTGGCTGTCAGACGTGAGTCTCGTCGATCATTAGTGAGCACGACAAGAATGCAACTGACACAAGAAGGTACCGGCGGAAAAGTCATCTACTGGCGCCCGGCTCTGCCGAGGTCCAGGAGGTCATCTCGTACGGGATCGCGAGCGTTTGCACTCCCGAGAAACACCACCGGAACGGGTTTGCCACACGCATGCTCTCCCTCCTCCACTACTACATCTCCCTCCCCTCCACCCTCCCTCCATTCCCTACAGCCCAATGGGGAGAAGCCCCCGCACCCCTACCGGCGGACGTCCAGGCCTCGCTCCCGCCCGCCGTAGCCTCCATCCTCTTCAGTGACGTGGGCAGCACCTTCTATTCGCGATCGACCATCGGCGTGGACCGTCCAGGCTGGATTGTAGCCGACGAGGACAGCCAACAGATTTCTTGGAAAATGGCCCCGCCGAAGGGGACCAGCTCGTCCAGAGGTTGGATATACCGCCAGGACCTCGGTGCGGTGGCCAAGGAGCTCTCGGCGGCGGCACGGAAACGCACGGCGGCCGATCACAAGTCGTCGGACGTGCCGGTCTGGTCCACCGATCCAGCGTCGACAGGAACTATGGCCTACGTTCCCGCCATGGCTATGGATGACCGTCCGGCCGATTGGCCATACTCCGAGGCTGATGAGCCGTGTGGTCTCCGTATCCCGGCCACTCAGCCGGACCAGGAAGAGTGCATCGTCCTCTTCACCGGGTCGCACGAGACCCCTCTTGGAACTGGTATCGCAATCACCTATACGCATAACCTGGACGCTGAGCGTTTGCCGACTCTGCTGGAAGCGCTGGATGAGTGCGGGGCGAAGATGGGCTTGAAGGAAGGGATGGTGTGGGGCTATGGGCCGGACAGTCCGCTCGGGCGAGCGTGGGCGGAAAGTGGGCGATTGTTGACGGCGGGAAAGAGGCCGGAGCGCAAGGGACATTTGGTCGGTATAAGCTGGTACGGGGATCATCAGGAGAGAGGGAAATTGGGGGACAGTGGCATCTGGCACTGGTGCTAGGTCCATCCTTTGAGGCAGACTCCTTGATCGTCTTGGAATTGCCAGTATATTCCATTCTCCTCCTTTCCTCTCGGTATTGTCAACAGAAACGAGGAGATGGCTGATATCTAGGGATTTGACCTCGACCAAGCGCATGTACTCTCGAAGTTTTGATATGCCATTGTGACCATGCCAAGCATACTCAAGTATGTTCCATTCTCCTCCTTTCCTCTCGAGATTGTCAACAGAAACGAGGAGATGGCTGATAACCAGGGATCTAACCTCGACCAAGCGCATGTACTCTCGAAGTTTCGCCATGCCATTGTGACCATGCCAAGCATACTCAAATCTCTTTTCAAATCTACCCTCCCCTCCCGCTCCAAACCCAGTCGCCACCCTCAACCCCTTTCCCCGGGCGCGTTCTCCGATTTTGACCGGTCATCCACCTACTCTACCGAGGACCTCACACAACTCACCGCGCAGCTCGCGCGTTCGCTCGCATCACATACCTCTGACCCAGCGGACCAGGCCAGATCTCGCAAAGACAGCAAAAGCAAGGGGAAGAGCAAAGACAAGCTGAAGAAACCAAAGTCGAGGGGCGCGTTCGCAGACGCCTTGCATCCTGCCATCCAGGCGATCGAGGCTGGAAACGTGAGCAGGATTGACCCGTATTATCCTTCTCAGTCCCAGGTGTACCCTCCTCAAGGTCATACTGGTCCTTCAACCCATCAAGGCGCTTCTTCGTCCTACCACACCCAAGCCGTCCCATCGCCCGCGCAGGCTAGCTTCATCCCGCCGAAATATGCGGCATCGCAGCCTTCAGCCGGGGATGAGTGGAGTCTTGCCTTCCAGTGCTGTTCCGCTGCTCTCGGTGAGTGCCCGCTCTCTTTCTATCAGATGATCTGAGCTGATAAAAGCAGCTTCGGCGGAGCATCTCGCACAGCAGCGGTCGCTCCTCCCTCGCAGGAAGAAGCTGGCGGACCGCTGCGTCAGCCTGCTAGACGCCCAGAGGGATGAGCTGTTCGCGATGCGGCCCTGGGCGGAGGATAAACAATTGCCGATGTTTCGTACGTATTCGCTTCTAGTTTATGTAGGAGAGTGTGTCTGACGAAGCAGGAACCCTCACTCAGGTCTATAACGAGATCATCAACGCCCTCGATCAGGTCACCCCAGATAATCAACACGACATCCACGGGCTCCTCACCGTCGTTCAGGTCCTACAAGAAGGTAAGCTGCCGTTTGCCCATCAGTGCGCGACAGCACCACGCGGTCTAGCTAACAGTAATCAGGTCCAGACTATCTCATCGATATCGGTCTCGTCGAGTGCATCATCTGGCAATCCGAAGTCATTGATCCAGCGTACGGCGCGGACATCCGGAATTTGCTAGACGATGCTGTGGCTGCTCAGGTCGGACTAGTCGAGTGAGCTGAGGGATACATGAATCCGCCAGGCGAGCTCTTTAGCTGACAGATAAGATTTCGAAGAAGACTGGAAGTCATGATTGAGGTGGCATTGGCTCCGCCGGCTGGAGCGGTAGATAATGATCTGGGCAGAGATGCATTGGACGCTATTCGGCGGTTTGTCAAACAGGTGAGCTATGCGACTCATTCTGGAAGAATGATATCAGCTCATCATCAAGCTGGAAAGCCGTATCGGAGCTCATACTGCCAACCCCTTCGAATTCAGCACCGCTCCTCTCCCTCCCACACTATCTACCCCTACTCCCTCTCCCCCAGCTTCGTCCTCCGGCTCCTCCTCCCCGGCCACTCACACGCCCCATAACGCCCAAACCCTACAACAGACATACGGTACCGGCCCCCTTCCCCCCGTCTCCCATCCCTCCCCTTACCCTACTCGCCGCGCACCCTCCCCCACCCCCTCCTCTACATCCACCTCATCCTCCCAGAAATCCATCTTCGAATACCGCGGCCACCGACTCACGCGCTCCGCCCTCGAGCTCGTCCAGACCCAAGAAAGACTCGCCACGGCCGACTCGTCTGGCCAGTATGCGGGCGAAGTATCCTGGGATGACCTGCGGAATGCGTGGGTGCCGAAGTGGGCCGAGAAGCTGCGGAGCGACGAGGTGGCAGATGGGGAAGTACCGGATACGAATCCTGCGAACTTTAGAGAGAAGAAGAAGGATGCGTGGGGGAATCGGATCGGGTGGTATGAGGGCAGAATGTGAGTTTGACGCGCTGGATCGAGCTGATGGATAGGTACTATGAGGAAGAACCCAATTTTGATCTTCGCTAGAGCGGCACGACTGGTGGCAAAGAGTAAGGAGGTGTCGGCCAATGGACGGAGCCTAGTGAGGATGACATGTCTACAAAGCCCCAGCAGATTATAGGTACGACAGCAGAGAGAGGACGCTACGGGAGATGTAGAAGCAGAGAGTCCATGTATGTAAAGGTACTGCTAACTGAGTGTCCGGGAAGTGATGTGTCTATGCTACATATTGGAGAGGAAACGGCTAGTTAAGGTGGAAAGAAGAGATATGATCGTGATGGGTTTCGTTTTGGCGTTAAATTTAGGCATAAGAGGACCGTTGTCTCTGTCTGCGCTGTTGCTGTTGTTGTTGTTCAGACAGGGAGAGGGACGAGCGGGAGGTGGAGTTGGGCATGCCCGCCGCGGGCATAGAGGGGCGTACGAACGACGCCGAGGGTGACATGCCCATGCCGGGGTGTTGAGGCGGGGCGGCGTAGCCGTATGGCATCCCCATAGGAGGGGCGGGGAAGTACATTTGCGGGATTGGCTGGGGGTAGTACATCCCCATCCCCATGTTGGGCGACATCATCTGCGGGGAGAAGCCCATACTCGCCGAATGGACCATCCCGGGGTGTTGAGAGTACTGGGCGGGGGAAGGGTGAGACGCGCCACGGGTATTGGACGAGGAGGGATTGGTAGGGAGTTCGTAGAAAGAGTGATACCGCTTTGTCTGGGCCATAGACTGCGGGCGAGTCTGGTCGACTGGCGAGCCGGTCGTGGTGTGCACAAACGACTTGGTCCGCTGTCGCGATTCCTCCCCTGGTGGAAGCTGGACGGACGCCCTCTTCCCCGTCGCTCCACCCGTAGACTGCGACCGGATCGGCGCGGTGGTCACGGCCACACTGCGCCGCTTGGCCTCCTCTTTCCGCCTATTCTCGCCCTCCGCCCGCCTGTCCACCTCGCCCGACGACAACGCCTGCCGCCTCTCCCTCGCCTTGGCCACCTCATCCATCGCGCGCGATTGGCGCTTCTCGTCATACATTGCCATGTCGAATTGAGAGCGGCGCTTGGTGAGCTTACCGGGAGCGGGAGGTTGGGAGGGTAGAGTAGGCTGTGATGACTGGCGAGTGTGGCCTTTTGATGTGTTTTGGACGGTAGGGTCCGAAGTGGAGGCTTGCATGCCTGACCGAGGTGGCCGGACGGCCTGTGCGAGGGGCTGTACATCCTCGTCGTCTTCCTCCTCCTCATCACTATCCTCCCATGTCGCCTGTACCACCTTGCTCCTGGGCCGGAACGACGACTCGGCCTGCTCCTGCCGCTCCCGGTAGACCAGCGGCGCCACGTCGACGGCGTGAAAGTCGATCTTGATCTCCGGGATGGTATGTCCCATCTCGAGGACCGGCGGGGTATTGATCATCATGGTCGAGACCGTATCGTCGCTGGAATCGCTGTTAAAGCTGGCTGCTTTGGGTACTCCACCCATAGCTACCTCCTCCGTGAGATCCACCACCGCGACGTCCACCTCGTCCGGGTCCGACCGCAGCCCCTCCATCCCCAACAAGCTTGGTCGGGGAAGAACAGGCCATGCCGGCTGTTCCATCTCCCCCGAGTCCGCCAGCGCCAGGATGTACTTTGAAAAGTCGAGGTCCCAGACCCCAAAGCCCGGTCGCGCCATCGAGACGGGCGACCAGTTGTTGTCGGGGTAGTAGACGATATGCCGGTCTTCGAAGGGAGGACGATTGATAAAGTCGCGCATGCCCCGGGCTTTGCGGTCCGAGAGGGTATGAGGGAGGGAGGGACGCTTTCCCATCCCGCCGGAAGGAAGGGCGCCGCGCTCCAGAGCATCAAGAACAAGCTTGACGCCTAGGAGACACCATAGACCTCGCTGGGCGGGTGTGAGGCCGGCAGAGGGATCGCGGGGATTGATAGACCGCGGGTAGATGATTTGGCCGACTTCAAACGAAGAAGCGACCTCGTTGGGGAGGTGGCTTGTCTGACGCCGGAGCTGTTGGGCGAGGGGATGGGGAGAGGGACGACGGAGCTGCGCGAGCTTGCGGTAGGATGCGCGTCGGAGCTGGTCGCCGACCCATGCGTAGGGTTGTTGCTCGGGCGTAGGATTGATACGGGAGGGCGGGTCCGCCGAGGTGGCGGAGAGGGTGGGCTGAGCGAGATTGGTAGAGCTAGAATTTGGCGATACGGAGGGGGATGAATCGGTCGAACTCGGCGCGGAAGAGGGCATTTTGAGCGTCCGGCGACCGAGCCAGCCCATCAATCCCCGCTTTTTCAAACTCCCATCCTCCACATCCGCCTTGGCTAGGGCGTCCCCAAAGTCCGATGGCGAGCCTGATGGGGAGTCTTGGGGTGTCCTCAGAGGCAGAGCGTCCGAGCTCGAGCTCGCCGATACGGTGGAGCCTCGGTCCGAGATCATGAGGCTGGACCGGTTTGACTGGGGCGGTGTGGACAGATCGGAGGAGCTGCCGGATGCGTTGAAAGTGGGGAGAGGAGGGACAGGCGGGAGTGGCAACCCCTCAATAACTGGCAAAGCAGAAACGGACTTCCGCCGCCCGAATAACCGGCTCAATCCCTTCTTCCCCGCCGTCCCGCTCTTTTGCGCCTGAACCACCTCGTCCCGCTCCGCCGCCGACGTAGTAGCCGAGGACGTCGAGTCCATCGACTGACTCCGTTTTCGTCCGAGCGTCCTCTCTGGTACGGCCATAGTAGACGGCTGGCTGAGCGGACTGCCTTTTCGTAGCGCCGCCGAGCTCTTGATCTTCTTCAAACCGCCCATCCTAGACTTTGCCGGTGGAGGGGACAGCTCCTTCTCCGAGCTCAAGGGCTCAGCTCCGGCTGGAGCCATGTACGCCCATAGTTGATCGCCTGGATGAAGGAGGTAGGCATTCAGCCCGAATGGGTCCGACCGGGATCCAGCGACACTCGGGAAGGGAGAGTAGGAGGAGGAGTCGAGGAGTGAAGGGGTGAAGCGTTCGGGCTGGTACAGGGAGGTAGGGCGGGGAAAGGCCGACTCGGCGAGAGGGTGCTCGAAGTCTGACATCTTGCTGTGGATCAGCTGGTGATCCCAAAGAGTCGAGGAGTGGGCTCACAATAGATAGATGCCCTGCTTGTGTTAATTCCAACAAGTCTTCCGTGAATGATGTCGATGCAGACCGAGCTGGAGCCTAGGCGGGTTGCCTGGTTTTGATCGGATAGACTGGTCCGGTCAGCTCAGTATCCTTCCGACAAAGGATCAGCCGTGGAGTCGACGTATTCGCCGACAAGGGGAACGAAGGAGAGACACCGCATGACCTCGCCTAGTGCCTACTCCGCCCGTCGGCCAGGAGGCAAAGTGTGAAAGGGGTCGAGAATAATGGAGCGTCCGACTCACGTGCGTCCTTTCCCACCTTACAGCCGTCCTAGCATGTATCCTTTTCCTAACAAAGGGGACCACAGATCATGCCGGAGAGGGGAAGGTACGGGAAGGTCCACTGCGAAGACCTATCAGTCAGCAAAATGACCTCTCATGTGCTGACTGGCCGAAAAAGGATCTGAGGCGGTGTGTCGCAAACAGAGTGTAAGGGTGATGAGACAGTGGGACGAGATGATGACGAGCCTATGTCTCGGATACGTCTTGAAGGGGTGTGCAGTGTGGTTCGGTGATCTGAATTCTGGTCGAATCTTGCCAAGAGCATCAACTTACTCGATCCTTCCTTGCGCTTTGTCCTTCGTTTGATGCGCTTCGCGAGGATGGTAGTGAACGCTTGTGTGAGGGTCGAGAGGCGAGATGTACAGTAAGAGGTAAAGAGCGACAAGTGACGACAAACGTTGTGGTCCAGAAGAGGTGTGATTGATCTAAAAGGTTAGCTCGGGCGAAAATGTGTGTGTAGCGCACACAGCATGCAGGAAAGATGCAGGGTAAAAGGGTCCCGCTCACGAGAAACTGATCGTCGGCCACCGGTATAGCGTCTGCTTCTCCACTGACTCTATCCAGACATGCACACAGGGCGAGGGGGATGCTGGTGTATGTACAACAGCTCGAGAGAAGCAGCGACGAACGAGCTGATGGCGGTGGTCAGCGCTCAGATCACCGTCGATCGCGAGGTAAACCTTGTTTTTGGAGGTTACTGCGAGATGAAACGAGGTCACAAAAGGGTCACTGCGAGCGATTTTGGGGTACTTTGGACGGCAGAAAGATACTAGACAACGCCTATAATCTCCTGCTGCATCTGGTCTGCTCGTCTGCTTTGCGCGTGGCTCGCTGGGAGCTCTACTGGATGGTCGTGTTTAGACACCTTGCTGAATGGACCAAATCTTCAGGAACCCTTATTACGTTATGGTGAGCGGCAACGGCGTGAGACGAGAGCAAGACAAGAAGCCGGTATTACGAGAAAGAGTCGTCATTCCCCGTGCCTGAGCCGATTACAGGGTTAGTGGCGCCAAACACAGATCTGCTTTTGCCACCCATGTCAAGCCATGTCAGCATGTCTCAGCTCAGCTTATACTTCGTCCAAATTGGCTCGCCAACAGAATGCTCCTAGGCACTTGGACAGCTCAGGCTCGTGAATGCCAACAGCCGCCTCGATACAGCAAGCCCCCGGAATCAGTGACGATGTGCAGCATTCTTGCTGCGCTGCACCGCTAACCGCGGAGAAAATGACAAAACGCCCTTTCACTTGGCAGTATGCTTCGAAGCTAGCTCGAGACGAGCCTCGTAGCTAGCTAGGCTGGTGTCCTGTTTGATCTCGACTATTAGCAATCGCTTCGCGCGAGCAGGCTGACGACGTGGCGATGCCCTTTGTCCATCGCTCAAGCGTGTCTCACCGAGACTTCAATGGACTCGGACCACAAAGGAGATGCACATAGCACGCCATTGCGCACTGAGCCTTTTCGGAGTGTCCCAAGCCCCCCTGCATGGTCCCTCTGCCATTTGCCACTCTACCTATAACCCCACTGCTGCTCACCCCAAGGTTTCCAGATCTTCTTCACTCTTGACAATATCTGCGTCCTCTGTGAGTTTAGCCAGTGATCACAGCTCATGACCTGTACTCCATCCCTGCCTCAGTTGAAACGGCTCGAGCATCACTGACACAGCAGATTGCCCCTATCGTCGAGACCCGCTCACACTTGACCGAACTCCCTCCTGAACTGCGTACCAGAATCGCTTGGTTGGCGACTCGTACCATGTCGATAGCAAAACGCAACTGCCTCAGATCTACCTGCGGTGCCATAAGGGACGCCGTCGATGCCGGTGCGCGTAACGACACCTTGATACTCCTCTCCAATGTCCCTGGAGAGCGTGTTGAGGTACCGATGCGTGGAGGCGGCAGTCCCATCATCTGGTATGAACCGCACAGAACCATAGCCCACGCACATCACACCAACCCTCAATCGACGCTCGTCACACCAACCAATGCTACAATTTCTGTGTCAAGCGCCGACATAGCCTCATAGGTCGCGTTTTCAATCCCTTCCGGGCAAGGGACACTCAAGAGCAACTTGAAGCCGCGTTGCCAAAGTCGATGCGGCGCTGCACCGTAGTCATCACTGGCTGTCCTCACGTCACGGAGAATCACCCATTTTTCGCGTCAAAGATGGACCAACACATCATTGCTGAGGAGTTCCTCGTATTGACGCAAGGCGCGGATCCATCCGAGCCGAATGACACTGATCAACATCATCTCACCTCCCTGGTCTACAGTCGCAGAAACGACCGAGTTAGCCCAAGCGACACACCGAAGAGCTTACCGGGACATTCCGCGAAGCATTACTATATCGGTCTCCTTGACTCTGCCGACCACACGTCAGCCGTGTCATCGACAATTGTGGATACCCTCTCCAGAGACACAGGCGCGACATTCACAGTGGTACTTCCCGCCAAAGGTCAGACGCAGCTGGTAACCGTACCGCCGAACTCAGCTGATGGAGCCGAAAGTCAGGCAGAGTACAATCGCAAGAACATCAGTCTGATCTACGACGAGATCTCACCATCCATCCTCGAAGGCGTGCATCGTGAGGAGCTGAAGCAGATGAGTCAGGTTCCCGAGGGGACCCGCGTCAGTTTCATGGCGTCGAGCACATTCTGGAACGCACAGTCTCGTGCTGAGGACATGCTCAAGGAGTATCAGGGGGGTGCTCAGCATGGTTTCCGCGCCCGCAGACCAGCTTTGGAGCATGCCCAAGCCACCTCGAGCCTGAGCGGGGTCGTGGCGGGAGAGTGAATCTCTGGCATGCGGCCTGCTGTGACAGTGTGAATGAGTGCTGGGTATTCGGGGTATCATGATTTCACAGGTTGTGAAGATGTGAGCATGTGTATATCGCCAACCTTGATGCGCGGCAACACAGCAGTGAGTATGATGTCAGCTGTAGAGGTAGGCCTCTGGCCAATGCTGTGCAGTTGATGCTGATTGTATAATACTAGCTACAGTGATAGATGATGAGTTTAGGGTATTTTCGTGCAGGGTATCAGTCTTTGCCGGGTTGACCAGCCATTTTGCTTCTTCTCCTTCTTCCAGATGTCGATGTTCCGGATGATCCCTCTAGTGCGCATAGTCGTACTTCTCAAAGAAGGTCTTGGCGTTCGAGTACTGCCCATCAGCCACCGTCGTCGCTCCCTCACCGCGTGTAAAGCAGACTCACATCGTTCTTAGGCCCCCGCTCCCTTCCCCTAGCCTTCTCCTGCTCCCGCCTCAAATCCCGATCGACCCTAATCCAGTTCAAAGCGAGGTTGAAGAGGTCCTCGGTCGGGCGCTTGGTGTCCCACATGACGAGGTCGTCGGGTGTGGCGCCGAGCTGGAGGTGGGCGATGTGCGTGGGAAAGACAGTCAGGCCGTCAAAGATGTGCGTTGCGTCTATGAGGTCAGCTGTCGCGTCCCGGCAAGGAGCTCCTCTCAGCTGTTCTGGTGTACGTACAGACGATAGTCGCGCCGCGGGTCTCGGACTCCTCGACGAGGAAAGCGAGAAGATCAGACCGGACGAGAACGTCAAGATCGACAGTGACCTAGAGATCAGCTCTGCATTCTGCCCCAGGGAAAACGAGTCAGCTCACCTCGTCAAGCAGCAAAACGTCCCATTCAGTCATGAGACCCATACAGAGCTGTACTCTCCTCCGCTCTCCGTCTGAGATCTGGTGCATGTGCCTTGGTCATCAGCTCGGCTCTTACACCGAAAGGTGAAGCGAAAATGAGCTGACCAGTCAAGGTCGACGTCGAGGATGGACAAGAGCCGGTCTCGGCGGACCTTGTGCCGATATCCACCGACCGAGTCAAGGAATTCAGAAACGACAATGTCGCCTCGGACGACGGGATTGTTGGACCACTCGGTACCGAGGTAGATGACGCCCTAAGACAGTCAGCTATGGACTCTCCATCGCGTCATGCCTAGCTGATAAATACGTACTCCAGGAGGGTTCATGAACACATCCTGCCCAAGAATTCGGCAGCACCGAGTCTTGGTGAGTCGCTTTCCAGCCAGAATGCGGAGCATAGTGGATTTACCAGCTGAATCAGTCAGTCACCGTCTTCCTTCAGTTCTGGCGGTAAGACGCACCTCCGTTGGCACCGACGAGGAGACACCTGGCTCCTCGAGGCAGCTGCAATGTCGCGCCGGTCAAGGCTGACTCCGCTCCCTCCTGGAAGGCATACACCAAATCCTGGCAGTTGATGGCGTGTTCCTCTTCCACTTTTGCGGGCTTTCCGTTGGGTTGCGCCATCTTGCTTGGAGCTGGCTCAGTAGAGCGTACAGGGGTAGTGAGGATATAGTCGAAGAGCAAAAAGCGGACGATCGTTGGCAGCTCATCTCATGAGTCGATCGTCGATGCCGAGAGAGTACGTAACGTGCGCACGGACCATGTCATTGTTCATGATCACGTGACTCCAGTGCCCCCATCTCGCCGCAACAGCAAGCTATATTGCTTCACCTTCCACCTATATCTTTACTATATTACATACAGCCACGGTCTGCCAGTAGGAGAGCAGGTGGCAGAGGCTGATCGCTGCGAACTGCCTGGCTACTCGAATCAGCGTTTCGTCGACCGAAATGGTCGCTATCGGAGCCCTCGACTCGGGCAATCCGGACGGCGAGGATGAGTCCAAGAAGGCCGACAGGCTCGCCGCCCGGGCTGCGAGGTTCAACAAGCAGCTGGTAGGGAATAGGCACAAGGAGGTGAGCTGCTATCAAGAAGTCGTCGTACGATGCACAGCTGACAGGCGGTGAAGTTAGAGGAAGCAAGAATTCGCGAGAGGAAGGGGTTCGAACAACAAGGATTGATTCGAGCTGGAAAGACCGAGCTAGGCGAGGCGGTGGATATGAGAGGGACATGTGAGAAGATGTGCTCAGAGTACGAGGCGGAGTTCCGGGAGTTTACGGGCGAGGTGCACCCTTTAGAAGCGGTAAGTCCTAGAACTGCTGAGTCTGAGGTGTCACAGAGCTGACGGCCTAGCGACCTGACGACCGGCGGCGGATAGACCACCTCAAAGCCGTCGCAGCATATACTCGGTCGGACGCAGGTGCAGGACACGGCGAAGCCGCCAAGCTCCCCTCAGATCTGCGTACACCCTCAACCCTCATCAAAACTCTCGACTACCTATTCTCCACCATCCTCCCTTCACAACCTACCATGCCCGCCCCGGCGCGTCCCACACCGCGGACCGCACTTGGCTATACGGCGGGCTTCATCCGCGACCGCACTCGGGCGATCAGGAAGGAGTTTGCGATGCAGTCGAGCTGGGGCCAGATGGAGGCGATCGAGAGCTTTGAGCGGATTGCGAGGTGGCACATCCTGTGTCTGCGGGAATTGCAGGAGGAGACGGGCATGAATACGGATATGCACATTGATTCTGCCGAGCTGGGACGATGTGAGTTGAGGAATTCCGTCTTTGACGAAGGCAGGCAAAAGCTAACAACCTCAGGCTTCACCAGTCTCCGCCAACACTACAATGACCGGCGGGAAGAATCAGGTATCGACATGCCATGCCCAAACGAGCCCGAATTCCGCGCCTACATGCTCATCTTCGACCTCACCCAAAAGGCCGTCGCTATATCCACCGCCGAGATCCCCTCGGTCATCCTGGACCACCCCAACGTCCAGCTCGCATGGCAGATCCGGCGCGCCGCCCAACGGAACTTTGACTCGCAAAAAGAAGGCTCAAAACAAAACGCCGAGCTCGGAGCAAATATCATCACGTCCTTTGTCAAGCTATTGAAGCAGGCGAGCGCGCCGTACCTCCTCAGCTGTCTCGTCGAGGTTCGGCTCCGCGAGATGAGGCGCAGTGCTCTGCGGGCGCTGCAGCGGTCATACCCCCGTGTAAAGGCCGAAGCGATTCGGCGGAATGCGGAGGGGGAGATCGTGGAGAAGAGGATGATCGTGACGAGCGCGCTGGCGACGATACTTGGGTGTGAGGAGAAGGAGACGGAGGGAAGTGCGTGGGACGATGTGGAGCAGACAGGAGAGACGCCAGAGGCGGAGGCGTTGGAGATTGCTGCGAGATTTGATCTGGAGGTGTTTTTCGAGGATGGCCAGCCTCTCGGCGTCCTCATCAATCTCGGATCGTCGTTTGATGGTGAGCTGGTTCATGCTCTACCCAATTGTGCCAAGCTGATCGATCAGATAACAAGGACGCACCATACACCCGTCGCTGGAAGATCATCACCGATAAGCGCCAAAATATTACCTATTCGGACATCATCAATGCCAAAGCTGGGGTTCTGGCCGAAGGAACTCCACAACCCATACGCGTGGCTCCAACCTCGAGCTTCCGCCCATCCTCCATACCCGTGCCGTTCCGGCCGTCTATCCCGGCAGCTACGCTCAAGCCTCCCGCGGTACCCGCCCCATCGCAAGCGCAAGCCGCGCCATTCTCATTCTCCTTTGGAGGGAATGGGCCACCCAAGCCGGTCTCGCAGTACGTTCCACCTCAGGCGCCACCTATCTCGACACCCTCGTTACCGCCTGCGGGACCGGCGACTTCCTCGTCCGTGCCGGCTTTCACGTTCGGTAAGCCCGCAGACTCCAAGCCAGCTCCGGCTCCGGAGGTCGTTCCTGTCCCGGAAGCTCCACGTCCGGCCAAGCGGACCACTTTCTCATTTGCCGCGCCTGCGCCGGTAGCGCCCAATCCTGTTCCTGTGGCAGAGGCTGGGCCCGCAGCCCCTGCTGCACCTGCGCCCTTCTCCTTCGGTGCTCCGGCTGTCGCTGGACCGTCCAAACGGTCCAAATCGCCAAGCCCACCTGCTTCCGCCAGCCCGGCCGAAGTCCTCGCCCGGCCGTCATTCTTCGGGACACCTGCTGTGGCAGGACCGTCGACCCCAGCTGCTGCCCCACTCCCTACGACACCTGTTGCCATTCCTCCATCTCCCGTCGCCCAATCACCACTATCCAGCAGTGTCGCCGCTCCCTCACCTCGCAAATCCTCGGTCCGCTCCCTTACCCGAAGCATCGCGCGCGCACCCCTCAGCCCCGAGTCCCACGCCCCGCGGCCCAATCAGCGAGCCGCCATACACCCTTTAGCCTCTTCCCTCATTGACGAACTCCTCCTCTCCCTGATCGCCGAGATCACGCCCGACCTCACCCGTACCGTCAAATCTCAGATCGCTGCTAGAGAGTACACCGCCCGGAAAGCTGCGCGCCGGCAAACCATCTCGGACTGGTCTGCCGGTATCCTCGACACCATGCTCCAGGACGTGGGAGAGGAGATAGCAAAAGAGGCGTATATCCACCAGAGCCATCAGAGGGGGAAAGTACGCCAGACGGCGAAACACTGGCGGGAATGGACGAAGGAGAGGGAAGAGACGCGCGAGACGGCCGTCAGGGATAGAAGGGACGTATGGGAGAAGTTGAGGGATATGGGTTTGGGTGGGGCGGAGGAGGGAGGGGGAAGTTTGATCAGGGGAGAAAGTGTCGGGGTGGCGGGGAGTGAGAGGTTGGAGGAGATGCAGGTGGATATGAGTTTGCATGAGGTGAGATATCGGATGCCTCGAGATGCGGACGAGAGCTGACGTATAGGCTGAGAGGCTCAAAGAGCACTTCTACTCTCCCGCTTCATTCATACATACCATCGCTCGGCAGATTAGCCCTATCCTCGCCTCCTCCCCGGATACGAGTACCCCGAAATTCCAGGTCCTCCTCTCCACCTCGGCAGACTCCGCCTCGCCCCCTCCGCCCGCAGCGAGCAAATGGCTCGTCGATAAAGTGACGCCAAAGATTGATGGGGGGGCTTGGTGGTTCTGCGAAGGGGTCAATTACGCTACGGAGGTGAAGAGCCGGTATGATGAGCTTGAAAGCAGGAAGTTGGGGAGGGTGGGAATGGTCTTGGTGGAGGTGCCTATGAGTAGCGCGTTGAACAAGGAGAGGGAAACGTGAGCTGTCTCCTCGCCATGATTTTCAATTTAGCTGACTCGACAGAAACTCGGCGGCCGTTCAAGACCGACTCGGAGCTATCCTCGACCTCGCACAAGCGTCAGGTACGGCGTATAACGCCCCCGTAATTCTCTTGACATGGCAAGAAGAGACACTGGAAGAGATCTCGGAACGGGTGAGCTCTTTTTTGGCGTGGCTGTGTGCGCAGACTAGGTCAAGAGCTGACTGGTCTAGCTATCTTTGGCGGACTATCTCCGTCGATTCGAGCATATCAGAGTCATGTGCCTTTCTCAGGTGGAAGATCTGGATACGAGATTTGCCGAGGCTGTTCGTGGGGTGGTTCCGGCTGATATGAAGAGGGATCAGCTCTTACTTCGAATGGGTGGTAAGCTAGGTGTCCCGCAAGTCTTTGCGTCAAGCTGATCCTTTCCAGATGCGGCTGCAGCGATCATGCCGTTCTGGCAGCGACAGCTCGACTCGTCTTCAATCCTGCTGCGCGACAACTCTCACAGTAAGCTACTCTCGCCTTATCTTTGCCACCGTATGAGCAGGGGAGCCAGCTGACACCACAGATGCGAAACTCGCTCTGACCGCGTTCAAGCTCGGCATCGAGTCTCTCAACGTTCTGTCCGACTCTATACTCGCGTGGGTGAAGCGCGCTTCCGGCGGGAAGAATGGTGATTTCGACCCGGTGATTCTGCCTTCCTTTGAGGACTCGCCAAGCGATGACATACAGTACGTACATGATGTCTCCCCTGATGTATCAGGAAGGGGTCTAGCTGATACTTTCAGATCCGCTGTTGGGAGCATCGAGCAGTACCTCGAGAATGAGCTTTTCGCGGGATTACAAGATGTCCAGCTCGTCGGCTCGAGCCTATACTCTGCCTCGACGCGGAATGAAGGTCAGTTGTCCTGAACGTAGCGTGGCATGCCCGTGGTTATCAGCTGACCCCGTAGCGTTGCCCGTCGCTCAGCTTCTGGCCGCTATAGCAGCCTTCACGCTCGGCGAGCTATCTCACCTCTCCCTCCCTCTCGACATATACGGCACTCCATCTTACATCTCGACCAGACACGCCGACTTCATCGGTACCATCACGTCCACCTACAAGAAATCCGCCGAGAGCGCCATCACACACCTCGGCAGCTTGATCGTTCTCCCCTCATCGCCCAACTCGGGCTCGACCGACCGGACGTCGTCGACGGTCGGGAGTAATATCCGGAAACGACCTGCCGAGGACGAGGATCTCAGTCCGACAAGCCCTGGGAAGAAGGAGAAGAGGAAGGAGAGTAAGGTCAAGAAGAATATGAGGTTGTTGAGGGCTATTAGGGCGGTGGAGGGGAGTATAGGGGAGATGGTGGATGGGGAAATGGGGGATGTGGGGGATGGAAATGAGGGGTCAGAGGGAAAGGGAGGGGGGCGCGAACGGGAGGTGTTGGGGGTATCATTCTGAGCTGAGGGTTGTGCATGATCCGTATCATGGAGGCAAAATGTCACTGTGTCAGACGATACCAGTAAGACTCAGAGACAGAACATGACAGGCTACCATCGACGCCGCTTCAGCAATGAAATTTCCGAGAGTGTCAAGCCCCGGGCCCGGCTTCTCGTTTATGGCATCTTCAGGTGATAGTGTACATCCGACGATACGCATAGGCATCAGACATACATCAATGATCATGCACAGGCTGCTCGTCAAAAGTCTCCCCTTCTCGTGCATGGATCAGCTCAGTCGGTACCATCTTTGTTGGTGCTCTCGGTGGACACATCTCCCAGCGGAAGAGGTTTGCCTGACGCGGACTCCTTGAACGCTCGCCAGATTCGCCGATACCTCTGACACATCCTCTGGTACTCGTTGTAAGCGGCCTGCCGGGGGAGGCGAGACATAGTTGGCAAGCCAGAGGGATTAAGAGTCAGCGTCAGCACCTTCTCACTCGCTGCTTCGAACTTCTGCCCTCCGTAGTGCGAAACCCTTCTGTGACTGTAGAGGGTCTCCGAAAACTTGTGAAGAAACTTGCGGTTTTCCAGGGTCACGGCCTCACTCGCAACGTAGGCGGCTCCTCGAGCCTCCGGGCTGTCTTCTGCGGCAAGTGCCCTGGACTGATCGTACTGATCGGATTCGATGGGGAGTGTGAGCGCGTCCGAATTGGAGCGGATCGTAAGTGTCATCTCACTGGGTCCGGCTTTGGTTCGGGAACGAGCGCGTCGGGGCGGGTACGAAAGGCCAGGCTACTTGTAGCACTGGCGCCACCGACAGGCTCATCGTACGTCGCATCCTGCACAGGTCGGCAAATCATCGAGAGCTCGGTCCTTCACCTGCAACTCATTGTATCGTCTTGGATAGGCATGATGAGAGATGAGTCTGTAAGAGTATGTGAAGAGTAGAGGTAAGTGGCAAATATCAAATCGCAGAATTAGAGGGGGAAAGGAAGATATGTGGTCTCTGGCAGTCGGGACGACTGGACACGCCACTGCCCTCACGATCCTTTTTCACGCTGAGATCCTTTCGCTATGTGCCCCTCTTTTTGCACTTCACAGCGTTTGCGTGGTCCGCCGCCGTCATTACCGCCTACAAGCTCGACCCAGGAGTCATACTTTCGAGACGGCCTGATGCGATGGCATGCAGTATCCAAGTCAAGATACCCTGACTGTTCTGACAAGCTGAAAGAAGCCTCCGGAGCCAGCTCCGATGAGACTTACTCGCGGGAAGATTCCACACTGAAAGACTGTTGTTTTACGCTAGGATCGAGATCGATAGACAGGAGATATATATTGGTCATACACATGCATGCTCGGAATTTGATATAGATATCTGCATCTTGATTTACCGCTCCCCCTCAGCGTCTCGCCGATCAATCTGACTGACGCCCGTTGCCGTGCCTGATCTGTCACGCGAATCTCGGATCTCGCGTCCCTCTTCTCGCCCCATCTGCTCGTCTTGTTTCGCGCTCGTAGGCTGAGCCGCCTCGCTTGTATCACTCAGTCATCAGAGGCCCGCTTTGCATTGCGGCGGATGGCGATGTATTGCGATCTTCCCTCTTTGAATGCCCTCTCATTGTCACCGCGAGCCTCGGTCGTCCAAGACTTTCCGACCTTGGTGGGAGTTGGTATCTCCTTGCCTTCCGCCTCCAGGGCAGCGACCCTCTCGCTCGCATCCAAGAACCGAGATAGGCGGCCGTTCGCCGTGACAGTCTTGTCAGCGAGCAATGCTGCAAAGTCCACCACCGCTTGACTGTCCCCGGGAGACAAGCCGGAAAGTGCGATGATTGATGCGGGCGCAGAATGCCATTGGGAGAAGGAACCTGGCTCTGCGACCCCGTGCGCGCTCCCGGACGCGCTGTGATTGATGGTGTGCTCGTAGGAAGGGATCTGCCAGGTCGTGTACATTTCTGTGGAAGCTGTTGCAGCGTGGTCGTCACCTGGGTAGGAGGCATCGTACTCCGTCGGAGGAATAGAACGTGTGGAGGGCGAGGAGGACCCGGTACCGTAGGCGTTCTGGAAGATCAGCATCAGGCATATGTGGTCTACAGGACCCATGATTCGACTTCAAGACCTACCATTTTGGGATAGCAGGATGGACGGGGTAGTGAACGATGAATATGTGAGGAGAGAGGTGGTGCAATTTAATACCAGGAGTGAGGGCTCAAGTTGAAGTCAAGATCGTCGAGCGGAAAGCAACTGGACCGCCTTACTTGGGGGCGCCCGCATTTGGTTTCATCGTCCTTTGTATGCACCCAGCTGCAGGCCCCGCTCCCTCTCGTGTGTCATCTCTGTTAGAAGCTGTCCCACTAAAAGGAGGGCGCCAGCAATACGAGGTAAGCTATGCCTAAACAGCATGAGCGAGATGATCAGTGCATAAAAGGCTAGGCTTGCGGCGCGGAGACGAAACGTCAATATGCTTAGGCATAAATCACCTGTGAAACATCACAGATCAGGCCTCACATAGAGCGTCAGTACGGTGTTCAGGACTTGCCGACCCTCCCGAGACGTCGTCCAGCCGAAGGTTTGATCAAGCTAGAGAAAGATGGCTATTATAGATGAGTTGTGGCGATCAATCGCTCAAGATGAGAGGGCATGGGCTGCGGTTGTCAGATAGGCTGACCTCCCGCTGGTAAAGGATGAAGAGATGGGACATACCTTGCACTGGAGCACGTAAAGCTGCCGTGTCATCCAGCGTCACCTCGTGCATCCTATCCCTGAAGAGATACCGCACCCTCAGCTTCTTCGCTTCTCCGATACATGGATCCTGCATCATCAGCTCCTATTGCCTTCCGCACAGATCTATGGCTCACCCAAAATCCAAGTAGATTATGCTACCATGATCAGCTCTGTCCATCTTCCATCCCCAAAAGAAGACTCGAGACTCACCTTTCCCCTTCCACCAGGAATATGTAATCTCGAATCCACCACCAACCCCTGAACTGGCAGAGTCACATCCACAACTACCTCCTCTTCCACTTCTTCCTCTATCCTCCCATCTCCCTCGCCTTCTGATCGCTTGGCGCTAGTCCGAGACACCCGCACGCCCCGGTCCGTAAACGCCGGCGCTAGCCCATACTGCGCCGAAATGATAATAAGCCCTCCCTTCTCCCTCTCGACAGCGACCTTTTGGGCGACGGGCCGAGCCATGAGGTCTTGGGCTTCGAGGGCTTCTTGGCGTTTCTGGGCGAGGTGGTCGGCGTGTTCGGAGCGGAGGTCTTTGATCCGGCTACATGATCAGCTAGACCCAGACAAAGCTGTGACAAGGTAGGTTCAGGAACCTACTCTGCTATTCTCCGGCGTTTGCGAGGGAGGAGGAGGAAGTGATACGCTGCTGCGTATATCGTAAAAGGGAGGACTGTCGATCCGAGGACGACGTAGGGATTGAGATCTGGGGAGAGGAGGATAGGGAGTGTTATTCTTTGACCCATTCGAGAAAACCTTGGATATCAGCTCCGAGCATCCGTCTCGATCTGAAGCAAGACTCACCGCCACCGCATCGTCACCCCTCCACCCAATGCCAGACTGACCATACATCCCACCCTAGACTGCCCGCCCACTTTCCCCTCCCCATCCACAAACCCGTTAATTCCCGTATCAGTCCCCACCGCGCCGCCGACTTTCCACTTGAGCCCCCAGAAGCGCCACGAGTAGTCTGCCGAGATATGGTTCGCTACCACCCCTGCTTGCGTCTCGACGGTCCATCCCGACCCACTTGGCCGAGCGGTGGTTACGCCGACAGACATCGCTGATGTTTCGTTAAGAAGAGCATTGGTGATCGAGTTGGACGGCATGGATTTGCCCCATGGTCCGAGCGTCCAGAAGCCGGAGCGGTAGATGATGAATCCGGTTGTATTTGGGTATATACGCCGTCCGAGCTGGGCGGTATAGGTCGGTGGGGCCGCAAAGGTCTGTTGCATCGTATTGATGCTGAGATAGCTGAGGGGTCAGCCGAAGTTGCAGACGGTAGGTAAAAAGGACTGACGTGTACTCGTCGATCGTATAAGTTCCCTTGGTAGTCACCACTCTCGGCGCCAACACGCTACACCCCGCCTCTCCCCACACTCTCGACCCAAACTGATGCCTCACTGTCCCGACCACATTCCCTCCTCCACCTCCACCCCGACTGACCATCTGCCCCGTGACCACCACCTGTGTCCTTTCCCTCACCGGCATCTCAAACGAATGCTTCATCATGATCTGCCCCGGCCGGACCCTGCTCGCCCTCGCTATCGGATCGTGCCGCATCGCATCTGGAGTCCTGAACAGATTCCGATTGGCGAATACCGCTCTGGCGTCCAGAACGACCGAGATGTCCCCTTTGGGCTTGACGAGCGCCTCGGCCTCCATGATCTTCTTGTCATGGTACTGCCGGCTAAAGTGTTCTCTGAGCTCTCGGGCAGTCTTGACCCGCGGTCCGACCTCCCACGACGTCTTCAGCCCTTCTTCGCCAAATAGATCATATATGGTCCGCCGGGTAGAATCGGTGAGTACCTCGTACGCGCGCTGGATCTCGGTGAACTGCCGATGGGCAGTCGAGCGGTGGGTATCATCCCGCTGTCGATCTGGGTGGTACGTAGTCGCTAGGTGCCGGTAGCTATCCCGTATTTCGGCTTCACTGGCAGATCGGGGGATGTTGAGGAGGGTATAGAGCCCATCTTCCGGGGTGAGAGGGGAGGTGGAGGGTCGAGGGGAGGAGGGGGAAGGGGGCCGGGTGGGACCGGTGGAGGTCGATGGGAAGCGGGCATAGTACGCCGAGGAAGGGCCCGGATCGTCCATCCTGTCAGATCTCTGCCTATCGCTGAGCTACAGTTCCTGAAGATGAGCTAGATAGATGTAGATGTGGACACTCTACCTATAGTCTCCTTTCATCTCTGCGATCAGTGAGGCTGACCACCCAATTAATCTGGAGACCCCACACCGGTCATCGCCGCTTTCCCGTACAAAGTCGACCTCCTACGACGCGCCCAAGCTCTACTCTAATCTTCACACCTGTCCCATCTACAGCAGTCCATACACCTTCATCAGGCATACAGGAGACAGCGGAGAGGCTCCCCAGACCAGTATAATGGCCGTCATGCCTGAAGAAACAGAGTCAAATTTCCGTAAGTCCCATGAGAACTGCTGGAGGAATGCGGCGAACACAGCTAAGGTATGCAGAGGCCCTCGTCCAGGCTTTTGTCATGATTGTGGTCTCGGAGATAGGTGAGTCAGCTAGATCGCGCAGACATCGGTATGGCTGATGCTGTAGGCGACAAGACCTTCTTGATCGCTGCGATCATGGCGAGCCGGCACTCCCGTGTGACGGTCTTTGGGGGAGCGTTCGCCAGTCTGGTCGTCATGTCCATATTATCCGCGGCGTTGGGTCGGGTCATTCTCGGTCTGATACCAAAGGTGAGCTGATTATTATGTGATCTTGTCATCACGACAGCTGACAACCAGGTCTGGACCCTCTGGGCAGCAGCGGTCCTCTTCCTCGTCTTCGGCGCCAAAATGCTCCAAGAATCCCTCTCCATGTCCTCCTCGCACCTCTCTGAAGAAATGCGCGAAGTCGAAGAAGAGCTAGAGCACGATTCATCCCAGCACGACACCCAGAATCCCCGGGGGACTACCATACCGCTGGAAGACCTCGAAGAAGGTAAACTCGGCAACGGCGACACCGCCCTCCGTCCTCGCTCGGCATCCCCAAGACCGGGCGCTCCTCGAGCGGGATCACCCAAGATCGCACTCTCGTTCCCATTATCTGGCGGCGGGCCAAAACCAAAACGGAGCTGGCATGAGGATTTGAGGGAGGGTGTGAGGAATACGATACAGCTGTTGACGAGCCCTGTGTTTGCGCAGGCCTTCGTGTTGACCTTTTTGGGGGAGTGGGGGGATAGGAGTCAGATCACGACGATAGCGATGGGAGGAGCACATGTGAGCTGGGTTGTACGGAAATTGGAGGCGGTAGCTGACGAGATCAGAGCATACCGGTCATTGCGTTCGGGACGATATTGGGGCACGGACTGTGTACGTTTGGTGCGGTCATGGGCGGACGATATCTCTCGACCAAAATATCAGTAAAACACAGTGAGCTAGAGTCATCGGCGGGCTAACTGTACGACTCAAGCTGATCTTTAGTCTCGCTCATCGGCGCCTTCGCCTTCGTCATCTTCGCCCTTCTCTACGCTGTCGAGGCATACCACACCCCATGGGACGCCAAGTCTGGTGATGATGTGGCATGGTAATACCGGGATGCTAGGTATACCTTTTGCCATCAATGGCGCTGGGCCTCCTTTCGCCAGTCCTCAAAGCTGATCATATACTAACGGTGTACAAGACTGACATGGCTAAGTAAGCACTCCTGACCTGTGGCTGTCAGGTCCCAGCTTTGCGCTGAGACGGCGATGGATTTAGGATAGCAGGGGGATGAAATGGAGCAGAGATGGAAGAACGGAAGATTCAGGTTGTGAGCTGGCGAAACGGCGAGCGATGTCCTATCGCGAATCGCCGACCCTTTCTCACTGCAACTCGTTCTCCCTGGTTGCTGATCTTCCGGCATCGCAGTCGCCCAGACACCTGGCGCCACTCGTCTCACGACAGCCCGTTCCTCTGTTTATGTGAAGTCGCCCAGACACCTGGCGCCACTCGTCTCACGACAGCCCGTTCCTCCGTTTATGTGGTAGCCGATACGCGAGCAGTCTACGACCGACTCCTGCTGCATCATACTTATGAGGCGCATCGATGCCCAAGTTGACCACACCTCAAACGTGGAACTGCATGAAGACCTTGCGCTTCTCGATGACCACCAGCGGTCAGATCTGCTTATTGAGAGATACCTTTGCCAAGGACGCCTGACCAGCTCACTGAGGAGAGGCATTACCGCTCGGTTTCTATCGCGCAGACAGGGGAAGTGGTGTTGGAACATCGGTCGCTCTTAGACTGACGATCACCTTGTGACGGGACACGAGTTCGTAAAATCTATTACCCTCCAGCCTCGACCGGAAAACCTCCGGCAGATCCCCGGAGTCCGGCGGGCCTTCATATGACCATATATCTAAGGCGTTGTATAAGCAGCCATACGACGCGCAACCGCGGCATGCGGTAAATTTACGGAACGCAACTCGGAGCGCTCGGAGGGCCCGGCCCCGGAGCAGATATCAGCCTAATATCGGCATCGGATTCTAGGGTTCCGGTCAAGCTAGCTATGCCCCAAGCATGGCCGAGCAAGCTCGACCTGCCGAGCGAGCAGGCCGAGCTCGGTCGCTGTTCGCTTCCGAGCTCTTCGGGGGCATACACTGTACATACCTCCTGGATGCTAATCTTCCGCCCTTTATAGCGCCAGGCACAGCAGGAGTCGTGCTCGGTAGATTAGGTGATTGCCAAGGTTAGGCATCTGAGCGGAGTATCTGTAAGCTTATTTCGCTGCCGTACCGTCCCTAACTGTACAGGGTTATTATGCAGCCTGCCGAGAGCAATCTAGGAGATGAGTGCCCCAAATGCGCTTCAGATGGAACCTTGGTACCCCTTGCTCGCACTGACCGTCAAAGCTATATGAGTACTCCGACACAAGACAAGATGACAATCTCCAGATCCCCACACCCCTCTTCGGATACCCCTTGCCCGCCTCTCGTCTTTACTTCGCAGCACCAGCATGGTGAGCTTCCCCATGCCCCCAGTCCCTGTCCACCACCATCTGTCACGCAGAGTAGAAGAGGACTGACGGCTATAGCGCACCACCATCCTCCTCTCATTCCTCCTCCTCATCGCCTGCAATTTGGCCTTTGCTCGTTCTCGTCCGGCACGGCGCATCACCCGAGCACTCACAGAGACTTGCGACACCAATGCCGAGTGCCTGCAGAAGGGCCTGCCCCTCCGCAAATTACGGCGGCCCCGCGCAGTCTCCTCCACCCCCGTCGTCCTCGACCGAGACTGTCAGACCAACACACCTCAGGCCGCCCTAAGGTCCAAAGTCCTCGATCCCGGATCGTACACGTTCACGCTGAACGGCGCCAATGGCGGTGACAACGCCCGGCAAGGCTACACCTTCCCACAATTCTACGGCGGCCGTGGTGGCGAGATCGTCGCAACATACAACTTCACTCAGGCGCGCACCATATACTACAAGGTCGGATGTTCGGGCGGCGGCTTTGTGGGTGCCCCATCGAGCGGGGGAGGTGCTTCGTTCATCACCATCGACGACTTGTCTACTCCGCTGCTGGTCGCGGGTGGCGGGGGTGGATCAGGAAGCAAGAACTCTGGTCTGGATGCTGGGACTACCTATACATTCCCTCTGGCCAGTACGGGCGGTACAAGCTCAAGCGGTGCGGGTGGTGGGGGTGGAGCTGGGTTCTTCGCCGACGGGGACTTCCAGACCGCGCAGGGTAACACTGGCCTGGGCGGTAAATCGCTGGCGTCGGGCGGAGAGGGCGGAGTAGGCGGATACAACAATAATAATAAGGGTGGTATTGGCGGTGGGGGTGGAGGCGGGTACAACGGTATCGGACAAGATCTCGACAATACCAAACCGGCAGCTGGTGGAGGGGGCGGAGCAGGTAAGCCACCATCTTGCCTTTCACATCATATCGTAGAGCTTATGTTCAGGTTACAATGGCGGTAGCGGCGGCGCACCAGTCGCTGGTCAGACTGGTGGCGCACCGGGAACATCTTATTACTCGCAGTCCTCTGCCGTGGGATTTAGCGGTGCTATCTATAGGCGGAACACCCGTTTCGGGATACACGGGTCTATCTCATACGTCCAGAAAGCCTAGGTACATCGTTTCGGCGCCGTGCCCCCGTCCTCGGGTCCCATGTCTCGCAGCGTCAATCCTTCTCGATGAATCGCCAACCTTCCCATCGTCACTTCCGGCCTCCCTCGTCGCTCCTTTCGACATCATCACATCGTCCCGGGTCATCGACCACCACACCATTCGGGTCAGCATCCTCCTTTCCGGTATATCTCTGCATCCCTCCGCCCCTTCACCATACATCGCCGATCGTCAGTCTGCCGGTCTTCTCGCGATCTAGCACTGCGGGGAGTCGACTCGGGCTCAGGCAGGCACGGTGACAGGGCAGAAGTGAGGAAAATTTATAATATAGAGCCTTATCAGTAGCAATTAGCGTTCGATCTCCGTCTCATCTTGGGTCCTGGTAGCTACGTAGTCTCGGCTTTCCCATTTGTTATCCCATATAATTATCCGCTATATGACATCTTGTCTCTTCTCATCCTGCTCATCGGCCGTACTAGACCCGATGCCCCCCTTTGCCCACTCCCCGACAGCTCGCCACCCCCCAGATCACATCTCTCTTCTCAGCTTGCTCTTCCCTACCCCCACCCCTGCTCCTACCCCTAACCCTACACCGGCACCTACGCCCATCCCACCTCTTCCGGGCGGTACATCCATATACCCCCTCCCTGCTCCATATCCCTCCCTCACAATCTTCCGCTCAGTAACCAGCCGCCCCTCCTGCCATCTCATCTCGTCACTGACCATCTGATCCTCTTTTCGCCTTCCCAGCCCTCTGGCGGCTTTCCGATCTTCCAGCGCTCGGACGATTTTGAGGAATATGAATGTGAGAGCTAGGGTGGCGAGGAAAAAGGTAAGAAAGAGGAGCACTACCGTATTCAGCTTATTTGGTCTGATATGCATAGCCTCAGCTTCGCTTGAGAGCCCCAGGCTACTCACTACTATCTGCCGCTTCGTTCCCTTGTAGTATAGCGTACCCCCTCCCACCTGACCCGGCGAGCTCTCCTGCTGAATGTGATTCGAGTGGGAAGTCGGTAGGGAAGGTGTTCACAACTGCGGGATCAGCGCAAGTGTCTCTACAGGCAGAAAAGGGACAAGTCAGACGCTCAAGATCGGACTCACAGATGAGCGAGGTATCTGCCGGGAGTGGTGGAGGCAATGAGCTCAAAGAAGCAGCGGGTGTGCCGGAGCTCGAGCTGAGTGTCGAGCGGGAGGAAGAAGACGACGACGAGCTCAGAGTTGTACTCGTAGCACGGGCTGATGAGCTGGTAGAGGAAGAGGTCGTACTCGAGGGAAGTGCAGTCGCGGTGGACCGTTCCGTCGTCAACCGAGTAACAGTCTGGCGTATTGGCGTCGTTGTCGGAAGTGGATCCTTCTCGCCTGGTTGAGGGAGTGGGAGGATCGGCGCCGGAGCCGGCGCTGGAGCTGGGGCGGGAGCTGGCTGAGGAAGAAGTTGCCTCTTCTCCGCTGGGGAGAGGTGGGCTTCTGCTTCCCGCGCAAAGTTGGGGAGGCGGACTCGCATGTTGGTCAGGAAGGCTCTGCTGAGAATGGAAGCAAAGGTGAGAATAATAATGATATCTCAATACTAGATAGTTGTTTGGTCAGATGAGATGGTCATGTGGGAGTCAGTACAAAGGAGGAGGACGTCCTGCCCAAAGGACAAAGAAAGGACAGGGCAGGAGGAAAGGACATCCTCTCCCTGAAATGATCATTCCAGACTTGCAGTCAGAGGTCGAGCGCCTGCAGATGTTTTCATAAGTAGACGTAAGCCGGGAGCCGAGTAGAAGATACATGCGTATATACAGGTGATTGCCGAGCACAAGAGGTGGGAGAGTACGAGTAGGACATGAGCACGAGTAGGAAAGCACCGCGGAGGATCCGAGGAGGTGGTGATGACAAAATACGTGAGGTGGCGGCGACATCGGTATGGCGGTGGTGATGATCAAGCGAGCAAGAGGGGTCGGTATAAACCACATGGTATGGACGATTGGAAGTTGTACAGTTGCGGGATGTAGCGAGGTATAGGAATGTGTATTCGGTACAACTGGGTCTGGCTGGCGGCATCGATCAGACGAGGATGAGCGCCGGTCCGCCGAAGAGAGTCATCAAGAACGCCGTCCTACCACATCAGCTCAATTGTATAGCCCATACAAGACAAAGACTGACCCCTCCTTCGCGCCCCTCTTCTCCACTTCCCTAGCCACGAGCGTATCCGCGTCTTCCTCATCCTCATCATCGCTCGGGCTCGCCGACCTCGCATACCCCTTCCGCAGCCTGACGGCCGCCCCCACCTCCCCATCCGCCACTTCATCATCATCCGCAATCGCATGATCCAGCCGCATCTCCGGGGTCTTCAGCCCCTCCACCATCCCCGCTCGCGCAGCAGGACTGGGAGTGCCCGTCCTCTTTGCCAAGACAGGCGCACCCAGTGCCTTTGTCACTGTCGACCGGAAACCCCGCGCCCTGTCCCTACCGTTCCCATGGTCGCTCTCGCCCGAAAGAGACCGAGTATCCTTGATATCCATAGACGAGCGCCGGATCTTTGGTTTGAGAACAGCTCGGCCGGCCGGAGAGGCCAAAGCGAGGGGTGCGAGTCGGATGCAGCCCCAACCAGAGTGCCGGGGGTCCCCGCGCCCGTGCGAGACGGCAGAGCGCGCGAGGAGGCGGTACGACGCGGTGATGCCGTGGACGGACATGAGGTGCGCGAGGAGCGAGTGGGTGTGGGAGAGAGTCGTATCCCGGAGCGCGTGCAGTGTGGATAGGTCTGACTATCAGCTTAGAAACAAGGAGCGGAAAGGGATAGGCGTACCCTGGAAACAGCCCGGACTCCATACAGGGACATCAACGATCAATTCCGCACGCTCAATCTCCCAGCTGCCCGCCACGCTCCCCGCGCAACTTCGGGATGACTTGAGCCCTTTCCCACCGTCCGTGTCCAGACCGAGACCCAGACCGCCCATGCGCAATTCTACACCCCGATCCTGGACTATACCCGCCACGAGCCCCGCAAACTCTTTACTGTCGCCTTCAACAGCGCGGATCGCTCGACCACCACCCGCCGCCGCCCGCGAGACGAGGGCGGACTGGTATGGCCGCTGAGTGGGCTGACGGGCGCGCTCGTACGAGCGGGAGGACGAAGGGAGGGAGGACGCTCCGGATCCCGAACCGAGCGAAGGGAGGAGGTTCGGGAAGGGTCCGAGGGGCGTGGAAGACCCCGATTGGGCAGGAGAGGGCTTGTGCGGCTGCGGCTGTGACTTGGATAGAGAGGAGGGAGGGTTGGACGGTCGGAGTAAGGGCGATCCGGCGGGTGAGATATGTGGGGAATGGGCGTGCAGCCGGGGAGAAGAGGTGACCATTGCGGGCATGATGCGTGGGGTGTGAAGTGATGGAGTGATATGCACAATAGAAGGAGGGTAGACTGGCGATGCTGATGAGGATGTGATAGGATGTGAAGGTCGCGTGACAGTCAGCAGACGAGGTCAAGAAGGTTTCGGGTCCCTCCTTTGTACGCGTCCTTTGCTGAAACCCTTGAGTGGCGTGGCGGTGTACTGGCAGTACTGGTAGTAGCGGACCTCCGAACGTCCGAGTCTCTCCGTGAGCGGATGAGAGATCTGTACAGTCAGAACGAATACTGTACTGGGCAAGAACATCCGGCTGCATACCGACGCCTGCACCCGAGGCGGTGAGACAGGCCTGAGACGCCGACCGGGCAGCTTGAAGCGGATGGAGGTTTCACTCACGGCTAGAGCACTGGGTGCGGAATGCGACTTGACGACGATGCGGATGAGGGAGGGGCGGTACCGCCTTTTGAGAGCGGGAGGATGGACCTTTGCTGACAGTCTCCTTGGTCTGACGCTAAGGTCTGACGTCCAAGTCCAAGGTCCAACGGAGACAGAGATCTCGCAGCGACGAGCAGCTGATCTGACCCGGTTATTCGATCGAACCGGCGGCTTCTAATGTTCTTTGGCTGCCTTCTAGCGTCGAACGTCGAGAATCCGATCTTTCTGAGTTGTCAAGACGATAGATATGCGCAGACGAGCAAGGCTCGATGCATCCAGAAAGCCTACATGGCTCCTCTTCACAGCATCACGACGCTCCGGGTCGACGGTGCGCTTTCCCGCTTACTTTCCGCCGGAAACTCGCCGTCGGGCCGATACTTGCCGGCTCCGGTTTGCAATGCGGAGGGCCGTCTCGGGGTAAGTTGTCCGACTCTACACGACCATCTGAGTCTCTCCTGCGATCGTCACAGGCTATCGTCGTGTACTGAGGCCTCGCAGGACAGGTACGAAGGCACGATGGACCCCTCTGATCTTACTGACCAAAATCTGATACCGATTCACGAGTTGAATATCCTGGAATGCTGCAGGTCATGCCGCGCGACCAATACCTCCCCCAGGGGCCAAGTCGTAGCGGGACCCTTCTCCGCCTCTATCGCCCAGTCCCAAAAGTCACCTCCTCCCCCACCTCCCTTCTCAACATCTACTTCTTTCCTCTCCTCTCCCTGTTCGCGTCTCACATTCCCGCCATTCCCCGCGGCCTCCTCGCACTCACATCCCCCCTCCGTGCTCCCACTCCCACTCCCACCTGACCACTCATCCTCCACCTCACTCGGTATCACCTCATGCCGCGCGAGTATCCCATTCGTCGGGTGAAGTAAGAGCTGGGAGGAGAGGTATGGCCCAATGAGGTTCAGGCGGACCGCGGCTGAGAGGACGGAACGGGCGTGTAGGAACAGATAGAGGTGATACCCTTTTTCTGCTCGTCAGCTTTTGTCTCACCATTACCAGACTACTCCGTTCCGCACGGGGCAAAGAGAATATCAAGCTGGGCAAAGAGGATAAGAAAGGATGACATACCCAGGCTGAGCCCCAGAGCAGCCATCATCAACCCCCAACAAACCGCCAGATGACCCGGGGCGAGTCCGCGCCTAATAAGCCTCTTGTACCCCTCTACCACCGCGCCTGCTATCTCTTCCCTCCCCTCCCTCTCCTCGCTCGTCTCCTTATCCTCCTCGTTCGTATCCGAAGGTATATCGCCAGTGGACGTAGCATATCCGGGAGGCCGAGTCAGGCCTTTCGTATATAGCGTCAAGATGGCCACGCCCTGCGCCTTGGACGCCCGTCTCGAGACGTGCGATAAGAGCGTCGCTTCGTGTGTCTTGTCAAGGGCCAGGATGGATTGTAGAGTCTGTTCGATATCGTCCGCCGTAGTTGCCGTCTCTGCACTTCCGCTGTCCCTCCTTCTCCGCCTCTTCCTCCCACACGAAGCACACCGGCCCAGCCCCCCGCTCTGGCCATTAACCAACCCCTCTACAACCCTCCACCCCTGTCGGACAAACCACCCCGTCGACATCGCATAATTATCCACCTCCGCCTCCATAAACTCGGTGACGCGCTTCGAGGCATGTACCTGTCCCCCAGCTCTACTAGGTTGAGACCCCGCTTGGCCTGCCCCGTGGCTGGTGCCGCTAACTGGCGCTGCGGAGGTGGATGTGTAGGCAGAGTAAGGGCCCCCGAGGCCGTGTTTCGCCCATGATTCCAGGCCTGAGGAGGCGACGAAGCCGCCCGTGGGGAGGTTGGAATCGAGGAGGAGGTAGATGAGGTGCGTTTGGGGGTCCATGGCTCTTCTCGGGCTGGGCTGAGGGGGGCGTTGAGGGCTGAAGCTGGGAGAGAGCTGCAGGGGATACAGGGGAAAGATGGGTGGAGGGAAGTGTCTCGGATCTGACCGAAATAGCCGATCAGAGGGCAAAAGTCGGTCAAAGAGAGGATGTTGATGGCGAGACTGGTCTATTGTACAATATCTAGCTAATCTGAGAGGCGCAGAAAGGCTGAGGAGGATGATGATATCCTCATCAAATGGGAAAGCTCCATCTACCTCCAAACCGGCCGGGGCTGCCGCTCGAGATGGGGTCTATCCCCTCTCCCCTGGATCAGACGACCCCCACCTCCCCTCTATCGACCAGAACCCCTACGCCCCCTCCTCAACCTCGACATCAAGCCTCAAGCCCTCGTCTCAAGTCAAAGATGCCCTCTACTCGCCAATAGCGCGATACCCCCAACCCTCCTCCCACCCTTCATCGACGGGGTTCCCTCCACCGCGCCTTACCCCCTCCCCCTCCCCCTCCCCCTCCCCCTCTGGCCTCTCGACGCTCGACCGCCTTCTGACATCTCTCGGTATCCCCGCACCCGTACTCACCCTCATCAAAGCCAATACTGGCCTCCTCCTCGTCGCCTCCTCCCAGATCTTCTTCGTGGGGATGGGATTGACTGCCAAATTCTTCGTCAGTTCGACCTCATTGTCGACATTCACGCTCATCTTCGTCCGCATGTCCATCACCGCCCTCTTCTCCGGCCTCTGGCTACACTACACCGGCAATCCAAATCCATTCCTCGGTCCGCCTGATCCGCGAATACGGAGACTGCTCGTCTTGCGCGGCTTTATGGGATTTGGCGGTCTCTTCTCCAACTACCAGAGTCTGCGAGGATTGAGCGTGAGCGATTCAGTGACGATACAATTCTTAGCGCCGAATATCACGGCCGTGCTGGGCTGGGTGGTGCTCGGGGAGGTACTGGGGTGGAGGGAGATCAGTGCGGGCGTGGCGTGCCTGGGAGGGGTGTTGTTGGTTTCGAGGCCGCCGTTCTTGTTTGGGACCGCGGCTGGGGCGGGTGAGGTGGGGGACGGAATCGTGGATGGTGTGGGGGATGGTATGAGGGGTACAGGGACAGCAGGAGGGGGAATGGAGGGAGAAGGGGGGGATGCGGGCATCACACATGCGGATAGGCTGTTGGCGGTCGGATGGGCTTTTGTGGCCGTGTCGTTTGCTTCGTGTGCTTGTGAGTCTACCTCTTAGCCCGACTGCCTGCCTCATGATGTCTTGTGGAGGCGGGATTCAAGCTCATATACCAGACATCACGATCCGCAAGATTGGCAAACAAGCACACGCGATGCATTCGATGTTGTACTTTTGCTACGCTTGCCTCATCACCAGCTTCATGTGAGTCCACCCAGCTGTGTGTCGACCGGCCTCTCCTCTTCTGCGGTAAGATGGGGGACAAAAACCCATGGGCGAGCGCAAGGAGAAACGCAAAGCTGACCAGGCCTAGCGGTACGATCGTCCAATTCAGATCTTTCGTGTTCATACAATCCTGGAAAGAGTTCTGGTTGATCATGCTCATCGGTGTAAGTCCGTTCCCTATCTCTTCTCCCTTCTCCGGATCATCCATATCTCCCTTGGCCATATTCCCAGATCCATCTCATCCCGTCTTCGCGATCTCACACTGTCCTCGCGATCTGACCCGAACCGAGCCGGCTGATCCCCAGGTATTCGGCTTCATTGGCCAAATCCTGCTCACCTTCGGACTCCAACGTGAAAAAGCCGGACGCGCAAGTCTGGCAATGTACCTCTCCCTCTTCTACTCGCTCATCTTTGAGTTGGTGTTCTTTGGGACGGTACCGCCGTTCTTGAGTCTCCTAGGGGCGTTTATCATCATCGTCTCCGCTGTTTGGGTTGCGGTATGTCTTCTTCCATTTCCCCAGAATTTGTTCCACTTCATTCTCCCATTCTGAGGCCTGAGTCCGATCGCTCCCATCCTCATCAATCGATAGTGTGCTGGGCGTTTAGGTGAAGAAGCGTCAGCTGATACCTCTTAGGTCAGCAAGAAGACCGAAGACCCCCCTTCGACGGGGTATGAGCGCGTCAACACCGACGAAGAATCAGTGCCCGTCTCGCGCTCGCGTTCGCGTTCGCCTAGTCCCAACAGCATCCCGCTCGAGTTCAGATCAAAGCGGACGGACTCGCCTGAGGGGCGGGATGAGCCAGAGCGGGTCCATGGCCATTGGTCAGAAAAGAAATTAGAGGATGATGGAGTTGGGCGGAATGGGTCGCAGGTGCCTGTAAGACCGAGTTTGTCTGGCGTGGCGCCAAGGATGGGGAGCGGGAGTGGGACTGGGAGTCATGGTGCGACGTTAGGGGTGGATGGGAGGGTTTTGCGCAGGAAAAGCAGCGCCAGTTCGGGGATAGGTCTAGACCGGGATTGAGGTGAGATTGGTCAGATACTATCTGTGTAGCTTACTTATCTTGTCCGTAGAGACGCAGAATCATCGTGTTGATGTGGTGTGCATACCATTGTCGCTCCCCCGCTTCCCCGCTTCCCACTCAGCCAAGATTACTGCTGTGACGCAGGCGCCTCCGGTAGTGGTGTCTCCCCAACCAACGGTTCCTTGCCTATATCCGCATACGTCGTATCTGCCCCCTGAGCCAACATCTCCGCCATGCTCGTCGCTCCTTCCCCTTGCCCGCTAGCTGATGCGGAAGAGGAAGACGATGGTTGGCCAGCCATGACGTCCACGGGACCGCCTGCTGCTTTGTATAAAGCGGAGAGGATTTCGGAGGGTGATAAGGCGTTTATATCTATTGATTTTGCGTCTTCTCCCTCTGAGCCATCAGCCCCATTTCCAGACAAGTCTCAAGGACACGCATGAGGTCGAGGAGATCAATGCAGACAAGGAGAAAGACGTACCGATCTCAACTCGTAATGACGCCTTGGGCATCCCTCCTTCCCACGCGCCTACGCCCGCATCAGGCGATTTTTTATCCAGGGCTTTACTCCGCGGATCCCGGAGACGGTCGATATGGAATGGGAGGGTGGGGTTGGCGTATGCTAGTCGGGGCGCTATGGTACGGACGAATTCGCTAATGATCAGCTTAGAGCCTTGCGTAACCTGCTTCCAGACACCCAGTCTCGAAAGTCCATCCCAAGGCCTTCCTTGGACCTCCCGGAAGAGCCTATAGGGGTCGAAAAGACATACCGAGGTCCAGAGGGCGAGTTCTTGGAAACGAAACTCAACCGCAACCCTTTCACTCTTGACGGTAAAGAGGTCGATCCTTCCCCTGAAGTAAGACTTGAAATTGCTTGTCGGACAGGCAGGCGGCGGATCGCTGAGGAGGAAGCGGAGGAGGACGCCATTGAGATATAGCTATCGACGCATGTAGGTCTGTAAGGAGGATAAATCATGGGTGGGCGAAAAGTCGATGGTGGGTGGGGGTGTTTACGTAAACGCCCTGTCGCGTCCAAACCTTAAATTCCTCTCAACTCCTCGAGCCCACCGCCATCAATACCTTCCCTTTGTACCTATCACTCCTCTTCCTGACTTGTATCTACTTTGCTCTGCCAAAGATCAGGACCTGTCGACAGCCGCCAGTCAAATCCTACCACCAGTGCTTTCGTAAACGCACACATCCGCGGAACCTCGAGTCTTAACCGCTCAGACTTCTGAAACGTGTCCTCCTCGAAGCGCGCTTTCGCCTTCGCATTCCTCATCATCGACCCACGGCGCGACCTCAGCCAATATGAGCACGATGAACAAGCTGGACGAGGAGCAGTCAATACCTCTGAATGTACGCCCAGCTGTCTTTGACTCGGCCGACAGTCGGAATGGACGAGAAAGCTGATCGGATAGGCTATGCCCCGCGCATCAGATATGGACCAGGACTTGATGACTGGTCCAAGGATAGAAGTCAAGTGCGCTGACCGAACCACATCCTTTCTGGGACTAGGCGGAAGCTGATACTTGCAGAGTTGCAGATGCTAGATTAGCGTCTCAGCCGAAGAAGATCACTATCCCGGGTTTCGTCAGTGAGCTATCCATTCCTTAACTCATCCAAGTGAGCGGGATAGCTGATACGTCAAGTCATTCCTATCTGGATGGCATGCTCCATCTCCGTCATCCTCTACAACAGTCAGTTCTGGCCCCCACACCGAAGGCGAGAGCAAGGGCTGATCATCCAGCTTTCGTGTTCAAGAGCCTCGACTTCCCATACCCCGTTTTCCTCACAACATTCCACTTGGCCTTCTCGGTACGTCCGCTAGCGTCTTCATTTCGGTAGAGATCGAGAGTGAGCAAGCTGACATAGGAGGCTGTTAGCACCCGTATTCTCCAAAGAACGACGACACTCGTAGACGGGGCGAAGGATATCGAAATGACCGTAAGCTAGCAATCCGCCACAGCGTGCGAAGCGCAAAAGCTGACAGGATAGCGCGACCGATGGGTCCGATCTATCCTTCCTATCGGCGCGCTCTTCTCGGGGTCTTTGATCCTGAGTAACTATGCGTACCTTTCGCTCTCGGTCTCATTCATCCAGATGCTCAAGGTCAGTTCCGGCACATATCGCCTTGTTGAAGTGCCAAAGCTGATCATCAGGCCTTTAACCCGGTGGCTATCCTTCTCATCTCATTTGCGTTCAAGATCCAAGAACCGAATGCCCGGCTCATGGCTATCGTCGGCGTGAGTTTCCCCGTCGTCATCCGCCTTGAGCTCAGGTGAATGGGAATGGAGCTCATACCTTTAGCTGATCTCCACTGGCTGCGTCCTGGCGGCATACGGCGAAGTCCACTTTGAGCTCTTTGGGTTCCTCTGCCAGTGCGCCGCTATCGCCTTTGAAGCGTCTCGGCTTGTGATGATCCAGATTCTGCTGCACGGATTGAAGGTGAGCTTCAGAGCTCCTGTCCGTGTGTCAACGACCAAGGATCTAGCTTACGCGATAGATGGACCCTATCGTCTCGCTACACTACTACGCCCCCGTCTGCGCAGTGATCAACGCCTGCATCTTGCCGTTTATTGAGGGGATGGAGCCATTCTATAACCTGCACCGCGTGGGGTTGTTGGTTCTGCTTACAAACGCTGGTATGGCGTTTGCGCTGAATGTAAGCTCCTTCACTCGTGTTCACCTTGTATAATAGGTAGGGAACTCAGCTGACACGATAGGTCGCTGCGGTCTTCCTCATCTCGGTGGGATCTGGATTGATCCTCACCCTCGCTGGTGTGCTCAAAGATATCGTCAGTTGCCGCCTCCGGAGTACCTTGCGTCTACGAGCAGAGAGGCAGCGAACTGACAGAGCAGCTCTTGATCTCAGGCTCGGTCATTGCGTTCGGAAGCAGGATCACCGCACTGCAAGTGTTTGGCTATGCGTGAGTTTCCCTTCGTTGGGCACCGGACCAGGAAAGTGAAGGTGCTGATTGGCTAGTATCTCATTAGGCGGACTAGTGATGTTCAAGACGACGGGCGGGAAGTGAGAGGGCAACTGTGCGCAGGTCGGCAGAGCAGCTTGTTGAGGTAATGAGGGCTAGGAAGGCGGACATCATCTCGGGATCGCATCAATGATCAGACTCATCAGCGCAATTAGGTAGTCGTAGATACAGGACAGTTCTTGCATAGAATACCTTCGGATGCAGATGCGCACGAGCACCTTAAGTGCACAGCTTTGCATGGTCCGCGGTATTTGTGTCCAGACTGGGGTTGGATCCGAGATCTCTGAGACAAGGCAGATAGGCCGGCTGGCTGCGGTGACGATAGCGGCGACGGAACAGCAGGTGGACGGGAAAGACGGTGAACGAGGCGGAGGCGGTGTTCCCGATATAGAAACGATCGTCCTCAATATGGACGTGGAGTCTACCTTCAAGGCCGGACTGTGACTGGCTCTTGTTCTTCTATCTGTAAATCTACCTCAGCTCTGCATAGCTCCTCCGAAGCTTCTTTGCCCCAAAGCACATCGTCGAAACTCGAACCAAACAAAGCATCCAATCAGATCTGAAAATGTCGGCAAGAGATGTGAGTTCCGCTTCACTACATCCTCCTCTAGCTTCCCTCGAGCTGCGGTCTGCTGTGTTGGGCTATGTCTCTATGGACCCCCTAGAACAATAGGAGGCGACCGGAGAAGTGAAGAGAAGGAGTAGTAGCTGATATGACAGTTCTACGGTAACCAGCCGTATGTCCTCTTTCTTACTTCTAGCCAACGGACTCTTCCCGTCGTGAACTAGCGAACCAGAGCGGTCTGCCCTTTAGGTCGCCCGGGGTGCTTCAGGGGTGGAGCAAGCGTCGTCCTCGAGGGCAAGAGCTGACCAGACCGTAGTGCAGGCGGACACGGGGGCTACGGACCCCCTCAAGGCGGATATCAACAAGGGTACGGGCAGCCTCCGCAGCAAGGCGGGTATTATCAGCCTCAGCAGGGAGGGTATCAACAACCTCAACAGGGATAGTGAGCGCTCTTTCTCTCTCTCCGGCCCGAGCCTTGGAATCGAGGCAAGGCTGACCTGTAGTTATCCTCAGCAACAGCCTCAGCAGATGTACGTTCAGCAGCCACCACCAAGGAAGGGCGGAGGAGCGGGAACCGGATGCTGCGCCTGGTGAGTCTGCCTTTGTCTGGCGAAGGTGATTGTTTGGGTTGTAGCTGACAGTACAGCCTGGCTGGTATGCTCTGCTGCTGCTGTGGTGAGTCCTCCTCATCCAGGGATCACGTCGCCGAGTTTCGCTGACAGCACTAGCCGAGGACATCTGCTGCGACTGCCTCTTTTAGATACCCCTCGGACGATCCGTATAATTAGCTACGCCCCCAATATCTCTCGCCAGGATGCATCTCGTGAGCTTGTTCTTAGTCATCCTCTCAGATCGCGCCGTTTGGCCAGGCTATTCCTGCACTAAGATGAGACATGGGTGTCTCATGTCTTCAAGCCGGATGATGGAGGTTTTCTTTGCCCCGCCTCCTTGTCCTTGATCATCATCTACACTTGAGCAACTCAAAACCTATACAGCAGCACAACCCATACCTCCATCCCAAGACAGATAGACCCATCATGCTCTGTAAGCCTTCACTCCATCGTGCTATCCTCTGAAGTCAAAGCTGATGGCCCCCCAGCCTCCTTCAACTTTGATCGCCACCCTTCGTCGTCAGGATCCTCACACTCTGCCTCTACCTCTGCCCCAGTGCCCAGCAGCGAGGTAGGACCTCACGGTCGCATTCCGGGTTGGACATACCTCACTAGGGGTACGTTCGGTGCGGTGTATTCCAGGCAAGGGAAGCCGCTGGCACTGAAAGTCGTTGAGGTGCCTGAGAACGCAGCTGCCCTACTAGATGAATATCGGCTGTGAGTGAGGGTACATGTCCATTGCGTCATGTCAAGCTGATGAGCAGATATCGTTCTGTCTCTTCAGCTTTGACGTCCACCAGCGGTCGCGCTCGCTTCATCACCCCTCGGCCGTACGCGTACAACGACTGCTCCACCTCTTCTCCCCCTGCTCAGATCAACGTTTCACTCCCCGCTCCACTTCCAGACCCATACATTGCTGTCCATGTCGACGTGGACGACTTCCACGGCATCTCCTTACCCGCCATGATCCTCGACCAGATCCCCGACCTCCCGCCCGCCCTCACATCCACCTACCGCCGTCTCTTCTGGCGGGACGAGCTCGCCCGCTCTGGTCCGCCTATCCGTCTCCTCCGGCTCTATCTCGGCCGCGTGCTTCCTCCCACTTCGCATCATCTTGCCCCGGGAGTACAGAGTGACTTCCCACTAGATCAGCCACGGTATAGACTGCTCGATGAGGCGTTGCGTGAGGAAGGAAGAGCGGGACTGCCGGACTCGTCGGAGGTGTGTAGGGGCATGGGGGAGGTATTGGGCAAGTTGCACTGGACGGCGGGAACCAACGGGAGGGACGTCGAGTTGGTCTTGGGTGGAGATGAGCAGGATGGGGTGCAGTGCGAAATCCTAGACTATAACCAAGTGAGTAGCTCACCAGCTGCTTTGTCCACGAGCTGATTTTCAGTCCCGCCCGTGGATCATCCCGAACCTCTTCAACCTCGCCTCGACAAATCAGCTCCCTCCGCAGCTCACGATCGGCACTTACGCCTCCAGCTCGCTCGTAGAAGCGGCCGGCCGAATGGGGACCTTTATCGGAGGACAGGAGTATTACTACCCTCGACCCGATACCCCGGACGGGTATGCCCTGTTTCGAGAGGGGTATGAGGAGGTGGTTAAGGGATTGGTCGGTAGGTATGTGCCAGATCCGGTAGGGGAAGGATGGGAAGGGTTTGTGAGGGATGTGAGGGAGGCGGTGGGGCGGTTTTTTGAGAAGTTTGAGGGGGTTTATGAGGAGAAGACCGAATTCCCCACTTATGTGGATGGAGCGCCGGGCAAGAGCACCAGACAGAAATCCGTGCTCCTCCGCCAGTTGATCGAAGGGAAGATGGGGCAGAAACTCGATCCAACGAAGGGACCCTACAAACTCGAGATGTTCGGGGACGACGACGTCAATGCCGACGAGTGGGATGCCCATGACTTTGCTTGAGCTGGGCCATCTGTTTCACGCGCCGGCTGGTCTTCTGTCCTTGTAATATCACCCACAATGCATAAGGTACATGCGAAGTAGAGATCAGTACAAATTTCTTGCACATCAATCTTCAGATGTACCAACCATGCCCGTATCCGCATCCATGTATACTCTATAGCATGCACGCAACAGACCTTCGCTGCCCCAGCTGCTTCGGCCAAACAGACAGCCATATGAGACCCGCTCGCTCAGACGAAGAAGTTGATTCCTGACTCGGGATTGTAGCATAGCTCTACAACCCACACCTACACCCGAGCCCGCTCTTACCTTCTTCCTCCCAACAGTAGCTGTCTCTCTCCAGCTCCAGCTATAAAGCCCGACCGCGCCTTTTCCTCTCCCCTCATCCCGACCCATTCGTTACCCCTGGCCCGCCCGGCCCACCCGGCTGCTGATCATACCCGCCCGTCACCTGAGGAGGCATAGCCATCTGACCCTGAGGCGGGATCATCGGACTTGGTCCTGGCCCCCCAGGTCCACCTGGGCCACCTGGTCCGCCTTGACCAGGCTGGAACTGCGCCTGATTGGGCGGCCCGCCCGACCCTGGTGGATGAGGCGGTGGGAATGGGAGATTGTGCTGCACTACTAGTTATCAGCCATGTCCATTCCTCCTCCCCTTCTCCATGCTCCGCCACCCAAGGATTGAACGTAAATACTTACTTTGCGGAGTCTGATGTGGCGTTCCACCATAAAACATCCCCTGCCCCTGTCCTGGCCCACCTGGTCCGCCTGGTCCGCCCGGTCCTCCCGGTCCTCCCGGACCTTGCCCTGGCGGACCTTGTCCTGGCTGACCCCCCGGAACCGGAACGCGCTGCGGCGAATGCGGCATCCCATTAGGCCCTCCACCCCCGTTCGGCCCAAACTGAGCTTGTAGATGCTGAGGAAGGAACTGGGGGTTTGGCGGGCCATTATGGAAGTACATCGGCACTGCTTGGTCAGCTCTCTGTCCCTTTCTCACGCGTCGGACTCAACCAACTCACTTCCTGGGTGCTGCTGGTGTTGCGGATGATGACCCGGTCCTTGCCCTGGTCCCTGTCCTTGTCCCTGCCCTTGTCCCTGTCCTGGTCCTCCCTGCTGCTGCTGCTGTTGCTGCAAATGCAATTGCTGCTGAGTGAGATGTTGCGGGTGATTCGGGTGATTTGGGTGATTTGGGTGCTGGGGACCATGCTGAGGGTGTTGAGGATGAGGGTGATTTTGGTGATTCTGGTGATTTGGGTGCTGTGGCTGATGAGGGAGATGAGGCGGTCCATGCCCATTGAGCATATGCGCCGGCATCCCTCCGACCCCATTGGGCCCGTTCGGCCCGCCGGGTAATGGCGCGTATCCCGGTCCAGGGGAGAACATGCCGTTGGGGGGCATACCGGGCGGGCCTTGACCTTGAGCCTGGCCCTGGGGAGGCATACCGGGCTGCTAAGATGTCAGCTTATAGGCTCATTTCATTCTGGGACGTGACCATTAGACTGACCTGTCCAAATCGGTTCGGCTGATACCACTGACCTCCCGGTCCTTGCACCGGCATAAGCTGAGGTTGGCGGAACTGCGGGGAGGTCAATCCCATTTGGTCCTCGTCCATCCCGAAGCCCATAGGTGGAGCGGGAGGGAGGAACGCCATTTGGACCGGTCGACCAGTGTATGGCCAATTCGGCGCTGTCTCGTCAGCTCCAACCTCTCGGAAAAAATGCCGAGCATGGTGAGCTCACGGATATGGCTAGCATGGTGGACTTGACTGTGCCTGAACGGGTTGAAGTCAGACCGGAGGTCGACCGTAACTTTCCCGGGGACTTGATCCCCAAAGAACGCATTCTTGGGCACAGAGGGACCCGCCGCAGCCTGCTTGTCAGCTCTCGTCCTCATTCACCTTCACACCTGACAAGGAGAACTTACAGACACCGCAAACGGCCTGGCGGCAGGACTACCCCCACCCGGCTTGAACGCCGCCGCCGTCGGCTTGAACACGAACGCCGCCGCCTTGGGATTCAACTTGGCCTGAGCCTGCTGCTCCGCACTCTGGCTCGCCGTCGTACTGAGCGCAGGGCTCGTCATCCCCAACCCCGGAATATCCGCCTTGGCCGACTCGGTGATCGACAGAGTGGGAGCGGTCACGCCAGACATGGATGGTTTTCGGAATGCAGGGATCTCGGGGATGTGCATGGGGATCTTTTTGCCCAGAGGCTTGGAGACGGCTCGGGCGGTCTCGGGGCCTTTGAGAGTGGCGGTCGCGTCCGCGGCGGCAGCGGGGGACTTGGAGTCGGAGAGCTTGCGGGCCTGCTCGGCTTTGGCCGCTTGGAGGGAGGATTGGGCGTTGGCTTCGATGGACTTTTGCTTCTCTTCGTCCTTGGACAGGATGGGGAGGATGTCTTTCGGGATAGGGAGTGGGACCTGACTGATCAGCTACTTCTGCCGGCGGTGGGATGAGCTAGCGGACATACCTTGAAGCTAGCTTGGAACTTCTTGAGCTCGGCAACTTGCTTCTCCCGCTCCGTCTTGGCCATCGACTGCTTCTTCGCCTCGACCTTCTCGCGCTCGCTATCGACGAACTGGCGATACGCGCCGACGACATTGTCGAGACCATCCTAGTCTGTCAGCTGGAACTCCTCGACCTCAAATAGCGCAGGCCAACTCACCTTGGAGTCGGCTGAAGCACCAGGTGCAGGAGGCGAAGTCATCGCAGCCGAAGTAGGGGGCAAGTGCGAAGTAGATGTCTTGGCAGCCACCGCATCCTTCGCGCTGTCGACAACAGCAGTCTTCGCACCATCTACAGCTGGTGTCTGTGCGCCATCCGCCTTGACAGCCTTCTCTGCCTTCTCAGCCTTCTCGACCGCCGGAGCAGCCGTAGCCGCCGGAGTTGGGCCCTTAGCAGTCGCACCCGGCGCAGGCGACTTGGATGCCGGCTGAGCCTTGTTGCCACTAGCGCCGAGAGCAGGGGATGCAGTTCCGCTGCCGTTTCCGTTGGCTTTGGGACCGTTGGCGCCCTTGCCTCCTGCGGCAGCTGCGTAGCCGCCAGCTCCGGGTCCGCCTTGCGACTTTCGAGCAGCAGGCGGGACGTAGGCGTTCGGGCCTCTTGGCGCTGCAGGGGGAGCGGGAGCCGGCTGGGTCGGCTGATCACGTTGGACGCCAGAGTACCTGGCATATAAGCTACAGATACAGACCACCAGCACACGAGACGACTTACATCTCCTCGTCGTCCTTGGCCCAGTCAAACTTGGCGCCCCTCTCATCCATGACGTGAACATTGCCAGACGATTGCTATGTGATCAGCTTAGCCCTTTGCGCCATACGCATCGCAATTGAAAACACAACTCACGCCCATTATTTCACTTGCGAGCCGATCCGCCTCCTTCTCCCTCTGCCTGAAATCCGATCCAGACTTGTTCAGCTTGGTCGTGTAGATCTCCTCCCTATAGCTGGTCGTGGTACCGAAGAGCCGAGCATTCGTCTCGAACTGGTCCCATTTACCAGCTTCGGCGCCGAAGGTCTCGCTGTCTTTACCGGCTCGAGCGCCGTTGGTGGCGGAGCTGCCATTGGTAGGCGCGGCGTTCGCGTCGGGGCCGGACCAAGGTTGGAGCTCTCGGGGACCGGGAGAGGCACGAGTAGGCCCGGAGATTTCGGTGTCGGTCTGGAAGACTGGAAAGTCAGCTTGGGCACACTCGGACACTGTCGGGCACGGACAGCTCACTCTTGTTGACTGCGGGCTTCTCGACCTGGACCTTCTTCATGTCGCTCATACTGGAGGGTCAGCTATGAGCGGAGACGTGAATTCCATAAAGTCTGGACAGCTGAAAAACTCACTGGTCGTTGATAGACACCCTCGGACTCCCTCCACCGCTCCCATTCCCACTCCCCACCGGACTTCCGCCCCTCGCTGCAGCGTTGTACCCGCCCGATCCGGGTGGCCCGCCCCTCCAAGATCCGCGGCTAATCATCAGCTAATGGTCCGAGTTGGGAAAGTAGGAAGACATACCGCTGACCGCCAGCTTCGCCTCCACCCCTACCACCGCCACCACCGCCTCCCCCACCTCGCCCACCCCTGCCCCTGGTGTTGCTGACAGTAGCCATATCGGCCCGGGTTTTCGGTTCTCGTAGCTCGTGAGATGTCGTCAAAAGGAAGAAGAGATCCGGCAGGAAGATGCTAGATCAGAGAGTGTGAATGCGGTCCGGGGATGCGAGTGTCGGGGCGGCGGGGAAGGTGGAGTAGAACCGCTGTTGATCAGCTTGCTCCCGAGGCCTGCAGACATGGATGCGGTACGGATTGCGATGTTCACTCTCTATAGATCGCCGGGCTAGTCCAACAGACGAGGGAAGGGCAGTCCAGTCTAAACGGGAGAACACATGCAAGGAGGAATGTCAACTCACCAATATTCTCTGGAACGGGCAGGACACAGGCAGGTCCAGCTGCTTTCCGGCAGCTCTGACTCCGCAGCAGCACGTAGCGTATAGCTATACAGCTGATCTAGCCCTACGCTGGCTAGGCTATAAGGTATAGGTAGGCAAGAACCTATATGGATAGGATGAAGCTGAACTTCTCGAGAGACGCGTGAGGTGAGGCTGGCCCCGGCCGGAATGGTCCCCAATTAATATTACGGTAATCCGGATTCAGGGTCCGAGTTCCTCAGCATTCCGCCACAAACGGCGTCATCCGGGTTTTAGCGAGATCCGTGCGCGTGTTTCAGAAAAGAGTCGGTGCTTTGGCGGTCGACGCTCGTGAAGGTGAGGACTAGGGCAGCGACTATAGACAGAGTGAGGTAGAGATCTAGATCTAACGGGATGCAAAAGCACGAAACCTTCTAAGTAAGCCGACAGTATAAACAAATCTAAGCTACCCCTTCCTTTGTCCTCCTTCTCGTTCCCTCCGCCCACCGCATCCACTTCCCCCTTGCTCCCCCACCAATCAACCGACAATATCGCACAAGAGGTCTATGAGCCCAAAACAAGGGTCAAGAGCGCCATCCGGACCTGTCCAAGTCAGCTTGTACTCCCACTATCGACCAGAAACAAGACACTCACGAAAAGCCCATACCGCATCTGCCTAAAGTACGCCGCCCGCCTCGAATCAAAGTCCACCTCTGGATCAATCTCCGCCGTCCTGGGCAGCGGGTGCATGACAATCGCCGATTCCTTGGCCTTGGCAAGGACATCGTTGTTGATCACAAAGAGATCCTTGACCGCCTCGTACTCGTCGAGATTGTCGAATCGCTCCTTTTGGACCCGAGTGGCGTACAGGACATCCGAACGGCCGATGACCTCGTCGAGCGAGTGGTGCTCGCTCCATTGGATCCCGGCGCGTGAGGCCTCGGTCTTGACGTATTCGGGCATGGCGAGGGATGGGGGCGAGACAAAGTTGAGAGTGACGTCGTAAAGGGAAAGAAGGCGGACGAGGGAGTGAACGGTACGGCCATTCTTGAGATCACCAACTGAATCATCAGCTACGTCCTTGATGCTATGGGCAGAAAAGAAGACTTACTCAGGGTGACGGTGATACCATTCACAGACCCCAATTCTTCCCGGATACAAAACACATCCAGGAGACTCTGCGTGGGATGCTCTCCAATCCCATCTCCAGCATTGATGATGGGCACGGGACTGCTCTTGGCCGCTGCCTTGCTACTCCCGACTGACGGATGACGGAGTACCACCGCGTCCGAGTAACACCCGACGGTCCGGATCGTATCCGCCAACGACTCGCCCTTGACCACGCTGCTCGTCGACGCAGTCACACTGACCACTTCACCCCCACACCGCTTCATCGCCGCCTCGAAGCTCGTCGATGTCCGCGTAGACGGCTCGTAGAAGAGCGTACAGAGCACCCGTCCTCGCAGAGTATCTACAGAGCCAGACCGCTCGACCTGGTTCCGCATCTCGGACGCCAGATTGAACAGGATGTGCAGATCCTCCTTGGTGAACTGCTTGACGCTGAGGATGTTCTGGCGAGTGAAGGCCGGGTGGGTCTGGACAGTGATGGCCGAGCGGGTCGGTGAGGCCTCGCGGATCTCACGGATAGGTACGACCGAAGCGAGGGACATGAGGTTGCCCATTGGCTTGGCGGCGAAGGAGGATCCGCGCTCCAGACCTGGAGAGACGATGCTGGGGCGGTGGGTGGAGGAGAAGGAGACTCTGGAGGGCTTGGAGCCGGATCGAGGACCAGTGATGCTGATGTCCCGGCCGAGGGGGAGGGAGAAGGTCGACCCGTCCAAAAAGACCGAGTGGTTGTTGATGACCACACGGTGCACACCGCCCGAGACCGGCTTGTCCTGAAGGGGTGACCATACGCCCGCCGGCGCTGCAAAGGTAGATTTCCGGCTGACCTCGACTTCGACATACGTCTGGGGCTGCTCGGGAAGACCAAAGATCGCCCGGGGGTTTTCGGAGAGACGGAGCGAGACGTCCTCGAGCGTCAACTTGCCCTCCGCCACCGCCGACAAGAGCAGAGGCAACGCCTCCTCCACGCCCGACTGCGCAGACACCTGCTTGCCAAGCACCTGGCCCAGCTCGTACGGCAACACCCCGACCGCAAACGCATCTACGACCGCCATGTTGGCCCAGAGCGCCTCCTGGTCCTCCTTGGTCGGGAGACAAAGGGCGGTAGGGTAGTCAGCCTGCGAGTAGAAGAGCGAGTAGATAGCCACGTCACACGTAACCGCCAGTCCCTTCTCCTTCGCCAGCGCAATAAGCAGGATATCATCCCTACTATTCACGCCGGCAACGTGCACGCTCCGCCCGTTCAGACTCGCCAGCAACAGGATGGACGCGAGGTCCGTCTTGCGCGCATCGGTAATGATGGGCTTGTCTGCTGGCCAAGCGGCAAAGTGGCTCGCGACGGACGAGACCTTGTTGCCCGATCCGTAAAAGTTGTTGAAGGGGATAAAGAGGGCTTTGGCGCCGGCAGCAATAGCGTCGTCGAGTCGAGAGGCGTTATCCGCGGTCGCAGCGACCGAGAAGAAGTAGTCACAGTGTGCCGAGCCCGACGCGTTGGACTGGGCGCGCTGCAGAGAGATCTCGTCCTCGACCGCTGAGGTGACGCCTTGGGGGAGCATCGAGACGATGGTGAAACCGCCCCGGATCGCCGCCGAGGTGGCCGCGCCAAAGTCGCCCGAGTTGGAGTCGGCCGCGCCGGGTACGAATGCCTGGATGGACACGAGACCGGGAAGGGTGTGTGTCTCGTGCGACGTCTTGTAGTCGATAGACGAAATGTCAAAGGTGGGTTTGCGGAGGATCGCCTCAATGAAGAGCTTGGCGCACTTGACGTTGGTGATGAGGGGTACCGCAAAGTCGACCGCCATCCGCCGCGACTTGTATCCCTTGGAGATGTAGGATGCGGGCCGACGGAACCGGTTCTTGGACGGCAGGTTGATATAGAGATCAATCAGGTTATTGGCGAGATGCTGGTCGAGCGAGTACTCGGCCTTTTGGGGGTTGGACTCGTCGTCAGCCCCCAAAGCCTCGAGGTACTTGACGGGTACGCCGTGCTCCTGCATAAAGTCGGACGTCCCGGCCGTAGCAAAGAGGTTGTAGCCCATACGGTGGAGCTTGTGGACCGACGGGAGCATCTCGAGCTTCTCCTTGAACGACCCAATAGAAAGAAGAATGTTCTTCTTGGGAGGGACGATACCGGTAGAAATGAGCGCCTTGAGGTAGGCGTCGTACCTGTCCTTGCCGAAGCAGGCGACCTCGCCGGTCGAGGCCATCTCGACACCGAGAATAGGGTCCGCGCCCGACAGCCGCGAGAAGGAGAATTGGGGGACCTTGACACCGACGTAGTTGGCCGGCATCTTCACGTCCGGGTACGGCGTGACCGGGAAGCCGAGCATGACCTTGGTAGCGATCTCGATGGCGTCGATACCCGTCACCTTGGAGACGAAGGGGAATGACCGCGCCGCCCTGAGATTACACTCGATGACCTTGATCTCATTGTTCTTGGCGATGAACTGGATATTGTACGGTCCGGTGACGTTGAGCGCCGCTCCGATTTTGGCCGTAGCGTCCTCGATCTTCCGGATAGTCTCGGGATCCAGATCCTGCGGGGGCAGGATAAGGGTAGCGTCTCCGGAGTGGACACCGGCATTCTCGACGTGCTCCGAGATGTAGTGCATGACCATCTTTCCGTCCCGCGCGATCGCGTCCATCTCGATCTCCTTGGCCTCCTCGATATACTTGGAGATGACGACGGGGTGGTCCCGGGAGACGTCGGTCGCCTGGGTAAGGTAATTCTCCAGGTCGTCCTGGGTGAAGACGACGTTCATGGCCGCGCCCGAAAGAACGTAGGACGGACGGACGAGGACCGGGTACCCAACCTTGTCGCAGAACCCTTGCGCCTCTGCAAAGCTTGTAAGCTCTTTCCAGAGGGGCTGGTCCACGCCGATCTTGTCGAGCATCCGGGAGAATTTGAACCGGTTCTCCGCCGAATCAATCATCTCGGGCGATGTCCCGTAGATCTTGACATTCTGCCGGTGCAGCGCGAGCGCGATGTTGTTGGGTGTTTGACCACCCATGGAGAGGACGAGACCGGACGACCGCTCGAGGTCATAAATGTCCATGACGGTCTCTAGCGAGATATTCTCAAAGTAGAGCTTATCCGCCTCGTCATAGTCCGTAGACACCGTCTCGGGATTGTAGTTGATCATGACGGTTTTAAGGCCATTCTCCCTGAGCGTCCGGATAGCCCGAACGGCGCACCAGTCAAACTCGACCGAGGACCCGATCCGGTACACCCCCGATCCGAGGACCATGACGCCGTTATCGACAAAGTCGACGTCGTGCTCGCTAGCATTGTACGTGGTGTAGAGGTAGTTGGTGTACGCCGGGAACTCGGCAGCGACCGTGTCGATCTGCTTGACAAAGGGGGTGATGCCAGCTTCGATACGGAGACGACGGACCGCGAGCTCGTTGGTGTGGAGACCTTTGGCGATTTGACGGTCCGAGAAGCCGAGTTGCTTGGAATATCGGATGAGCTCGGTCGGAACGGACGTCGCATTGTAGTGTCTGTCCATCAGCTCAGTCCTTCTTTTGCTATGACAAAACTCACCCGATGACCTGCTCAGTCTTTGAGATCCTCTCCAAGCGGGTCAAGAACCACTTGTCGATCTTACTCATCTCGTGGATCTTATCCACCGAGTAACCCTTCTCGAACGCCGTCGCGATCGCAAACAACCGCTTGTCCGTCGGGTTCGCCAGCTCCGTATCTAAGTCCTCGACCTGCACATGGTCCCCGAACCCAGGGAACTGATCATCGATACACCTGATCGCCTTTTGGATCGTCTCCTCAAACGTCCGCCCGATCGCCATCACCTCTCCGACCGACTTCATCGAGCTTCCGAGGGCCGTCGAGACCCTCGAGAACTTCTTCAAGTCCCACCGTGGGATCTTGACGACGCAGTAGTCGAGCGACGGCTCAAAGCACGCCGACGTGAGCTTGGTGACCGAGTTCCGAATCTCGTTGAGGGGGATGTTGAGACCGAGCTTGGCCGCGATGAAGGCGAGGGGGTAGCCGGTCGCTTTGGACGCGAGGGCCGAGGAACGCGAAAGACGAGCATTGACTTCGATAATGCAGTACTCTTGCGAGTGGGGGTTCAGTGCGTACTGAATGTTGCACTCGCCAATGACGCCGAGGTGACGAATGACATTGACGGCGGTGGTACGGAGCATGTTGTAATCGGCGTCCGACAGGGTCTGGGAGGGGGCAACGACGATAGAGTCTCCAGTATGAATACCGAGCGGGTCAAAGTTCTGCCATCAGCTCTATCCCAAGAAATGACTCACCTCCATGTTACAGACTGTAATACAGTTGTTCATGCAGTCCCTAACCACCTCGTACTCGATCTCCTTCCACCCCTTCATACTCTTCTCCACGAGCACCTGCGGTGAGATCGCAAACGCCTTGCTACACAACTCCGCCAGCTCCTCTTCATTCTTGGCGAACCCACTCCCCAGACCGCCGAGCGCGAACGCCGCTCTGACAATGACTGGGAACCCGATCTTTTGCGCCGCAACGACCGCCTCCGAGTAGTTGGTCGCAGTAGCCGATTCGGCGCACTTCTCCCCAATCTCCTCCATCGCCCGAGCAAACATCTCTCGATCCTCCGTCGTGATGATCGTCTCGATCGGCGTGCCCAGCACCTTGACGCCATACTTGGCAAACTCATCCTTGAGCTTGATCCCTACGCCCAAGGCGGTCTGACCGCCAAAGGTACAGTAGATCCCGTCCGGCTTCTCGTGCTTGATAATCTTGAGCACAAAGTCCGCCGTGACCGGCAAGAAGTAGACCTTGTCCGCGAGACCTTTGGACGTCTGGATAGTTGCGATATTGGGGTTGACGAGGATGGTGTAGATACCCTCCTCTTTGAGCGCCTTAATCGCTTGAGATCCCGAATAGTCGAATTCTCCCGCTTGGCCGATGGACAGACCGCCGGAACCGAGGACGAGGACTTTGCGGACCGTCTCGCGAGGACGAACAGCCATGTTGGCCTTGATCTCCCCGCCGGGGATATCGATGGGCACGAGCTTTCCCTCGCGCGCCGAATCGACCATGCTCTGGATGAACACGTCGAAAAGGAACTCGGTGTCCCGCGGTCCCGGAGCCGACTCGGGGTGGAACTGGACAGAGAAGAACGGCTGACCGTCCTTCCCCATCCAGATACCCTCGTTGGACCCATCATTCGCGTTGGTGAAAAGCGGCTCCCACCCGGGCTTGAGGGACGAGACGTCGACCTCGTACCCGTGGTTCTGCGAGGTGATGTAGCACCGGCCCGATGTGGAGCACGTGCACGGAAGGTTCATCCCTCGGTTTCCGTACTTCATCTTGCGCGTAGATGCGCCGGAGGCGAGCGCGAGAAGCTGGTGTCCGAGACAAATACCGAAGATGGGGACTTTGGCACCCGCCATGGCGCGCGAGAGGTTGGCGATGGTCTCGGTGACCATGGACGGGTCGCCCGGACCGTTCGAGACGAAAAGACCGTCAAAGTGTTCCGAGGTCGAGTTGAAGTCATAGTCCTGCCTGTCAGCTTGGTCGTCGCGTTAGACATACCCAAGGGACGACCTGGACTTCGACACCCCGCTTCCGGAAACACCGGATCTGGTTCCACTTCATCCCCACGTCCACCGCCAGCACGCGAAGCGGCTTCTGGGTCTTGGGGTGCAGCTTGACGTCCGAGCCAGTGATGGGCGTGTAGAGCGTCGGCTCCTTGGTCGATACCTTGGCGACAAGGTTCTCGGTGTTGGGGTCCGAGAACGGGACGGTGTTGTAGTGCTGCTTCCACTCGTTAGGGTCGCGAGCGTCCGTGGAGGCCGAGCGAGCCATTGGCGAGGCTGAGAGACCATTGAGGAGGCGAGAGACACCGCCGAGGACGCCCGACTTCTCCCGTCCCCGCTCCTGCTCCGGCTGAGCCGGGATCACCTTCTTGCCCAGCACCCTTCCGAGCAGTACACCGCCCTCCCGGATCTTCTTGGTGAGCATCCGGGTGTCGACACCCCAGATGGCCGGGATACCCTGCTCCTTGAGCCACTTGCCGAGCGAGCTGTCGGCAAGGTGGTGCGAGTACGACGGGTGGTAGTTGGCAACCACGAGCGCCGCGACGTGGATGTGGGACGACTCGAACTCGAGCGGAAGCGCGTCGAGGAGGGAGGTGGAGGGAGGGACATTGTGCGCGTCGGTCGAGGTGGGGGTAGAGGAGGTCTCGGTAGACGGCCGCTCGGGGACACCGTAGTTGCCGATAAGAGGATATGTGAGGATGAGGATTTGGGAAGAGTACGACGGGTCCGTCAAGGACTCGGGGTAGCCGACCATCCCTGCCTGTCAGTTTCGTCCTCTGCTGCTGCGAAAGACTCACCAGTCTGGAAGACACATTCCCCAGCGATGCTCTTGTCCGCACCGAACGAGTGACCAGCAAGAGCCAGCCCATCCGCCAGCTCAAGCACCATATCCCCCTCGCCCATATCCGGGCTCCACTCCGGCTCTTCCGGCATCCCGTTCGAGTCAATCCCCTTGAGCGTAGCAGGCGGGTACAAGCTCCCCGGGATACGGACTGGCGGGGCAGCGTACGAGGCCGACCGAGGCGCCAGGACCCGAGTAGACGCCGTGGGCGACATGGACGGGGGCAGCGGGGACGAGGGCGGGGTAGTGTGCGTGACCGCCGAGTGCGAGGCTGCCGGAGCGGAAGTTGCGCCATTCACCATCCCGCTGTCTGCGCTGGGGACGACCCCCTCGAATGCTGCTGCCGAGGCGGTCATGTTCGGTGAAGGGGTGGGAAAAAGTGGACTGGGTGTACCGGGGTGAGGGGTGTCCAGCGACGGTCGAGCTACTGTGTAGTCGACTTTTTGGGTTCTGTTTGGATGAGAGCAGTCGGTATACTCTCTGTCCACGCTATACTTAGCTTATCATTATGAGGAAGAGGAGAAGAGAGAAGAGAAGAAGGAGAACATGTACCCCAGTACTGCTGCAGTGACCGGTGGACGCGCAGAGACTATGCCTGTTGAAAGTTTTGCTCCCGAGATCTAGGTCACGTGATGGCGTTCCAGACAACAACGAATGGAAAATAAACAGCTGCATTTTGACCTTTACTCCCATTTACTTGGCCGACTTTAGGTCAAACCTCTACAGTAGTCAACCTCTAGCTGAACGCAGTCATCATGTGTATCCGCGTAGTATACATCAAAGGTAAGGTCTCGGCTTTGCACCTGGCGGCTGCTGAGGACGTTCTTTAACTATTGGCCTCCTTGGCCGTTTCGGTATTCCAGGTCGTTTCGTGTCCTTCCCTGACGAGCCCCCCGAGCTGCGCTGACTCCGCTGACTCCCGCTGGGTGTCGCGCCGTCTGTCTTGATCACCTCCATCTCTGTGTTCTCCACCTTATTGGATACAGGTAGCGGCTTCCTATCCCAGAACAGGATCTTATTGGGGAACCAGCATCGGAAGCCGAGCCATATCCGTATCCTTCCGCTGGGATTGCAGAGATCTCGAACGCACGAGTACAGGCTGAGAAAGAGGGACATCAGCAGTACTAATGGTCAGCACGATCCCTGTCCTGCTGATGGATACTCACGGAAGAATCCTCCTCCGATTCCGTTTGACCGGCTCAACTCCATCTTATTCCTCACCGTCGCCACTGACTTCCCCGTTGCCACCAAGCACCCAAAGATAAATACCACGTTGATCACCCCTATACTCCTGCTTGCGCGATAAGCAAATAGCTTGAACTTGCGTCTCCGAGCTCCTCTTACTTTCGCTCTCTCCACTTCTGGAGGCTCGGAGGAGTCTCGGGGGGTCGGGGGGTCGGGAATCTTGAACAGTCGGACAATGAGGAGGATGGTGAGGTATAGGGAAAGATAAAAGGCGATGAGGAGGCCAAGGCCGACATTGACGAAGAACTTGGCGGGGTCGACGGCTTCATCGAGGGAGCTAGCCCGCTTCTGGAGGGAAAGATCGCGTCGTTCCGCTTTGGACGGGTCGGCTGCGTCGGCGTCAGCTGCCGGGGCGGAGGCAGGGGCAGCGCCAGCTCCTGAATCTCATCAGCTAACCCCCTGACGTATTCTGACGGTACTTACCGCCCTTCAGCCAGTCCTCACACGAGGTCCCCGCGCACTTCTTGAATGCCCCAATATAGTCCGTTCCCGCCGCTATGAGTGCTGTATTCTTGGACGGGTTGGGCATCCACAGCAAGAATAAGAAGATGCACACCAGCAACTGGAGGAGTATCCAGACATAGCCGGTGTTGTAATTGGGATAGGCCTCTTCCGAGGTCTTGCGCTCTTTGAGGCCTGGACCTTGTCCTCGTCCCGCTTCCACGTCGACGTCGTATGGTGGTAAAGACGAGGGGGTCCCACTCTTGAGCGATGAGGACTTTTTGGACATCTCTGACCCTTGCTGGGCTGATAACGCTTGTTGCTCTTATTGACAGTAGGTTGCTCTGACTGGCCGCATGGTATCGGATTGATAGTATGGGCTGACGGGTGGCACGTCCGATAGGTGACAAAGATATCGGTCTCACGACCGTTGCATGTCCGGCGAGCCGATGGCAGAGACTGACCCTGACGATACAAAACACGTCCCAGCCAAGATAACGGGCCCATTCCTCAAAGGATTAGACAGGGCAAATGCAAAGGATAGGGGAGATACCCCTTGCTCGAAAGGGGGATGACGCGGTGATTGTCAGACCGACTCGCGATCGCACCAGCACCTCATCGGGCCGCTCGGCGGCCGCGGAGTCGGCAGCTGCAATACCCGATCCAGCTGAAGAGTGTTCCTCTTACCTCCTGTGCGTGTTCTAACAACAGACCTAATGTCTGTAGCTTTTGGGAGGATCACACTTACCACCTCGACATAATCTCAGTCGCTCCCGTCACATGCTACGCGTCAGACACTTCCCCGTCCCACCTTTCACTGTAACACCCTGATGCGCCAGCAGGTCAGTACTGTCAGTCCTTTCATGGTCAGACAGCACGCCATACATTCTGACTGTCTGGATCTTCTGCTGGGGTCAAGGGGTCCAGCGTGGTGACTGCTGCTCTTCCCTTCGTACCTCATTCTGCCTTTACCGGTCGCTCCCTTTGCTCATTCCAACCCCACTACATCCAGATCACTGTCTACGCATCATGTCCGATCATGAACAGGACTCTGATGGCTCCTTCCAAGACACCCAGGAGAACGGCCCAGACCGCCAGCGGCTATTCGAGGCCCTCTCCGACGCGTCCCGTACCTTCCGAACCCGGACTCAGGATCCCACCGCCTACCAAGACGCTTTGGAGACCGTCAGCGTTATCATGCAGGCGGCCTTCCCGAACGTGAAAGCTGATCAGATCCTTTTCGCGCTTGCGAGCCCCATCATGTCTGCGACTCTTTCGCAGGACTCCGATACTCCACTGAGGTTTGTCCTCAACTCCATCATGGCGCCCACCCTTCTCGCTTTCGGCACCATCTCCACGTCGATGTACGGATCTCAAGCCTCATTGGGTCTAGAGCTTGGGTCCCTTGTTTTCGCGACGGGCGCAGCTACGGAGCTTACACTGGTTGCTGGGTCAGACATCCCTGTCCCGATCGTTGAGCCTGCAGTCTTGGCGAGTCACGCACTGATACTCCTCGCCTGCTCGCCGAGGGCGATATCGTTCTGCCGGGACCGACTCCGAGCCGCCAAGAGCCTGCTTGACGGGCGGCCGGGACCGGAAGCCGATCAGCACAAGAACAAGGTGGATTGAGTAGAGCCCCACCTGCCTGCGCGCTTTCCGTTCTGGTTCTTTCCGCAGACTCCATGTACTGTACTATCCGCCATGGTGATATATCGTTTGCTCGCCCAGCCCTTGTAGCATCCTAGTGACCTATACATCCATACGCTAGTCATTCAATCTCATAAGTTGATCTGCATCGCCTCGTCCGGCTTGCTATATCCCTTTCGCAGTTACAGCCTGTGAGGGCTGTTTTATCGCCACCTGGGCGGACGCACGCCGTACGTGTCAATCTCAGATCATGAGCCACCCGACTTTGCATCCCTGGTTATCCTCGAGCACGTAGCACCTTCGAGGGCAGCGCGCTGTCAAAGGAGATGACTTCTACGAAGGAGATGACTTCTACGAAGGAGATGACTTCTACGAAGGAGATGACTTCTACGACGGCATGATAATCAGGAAATAGCCTAGGCCGGCAGCTCCTCCTCTTCTATCACCAGACTGTACCCCCATACTGCGCGCCCGGAGGACTGACATGCCACTTGACGAATCGGACATCCCTCGTTACTCTGAGTCACAGCTCCTGCGGGGTACCTGGTGGCGCAGAACAGGACGGGACGTCTGGCACACTTCACAGCCCAATCCGGCATGATCATGCAGCATATACTTCTCCGGACCCCATGACGGCTTCCCATATCCCTCGATCTGGGGGAGTCATGTCGGGCTTTGCAGAGCTAATGACAGCTCTACCTTTAAGACTGGGAGCCACACTCGGCGACCATGAGAAGGCTGGCTAGCTGCGACGTTGGCGGTCCACCTCCTGTTTGTTACCCTCTGCTCTGTCGGTAAGCTGGTGGCTCTTCCCCTACACGCATGCCACTTCTTCACTGCGATCTTGACCAGTACCTGTCCTCTGCCTTCGCGTCTTGGCTACTCCAGGCCAGCGTCCAACCTCGACAGCTTTGCCTGACATGCAGAACCTTGCAGACCGCCACTTATGGGCGCCACTTTGACTCGTGGCCGCCACTGGCCATCACCACCACCTGCGGTAGCCAAGCTCCTTTACTTGCCCCTTTCTTCTCTTACCTTGACCTCTTTGTGTATGATAGTATCCCTTGAACAGTCTTGGACACTCTCTACACGAATTGACGAACCGCAATCTCTGTCATACCCGCTCGACGAAGCCTTGCACCGAATACAGCACCCGTCTGACCCTTGTCGACCTTGTCCCTCTTGAAAGCTTGACGCTTGGTCCGCCATGACCACTATCACCCTCCCTCTCCCCAGCTCGCCAGGTGCTGGACCTTCTCGACCGACTCGATCATTCGGAGAAGTTGAAGAGACGTATCACATCCACGACAGCCTTGTCGAGGTGGTCCGGGCCATCCGGGGCGCCAAGCGGATTGTCGTTGTTAGCGGTATGTTCAGCCACCTGGCGCTGGAAGTATAAGCTGACCTACAGGCGCTGGTGTGTCCACAGCTGCGAGGATACCTGACTTCCGGTCCGCAGAGGGTCTCTTTACGGCGCCGAGCAAGCGGAAGGGGAGAACAAGAGCCGAGACAAAGAGGCTGTTAGCGCTCCCGGCTGCTGGGAAGAAGAAGGAGCCGTCTGTCAGGGATCTCTTCCATGTCAAGTCACTATCGGTGAGTCTATCCTGTATTGTGTGACAGCTTGGAGCTGACTGTTTAGGAGGATGACCTTCTCCCAGCCCACCACAAACTGCTCAACTCGCTCTATGACCTCTCGGATGAGGCCAGCCCTACACCCTACCACTCCTTTCTATCCAGTCTCGACCGTAGCGGTCAGCTACTTCGGTGCTACACCCAGAACATCGACGGGCTGGAAGAGAAGGCGGGACTGGAAGTCGGACTCCCGCGGCCGCTGGACCGGAGTTCATACAAGCGCAAACGGTCGCAATATCCGCCTACTCCCGAATCTCGGTCGTCCCCCTCATCGATCGATCTACTCAGCACACCAGCACGCGGAGTCCTGCCTAGAAACTTATCACTCCCTTCGACGCCTCAATCGCAATCCCTCTCATCCTCCTCAACCCCCTATCCCCGCGTCATTCCCCTACACGGTCTGCTCGCAACCGTTAAATGCACCTTCTGCCCCTACACCGCCCCCTTCTCCCAGGTCTACCCTCTCCCATCATACCACCTCTCCTGCCCCGCATGCTCTCATCACTCGAATCAGCGCTCCGCCCTCTCGCAGCGCAAACGATCCGAGGGCATCCTCCGTCCCGACGTTGTCCTATACGGAGAGGAACACCCGCAGGGGCACCTCATCGGCAAGGTCGTCGAGCGGGATCTGAAGGGACTGGGCGGGAAGGATGAAAAGGAAGGCAAGGTGGATATGTTGATTGTGGCGGGGACGAGTCTGAGCATACCGGGCGTGAAGCGGATGGTCAAGGAGATGTCGAGGGTATTGGGGGAAAGATCAGGACTCAGGAGGGTCTTCATCAATGATGATGCGCCGGCGCATCCGAAGGAGTGGGAAGGGATGTTCAACGTCTGGGTCAAGGGGGATATCCAACACTTTGTGACCGACTACCTCGCCAATCCCGCTTTCGGGTCGGAACCGCCCACGCCGCCAAAGACACCTCGGAAACGCTCGACCAAGGTATCGGAGTCTACACCTGCCCCTACCCCTACCCCTACTCCAGTCAATCCCGCCATACCCTCCGTCGATCCCGGTACGCCAAAGCCTACGAAGAAGCGGAAACAGGCGGTCCCGCGCGGTTCCTCTATCACGCCAGCTCGGAAGCGCTCGCCCAAGAAAGCTTCCACTGCCGGCCAGTCGAGCAATGTACCGGTCATACCGTCCATTTATTGGCGTAGCGGCTGTATTGACGACCTCACTTCCTCAGTCTCGCCATCGCCCGCGCCGTCCTCACTCCCAGACTCGGCGGAGTCGGCCTCGGCTCGATATTGGGTGGCCACGGCGCCATCCCCCTGAGGGAGCGGCGGAGCTGAACACAACGGTACACTCTCAGTGGACAGCAGTGGAGTGGAGCGTTTGAGTGACGCTCGGTCTGGCGAGTCTAGCTTGTACATAGTGTATCATCTCACACCCTCTTGTATCAGCTTGTATTGTCTAGCGATCGTTGTATTCTTGATGCGCGTGGTCAGCTGTACGCTTGCGTAGCGCCACTGCCAGCTTTGTACACTGCGGCTTGTGTGCTTGAGCTGATGATGCCAGCCAAGAGGTATAAGCCCAAGTAAGCCCAGGCGAGGACTCTGTCAAGCATTCAGGCCTGCTCTGGCGCCCAGCACAGCGTCGTACATCGACTCAATATGCGCGCTACTAGATAGAAGGAATGGCCGTTAAACTCCAACTCTTCTAGGCTCTTCTAGGCTTCGGGCGAGCCATGTGCAGACGCCGCACTCCCACATCTACTCCACGCACTCCCGAAGTCCCGCCAGCAGCCAGGCGGGAAGGAAGAGAAAGATCGGGATGCCGTCATAAATCCCGAGTTTCAGGGGAAGAACCTGAAACGTCCTCAAAACTGCCTGTTTCGGCTGTCTCGGTTATGCCGCAATCTGTCTCGGATGGAGGGCACGATCGGCATTTCGCGGTGGACCATTCCGTCGACCCAGGCCAGCCTAGATCCCAAAAGATCTACCACCCATTCGGTGGTGTCTGGCCAAATTGCGGGAGTTAGCCCTTGGCCCCTTGTTCCAGCTAGTCATGGATTCTCAGCGTAATCGACCCATTTGCCTCGGCCGATGTTCAAGGGCACCGATATCCCCGAACCTGGGCTAGATGAGCCCACCCGTCGCCCCTCCCGGAAGGCGTTTCGCGAGACAGCGAGGGTCAAAGGATGAGGGTGGGCTATGCTAGTCAAAGGGGTTGTGGGTCCAGTATATAGGTCAGCTGACTTGTTCTGCCCTCCCCTCATCAACTTGTCATCTGCCTCGCTCATACGCTCATCCCACCAGCCACCTCCCACTCCCCACTCTCCACCTCCACGCACTAGGCCTCGCCAGTCAGCCTACTACGTACATCTACAACTTGACCAATCTACACCTCTCCTCATTTTCTCAACATGCTTTCCCTCTTCTCCCTTGTCCTCGCTCTCCTCCCCGTCGTCCTCTCTGCACCCCACGAGCGGAGTAACGAGCCCACGATCGCCTCTTTCGCTGGCGAGTACACCTGCCCCAACTCCCTCCGCCCCTTCCACGCCACCACTTCCATCCTCATACCACACGCCTCGGCCGAGCGGGTCTGGCAGGAGCTCGGAGATTTTTGCGAGGTAGAATGGCAGGGCTTTGAGATCACTGTAAGCTTTTCTTCTTTACACAACCTTTGAAACGCGTTGACTTTCAGGCTACGAAAGGAGCTTGCAACACCCACCGCTCACTCCGGTCGTACCACGCGGCCGACCTCCAACTCAGCGAGCGCCTCGACCTCATCCACCTTCCCTCCCTCTCCTCATCCCTCTTCTCTCGCTCTCGCGCCTCGTCATCACAAGTCTACGCACACGGATACACCATGCTCAACCGCCCCAACCTCGCCGGCGCCGATGTCATCCGCATGAAGTCATTACTAAAGGTGGTGCCTTTCGGATCGGGGTCCAAGGTCAGCTGGGACGCCGTCGGCTGCAGCGACTACCCGGAGCACCTCGCGGACAAGCTGGAGGAGGTGCACGAGGGGGCGTTGTGGGCGGCAGAGGCGAACATCAGGGAGGCGCCTGAATTGGCAGCGGTGGCGGTGGACGAGACCAACTGGGAGGTGCTTGAGCAGGTGATGGAGGCTGCGACTCTGGCATAGGGCGCAGGGGTGGGCGTTGTGAGGGGGTGTTCGGCCATCTTATCTCTAGTCGCATCAGCATTCATCTAGACAAGCATCATCTGTATCATCTATGCCATCTCATCTGTTGTGCACAGGTCAATCTTCGCGCGAGAAGTCAGTCATGCTGCATTCCATCACTTCGTAAGGCTGAGGTCATGATCTGCGTTGGAGTGCGACGCTCTCGGCAGACCAGGGCAAGGGGCAATGATCTGCACCGAGACGGTATGGGATGCATCCTGCTGGTGCAGCACCGCTGTCCATCACCGTTGCGGAGCGCAGCTCGCTAACCAAGGCCTGGAGAATAGCGATACGTTACAAACGAGCTGGTGCTTGAGGCGAGCCGCAGCAGCCGCAGCAAAGTTGGTACCTTGTACGACATGCTTCTCGGGACGGGCAAGGTTGTCCGAGCAGATAGAGAAGCTCACGAGTAGCTTCGCTCCTCTCCGCTTCTCGCCGCTCCTTGGCAGGACCAGAGAGTATGCAATTGAGGCGCATAGGCAGGAGCGACGAGGCAGGCACGCGTAACGGAGTACTGAGAATTTGGGTACCATTATCATCTCCATGTTGGATCCGCTTGCTCCACTGCCTCAGGCGTCAAGCCTTAAGCTTTGAGGTATTCCTAGGGCTTGGAGAGGCACGGATAAGACCACATCGCCACTCGTTAGCTTATCGCTGCTCCCTGACATGCGTCTCCTGCTTCATCGCTCGGCGCTCGGCGCATCTCGGCGCAACTTAGGACCGCGACCTCGGATCCGCAGCAGGGGGGTGCCTTATCGTGCCTAGATGCCTCTCGGTCCACCGAGCAATTCGGCCGATGCCTGCGCGCCACCACGGAGTACCTTATCGCGCCATCGCTGTGCCTTATTTTTCCTCGATGCTGTGGACAAGGTCCGATCTGAATGTTGAACCCCCTTGAGAGATTTGAACGTTTGAACCTTGAGATGCAGACGTACAGGTGCGAGCTACGTGCGTAGACGTCCATCGATGCACGATGCACCTTGATCGCTCAACATCGAGCGATGAAGGTCGCGCTGAGGTGGCTCGCGCATGTTCCGCGGCCCTTCAATATCTCAATACTGCTTCGCTGATGCGGAACTGACGTCGGGGAGTGTGACATTCCATGACTTCCGTCCGCAGAAGCAGCTGCACTGAAGCCGAAGTGTATGCATGAGATTGAGCAGCACGACTCCCACAATCAGATATCGATGGCGAATGCTATCGATCGGCCTTGATGTTGAGAAGCTGCATGCTTCTCAACATCAAGGTTTGCATCCTGTGCAGACGACTCCCGCGCAATCTCTACCGAACCTAATCGGAAATTTTCGGCGCTCAGCAGTTGTAACCACTTTGGCGGCGATACTGTGCGGGACTCGGACCTCCGTACGGCGCCGGGCGCTGGCATCCACCCTGACTTGCACTTTAGCGAGCTCCAAGCAGCTGCTTCATACTCTTGGCTCGGCCGTGCAAGCGCGGCCGGAGCAAGGCAGGTGCATCAAAGTGCATCACCTCTTGACGTTACTCCGCGGCTTGCGATGACGCGAGCTTAGGTGGTAAAAAGTCTAAAAATCCTCAGAGTCTAATAAGCGTGATCTGCAGTGTGGGGTGTTTCAGGAAATCTCCGCAAACGGTGCCGCGTCTCTCGTCAGTGCTCAGCTGCGGCGGACTTGCAGCTTGGAGCTCGGCGATGATGGGGGACAAACTCCGAGCAGTGAGTGCTCGCGATCAGCACCTGAGTGAGCGTGTGGTAGGACGATGAGTACTACTGCTATTTCAAATTTCATCAACCGCGTCTGAACAAGACACCGCCTCAGCGTTCACGTGCTTTACCGATCCGGAAGTATAGCAGTACGCCTCGCAGCGCCTCGTTACGAGACGGCGCAAAGTATATTCCAGATTTCGCCAAAATTAGGGACGCTCGAGGTGTTCAGGGCCCTCAAGCTTAAAAACCGCACGGATCTATACCTAGTGCCTCGTTTCCGTAATATCGTGCCATTCTGCGTACGTCGATCTTGTCCTGACCCTGCTCGAGCAGGGAAGGAGATAAGGGGCGGTCCGCGGGAGTACGGCATACTCATTCAACGTTAATCTTACATGAAACGAGCCCAACGTTCATAGTTTCGGCTCTTAGCCTAGAGTGCGGAGTACGACGTCAATGATCGTGGAGCCCACTCTTCGACCGGCGGCACAGCTCGGTTAGTCGCTTGAGATGCGTACGACCGTCGTGCCGCGAACGGAAGTGCTGCACAGAACGGGCGTCCAGGTGATCGACAGGGCTCAACTTGTAAGTTCTTCAGATTGACTCGGCGGCGGCGGGCGAGATACTGCGAGAGACCAGAACTTTCCATGTCCGTCCGAACTGTGAGACAGGCCATGTCATTAGTTCATCGGCTCAGCTGAGAGGCAGAGATAGTCCGCGGACGTCAAGGGGATGAGGAACGGGTACATAGGCGTCGAGGGGAGAGGGAGAGTAGTATCAGAGTTACTTCCCCCTATCCGAGACATTTCTGCATCATCCACCTTTTACACCTTCTGTCTAATCACCTCTGCCTACCTCGTCGCTGGCTCGAGAGATAGCGGCCGACCTCCACATCCTTCTCTTTGCCACCTATCCACCCATCACCCGCACCGACCCCTACTTGTCTCATCATCTTGCGGCCACTTTGTTTCACTCTCGATACTAGAAGGTAAGGGATCTGACACCGCTCTCTCCCGTCCACGCTCCCTGCCTTTTCCCCATGACAGTATGAGTACTTTGGACCCGCTACACTAGATCAATCTTGTTTCATAGTTTGAGGGGCAAAGCGGAGCCGCAGGGGATGGCAGAAGGGGACGGTGCCTGGACACACAACCCCTCCCTTTCCGCTCGCTTCCATCAGGCACGACATAAAGAGTGGGAATCAAACTGACCCCCTCAGTCTCTTGACAACCACACCATCTACCTCATCCTCCTACCTCTCGCCATCTCTTGAGGTCTCTCTTGGAAACATGCCCACTATCGATCACGTCAGCTACGAGACCCCAGCATCGGCATCATTCTCACGGAGCCGACAACAACGCCCCACAGCGATCGCCCTCCCGACGGTTCAGGACGGCCAAGAGCTTGACGGATACGCGTCCTCACTCTCTAGCGGGGTATCCACCATGTACCTCCTCACCCCCAACGCGGTCGAGGAGCCCCTCTCGGCTACCCCTTCACCCCTCTCCTCCCCGGCCGATGGGCCGTACCGTCAGCCCCACACCCAGATGGCATCAGTCTTCAACCCCGAGCTGTACCACACACCCGCCCAACCCGGATACGCGTGAGTACTTGGTGATAACTCTCCTTGACGATCCCGAAACTGATCATCTCAGATTCCCTCCACCAACAACTACTTATCCTATGGCCCCGCGTCAACCCAACCTTCTGCGACGCGCGTCGATCGCGGTCGATCCATCCTACCGCTACCCCTCCTCTTCCTCCTCCCGCAAAGCATCTACATCATCCGCTTCGGGCTCCTCCAAGCCCGCCGTACCCCTCTCGGTCCAGGAGCAAGAAGCCCTCCCATCCTGGCGTCGCGACTTTGACAAGATCTCGGATGCCCAGACCAAGACGCGGTGGGGTAAGGAGCTCTACGCCGACTTCCAGGCGGGTCGGATACCGATGACGGGTCGGGTCGCCCAGGATATCATCGACTGGACCACCTGTGTCGCCAAAGTAGGAGGGGAGATTGATGCCGAGGCGACGGCCAAGTTGCTGGTGGCCGCTCAGGAGCGCAAGGCGGAGTTGCAGACCAGCGCGATGAAGTTGAAGAGTGCCTTGGCGGATAAGGAGCCTCCACGTCGTCAGAACAGTGAGTAGGCTGAGTCATCATCGAGGGTGGAGCTGATCATCAGAGTTCATCTGTTACCGATCTCTCCGGTCATCACAGCTCGCTTCCCACTTTACCAGCTTCAAGCAGAGCCAGTTCTCGGCCATCACGTCGCTTGAGTGGAAGGAGGTCGACGTGAGTAAAGTCCATCGTTGGTGTGAGCAGCGCTGACGGTCAGACTGACTGGTGGGGAGAAGTCGCCAACCGGGTCGAGGACGTCCGCCGCGCCAAGTACAACGGTCAGCTCGATACCAAGGGCAACCCTCTCCGTCGCGGCTCGATCGACAGCCAGGCCGAGACCGCTTCCCACACACCCAAACTGAGGAAGACCAAGTCGTCGGCCAAGCTCTCGCGGACCCCTCTTTCCCGCTTCGACCCCTACAGTACCCCGCTCATGCGCCCCACCGCGTCGCGTATGGTATCGTACCAGGCTGCTTCGCTCAGCCCGCCCGTCCCCGCCGTCCACCGCCACTCCATCGACATGGGCGTAGTATCGGGCATGCAGTACTCTGGGTCAGACGAGTCAGCATTGGGCTTGTACCAGCCCGAAGCTCCCGCCCCGCTCTCCTTCCCTACCCTCACTGCCATTCCCCAGTCGCCCGTCACCTACATGCCCAGCGCGTCGACCTACACCCCTGCGCCCGCGCCGCCAGCCGACCACTCGTACTTCTCCGAGCCATTCCCGTATTCGGCCCACCTTTCCCCCACCACCCCCTTTGGGGCCGTGCCATACTCGTCCCCTCCCTCACATCTCCGCACACCCTTCACCACCACCCCACTCTACCCCAATCCTCCGTACTACCCTCAATCGTACGACCTCCCTCCTGCCCAGCCCCACGTATACGTCGCTCAGCCATGGACACCGCACGGCCGAGGTGGGACCAACGAGCTCATGGAGATGTACACGGTCGCGCAGGACTATGTGCCGGTCGAGGGCCACCACGCGTCGGCGCAGGCACCGTGCTGCATGGCCGCACCGGGTGAGTGGTCGAGCCACTACCCTGGCGCGCACGCACGGTAGGGCGGAAGCGAAGGGGCGAAGGGGCGAGGGGGCTGGGGGACATGGGCGAGCTGGAGACCGAGGAGGACTTGTTGGCGCCGCTTGTTCTGGACAGTTCCCACTTTCTTTCTCCTATAGCGTAGAATACTCTTGTATCACTTGTACTTGTACCCATAGATAGGTGATAGGCGAAGGGGTACCCGGTGTTGGGCGGGCAGAAGTGGAATACACGCCGGTCGAATCAGGCTCGTCATTGTAGGTTAGCTAGTCAAGCGTCTCCAAGTAGATCAATCGATGTATAGAAGTAACAGTGAGAAGTAAGATGCAAACAGAGGTGTCAGCATATAAAAGAGGACAAAAGGCGACCTTCTGCTTGTCAATCGGTCGTTCGGCGCCGGCGACTTTATAGGTTGGCACCGGAGAATAGGGGATAAGCATTCAATTACGAGTATAGCCGGGATCCCTGACCGAGTAGGGCTATCTTAACGGTATTGGTATTCTCAAATGGCACTTGGAAGCTATGAATACCGATATACGGTTTGTTGGCGTGGTGGGCTCGTGCTCAATCGTGTAAGCAGCTTGTCTCGCCCTGATAGAAGATGAGGAGGAGAGGAGAAGGATGTCAGTTTCGGGCAATTAATTCAAGATCTTCAAGAGCTGCCCGCTCTTTTGCCGCCGGAATCGGGCCGAGGATCATCCGAGATGGCAGTCTGATGAGGAGTTGCGGAGGTGAGCTCCGCTGCATGATCTCACGATACATGCGTGGAAGTCGGGAGAGGACAGGATACAGAGCGGGATGGCCAAATGCGTTGCGACACGACGGGCGATACCTCTGGCCTCACGCCTCTAATTCAGACGCGCGCTGACAATCCGCGAGGATGGACCCTTGGCTCGCTCCCTCCTTTCTCACCCATACTTTTCCGACCCAGCGGGTCACCGTACTCCCCCAACATCGCCCTAGACGCCGTATACAGCTGCACGTAAAGTAGGGCGGCTTACAAGTGCTCTGACTCATGAGATGGATGGCCCCTTATCAGCAGCCAAAGGTGCCACAGGGCCACATTATATTCGGGCTTCTCCGACGCGCTAGGACCTCGCGTGCGGCTTGGTCTCCTGCTCTCCTGAGGGTGCCTATAATAGCTCTGAGCTGCTGTATCTCGCTGTTGCATCGTACCTAAACCTAGATCACCATGTCAGCGGTCGACGCAGAGAAGGGGCATTCAGCCTCTCTGCCTGCTCCGGGTGCCATCAAGGAGAATACCAAGCGCCGCGGCCGCAAGTATCGGACGCACCGCCAATCCCTCGCCGAAGCCGGTACCCTCCTGCTCGCGTGCTTTGGGCTGCTCGTCCTCGCTCGGCAGGTCGACTTCCCATGGCCTGTCCCTTCGCCCAGTCCCGAAAAGCCCATCCCAGACTTCGTTAAGGACGGGATGAAACAGTGCGAGATCATCGCTCGTCCAACCCCCCATCATTCGGCCTACGATCACCGGCGGACGGAGAGCGATCGTTTCGTACCCGGCACGCGGGATGTCCTGCTCAAAAATGCCACATTGTGGACGGGAAACAAGGGCGGGGAGGAGGTGATCTATGGGGCGGACGTCTTGCTGTCTGGCGGTGTGATCCAGCATGTCGGGAGCGGCGGGAATGAGTCTCTCGCGGCGATCAAGAAGGGAAAGAAGGATGTTGACGAGGTGGAACTGCACGGCGCGTGGGTCACACCCGGTATCGTCGACATGCACTCTCACATGGGCGTCGACTCCTCCCCCGAACTTCGCGGCGCGGACGATACCAACTCGCTCAAAGCCTCCGTCCTCCCCTGGCTTCGCTCGCTTGACGGCTTCAATACGCACGACCTCGCCTTCAACCTCTCCATCTCGGGCGGTATCACCACCATGCTCGCCCTTCCTGGCTCGGCGGGCAATATCGGCGGTCAGGCCTTCACCATGAAGCCTCGGTGGACCGCCGAGAATACGCCTCAGAGCATGCAGGTCGAGTCGCCCTTTGTGATCCGCAACCATACGTGGGAGAGGACGCGGGCGTGGCGGCATATCAAGCACGCGTGCGGAGAGAACCCGATGAGGGTGTACGGGAATACGAGGATGGATTCGGCGTATGACTTTAGGAAGGCGTATACCGAGGGAAAGAAGTTGAAGGAGGAGCAGGAAAGGTGGTGTGCTTCCCCCAAGACGCAGACGGAGCCTTTCCCAGAGTCTCTCGAGTGGGAGGTGTTGGCGGATGTCATCAGGTAGGCTATATTATACTTGACACGGGCACAGCTGACAGACAGGGGCAACGTTAAGGTGAATATCCACTGCTACGAAACGGTCGACCTCAACTCTATGGTCCGCATTTCCAACGAATTCCAATTCCCCATCGCCGCCTTCCACCACGCCCACGAGACCTACCTCGTCCCTGACCTTCTCAAGTCCGCTTGGGGTCCCCCTCCCGCCGTCGCCCTCTTTGCTACCAACGCGCGATACAAGCGGGAAGCCTACCGCGGGACGGAATTCGCGCCCAAGATCCTCGCCGATGCTGGGTTCAGGGTATCGATGAAGTCGGACCATCCCGTCCTGGACTCGCGGTACCTCGTCTACGAAGCCGCCCAGGCACACCACTACGGCCTCAACTTCTCGCAGGCGCTTAGTAGCGTCACTACCCACTCGGCCCAGTCGCTCGGATTGGACCACCGCCTCGGGTACGTTCGAGAAGGCTACGACGCGGATATCGTCGTTTGGGACAGTTTCCCGCTTAGCCTCGGGGCGACGCCCAAGCAGACGTACATTGACGGGATTCCTCAAATCGCCAAACCTGTCGTCGTCAAGAAGCCAAAGGAGGCGCAGGAGATCACCAAGGAGGGCAAGTGGGATAAAGAGATCGCGGAGACGCTGGCAGCGAGGGGAGATCCGGATCTCCGCGTCAAGGGGGAGAGCGGGAATGTGGTTTTCGTCAATGTGGCGGAGGTGTATCGGGGGGATATGCAGGTCGAGTCTGTGGGTGGGACGGTGGTGGTTACGGATGGAGAGATCAGCTGTGTCGGCGATTGTATTGTGCAGGAGAGTGGGTACGAGATGGTCGATCTCAAGGGGGGCAGCATCACCCCGGGATTGACGACGGTGGGAAGCTATGTGGGGATGATGGAGATCAGACAGGAGAAGACAACTTGGGACGGGGTGAGCTATCGCTTTCTCGCTCGCAATTCGTGGTGGACCAAAGCTGAAGCTGTAGCCTGCTTACGACCCTACTTCGATCACTGCCGAGATCGTGGACGGTGTCCTGACCCATGGCGTGGACGGTGCTCAGTTCGGCGGCAAAGACGAGCTGTACGTATTCCCCAAGACATATTATCCTTGAGCTGACACCCCAGCCTCGCCTACCGATCCGGCGTAACAAAAGCCGTCGCCTTCCCCATCTCCAGCGCCCTTATCGCCGGCCTCTCCTACGCCTTCTCCACCTCCGCCACCCACTCTCTCAGCCCCGGAGCGATCATCAATTCCGACGCTGCGCTACACCTCTCCCTCGTCGGCGGCAAGATGGGCACATCCACCCAGCTCGCCGTCCTCCGTCGTCTGCTCACTTCGGACGCGCACAATGATACCGAGATCTGGAAGGTCCTCGATGAGGCCAAGCACGGCGAGAGGCGGGTGGTCGTCGAGGTGAACAGCGTGGACGGGATGGCGGGGCTCGTACGGCTCAAGAGGGACTGGGCGCCGGGGATGAAGATGACGATTCTGGGCGGAGCCGAGTCGTGGATGGTGAGTTGCCGTGGACAGGACAGAGTAAAATCTGCTGAAGCTGACAAATAGATCGCTGAGGATCTGGCGAGGGAGGATATCGGTGTCGTAGTCACCAACGCGCGCTCTTTCCCTGGTTCGTGGGATTCTAGGCGGATCATCCCTGGTCTTCCGCTCTCGAACCATACCCTTCCGTCTTATCTTGCTTCCCACGGCGTTGTGAGTCTTGCATAGCTCCTTCTATCTTGCACATGAATATGAGCTGACCCTACAGCTCGTCGGCCTGGGCGTTTACGAAGAATGGATGGCTCGCAACACCCGGAATGACGCCGCTTGGGCGTACGCTAACAGCCCCGAGGTGTTCACCAAGTCGGACGCTTTGGCGCTCGTCAGTTCCAACCTCGATATCCTGCTGGGTCTGAAGGACCGCAGTGCGAAGGCGGATGAAGTTGCGAAGGGATGGGTGGCATGGGAGGGGGATTGGACTGGATTTAGGGGGAGGGTCAGGGCTGTTCGGGCGGAGGGGTCGGGGGTGGTGGATTTGCTTTGAGCTGCATGGGGGAGCGGAATAGAAGTAGAAGTCTAAAGCATGGTGAAGAAGAAAAGGATGAATGTTTGCATACGAGTCGCTGTGCCAGTGCTGTGCCCCTCCCCCACTTGAGCTCCAACATCGACCCCATGCCCCACTGTCCCCACTGTCCCCACGGATCACCACTGACATCACCCTTCATTACCCCTAGATCTGCATTTTCTAATGGATTTCTAATGAAATTTCCCGAATAGGAAAATACCAGGAATGCTTGACCCGAGGAATTGAATTCAGGGAATGGACTCTTGCGGCAGAGGACGACGTTGAACGACGACTTTTCGGTAACATCACCTTTGGCTTTTATATCTCATCTTACCCCCCTCCCGCCGACCCTCGTACACGCGCAGAAGAGGTAGAGAGCACAGCGAGTCAGTCAGAGGACGCTCAGCGCTCAGTCCCCCTCCACCTCCTGGCAAATCGCCCCCAAAAAATCTCCCTGTCATCCTTTACCCTCTCACCATGTCGACCGCGAAGAAGCTCCAGAGCAAGCTCTTCGGTGCTGGCATTCCTGTCGGCCCTGGGGGACCTGTCACTGCTGGTGAGCTTAGCTTTTCTGCCATTCCTCAGGATGTAAGGGTAATGAAGCTGACTTGTCCTAGCTGACTCTGCCAACGCCGCCGACGACTTTGGATCTGGCGCCGCTACACCCACCACGGTCACCAGCGCCGAACCCCTCAAGATCAACATCCCGCCTGTCAATCCTCCTACTGGTGAGACGCTGAACCAGCGCGCAAAGGAGCAGTAAGTCTTACTTTTCTCTGTCGAGGGTGATTCCACCTGGATACGAGCTGATTCGCAGCCTGCCCAAGCGCCCAGCTCTGCAGCAGGAGAACCAGGCTACTGCACCAGAGAACCAGGGCTCGCCGCACCCCCACACTGGTGGAAGCGAGACTGATACCCCTGGCCCTGCCGGGGAGAACAAGGTGGGCTAAGGCTGACCTGACGGTTGGGTAGGCATCAGCTGACCTGTCAGTCTCATCGCGAACGTCTGCAGCAGAACCTCGGACCCCGCTACCGATCTGTCGAGGAGCATAGGCTTGACCAGTCTGATGGCTATGCGGTACACTGGAAGCGCTGGGGACCCTACGTGTCCGAGCGACAATGGGTGAGTATGGACAGGAAGGCTGAAAAGGATATCTGCTGATCGATAGGGTACCGTCCGTGAAGACTACTCTGCGAATGGTGATGCGTGGAACAGTTTCCCGTTCGAGATGGCTACGAGCAGGGCGTATCGATGGGGTGAGGATGGTATGGCCGGTATCTCGTGAGTTATCCATATCGGCCAATCTCGGACTTTAGCTGACAACCAAGGGACAACCACCAGAGGCTCTGTTTCACCCTTGGTCTCTGGAACGGGAAGGACCCGATCCTCAAGGAACGGCTGTACGGTCTGAACGGATCTCAAGGTGAGCTACCCCCATCCTTCCGTGCCCAACAGCTGACTCTCAGGAAACCACGGCGAAGACGTCAAGGAGATCTACTATTACCTCGATTCGACCCCGACCCACTCGTACATGAAGTTCCTGTACAAGTACCCGCAGGGCGAGTACCCGTACAAGCAGCTGCAGGAGGAAAACCGGAACCGGAGCAGGGACGTGACGGAGTTTGAGTTGATGGATACGGATCTGTTCGATGAGGACAAATACTGGGATGTTTTCGTGGAGGTGAGCCAGAATCTCGCTTGTACTGATTGAGCTGACGATCAGTACGCCAAAGACGAGGACAACGCAGACGCCATGTCGATCCGAATCACCGCGTACAACCGAGGTCCCGATGCCGCCGACCTGCACATCCTCCCGCAGCTCTTTTTCCGGAACACCTGGTCCTGGACCAAGGAGATGCCGGACAAGCGCCCTCACATGGATCAGGAGCAGGACGGTGTCATCAACGCCTGGCACGACACCCTCGGTACCACCCGCCTCTACTGCACGCCCAGTCCCGCGCCTGCCGCGCCGGCCAAGGGCGGTGTCGTCCTCGTTGATGGTCCCAGCGTCGTCCCAGAGCTGCTCTTCACGGAGAATGAGACCAACTTTGAGCGACTCTACGGCGGCAAAAACAGGACCCCATACGTCAAGGACGCGTTCCACGACCACCTCATCCCCTCTCACCGCCCCAAGGAGCCCGAGCCGGAACGCGAGGCGAACGCGGGCCTCCCCATGAAGTCCCCCAAATCACCGGCTGTCTCCCTCCGCTCTCTGCCCGGAGACTCTACCGACCCCCTCTCGCCCCAAAACCGCACGCAGCGGTTGAAGGAGAACGGCGGAGACGGTGTCGAGGAGATCACCGAGGAGCTGCGAGACGCCGGATTTGTCTCGCAGACCCACGAGCCACCACAGCACTCTGGCGGTTCCGCGCCCGAGAATGACGCGCCACATGTCGCTCCCCCACCCCGCCCGACTGCGGCGTCCGGCGCGAGGCGCTTCGTCAACCCCGACAAGACCGGTACGAAGGCTGCTGCGCACTATCACTTCACCAACGTCCCCGGAAAGGGCGGCTGTGTGGTTGTTCGGCTCAAGATGACCCCGAGTACGCCCGAAGAGGACCCCAGTATCCTCGACGAGGAGATGTATGACGATACGATCGAGGAGAGGCGGATGGATGCGGATGAGTTTTACGGAAGAATCGCGAGGAACAGCGTTAGTGATGATTTGAGGAATATCATGCGGCAGGCTCTGAGTGGGATGCTGTGGTGAGTGATAGTGATCAAGGGAGGGGGATGAAGCTGATGAGCAGGTCCAAGCAGTACTACCAGTACATCCAGAAGGAGTGGATGGAGGGAGATTCGGGACAGCCGCCACCCCCGCCCGAGCGGAAGTGGGTCAGGAACAGGGTGAGCTTCAACCTCGAGGTCCAAGTGGCTGAGGTCAAGCTGACAGGCAGGAATGGAAGCACATGTACATCAACGACATCCTCTCCATGCCCGACAAGTGGGAGTACCCCTGGTTCGCCACGTAAGCTAACGGCCGCCTGTCTAAGGTAAGACCATAGCTGATCCCGCAGATGGGACACCGCATTCCACTGCATCCCGCTCGCCATGGTCGATCCCGCGTTCGCCAAGAAGCAGCTCGACCTCATGACCCGAGAATGGTACATGAAGCCGGACGGTGCTCTGCCCGCCTACGAGTGGAATTTCTCGGACGTCAACCCGCCCGTACACGCCTGGGCTACCTTCCGAGTCTTCAAGATTGAACGAAAGTTCTTTGGTCGAGAGGACTTGGACTTCTTGGAGAGGGTGTTCCAGAAGCTTTTGTTGAACTTCACTTGGTGAGCTGACCAGTCTCCGCTACTGATAAGGCAAAGCTGACTTAGTAGGTGGGTGAACCGGAAAGATGCCGACGGGAACAACGTCTTTGAAGGTGGTTTCCTCGGTCTTGACAACATTGGTCCTTTCAACCGATCGGAGCCGCTCCCTACTGGCGGAACCCTTCGACAGGCGGACGGTACGGCGTGGATGGCGTTCTTCTGCCTGAACATGCTGAGTATCGCGCTGGAGCTGGCCAAGCACAACCCGACCTATGAGGATATCGCTTCCAAGGTGAGCTCGCGGGTTCTCTGACGTAGCGCAAGAGCTGACGACCAGTTCTTCGAGCACTTTTTGTTCATCTCGGACGCCATGACTTTTGCCTCGAACGAAGAGCAATTCTCGCTCTGGAACGAAGAGGACGGATTCTACTATGACGCCATCCAGTGGGGCTACGGACACTCGCAGCAGCTGCCCGTCCGCTCCATGGTCGGCCTCATTCCCCTCTTTGCGACCCTTGTTCTCGAACCCGGAGTCATCAAGCGCTTCCCGGGCTTCAAGAAGCGCATGGAGTGGTTTATTGAGAACAGGCCGGATATTTCGGACCGGAATGTTGCGAGTCTGAAGGAGAGAGGAAAGGGCGAGCGGAGGCTGTTGGCGCTGGCGAGTAAGGACAGGCTGGTGCGCATCCTGAAGAAGATGTTGGATGAGACGGAGTTCCTCAGTGATTACGGAGTCAGATCGTGAGTTGTTCTTCTAGTTCTAGATGCCTGGGGTAGGGCTGACAAGTAAGCATGTCACTTTACCACAACGACCACCCCTTCTCGATGAATGTCAACGGGCAGGACTTTGGTGTCGCTTATTGGCCTGGGGACTCTCGTTCGGCGATGGTGAGCTACTTGATCCCCTAGCGAGATGCGAACATAGCTGACTTTCAGTTCGGCGGTAACTCCAACTGGCGTGGACCCGTCTGGTGCTGCGTAAACTTCCTCCTCATCGAGTCCCTCCAGCGATTCCACCAGTACTACGGCGAGACTCTCCAGGTCGAATGCCCGACCGGTTCTGGCGACTACATGAACCTCGCTGGTGCGGCCGAGGAGATCCAGCACCGTCTCATCCATATCTTCGCGAGGGACGAACATGGACGGAGGGCTGTCAATGGAGGTAATCCCAAGTTGAACCGGGATCCCCACTTCAGGGATTACGTCCACTTCTACGAGGTGAGCTGGGTTCTTCGTGGATGTATCTTGACAGAGGAGATGAAGCTGATGGGATAGTTCTTCCATGGGAATGATGGTCGTGGATTGGGCGCAAGTCACCAGACGGGATGGACGGGTGTGGTTGCGTGGAGTATCATGCAGACCGGCGAGTACTGCCGATTGCCCAAGACGCCAAGGAGTAAGTCTATCGCCTGTCCCTATCAGAGCTTGGAAATCTCGAGCGCTTTGACACAATACGAGGGCGACAGCTGACGTTATAGCGCCCCGCAGTGTCGCCAAGCACTACTTTGACGAGCACATCAACACGCCCAGCGAGTACGGGGACGGATCGCTCTACTCTGCCTACTCGGACTTCTCCAACATGTGAGCTGCGCCTCTTCGGCCTTCATTATGAGTGTAGCTGACGAATTAGTGACCAACCGGAGCCGGATGACTTGTAAGAAAGCACATGCCGAAGGACGAGCTATGGCTTGAAGGTTTGGGTGGCGAAAAGGAATCAATTTCTCTTGCATATAGACGTGTTCCGTTTTTGACCTTAATGCATTGTTTGGGACTACCTTGCTGATAGCGCTTATTCAAACCTGACAGGACCGTCACAACCTATAAGGGGACCATGGCGCACAACATCAGGTGGCCAGCAGCAGGCGAGAACCCAATACAGTTTCTTCGATGATCCACTGACTCTCTACCGACACCCAATCGTTAAGCTGTTCTGACTGCTCACGCCTTTATCCCTCCGCTTGTTCAGGCCGTACTATTGGCGACCGGCAGGAACGTGCAAAAAGAGAGCAGCTTGCGCTAGCCTTTTGAGCCCAAACCGTCAGGCTTGGTGAGTATATGCATGAGGGATGTAACCAACTATGAACCTATAAGACAGATGAAACTGGAATCTGGGAGGCAAGAGGGATGATGATATTTCATGGATCTTTCACCTCTGCCTCAGTCGCCGCGCGACATGCGCGTGAAAGCGACCTTCTCGCCGCTCGCGGTCGTGAGTGCGACAGGGGGACCACGCCCCGAGAGGGCATCGGCGATGGCTTGGATGTTTCGCCTGTCCCTCGCCTCAACCGCCTGATGGTGCTCCTCGACGATGGTGTCCTGCAACGTCTTGAGGTCGCGATCCGCGGTCCGGCTGTCGTCGGTCTCCTCGGGCTGGTTCTCCGATGAGCGCATCCAGAGGCTCTCGTACTCCAGGCCCTTGGCGAGGGGCACGACAAATAGGCCCTGAACCTCGTTGTTCTCTGAGTCGCGGTAGGGGAACCTCAGGCCCGTGAGCAGTGTGGCCCCGCCTTCACTGGGTGCGGTGGCACCACTCCCCTCCTCACCCTCCTTGGGCGGCGGACCTTGGTTGGATTGGGTGGACTGGGTGGACTGGGTGGGCTGGGCATCAGGGGAAGGCATGATGGAGTATGTGTGAGGTATTGGTAATATCTGAGGGTGGAAAAGTTGAGGAATGTGAGAATGCAGAAGATGGAAGTGGCAATGAGAAAGTGTGGGGGAAGGAGGCTGTCTAGACCGGCTTATATCTTGCCCGCTTTGGCACTCCGGGAAGACCCCGCACGCCATGGTGTTCACGATCCTTTCAATATGCCCCGTGCACCCCTGCACAGCTTTTCTTGAGTGGGAGGCTGTCATTTAGCCGCACCTTCCACTGGATGTCCTTTGATAAAGGCGATGTGGTGTTTCACTAGATTGTCTGTTCAGCGAGTAAGTCAGTGCCATATCTGAGGCCAAGTGCGCTTGTGCGGCGTGATCCCTGATACGTGCGGGCCAGGGGACGGGTCTTGCAATTGGTGCGGTTCCAGCGGGTTATATGGACGTGTGTGCACAATCACATGAGGGATCATACGGGAAGGGTACCCTGATGACCAGCTTGAATCCTAAACAATTTGGACCCCCGAGAAGACCTCGCACACCATCGCGATCATGATCCTTTCAATCACTCCCCTAGCTGTGCTGCACAGCTATTCTCGAGTTGGGGACTGTCATTTAGCTGAACCTTTCACTGTGTGCCCTTTGAAGGTGCCTGGGTGGCGTTTCACTAGATTGCAGATCTAGCACGACATTTGCGCAGCATACAGACGAGTGGCGCAAACACTGCGGCTGGGCTCAGGGCCTTGGGTCACTCCTATCCGGTTCGAGGAGAATGTGGATCATGGACGATGTCAATGCATGGAACCGCGAACAGAATGTGCATGACGCTGGCAAGCCCATCAATCCTCATGCCCCCCAAGCTCCAGATCAACGAATGTCACCTCTTGGCTCTGGTCTTTAACGAGCAGGCCGAGCAGGAGTCCTTGCGCAAAGAAATCGGTCGGTATGGTAGTCAGTAGACTCGCGCTCGCATTGGCCGACCCTGCAACGGAGAGGACCACCTTGGGTAGGACCGCAAATGCCCCTGTAGCCATCGCGCTCTTGGCCCATTTCTTGAGGGTAGCACGGTAGGGCTCATCTGAGTGCCACCGGACCGAATCCACCGTCCCCATGATGAGCAGCGTCTGACCCGTTGCCAATGCAGCCGCGCACGCTGTGTAGCCGGCACTGTTCTTGGAAAGAATGGAAGCGAGGGTGACGGCGACAGTTGGGAGTGCAGATACCGCCGTCTCGGTCCGCGAGAAGCTGGGCGGGGGGGGTGACTCCGTACGAAGCGAGAAGGTCGGCGATACCAGAGCTGGTCAGGACGCGGGGCACTGACTCGGTGGGAGCCATGTTGGTGATACGGTCGGCCATGATACGGGGAGGAGCAGTAAAGTGACGATGATTAGATAGTGAGGGAGGTGAAAGGGGGAAGGAGTGGTAGGAAAGACCAGACTGGACGTGGGTGCTGACTCAGACTACTCTGCGAGTCGGGCGTCGCCTCTTGCCCGCCGAGGGAAACAAAGGTGGCCTTGTGCCGTTCGATCGAGCGCCGAGGGCTGTGACGACAAAGGGGTTATGGCGTGATCGCGGTGAAAGCAGACGCGTATGATCTAGCTGTTTCACAATGCAAAGGCAGGGATAGGCAGAGTGGGGAGTTCAGCTGGGGATGGATCGCACCAGCCATTACTGTCTCACTATCCGGGGTAGCAGATCCAAAGCCTGTATGGTGTACGATGTGTAGAGATCGTTAATTTGAGCATGACGTGAGTGACTAGCAGATACGTATTTCAGTATGGCCGTAAAAGAATCAGTGTGATAGGCCGATCACGGTCAGTACCGGTTACAAACAGCTATAATATCACATAGATCACTCAGATGCCCGCTTCATCAATACCGCCGCCCCCTTTCTCAAACTCTCCACCTCTTCCTCCGTAGCAGGCCCACATCCCGCCCACCTCACCTTGAGGTTCTGATCAATGAGGAATACGTACCCCACGAGCTTATTGTCGAGGCCTAACGGACCTTCGATCTGCATGGTCAGCCTTATCCCACTTGTCACTTCGGCCTTCACCCGGTCCAGTACTAGGAAGAAGAAGTTGAAGAGGAGAAACTCACATCGTAATGAGACCATTCACCCCCACTTATCAAATACCGCCCCCACCCTTCTTCCGGCACCGTCCGTTTCAGGCTCGAAATGAAGAACGAGAGCAGCATGGATTTCAGGAGGTTGGCTTGATGGTTGATCTGGACGTGTTGAAAGAGTGAGGCGGATGTGGTATTGGAGAAGGAAGAGGAGGAAGAGGGGGTAGAGGGACAGGGGAGCCAGTCAGGTAAGAGGGGGGCGGTGAAAGAGACGATATGTTCCTGAAGGATCAGCAGGGCCTCCTGAGAACCACATAGTAGATGGATGAGAAAGAGGGGGAAGAGCTGCTCACCTCAGATATCCTCGTACTCGTTATCGACAATAATGTGATCTTGCCCTTTAAAAGATCGGTAGTGTGTGTTTGAGTACCCAATAGGGATTTGCCTGATATGTCGGGGAAGTATAGTGCTCTCTGCAGATATAAGCTCTTGATCTCCCACTAGCTGATAAAATGAAGGAAATGCAGTATAGGGTAGCTCACATCTTCTCGAATTAGGACGGGCGGCCCGATCCATAGCTTTCCTCCACTCGCTGAGCTAGCTCGACTATAATCCCTAAAGTAACCTTGCGAAGCCTCCTTGATCCTAGCATATCAGCTGCGATTTACTTCTCACTGCCTCCTTGCACCGCGCCCAAGTAAAAAGGGGTAACCCACAAAGCTCTCCGCGTAGCCTTATGTCTATCCTCATCCAACAACTCATTCTTCTTATCCGTCCAAGTCTTGGGTATCGACGTCGGCGGTTTCGGCACACCCAACGGCCTGCCTAATGGCTGGACAGCCAGGTCTACTTTCTCCGCTTTTGTCCCCTTGGCTGGAGTGGGTATGGGCGGTCCTGCAGGAGACCGGGAAGCGAGAGGTGTCCGCGAAGAGGAAGCTTCGGATGAAGCTCGCGGTGCACTGGACGATTCGCCGCGCTGAAAAGACGCGGAGAATGCTCTCTGTGCGACGCGGATCGCTCTCGGCTGCGCTGTGAGTGCGATAGGTAGTCTAGGGGGCATGATGGATAGATGTAAAGTATAGATGTACCTGGCATACCTGAGGCCTGCAGCTGAGGCCGTCGCTAAGATGCCGACTTTTGGATAATTACGTAAATGCGCACGGACCAGCCTTCTTGCAGCTGAGAAATCGCCGCTTTCTCTTGCGACTATACTATACCTCACCTACCCCATCTACACCATACTCTAGCACCATGATCCCTTCGTCCCGCTTGTTGAGAGCGCCTATAGCTTCTGGATCCCGCCAGCTACTTTCCACGCCGGCCCCAACGGCCGTAGCTGCCCTGGCGAAGCAATGCCGGCCGGCATCTACCACGTCCCTCCCTTCGGCTTCAACGACGGGTTCGGCGGGGACGTCCGGGTCGAGTGCGACAGTTACTACGTTGCCGAATAAGATGAGAGTGGTTACTGAGAGTACGCCGGGGCATTTTCATGCGGTGGGGGTGTATATTGATGCGGGGAGCCGGTTTGAGACGAGGGAGAGGAGCGGGGTCAGTCATTTGATTGATCGGTTGGCGTTCAAGGTGAGCTATAGCAATTACCACTCACGAGGGATGCAGGATGTTGAGCTGAGGGTATAGAGCACAGACAAACACTCGGATACGGAAATGACGACCCTTATCGACTCTCTCGGCTCCCAAATCTCATGCGCCTCCTCACGCGAAACAATCATGTACCAATCCTCCATCTTCCCCCACCACCTCCCCACCGCCCTCTCCATCCTCTCTTCCACGATCCTCCACCCGCTCCTCCTCCCCGCCGAGATCGAATCCCAAAAACAAGCGGCCGCATACGAGATTCGCGAAATATGGAGCAAGCCCGAACTCATCCTGCCCGAAGTACTGCACACCGTCGCGTACAGGGACAACACACTGGGCATGCCCCTCTTGTGCCCGGAAGAGCAGCTGGGAGTTTTGGGCGAGAAGGAAGTGAGGGGGTTTATGGACGAGTGGTATAGGCCGGAAAGGATGGTACTTGCCGGATCGGGGATGGCGCATGAGGAGTTGGTCGAGTTGGGGGAGAGGTACTTTGGGGGATTGAAGCCGGAGGTGGCGGCGACACCGGACGTTTATGCGCCAGTTACGGGGGCAGGGTTGGGTGCGGGGATAGTAGGCGGGACAGGCCTGAGAGGGGGGAAAGAGCCGCAAAGTTTGGGAAGGAAGAGCTTTGCCACTGTCTCGGCGGCGCCGGTGGATGGTGCGCATGAGAGGTTGGCGAGTCAGCGGGCGGTGTATACGGGCGGAGAAGAGTATATCGAGAAGCCGGAAGAAGAGTTTGTGCATCTGTATATCGGGTTTGAGGGGCTGGGGATACATGACCCGGATATCGTAAGTCCCATCTCGTAGGCTGGTCGATCAAGCTGACGATGTAGTACGCTCTCGCGACATTACAAACATTACTAGGTGGCGGAGGCAGTTTCTCAGCTGGTACGTTCCCTCCCCTTCCCGAGCCTCCGTTCCTAATCGGTATGCTGACCCACAGGCGGACCCGGTAAAGGCATGTACACCCGCCTCTACACCTCCGTCCTAAACCGCTACCACGCCGTCGATTTCTGTCAGGCCTTTCACCACTGCTACGTCGATTCCGGCCTATTTGGCATCTCAGCCGCCGTCTACCCCAAGTTCGCACCCCGGATCGCAGAGGTCATCGCGCAGCAGTTGCATGCGCTCACAGGACCGATGCGGGGCGGGCTGGAGGAGGTCGAGGTGTCGAGAGCGAAGAATATGTTGAAGAGTACGCTGGTTATGGCGTTGGAGAGTCGGTTGACGGCTGTTGAGGGTGAGTCTCATGTCTCGCAATGGAGAGTGGGCCAGGCTGGGATAGAGGGGAAGCTGATAATTATCAGATTTGGGGAGGCAAACTCAGGTACATGGGAATAAAGTCCCGGTAGAAGAGATGTGCGCGAAGATTGACGCCTTGACGATGGACGTGAGTGTAGCTTCTGTCCATCTACTTCTCTGCACAAGCCTCATCTTATTCATTCTGCAAATCATAGAGGATCAAAGAAGGAACGCTGACCAAATAGGACCTCTGGCGCACCGCCAAACGCATAGTTCGACCCGCCTCCGGTCCCTCTGGGCTCAACTTTGGTCTGGGTTCCGGAAAGCCTACGATTGTCGCACAGGGGAAGAACCTTGAGACGCTGGGGGATGTGAAGCGGGTCTTGAAGCGGTGGGATCTGGGTGTGCAGTAGAGCGGGGGAGGGACGTGAAGAGGACCGGGGGTCATGGGATGTAGACGGGCGGGAAGGGGGTAATCACAGGGGGATCGAAATGTTGTATGAGTAGAGCAGACTATAGAGTACATACATAGGAGCAGGTACGCCTGTGCCGCTGATGTACATCCCATCTCTAGGCCACTTGGATCGTCGAGCTAGTTATCCAGTCTACTTGAAGCTTGGACCCGCTCCGCCTCTGCAGCTTGGCCATCACCAAGACGTGAAAGGGGGGATCGAATAAGAAAGCGGTTTGTTTTGGTTGCTTCTTTCGCAGCGACCCAAGCGCAAGAGAAGCATGAATCTCTTTCGACCACCTTTCTCTCTTTCTCTTTCCTACATATACGTTCTCTACCTTCTATATCCTACACTAGAGGGATAGATAGCAAGATGGCAGGCCCAATCACCAAGAAGTCCAAAGCGAGCAGAGTGAGTGCCGTCTTTCAGCTATGATTGGCACAACTTGGTGCGGCTAGACACAAGCTGATATCTCCAGTTCCCAGCTGTAAGTGAGGACATCAGCTGTGTCCGTCACGTCCTCTGTGGCCAAAGCTGATCACTGACAGGCGCGGATCAAGAAGATCATGCAGATGGACGAAGACGTTGGCAAGCTCGCGAGCGCAACGCCAGTCATGATCTGTAGGTGTCCACCTCGACAGCTGCCTCCTCCTGTCTTCTCTAGCGAGAAAGCGAGATAGCTGATCCATCATAGCCAAATCGCTCGAATGCTTTATGCAGCTCATGATTGATGAGGCAGTCAAAGAGGCTCGTTCAAGAGGAAGCAAGAAGTTGACCTCGCATCATCTGTGAGTTCTCATCTGTACATCATCCTCCTGTATAGGGCGGCACAGAATCAAGCTCACACTATAGCAAACACACTATCAACAATACCCCCTCGTTCGACTTCCTCCTCGATATAGCCTCCAATATCTCCGATCCTACCACAGGCGAGGGAACCGCTCCTCTCTCAGACGGCGTAGCTGGACCTTCAGGGACTGCTGGACCATCGCGCCGGAAACCTTCTTCTTCTGGTGTCGGCGCGACATCCGGGACACCGGGGACTGGAGCGCCAAAGAGTCGGAAAAGGAAGAGCGGGGCCGGAGGGGAGGCAGGAGACGTGAAACTGAAACCGAGCTCGGCGGGGCCCGCGAAGATGGAGGACGGGCGGGGAGCGGGAATGGGGACGGGGGTGGAGATAGAGTTGGAAGATACAGAGTATACGGGGAGGGCGATGGTACGGCCTGGTCTGGGGAATCTGTTGAATCCGTCAGAGGAGGAGAAGCCGTACATGGCTGTAGCGGGGTCAGGAGGTATGAGTACGGTGGAAGCGCAAGGAGGAGGGAGTGGAGAAGGTGGAAGAGGGATGTTTGATGATTATGAGGATGACGATGATTATTAGGGTAGAGCTGGGGTAGAGAGAAAAGGGGTATGAAGATCTGAGAAGCTCGGAGTGGTTGGAAGATCAGGATCAGGAAGTGCAAGCTGACATGTACTGATACCCAGCGGGCAGCTCCAATCTGACAGGCTGCATGGCTCTACACGGCTTACAAGACATTCCTGAACTACTGACCTCCAGCTCAAATCATACAGAGGTGATCACACCAGGATACCATGGCTGCTGGGACTCGCTCGTTCTGCTGAGGTACCGGCGTCGAAGCCGGAGTAGATTGGGCCTCCGCAGGCGACTCAGGGGCGACTGGGATACTAGGTGTCCGGGCGAGATGATGATGGGAGGTATGGCCGATACGAGCACTGTTGGGGGAGTGTACAGGCTCGATGATCTAGCGTTATGGTCAGCTATGGTTCAGCTACGTCGAACGTCCCGCAGCTCACCTTTTCGCGGTGGCTCTGACTCGGGCTTGCGATGTCACCGCTATGAGAGGCTGTAGGGGACTGCGATGGAGTGACAGTCTGCTGATAGAGTCAGCTCATGGTCTCGGACGGGCAAGCCGAATACAGCAGTCAGCTCACCCCTGCGCGGTATCTCTGTATTGGACGCACATCGTTCTTGCCTCCGTTTGGAGTATGACTCGTCTGATGATATGAGCTATGGATCCTGGAATCTATCGGTGCGGGAAATGAAGCTCACCGCATGACTCATGATCATTGGAGTATGATATGTCGCCCGAGTGCGCTGGACGACCGAGGCCAGACGGGGCATGATGAGCGCAGGGGAGGGTCGCATCGTGTTATGTACTTAAGGTGTCAGCTGTGCGAGGTCGTCGGGAATCTTACGTACCGCCAACTCACAGACTGCTGGGTTGGCATGAACCTAATATGTAAGCTGTCTGCGCCCTTCCCAGGACTTGGCGTAACTGACGGACCGGATTGTACAAGTACGAATGAAGAAGCAAGGGGGTCCAGGCGGCCCCTTATATACACTTGCTTGGTACTTGGTGGCTGGGTGTTGGGGCCTGGGGGCGCAGGTGGCGGACCGAGCGTGTGGAGGCTGTGCGGGCCCCGCGAGAGGACGTGCGGGGCGCCAGTGACGCAAAGAAGCAAGGAATGCGGAAAGAAGCTTCTAGGGCTCCGTGCCCTGTCCACTGCTGCATGGGATTGTGGAGCAGCGAGGCATGCGGAGACGTCGTGGATACCTCGAGCACGTAGCTGTTGGAGCTCTGGGGATATGCATGCATACATCACAGATAGGCGAAAGACAGGGCTCTGAGGATGTGGGACGCGTCGAGACGCGTCGAGGCAGTCGCGTCGGTCTGATCCGTGCGTTAAAATCGCTCAGATTCTGCTTTTGCACTTCATCTCACCGCTGCGCATGCACTACTCTGAGACAGCAAAGATGTCCCTCAGCCGCCCCTCGATGGCGTATGACCCCAACGCGCCCAAACAATCATTCTTCGAGAAAGAGCGAGAAAGGCTAGTCGAGGAGATTTCGGCGGTACGTCTTGCCCAACCCTTAAAATTTGCTCCCATCTACCCCGTTCCGTGCTACCCTGCTACCCCATGCGGAAGATTGAGCTGATAAGTAGGGATTTGAAGAGCTATTGACACACTCAAACGTCCTCAATCGGACCCTGGAGGAGGTACATGGGGTCGGAAAGGAGTTTACGACAGTAGCGAAGCTATGGGGCGTGAGTCCAGTTCTGACTCGGACGGGTGCGGTTGGGGAGAAGAGGGGGCAGAAGCTGACTGGATGCTAGAGATTCGATGATCTTATTCGGCAGCAACAGGCGGAGCAGGCGGGGAGTGCGGATATTGGGGTACCGGGGACGGGGGGAGCGAATTATGGGGCAAGCACGATGCGGCAGGGATAGCCCATTCCGCGAAGCGGGGCAGGCCGGGAGCCTGGAGGGCAGGGAAGACGAATGAGGGTTGTACTAGTATGATGATTGGGGGCTCGTAGTCCATCTCGGACAGGGTGGGACGCATTGACAGGTATTGACTGACTGACTGATTGCATTCACCTGAGCACCTGATACGATCGCTACAAAACTATACGGATCTACTACTTATAACAACAACAACATGATATGCCAATATCCCTTACAACTAGCTTGATACTACCAAGATTCCCTCTTTGCCCCGATCCATGATATACTAGACCTTTTACTGATCCAGCTCGCTGTGACTCCGTCCCGTTTACATGACGAATGGTAGTGATGATAAAAGTTGAGTTGGGTGCGATGCGCTGACTGGTCGATCCGTTTTCGTCGCTGATGTGGTTGATTGGTATGTATGCCGCCCGGGTAACGCTCGAGCTATTGGTATATGGTGTATAGTCGCCTCTCCGTCCAAGCTGCGATGAATACGACCGTTGAGAATGCCGCTGATGCCGATGAGACCGCGATACTGATGATGGTACGAAAGGTGCGATGGGAATGAGGATAGGTGTGGGAGATGTGATGTATTGATGGACTTCTGTGGAGATCAGCCAGTGTCCCAGAGAACCAAGAAACGGGAAGTGAGTGAGCTTACCTTATGATCCGCGATCGTTCAGACTTGACCTCTTGCCCCTCCCTCCGCCCTCCGTCCCTCCCTGCATGCAATTCCATCCCCTACTCTCCCCTCCTCCCCTCCTCCCCTCCACACCCTACTCCCTCCCCCAAGACTCCGGATCTTGCCTCACATGCCTCGCATTGGGCATAGCATGCTGCCGAGTGAATTCGGCATTCTCCTGTCTCCTCCGCTGTCTCTCCCTTTCCTTCTGCCGCTCCGCCATCGCTGGATTGACCGGTGCCGTCCTCCGTGGCTTGTAGCTTTGACGAGCTTGGGTGGCGGCGATGGTCGAGGGGCCAGGACCAGCCTGGCCTGCCTCGATGTATGAGCCGCGTGATCCAGCATCGTCCGTGATCGGCCTGGACCGCTTCCCAGCTGGTTCCTGCATTGCCATCTCTACCGCCTCCTCTTCCAGTGACCGCCGCATGCCAGCTGACACGTCCGGGACGATAGGAGCGTGCGGGACCGAGTATGACGGGCCGGCGACGGAGGTGGTGGCGACCGAAGGCAGGGCTGAGGCTGGAGGAGGAGGGACGGGGTAGTTGACAGGGAGGGGCTGAGGTGCAGGGAAGGGGGGAGAGAGCCAGAGGATAGGGGGACTCGCCGCCGGGATGGACGACTTCGATGCAGCAGGTACCGAGGTCGATCCGCCACCCACATGAGCTGCAGTGTACGATTCCCTGAGCGGGGATGGACCGGCTGCCGCCTTCCGTAAAGGCCGGTAGTCATGCTGAGCGGGGGCGGAGGCGGGAGCGAGGAAGCGAGCTGGGTCGACGGGGAGAGCTTGTACGTGCGGACCGATAGCTGCCGTTGGGACGACCTGGATGAATCTCGCGTAGGGTATCTCCTTTGGAGCCCAGAGTTCGTCGCGGAAGAGAGACAGAGGATACCGCTGAGCCGGGGGAATAGGGGGGAAGAGCTGGGGGAAGATGAAGCACGTGTGAGGTTTCGCGACCGGCGCGAAAGGATCTTGGGTGATTGCCATCGGTTGATCGTCGTACATGACCCAGTCGTCTCCTCCGCCGTCATCCATCTCGATATCGTCCTGCGGCATGGATGGCGACGGAAAGCTGATGACCGGGAACCCCTCATCATCCTGTACATCAGCCCTAGCTCGCTCAACCCAGAAGAGGCAGAAGGTACTCACAATCTCGAGCATGTCCTGATCTTCTGACCTCAAACTCCCGCCCAGCTCCAGAGACACCCATTGCTTCTCCGCCAAATACCTCGAGCCCGCAAGCATACGGTGGCGGACCATCTGAGTATCCGCCTCTTCCCTATCCTCCAGTCGCGCCTCCATCATCTGTTCGTCGCCGTATGGAACGCCGCTAGGAGGGGCGTGCCCCAGGTCCAGGCAGATAAGGGTTTCCAGGTCCATGATGTCCATGTAATTGGCGAGGCTGGACGGAGCGAGGGCGTACGCTTTGACCTGCTGAGTGGTCTGACCAACGGGGAAAGGTTCGAGGTGTTGACAGTGGGGAGAGACGATCATGACGCAAGAAACGTGGACTTCGGCAACTGGCAGGGCGACGTGTAAGCTGGAGAGGAACCTGCCGCCTCGAGCCTCAGGAAGTCAGCTATACCGCCAGAAGCCATAGTGCCATCGACTGATGGAGAACACTTACATAGATGTGCGCCGTTCCTATATCACTGAGTGGCTCGCACCCAGGATGGATATAAAAGTATACGCCCTTGAGCGAACCGTAGTACGACGCCTCGGTGACTGCGAGACCTGCGCTGGACATCTTGTTCGTAGATGGTCGAGTTGTCGTGTATAGGTAGAGATGAGGTTGTTGGAGGTATTGACTTGAGTGGCCGGCACTTAGTCGATATGAGGTTGTGGTTGGGTAGTTGAACGTATATCGAGGTAAGTCCTGGGTGTGAGCGGGGATGGGGATGTGTTCAGAGTGTGGATAGTGGATGATGGATGGTGGATGATGGATGGTGTGTGATGTAGGGTGGATGTGGTAGTGTGGAGTTGAGTATGTGGATGTAGGTATAGGTATGTAGGATGTAGAGAGTGGCAAGGAAATAGAGCTCCAAACGGCGCAGCTTATATATGCATTCGAGTGGCAAGTCGACGCCTCCAAGGCGGTGCTCGCCTTGGATCTATCGCTGCTGCCGATGCACCTATCATCCGCGCTACCGCTCTGTAGAATGGTCGTACCTGAGCCTGAGGCTGGATCTGTACAAAAGTCCTGTTTCGGAGAAGAGCGCTACCGAGTCGATTCCTCCCAATTGCGGTATTTCGGTATGCTCCGGCCGCCTTACCCCGTGCTGACTATGCGTTTCATCGCTCCACAGTACTTTCGGCGAGTCCTGCGAGGTCTCTGATTGCCCTCCCTGACCTATCACGTGCATAGATAACGCCACGCGGTGACCGGCAGGCGGCAGGAATCCAGTCAGCTTTAGAGGCGGGTATAGGAAAATACCTCATGTTTTGATCTGACTGAGACGTTGTCTCACGTGACCGATCCTTATCGCACGCCTCCCTCCGGCGCTGATCTGTTCACTGTGGCACTTTGTCAGTATCTCCGCTGACCTTGACACGGTCCTATGCCTGCAGGACAGCTGTCATACCAGCCAACATGCAGAGGGGATCGGTAGAGGATCAGATGTTTTCAGGAATGCGGTTCAGATCTGAAACATGACAATCTTACCCGAAGAGGCAATTTTCCCCCTTGTCTGTGCTCTCATGCAAGCATCTCTTCCCCCTACGCGAAGTCTGCTCAAATCCAGGAGGGCTGAGGCCCTGCATCTCTCTCGTGGGAGCGAGCACGGCTGGGCCTGGCTGTGACCATTTTATGTCAGGCATGGCCCAGCTCTCTATATGGCATTCCAATCACCCGCCACTGAAGAGCGGAAAGTGCCACACTCGCGCACGGACCTGCGCCACACTCCTCCGACGTCACCGCCTCTGCCGGTATGCCTGCGAAGTGTCAACAGCCTATTTACTTGCTATCTTAGCTTTCCCATCCACACTCACAGCAGTATAGGCGGGTAGTTTAGTAGCTACTCTCTCCACAGATTCGAGTCATACCCGACAAGACCAGCCACAGGGGACGCAATCAGCCAAAATGCCGGCCTCACTCACCCTCTCCCCGGACGATAAAGACAAGATCAAGCGGGCCGTCCCCAAGGGCAGCAACAAGATCATCACGGCTACTGTAGCGAGGATATACGAGTGTCCTGAAGGTGGAAGGGAGTGGCAATATGCAGGACAGGAGGGGGCGTTGGTATTGTCGGCGGATAAGGCAAAGGGGGCTTTGTCGTTCAAGATGATTGATCTGACGGTGAGCTCCCTTTCTCAAGGTGGCCATGTTTGGTGTAAACACCTTGAGCGATATAGCTGACATATTTAGGGGCGAGGAGTGGTCTGGGAGCATGAAGTCCCAATCGAGGTGGAGTATAATCAGGACAAGCCGTTCTTTCATTCCTGGCAGGGCGATGTGAGTTGTCTCCGAGTCACCATGGCCGCTCTGGGCAACATTGTTGCGACCACCTGATCGCACTTGCGGTGGCGGAGACTAGCCCTGAGCGGGTCTCGCAACTTGGATGATAAGCTGACTATGCAGGACGCCTCATACGCCTTCATCTTCCCAAACGAACAAGAAGCCAACGATTTCTACAAGAAAGTAGCCAATCGAGCTAAATACGCCGGTAAGCTGGAAGCTGCCTACTGTGGAGGATCTGGAGGACAGCAAGCTGACGAAATTAGTCAAGATGAAGGATAAAAAGGACACCAAAGAAGCACGGGCGGAAGAGCGGGCCAGAGAGAAGGCCGACAAGGCGGGTGCGGCTGCCGTGGCTCAGTCTTCGTCGTCGTCCCCTGCTAAGTCATCGCCTTTGAGAAAGAAGAAGACTACCGCGAAAGCGTTCGATAAGAGCATGATTTCCGCGCCTGTAAGTCATGACTTCAATCTGCTCGCTGTCAACCAGGCCTGCTCCTCGGTTGCAAATCATCTAGCTGAAGATCATGCTGATGAGCCAGAAATCCGAGTCTTTCCAGCACCTCGCACATATGGGATACGATTCCCAAAAAGGCTTCTCATCCGTCGGTGTCGACCCAACCTGGAAAGCGCTGCTCGAACAGCTGAGCATGAAGGGTATCTCGGCGAAGGATATCCAGGAGAATGAGCAGTTCATCAAGGACTTCGTGGAACAGTCTGGCGGTATCGAAGCTGTCAGTCCTCTGAGAACAGCTCCGCTGGCGGCGAGCGGAAAGCTAATCCATCAGGCCACAGCCGCTGCAGCTCGCAAGCCTCCGCCTCCACCCGCACCAACCTCGAGGAGAAAGCCTGCTCCACCACCACCGGCATCTCGTGCCCCTCCTCCACCATCTCGACCTCAGTCTGGGTTCTCAGCCGCGCCGATGGCTCCGCCTCCGCCACCACCGCCACCCCCTGGCCGGTCCGCACCCACCGCACCGATGGCGCCTCCACCACCTCCCGGTCGATCTGCACCCGCAGCTCCCATGGCTCCACCTCCACCACCCCCTCCTCCAGGCCGGTCGGGCGCCCCTCCCCCTCCTCCACCACCTCCAGGCCGCTCTGGTCCCCCTCCACCACCGCCGCCGCCCGGGCGCTCCAGCGCAGCCCCTCCCCCACCCCCTCCGCCAAGCGGTGGCGCACCCCCTCTTCCACCCGCAGCAGCCGGCGGCCGATCCGCTCTCCTCGCTTCTATCCAAGGCCAGGGAATGTCTAAATTGCGTAAAGTGGACGACAGCGAAAAGAAGATCTCGCCTCTTGCGGGTGCCGCCGCAGTCGGGGTCGGAGCGGGTGGAGCAGCGGCAGTCGTCGCTGCGACAGAGGACACGCCGGACTTGGCCAGTAGTTTGGCGCAGGCGCTGGCGAAGAGGAAAGATAATATGGGGGATAGTGATGAGGAGAGCAGTGATGAGGACTGGGACTAGAACTGGGGGTGGATAATGGGGGAATGGGGAATGGGGGACAAGGGAAGGGGAGGGGAATCTGTGATTTAGCTGTTGTTGCATCTCGTTTGGTCTTGCTGTACTGTCGGGGTGAGGGCATTGGTCCTAGCTAGCATATCTAGACGCCGTAGACGGTGTCCAGCAAGTCTTCAATAGCGCCGGCGGTAAGCGGACGAGCGAGATCCAAGATCTGGTCCGGTCCGAAACCGCCGCTCTCTCCGTCATCAACATCTCTCTTGCACGTCGGTCCATCCAGCTAGCGTCGACATTAAGCGCAGCTACTCGTAGCGTCTGCGGCTCAGGAGTAGCTCCTCTGTCGACTCATCGAGCACCCCGAGCTTCAGCATCCCCTCCGGCTGCCACCGCACCCCACATCCACCGTCAAGATGACCTCCCCCACCTCGCCGTCCGACCTCTCGCTCATCTCCCCGCAGACCTTGCTGCTGGTCATGGCCCTCTTTGTCCTCCCTTACGTTTCCTTCTTCTTCTTGCTGCATCGACACCTCGCTACCAAGCCTGCGCGGTTCGGGTCGGCGATCGTTCTGGTCTTGGGAGATTTTGGGAGGAGTCCGAGGATGATGTATCATGCGAAGAGTCTGGTGGGACATGGGTGGGAGACGGTGGTTGTGGCGTATGGGGGTGAGTGATATCTGACACTCTACAGTCTGGTCATACGGTCTACTGCTAATACCGTCGGCTGACAGGCAGAAACCGACCCCATCCCGGCCCTCCTCGAATCCCCACACCTGCACCTACAATACCTCTCCCCCCTCCCCTTCCCGCTCAATCTCCTCCCATGGCCCCTCCGTGCGCCCCTTCGACTCCTCCTCCAATGCTTCGGCATGCTATACACCGTCCTCTGGTCGGTCCCGTTCCATACGGAATTCATGCTCGTCCAGAACCCGCCGTCCATCCCGACCTTGATGCTCGCGCAGATCCTGTGTAGTCTGACGGGAAGCAAGTTGGTCATTGATTGGCATAATGAGGGGTGGAGTATACTGGGGATGAGAGTAGGGAGGGGGAGTCCGTTGGTCAAGGTTGCGAAGTGGTGAGTCTGTGCTCGGGATAGTGGGAGAACGCGCAGGGACCAGGAGGACAAGCTGACTCGGCAGGATGGAGGGCTTCTTTGGTCAGGTCGCTCATGCGCATCTGTTTGTGACGAACGCGCTCCTCACGCACCTCAAGAAGGAGTTTGATCTTTTTGGTCAACCGGCGGTGCTGTATGATCGCCCACCGAGCAATTTCCGCCGAACGGACGCTATGCAGCAGCACGAGGTGAGCTTGAGCTCTGATAATCCTTCATGCTGAGCCTACATGGACACTAGCTAACACCCTAGCTCTTCTCCCGGATAGTCCCCACTATCTCCCCACCCCTCCCTTCTACCCTCGCCGCTCCCGACGCCCACTCCACAATCTTCACGACCGTCTCCAACTCGCTCTCTTCCCTCCGTCCCGGCCGTCCCGCACTCCTCGTCTCCTCGACCTCCTGGACAGCCGACGAGGACTTTTCACTCCTTCTTACCGCTTTGGACGCCTATGAAGCTGCTTCCACCACCTCTACAGCAAAGCTCCCACATCTTCTCTGTCTCATCACCGGCAAGGGGCCCCTGCGCGCAGAATTCGAAACGCTCGTCAAGGCCCGCGAGGCCTCTGGGCGCTGGACAAACGTCACGGCCCGCTGCCTCTTTGTGGATGCGCGTGACTATCCATCTCTTCTGGGCTGTGCAGACCTCGGCGTCAGCCTGCATACGAGCTCAAGCGGGCGTGATCTACCCATGAAGATTGTGGATATGTTTGGGTGTGGCGTACCGGTCCTGGCGAAGCGGTTCGCATGCCTCGGGGAGCTGGTCAAAGAGGGGAAGAATGGACGGACGTTCGATACGGGCCAAGAGCTGGGTCAGGAGATCACAGTCAGTTCCCCTTGGTCCATACGGAGAGAGATCGTGCTGATCACCAGAACCTCTTATCTGACTTTCCTAATAATGCTTCACTCCAAACGCTCCAGTTCTTCTTCACTGCCCAGTCGGAAAGTACGCCCAGAAGTCGTGCGGGCACACCCGTACATGATCCGGACGAATGGACGACATGGGAGAAGAACTGGGATAGGGTGGTCTTCAAGGGGATATTGCGGAGGGACCGGAAGTAGCCTAGTAGTTAGCCAACTTGTCGATCAACCTATGTTGGGGATGCATCTCATGCCAAGGTGATTCAGGCGGAACGTTGTGCATTAGCCACAGTACCTACATCGAACCCCCGCCCCTGTACTCCACTTCTCACTCTATCTTTCAGCTATCGCCATTCACAACACAGCTCGACAACCGCGGTACGGTATGCAACGTCGTTCGTATCCAGTGGTGTCACTGCAATTGGTGGATCATGGGCAGCGTTGATCATACGTGCTATCGGCAGCGGATCAGATCCTCTTCGTGATTGACCATCGACTCTCGAGGTTCTGATCAGCTGATTGTAAGCATCCGACATTACATTGCGCCCCAAGCTTCCCACGAGGGCTGATCCAGATCTCGAACTGTCTGACCATCACGGAGCCTCCTCGCTTCCTTCATCTTCGGGTCCGATGTCCATCACTTGCCGAAATGATGCGGAGCCAGACACGGGACATGGCAGATCTGCAACTGACCACCTGACTTCAGCGCATCGCTGCCTAACCCTAGCTCGGACCTATAAAGAAGCCACTCTCCCATCGCCACCCCCTCCAACGCCAGACCGGTATCACTACCTCCTCTACCCCAAGCCCAGCACCATCACACCTCGTGGCCTTTCTACACAATCCACAATGTCCCACTCCATCCTCCACGTCGGCATCACCTCATCTGAGATCGCCATGGCTGTCGGCGCTGAGAATGCCGCCAAATGGATCGATATTGTCGAGAAGGGCATAGCCAAGGACAAGGCGGCATTCGAGGCGGCGGGGATGAGATATGAGTTCATGGGCTATACTTCCACCGAGGGTATGGGGAGGTTGGAGAAGAAGCTCAAGGAGGGCGATTATGATGGGGTTGGAGTGTGAGTCCTCTTCTTTTGCTCGTGTGTAGGGTGTGTAATGAGACTGGCAGGGGATGGGGCATCCGAGGCACCAAAGAAATGACTGCCTTCTTTGAAGAACTCATCAATACCATCCATACGCAAGCACCTAACGCCAAATTCCTCTTCAACACCGCTCCTGATGGCACATTTGAGGCGGCTACGCGGCAGTTTAGCGATGTTAAGACGGCCTGAGGTCTAGGAGTGTCCGAGACCTGGCGGAGGCGGGTATTTTGCGAAGGGACCGGAGATAGCCAAGTAGCGGACTTGATCTACCAACGTTGGGGATGCATCTCATGCCGAGGTGATTCAGGCGGATGGACATGCTATGTTATGCTAGTAATGATGTCTGTTGATCCCAGAGAACTATAATGTGCTGATAGGCCATTGAATTCACCCACTAGGCCTTGCGCCACGCCCCGTCCCTGTCCCCTCCTTCCGCAGCCGTCTTCCTCGCCCTTGGCTCATTCTGTACCAGCAATCCCCTGACCGTCGAGGCTAGACTCCCACCATCTCCCGGTGTCCCCTCGCGTACCCTGACCTCCCTGCTCACTCTCTCTGGCTGCTGCTGCTGTTTGGTACTGTCCCACCCCGATCCTCCCCGTCCGCCTCCACCGTTCCGGCTGGGCGCAGGAGGCGCTCCACCGCGCTGCCACCGCCCCGGCCTGTCCGCATTTGACGTCGATGTCGACGAGGGTCCCGACGTAGCTTCCGTCGTAGTCGATGATGAAGAGGGCCGAGCGGCCTTCCAAGCCTTCTCGGTCTTTTCGGGTGAAACGAGCTGGGATGCCTCCTCCGGTACGTCCGCTGCTGCCGGAACTGCCGCCATAGGATCTACCGGTCTCCGAGGCGTAGCGGCGCCATTGGTAGACTGGAGGGTGTTGACTATTCCCTCGACGGGCGCGCCGCCGCCGACGTGCTTCGAGCCCGTCCCGAGTGGTTCTTCCCCCTCTCCCTCTCCTGCCCCCGCCGCCGACCCCTCTATCCTCAGGCCCGCCAACTTGGCCAATACGTCCTCCTCATCACGCTGCGGCACCCGCTCCACGCCCGCATCGTCCTCGTCCCAGTTCAGACTTGACGTCTTCCCTAGCTCTCCTCCGTCTCCATCACCCGCCCGCTTCTTCTCCCGCCGCTTGGCATTCTTCGCGCCTGCCCTACTGCTCGGTGAACCCGCCTCAGCGGGTGTCGGATCCGATCTGAACAGATTTTCACCCTGGTCCCGAGCGTACGGATCCCGCTTGGCCGAAGCACCGGTGCGGCCTTGAGAGCCGGGGACAGAGGAGGAAGAGGTGGATGCGCGAATGGGACGATAGCGGCCTATATCCTCGACGGGGGTGAATCCTGGTCGGATTTTGAGCTCTTTTCGGACCCTAGCGTGTCAGCTTGGCTTTGCATGCAACATGTAAGAAGGGAAGTGAGAGTAAGGCAAAGCGCAGATTGGGAGTGGACTCACGTTCCGTCTGTTCGCTTGCTTTCTGGTACGACTCGCTCTAACGTCTTTGGGTCGACGATGATCCCAGCAGCGGATTTTGGGGGATTGTGCGGGAACGACATGGTGGATGCCACTCGTAGGTGTCCCTGAGTGATAATGATTGATAGGGGCCGCCCGGCGGAGGCGTATGCACAGTAGATATGTAGCGCTGAGGATGACAGGTGACGTGCAAGATGAGGGAGAGAGAGGATGGCTGGAGCTGTGGCTGTCTGTCGTCATGGTCGTTACGGAATCAAATTTTCGACGAGGAATGTCGCGCAGGAAAGTCAGGTTCCCTTGGGCCTTGTGCCTTGGGCATCGGGCGGCATGGGACGACTGCTCGCAGCGCCAACACGAGGAGACCAGCGAGACAAACACGGAAAGCCTTAATAGGGAGAACTCGGATATGAAGCATGATGAGCCAAAGGCCGGAGCTGGTACAGTGGTGTTCATGTCTGAGCTCCTTATGACGCTCGAGGATCGATGTGGCAGGCCTGTGCCTCATGGGGACTCGGGAGCATCCTTTGACCACGAGAGCGTTGAGACGCGTATGGCAGGTCGCTCGTGCTTCACGGAAATGAGCACATAGGATGTCCGATACCCTCTATCCCAGAACGATGCCGCTGATATATCAGCAGAAACCCTCGCCACTCTGTACTCGTACCTACATCACCTCCAACCCCATACCCTTAACTCTTACTCCATATCCGCTTTCAGCTGCCCGCACTTCACAGACCTCAACACAGCTCAGATCTTGCTCTTGTCACCTCAACAACCATGCAAGCCCACCCCATCATGTTCGATCGCCTTACCCTTTTTCTCCTCTTCCTGCTCACGTCCGTCGCGCTCCTCACTTTCGCCCAATCCGATCCTTCATCCTCCTCGAGCTCCCTAGCGCCATCCGCCACCTCACAACCCTTCCCCAATATCCGCCCCGCCAACATCCCTTCCTCCGGCGGCCGCGTCGGAATCGTCAACCGGTACGTCTCCCCCAACAGCACGCAGGTCGAATTCGAGATCTACGGGTTGAGCAATACGACGCGATACCTCGAGTTTCAGGCTGAACCCGCTGCGGATGGAAACGGCACCGCCTTCCGATTGATTGGGTACTATGGGGCGATGACGGCGAAGAATGTGCCGATCTTTTACCTTGGTCCAGGGGCTTTCAAGGCGAGGTTGGATGGAGGTCTTGGGACTGTCAATGTGAGCGCCAGCTGAGCCGAGAGTGTGGTCAAAAGGTGGAGGATTAGGCTGACAACCAGTGCCATCTCGCGGTGAAAGAAGGTGTCAAAGATGTCCAGAATCAGCCAAGCAAGCTGTTTAGGTTTCAGCCGGGAGGAGCGGACAACAGGTCGTATCTCTGGCCATGTGGGGTCCAGGATTGGGTGGAGGTCAAGTGTGACGATCCGGTCAAGCTTGAGCCGAGCTGCGATGCTGGTGCGTGGTAGAACGGTATCATCAGTACAGTCATCGTCAGCAGCATCAGCATCAGCACCTTCCACTATCATGCATATCCCGATCCCATGCTATCCACCCATGATGTTCCCGACACGTTGATCCCCCTTCCCCGTCCCCGACTAGACACTGCCCCCAAACACCCGTTCCAGCAGTATCTTCCTGAGCACGTCCTTCCCCGGGGACTGCACAAGCACCCACGGCAGATTTTTCGGCCTAAACACATCCTCACCCATCCTCCCCTTCTCAACCTCCAGTGACGGGACCGCCCCTCCCTTACCCAATTCCCCCTTTGTCCTGTCCTCCCCACTCGCCTCCCCGCTCCCTCGGCGATCCACCACACACATTCCTCGCGTCAACTCGCCGATCCGCTCCACCTTGAACTCCCGCTGATTCATGACCCATCCTTCGGGCTTGCCACCCTCTCCCAGCCCAATCGCCGGCAGACCCGCCGCGCAGAGGGCATACCAGATCGCCACGGGGTCATGCATCTCCATAGCGTCCGGCAGACCGAAAGACCGCTGGAGTCCTCGCACGCGAATGAGCATGGCGCTCACGAACGCCTCGAGGGGGGTAGGCTGGTCTTTCCAGACCTTGCCGTGAGGCGTTGGGGCGACCGGGGGATGGACGGGCAGACCCTTTGCCTCGTTCTCGGCGGCGGCGGACGCGATGATGGAGGGGTGGATAAGGTCGGTAAAGGGTACGTCTTGGTAGGAGGTGATGTCCAGAGGAGCCATGACGAGCTTGATCAACCCGGCCTGGGCGGCATCGTTGATCTCAGCGGCGGCGTAGGGGTCGGCGAAGCAGTTGAATTCGGCAGAGGCCGATGTATTGCCGGCGTGCTCAAGGGTACCGCCCATCCAGACTACGCCGCCGACGCGGGCAAAGGTCTTGGGGTCGGTGCGCATGGCTTGGGCGAGATTGGTCACTACTAGTCAGCGATGTCATTGTGATGATTGAAAGAAAGCGTACATGGGCCCAGAGCGACAATGGTCACACTTCCCTCTTCCTCCTTCTCCAGCATCTCTAGCATGACCTCCCAGCTCGGCCGGTCGTCCAGGTCCAGGTGGTCGTGCGAGTCCGTGACCGCAGGAGCGGGTGTGAAGTGCGGGTGAGTCTCGGTCAAGTTTGAAAGACCGTCTTTGCCGTGCTGATTGTCAGCCCACCGTCTCATTTGCTCGGTCCTGCCCATATTGCTCAGTCACCTCAACTCACAAAGTACGCCGCCGTAGCCTTCTCACCCCCGATCGGTCCATCCGCCCCCATAGCCAATATTGCTCGCGCCCTCTCCTTCTTCCCCTCATCCCCTAGACTCTGATACCGCCTGACTGTCTCCTCTGGAAACCCCTTGAGCTCACTCTCAAGCACATGAAAGATCTTGAGTAGGTTGGCGTGCGCCATAGGCGCATGGGTATTCCCAAATACGATGGAAATGAGCTTGACGTGAAACTCGGGCGAAGCGAGCGCCAGAAGGATGGCGAGGACATCGTCCACTCCGGGGTCGGTGTCGATGATGAGTGTGCCGGGCATGTTGGCTGGGGCTGTGGGAGATCGAGGTATGAGGCCTGCGGGGAAGCTTGCAAAATGGGCAATAAAGCGATTTCGTCGGCTTTTGTGATAGGGGGCAAGATTGCCTGTGATTGTGACCTGAAGGGTTGTTCCTGATATGGTATAAAGGAAGTAACAGGATATGGACAGGATGTCTATGGGCTCAGGCTCGGAACTTGGCAGCGGCTGCATGAGGGTCAAGCGAGGAATGTGGGGCTCCAAGCGATGAATTTGGCTCGGCTCTTGCTTCGACATCACCTTGTCGTTCTACCTCACTACACTACCTCACTATCGGCCTCAGAGAACTCACAACAGCTTGGACCGACGCAAAACTCAATATGAGCTTCCTCCAGCTGCTTGATGCGGCGCTGAACAACGCTTCGATCCCCCACCAGCCCTATGTCCTCATTTCGGATGAACCGACTTTTGGCGGGCTGCCTATCATGCGGGAGATAATCAGGCGGAGTATCGCCAGGTGAGTCAATGGACCACACGGATATGAGAGGAAATCGAGCTGACCATACACCAGGAATGCTTCAGTCCTCCTCATCTGCGTACTGAGACCGCCATCAACGTATCTGCCCGGTGTCTCGGGTCAGTCGGGATTCCTCGAGGTGGTGGACCTCTCGGACCGCGTGCCTGGCTATGGCTCGTCAGATTTGGAAGGAATAAAGGCTGAGATCCTGGAAGCTGGTACGTCAAAGTCTGTCCATATACTATCGTAGTATAAAGAGACATGGCTGACGCTAACAGCTCGACGCATGGGACCCAAAGTCGAAATCTACATTGACGCCGTCGATGTCCTCGCAGAAGACCATACCTCTGCAGGGGCTCTGAGTCTGATCAGAAGCCTCCTCAAACAAATCAAAGCAAACAAGGGTAAGCTCTCCACTACTAGCTATATGGAATCTAGCTGACGGCTTAGCTCCCTCCCGCCTGACCCTCCTCCTCTCTCCCCACTCGGCTCTGTACCCCTCCCTCCTCCCACCCTCATTCTGCGCCCCGCTCACGCAACTCCAACCACATCCACTCTCACTCCTCAGCGCCCTATCTACCGCCTACCTTGCGCCCATCTCGCCCGATCCGCGCTTTACCGATCTGTTGACAATGGCGTCAGAGCGGAGGATAGGGGAACGGATGGCCTGGCTAGGAGAGAGTAGTCTCGGGGACTGGTCCGCTGGGTCGGGGCAGGGTGCGGGCTCCGGTTCTGGAGGTGGAGGAGTAGGGAAGGGCAAAGGGAAGAGGATGGACAGCGGGGATGGGCAAGGCGTGGCAGTAGCGGCTGTTCAGGTCGTAGTGCGTAAAGCTACCGGCGGCGCGAAGGGGATGAGCCGGAGCTTGGAGGGTCTGGCCAGTACCTCCGGTGTCTCTGTTTCCGGATCATCTCTGACGTCGGAATCGTGCTCGACCTCGACCTCGACCTTATCCGGGACATGTCGGCTCGCCGTCAGACCGCTCGAATCCCTCATCGACCTCCAGCCCTTCTCGCATCCCGCCGCCACGCAGGCTCAACAGCCAACGGCGGACACGCGGGCCAGCCAGGATAAGCCCGCCCCGGCGCCACAGGCCGCTGCGACTCATACGGCCCTCAACCTCCCTTTCAACCTGAGTCTGACGGATGAGCAGCGGAGGAGGAGAGATAGGGTGCCTATACCGTATGTGCATGAAGGGGAGGGTGTGGAGGTAGGGTGGGAGGAAGAGGAGGAGGATGACGACGATGAGGAGATATGAATGGAGAGTATCGTCCGGCCACACTGACGGAAAGATACCGACAGAGACTGGAGGACCATTGCGGGAACTTGCAGGGCTGAGGCTGGTCTCCTTTGAGCTTATAACCCTTTGTACTGCCTGGTCAGGCTGACGATCGGCCGTACTGAACCAGCTGTACATCTCTCATCCACTTCCCATTCACCTGACTGACCATTGCATCATTCAGGCCGAAGATGTCCAGCAATAAGCGCACAGCCGACCTAGAGATATCGGTAGCCCCCATCGAGACCCCGACATGCGAGGCAATGCGTGCCGCTTTGGTCATCCACCCAGGGCCTGGTGTGACCTGCACCAGCACCTCTCCTGGAGAATCAGCTCGGGGCGGCACCTACGCTCTCCTCAACGAGGAAACCACCGAGGCCCTGCTGCATCAACACGAAAGCGCACGGTCTGCTCCTGGTATCAAGTGCTTCAGCTCACAACTGCCCGTCAACACCCCAAACGAGGACCGGTGCTCCACCCATCTTCTGTCCGAGGCTGATCTGGCTGGGCTGGTCGAGTCGGCGATCCGAGGACCCGGCGGGTTCTGGCGAGCATGGGATGAGCTTGTGGACGGAAAGAAGGCCGATGACGAGTTGAGATCATCTTGGGTGATGAGCTCAGTCATCGATGGTCTTGCGAGAGGCGAAGTGGCGGATACGATCAATCGAGTCTTGCATGCCTCGCTGGCATTTGCGCTCGGCTGTCAAGAGAATCGCGACGATGGGTCAATCAAGTCCATCATTACGAAAGTGTGAGTTCGATTTTCGACAGATTCTGATGCTGCAGGTATGAACAGATCGACCAAGCCATCATCTCCGCCCCTCAGAACTTCCTCAACCCTAATCCCTGCACACCGGCCAGTACCCTCCTCCCTCCCGGCTGCACCGCGCTCTTGGGCGCTGCGGGCCTCCTCTATCCCTCGAGTGGCGCAGTAGCTGCTACAGTTCTGCTCGACCTGACCAGACAGAGAGTGTACGTCGCGAGTCTGGGGGATTGCCGCGTTTTATTGGGGTGGAAAGATGAGCATGGGAAGTGGGGGACGAAAGATACTGGGGTGGGACATACTGTCAAGAATGAGAAGGAGATAGAGCTGTGAGCTATACTCTGTTGCCGAAGAGAGTGGACAGGCTGACGAGCACAGGCTGATGAAGAGACATCAAAATGAGTCTCGTGATCAACTCATCAGCCCGATCAACGGGTTCATCAAGGGCATGGCATCCCACACTCGATGCTTCGGCAAGCCGGATAGTAAGGTGCCGCCACTCCATGATGACAGGAACGAGTGAGTACCGCTTACTTTGGCGTCAAATACCGATCAGAGTTCATGATCTCTGCAGGCCATACTTCTTCCACGATCGCTCGATGAGAGCTCTCGGTATACTTCTGCCAAAGATCCCGACGCAGCAAGACCTCCCGGGCGCGCCATACATCCTCAGCACGCCGGAAGTGGCATGTACGGTGCTGGAGAAGAAAGGGGCCAAGTTGAAGTTCATCGTTTTGGCGACCGACGGAGGTGAGCCTCCGGTATCTCCCACCCTATCAGTCTCAGTCAGAGTCCAGAGCTGATTAATCACTAGTGACGGACAGACTCAGCTCGAAAGAGATAGTCCATCTCGTTGCTGGTCAATTGGAGCGATCCGCCCCGGTCTCGCCACTGACCGACGACAATCCCGCTACGGGACTCATCCGGGCCGCGATTGGCGGTGGCGACCCTCGAACCAGGCAGATATTACTCAGCCTGGGTGCGCCGATGGGGCGAGCGATGAGGGACGATATGACCGTGACGTGAGTCCTGAGCGATCACCCTCCTCGTCAGTCTTTGTTTGTGCGTGACATTAGTGCTCCCCAATAGTATTTTGGTAGATATACTAATACCAGTGGAGGGCCGGAGGCCAATACCAAATACCATACTATCTACCAGGAGAATCGTCTGGTAAGTAATTGTACTATACCAGGCGGGAGAGCATGGTATTGGTAAAATACCAATACCAAGCTGGTATATCATGGTATACCAGGCCCGAGTGGAAATCTCTAGACTACTCTCCATCGTCCAATAGAGTGCCGTATGATGCTATAAAGGTGCTCAGATTGCCAGGAGCGCTCCTCCCTAAGCCTACCCCTGCTCATTTCGTACCGAAAGTGCGGACATGGGTGAGACCCAGTGAGGAACATGAGGAGCAATCTTTGCTTCCGTTGCCACCCAGTCCGCCACCAAAGTCGTATGTGGCTGCAAGCATGCGAACATTGAGGCTTTCTTTGAGCAGCAACGTAGTCCAATCATCCCCGTCATCACCCTCTCAGGCCATGGTAGAGCCATAATCAGGCTGTAGACCAATCAAAGCGGTGCTGATTTCGGACAAAGTGGTGTCTGACTTCGGACAAAATAGTGTCTGACTTCGAACAAAGGAGTGCCGTTCGTGGTCACTGATGCAGAAGCAGCGCCAGTGCATGTCCGCATGTACCAAAAGGCTACTTGAGAGCTGTAAGACTGACGCAGAGTCCTCCTGGCGGGACTGCTACTCAGTAAGCAGCTCAGGAAAGGACGGGTGGCGGAAAAGCTGTAGTATTTTTGGTATACCAGGCCTAGTACTTGGTAATACCTGCTACCACTGGATTCGCGGGGGGCGATACTAAATACCATACTAATACCAAGGCATATAGCTGGTATTAGTAATTTACCATACTAAGGACCATGGTAATGGTATATCAGCCTGGTATTTTCCCGTACTATTACTATTGGGGAGCACTACGTGACATGCTGATTGAGGTCTTAGGGTCATCGTCCTCGATGACAAGTAGCTTTTGCAAGCTTGCTTGCTGTCAGTATGTCACTTATATGTGCAGAAGCCTTGCTGGATTTGTCCCTGTATGTCCGTCGCTACCGCCTTCGATCATAGGACCCCTCCTTTGCACCTGCCGCAGGCAGCATTTCGTCTTTTGCCAGCTGGCCGCTCCCTTTCCTTCGATTCGAGCTCCTTCCTTTATATTTTGCCGCCTCTTGCCTCTTACCGCTCATCGCCTTGCTTTGTTCATTGCTACTCTGCCCATATTTCACGCACGCTGTTGCCATATATCAGCGTCTTCCCCTACTTCCGCCCGGCGCCCTGATCCTGCGTTGAATCCCACCTATCCAGACAGGCCTGGCACCTTAGCATCATCCTTACCTTACCGAATCATGGCCCCTCCAGCGCTCGCCCTGAACGACGCGACCGTATACTGCGCCCTATGCGCCGTGCCTTGTCTCTCACAACTACCACCCTCTCCTTCTTGCCCATTGCACTCCACAGCGCGCACTACCATCACCGACCGTCCTTCCTCTCCGACCCCCGAGTTGGAGACGCCCGGGTGGCTCTCAGCCCTCTCCGGTCTGCGCGTGACAACCCACTCTCCGCCGCCGCCCATCTTCCCACAGCCTATCGTGAATGACACTCCCACTCCGCTCGAACCGCCACCCGACTTCCACCAAGTGACGCTGCACGAATACTGCCTCAGCGCGGCTCAGCGGCTGAGTGGCCAAACGGGGGGAGGACGAATCGTGCAGCTTTGGGGACTTCCGAAGTGGGTCGGCTGGACGGATTGGGGCTCTACGGTGAGAGAGACGGCCGCGGTCGCCGGAACGGGAAAAGGGCAAGAGGGAATGGGTGAGGGTAAGCGGGGAGCGCTCGAGGATGAGAAGTACTGGTTAGGGAGTAGAGATCAGTTGGAGAGGTTGAAAGCGGGTCAGACTCATTATCTACCGGTCAGTACCTGAGGCTATGCCTGTATCCTCTCCCATGTCTCATTTCGGAGAGCTTGAGCGATGTGTGAATAGAATAACGCTGATACCGTGTGCAGGAAGACCTTGTATCTCCTGTAATCGTCTTACCCCCATCTCGCAACCCCTCTCCTCCAAGTCATCGTCCACGCCAACCACACCCACGCTTCTTCACTTCGTTACCGCCCCATATCGTACTGCAAATCGCGACTTACCTTCTCGATGACTCTGACCCCATCGTCGGGCTTTCAAACGGTCCGAATGGCGACCTCCCAGCCACTCACTTCGGTCCGCCCGAGAAAAAACCTCTTCGCCCTCCTCCAGACCTGCTCGGAAGTGCGCTACTTTGATTTCCCTTCGTCGTTCTGGGCCAGCCTGGCCAGAAGGCACGTAGCGCGATATACGGCTGAATTGATCGAGCACTGGAGGTCGGATACAGCTGGCGGCGGTGATGCTGTCAGTGATGCCGGAGTTACAGACACAGCTAGCGCTAGCGCTGCGGCTGGTGGTGGTGGTAGTGACGAGGGCAAAGACGGCTTGAGGCGGGCAATCCAAGAGGAATTCACGACGCCGGTCGAGAAAGCTCTTGAGGTGGCGGTGCTCCAGCCGAGACACTTGGGGTCAGGCTCGGGCGAACGAGGCGAGGCGAACGAGAGGGGACGAACAAGCTGCAGCGGGGTCATTAGTGGCGACGTAGCATCATCTCGAGATGTCTTCTTCTGGTGGATGTTCTCGCCAGCGTGGAGGTCGAGAAGGCGGGTCTGGCGATGTGTCGTTTCAGGCTGTGCGAAAGCCAGAGACGCGGATGGCGCATTGTAGGGTTTGTAGTAGGGACCTTTTGGCTCCGAGGTTGAAGCATATCACGGTGCGATTCCGACTTGCAAGGTGTGGTGTAAGCATGATATGATGCATGTGAATCTTTGCGATCAGCTCGATATTCCAGAGGAGAACGTAGATCGTGCACCAAACTCACAGTTATACCCATCAAGCTGTAATGGCCGGTCTGGCCCGCAGGCCCGGATCTGACGATCCTCTGTCCTGGCCATCCTTTGTCCGCCAGACTCCTAGATCTTACTTGTCAGCTGACTGTCCTGTATCTGTCTCTGTCTCTGGCGAAGAACAAGACGGCGCTCACCCTTCGCTTCTCACTCCAACGTACACAAGACTGACCATGTCCTTTTCTCCAGCTCCCCAAACTACGTTCTGCGCCCTCTGCGCCCTTCCCTGTCTCTGTCTCCCAGACTCCCCCTCCGCCCCGACCCCGTCTTGGCTCCACACCCACACGTCCCTCCGGCTATCTTTCGGCCCCATCCCCCCTCCGCCTCCCTCTCCGCCACCTCCGCAGCATGGCCAGTCGACCTGGACACCCACCTGGAATCGTCCCCCTGCCTACCCCGCCTACTCCCCTTCGGCCCCCGCAGACGCACACCGCAGTATCACCCTACACACCTACTGCCTCTCCGCAGCGCTGAGGCTCGAGCGCTCAGAGCACGGTAAGAGTATGCTCCAAGCGTGGAGTCTACCCAAGTGGACGGGATGGATGGAGTGGGGTCGGCCAGGCGAGTTTTCGGCGTGGAGGGTGGGAGGTGTCTCGCCGAGTGCGTGCGAGGGGCAGGGAGGGGGGTACGGGAGGTGGGAAGTCAGTAGGCAGAGAGGAGGGACTCTCGATCCGAGGTGTTGGATCGGCTTGAGAGCGCAGGTGGAGCGATGGGCGAACGGTCAGAGACATTATCTGCCTGTGAGCGTCTCACTGCCGCTGATCCTGGGGAACAAGGCTTACTAGAGTAGATGGATCTCATCTCGCCCGCTGATATCCCGCCGCCAGTCCCCAGTCCTACTAATCCCCACCGCCCTCGTCGACTCCACCGGCTGTCCACCCTCCCACCGCACATTCTCCTACAGATCGCTGACCACCTCCTCGACTCCCCTCCAGCCCTTCCCGATCCTTCCCCTCCTTCTCAGCGCACCACGCCTCCCCCCGTGCCTTCCACCCAGACCCGCGCGCCCCACCCAGACCTCCAAGCGCTCCTCAATACGTCCTCAGATCTGCGATACATTGATTTCCCACATTCATTCTGGGCCAAACTGGTCAGGTGTCAGGTGGATCAGTACAAGCATCAGCTGTTGCATCGGTATACCGCCTCTCCGACACGTGCGATCTCGTCCGAGAGGCTCGAGGCGGTGTTGGAGGAGGAGTTCAGTCGACCTGTCGAGGAAGCGCTCGAGGCTGCCTTGAGTCTGGCCGCGACGTCGGACACGATGGAGGGCGCCGATCATGATGCTCATGTCGGGCTCGGGCTCGAATCAGGGCTCGAGCTCGGCGTGGCCAAACCCATAGTTACCGCGCGGGAGGTATATTCCTGGTGGGCCTTCTCCCCGGCTTGGCGATCGAGACGAAGGGTCTGGCGGTGTGTCGTATACGGCTGCGCTCAGGCGAGGGATGCGGATTGGTTGTAGCTGTAGCTGAGGCCCGAAGGAGATCCTTGGCGCATGAGAACGAATGATACATGTTTAGCATGACGTGCGTCATCAAGCGCGAGACCCTAGAATATGCTCGAGACCTGTCAAAATCAGCGTGACCGAACAGCGAGTCTGCGATCGAGACACCTACTGATCATTCTGCCAGACCCTACTATGCCGTCCACCCATTCGACCCTCACCCGCCTACTTCGCCGGCCACCCCGGCAAATCCCTCAATATAAAAGCCACCAAATCACTCCTCTCTTGGCCCGTAACCAACTTCTTGACACTCTCCTCCAGACTCCCCAAATCATTCTGATCCTTCGTCTGCAACAACGCCCTCCCTCCCAACCTCACCGCCTTCGCCTCCCTCTCTAGTAGTGTCGTCCGCTTCTCCACCTCGGCCGCGCGACGCTGGATCGTATTGCCAATCGTCTTGTATATGTTTGACAAGAGCGAGTTGTACACCCTTGGAAGGTCGACCGACCAGAGATGGTATTCTGCCGCAGAGGGCATGTTGATGCGCATCTTGGCGCCGGATTTCGGGACTTCGGTCGTTTCGACCAGATTGAGCTTTTGGAGTCGGGCGAGGTGGATGCGGGCGTCTTTGAGGGGGAGCATCGCGCAGTCTCGGACCTGCTTATCAGCTCCCAGCCACCAGCTACCATCTCCACACGTGGGAAAGGGAAGGACGTACCGTTTGTTCACTCGCAATCTTGGCTTTGGTCACTACCGCCAGGACTCTCCCCGCCTTCTCCCCCACCCGCTGCCTGACCAACTCGGACAACAGCGCCTCCCTAATCTTGACGCACACCCTCTCCAGCTCAATCTTGTACGCCGGATTTGTACTCGACGTCTTGCTGAGAAACGCACTCCCATTCGCCAGCATCTGATCCTCGCCCGCCAGGATCGCCAGGTACGCCCGCACTATATCCGCCGTCGACTTGCTCGTTCCCCCAATAATCCCAGGTCCGAGAACAGGGTACGCCTCGTGCGGTATCCTCGCGATGATCTCGTTGAACATGACGTCCGTCCCCGTTCGCGCCTCACTGAGCGTAGAGTGCTCATTGACCGCCGCGGAGCATACCGCGCGCATGACGATCCCGGCGCCGACATTCCACCGATCCTCGGCTGCCTTGACGATCAACTCGTCCCGGATCAGAATACCGTACCGGTCGTGATTGATCCGAAGGGAGACGTCCGGTTTGAGATCATAGTCGTATTCATCCTCTCCCTTTTTACGCTTCTTGTTGATTTTTTCCCGGCGCGTCAGGACCTTTTCGAGCGCCTGGAGAGCGTCCCGCTCGTTTAGGACCTGGTTGCGCGCGCTGAGCCGGGCCTCATTGATTTGGTTCGCGGAGAGAACTTTGGCGCCGCTGTTTCGTTGTGTCTGGGTTTTGAGGTGCTGCTTGTCAGCCACGCCTCCGTGGAAACTGGTGTGAGCTCACGTTGTATCGCCGTTGTATTATCTCGGCTTCCAATATCTGCAGCTCCGGACAGGTTGGGATGAGGAACCGCCACCGGACAAGGAGCAGCATCGCCTCTTGTACAGCGGATGCGCCTATTCCATCAGCTCGGCCCTCTACCCGCCTCGCGCAACTCACGTATCGCATCCCCGTCACCGGCTAGACTCCCCCTTAGATCCCTCACCTTGACCTTTCCATATAGCATCACCATCCGCACAATCTCCTCCGCCGTGCTGGCCAGCTTCCCAAACGTCGGCCATCCCGCCGTCAACGCCAATACCCGCCCATACCTCAGCCGATGGAGGCATTCCGAGACGTCGAATTCGTATTGATCGTCCGAGCTGGACATTCCTTGTGGAGGGTCGGGCAGCAAGGTGAGCGAGGTGGTCTGTACGAGATTATGCTGCATGAGGATGAGGAGTGAGGCGGCCGTTGATTTGCGCGTGAGGGCGGAGAGGCGGGACAGGATGAGGATGGGGAGACGGCCCCTGTTTAGCAGGACCGAAGCGACTCGCTGAGGTGTGAGCTGGCCGTCTGGGTGCTTGGTGGGATAATCAAAAAGCTCACGCAGACGACATTGCCGAATGCTTGCCTTACAATATGCTCGCACAGCCGTACCGCCTCCTTGCCTTGACCTCGGGTCACCCCGCTCATCGCGCTCAGCTCGCTATGGCAAGCAGATCATGAAGGGGCTGGAATTTCGTTCGCTGTGTGCGTTTGGCTGATCGAATTCAGCCAGATTTTCGGCGAGGTGTGGATATCCGTCGTATTTGATGGCTGAACCTCTGTGGATCAGCGACTTATCAACGTTGCTTGGTTGTGTATAATAGCGAGAGCAAGTATAGTCAAGGGGTGTAGTGAAATTTCAGAGGTTGTTGTCCCCTCGCCCCCGGAACTAGCCGGAATCAAAATTTGTTGACCGTGTTTCAGATATTTGGCGAGTTAACCGAATTCAGCATATCTTCTCCTCGTCAGCGATTCCTCAGTCGCATCTCCCCCTATACATGCCTCACCCATACTCCCCAGATATGCCTGTCCCACCCCAAGAGACCCAGTCACAGCTAGAGCGTACCTCCAACATCGTAAGCTCCCGTTCTCTGCTCAATCTTTGATCCAGAAATGACCGAAAACGCGCCCGCTAACCCCGCAGCTCGGCGAGTACATGCTCAAAGGTTGGACACTTACCGACCTCCACTGCGACCAATGCAACGTCACTCCGTTAATGCGAGAACCGGCCGCTCAGGCTTCAGCGGCAAATCGGGCGCGTATACAATTCTGCGCGCAGTGCGATGGGGGCCCAGCCGGCCCGTCCAGTCAAGCACGACAGATTACACCAGACCAACCCGGTCCACTACCCCAGCTGGAGTTCCCCTCTCCTATTGATCCTCACCCGCCTATTCCCTCTTCGTCTAGCGTGAGCGCACGTACCCCCTTTATCCGGTCTCTCCCACCAGCGGCGCCCCCGCCCGTCGGTCCTCTGCCTACTACCCCCCTTGTCCCCCTGGTCTACCCAACCCCGATCGTTCCCCATCCACATCGGTCCGGTCTCGCCCCTCCCTCTCCCCGTCCCTATCTCCGATCAATACAGCCCAGCCTCTTCCGCGCACTACATCCCCTACCGCCGCCGCCCGGACCCGAACCTCCGAGGACATCTCGGAAGCCATCTCGGCACGCCTCCTGCAGGGGTACTCTCTCCTGCAGAGCAACTGCCCAAATGCGTCCTGTAAAGGCGTGCCTCTCATCGGATACCCGAGAGCAAAGGACGGGACGAGAGATCCGAGGCGGATGTGCGTGGGGTGCGGGACGGGCTATGTGTCAGAGGGGCAGATGGGGGGGATGCAGCCTATTCAGCCGATGGGGCGGGCGCAGGCGCAGGCGGTCAGACCGGTGTCGGGGAGTAGCTCTCGCGGGGCGCCGCAGACCCAAGCTGGGCCGAGTACGGGGACGGGACTGGGCGTAAGCGGTATGGGGACGCAGGCACAGGCAGTGCCGGAGAGCCCAAGGAGTAAGCGCCGGAGAGAGCTATACGAGACCGGCGAAGCCATCAATGCCACCCTTCGGCCGCCTCCTTCGGACAGACAGACTACCACTTCCCGGTCCACTGCACAGGAAGACCAGGACCTCCTCTCGCCTATCGATCCAGACCTCGGCCCCAGCGCCAGCGTCGACGGCCCCGCCCCGCCCCCTACCTCTACAATCCATACCGCCCTGGAAAGAGTGAACGGGTCCCTCGCACTCACGCTGGACCGCCTAGCGGCGTCATTATCGGCGCATACGGCGGATGGCGGGCAGGGGAGCGAGGCGAGGTATTTTGTCGATGTCAAGTTGCATACGGAGGCGATTAGGGATGTGCTGGAGTGTGTGGAGATGGTGCGCCGGGTGCAGTAGGGTGAAAGTGTATGCGTGTATACGAGTGGGCAGTAGGAGAGAATCGTTGGTGGAGATGATCATGGCGATGGTGAAGATGGGGCTGAGCGCCAGCTACGGAAGAGATGCCCCAGTCCAGTCATGTAGGTACATAGCTAGCCTGGCCATAGGAGCGGTGCCTCCAGTATTCATACAATCCCGTAGAGTTCAGTCTAATATGCAAGGCTGTCATTTGTACATTAGGTATGAATGAAGATCAGTTTCCTCCTTTGAAGCTCTACGTTCTATACTCTAGTATCCCCGCTTGATATCGATCAGATTGACCAACCCCTCCCCCGCCTCCATCCGCCGTACATTCTCCAACAGGATATCCGTGGCTATATCGAATTGCCCCTCTGTATCGCCCGAGAGGTGCGGCGTGATGATGCATTTGGGATGGGACCAGAGGGGTTGGCCGGTCGGGAGGGGTTCGGGATCGGTCACGTCCAAAGCGGCACCGAAGAGTCGGGGCGAGTCGAGGGCTTTGAGGAGTTCTTCTGCGGGGAGGTCAGCTTCAGATCAGATCCGACCGTTGGGTATTGATGCTCCGCTCGGCCAATAATGAGAGAGCCCATCAAGAGTAGAGAAGCAGGAATGGAACAGGAAGATAATGACATAGAATGGATAAACAACGAGCGCGGGAGGTAGAGCTTAAGTGCGGGGGCGGACATACCAGACTTGATCAAGCTCCCGCGTCCAACATTGACAAAGACCGCTTCATCCTTCATCAGCCCCAGCTTCGCCGCGTCGAGGAGGTACCGCGTCCCCTGGGTACCCGGGAGACTCGCAACGAGGAGGTCGCACTCGCTCAGAAAGGCGTCGAGGCTGGTCGAGTCGCGCGTCGAGTAGAAGGACGAGGGGAGGGAGCCGGTGGGGTCGCCTGTGCCGGGGATGATGTACTGCGGGTCAGCGCCCAGCTCCCAACGGGACGGGGGAGAAGAAAGGGAAGACAGCAGAGCAGATGAAGGAGGGCGATTGCGAGAGGCGGCAAGACTCACTCCGTCCTGAGGCGTCTGTTTGCCTGACGTGTTGCACGCGATGATCTTCATGCCCATCGCTTTGAGGAGACGGGCTGATTCGCGTCCGAGCGCACCGTAGCCCTGGACGATCAGCACGTCCCCGGTCTTGAAACTCCGCCCAGAGTCTCAGCTCATGCGCTCATAGTCGTTCTACTCGATGACTACGCCAAATGAGTAGCGAGTAGAAAAGCTCACGAGCATCCCTGCTGTCCGACCTCGAAGTGACCTCGCGTAGTACAGTTCCTGGCTTGACTGCTCGACCTCGGTCCCATCCGCCCATCTTTGTTCGTTCTGATCTCATTAGCCCAGTGCTGTGCGATCTCCTCGTCCTCAGACGTGTACTGATGTCCAGCCCAGACTCACCCGTTGTATCTGCATCATCCTCGGAAACTGCTGCCACACGCCCACCGCCATCCCCACGACCCACGGCGGGATACTCAACACATGGATCCCGCTTGCTGACCCTAACGTCACTCCCCTCTCCGCCGCAGTAGCCATAATTGACTGATTGGCAGCCTTGTCCGCTCCCGCAGAGACCATCTGGATATGCCGCAGCTTGGGCATCTGGTCGAAGCTCGCGACGCCCGTTTCGGGGGCGATACCTCTGTTAGACGTATACAGGACCTGGATATCGGGTAGGACGGAAGAGGGAATGGGAGAGGGGTGAGGGTAGAAGTGGACCGTAGGGAAGCGGGACCGGACGGTCGTTAGAGCTGAAGGAGGGAGGGGGTAAGTTACTGCGATACAGGTGATTTTGGGGGATGGGCCAGCGGGTGCGGTATCGGCTGCGGTAGAGTCAGACGACATGATGCGCGGTATGAACAGATGGCGCTTGATTAAGGAAAAGGGAGAGGACGTAGGGGGAGGTAGGAGTCTAGTATATACAGAAGAAACGAGTCGAGGTGGGAAGGAGATTGCGAATGTTGATGCCCGCATGTTGCGAATATCCGCTACAATTCGGAAGTGAGTTTGCCAAGCCTTCCGTCGGCTCGGTGTAGAGTGGGGGGACGGTGGGGGAGTGCGGTACAGCGTTGACACTGGGCTGAACGATATGTACGATATGTAGCTGGTCAACGTAGAAGTGTTTAAGGTGAGGAGACGAATCAAAGGGAGCTCAAGCTCGAAAGCTAATCTGATACGGTAGAAGAGTCTGTGTGTGGGTGTGGTGTGGAACGGGGGTGCGCGCGAGGATGTTCGCTGTAGCGGGCTATCGAGAATGCATCGAGACCCCCCCTACGCCACAGGCGTACGCCTGCCAGTCCACCTACAGGAACTTCATCTTGCTCGGTCTGCTGAGTCAGCTCCAGCCCTTCCAGCTTCCAGACTAGGCCCGTACTCACCTGATACGCATATACAGCCCCAGCGCCAATAAAGGCAGCCCGACCCAGAACGCCCCAACTCTGACCCACTTCATCTCCCCTCCGGGTCTCGTGAGCGCCCAAGTCGAGTGCGCTCCGCCGAGGTGCGCTGTACCCACCAGCATAGCAACGAGGAGGTAGCCTGAGAGCCGGTGGTATTTGTAGACCTTTTTAGCTCGGGCGGGGCCGCCCAGGAGTTTACCGCCAAAGTGGGAGGCGGCGGATCCTAGAGCCGCTTGAAGCAGCTATGGGATCAGTCTCCAGCGTCCAGCATCCAGCACTCGCTCGAACACCTGATAGTTGCGAGATGACAAGAAAAGGTGAGCTGGACGTACCACCCAAATAACAGTAGCGGCCCCGAACCAGCTATGCCACGTCGTAAAGTGAGGCGCCCCGTGCACATGCTTGTTCCACCACATGGCCGCCGTACCCACCGCCAGGGCCGGTAGGGCCAGGGCGTACATCCATCGTTGGTGTAGCTGGAATCGGGACGTCCGGACGGCCGAGGAGGAGGGGGTAGGGGGCTGGAGAGGGAAGATGGCGAGGAGGAAGGCGGTTATGGCGAGGGATTGGAGTAGTGGGTGCGGGGCGAACCAGCCTAGTGCCTTGGGCATAAGCTTGGCTCCTCGGAGATGCCTTCGTCATGAAGAGCAATAGCAGAGATGCTGGATTTGGTAGGTTACTTACCTTCAAGTCTTGCGAGAAGACGAGATACCACGTGAGCGGCAAGAACAGGGCGATCCCGATCTGAGCCTGGTCAGTACATGCCTTCCAATACGGTCGAACCACCAAGCAAAAGGCAGGCACAGAGCCGCGGGTCAGGCTTTATGCACTCACGCCTAGCAGATACATCGCCGCCCGATCTCTAGGCTGAGGCAAGAGGTCCAGGCGCTTAATCAGCCCTGCCCCCCCTCCGCGCGTAGTCTCCGCTTCTTCAGACCCGGGCCCGGGTCGGTTTGAGGGTGGGATGAGCTGATCCCGCTCAGTGCTGGTCTCGGACATCGAAGAAGAGTCTGTCAGCTGGAGGAGGCGCGAAGATACAAAGATAGGCAGATGGACGAGGAAGAATAGAGGAAGGATCGGCTGGAGTCTGGATCATGTGGGTCCTGCAGTGGAGGCGGATATAGCCTTGGTCGAGGGCGGATATACCGAAATCTGATAAGCCCAGCACCTGATTCGCCTGAGCCCCTCCAAGCTGAGGTCTGTGGAACAGGAGTGGATCAGCGAGACTACGACTATAGCATCTACTAGCTAGTCAATACAAGATGCCACCCAATGTCCACTACCCGAACACTATAGCAAACTACTCAAAGCAATTCTTCGTGCCTCAACACCCCATTCCTCCGTTCGCTCAAAACGACCCTCGGACTCGCTACTGTCCCCACTACTCCCCCGGCCGCTGATTCCGCCTTCATCGTCTTCCCCTGACTGACCGGGCTGACTTCTGACCTCCCCACAGTATTCTCATCACCTTCGAGTACCGACAAGGCGGGTCGGGAAGGCGCCGAGAACTCATTCAGGTCCCTTTCCTCCGCCTTCTCCAGCTCCGTCAGCCCTGTCTCCTCCGCCTCTGCGACCTTTACTGCCGGATCCGATGTCGGCCGTGAAGGTGACGAGAATTCGATAAGGTCCTTCTCTGCCCCGTCTGAGTCTACCGGCGGAACACAGACCGCCTCCTCCTGACGGTTCTTCCCCAGTGTCACCCGCTCCTCTCCCGCCTCTGACGCTTCCTCGTCCTCGCTGTCACTGCCCATCCAGTCCGACCTTGCCGGTATGGTAGACGCTTTCGAGATCGGCGTGAGTCCGCTCCCTGGTATACACGGGAGACCCAGGTCGGTCGATACCGCGTTGCGTGAAGGCGAGGAATGGGAGATGTTGACGAGATTGATAGGGGACTGCGAGGATGACGAGCCGAATTCGACAGTGGGGCGAGGTGGAGACGATACCGGAGTGGTACTGGAAGCAGTCGGCGAGAGTGGGAGGGGTACTTCGCTCGCAAGAGGGGACACCCGGTCGCCTCTCCCGTCCGTTGTCCCTATAATTGCGCCGCCGCCACCCGCCTCCCTTCCGGACGTTGATAATCCCAGACTCTCTGGCCTAGTCCGCACCTTCACCTTGCCCGTAAACTCCAGTACGACCGGACTAGGGGGCAGCGGGATCTCGACCGCCCGTTTCTCGCCCGGACTGATCGGCAGCGGGATCGCCTCGGGTTTGACCCGGACTTTCGCTACTATCCCACCTGCTCCTACTCCCAGTCCCGACGCCTTGGCCTGGGATCTTCCCAATGCCGAGGAAGATGGAGCGGACGAGATGGTCGACGCTGAGAGACTGGTAGTGCCCCCTGCTGCCGCTGGTGTTGCGGCAGCTCTCGCTGTCGGTGCCCCGCCCGACTTGGGATCCGCAGTCCGGGTTGGCCGGAAGGAAGGGACGGCGGCTTTCCGCTTGACCTTGTCTTTCTTGACCGGGGGAGGAAGGGTGCTGGATGCCGAGGAAGACGCCTTGGCCGCCGCGGCACCTTTGGCAGCGGCTGCGGCGGCTGTAGTGGTACTCGAAGCAGGCGGGTGGGTGGCGCTGGCTGCACGTTGCGCCGAAGCCGCGGTAGGCTTGGTGAGGTTGGACGAGACGGACCGAGAAGCGGGTACGGGGGGTGCAGTGGGCTTTGGGACGGGGGCGGGTGCTGCTTTGGGTACCGCAACAGCCGGCCCCTTGGGCGCTGTCGAGCCCGAGGCAGATCTTGACGACACAGCCGCCTTGACTGGCGGAGCCGCCGTGGTAGCTGCGGCAGGAGGAGCAGCTGCTTTCGTCGTTGGCCGGAATGGTCTCCGCGCCTCGGCTTGCGGCAAACGAGGCTTGGTTGCCCGGACGGCGGTGATGGGCGGTAAGCGCTCTGCCGCTGCAGTGGGCTTTTCCGCTCGGACGCGAGGCGCGGGTTGGGGGATTGGAGGTTTGCGCGGTTTCGCCTCCGGTGCGGGCGGAGCAGTGCCGGCCGGGGCTGGAGCGGTCGAGGCGGCCTTTTTGCTAGCGAGAGTGGAGGGAGCGATTTCAGAGGTAGATGCAGCGGTGGTCGGCGGTGGGGGCGGAAGAGCCGTAGTGTCCGTTACGGCAACAGTGCCCATTTCGATGAAGGTTGCTGGTGCCGTTCTGAGCGCGGGTGGATCGACACTGTCTGCGCTGTTGGAGCTCGCAGGCTCCGACTCCTTTGTCGCTGTCGACTCGCTCAGCGTCATGTCCCCCACCTCACTCGGCGCCTCTTCATCCCTCAACATCCCCTTCTCCGGCCCACTGCTCCCCCTCAACGACCTCGCCAACATCGGCACACTCGGCGACAAGGCAGCCAGCTCCACCCTCCTCCTCGTCGGTGTACCCTCCCGACTCCTTGTTCCAGCTTGGCCATTCGCGAACCGTTCCGCCACAGGACTGGACGGCAAGGGTACACCCGCAGCTTCCACCTCCGCCTCGGACGCTTTCCGCTCCATCTCTTGGATCCTGTCCCGGACGCTCGTACTGACTCGCAGCAAAGCGGGCGCCGCCGAAATTTGGGGCTGGGTGGATGCTGGTATGGGGTGCTCAAAGTCAGGTATGGATGCGCTAGACGCCAGCGCCGGGTGGACAGGGTTCGATATGACCCGCCGTTGAGGCTGACCGAGATCGCGCCGAGCGACAGGGACAGGCGCGGGCCGGACGGCTCCGCGCAGAACATGCGGTGTGGCTCCGGCCGAGACGGAGCCTGAGATGGGCATGCGCTCCTCGGCGGACGAAGGGAGAGCGGCGCGGAGTGGCCCGCCGGCGAATCGACGGGCGGGCTGCCATGTCCCCCTCCCCTCGTCCTCGGCTGCGGAGGTGGGCAGCGAGGTGGTAGAAAACGAAGTTGGGAGTGCCGGGCGGGTAGGCGGTTCCGGAGCGGATGTAACGGGTGTTGGTGCCCATTCTGAGGGAAACGGGAAAGAGGGGACCTCCGGAGGTGGTAGCACACTGTGCGATACAGAGCGGGTATGTGCGCCGAGTACGCCAGGTGGATATCGAGGAGCTCGGGAAGAGAGGATACGGGGTCGGGTAGATTCCTCGAGCACGGGAGGACCGGGTATGGCGGGTCCGCCTGGAAAGAGGACCTTGGTGGGTGATCGACGGGGACGTACTGCCTCGATAGGCGGCTGTGTGGGGAGACAGGCTTCCGATTGGGAGGTAGGGAGTGCTGGGCGGGTAGCGCGGGTGGGGAATGCGAGAGGACGGGCTAGTTCGGGTGGTGCAGCAGTCTGAGGGGGCGGCGGTGGAGGGGCCATCTGCACGGGGGGCGGAGGAGGCATCTGGACGAGTGGCGGGGAGGGTGCTGGGGTAGCCACGGGTGCAGAAGAGGTGGATGCTGTAAGAGCGAATGGGGGTGGTCGTGTGGGCGCTGCTCGAGCGGGTGCGGCACGTGACTTCGATGATCCAGCTACGGCTGTTGCGGCAGCCGCAGAGACACCGAGGTACCGTCTTATAGTCGGAGTGAGCGGTCCAGAGAATCTTCCATAAGCTCAGGCCTCCATACGGATCAACAGGGATCTATGAACTCACTCGTCCACCCTTTCAGGCCACACCTCACTGAACCTCGTCCATATCCGCTTGCCCGTAGCCCTCACTTCCGGATCCTTATCCGTCCCCACCTTCCTCAGTGCCTCCTCCACTATGCCCACTCCCTTCTCGCCAAACACCCCGCGTTGCCACTCGACCAGAGCGCGCTCAAAACCCGCCGCACATCCCCTTCTACACGTCGCTGCCTCGTCCGACAATCCTCTGCGGAGCTCGAGAAGGATGTTGGAGAGGTGACAATTGGATATGATTGTCCAGAGACACTTTTCGGCGCGTTTGAGAAAGACCTTGTTCGGTCGTCCGAGGAGCTGGACGAGCGGTGGGAGGTAGACGGGTACGAGGGGTTGAAAGGCGGGTCCGAGTCGGGGTGCGAGGGTTTGAAGGAGTTCTGTAGCTACGCCAGAGAGACGACCTCGATCGGAGAGCATCTAACGATCAGCATGTCCACTTTGGGTCAGCAGATGCAGGGAGACTGACGCATTGCCCAACTTTCAACCCGACACCCATCTTTCCGACCCCCTCGATGAACAGCGGAAGGTGCTTATAACCTCCACCCTTCGTCACGCCCGTGAACCTTATGATCCCGCGCTCCATTTTCTCCCATGTATCCTCCTGCTCTCGGAGCTCGAGCACCGCTGCGAGCGCGTCCAGCTCGATCTGGAGATGTTGCGGTGTTGGACACTGCGCGTCAGCCAACATTCTATTCCGGGGCGCTCTTCGGTTGACAGCTTACTGGTATTTTCGCGTCTCTATCTATCGGCGGCATGCTATCCTCCTGTTTCCACGAGCGTTGGGCGCGTCAGAGCTGACCTATAGGTATGCAAGGTGGACTTAGAAGAGAGACACAAGTGAGTGAGAACAGGCGATCAAAGAAAGAAACCAAACGCGTCAACAACACCAGCCGAAACTGCTTCCGACGGAAAGATTACGTCACCTCCACCCAAACCTTAATTATCCCTCTGCCCTCTCCACCACCACCTCCTACAACCATACCTTACCCATACAGGCCATTATGATCGTAAGTGCAGCCTATAGCGCACAGCTGACAAGCAGGTAACCGTACAAGGATGCTCTCATGGTTCTCTGTCGGTCATATATGACTCGATAGCCGCATACGAGTCGCACCAATCTAAAAAGGTCGACCTCCTTCTTTTATGCGGGGACTTTCAAGCCTTGCGCTCAGCGCATGACTTCGCCTCGCTCGCCGTGCCTCCGAAATACCACTCTCTGGGGACGTTCCACGAGTACTACTCTGGAAAGAGAAAGGCGCCGGTCCTCACGCTGGTCATTGGCGGGAATCACGAAGCGAGCAATTACATGTGGGAGCTGTATCATGGGGGATGGCTGGCGGAGAATATCTACTACCTGGGAGCGGCAGGATGTGTGAGGGTAGGAGGGATGAGGATCGTGGGTGCGAGCGGGATCTACAAGGACCACGACTATACCAAGGGTCAGCTGGTTTACGCCGGGGCTTGCGACTTAGCTGACTGAACAGGTCATTATGAGACAGTCCCGTATACCAGCTCAACGATGCGGAGTATATACCATATACGGAACTACGACGTTGCAAAGCTCATGCAAGTGAGCTTTTCCCCCACTGCTTCGCTCTGCAGGCACAGCTAAATCCCCAGCTATCGCCAGAACCAAATACAATCTTCCTCTCACATGACTGGCCAATCACCATCCCCAACTACGGCGACACCGCCTCCCTCCTCCGCCGCAAACCATTCTTCAAGTCGGAAGTCCAGTCAAACACCCTCGGATCGCCGCCGTTGTTACAGCTTCTGAAGCACAATCAGCCCGAATACTGGTTCTCGGCACATCTGCACGTCAAGTTCGCGGCGGTATTCGAGCATGGCCAAGGCGCAGCTGTAGCAGCAAGCGGCACGGGAGGGGATAGTGGGGCAGTAGGGAGTGCTCAAGCGGAGATTGGCGAGGCGGCGGCAAATCCCGACGAAATCATGATTGACTCGGACGACGATGATGACCCAGCGCCAGCCGAGGCAGCTGCCAACCCGGACGAGATCGCCATCGACGATGATGAGGAGGACGCTGAGGACGAGCCACATATACATCAGGCGACGGAGGTCAGTAATGGAGTCACGGCGAAAGAGGCGGAAGCGGCGCTGGAGGTGGACGAGAGTGCAGATCTAGTCGAGGCTGCTCGGCAGGCGGATCCTGGTGCGGCGCAGGGTGTCATCGGCCGGTCTACCGCGGAAGTCCCTGGAACACTGGCTGTCGAGCCTTCCTTAGACGGACCAGATGCCGAGGCGGGGCCGAGCAGACCGAGAAGGACCAAGTTCCTCGCGCTGGACAAGTGCGGTCCTGGAAAAGATTTCATTCAGGTCAGCCATCCAGCTCATCTCGATGTGAACCAGTGTTTGAGCTGATCCGCAGTTCCTCGATATCCCCTCATCCACCCCGTCAGACCCCTCCGAGCCCCTCGAGCTCACATACGATCCCCAGTGGCTCGCCATCACCCGCGTCTTCCACCCTTACCTATCGCTCGAAGTCCGGCAAAAGGCTCTTCCGCTCCCGGATCATATGGCTGAATTGGTCAAAGCCGAGCTGGAGCGAATAGAGAGGGAAGGCGTGTCGGTACCGCCGATACCGTCAGCTACGCAGGAAGGAGAGGTAGGTGTCAGCGCGGAGTCACAAGCGGGAGCATCGATACGGAAGGGGTCCATAGCCGTGGCAGCGGTACAGCAGTTCTGGCCTACTGCGCCTGCGCAAGGAGAACCGGGCGGATCAGAATGTGAGTTTCCAATCTCTCTCAAGCTGTCAGCTAAGCGATGAAGCTGACATCATAGCTGCATGGTATACCAATCCCCAGACCGAAGCCTTCTGCGCCATGCTCGGTATACCCAACAAAATCAATCCTGCGCCAGCTACCGCATCATGATGATGTATGTCCATACCGGTATGGATCAGTCCATGCCGGGTACTGGCTTGTACACCGTCTTGCCGTCCATGTACTCGTGCTGACCCGTCAGCCACTGACTTGGGCATGAGGAAGACAGATGGCACTTACAGCCCAAAGGGATAGGACAGTTGGCGGGAAAGGGTGTCTTGTCACGTCCCCTCGCATCCTTTCGTTCTGCTCGTCAGCCTATACTCACATGCTGACCTGAGGGGCTTGACTCACGCGGAACAGGTACAATGCCCATGTGCCTAGACAGCAGTATCCCGCCCCCTGAGCGAAACCGCGAGACCAGCTACGTGATGAGTATGGACCCTGACCGCGTGCGCTTGTCCGAAAGGTTCAACTTACGGTTCGTAGAGGAACAGGCCCATCTGCAGTGTTGCGGCGCCGACGCTGAGTCATGAGCTGAGCTCCGTCACGAGTAGGGCGGCTAAGCCACGCAGACTTACAAGCCCAGAGTCATGCCTATACTGACAGAGCTAGTCCTTGGGCCGATGAGCGTGATTGGCCAGGTGAAGTGCATGCCGTACGTTCTGGATATCAGTCGGGCTTTCCCTCGACGGGATACCGCCACTCCTCAGCTCACCGGTTGTTGGATAGCGCTACAAAGATGACGCCGAGGCAGAGGTGGATGATGAAGAACTCCCACATGGCAAAGAAGAACATGGCTGAGAATACTGATCGTCAGGACTTGCAGAGCTGGCCACGTGAGGCAATATTAGGAAGGGAGCTTACCGCCTTGGATTGACCCCTCGCCTGGCCTGATCCAAATCGGTAGCGCGCTACCTTGATAGTACTGGCAATCTTCAGCCAGGGGACCACGGCTCTGTCTCCACTTGATCGCGGCATCCTTGTACTGCGCGTTATACGAGGGCCAATTGTTGCTCCCCGTTCCTAAATTACTGATGTATCAGCTCACTCCTTCTTCACTGCAAAAGAATACCCACTTGACAAGCAAGAGGATATGCACAATCAACATCCAAAAGCCCACGACCACGCTGATTGCCCTCCGGATATCAAACCACCTATGCCACAATCTCCACTTCTTCTTCTTGGCGTACTTGCCCGACACGCTCCAGTAATGGTTTCCATAATAACTGTCCGCCTCCTTCTTGTTTCGCTTCTGCCGCAGCGCAAACTCTTCCTTTGTCTCCCACCGGAAATGTTTGGGCGGCGGGTTCGGATGATCGTACTGCTTTGGAGTGGGCTCGTAGATGTCTTCCTGGTCCGCGTAAAGCCAGCAAGGCTTCCCAGCGATCATTCCGGAGAAGGGCTCGGCCATCCTGCCGGTCGGAGCATTCAGGTATATCAAGAATCGGTCAAGATGGTGCTCGTCGGTAAGGTAGCACGAGTCCTCGCCGCGTGCGAGAGCGTAGAGGTCCTCGGATGTCTGGGGTGGCGGAGTGAGTGGGAACCAATGGATCAATCTGATAATCAGCTGACATACTCACCCGCTTATCTGATAGACTTACTTTCGGCTCATCTTTCCTCTCGCCCGAACCATCGTCTCCCTATCTGGCACCACCTTCTTGTCGACCCGGCCAACCTGCTGCTTGCCTGGATCCTGCACTACTCCCGCATCCCGCATCTCATCCTCCAGCTTGTCCTTATCCGTCGACTCGTGCACATGGTCTCCAATATGCGCCTGGAACCTCTCGATGGGATAGAGCCTGTCCAAGCCTCTTTGTGCCTCTTCAGCGGCGGCTTTTTCCGCCTCGGTCGTCGCCGTCCGAATCGTGTGTATCTTGTCCTGGTTCTGTCCGAAATTACCGCGTCGCCAGGCGGATTGCCACTGCTCCTCGGTCCAGGGACGGAGAGGGAATCTACCGTTTCGCCTGTTGGAGCGCCGGATGGTACGGTCGGGCGTACAGTCGAGGGCGGAGAGGACGAGGCGGATGACGTTGTAAGCGCCCAAAGAGAGGATGACGAGGAGGAGGACATGGTGCGCCGGGATCATACTGATGCTCAGCTGGGTACGAGACCGGAGCTGGAGTGCACTCACACTTTCCACCCCCAATTTGGCGAGCTGTTGAGAATGCACAGAGCGAGACTGACGATGTCAGCGAACTGATCAAGGGAGATTCGAAGTGTGGAAACTCACAACATGATGGTGTACCCTGTACCGCCTCGAGTCCACTGCGGGGCGAACAGACCCATCCGCACATTCAAGACTTCATCGGCAATGAGCAACAAGCAAAGGAGTACTGAACATCAGCTGACTAAGCTTCCGGCCGTGTATGTCCAATACTCACAGACCCAGCCATGATACAAGATGTACCAGGCTACAGATCAGCAGCTGCTCTTAGGCATCGACTGGGTCTAGAAAGACCTACCAAACGGCTCCCACCCGCCACCCCAGTTTGCGAAACCCGTCCCAGGAACATACGCGCAGTTCGGCTGAGCACGCAGAAATTCGACGCCGCCGCCTGTCGCTTTGGCCTCGATGTACTTTTGGAGCTGGTCTCTCAGCATTCATGACCCTTCTGGCTGATGTGAACTGACCGGTCCTCCCCTCAATTCCATCCCCATCCTGATCATCTGCATCAGAGCGAGGGTGCTTCCGCAGAAGACACCCACTACCTGCAGTCCCTGCCGCTCAAACATCCTCCAGCAGTCCGCCAGGAGACAGTACATGTGGAACACCCTGACGCAAAATCCCTTGGTCCGCGAAATCCCCTTCCAGTCTTCATGCCCCTTGTCCCGACTAGCTTTTCGTAGTCGATGGTACGTCCCGAAGCCGTACGGCGCCAGCACGCAGCGCACATCCGAGTCATCCGGTTTATGCGAATACTTGTACTTTTCTCCTTTTTTCCAATCTTTCCTCCACCCGGAGTTGATTGATGGGCGGGTGGACTTGATAAAGGTCCATGGGAGGAAAAAGACGGCAGCAAGATATGCGGAGAGGAGGAGGAAGGGCGGCATGTAGAATAGATACAGGATCCGGTGGAGGGGGCTTGTTTTCCTCCACTGGGCACTGAAGGTGTCCATCTCCTCATCGGTACGAGGCTCCGTGTCCACTTTGGCGAGGATACCGAAGGGGAGCCAGTTTCGCCAATGCAAGGCGCCAAACATGCTTTGCAGCATAGTTCCCATGTCGAAAACCCGAATCAGCCACCCGTGGACCCATGTGATACGCCTTTGTTCCGGCCGCCTCTGGTGGTGGTGGACTCCGTATCCCACCGGCGCGAACAGGTCAGCCCATGGGGTCCGTGATTTCTTGGTAGCCCATGGGATCGAGGCTCCTCCACCTGGCATGTAGGGCTTGGACGGGCGCATCGACCTCGACAACTTCCAGGGGATGGCGAAGAGTAGGGCGAAGCCGACGTTCACCGTCAGGTAGGGGAGGATGTAGACAAGATACAAGACCTTGTGTACCAAAGAGCATCTCTCCCACTTACCGGAGAGGCTGAGAGGTACTTGGTCGCCCTCGAGCTTCACCGCTTTCTCCTTCGCTCGCTCTTCACGTCTCTCGCTCCGTTGCTTTTCCCGTCGTCGGCGAGGTTCCACCCCTTCCTTTCTTGACCGCTTCTCCGATCCGCTTGGCCGCTTCTTCCTCGCCGGAGCCATATCTATGCGATCTTCAGTAGATTTGTCTGCTTCTCTGTCAATCCGGTGGTCGCTTATGAGTATCAGATAAGTGATACAGTCGTCTCTCTGTTGAAATGGACAGCTCCATCCACTCCATTGTTTGACCTCGCATCGTAGGGCGAGGGCTAGTCGAGGCTCCTTTGTTCAGTCCGGAAGGGGTCAACACAAAGGACTTCAGAGCCGCCGCCTCTACGGTCCATCTGCTTCTTCGCGGCCCCAGCTTGTCAGACATGCGACACGACGTCAGAGCATCTCAGCCTCAATATTCACTCTGCACAAGTGCTATTATTGCCTGCCTGACAGATGAGCACGTTGTACGCATAGAAACCACTGTACCATCCTGGTACTGACACTCATGCCCTCCAGCCTGACGTCACGCGTTTCGGGTTAATCTCGGTGGGAATCACTAGCGTGTTTCAGGTGAGTAGCCAATCAGAATGGCTTGTGTCAGCAGCTCGCCGTGCATGACGACCCAGTACTTCGGCACTCTGTCTACTTTAGCGGACAAATTAGTGTATAGTAGGTTGCTAGCTTGCTGAGGGTGCTCGGCGCGATACGGAGACGGCCCTCGACCCTCGGCCCGTAGAGCACCGAATGGATGTGGGACGACAGTGCTACGCTCGTTGAGGCTAGTCTCGTCCGGTGGCCGGTGCTGCGAGATGGGTATAGCTGGTAGCCGGGCTTTTTGGCCGTAAAATACTGTAGAGATGAGCGCAGGCCAATCATCTCAACCAGCTCATTCAGGCATGACTACAAGATAGCATGTAGAGCGGAGGCGGAGCGGCGGAGCGGCTTTACAGGTAGAGCCGACTGCGAGTGCGACGAGTGAGACGTGCACCGATTGGCCCAGATCAGCTGTCCAGGGGCGCAGGGATAAAGTTCAGGGTGGCTGATAAGAGATCTCTAGGATTAGGAAATCATTTTGTAATCGATTAGTCAAAAGGCTATTGGCGGCTCTCCGCTTTTCCTAACAAATTAGCCTATTTCCTAATAGAGCATTAGGAATCGGATGGTAATGCCGACTTGTCCGGTCAATGCGGATGCGGCTGACAAGCTCCTGATCTCAACACACCGTCCAACCTTACACTCTATACACGCTCAGTCCTCTTTGTTGACAGCTCATACACTATACATCCTCTTCAGTCGACAGATCTGCCAGCTCTACTCCGACAACAGCACTCCGCGAGAGAAATCTGCCCGTCGCAGACCTTATCTGCGTTCCGCCAGCCACAGGAAAAGTCGTTCCCCGCGCCGTCTGCCTCCGAGCTTGACCAACCCACAGCAACGCGGCAGCCCGGCCAACACACTTTGCTCCAGAACGTGCACTTTGCGCATACATACGAGGAGGCGTAAAGAGGAGTCAGTGTGCATAGTATGGGACCGTCTGCGGTTGCGTCGGGAAGTGGGAACGGAGATTCGGTGAGTTACAGCTTGGGGCTCGGGTGCGGCCGGAAATTGTATGGCGCAGGGAAGGGGCTACCGAAGGCGGCGTCCTGGGAATGTGAGGAGGGCATGAGGAGGGTTGCGCTAGCAAGGTGGATGCGGGGGAGGGCGACCGTAGATGAGGGGATCTCGGGCACGGTGGATGTTGCTTGATAAGGGCCGAGGAGCCGAGTCGAGGCAGAGGGAGCGGATGGACAAGCATGGAGGGCAGGGCAGAGGTTCAGCCCGCCTCATGGTACAGCTGGGAGCACGCCGATGAGCACTCAGAACCTGAGCACGGGCGCGGGCTCACGCGACCCGAATCGCCTTTGTTGATCCACCCCACAAACGCGAAAAGTGCTAATCGCCACCAGCGCGCCCACGCTCCCTTATCCGTTCCTCCACCACCTGTCCATTCCACCTCTGCCTCCGGCACCTCCCTATCCGTATCACACGACACATCCGTCATGACTGAAGAAGAGGAAGATCTGGAGGATTATAGACCGGGCGGGTATCATCCTGTCAACATAGGGGACGATTTCAACGGGGGAAGATATATGATTGTGCGGAAGTTGGGTTGGGGTCATTTCTCTACGGTCTGGCTCGCGAGAGATAACCAGTGAGTCTTTATATGGTATAATGAGGGGCAGGGCTGATGATACAGCACAAGTCGGCATGTCGCGCTCAAAGTAGTCAAATCGGACGGACATTACACCGAAACGGCACTGGACGAGATCCAGCTTCTCCAGCGGGTCGTCACATCCTCGGAACGGCATGCGGGCCGGCATCACGTCGTCGGTCTCGTCGACAACTTCAAACATGAGGGTCCGAACGGAAAACACGTCTGCATGGTATTCGAGGTGCTCGGCGAAAACCTCCTCGGACTTATCAAGCGGTATCAGCACCGTGGTGTCCCCCAGCACATCGTCAAGCAGATCGCCAAGCAGGTACTGCTCGGTCTCGACTACCTGCACACCGAGTGCAAGATCATCCATACGGATCTCAAACCGGAAAATGTGCTTATCTGCATCGAGGACGTCGAGTCGGTCGTCCAGGCCGAACTGGCCTCGTGTCCAGCGGCGGTACCTACCAAACTCGTCGGTGTTCCCCCTTCGCAGGGTCGACTAGGGAATCAGACGCCCAGGAAGGATAGCATCCTTGCTAGTCAGCCGTTAGCGTCCCCGAGCTCGAGCTATGGGACGTCGCCCATGCTTGACAAGTATGGGTTTGGGATGAGCAAGATCTCGGGCGCGGGGAGCATGGCGAAGAGCGCGGCGGTGGGTACGAGTGCGCCGATCAGTCGGGGGGTGGGAGGGCAGAAGGGATCGGCAGACTCTATTGGGGAGGGAGTGGGGAAAGTCAAGCTCGACTCAAGCCTCACGTGGGAAAAGACGAAAATATCAGCAGCGCCCCCACCTGCCAAAGCGGGCTTGTCACTCCTCTCCCAGCAAATGTCCTCTCATCCCGGTTCATCCTCCATCTCCCTCGAACCCACCCATTCCAACTCGGAACCACCATCCAATACCGCCACACCGAGCCATACCGTCATTGCCACACCTGCCACTACTCCGGATAGCGGTCTCGGCCGGAACGACGAGTTACGGATATCCACCTCTGTTCTCTCTACCGGCTCCGCCTCGCCCCCTGTCCAGCCTCATGATGGTCACAGCCACAGCAAGCAGGCATCGGCCATATCGGACGCTACGACCTCCCCTTCCTCCACCCACGTCAACAACCTTCAGGACCACGAGGCCCACCTCAACCCCCATCCTTACCCGCAGGACGAGGACGGCGGGGTCGCTCCCATCGCTGGCGATCCCAACACCCTCCCTCCACCGTTCCCGTACGATCCCGAAAGTCTGGAGAAGATCACGGTCAAGATCGCGGATCTGGGCAACGCGTGTTGGGTCGATCATCACTTCACGAATGATATCCAGACGAGGCAGTACCGGTGTCCGGAGATTATACTGGGCACAAAGTGGAATCAGAGCGTGGATATTTGGAGTGCCGCATGCCTGGTGAGCTCATTTGTCCGGTAGAGTGTGTGACTGGGAAATATAGCTGACCTGGCAGTTCTTTGAACTCTTGACCGGAGACTACCTGTTCGATCCCCAACCTGGCGTCAAATATGACAAGGATGATGATCACATGGCGCAGGTTATGGAGCTGTTGGGGGAGATGCCCAAGTCGTTGGCTTTGTCGGGAAAGTACAGCCAGGAGATGTTCACGCGGAGAGGTGAGCTAGCTTCCGGAATCCCTTCTCTTATCCCCTTCTCGTTCCTGTGCACCCACTCCACCTCATGCTTCCGCTTTTCACCTCTAGGGAACCTGCGCTGACTCCCAGGTGAACTCCGGCACATCTCCCGCCTCCGCTTCTGGCCACTCATGCAAGTCCTCAAAGAGAAATACCTCATGGAACAAGCCGAAGCCGAACTCCTCTCCTCCTTCCTCTCGCCCATGCTCAACTACTATCCCGACTCACGGGCTACCGCGGGCGACATGGCAAGACATCCCTGGCTGAGCGGCGTGGTCGTGGATGGGGAAATTGAGATGGAGAAGTTGGGCGCTGCCGGCCCAGGAGGCGCTGCTGATGCTGGTGGTGCTGGTGCTGGTGGTAATGGTGTAGGGGGAACGGTGCCGTCGGCTGCGAATCCGATCGGAGCGCAGGCTGCCGCGGGCGGACCGGTGCCGTCGTCCTCGTCCTCGTCGAATGCGGCCGGTAGTGGGAGTGGGAAGAAGGACAGTGGAGGAGCAAAGAAGAAGGGGAAGGGAGCGCTCGAGGAGGTCATGAAGCTGGGTCCGGCGGTGAAGGGGATGGTAGGGATGGGGCGGATCTAAGGGGGGCGTGGGGGGCGTAAAAACCAGGCGGAGCAGATGATCAGGGGACCTCAAGCGGAGGGCATCGCGTCGCTCGGACTGCGCGTCAGATCGCCGTCATCGAATCACCGTCATCAACGAGTTTTACCCTTTTCGCCCATCATCGCTGCGTTACACCTTCAGACCCCCATCCGGCTCACCCATGCCGCCGACATCCACACTCCCACCCCTGCAGCCGCCAACCAATTCCTCGACCACATCATCACCACATCCCCATCTATACACATCCATCATCTACCCCAGTACCGCGGACTCCATCCTGTCCTCATGGCCTACCGTCTCGCTCCGCCTCTGCCACAATCATCTACCACCACGTCACTGTATATCGGACCATGCCCTCATCTCCCTGGGCGGCTCTAGACTGTATTCGTATCGATATATCAACCATAGATCTCTTCTTTTCCACCTCCCCTTTCCTCATAGTCTCGTCATCGCTAGTCTACCTCTCCCTCTCGGCGATCTCTGGGATAGCTAGCTAGTTTCACACCTCGTAGTTTTGGCTGGTATAGTACCTAGATAGCTAATAGTTGTCATGTGCAGTCTGCATTGGGTTTCAACATGCCTTCTGATAGCGACGGTGACTGACGCGCACCGCAGCCCGGGTCTCGGCCGTAATAACACGCGAAGCGTGACGGGTGCGTTACAACACAGCCCCGAGATCTGAAACAAGGCGGAGCTCGACCTGAAACATGCAAACATTCCTCCCCTTTTGCCACTCCGCCCACTCTCCCGCCTGTTGGGCGGGCACCTCATCCCGTGCCTGGACTATAGGCTGTTATAGCGAGTCTTGACTCACGATCCATCAAGCTACTTGGAAAGCATCGGCGGGTATACAAATTAGCCGGAAAGCTCCACGGAGACCGTTTAGGGTTGATACCGCCCGTTGTCATCATGTTTGGTCGTTGCCTCCCCGAATCATGAGTCATGTTGCTCAATCCTCCATCGGATCTCGATCTCGGTTCGGTGATCGATCCTCTTCTTCTTTGCCTTCCGTATATCTGCCAAGTACGCGCAGAGATATCGATACCGCATCTGAGCCAAGACTGCGATCATCCTGTAGCCGATACCGGGACCGCACCGGTATCCAGCCACGTCCTGCACCCCCGGACCATCATTCCTCGGGACTCTCCCTGCCTCCTCCCACTGTAGCTCTTGGATAGCCGTGTGCGAATACTGGATACTCAAAAGTGGCGAGCGAAGACCAGGTAAGTCATTCTGCCCTTCTTCTGGTCCGTTCCTCTTCCCCATCGGCCAAGGCTGTTCTTCCCTCTTCCTTCGACTCCAGCTGTATGACAGAGACAGTGCTGACCGATAGGTACGTATCTTCGTATACCTTTTGAGTCAGTAAGTGGGTCTCCCCCTCGTCTGGGTCATCTCCACCGCCTGCCCAGGTTCCCCTGTACCCCCTCGCCCACAGCTCCCACCCCTCTCGCTGCGCCCGTCACCTGCTCCTACTCTGACCTCTTAGACTGACGTATAGTACCTCTCCCGCTCATCAGCCATCATGCTTCCCCCAAACACTCGGCCACGGCGCGCCCGTCCCTCCACCGCCAACTCAGTCCTGACCGCCCGCCCATCCACCGCCCACTCATCTCTCACCCCGCGTCCCACCTCACCGATCAGCGGACCTGGTCTGGGGCGGAACACTGCCGCTCGCTGGTCCACCCTCTTCCTGCCTTCTGCGTCAGTCCGGTCTAAGGGCGCCGGTACCGGTACGGCTACCCCTCCCATCGCCCCGATCGCGAGGTATGAGGGTACGGCGCTCGTTAGTCTCTTTCCGGGACTCACGGATCTCGGGCTCGATGTCGGGCTGGTCCGTCCCGGCCTGGGCACCGAGGGCAACGGTGCTGGCGCCGCCGCTGCATTTAGGGGATTCCCGATCCGTGGTCGGCCGTTATACCTCTCGGACCCGGCGGTAACCGGTACGGACCCGCCGACACTCCCTCCGCTTAGCCCACTCACACACCTCTCCCCGGGCTTCGGGCATACCGATCCCACCGTCATTGGCACCCCGCGGGTCCCGCCCTCGTGTAATGCTCCCATGCCTACTCCTTCGGCACAGACAAGAGCCCAGGTCCCGCACCCGTTCGCCACACCCTACGGCGGGTTCAGTACGGCCAATGCCAGCACCAACACCCCAACCCCTCCCATCAGCTCTGGTCAGAGTAAAGGCTACCCCTCGTCATCAGCCTTAGGATCAGCTCCAGCCTCGGCCTCGGCCTCGACACCCAATCTCGAGCTCGGCGGCCTCGCGCCCCGCTCGGCCGTCCGCACAGGGTCCGGCACAACTACGCCTCATACCTTCGCCCGCAAACCTCGCACACCCGAGCCAAAGACAGCCCGCACATCCGACTCGGGCCGCACGGAACTCCCACCCGCTATGGCGGATACCTCACCCACTATCCCCCTTTCCCCCGCCCCTTCGCCCTTGAGGTGGAGGGGCCAAAACGTCCACCCCGAATCGCCCTTCTACGGCAAGATCCAGGCTCAGCACGAGCAGCAGCTACGCGAAGATGCTGCGCGTGACGCTGCGCGGGATGCACGGACGCCCTCTCGCGGTCGGACCGGCTATACCAGACCAGGGGCGGGGCAGGGCGGACAGCTTCCCGCGCTCACTCCGGCGATGGCGGTGAGGGAGCAGTACCTCGCTTCTACTTCCACGTCCACGTCGGCTCATCAGGCGGTACCTACCGACGCGTTCCATGGTATAGCGATGTATCACCAGAAGAGGGCGATGCTTGCTCGTCAGCTGGCGCCTGACGGGGCGGACAAAGTGGGGGAATGGCTGGCGAGCCGGAACAGCCAGCCGGGGGCGGAGGTGTGCGAGACGACCAAGTTGGTGGCGATGCTTGAAGAGGAGAACCGGGCGCATGATCGTCAGCGGAAGGAGGTTATGGACAGGAGGATAGAGGAGATGTTGGACAGGCAGAGGACGCCGCAGGTATGGGAGAGCGTATCAGCCATTGCGCTTGTGCAGTCCCGATCGAGGGGGTTGAGGGGGAACGGATCGACCCTCACCGTCAACGCTACTCCCACTGGCGAAGAAGCGCCTCTTCAGCGCCACCCCAGCGTACGGACCGGACATAGCCACCCCCAGACTCAAACCGCCGAGACGGCACAGCAGATCGTCGAAGCGCGTGTCCTGCCCCTCTCCACACCACAACCACACGTCCAACCCATCAGCCTCGCCCCTCTCTTCCGGACCACGCCGCTCGCAGCCCCTTCCAAGCCTTTCATCCGGGGCCGGAAAGCCCTCCCCGCCTTGCCCACCCCACCGACCGCCAGTATCGAGGATCAACGCCGGCGCCTGCACGACTTCCAGTCTAACTCCACTCGACACTTTATCGGCGTCCGCGCCAAACTCGTCCATCTCGCATTCACGCTCGACCTCCTCCGTTCCGCCGCCGAGCTGCTGTACGCCCAGAACGCACGAGCGCTCCATCTCCTCGCTGCTCTCAAAGCGGCGTCAAAGGTTGAGGGCGCGCCCGAGTCGCGCGCGATCCTGGATCATGGGATCCCGCTGAGCGATGCGCTGGAGATCGAGAGCAAGCTGGACGCGTGGTGGGTCAGCGAGCGCGACAAGTTGAACAGTATGTGGGACGGGGCGGTCAGCAAGGCCAAGAAATGGGTGGCGGACCATCAGTACCTCGACAAACTGGTGCATCGGGGAGTACTCCGTCAAGTCGTGGCGTACGAGAAAGGGTGGGTGGAGGAGGTAAAGCAGCTGGGTATGGAGAAGAAAGGGAAGAAATGGGCCAGAGCGGCAGTAGTGGATTGTCCGGTGGATGGGCAGTATATCCTCCGATTGGCGGCGGGTCTCGAGACGAATGGGAGGATACCAGAGGGGACGGTCAGGCGGTTCAATAGCCTGACCCACGGGACGAAGCCGGAAAAGCCGCTCCCTATCGATCCGGTCGAGGCGGCGGTACTTGGCCTGGGGCTCAGTATGGCGGGCAGTAAGAAGAGCGGGATGAAGATCGGGAACATGATGGTGGACTCGTGGGTGGGGTTGAAGGCGAAAGCGACGGGATCGGGAAAGGGGAAAGAGGAGAAGAAGGGAGGAGGGGAGGTTTTTGGGTTGACGGGCGACGGGTCTAGTGGACAGGCGGGGACAGGGGCGTCGCCGCTCCACGTGGCCGATGCGGACCCGATCGACGCGAGGCCGGTACTGGATTAAGCGAGGGAAGCATTGATGGATGAGATCCGGAAGGGGACGGCGAAGCTAAGCGATGAGTCGCCTTACTCGTCAGCCAGCTCGCGGGAAGTGATCTTCACGCCAAGCGGACCGATCTCGCCTCCTAAAGGTCCAACTCATGGCGCATTGTCGACCGACGGCTCCGCACCCGTTCCGCCTCAGAAGGACGACTCGCCACCCTCCACCTACAGCTCATCTCATGGCCACCGAAAAAAGGCCCAGCTCCCACCATTCCCCGGAAAAGGTCCCATCCCGGACCACCTCAAAGATCACTACGAGCCCCTCGCAACTCCTCCGGCCGACCTATCTTCCTATCCCTACGCCAGCTCCTCATCGACCTCCCTCGCATCGCGTATACGAGGCAACACCCTCCGCGCCAAGAAGGCCGCAGTGGCACTGGCGACCGCGACAGCTACGCCCGCGCCTAGTGCCAATGTACCGAGGGTGGAGCAGTGGGATCTGTGTGCGGACGTCTCCCGGGGAGTGGGAGACCAGCGCTGTGCGTCACAAATTGGATTTGGGGCGCCAGAGATGGCGGATGAGATCAGGAACGCCCAGTACGCGCGGGAAGCCAAGGAGGCGCTGAGGGTACAGGCTGCGATGGCGGCAGCGGAGGAGCAGAAGGGAGAGGGGAGTGGACAGGGGATGAAGAAGGTCTTTGGCCTGTTCAGGCGGTCGAGTAGGTAGATGTGAGATGTGAGTGAGGGTCAGTGGAACAAGAGAGCTAGGCTGATCGACAGGTTTTGAGCGGGTAGATTGCTGCGAGTATCAGTATAGGCCGTAGATGTCAATGTGGGGATCGCTTTCAACGTCAGCTGTATTTAAAGTATATACCATATGAAAATCATACCGTTGTCTTGGGAGCGAGTGTAAGACAGCTGGTGCTTCTCGTGCGGCACAGGTCATGCTGCTCACCTGACCCGGCCGCATCGGCCCGAAGAGGCAATCCTTGGAGCGTGGGGACCCCAGCGTGACGACTATCCGGGGTAACGCTGCGCACGGATCTCGACCCCGCAATCGGAGGGAGGTCCCCATTTTTCCAAGGTCAAGCTGCGAGGTGAGCGTCTACGCATGCATACGGACATAGCATGAGGGGATCAGTCGAGGGGAGCTGTAGTGGAAAAAGGCGCTGCAGTGAGTTGGCGCAGAGAGGGACGCTTGTCTGTCGGATCCGAGGAGCCATGAACCCGTCAGCAGAAGACCGCCGGTGATCAGTCGATCACGAGAGGCCATCATTTTGCCTACCTGCCTTGATCCCGCAGAGTATTTGAGCGGCTTCAACGTTGTTCTCTTCTATTAGTTTAACATCTTGGGATCATCTGCTTCGACTTTGCGAGCGACTCCGAGCTGGAAAGAGTCCGACATACACGGATGTGGCGGATCGCGACGCGCTGAGACGCGAGACGCGCCGGAAGCTGGTAGAAGCGGTGCAAACGTGGTCAGTAAAGTCAAGGGGTGAGTAAAAGTTCGGCCGGTTCGCAGTATACGGGCACAGAGAGAGGATTGCGACTGGGATGGAAGGAGATGAGGGAGTTAAGAGGAAGATGTGGAGATATCGGAGGATTATACTGTGCATGTGCGCTGTGACCCTTTGGATGGAGTGGTTGCTTAGCGTCCTTTGGGTTGAACCTTGTTCTTGGCCCTTGCCTTGCTCCGTTTACGACTACCATCCATCAACATCCCAACTATCTTATCCATCGCGCTCTTCTATACATCTGTCACACATAGCAGCTATACCTTGATGGTCAAGCAGCTCCCACACTATCCTATCCTTACTTCACAGCCAAATTTCTATTCCCATCCCACCCTTCACGAAAGAGTGCGACTCCTTGACGACCTATTCTTGTCTGCTCCCTATCCTGCACGTTCTGTCCTTTCGCGTCTCTCTTGATTCGTCTCCCCTTCAGTCCTGTCCCGTCTGGGATCTGTTCCTGGTCTGCCGAAATACCTCGCTTCACAGTGACCCCTTGCTTGTGAAAAACAGCTGACGATTCAGGTCCATTGTCTCATCTTGCCCATTTGTATTCATCCCATCAACCCCACACTCTATCAAAATAGAAGGATACACTCCTTGCGAGCTTGGTACTTTGCTGGAGAGGTATAGCATCGTGAGTACCCCTTCGTCCGGCCTGCATGCTTGCGATACGAAGAGAAATTTCGACATGCTCGGGATCAAGCTCGGAGGGAGGTCCTGGGGCACACGGCCCCCGTCCTCCTCATTCAAGACCCCTTTCTGCCTAGATCACTCCACAGCACTCGTCCCTCTCCCTTTCTCCTATACTCCACCTGACTGCCTTCCTTTCTGTTTGCTGTTTTCTTCTGTTGGCTAGCATCTATTGCCTCTGTCCACTGCTGACTTGCAGGATTATATTTCGCTCATCAAATTCGCGTTCTCGTCCATTTTCCCTTCGCGTCCATTCCCGAATCACGCGTAGAGCACTCCAGGTACGTCTCTCGACCATTTCAGCAGCTATACAGGAGTAGCTATTGACGCGTCGAGCTGACCAGCAGCCATGGCCGCCGTTCAAGCCCCACCCCTCGCGCACCGGCCCTCAATGGATCGCCCAGGCTCCTTCGAGTCGGCTCGACGGGCCTACGACCGGTCCACCTCTCCCATCTCCCGCCAGTCCTATTCCCCTTCGCCTCTGGGACCCCCTGTTCACTCTCGAACCAACTCGAGCAGCTCCCACGCTTCCCCCTTTCATCAACCCTTCGCGGGCCAATCTTACTTTAATCAACCCGCCTTCACCCAACCCTCCACCATCAACCACTTTGCCTATCCCTCTCACACTCACGCCCAACCACAAGCGCACGCACCATCACCATGGACCGCGACACCGCTGCCTGCGTCGGCATTCTACCCGAACCCCAACTCGACGATGTCTGTACCAGGCGGCGGCGGGGCGGGTTTCACCTATCCGGGACAGGTGTTTCACCAGGGGTTCCAGCAGAGTCAGGCTGATTTTGCGGCGTGGGCACACGCGGCGGCGTATCAACACATGGTGATGGCTAGTGTGCAGCAGCAGCAGCAACAGCAACAGCATCAGCAGCAGCAGGAGTATCTCGCTCCGTTTCCCGGGCAAGGACAAGGGCAGGGACAAGGACAGGGAGATCAAGGATCGGAAGACTCAAGGAGACGGACGACTTCCGGACCGGCCGCGGCGCACCCACAATCACATCCCCCTCCCCTACCGCAACAACAGTATCCACGCCGGTTATCGATGGATGATCGTACCCCTCCCCCGCTCGTCACGCAACAACCTCGGTCGATATCGGACAAGCTCTCTCCCTCGACTTCGGGCGGTTTCCACCCGTACAAGCGCACGCCGGGCCATCGGACGTCCAAGGAGAGTCTGAGGACGGCTCCTCAAGCTCAGGTGATACCTCGCTCGCGGTCCCAGCCGACACTGAGCGGAGGATTCGACCGGACGGCGGTTCTAGCGCGGGAACATCAGCATCAGCGCTCGCCTTCGCTGGACTCGCATATGAGCGAGCAGACGGTACAGGCGGGTCCGAGGCCGTCTATGGCGGAAGAACAGAGGAGGGATTCGTCTAGTACGGAAAGGGGATCCAGGGCGCCGACGCCGCGTGGACAAGCACCATTGGCTGCCCCACCAGCAGCAGTCGCACCCGCCCCAGCCCCGGTCGTCGCTGCTCCGCCCCCGCCCGTCAAGGCTGCCTCTCCGCCTGCACGCGCCCCCACCCCTCTCCAACCTGGTCCTATCGCCGCGGCACAGAACCGCCCATCCCCCGTTGCCCCACCCCACGCCGCCTCGCCCGTCGAAAAGGTCAAATCTGGCGGACTCAAGGGCCGCTTCGCCAAAGTCATGGGTAAAGACAAGGACAAGTCTAAAGGCACTCCGGCGACTGCTCCTTCCCCTACACCCATGGCATCTCCCGCCAAATCCTCCCACGCACCGTATCCTCACACCTCCCCTTCCGAAGCGTCCACACGGTCCGGCACTCCACCGCGCACGCCACCGCAAGACCTCCACCCGCCCTCTGCGCCGTTTGCGATCCATACGCGCGCGATGGACTCTGAGATTTCGTTGGCGGAGACGGGACGGACAGAGCGGGTGGACGATGGTGAGAAGAAGGCGAAGAGGGGATTGTTTAGGATGAAGAATATGAGTACGGATAATATCAGTATGAGCTCGACAGTGAGCTCGGCGAGTATGATGATTAGGAAGATGGGGAGTATTGGAAAGTTGGCCAGGCGGAATTCGTACGTTTATCCTTTTTGCCGTAGATGGGATGGACGGAGCTGACAAATAGGTTGATGGGGATATCCAAGATCTTCAAGGATAAGCCGAAGGACGAGGATGGACCGCTGCCCGAAGTCGAAGGCAAGTTGGAGAAGAAGGAGCGGAAAGAAAAGGAAAAGAAGGAGAAGAAGGAAAAGAAGAATGGCAAGGGAAAAGGCGAGCCGGCGCCTTCGTTTGTCGCTCGCGTGAATGCCGCGCCGGCGCCAGAGGTCTTTGATGAGGATCGGGCACTGGCGGGTTTGTCGCCCGCTGCGAAGCTCGCGCGTCAGCATACGTTGCGGTCCAAGGCGGACGACGAGGCGAAACGGTCGTCCCAAGTCGGGTCTTCGGCCGGCGCCGGCGCCGGCACAGCAGGGACAGGCGAGCCAACATGGGACAAGTCGACCGTTACTCGGCCCGGTCCCGCCTCCTCCTCGTCGGTACAGCACAATACCGGCACCGGCGTCCTCCCCAGCCTTGGCTCCGTCCTTCCCTCGTCGCCCGTCTCCCCCACCACCTCCTCCGGCTCACACGGCACAGCCACCGAAGTCGTACACGTCCAACCCCGCTCTGTATCCTCTGGCACGGTCCACCACGTCCACGCCGTCAATGTCTCGGATGCCGAGTATGATTCGGAAGACGATGAGGATTCGGATGCGTCCGTCTCGGACGCCGGGGACGCTGATGGGGACACGATGGAGGATGTGACGTTCCAGATGGGACGGAGCAAGTTGTCGGACGAGGCGGATTTGGAGTTTAGGAGTATTTGGGGGAGCACGTATATCGACAAGAGGCTCGTGCCAAAGAAGGGGATCTTGAAGAGTGAGTCTGGGGTTCTATCTTGCGGGATTGCGGCTTCTTTCCCGACCTGTCTACCCTCCCTTGTACTTGTTTCCGGCCATTCGGGCAAACCGCTCCGCCCCATTTCCTCCTCATCGCTCCTCTCCCCCTTTCGGTACACTCATTCCCCTTGCGCCCAAGCTGACCCTCAGCCGCCCGATACCCCGAGAATGCGTTCATCGACACGCCGAAATCCTCCCGCCCGCCGTCGTCAGCCTCAGGCTCGGTGCCCTCTCGCCCTCCCGCATTAGGCGAGCACCCGCCCAACGGCTCTTCCCGCGCCCACACCCAACTCGACTTTGACTTTTCGTTTGATACGCCCCCGCCCGCCCTCGATTTGTCGCATCCCAATACCTCGCTCCCGTCCCTCCCTTTCCCCTCGTCCTCCGGTTCTGGCTCTGGCTCTGGCTCTGGACAGGCGGCACGTCAACCGGCCGTAAGGAGCCAGACGGTGCCTGTTCCTCCTCGACGAATCCTGTGGGCTCCGGACTGCGCGGTGTACACTACGTATGACGCGGGGACGTATGATCGGCGGAGCGAGCCGGCGACGTGTAACAAGTTGACGCCGGAGCTGGCTTTGGATATCAAGCGAGAGTGAGTCTGCTTTCTCTTTTCCTTTTCCTTTGCCTTTTCCCTTGAGTGACGAGTGAGGGTAGGGGGTTGTAAGAGGACAAGAACATGAATGGCGGGACTGAGCAGTGATCTGAGCAACGAAGATTTGGAGCTGACTTGTCTGCAGATTGAACGAGTTCAAAGCGGTCATGCCGGTTCATCCTGAATCTGCCATCTATACTCATTTCTTCAAATGGTGAGGTAATTTCTAGGCTGAGAGGCGCATGCCTTGTCGTGAACGAAAAAGGGTAAAAGCTGATATGGACAGATCATACCTTATTGCATCTGCTTATACTACTCTACCCCACGCCCCACGCGCAACGCTTCATGCCCATGCCGACTCTCCTTATCCATAGTTACGACCTACCAGCTCCACCCAGACCCGACTCGACTCGACCCGACCAGCATCTCTTTGACAATTGTGTATGATCAGATTTTCTTTAGCTTGCGTTGGGGTATCAAAGTTTTCTCATCATGTATCTGTTTCTTCTCATCGCTTCCCTGGGTATTGGGCGAATGGTACTGATATGCTGATCTACTGATATGTTTAGTAGAAAGCGGAGATGGGTGCGGCCGAGGAGGGCTAGAGTCGGTAGCACCGAGGGGGCATTTGGGCCGAACATTATCCTTACTTCTGACTTTCTGGGATGGCCAGGCTGCAAGTGTCGAAGCGGTCGGGCGGGATGACGCGTGACGGATGATCTGCTTCCTTGATCTGCCGCTTGGTCTTTCCCGTCTTGTATCGTATTGTCCAGCTGTATAGAGAGATGTCCAGCTCTACTGTCAATTGTAGATACTCGATTTGCGACGTTGCCTCTTCCGAGCAGCGCAGATAAGTAAGGGATCGGTCCGACGAGACGAGCAGGTAGTTGGCAGTGTTTTCATTCTCCTCTTTCATCCTTCAGATTCTGCCTTATATGACCGCTCTATTGCACTTGTCAGCAGCTATTGTGGGGGTGGCGAACCCCTCACCGCCACCCCCGATGTTGCCACTCGGCCCGCAATCAATGCTCCGATCTTCTAGCGATGACGAGAAGTTTACCCGCGGAAGTGGGAACCCCTGAGACAAGCTGTCACCGCTCTCTCGTAAACCTCCAAACCTTACCCTGGACACCGCAAAACTCAATGCAAACACCTAAGCAGGAGCAAAGACTTTGCAGCTTGGCTTCGCACCATACATACATCTTCCTTCCCCCCTCTCCGCACCCACAGAATATACCGTCCAACGAAGAGACGAAGAATCAGCCCAGAAACCAGATTTGATTGAGAAGTGAGTGGTTGGTTTTGCCTTGGGTAGGAGCGAAGATGGGGGCGAGTGGCGATCTGAGATCTCTCTTCGCTGGACTTTTCACCGAGCTCTGGGAGGTGGGGACGGGGTCGAGGTGAGATGAGATATAAGAGAGGGGCAGTAGGGAAGGATAGGAAGACAGGGGGTGATGCTATGAGAAGCAGAGAATGGGCCGATCTGCTCTGGTCGGCTGAGTTGAGTAGCGCTTGGACCCCTCCCGCCCCGTTCTCAGTCATCGGTGGAGGGAAAAGCAGAGGAGACAAGGGGGGCTCGAGGTTGTCAAGACTGAAACATCGCACATGTCTCTCTCTCCCCTTCCTCTCCTTCTTTGCCAAGCGTCCTCACCAGTTATCCGCCTTACCATCTAGACTGTTCTTTTGCTTACGCTCCAGCTCCACCACCTCAACCTCGACCTCCTTTCAACCCCGATTTCCTTTGAACAAAAGCTCCTTGTTCCTTGACCGATCGACAAAGCTCAATCCTCATCCACCCCCCCTCTTTGCGATACACATATCGCCTCGCGACTACACCGAGCCTACACCCTTATCGCCCAGCTCAGCATGGCTTCTTCACTCGCCACTTTGGCGCTCATCCAACTTCTCCCTCTCCTCGCCCTCTTCGCATCCCCCGTCTCTGCAACGCACGATGGCAAGCGCAGCGTCGACAAGCGGCAACAGAATGTCACTCCTCTTACATTTCAGCAGGTCGGAGATATGGGTATCTCTGCTCAGATGGTGAGTCTTTTCGAGCTGTGGCTGCGGCGCTGCGGAAAAAGAGGTCAAGCTGACTGTCAGATGTTCTACGGGACAGGGACCAAGGTGTATGTCCTTGACAAGGTCGAGAACAACCCTGTCACTGTCAATGGAAAGACCGGGACCCACCCCGCCTGGGCCGTGGAGTACGACTATGTGTCCAACACCTACCGCGCTATGGATGTCCAGTCAAATACATTCTGCGCGGGCGGAGGTGTTCTGGGGAACGGGACGTTTGTCGCTTTCGGAGGAAACCAACGTGAGTCTTCAGCACCGTCGTGAGGACGTCGCTGACATCTCAGCGGTAACGACCAACGGTATCGCCGTGTCCAACGCCGGAGCCTACAAGAACACGGACGGCGGAACAGCCATCCGGATGCTCAACCCCTGTACGGACCAAAAATGCAACTGGATCGAGGGGTACACGGACTACACGACCAACGGGAACACGAAGGGGTACCTCCAGATGACATCGCGGCGGTGGTACCCTACCGTCGAGGTGTTGGAGGACGGGACCATGATTGTCATTGGCGGAGACAAGAATGGTGGGTATGTCAACACGGCGGCGCAAGACAACCCAACGTATGAGTTCTTCCCCCCTCGTACGCCCAACGTGGCCATCAACCTCGACTTCCTTTCCGAAACACTCCCTGTCAACCTCTACGCCCTGACATGGCTCCTACCCTCCGGTAAACTCTTCATGCAGGCCAACCGGCGGACAATCCTCTACGACTACAATGAGCAGGAAACGACCGACCTCCCGGACATGCCCTACGCGACGCGCGTGTACCCCGCTTCGGCCGCCACGGCCATGCTCCCCCTCATCCCTGACAACAACTACTCGGCGGGTATCCTCTTCTGCGGGGGGTCCAACCCCCCTCAGTGGGGTAACGACGGGACGGCGGGGTACAATGTCACGGCGGTCCCAGCGGACAGCACGTGTGTGCGCATCTACCCCGACGCGCCCAACCCTACGTACCAAGACGACGACTACATGTTTGAGGGGCGGAGCATGGGACAATTTGTCATGCTCCCGGACGGAACGTTCTGGATGGCCAATGGCGTGGCGATGGGGACAGCGGGGTACGGTGACGACCGGTTCTCGATCGGACAATCGTACGGACAATCCCCACTCTACATGCCGGCCATCTACAACCATACCGCCCCCCTCGGCCAACGGTGGAACCGCACCGGTCTCACCGCGTCGCGGAATGAACGCATGTACCACTCGACCGCCATCCTCCTGCCGGACTCGTCCATCCTCATTTCCGGCTCCAACCCCAACAAGGACTTTACGACCGAGCAGTGGCGCACCCGGACAGACGTCGAGCGGTGGTTCCCCTGGTACTACAACAACCCCCGCCCCCAGTTCGCCTCGGCCCCTTCGACCATCTCGTACGGCGGCCAAGGGTTCGACGTGTCTTTGGGCACTACCGACATGGCCGCGGTCTCGACCGCCAAGGTCGTCATTATCCGTCCCGGGTTCAACACGCACGCGATCGGGTTTGGACAGCGGATGATCCAGCTCAACTCGACGTACACGGTTGATATGCGCAACAATACGGCGACGCTCCATGTGGCGCAGATCCCCAGTGCGGCGGGACCGAGGCTGTTCCAGCCCGGACCGGCCTTGATGTTCTTGGTGGTCCAGGGTGTTCCGTCCGAGGGCAAGGTGAGCCTTTTCCTTTCCCTTTCCTTTTCCTTCTCCAGGGCAACAGCTGACATTCCAGGCGGTCATGATTGGAAACGGCAAGATCGGGACCCAACCCACATCGACAGACGTCGCTCTCCCAGCCAACACCGTCCTCGCTGTCCAGCCCTCGGCCTCCTCGGGCGGCGCATCAGGCACGAACGGTGCCGCCTCGGGATCGTCGTCCCGCGCGGCGGCGGGCAGAGTGGCGGGTGTCACTGCGAGCTGGACACCGGTTGTGGGTGGGGTGGCGGTGTTGGCGGCGGTCATGGCGGGCGGAGCGGGGTTGTTGCTGTAAAACCCGCAGCCTTCTCTTGGGCTCAGCTCGGCAGGCCTCGACTCGACCGGCGACCAGCGACTAGCACATCGGACTCGACGACCCTGATCGTCATGTAGCATATTCACCTTCCCCTCCCTTCCCCTCCTCCTTTTCTATCGTGGACATCAATCCTCGACCCAAACCTAACCCCACCCCATCACCTTCCATCCCGGTCACTCGATCGACCACATCACATACCCATCTCGACCTCTCGACTTCTCGACTGCATCAATTGTTTATAATCAAAAGCCCACCCACCTCGCCTTCGTTCCTATCCCCTATCACCTACCCCGGCCAAAACCGAAAACTCAGAATGAGACTCGGCTAGCAGATAGAGACATACATATACGGACACTCTGACGACTTTAGTTCTAGTAGATTAGGATAAGGACACTTTGCATGCCGGGGCGGAGCGGCGGGGCGGAGAGGAGAGCGAGGACGGAGAGAAAGGGGGAGCGGAGATGAGGGGGAGGGGAGGGGAGGGAAGTTGGTCGTGGACATTATTAGTGCGTGGTAGCTCTGTCGTAACATGCACACACACTGAATAAGTACCTATCGGTTCGTCGGTCTTGTGAAGAAAGGTTATGCTGACGCACTGAGGCTGTCCATGGACCACCTGCAGGATTAGCTGTTGAGAGGAGGGGAGGAATGAGGAACTGTATTTGATCCACCCGCTTTGGACTTGGTCGTTTCCAAGCAGCTGTTTCGGTGCGCCATGCCTGAGCTTTGCACTTCTACCTTATCTTTTTATCGATCACCAAGTCTCGCGAATAACCCCCACACCCTCAGCAGACAGCGCAGCAGCCCTTGGCATCCCCCGACCTTTCTACGCAGCCTCATTAATCCTCTGCTCGCCTACTCCGGCCCGAAAGCCAGACCCAGACCCGCGAAATGTCATACGGTTTCGCCTCCTCTTCCAATAATCCGTACGCCAATGGCAATGGCAATGGCAATGGTCACGCAAACGGGTATAATGGGGATGGGGATATGGACGGCCCCGCCGGTCCTGGCGCTATCGAAGTGCCATTGGGACCGACGAACCAGCCCCGGATGCTGGTGAGGAGTTTGAACCAGCAGGAGGCGGTTTTCCATTTGAGTGGGGTGGAGGGGGGGTTGGCGAATGCGTTGAGGAGGGTTGTTATTGCGGATGTGCCGACTATTGGTTAGTGTTTCTCCTTGGGCGGGGTGGGAGTGGTCTTGGAGAGGGACAGGGGGTAAGATAAGAGATGGGGGGAAGAGGCGAGGAGAGTGGGGGAGGGGGAGGAACGGGATGAGTGTTGAGATCAAGGATGAGGATGAGGGAGCCAGGGCATCAGAAGGAGGTGGAAGGGCAGGTCGGTGGTCCTGGCGCTGGCGCTGAGTCGGCGCAGGGGATTCAACACTTGTCAGATTTTGGATAAGGGGGTGTATTTGGGATAGCGTGGTCCTCTTCCATGAGGCATTAGCTGACACGCCTTAGCGATAGATCAGGTGCTATTCATGCAAAATACCTCGCCTATCCCTGATGAAATGCTGGCGCACCGATTGGGGCTTGTACCGCTTATAAGTCGGAATGCGATCAAGGGGTTGAGGTATACGAGGGTGAGTTTGGCTTCGTTGACTTTGGCCTTGGTACTGGATCGCGAGCACGGAGGATGGGATGCTACTGGCGCTGGAAGGGGCGGCAGCGATGCGGGGGTGGGGTGAGGGCAGACAGGCGGGCAGGCGAAGAGGCGGACAGGTGGAGAGCTGGAGCTGGGAGCGAAAGCAAGGAGCCATGAGGAAAACGTCGTGCTCGCGAGCAACAAGGCTGACCTTCAGGACTGCACATGTGACGAAGGATGTTATTACTGCATGATCCTCCTCCGGCTAAAAGTGTCAAACGTGCAAGGGGAAGGCAACAAGCCTGTCCAAGTGACGACGGCGATGTTGGACGTGATTCCCAGTCCTGGCGGAGTGAGTTTTGAATGTTCTCTTACCTCCTCTGCTTCTGACCATTGCCCTCTCATCCGTCGCCTCAGCAGTCCGACACCTCTGCTTGTGCTTCATAGCTTGATAGCTGAAGAGCGTGACAGGATGTCTCCGTGTGTGGACTTGAGCTCATCCCCAGCCACCCCCTGTAAACCCATACGGCCCCCCACCTGACAATCTCTCGGAAGAGGACGCATACATTGTTGCGAACCGGGATCCGGAGCTCGGACAGCCGATCGGGAAGGGCGATCCGACGATTGCGCCTATATTGCTCGCGAAGCTGGCGAGGGGGCAGGAGATTGAATTGACGTGTAGGGCGTACAAGGTGGGTTCTTGCCTTTGTTTAAGGTACGGGATCATGTGGGGGGTAGTGATTGGGAAGAGAATGGGGGATCTGCAGGTGCAGGAGAAAGAGGATCTGAGAGTTGAGAGTGGAGCGAATGAGGGAAGGAGAGTCTGTCAGGGGGCGAGCTGGGCACTTGTGTCACAAGCAGGAAGGGCTATAAGCTGATACGGCGCAACAGGGAATCGCAAAGTACCACGCTAAATGGTCGCCCGTCTCTGCTGTTGGTTTCGAGTATGACCCATACAACAAGCTGCGGCATACGACCTACTGGTTTGAGAAGAACGGTAAGTCCTTGGCAGCCTTCACTTTTCGCCAGCAGTCTATGTTGTCGCTTGGACTGGACTCGGCTGATCTTTTCAGCGGAAGAAGAATGGCCTATGCCTAAATCCCACGTATTCGAAGAACCCCCCGCCCCCGGTGCGCCATTCGACTATACCGCCGCCCCCACCACCTTCTACTACAATGTCGAAGGCGTCGGGTCCATGCCGGTCCGCCAGGCCATCGAACAGGGGCTCGACATCATTACAGAGCAGCTTGCGGGGGTTATTCTGGCGGTGCAGAAGGAGACGGGTGTGGATGAGGATGAGGAGCCAGAGCCGCAAGGCCAGGGGATGGGACAAGAACAAGGGTTTGTGGAGCCGGACTGGATGATGCAGATGGGAGCACCGGGGATGGGCGGGGGCGGGGTCATGGATGGGTATGGAGGACCACAGCAGGGGCAGGGGCAGGGGTATGGAGCTCAGCCTGGGTGGGGTGGAGGGGGTGGAGGGATGGGCATGAGCCCGTTGAGAAGGTAAAGTACCGTAGGTAGTACCTGAGGATGTTCCTTTGGGTGTGCATTGAGCTTATCCTTTCATATCTGACCTCCTCGTTGTTTACCACCTGACTCAGGGGTCTGACCGATAGCGCCACTGACCCAATTCTGATTTCCCGTAGCTGAGTTTGCGATCACTTGCAGACTAGACCGGAAGATCACGACTTACTCACAAGAATGCCAAAGCCCGCAAGGCCCGAGAAGACCCTAGAGACCCGGCTGAAGGAAGCGATCAATGCGTTTGAAGATGCCGATGCGCGCGGATCGAGCGGGGCGGACAAGTACGAGATTGAGGTGCAGGAGTTGAAGCGGCAGGTCGCCAAGGAGAAGAAGGAGTATAAGCCTCCGCAGCATCCTGCGTGAGTTGGACATGTAACCACAGTTCACACCTTCCTGTCAGAGGAGTGAGCGCCAGCAGGAAGAGCTGATCTGGCAGGCTACAATTCGGCCCACTATCGATGACTGTCGCAAGCATGGCGATCATCTCGCTCGGCCTTAGTATCCTGGACCTACCGAGGGACATGAAGGCGTTCTTTATCCTCTTCAGCCGGATCACTATCGTCGCTGTCGTGTGAGTCTTTTGCTCCCTACTTCCTCCTCGTTCTGCGCGCGCGGTGAAAGTCGGAGATAGAGAATTGGGGCTGATCCGACAGGTGCCTGGTCTCGTATACCGCCGTGATATGGTATGGGTACAACGAGGCCCTCAAAAAGATGCCCGTCCCGGAGAGCGAAGCAGCCATCAAGTTGGCCAAGCTGCTCAAGAGCAAGCCGGACCGGCCGGACGCGTGGGTAAGTGAGAGTCTGCCACTTGTCCAGCTCTATGATCGCTTACCTCCAAGGCTCACACCCGCTCCCATCCCTCGGCATTCCTTACTACGCGCATGGCCCCACCGCGCCTCTTTCCTTTCCCGATGGGCAAGACAAGGCCAGAAGCGAGTGTCAAGGATGAGCTCTGGTGGGAGGGTGGTAACGCGCCGCACGTCGTAAGTATTCAATCGATCCCGCCTCCGATATCCGCTCGTCATCGACTTGGTAGTCCCGGAGCTGACATCCTCAGGGCCACTTCAACAAGCCCAAACTCCCTCAGCCTCCCGGACCGCCCGACGAAGAAATGCTCATCGCGCGCGTCAAGCAGGGGATGGAGATTGATAAACAGCGGGATTTGTGGAAGAGGCGGATAAGGGAGGTACAGTATCTCAGCTGTGTAGTCGTCACGTACTTCAGTGAGTCTATCCCGTCACACCCTCTACAACCGGACCATGCGGTTCGAGCTCAAGACCGGTGGGAAGGGCATACGCTGAAGCTGCGTTCTAGTCAGTAACAGAATCGCCATCCTCGCTCTTTGCTATCTCATCTACTCGACACTCGCGCGGGAACTCGAGAATATGCTGAGGCCGCCAACGAGCATGGACGAGGTGTATCACTTGATTGACTCGATGAGCGCCGCTTCGGCGAGGATGCAGGTATGTCTATATACTCACACTACCACACCTGGATTTAATCTCCACCACCCATACCCCATCCTCATCTGCTGTACTCACCTCTCACACCCCTCGCCTTTGATGTGCGTGGCAACCGCTGACAACGACCAGTCCGCGCCCAAGGGCGACCTCAAGAAGCGCAAACCCGGAGGCGGCATGACCTACATATACGACCCCTCGACAGCGGACCAGAGCGGCCTCGAGCCCAGTGCGAATATCCCAGTCGTCCAAGTCCCGGCGCACGTCTTGATGACTTCGGAGAATAGCTGGTATGCCGGTCCTGGCGATCCCATCAAGAAGGACTAAGGTACCCATCTCACCTCCGCGGCAGACACGGTCGATGCTTGAGAGTCTGTCTTCGATTTAGTCGTTACTGAGTGAGCTGCGAAAGATGTCTATGCAGTATATATGTATCCGCTGAGGCGATTGCGCTGCGTCCCGTGGAATCCGACAGGTGTTCCTCCAGATAGTACTCCTGAACGGTATCTCATGTCAGGCGGCACAAGCTAGTTATGTCCCCCGTCCTCTCATCGCCCACCCTCGACATCCCATGACCCATGCCCGACACCCCACCCGCCTCGTTGGCGACACACTGGACAAGACCGGTCCGTCTCGCCGTCTCCACGCGCGATCTCCTCCAATCTGACCACCCCTGCGTGCCCGCCGGCAACCTACTGCCAGATGTTTGCAAACGGATCATCCTTCTTGATAGCGGCTCCCAGTCCCGCCATACCCCCCATCTGTACTCCCGCCGTCGTCACAGCCGGCTGTACTGTCCCGGACGAACCCCATGGATCCATCCCTCCACCCTGAGAGCTGCCCCATGGGTCCACCGACTGATTCTGCTGTGCCCGACCCGCACCCCCTCCTGATTGGGCCTGGGACTGGACTGGCGCACCGCCCGAGAACCCTCCCCACGCATTCTGATCCTCCGTCCCTGCTCCTCCAGCACCGCCCCAAAGATTGGACGATGTCGCCTGCGCGTGCTGCTGGGGAGTCTGAGGCGGGGCAGAGCTCGTGATTCCTCCTCCCCAGGAAGCGAACTGATTTTGACCCTGCGAGACCGCGGGCGGAGGGGAGAAGAATGAGCCTGAACCCCCGCCAGAGGTAGGAGCGGCAGAAGAGGATGAGGACGAGTAGAGCGAAAGGATATCGGCCTTGGCCGTTTGGGGTCTGGAGGATTGAGGAGTAGGCGCCCGGAAGTCTAGGTCGAACAGGTTACTGGGTGTCTGAGTGGGGGCGGTAGTGGGGGTAGGGGTGGGCCCTGGAGCAGCGGCGCCGGTAGTAGCTTGGGCGGAGGGACGGGCTGTAGACCGGGTTGGTGCGGCGGTAGGAGCCGGGGCGGAGAAGGAGTCGTCCCCGCCAAAAAGATCCAGCATGGGTGCGGGAGTCGGCGCAGGAGCAGCGGCAGCTGGGGAGGCACGTGCTGCTGTTGTCCGGGACAGGAGAGGGTGGGCTTTCGATAGCGAGGCGGGAGCGGGAGGTGGAGCGGATGTGATCGGTGTCGGAGTGGGTTGAAAGGCGGATGTCTGATATGTCAGTTGAGGTCGCTTCCAGCCTACGAATCCCTACAGTAGGACCGTGAACTCACGCCTCCGCCCTCTTCTAGGACTCTTGGATCGGAAGGCGGCGGACCTTCCATCGCCCATCGCTTGGACTCGTACTTGGACCGAATGAATGATTCGATCTTGCTGATACGGATCAGCTTCTGTGCTACTTTGCGGGTTTACACGCTTACTGGTCTGGGGGGACGTGTCCCGCTTTCAGATGTCGCTCCCAGTATAGGTTGGCGCGTTTGTTACCCCATTTTTGTATTGTCTAGACTGGGTCAGCTCTGGCATCACATCGATGGCTCATGGTAGACAGGATAGCTCACCTCCATCTGCTCTGGAGTCCAGATGTCGAGATCTATGCTTTTGACTAGAGGGTGAGCAGTCTCTTCCTGCTGCTTCTTGGAGGCACGAGCGGGAGATAGAGAAGCACGAGAGAATAACCAGGCGCGCCCCGCCAACAAGAAGGGTGCGAAGACGGTCCCGGCCCTGTCTGGCCGTATCTGGACCCACACGCGAAAGAGCAGACCTACCCTTGCTGATGTGCGTGCCCATAGAGCGATGTATCCCGGAACAGCGGATGCAGACATACACTCCCCTGATCACATCAGCTTCGGCAGGCCCAACAAGAGCGGGTGGCAAGCTGACAAGTTCCATGAAGCCCATCGAGCGTCTGCTCCGTCAGCTTCGTGCTCCCTTTTCCTGTTCAAGACGATCAAAAGCTGACCATTCTTCCTGCAGTCTGCGCAAGACTTGTTGTCTGGCTGTTTGACGAGCTCGCGCAGCGTCCGGGCGTTCCGGTCTGTTGTTGCTTTGTCTGAAGTGTCAGCTAAGCTAGCGACGGTCGATGGCCGCTTCTGGAAGCTCACCCTGTCTTGACATGTCTGCTGGTGTTGCCTGCTTTACTATCTATAGGTGATGTAGGGAGTCATGATGATCGTCCGCGTCAGAGCGAGCGTTGGCAGCAGGCTAGGGGGAGGAATGCTGGAGCGCCACACCCGGGATCAAATTCGCCTCGTCACGCACGGACCAGCGGGGAGCCCCTTGATCTCCGCCGACATGACGTAATAGCCTGCCCGGGCCAAACAAGCTTCTCCACGCGTATGCTTTTGCTTTTGCCTCTCATCCTCTCATATCATCAGCCACCATGGCACCTACACCCAAGGTCCCGCCGCAGACAGCTCCGGCAACACGAGCAACTCGCTCGAGAGCAGCTACGAGAGAGACAATCTCCACGCCTGTCGGATCAGGCAAGCCAGGGGGATTACTCGCGAGGGGTAAAGAAGGGTTGAGGAAGGTGTCGGATAAGATCAAGGAGAAGGAGAAGGTGGAGGTCAAGAAGAGGAATACGGTGGTACCATCAGACTTGGATTCAACAGAATCACTAAAGGTCAGCTGCAGCTTGTAGATCAGTCGAGGCCAAGCTGACGATCAGGCGTTCCTCCGTATCCGCCCTCCTCCGGAGGTAGCCAACGAAATCCGACAACGGCCGTATCTGGAGCTTCAGAATGATCGAGAGGTGCTCATGCGGGCTCCCATGGTACGTCTCTCTCATCGATGATTGCCTTTCCTCGCTGACGATCAGGATCCGACCCGCCCAACTATCCCCAAAGCCCCACTCATCTTCTCTTTCGACCGCGTCTTTCCCCCTTCATCCCCCCAATCGACCTTCTTCAGCCAAACGACCCTTCCCCTCGTTGACAAACTTCTACATGGAGAGAACGGCCTGCTATTCGCATATGGAGTAACCAACTCTGGGAAGTCATACACCATCTCAGGGGGTCAAGGAGCCGGGGTGGAGGAGAAGGGGGTATTGCCGAGGGCGGTGGACGTCGTGTTCAATTCGATTGAGGGTATGGAAAGCAAGGCCAACGTACGTTCAGCTATCACGTATATGACGCGCCGATATGCATCACAGCTGAACCCCTAGATCCGATGTATCGGTACGGGCGACATCGAATTCGCGAAAGACGTAGACCCGCCTATCTCTCCCGTCTATACCTCCCAATCAACCTCGGAGCAAATCAAGGTGGACAGGAACTATTCTTACGCCGTATTCATCTCCTACGCTGAGGTATACAATGACAAGGTCAGCTATAATGAATGCTCCTCGATTTCCCAGGGGCGTCAAAGCTGACCCCCCTAGATCTTTGACCTCCTCGACTCCGCCCTTCCCCCAACACTCACGCAGTCCCGCCGACCCTCGACGACCGGTCGTTCGTCGTCTCAAGCCCAGAGCTCTATGAACCTCGCAGCGATAGCGAATGGCGGCGGCGGCATCCTCAAACGGCGGGTACTTCAGCTCAAACCTGATCCTGAGGGGAATGGGAAGTGTATTTCGGGGCTCAACGAGATCCGGGTCAGAACTCGTGGTGTAAGTCTCTTCCCTCTTCTGCGCTCGCCTTCTAAGACTGAGCTGACATGGCAGGAAGCAATGTCCATCTTCCAATCAGGCGAACAAGCCCGTCAAGTATTCTCGACCCTCTCCAACCGAGAGTCTTCTCGGTCACACGGTATTTTCACCCTCAAGGTTGTACGAATACACAATGGCGCGCCGAACGATCCCGACTCGGCCCAGGTGTCCAGATTGGCGATTGTCGATCTGGCGGGGAGTGAGCGGAACAAGAATACAGGGACGACTGGAGAGAGGCTGAAGGAGGCTGGGAATATCAACAAGAGCTTGATGGTGAGTCGTCATGTGTGAACTACTCAGCTGGGAGACTGCGATTCCAAATGGAATGGGCTGACTTCATAGGTGTTGGGGCAATGCCTGGAGACTCTGAGAGCGAACCAGCAGAAAACGGCACAGGGGGCGAAAAAGCTCGCTATGGTGCCGTTTAGGCATAGCAAGTTGACGGAGATATTCCAGAATTTCTTTGTGGGGGATGGTAGAGCTGTGAGTCCCGTCCCCTACTTCACCTCTCTCCGCGTAAAGCGACCTAATAGCTGATACAACGCAGGTAATGATCGTCAATGTCAACCCCTACGATACAGGCTTTGACGAAAACTCGCACGTCATGCGATTCTCGGCCGTCGCGAGGGAAGTCCAAACGACTGCCTCCAACAAAGTCAGCGTCTCGTTCCCCGGCTTCGGGCTCAAGCGGCAAATTTCGAGTCAGCTCTCGGCGTTCAAGATGGCGGTCAGCGGCGGGAGCAGTGGGGGAATGCAGAGGGGGAAAGTCAGGGTGTCTGTGCCGGTCTTGGCTTCGGCTTCGGCTGGAGCTGGGGCTGGTGCTCCGGGATCGACTCTGGGCTCGTGCTTCGGATCTGGGGCGGGGCTTGGAGCTCGTAGTGCGGGAGGGGTGGGAAGTACGCTTGGAGCCGGACCGAGCGGGCATCATGAGAGCGGAGTAGGCGGGGGGAGGGAGAGCGAGAGTTTCGTCATGGTTGAAGAGGAGTTGGAGGTTGTGGAGGAGCCAGACTCGGATACGGAGGAGGAGGATGATGAGACGGACGTGTTGGTGGATAGTCTGTTTGAGCAATTGAGGGAGATGAAGACTAGGGTGAGTACGGGCTGTGCTTCCCTTTTGGTTTCAGCGGACGTGATGAAGGACGGATCTGACCGATATAGCTGTATGAAGCAGAGATGCGCAATGCCACGATGGAAGCGGAGATTCGGGATGAGATGACCAATACCCATCTGGCGAGTATAGCCACTTTGCAGGCGGATCATCGAGAGCAGATGCGGAGAGTTGTGAGTAGATGCCTCCAACCGCGTCGGAGCCTCTCCTCCCTGATGTTGTCTGGTTCTCAGGCTGATATGCTAGCACGAGGAGAACGAGATCCGAGCCGACAAGAAGATCGATATCGCTATCGGAATGACACCCGGCCGCCCATCCCGTCTCTATACCAGCAACGATACGCCTTCATCCGACGGAACCGGCGGTGGAGACACCTCGATGTCCATGTCGATGGGCGATGAGAGCTTTGCCTCTGCTCTTGACATTGTTTCCCCAGCTCCAGCGGGAAACCTGCCTGTCAATGCTGCCAAGCGGGCACGAGTATCGGATCCGTTCGTCGTCCGGTCCGCCACTACTCATGGCGCGGCCTCCGCGTTCGCTTCCGCTTCCGCTGCCGGCTTTCCAGGTCATCATGGCGCACCGGTGCCTGGGTTCAAGCTTACGAGGAGCTCGGATCAGATGGGATCGAGAGAGATGGAGATGGTGGAGGTCGATGATGAGTTGGCGTTGAGCGATGATGGCACGGAGACGGAGTTGGATGTGTCGCAAGATCTGGGCAGGGAGATAGCGGATGAGGTAAGCTGTCTCCATTCGCAGCTTGGCGAGTGGGGAGCAGAGCTTATACCCCAGAAATCACCCGTCCAGACCGCTCTCCCCGGTCGACCTGCTACCTCGGCGCTTATCGATCCTCTTCCCAAATCTTCGACATCCCGCTCCAAGCGCGCGTCGACTGTGGAGAGCGAGGACATTCTCGGTCGGTCCTTCGATACCTCGCACATCTCCGCCGTCTCTGCCGATGCCCAATCGGACTCTGATCTTTCGGAAGCCGACCCGTCGGAGGAGGAGGAAGAAGAGGAAGAGATTGAGACGATAGAGGGTGAGGAGGATATCGATACCGGCGACCAAGCGGACCAAGACTCCTCCTTTGCGTCAAGTATCGACATACACGCCGACGGGGACAGCACGGCGTCCAGCTTTGAAGTCCCGTCTTCCGACGACGACGAGGAGGATGAAGAGGAGGATATTAAGCCTGTCAGGCGGGCGAGTCGAGCGAGGAGAACGACGGGGAGTCCGAGGAAGAGGAGTCCGGCCAAGAAGGTCGCCGCCGCCGCCGCCGCCGCGCCTTCCACTCCAGCAGGGAAGAAGGGCCCAGCGGTTGGCAAGAAGGCGAGTCCCGCTGCGAAGGGAACTGGAAGGGGAAAGAAGAGTCTAGCAAAGGAGGAGGTGGAGCTCGCTACGCCAGGTAGCGTTCTGAGCGAGCGGGCAGGGCAGAACGGGGATGAGGATGGGGAAGATCAGGAGAGTGAGGACGATGTGATGGTCACTAAGCCGAAGAAGAAGAGGTCGGTCCAGTCGTATCCTCAGGGGCTGTGAAGGCGGCATGTGCTGATGTTATAGGACACTGGGGAAGAAGGTGTTTATGGAGGACGATATGATCAATTCGCCCACTGTCGGTGCGGAGGTCCGGCGGATGATGAAGTAGAGAGCTGGATCAGCAGGCTTGTGTATAGGTGGAATCCCGGGATATCTGTGTTGTGCATTATGGACTCTGGATCTATGTACTCGCTCTGAATAGGCAGTCTTCGCAGCAGCCTTACTGCTCTACCTGCTGGTGCATATACTCCATGGGCAGGGAAAGGTCACAGGCATGCCTTGGCACCAGAAGCTGTGGGGCCCCACACAGAGCACCGCTCCAGGCCTACTGCAGCGCAAGTTTCTATCGCGCAGCGTATAGTCAGTCCATGTACTTGCCTTTGATTGCAGCTATAGCTATATCAAAGAGCTGTCAGTGAGCCTCAGGTAGCACCGAGAAGACCTGATCATCATGGCGGAGACGAAAGCTGCTCCGGCGCCGGCAGCATCGAAGCAGAGGAGCAAGAACGACGTCTCTGGCAAGGTATGCGTATTTCCTTTGCTCAGGCCTCAGGCGCTCAAGGGGAGGCTCCTTGACACACGTTCACTGCAAGTCTGGAGCTGTAACTGATGCTGGATCGGACGTACCTCTCTATTCGTGAGCTGAGCGCTGACTCGCAGGCTGCAAGTCCAGTCGCTCTCCGAAGCAACATCAATACCATCTTGTACCTCCTCGGCTCGCTCGGTCTCGGTCTCGCCATCCTGGGGTACCGATACTATCCTTCTTCGGTGAGACCTCTTACCCGAAAGTCGCTCCTCCTCAAGATGCTAATGACCAGACCTCGAAATCCGCTTTATCTATAGATCGTACAGCCTCTCTCCCGGATTATAACCCCAAACTCACCAAATTCGGCGCCTTTGAACCGCCAGCGACGTTCCACCCCCCTCTGTTCGCCGACGCAGACCGCCGAGATGCCATCCTCGAAGCTACGAAACACTCTTGGGAGGCCTACTCGAAGTACGCATGGGGATCGGACGAGTTTCACCCGATCTCCAAGACGGGAAGCAATCTCACCAAGGCGGGTGGGGTGGGATACCAGATTGTGGATGCGCTGGATACGTTGCTTGTTATGGGCATGGAGGGGGAGTATCACAGGGCCGCTGAATGGGTGAGGAGGGAGCTGGAATGGGAGAAGGATGCGGAATTTAGTACCTTTGAGGTGAGTCTGGGGTGCGGATATCATGTCAGTCGCAGCGGGATTTGATACATCGTCAAGAGCATGATGGAGGATTGAGGAACAGAAGAATATAGGTTCAGAGAGGGCAGAAAGGGAGGTGAGGCGAAGAGAGGCTTCGATACCAGTACAGGGAGGAGAGCGGAAAGGAAAAGAGGATAATCAATGAAGAGATGGAGAGCAGACGGCGGGGTCCACCAGCCAGTAGTTGTGCTATAGGAGTGGCGTTGGGACGGGTGCTGTGATACTCAGAAACATGAGCGACAGCTGATCGTCCCAGACCACCATCCGTCTCCTCGGCGGTCTTCTATCGGCTCACCACCTCACCTCCATCCACTCCAATCCCTCGATCGCAGCCGATAGCGCCATGTACCTCGACAAGGCCGTCGACCTCGCCGACCGCCTACTCGCGGCTTTCGATACACCTTCTGGGATTCCGTACTCGAGCGTCAACCTTGCTCAGCGAAAAGGGATCCCGGATGCCGGGAATCAAGGGATGATGTCGACAGCGGAAGCAAGCAGCGTGCAGCTCGAGATGAAATACCTGAGTCACCTGATGGGAGACTATGTGTACTGGCGTGCAGCTGAGAAGGTGGGTCCAGACCAGTACATCCGCAGGAAGAGGAACGAAAGCTGACGACTCAGGTAATGAAGATCATTCAGTCCCAAGCAGCTCTTGACGGCATCGTACCAATCTTCATCAGGTGAGGTTCCGGGACGCTGAGATGAGATAAACTCCGCGGCAAACCATACAGCTGACCGCCTCAGCCCGCAGAATGGTCAATTCGTCGCTTCTGAGATCCGCCTGGGATCACGCGGTGACTCATACTACGAGTACCTCCTCAAGCAATGGCTCCAGACCAACAGGCAAGAGACTGTCTACAAGGACGTAAGTTCCGTCACTGGCTTTGGCTTGAGGGCGGAGTTGTTCTAGACAGTAGCTGATCAGGCGTAGATGTACGAGTCGGCCATGAGGGGTATCAAGACGCATCTGGTCGGACGGACAAGTCGGTCCGGGTTCATATTTACGCAAGAGCTCGTTCCTGCCAGACATCCAGAGACCAACGACAAGTGAGTGGTCGAGCCTCTACAATATCAGATCCGCCTTGTGCGCCATCGCTCAACCGGTCCGAGACACTTCTCCCCGCGCGTAGATGTACCCTCATTTCCATACATCAGAATCAAGCAGCAAGCGAAAGAAGATTAAGCTGATTTCGCAGTACGTGGCAAATCTCGCCCAAGCAAGACCATCTCGTCTGCTTCCTCGGCGGCTCGCTCATCCTCGGCGTGACCGAGGGTCAAACGGCCGAGTCCGGCGGAAGAACGTTCGAGAAGGCCGAGAGGGAGGATATGGCACTCGGCGGGGCGATCATCGATACCTGCTTGGAAACTTACAACACCCCAACGTAAGTCATCTTTTCTAAGTCTGACGGAGACCCGCGAGACCCACGCTTACACGATCAGAGGTCTCGGGCCGGAGATTGCGATGTTCAGGCTGTATACCGAGCCTCAGGCGGATGAGGAGGATTGGTACATCAAGCCTAGCAAGTAAGCGTACCACCCTATCCAGATATCCTTAATTCATCTTCGCTGATCATCAGCGGCGGTGTGCTCATCGACGGCCGCAATATCCTTCGACCCGAAACCGTCGAATCCCTCTTCCTCGCCTATCGCGCCACCGGAGACGACAAGTACCGTGACGCCGGATGGAAGATCTTTGAGGCATTCCAGGAGCACTGTCGGATACCGTCTGGAGGCTACGTGGGGATTGAGGATGTACGGGACGTACCGCCGAGGTTGTTGGATGGGATGGAGACATTCTGGATCGGCGAAACGCTCAGTCAGTACTGCTTCTGCTTTCCCGGGGAGGATTGCCGACGCTGACATCTATAGAATACCTTTACCTCCTGTTTGATGATTCTACCAACATCCCCCTCGACAAGTACATCTTCAATACCGAGGCGCACATCCTGCCGATCTTCCAGCCGACGCATCTCACGAACTTCGCCACGAGCTGATGGGACCTGTAGCTTACCTTCCGGTTATGCGCATGAATATGCTATCTTGGCTCCAAAGATTCGAAGTCTCCTCTGCTCCACATCGGACCATGTCATGAAGTGCTGTGCTTTGGCTGTGAGATCAGAGACCCCCAAGTCTCGGCGATGTCTGGAGGTATCTCGAATGACTGAGCCTCCAACAAGCCCGGTCTAGTTACCCATGTCCACATTTTCTCCGCTCCACAGGTTTCTACTACTCTACTACAACACAACTCCACGACGATAAAAACAAGCTTTGCAGATCCTGTAGACTCTTTGCGACGGATGTATGTATGTTATATGCGATTGCGCTAGCCTGTCCTTGGACCTTGCGCTGACATGCACCCACAACTGACATGGCGGGATGTTTCAGGATGTTTCAGATCGTTTCAGATGCCGGACTCTTTTTGGGATGACGTAACCGCCGATCGACTTTGTGGTCATGCAATCAGCAAATGCACATCCATGGCGCGCAGACTGCATTTCAATCCTTTGTCTTATCTTCTCTGTTGTCCCAGGGCCTCAATCCCGGTATGAGGAGCGACGCTTTCGCGAGTGAGTGTGCTGTCATCCACAATGATGGGAAGATAAGCTGATGTCTTTTTCCAGTTGGCGATCTTCCGGTCGGAGCTGCTGCATCCGCTCGTCCGATCTTCGATAGTCAAGAGCTCGAGTCTACCCCGATCGGTACTATCATCGCACCTCTGGGCGATTATGTTCTGGTATGGGACGAAGTGAGTAGTCATCCATCCCTTATGTGGCCCAGAGGAACGGGAGCTTTCACAGTTTCGGGGCTTGGCAGCACGATCTAGGAGACACCATGAGCGATTCCCATTGGATCGGCTACGATCTTCCTCTCCACCGTCATGACTGGGGTAGAAGGGGAACCAATGACTTTATTGATCGCCATACGGAGCTTCGCTGAATAGCAGGACTGCTTGCCGCCGTCAAAGCTGGAGCCGTGAGTACACGACAGAAGTCGAATCCATTGAGAGAAAGCTGACATGTGTAGTTGGCGACATATGGCCGATCCCCTTGCTGACGATGTTGTCCGCACACTTGGCCTCAAAGCAGGACAAGATGGACTTCAGCGGATCCTAGAGCACCTAAAGCTTCCGGAGTCGGAGCAGTCGGAAAGCATCAAAGAGTTCTGGGCGCAGGTGAGCTGCTGGCTTTAGGCGATCGTAGTCGTAGCTGGTGGCTGATAAACTCAGATAGCTCGCGACCCCCCTCCAGGAGTGTCCGCAGTTCCTTCCCACGACAAAACATACACTCCTCGCTCCACCCTCGCCACACCCAACTATACACCTCCGCCAACTCTCGCAGAAGGTCAAGCGATCTTCTGGCGATACTCGGTCCAGATCTTCTCGGCGTTACTGCATTTCAGTCTGGCGGGCGGGTTCTCGGCCAACAGGGTCATGAATGTCCTGCGGGAGACGAGCTACTTGACTGGCGAGTCGAGAGATCGGACGTATAAGCGATTATTGGAGACCACGCAGGCGATTATGGACTACATGGTGAGTAGCTAACTCTGGCACAAATACAGCAAGGACCGCGTCGTAGCTGATCTATCAGAACGACATGACGCCTGTGACGGGGACGGGCTGGATGTCGGCCATTCGGGTCAGGCTGCTACACGCCTCGGTCCGAGTCAGGATTGCGGCGGGGATGGGGATGAAGAAGGTGTATGATGATAAGGTAGACGGGATCCCGATCAACCAGGAGTGAGCTAGGTGTCCACTTCAGTTGATGAAACTGTATCGCTCATACTGCAGGGATATGCTTGCTACTCTTGGCTCTTTCGCTATCGCTCCGCTCTGGTCACTGCGGCGCATGGGGTTCAAGCTTTCGTCTGAGGAAGAGGCAGCTTACGTAGCCACCTGGAGACATATCGGGTGAGCTTACTGCCTCATCAGGTCGCCCGACATGGCTGACAAGCAGGTACTACCTCGGCATCCCATCTGACAAGCTCGCACAGCACTACTCTACCGTCCAACGCGCCGAAAAGCTCTTTGTCAGCAATACCATGCACCTCTTTAACCTCGACTACATCACCGACGACTACCGCTCCACTCACACCTACCGCCTCCTCGCGTCCGTCTCGAACCGCCCGCCCCGGTACAATAAGGTCGAGTCCTCCCTTGCCATGTCCCGCTTCCTCCTAGGCGATGGGCTCGCCGACCGGCTTGCACTCCCGCCCACGCCTAGGTTGTCCGCCATCAAGATGCACGCCGGCTTTTGGGCCGAGCGAGGGATGAAGGCGTTCGGCCGTGCGTATAGGGTCGGATGGGAGGTGAAGCGAATCGAAATGACGCGGATGCTGGTATTGATGATTGTGTGCTGGCAGCTTGGGGACAGGCGGACCAAGTTTACCATCAAGGAGTTTGCGGAGGAGCTGGACAAGCTGGATATACCCCGGGAGAAGGGGGAGGTGAAGGAACAGAAGGAGGTCAACCCGGATGATGATGAGTTGGATCCGGAAGTGAGGATGGGGCCGGAGGCGGGCAAGGCGATCGTAAAGAGGTGGAAGTGGCTCTTGATTGAGATGGGGGCGGTAGTTGGCGGGGTAGGCTTAGGGCTGGCGGGTGTAGGGTATTTTGCGGTCAGGCGGTATCTTCTGTAGCCCTATAGACTTTTGTTGTTGCTATTTGCATGTTGATCAACCCTGACAATACTGCACCAAACATACTTGCCTCCCACTTCTTCGATGTCACATCGCTATACCACTGCTACCTGAATGCTCCCATCCCCTCACATACCCTCTTCTTTTCGCATCGACTCTCCAAGGGTGACATATTCCGCCAAACACTCGGGATTCCGCAGTGTCGCCGGGTTGATAGAGGATACCGGGGCGCCGTTGATGACCTATGACCACCATCAGCTCAACGTCTCGGCCACAAAGGGACCGGATGCGCTGCACTCACCTTTCTGATGGGAATCTCGACACGCTTGCCAGTGAGCGTGACCGGGATATCGCTGACTTTGAGGATCTATCTCGTCAGCTGATGCGTCCTTTCGCCAGACCGCAGCTCACCTTGCCCGGTACGTGCCTCGCACTTCGAGCTAGCCGGATAGACGTCTTGATCTTCTTGATCAGCCCTTCATCGAGCTCCTTGTCGCTTCCCATCTGCACCGTAAGCTATACCATCCGCCGCCTGCGCTCTGGTGTTGGGCCTGGACGTACCTTGACAAAAAGTATGACCTTCTCATCCGCCCCGCCGTCAACCATAAGCCCCACGACCAACGTCTCCTCCACTCCAAGCGCGACAAATTCAGGCGTCTCGAGCACCGAGTAGATGTCGGTGGGTCCGAAGCGGATTCCACCGGGATTGAGAACCCCATCGGAGCGACCGAGCATGATGAGTCCACCGGCATTGTTAGAGCGGGATGGGGTGATCTTGACACTGAGGATTAGCTCGGCTCAAATTGCGTGCGGTAAGAAGGTCAAAGAGCTCACAAGTCACCGTGATCTGCACCATCAGCTTAGTCTTACCTCACCGACCACACAGATGAGCCAGGAAGACTCACACCATACACCCTGATCATCCTTGAAGTAGCTCTCTCTGAACCTCCCTTCCGCTTTCGCCACCTCGGCCTCATCGTGCCCATGTCCCCTCAGCGGCCAGAACCCGACTGGCTGAATAGGGAATGCCTCCCTGCATACCAGCTCTCCCGGAGGTTTCCCATCTGCCCCAGTCGCCGAAGCCGCATCGCCGTCGGTATCGTTGTCACTGATGGTGTCGAGGGCAAAGCCGAGCATGCGGGACTGGATCTCGCCTCGGTACACCGGAAGAGAGGTATTGCGGCCTGCAAAGACGGAGCAGATGTCAGAGCCGCCTATTTGTCAGCTCGTACACCGACTAGAGACGATGATGACACATACCAGTAACAGACCCTAGCAAGACATCACTCTTCACGTTCTCATACACGAAGTCAAACAACACAGGCGGCAGCGGGCTCCCCGTGCTGAGTATCTGCCGCAAAGTCTTGAGGTCGTGATTCCCCTTGACGTCCGTATGGACCTTGCTGATCTGCTCGAGGTACTTGGCGCTGGTCCCGAAGATAGTGATACCGAGCTCGTCGACCAGGTTCCAGAGTAAGGCGGGACGCTTCAAAGGCGAGCCTTCGAAGAGGACGATACGGGCGCCGGTGGCTAGACCGGAAACGAGGTATTGGAACATCATCCAGCCGCTGAGACGTCAGCAACGGTACTGAACAGACACTAAGGATGAGAGAGCGCACGGTGTGGTATAGTAGAAGTAGACGTCGTGCTTGCCCATATCCCCGGCGAGAACGTGTTCTCTCAGCGAGTCGATCAACATCCCGCCTTGACGATGGACGATCGCTTTTGGCTTGCCTTATATATGAGCTCATTGTCTGCCATATAGACCCAAAGTTGCAGAGCACAGGACTCACCGGTCGTCCCGCTCGAGAAGAGGATCCAGATCGGCTCATTGAACCCCATCCTCTTGAATTCGACCTCCCCTTCCCCTCCGCTCTCCATATACTCCTCCCAGCCTCTCACTTTACCGTCTAGTCCATCTGGTATGGGAACGAACTTCGATGGTAGGTGATCAACGATAATCGTCTGCACGGGCGGGGAGTCCAGGCTCGACAGCAAAGGAGGAAGGAGCTGTAATAGCGGCCGGACCGTTTCGGCATAGACGACCCCGTTGGTGACGAAAAGCAGCTTCGGGCGGATCTGCGAAAGCCGCTCATGGACTCCATCAACGCCAAAGTCGGCTGCGGCGGAGGAGAAGATGGCGCCTAGGGACGAGCAAGCGAGGAGGACGACGACCGCTTCCTGCACAGGTCAGCTTGATCCAGCTTAGCTAGCCACCACGGATACGTACCAGGCAGTTCCCTCCCCAGAAAGCTATCGTATCCCCCTTCTCCACCCCTAAAGCTTTCATCCCCCTCTGACATCGCCCCACCATTTCCCTCAGCTCTCCCCACTTCACCTCCCTCCTCGCCGGCTCGAACCCCGCTCCCGGGGCCGCCTCTTGCGCCTGAATGATAGCGACGTCCCCATCCCGCCCTTCTCCACCCTTCAGCTGGTTCTCTGCCCAGTTGAGACTGGCGCCCTCAAACCAAAGTGGGTTGTCCCCCGGTCTAGCCGTCTCGTCAACGAAAGGTCCGGTGCCTTTCGTGCCAATCACGCCGGTGTAGTCCCAAACGGCGGACCAGAAGTCGGACCGGTGCTGGATGGACCAAGAGTAGAGGTCGGAGTAAGTACTGAGGGAGAGGGAGTGAGCGGTATTGACGTGGTGCATGAAGCGGTAGGTCTGGGAAGAGTTAGGGTCGGTAGGGCGCCAGAGAAGCTCGTGGTCCGCGTTGAGAATGGCGGCTGACCCTGCACCAGGCGCCGAATTCTGGTTGTCGCTGCTTGCTGGGCTCATATTGAAGTGCTACTAGCGCGTGTAGATGGATCTGACCGTGCTTGAGCGGGGACAGGATAGGTATGTAGAGCTCATAAGAGATCTTGAGGGTGCGATGCATGGTCGAGCTGGCTTGCCGGTTATTGCCTGCAAGTTCCGGCCGAACACGGCCGAATCACCGGGGTAACCCGGGGTAGAATGGCGTAAGCTCGGGTGGGGCTGGCACAAGGAATGAGGAGTAACTTGAAGCGCAATAGACATGATGAAAATTACATGAGACTACAGTACATGCATCAATTACAGCCGCGGGAATGGAGTCACATCGCTGTGTTGGATAGCTTGACGGATCTCATCACCGTGGTCGTATTTAAGACTCGGCAGTCGCATGGGTCCGGAGCATTTGTCTCAACGACGGGGTGATGTGTAAGGATGTGTCCTAATCCTATGCTCGAGTCCCAAGAGTCAGGAGAGAACGCACGAGGACACGGTGATGGTTCGACTCATGGTAGGTCCTCCTTTAGTTCCCCTTCCTATACTCACGACTGAGTAAGGGGTACGGGAATAGGAAAGGAACGCTCCCGACGACACAGTATAGGTAAAATAGCAAGGTCCCTCTTGACACCTGCATAGCTAGATCGAATGCCTCTCACCTTCTCGTCGCCAATCTGAAGCGGTCATTATCAGGTCTCCAGCACCAAAGTTACACCTCTCTTCGACTGATTACGGACCGCTACCAACAAGATCATGTTTCCCTCCCACAAACTTCTCCTTATCCTCCACGCGGCCGGTCTCATTGATCTCATTCTCGCATGGAACGAGATCACGATAGATGCGAACGGTCAAGACAAGCTGAATATCTTCGGTGTACCAGGATCGGTATCAGGCCTGACCTCACCTCGACATCGAATCGCAAATTCCTCCTTACCGAGGCGAGGACTGCGGTCTATGGGGGGTATACGGCCCCAGGCCTGCCAGAGCAATACAGGGATCCAGAATGGTTGAAGGGTGTAGGGGTATTCTCGATTGCCGATGCCGACGGCGAAGTCTTCGTAAGTCGCTTGCAGTTCACGAGAGTCTGAGAATTGTATATGGGCAGACGAGCGTTTACAGTGTGAGCTTGTGGGGGTACCCGATGAGAAAGTCCTTAATGACCCAGACAAGGTCCTGAGGTGGTCCATTGTCAGGCCAGGGGGCAGATACAGAACCGTCCGACTGCACGAGAAGCCTGCACGGTGTCACGCTCAAGTGTACAGAAGTGCACCCTGATCGATGGCACACCGTAGACCTGACATACTTATGTACAGACCAGATGTATGAGTAGTAGCAGCACTGTACAGCTCTGTACCTGAGCTGTCCGCTCTCGCATCCAGACTGTGCGACTATACCCTCAGGGGTATGGACAGCTGCACGCACACTGGCGTTGCTCAAGTCTGCCATTCATTTGCAGCCCGCTGCGATGTCGATGCACACTTGTCATGATGATTTACGGGCTTAAGCTTCGTCACTCTTCTCAATACCACTCAGGATATGCGCATATCCCTTCAGGCGAGGCGCGGATTGACCACACTCTACCGCTCCAGCCACCTCCGACCGCCCATCCGCCACACTCAGCTGGAAGATAAGACCGGTTCAACAAATTATCCGCTTACGAGAAGGCGATCGCCGGGGGATCTGGGTGTCTGCTCGATTGATCTCCCCCGCCTTATCATCCATCTCTTATCTTTCGGTCCCTGCTCGCGTCGAATCAGCATTCACTCAAGGGATAAGATAACAGCGTGTCGGGACATGTGGATATTTACAGCTCGCCCGGCACGTCGTCCGGCCGGTGATTTGTCAGCCGCCCGCCCTGCCAAGCTTCCGCTGACCCGTGTCCGTGGAGAGTCACATTAGACGCAGGCTGGAAGAGTAGAGGCGCCTAGTGGAAGGCTGGGGCTTGCGCTTCTTATCAGCAATCACCGGGCCCCGAAGATGTCCGACCGGACAGGAAGCTGATAGCAGCACCTGTCCGAGCAGTAGCAGCCGTCACGGGGTATATATAATAGACGTCTCTGCTTGTCGACCCTCCACCATTCTCTTCACCTTGCACACTAGAGCGACCGCACTTCCCCACTCCTTCCCCAGCCTCACCCACCCCATCTACCTACCCATCACAATGCTCGACGTCCCCGCCCACTCCACCGCCCTCCTTGCGGCCAAGGCCAAGTCTGGCAAGACCTTCGACCAGATTGCCGAGGAGATCAACAAGCCCGAGGTCTGGACCACCGCCCTCTTCTTTGGTCAGACCCGGTGTGACGAGGAGACCGCCAAGAAGATCGTTGCTGCCCTCGGCATTGAAAGCGGAGAGGCGCTCGTCATGGGTCTTGCTGGCAAAGATGAGGGATCCATGGGTGTTGAGGGCATGACTACCCGTGGTGGTACTTGGGACGGGCCCCCTCAGGTGAGTTCTCCGCCATTTCTTGCCTCGTCTTCTGTTGGGATCAGTAGCTAATAAGCAGGACCCGGTTCTCTACCGTCTGTACGAGGTACTCGTCGTCTACGGCTTCTCTTACAAGGCTCTCATCCACGAGAAGGTACGTCGCGCTCCCTCTCTCTCTTGCCTACTCTTGACATCGAATGGGACCGAATGGGACCTAGCTGACTTGCAGTTTGGCGATGGTATCATGTCCGCTATCGACTTCCGCACCTCAGTCACCCGCAAGGCCGACCCCAAGGGTGACCGAGTCGTCATCACTCTCGACGGAAAGTTCCTCAACTACTCTACCCCGGAGGTCTGGGGCCGCTAGATGTAGATTTAGAGCCAGAGTCGGGGAGGTTGTTGTAGTAGACCAAAATTTGTATGCAGGCTTGTGCTTCTGAGCTTTCTGGTCCGGTTATCTAGCACAGCGGCGGTGGCCTGCACTGCACTCATTCGTTCTTGGTGGACGTTCACTGAGCATGGTCTACTGCGCTTCTTCCGACTTGTAGCTCGCGAATGAGCCGAGGAATTGTAGGGGCGGGGTAGTACGATGCTGTACGATATGACTTGCGTCGCAATCGGGCTTGTCTTCTCAATCTCGCTCTGATATGAGTGACGAAAGATAGAGCTGAGTGCGCCTGGAAAACCGACACGAGGAGACAAGACTGAGCAGATGTTGACGTCATTTAGCCCGGCAGCTCACAAGGCGACTCAAGCCCGGCTCATTCTAGAGCGAGTCCGCTCGAGTATCTCAACCTTGACTGGACTTGACTTGTCCAGCGTGCAATCTATCCATTCCCTATCTACTATACACCCTCTCGATCCTACCAGCTACCATCTACAAACTACCGGAGTACCACCATCTACGAACTACCCTTCCCGACCTTTCTGCCCGCGGAGGTGGTATCAGCCTCCGTCCCGTAGATGGAAGGAGGAGTCTCGGCGCCGTCCTCGTGCCTGACGATAGTGGAGCCGGTGGCAGGCTCTGTTCGGCCTGAGGAGAAGCGGTTGAAGAAGGGAAGCTCTGGCGGGTGGTAGAAGCACAGCATGGGGATACCGAGTAGGAGACCGCCGACGACTGAGGGGTCAGCCATGATTGGACGAACAAGAAGAGCATGAGGCTAGTGAGAGGGGAGGACATGAAGGGCTGAAGGAAGGACCTACTGTTACCGAGGAGAGAAGGGATCATGGATCGGCCAATGTACTGACCGACACCGACGTTGGCGCCGTTGAGCATACCGATGGGGATGTAGAACATGTTGCTGCTGATCAGCTTGAGCACATCCAGAAGAAGCTGAAGTTCTCACACGATGACGTGCTCAAAGCCGAGGATGACGAAGACAAAGACGGGGAAGTGGAGAGCGGCGATCTTGGAGACCATCTCGCGGGCGCCGGTACCGAGGAGGACGGCCATGCAGACTGACTGATCAGCTTGAAACTATGGGAGGTATTTGGTAGGCTCACCCAAGAAGTTACAGCCAATCCCACGGAGGAAGCACTCGCCCCAGCCCTGGTTGCTCTTGTTGACAGCGACGGCGATCGAATAGGTGATCATGCCGGATGTGTAGAGGCCGGACCAGTGGGCGAGGAAGGCGACAAAGGTGAGGGCGCCAGCGAGGTTACCGAAAAAGACAAAGATCCAGTTGACGGGGATCTCCCAGAGCCTGACGCGCCCCTTCATCCAGGCCATGGGGACGACCATAAAGTTGGCGGTGCAGAGGTCTTGACCGGTGAGGACGAGCATGATGAGACCGACCGGGAAGAAAAAGGCGGCAACGAGGGTGATGAGGCCGGGGTAGTCGGTGCGGAGGGTTCCGGAACCGCCTTGGATGACTTGGACGAGCATGGCTCCGAAGCAGAGCTGCCAGTCAGCTAGGGCGAGCAATGAGGGGGAAGGGCAGACTTACAATCCATGCTGACATCCATGACTTGAAGAAGGTGATATGGTAGGCCTGCTTTGCCTTTTTCTCGCCCAGACCAATGAGCGCTGACAGTCAGCGATGCCTCAGGATGGTTCACAGCACAAGGCTTACCAGCAGTGATTTCGGGGGGTGTAAGAGCGTCAGACATCATGTCAAGCGGCTGTTGGCTATACACAAGAGAATGGAAAGGTGGGTGAGAGGAAGTGGGTGCGGGCAAGATGCGCGCGCTATGGGCTTTAAGTTGTCAGTTCAAGTGATGGACACCCTCTGACCCCATTCCCAGCAGAGAGACCATCTCATACCCCGGTTGGACCGATAAGCAGGCATACCCCGCAGCTCATTCGCTGCAGATACTCCCCTGCCTCGATCGTCCGTAGATCCCAGCTCGGCATCTTGGACGGCAGAGTCGGAGGAGAACGGGGGAGGCGGGTCAGCATGTGTGCAAGCTTTGCGCTCTTATCTTTGGCCCGTGTGAGATAGGGGTTTGCCTGGGTTGGCGCAATCCGCGAAGACTAGTACTTCGGGCAGTGGGCGCCGAGACGGGCCGAAGACTTCAGCAGATTTAGTTTTACTTGGGCTGCTTGGCAGGGGTCAGTAGCTCAACTTAGAACACGAGTGCCCGATCAGCTGGAAGAGGGATCTGTTTTCCCCGCATGGCTGTCTTGCGATAAGGACAGAGTGAAAATTGGGTGCGATAAGGGGGGATAAGGGGCAAGGAATGCTGCCCTGAGGTGACTGCCACACTCAGCCACGTGAGGTAATTGCTACTCTGGGAAATAAATTAATAAATCCTTATCTCCCCCTCCTTTGGGTCTTATCCACCATCTCTGCTATCTCACCCTATCTCACCGTTCGCAAGGAACGAGTACCCCGCACTATCAGCCAGATGAGAGCAGCCGAGAACCGGCATCTGCTGGTGCCAAGTGTCAGCAAGTGAAGGCGGCTGCTCCTCACGGCACTGATGATAGCAGGAATCAGCGCGGTCTGATTTGCTGGAGATCCCACTGGCCCGCGATGAGTGCGATAGCAACAGTGGCAGCCCGACGCAGCTGTAGAGCTGAAGGTCTGAAGGCAGCTCTATACTGTGTGCTCAATCTGCTCTGACATTGACATACATTGATTCTTTGACTTAGCACACCTCGCAAGGCTGATCCACTGCGACTCGCTCGGCTCTTGATAATCACCCAGACAAGATGGCGATACAACCGCCCCCGGAGGCTTCCAAGCGGGTGCAGGTTATGGTGGTGGGCTTGGGGATGGTCGGGATCGGTAAGCCGTTTGACTGGTCACGAGTCAGCGGAGCTGATCTCATAGCGTTCATCGAGAAGATGCTCACGCTCGATACGGTGGGGAAATACCACATCCGGACGTGCGGCGAGGAGCCTACAGTAGCGTACAACCGAGTCGGTCTGACTGGTACGTCTCCCTGAGTGACATGTGAAACGCTCAGCTGACAGCGAAAAGAGTACTTCCAGCACCGCAACGTATCGGAGCTTTACCTCAACCCTGTGTCATGGTATGCCGAGCAGAACCCCGAGCAGTTCAGCTTCCACATCGGCGAGCAGGTTCTGCGGATCGATCCCGCCAAGAAGGAGGTGCACACTAGCAAGGACAATGTCTTCACGTGGGTCTTCCGTGGCTGGCGTGACTTGAGCTGATCGACAGCTACGATATTCTCGTCTTGGCCACCGGCTCTGCAGCTGGGCTTCCGCCTTATGTCTCGGCTGAGCGAGCACGCAAGACCAAAGGTATGTCCGCACTTGCGAAGTGGCTGACATCAGGTGTCTTCGTCTACCGTAGTATCGCCGATCTGGAGAACATCATCAAGTATGCCGAGCAGGACCACGTGACTCGCGCAGAGGTCATCGGTGGAGGCGTAAGTCCCTCACGTCGTCCCAGCGAATACCGCTGACTCCATAGCTGCTCGGTCTGGAAGCCGCCAAGGCCGTCTATGATATGCCGTCTGTCCCCAACGTCTCGATCCACATTCGACAGGACTACCCACTCAACCGCCAACTCGACGCATCGGCAGGCATGCTCGTCCTTCGCAAAATCGAGGATCTGGGCGTCAAGGTTGTCACCAAGTCGACCATCAAAGATATGACGACCCGGACGGACGAGTCTGGCGAGACCTTTACGGGCTTTCAGACCGCCTCGGAGCCCATTGAGTCGGACTTGGTCATCTACGCCGTTGGTATCAAGCCTCGGGACGATCTCGCGCGGGACAGCGGAATCGAGCTGGATGCTGGTGGTGGTGTCAAGATCGGGGACGACCTCATGAGTTCTGCGAAGGACGTGTATGCCATTGGAGAGTGTGCGAGCTGGCGCGGAAACGTGAGTCCACCCGTCGGCTGTGCTGACAGTAGTTCTACGGTCTCATCGCACCCGGCGTGGAAATGGCCGATATCCTCGCCTTCAATCTCACCCAAACCCACGGCGAAGGCGCTCCCAAGCACGCAGCGCGGAAGATGAACACTCCCGACCTCTCGACCCGGCTCAAGCTCATGGGTGTCGACGTTGCCTCCTTTGGAGACCACTTTGCCGACATGCGCGTCCAGCCCAAGATCTACTCTGCCCCTGCGCTCGGCGAGGTGCATATCGAAAAGCCGTCCAGGTCGAACGAGAATACAGCGGTCAAATGCTTGACATACCACGATCCCTTCTCGGCGACGTATAAGAAGTACATCTTCAGTCAGGATGGGCAGCATCTGTTAGGCGGGATGATGATCGGGGATGTTGGGGACTTTACCAAGCTCGTCGCCATCACCAAGAAGAAGGTTCGTATCCTCTTTTTCTGCAGGGAGCTGGGCTGACTCTGCAGAAAAAGCTCGACGTGCCTCCTTCCCAGTTCATCCTTGGCTCCAAGTCCGAGGGCGAGACCAACGGGGACGACCTGGACGACGACACCACCATCTGCTCTTGCCACGTAAGTTCTCCGAAAGAGTTGCGCTGATCTCAGAACGTCACCAAAGCCGCCATCACCAGCTGTGTCAAAGACGGTCTCACCGATTTTGCCAAGATCAAGGCCAAGACCAAGGTGGGGACGGGATGTGGTGGATGCGTCCCCCTCGCCACCTCTATCTTCAAGACGGAGATGAAGAAGCTCGGTCACTCGATCAACAACAAGTGAGTCCGAATCCTGGCTGCGACTAACGCCAGTCTCTGCCACCATATCAAGATGAGCCGACAGGACCTGCTCTACACGGTTAAGATCAAGAAGCTCAAGGACTTCCGGTCGATCATGGATACCATCGGGACGGGCAACGGGTCGCAAGGGTGCGAGATCTGCAAGCCTGCCATCGGGAGCGTATTGTCCTCGCTGTACAACGAGTTCGTCATGGCACCCAAGCACCATGGGAACCAGGATACAAACGATCGGTGAGTACTCCTTGGTTTTGTGAGCTCGAGCTGATGCCCAGGTACATGGCCAACATCCAGCGGGACGGCACATTCTCGGTCGTCCCTCGTATCGCCGCCGGGGAGATCAAGCCCGAGGAGCTCATCGTTATCGGTCAAGTCGCCAAGGAATTTGACCTCTACACCAAGATCACCGGCGGACAGCGGATCGATATGTTTGGCGCCAAGAAGCAGGACCTCCCGACCATCTGGTCTCGCCTCATCGACGCCGGTATGGAGTCGGGTCAAGCGTACGGGAAAGCTTTGCGGACGGTCAAGTCCTGCGTGGGCAGCTCGTGGTGTCGGTTTGGCGTGGGAGACTCGGTCGGGCTGGCCGTGGACTTGGAGAACCGGTACAGGGGTGTCCGAGCGCCACACAAGTTCAAGGGAGGGGTCAGTGGGTGTGTCCGAGAGTGTGCCGAGGCCCAGTCCAAGGACTTTGGCCTCATCGCGACCGACAAGGGATGGAACAGTGAGTCCCCTATCTAGGCCACGCAGAAGGCGGGGCTGATCTCAAGTCTTCATCGGTGGGAATGGAGGAATCACCCCTCGTCACGCCAAGCTCTTTGCTTCCGATGTTCCACCCACCAAAGTCGTCCGCATCATCGACCGCTACCTTATGCTCTACATCCGTACCGCCGACCGACTCCAACGTACCGCGCCATGGGTCGAGAGCTTCGAGGGCGGGATCGACAAGCTGCGCAAGATCATCCTGGAGGATGAGCTGGGTATCTGTGCGGACCTCGAGGCGGAGATGCACGCGCTAGTGGGGACATATGAGGATGAGTGGAAGAGGGCGGTGAATGATCCAGAGCTGCGAAAGCAGTTCAAGCAATTCGCCAACTCGGTAAGTACCTCATCCGGGAGTTAGAATCCAGCTGACAGGCCAGGACGAAGTACGCCCATCCATCGAAAAGATTGAAGAAAGGGGCCAGAACCGAGCGGCCGATTGGCCAAAAGACTTCCCACCCATGAAGTTTGAAGCCAAGGACTTACCGACGCCCAAGGAGCAGTGGAAGTGGATCCCCCTCGCTACAGTGGACGACCTCCGGCCTACACACGAGAATACCACGAGCGCCGCAGTGAGGTATGGGGAGGACTCACAGCTCGCCATCTTCCATTACCCGGGTAAAGGGTATCTGGCCTCTCAGCAGATGTGCCCGCACAGGCGTGCCTTTGTGAGTCCATCTCTGTGCACAGCAGTAGGCATTACTGACGAACTAGGTGCTGGACCATGGTATCGTCGGAGATGACAAGGATGGAAACCTCTATGTCTCTTGCCCGTAAGTACCTCTCCGATGTCGCTCCGGATGAGGCTGATCATCAGGCTGCACAAGAGGAATTACGATCTCAAGACTGGCGACTGCAGTACCGACCCAAGTATGCACATCCTGACCTTTGAAGTCAAGGAAGAGGCGGGGACCCTTTTGGTCAAGTTGCCGCCAGCGGAGGAGCTCGACGAGATGATTGGTAGTTCCAAGTGTAAGTTTTCCCCTCTGGGACTCAAGCAAATGAGTAGAGCTGATTGAGATAGGGATGGTCCGCAAGTCTACGGCAGAAGCGCTCGGGCGGATCCCGGCTACCAGAATTGAGATTGTGCCGCCTTCCATGCGGGCCCTCCAGGACCCAACGTCCTCGCCTGAGGCCAAGCATGGGAGCAACGGCGGCGGGTGCGGGAGTGCTGCTCTAGACTGGTAAATGATCTTGATGTGGCGTTGAGATAGATAGACAGACTCTTTTGTATGGTCCAGCTTTTGTATAGATGTCGTGACGGCAGTAGTTCGGAGCGACTGGGAATTGCGCGGGTAAAACACCTTCCAAGCGTCATCAAGACATCCTCTTCATACAAGATCCTACTCTTCGACCTCCATCGTCTCCTCTATACTCATCTCCATCGAGTATCCTTCTTCCTCCCCCTCTCCAGCTTTCCTTCCGGATCCAGCTCCACTACCGCCCGTCCCCACCGTCACAGCCACCGCCATCTCCTTGCCCACCCCATCCTCATCGTCTTCCGGCACAGCCCCAAACGCCGTATTCCCCTTCGGGACCGCAAACGGATCCATCGCCCTATCTGCCAAACTCGGGGGCAGACCCGGCAGACTCCTTGGCGGCAACGTCTCCACCTGCTCCTTCAGCGCCATCTCCAGCAAGACCGTCGCGATCGGGTCCTGCGGCGCAAGAGCGAGCGCAGCGTGGTAGAGCCGTACAGCGCCACGGATGTCGGTACGGATGTGCGAGAGGAGCGCGAGGGAGGCGAGGGCGGTGTGTGAGGTAGGATCGAGCCGGAGGGCATGGAGGTAGGAGGTTTCGGACCGGGCGAGGTCGCCGAGCAGGCGGTAGGCGTGTCCAAGGTTGACATGGGTCGAGGCCCAGGTAGAGGGGACGCCCTGCATTTCCTTGGCGGACCGAATGGCGGATTTGAAGTATTTGATAGCGGAGGGGTAGCTGGATGTCAGCTCAAGCACAGGCGATGGAGAAATTTGGACATCTCACTCGTCCTTGTTGTATGCGACCACACCGAGCTCATTCAGCAACAACGGATCCGTCCCGTTAATAGCCTCAGCGGCCAGGAAGTACTCCTCCGCGAGACTTGTGGCTGACAGTTGTAGGTGCTCCATCCCGATAAAGAGTAATGGCAGGTGCGATCTGGAAGGTCAGCTGGTTCCCAGATCCAGATACGATCAAAGAGTTAGAGCTCACCCTTGGAACAGCCTGGCAGAGGTAGAGTAGGCGGTGATAGCGTGATCATGCTCTCCCTCATATGCGAACGAATGAGCGAACGCTATCCAAGCCGGAGCGAAGCGCGAGTCAATCAAGTTGGCTTTACTGCGATTATCAGCGCTCGATCACACCTCTGCCTGCTTCCTATCCGCTCGAGACACCACGATGGTCCATTGAGCCAGAAGTCGGCGGAGGCTGCGACTCACCTGAAATACCGCCTCGCCTCCCCCCATCTCCTTCCCGAGAAATACCACAATCCTACAGCATACCACGTGACGGCTCCGGCCGGGTCCTGCTCTACCAAATCGTGCGCGAGCATGAAGAGGGAAGATCGGAGGCGGTGGATATGGTGCATGCACGCTAGGTGGAGAGGGAGGGCGAGGGGATGACTGGGTATCCTAGCGAGAATTCTGTGACAGTCAGCCAAGTCGTCCCGGAAGGAGAAGAGAGACTCACTTTGTCGTCACAGCATAGCACTCTTCCCACTTGTATCGCGCATACAACTCGTCCGCCTCTCCTACCAACACATCGCAATTTTCCGAGAGACCATACTCCGCCACTAGCCTCTCTCTGGCTCGGACGATCTGGCCGACATGTGCGTCCTTCCCCGTGAGCTTTTGTTTCTGCCTAAAAACAACTGTTCCTCGCGGCTCACCTTCTTGAGTTTGGTCGTATACATGAGCTTGACAAACGTCGCCTCCTCCTCAGAGAGATGTTTCCTGTACGAGAGATTCTGGACAAACTCCCATTCTGCCATATCAGCTTTCACTCGCCATCCTAGCCCGAAGACAAGAAGGCAGCAACTTACCCTCCTTCGACGACAACATACCGCCCTCTACCAGCTCCCTGAACGCATCATAGTTCTTTACGTCGATCATAAGCGCCTCCATCAGGCTCTCTTTGGCGAGCTGCATGGACGAGAGGCGGAGGTGCAGCTGGCCACGGAGGAAGCACATGGACGAATTGAGCTATCGAATCAGCAGCTACTCGGAAGAGTCGTATGACAAGCAGCTTACCTTGACGCCACCATAAGGCGTGTATGCTGGAGAAGTGCTATCTGTCATATTAGCTCGTTCCTAATGAGCTTCCGGCGAAAGAGGACATCAGGGCTTACCTGGCTCTCTGAACGGGTTGGTCTCGCCCAATAATTCCAGCGCATCATGATACTTCTCCTCGTGTACCTGAGCGTCAGCTGAAATCGCGTAGGCCAAGTAACGCTCAGACAGTAATTCACCAAACACTGAGCAGCCAGATATCGACAGGCCAAACTCTCATCGATCAACCTTCCCCTCCCTTCTCCTGCTTCTCCCTCCCCACTCGTATCCCTCCTACCACCCATGAATCCGCCCTCTCCCGGCCCATCCCCACCTTCAAACATATCCTCGTCCTCCCCTCCCTCGCCCTCGTCCGTATGCCCATGACCGTTGCGTACTACCTCCTTGCCCTTCCCTTTCCAGCTGGTATGAGAGCTGCCTTGGCTAGCGGAGAGGATCCCGTCTATCCGAGGGAGTGCAGGTGCGGGAAGGGGATCGGTCAAGAGGCGTTCGGCGCGGAGATAGTGTCCCGTGAGGAAGTAGGCTTGGGCGAGCCAGAAGGCGTCGTTCGCGTCGCCTGCCGGATCAGCCTTGATCGCAGTGACAGTGCCTCGGTGATCCGACCCAGCGCCTGATCATCACTCATCCAGTAAGACGGGGCGCTAGCATCGCCTCTGGCTTCCTTGTCCTCTTTGAAGCTCAAATGAGAGGCAGTCAACTCACCGGTCCAGCTCAAGATCTTATCTCCCCACATAGCCGCCGTCTCATACAGGTGCTGCAGCATAGCATCCTGTCTCCACTGGCGCATGGAATCCACCAATCCCCATTTGCCAGCCGTGTCCCCTTCCCCTTCACACTCGTCTTCTTCTCCTTCTTCCTCGACATGACCAGCACCGCTTCCGCTCCCTCCATTTTTCGCACCGACGATCCCCGCCAGCCGACTCTTCGGCTTCGCGCCCCCCGCGCCTGCATCATAAGGCAATGCAGTCCTTCCCGAGCTTGCGCGACTGATCGGACTTGGCCTCGCCCGGGGCGAAAGCGGGACGATCCCCTCGTTTCCCTGGGCGATAGCCGAGCGGAGATGCGCAGGAGAGAGGAATGGCGATGATGGTCCAGCAGCAGCATGGCCATTGCCATTAGTCAAAGCTGTAGGACGCTGGGTGGGACGGGAAAAGAAGGATGTTTCAGTGTCATACCTCAAAAGTCAGCTTGAGTCGTCTCTCCGCGTATGCCAGGGCGAGTGAGTGAGCTTACAATCCATCACCACTCTGATCCAGACTCGGCGCGAAGCTGAACGAGTTGCTCAAGGAGCTTCGAGGCGCAGGTTGACGTCTACGATGCCCCGCGGGATTGGGCGAGAGCCTCAAGCCTGACGAGTCGGACGACGGGTTTGGCGGGGTGAACATTGACTCTCCGTGCTCTGACGTAGCAATGCGGACGACACCTTCCTCTGTGTGTTCCGGTCAGGTGGGGCTATGAGCTGTTTTGTTGATGGACAAGTAGAGAAATAGACTGAATTTGGCTGGAGATAATGGACGCGTCGAAGGCGAAGGCGAGGCTGGTCCGTGCGCGCATTTTGGCCAAACTCCTCATTCCTCAGCGTCCCTGCGGTCCAGCCCAAGCCACCGAAAGAGAGAGGCAGCCTGAACAGGAGAATAGACCCCAAGCATGTACATAGCACATCACTACCAAGCCCTGTAAACATTGTCCATAAGCATAGATTCCACCGCGAGCCCAGAATGTCCGTTGTTGATCCGAGAGATAAGTTTAGACGACATAGCCAATGGTCTGCCTCGTCAGCTTGGCTCTTCCATCAACGAGGAGAAGAGGAACTCACGACAGGGGTGATAGTACCATAGGCATTGTTGACCGCAGTCTGGGAGCCTTGAGACGTGAGCAAGAGGACCTCCAAGAGCTGATACTACCGCTGGAGGAAAGCGAAACTCACCGTACATGATCAGACTGTTACTCGAGTCCAAACCAAACTGCTGGTTCGGGACGACCGACTTGTCGTTGTTGACCCAAACAGGAACGAGCTGCTGAAGACCGGTGCCGGAGAGCTGGAACATGCCCGTCTCGGCATAAGGGGTCGAATTGTCGCCGTTCGGGACCTGCTGGGCCGGACCGTAGGGTACATTCTGAGCACTGCTCAAGTAGGCATAGCTGGCCGTCAGCACCACCACCCTTCGTGCTTGGGAATATGGCTACTCACTTTTGACCATTAGCGCTGCCATCGCCTCCAAAGTCGGTGCTGGGGATGTAAGGAGGGGAGTTGGATCCGGTGTTGGATCCGCCAGCGACTCCGGCGAGGTAGGGATAGACGCCAGAAGGAGGGTTGACGATAGGCAGGTTCTGGACGTCATTGGTCGCGAGCGTCAAGGAGAATGCGGTGGCCTTGGTCAAGTCATTGACGTAGGTGAAGTCGCCAGGGAAGGTGGTGGAGGGAGTGACATAGCCGAGTAAGGTGCCGCTGGAGGAAGAGACAGTTAGTCTGGCTTGTGTCGGTACGCTGGGAGAGTTGACTGGATGTCAGCTCAAGTCGCTTCATCCAAAGAACCGGAACTCACGAGCATCCCGCCCAACGAGCTTGAACGGAGACTTGGCGACTACCGTACCGTACCGAGGTGCCTTCTTGCCCGGGACGGCCTGCCGCTTACTGATCTCGGGGTGCTCGCGAGACGACCGCTTGTTGAAAAAACCAATGTTGGGAGTCGGTGAGCTGTCGGAGGAGTCCAGGGCCCCCAAGGTGAAGAGCGAGCCGGTCGAGTTGGTGGCCGCGACGAGGCCAGACAAGGCGCTGAGTGCGATGAGGAGGATAGGCGACTTCATGGCGGTTGCGAGGGTTGGAGTAGGGGGAGGTTGGCGGAGGGATGATGGTAATGAGAAAGATGTCGATGACTTTGGTTGTAGCTCTGTAAGTCGTCGAGGTCTGCGAGTGTTTACCTTGCACCTGTCAGATGTCCACCGAGTACGACGCTCTGCAGCGGCGGCGGTGGCGCCCGCGGGCACGGCTCATGCCATCACCCATCCCGGCTGAGCTTCGCGGCGCAAATGCGCTCAAAGTCGGGAAGCGAACACGGGTCGAGTGAGTTTGTATGCAGCTCTAAGAATAGCCGGTACCTGGATCTACCATATGTCGCGTCAGTACAACTCACGATCTGGATGCTGACGAGAGCAAGCCGGCAGGATTCACATGTGGCAGATACATGACCCATCAGTAGGGCTGCCGATCCTTGCCGATCCCCCTGGAAGCGAAGAAGAGTCGTCGAGGAATGAGGCACTAAAACACCATCCTGTGTTTACCTTTTCGTTTCCGGCCGTTCGTAAGGCTCATCAGGCGAGCATGAGCGGTACGAGCTAGCACGAGGCTAGGTCAGCCACTCAGGCACCCGATAGGGACTCCACGAGGTGACTCATGGTGCTCAGAGTCGCTAAGAGTCGACTCCTCTTTGGCGGGGGCCGGCGCACCGGTCCTTCCGGAGGAGCGTCAACAAGGCATCGACTCCTCTCTTGCTGCTACCTGAGGCAGCCGGATCGCACAGCCCAAAGTCTCATTGTACCATCTCTCTGGAGCTCAACTTACAACTTGACTTACTTTCATCTCCTCATCTCCCCTTCTCATTCACCCTCCTTCTCCCTCACCTCACCTCTCCTCACCTCACCTCAGAATGATCGCGCTCACCCTGCTCACCATAGCCTCCGCAGGCTCCCTCGTTCTCGCTGTCCCTACCAAAACCACTCGCTCCCCCGGCCCCATCACCCTGCCTATGGTCACCAGCGGCAACGCGACCGCTTCGTACTGGCACGATCTCCTATACAGCGACAACGAGACCGCCGACGGATCCATCACGCTCACCAAGCGAGCGGGGACGACCAGTCGAGTCACGTACAAGGCGGATTCGGGAGCCTACTTTTACGCCGTGCCTATCACCATCGGAGCGGGTAAGACTGGGTCGGTGGATACTGTCACCCAAATTGATACGGTGAGTCTTCCTCCTCTTCTCGCAATGCAGACGCCACACCAAAGGGACCCGGCTGACTTTGATAGGGGTCTTCTGATCTTTGGTCGACCGACGTGAGTCCTGCGAATCTAAGCGTACTTGCTGCACTCTTGAACTGATGTTGCAGTACAAGGGAGCGACGGGTACGAATCCCGGTGCTACTGGAGGTTTCCAGATCACCTATGGCTCGGGTGGAGGAGCCCAGGGTACTAGCTACACTGATTCGATCACGGTATGTCCACCTCCGGTTTCTTGCTTCTAACTTCGGGCTTGTGGCTAACATTTCAGATGGGCGGCCTGACTGCTACCGGCGAGCGAGTTGCCGCTGCTACTTCGGGCCAAGGCAACCGTGGAACGTCAGGTATCATGGGCATGTCGTGGATCGCCAATAGCGTGCAGCAGTCGGTTCCATTTGTCCGTGAGTCGACTATCACGCTTATGAGTAGTCGCACCGAAAGCACCACTAGTGCCTGCGCTAACTGACAGAACAACTCTTCAACCAGGGCCAAATCCCAGCTCAGCGTTTCGGATCCGTCATGTCTCTAGACGGCAAGGGGCCTGAGCTCTTCCTCGGCGGTGTCGACACCTCCCGGCTCTACAGTACCCTCACGGCCGCTACTCTCACCTACCAGGCATACTGGACCATCCCCTTTGACGGGATCAAGGTGGGCGCCACGACTCTTGCGGGAGGCGACGCTATCATTGACACTGGTGAGTACTCTGAATCCGCCGTGCTGCCGATTGGCGACTATCCCTTTCGTTGCGTGGCTGGCGCTAATGCCTCAGGCTCCGTGTTCATCTCTGGACCTACCAACCTCGTCCAAAAGATTTACGACAACATCCCCGGAGCTATGCTCGAGTCGAAGTATCTCCAAGCACAGGGCATGTCTCTCACGCAGGACCAGATCAGTACGTACCGTTCTCACCTCCGCCGACCCGACTCCATCTTGCTTCGACGATGTCTACACCTATGCCGAATAGTGCTCTTGCTGACATGACAGACCGTCTGAGCTCATCTTGGGTCCTGCCGTGCGGCCCCAAACTGAACCAGAAGCTGGGTACACGCGTCTCCAACCCTTCCTTCAGTAAGTCTCTCCTCTTCCTGGACAGTGCTGGCATTCCGCTATCTACCGTGCTGCTTGACCCCTGCGGCCGTCTCTCCAATAGCATGCTGACAACCAGTCATCTCCGGCCGCTCCTTCGTCGTGCCCTACGTCTCCCTAGTAGGCGTCCCCTACTTCCGCTATGTTGTCAACGCCGATCGGACCGCGTACATGCCCCCCTTGAACGGTCAATACTACTGCGAGAGTGAGTCTTGGCTTCAGCTCACATTTTTATCTCTCTATCCTCCGTCGATCCAGTGACCTGGACGGTACTCTGTGCTGATGAGCCAGGTCTCCTCATCGGAAACGGCGCATTCGCCAATACCGCCCAGGACTCGAACTGGAACTTTGGCGTTCCGTTCCAGTACCACCTGTATGCGGACTACGACTATAGTGGTGCGGGAGGTAAGGGGACCGTCAGCTTTGACTACAGTATCTAGGCTGGGCGGCGCCGGCGGGGGAGTTGGGCTTGATATGGACAGGACATTTTGGGCAGGTAGGGTATGGTCAGGGTGGGCTCGGGTTCAGGCTCAGGCTCGGGTCTTCGGGTCCGTACTACAACACATACAAGGACATTTTATGGACACTTTGGGCTTTAAGATCTGGATTGATATTTCGGTCTAAACTAATGGATGAGCATGTTCATACTAGCTAGATACAATGACATTACGACGCCCAATCCCTGCTAGATAGATACAATTGGCACAAATTTGCGCCATGCTGACCTTTGCGCCCGACCCCATGTTGTAGCTAAGACCACTTGACCTCGTGGATCAGTACTACCTTTGTGCTCTCCCCCGCCCATCCCCGATCTCCACTCGCGACAGTCATGAAGCGCGATGTTGGATCGACCACTATTTGATCAGCTTCTGAGTCAGGCGAGGCTTCTGCTGACTCTGGCGAGACCCTCTCCTCCGTCTTCCCATTGCCATAGTGGCGGAGATCGCCCTGAAGCTAGAGCGAAGCGAGAAGGGGGCCAAATCGAGGAGTAGGAAAACTTACGCATGGCAGACACCGTACCCCCATGATGTCCCGCCACGATCTTGAATGGCGGTCTTGACTTTGCTTTTCTGGCGGAATCTTCCGGTTCAAAGTATTCGACCGTATTCCACAACCTGATATTATCTTGGGACGCACTAAAGGGGCATCAGCAGGGCGCCCCTCTCGTACCTGGCATCCGGTGTGGAAGACCAAGCGGGGACAGAGGAGGGGCCATAGAATCAAAGACGTACGTAGCAACATGCTGTCCATCCGGGAATGCCACCAAACAGCTCACCGCCCCGCTCTCCGCTGGGGTCTTGAGCGTGCGCAGGAGGTTCGGGGCGGTAGAAGAGGAAGAACGGCGGACGTCCCATATATCGACCGTACCGTTTCGTCTGCCCGCGAGGATCTGGTTGCCGTTGCCTGACCAGCACGCCTGGGGGTGTCAGCGCCAGCGCCAGCTCAGCTCAGCCACGGACATCTCCTATGAACAGTGGTAATGGAGAAAGAAAGGGAGGGGAGATAGGGACAATGAAGGATGATATCAGGCAGCCAGAAGGGGAACAGAAGAATGAAGAAGTCAAAACAAAGACTTACAGACATACACCAAGGGGGGGCCTTGTCACCCGCCATCAGCCTCCCTACGCCCCTCATACCCATCCCCGCTGCTGCCCCGCGTCTGCTCCCGCCTGACTCCGGCACTCTTCGATCCACGAGCATCACCTGCCCATCCATAAAACTCGCCAAGAGCACGTCGTCCGAGAACTGCTTGTACGTCGTCGGAGTCAGGAGGGGGATGGTCGCTGCGGCGCCTTCGTTCCCGCGCGACAATGCCTGGACTTGGGGTGTTGATTGAGCAGGGGATCGGACGCCTGGTAAGGCGAGAGACGGGAGCGGACGGGATGGACCGGCAGTGGCATTGGGTTTGGCACTGGCACCGGCATTGGCGGTGAATGTGGATGCTGATGAGGGCGCAGGCGCGGCTAGGGATTGTGGGAGGGGCGTAGCGGGTTGAGTGGGGACCGCGGATGGAGGTACCGTCTCCCCCTCCGCATCCTCGTCGTTGAACAGATCATCGTATGAGCTTGCGCGGGATGTCGATTTCAGGTTTACCCCTGCGCTGGTTTCGCCCATCTCCACATCCCCTTCTTGCCCGAGCGCCGACGCCGGGGCCGGCGCGGGCTTGTCCTCCTGGACAGTGACAGACCCTGCCGTCTCCGCACCTCCACCTCCGCCCCCAGACTTGGACTTTGGTTTGAAGAAGTCCGGTCCGACCACGACCGAGACTTGTGGTTTGTCCGCCATAGGCTCGTCTTCTTCATCAGGGGGAAGGGCGGAACGAGGGGGCGTAGGCGATGGACTAGGGAGGAAGCCGGAGGGTCGGAGGGAGAGGGATGAGAGCTGGGCGCCATGTGTCGGGTAGGCGCGGGAGGTCTGGCCAGTGTTTAGATCCCATTCCTGTATTGTCAGCGGAGGCCAAGACCCTGGCGTATGTGGGTTTGCTGTGCGCCAAGCAGAATGATAAAGAAAGGTCATATTGGAGTGAAGGAGGATGTGGCGACATAGACTCACTCGTATAGATCCATCCCATGAACCGCTCAGAAGCCGCTTCTCATCCGTCGTCAGCGCCATACACGAGACGACGCTCGAATGGCCCCTGAGCGAATGGACCAGGTGGCCTGGGGAATGACGGAGGGTGTACATGTTGATTGGGCCGGACTGATGATCAGCTCCTTAGACTTGAAGCCGCGAGCAGAGGCAGAAACAAGGGTGTAGCTCACCTGCGTACCCGTCAAAGCCCACAGCCCATCCCCTTCCACCGCCAAACTATACACCGGCTCTGCCCTCCTCTCCCCACCCTGCGCCGCCTCGCCCACTCCAGTCCCCGTCCCCATCCCATCCATCCCCGGAGCCACATCCGACACCCACCAGCCCCTCCCTACGCCCGCCTTCCCAATACTCTCGCCCATACCCACCACCGCGCGCTGCTGCGCCGTCATTGCCTGACTGCCGTTCACCGACCCGTAGAAATCGTACGCGCGCACGACACCCTCTTGCGAGCCCGTGAGGAGGTAGGATGCACATGCTGTGGCGGCGAGACAGTGGATGGGGGACGGGATGGGGATAGCGACGATGGCGTCGATGGAGAGGGAAGTTGGGGGTCCAGAGGACGGGTAGGCGGGGATGATGAGGGATCGGCGAATTTTGTAAGGCGGGAGAGGGGGAACGGTGGGTGATGAAGAGCGTTTGGGGAAGGGCGAGGTTCGAGAACCGCTAGATCGTCGTGGCGAGGCTGAAAGGTCAGCGTGCGCTCGGCACAGAACTGAAGGAAAGGACGTACAGGCCTGACCTGTGGGCGCCTCCCCTTCTACCTCCTCTTCATCCCCTTCGTCATCGTCATCGTCGTCCCCATCCGCATCCTCTGCTTCGGCATCACTTTCGTCAGCCTCCTCTTCTTCGTCCTCCTCTTCCTCATCCCCTTCCCCACCCGGCTGCCCATCTGACCCCTCCACCTCCTCTTCATCGTCCATATCCCCCTCTCCAGCCTCCCCAGCCGCCTCATCCGCCTCTGCCTCCGCGTCCGCATCCTCATCGTCTTCCCCATCTACCTCGGCATCAGTGTCGGCTTCGGCGTCGCCCTCGCCATCTACGTCCATCCCTATCTGCCGAAATCAGTCCTTTCCGAGCTCTGGTGACCTTGCGGCTCACTTCGTCTTCCTCATTTTCTTCGTCATACTCATCCTCTTCGTCCTCATCATCGCTGCGCATATCTTCAGCTCAGTCAGTGGGTAAGTAAGGGTAGATAAGTAGATGTATAGATGAACAGTATAGAGGTACCCTTGGGTGAGTGAAGTGTGCGATGAGTGAGCTGGTTCCGGGGGCGATTCCCCTGCCAACTTGTGCTTGTGCGTCATGGTCCCCCTTCCTTCCATTCATACATACATCTCTTATCCTTAGCCTTCTATCTTTACTCACTACACCTACTATACAGCCAAGATGTCAGGCGCAGGACCCAGAGAAGCAATCTTGTGAGTCTCCCATCCCGCTTCATGCTCTCCGAACGAGCAAGAACTCGGAAACCTCGTTCTTCCGTTACCCCTGGACGAGTCACAGCTGACCGTCCAGCCCAACGCGGATGAACCTTACCGTCACCAAAGGTCGGATGAAGGGTGCTCAGACGGGTCACTCGTTGCTCGCCAAGAAACGAGACGCTTTGACGCAGCGATTCAGGCAGATCCTGAAGAAGGTTGATGAGGTGGGTTTTGGCTAGTCTCGAAGGGAGAATGACGCTGATATCATTTTCCTCTCTACCTCTCCACCTTTGCACTATCCCTCTCCTGGCTCTCGTATGTCGCCCTCTCGCTTGAAACACCACTTTGCGATCTATCTCGCTACAGGCCAAACGCCTCATGGGCCGCGTACTCCAACTGGCCTCCTTCTCACTCGCCGAAGTGACCTACACCGCCGGGGATATCGGCTACCAAGTGCAAGAATCGGTCCGCAAGGCGAGCTACACCGTCAAGGCGAAGCAGGAGAATGTGTCGGGCGTGGTCTTACCGGCGTTTGAGGGGGTGAGGAGTAAGGATGCGAGCGGTGAGTCTAGCTTGGTAATGAGGGAAGCGCTGGGGAGCGGGGGGAGCACGCACTGACTTGTAGACTTTGCCATGACGGGTCTAAGTCGGGGTGGTCAGCAGATCCAAAAATGTAGAGATACCTACGTCAAGGCAGTGGGGACTTTGGTCGAGCTTGCGTCGTTACAGGTGAGCACGGAGTTTATTTGCCTGGCGTGGCTACCTTGACCCTCCGATTTCCTCTTGTTCGCAGATTGTCCCCCTCTATGCTTTACAGGTCCAGATCCGACAGACACCAAACATGTACTCGGGAGGCCTCCACTACTCTCCCTCGACCCTCTTGCCCCGTTCTAATATCCGACCTCTCTCCTCCTCGCTCTACTCTACTCTGTCTGCCCGCTCGACCGCCCGCTGACTCCCAGACCGCCTTCACCATCCTCGACGAAGTCATCCGCGCGACCAATCGCCGCGTCAACGCCATCGAACACGTCATCATCCCCAAACTCGACAACACCATCAAGTACATCAATTCCGAGCTGGACGAGATGGACCGCGAAGAGTTCTTTAGGCTCAAAAAGGTGCAAGGCAAGAAGAAGAGGGATGCAGAGAAGGCGAATGAAGTCAGGAAGAAGCAGAAGGAGAAGGAGGAGGATGAAGGCGAAGAAGGTGGGGAGAAGGATAGTAGGGATGAGGGGCTGAAAGGTGGGGCGGAAGGCGGGGCGGATATGCTCGGTGAGAAGGACGAGGATGTTATTTTCTAGAGGGACTGGGGATTTGGCGTTGGGGAGCAAGGGAGTCCGGCTGAGCCAAGTCTGATTGTACGTGCGGGTCATGCATGGCTGGCGTTATAGTGTACAAGCTGATTCTATGATCGTTACTGATACTGATACCTAAGTCATATCACTGATGTACATGCCCTTCCTGTCCACCACTTGCCTTCAACCTCGAGCTCGCACCGATCCTCAGCCCGACTTCGTACCAGCCAGCCACCTCTCCAGATCCTACCCTATCAGCTCCACTCAACACAATGTTTGCTAAACCTGCAATGAAACTCACACTCTTATCCATCCCGCTTTTCGGCGGCCGCACCCCACCGCCCACTTGCATCCCTGGACACAATTCAACTCGCACCCGTCCCCTCGTACGGTCTTGTCGCTCCGGCGCACCTAGGGCCGCTTCGCGTGCGGTGGGAAGACCATTCGGCGTCTTGCTTTGGAGAGGACGCGCGGCGGAGCGTGGAGGTAGTGATGGTGGTGGTGGTGCCTTGCGCGTCGGGGCCGGGGCTGGGGCGGAGGTGTTCTCGAGGTCGCACCGTCTGGTCATCCGCATCGGCACTCCGCCCGGAGCTGGGACTGGGAGTACTCTGAGCGGCTGGGCCGTTCGAGCTCCGTCCACCACCCTCCTCGGCCCATCCTCGCCCATCCCCATCCCGGACTTATGCGCCGGACCCATACTCCCTCCGACCCTCCTCGGCGGACTCGGCGCATCGAGAAAACTCGCAAACGGATGCGAATGCGCCTTCTTCCCCATCCCCGTCCCCGTGTTCTTCCCGCCCCAACTACCGGCAGCCGTGGGCGAGTCCAAATCCGGGACTGCCCCGCTCGCCGAGAACGACAGGTCGATATCGGGCGCCGTGAGAATATAGGCCGTCATGGGCGAGTACGGCGTCGTGGGCGTCGCTCCTCCAGCTAGGGCGGGGCGAGTCGGCGTAGGCGCCGGCGTGGAGAGCGCAAAAGACAGGAGAGAGGGGAGGGAAGGAGATGTTGTGTCCGTGTGGAGGGATGTGTCCGCTTGGAGGGGCGGTGTGGACGTAGCTCCCGGGGATGCGAGGGATGGACCGAGGTCACGTGCCGCCAGAGTCCGGGTGGGTGTGCGCTGGAGGGAGGGGGAGGTGGAGATGGACGGTAGTGAGAGGATACGTTCTTTTCGGGCGAGAGAGCGCGGGGTATCTTGTGCGCTTGGGCTGGGGATGGTGGTGGAGGTGAGGGCGGGAGTAAGGGAGAGACCAGCTGCGAGACCGAAAGTGTGTGGCTTGGGAGGCGTGTGTTGCGCGGACAATCGACGAGGGGTGATGGGCTGAGTAGGGGTCCGGTGGATCGTAGGCGGCATAGGCGAAAGAGAGCGTGTGGGTGTTGCTGGGGGAGCCGAAATGCGATGGCGAGTAAGATGAGCGGGCCGGGTCGACGAGGCGGAGGACGAGAGAGCGAGATCAAACTGAAGTTCAGGCTCGACCGCCAACTCCCCGTCTCCCTTCCCTGATCTCATCTCGCCACCCTTGCTTCCCGGCGCATGCGACCAAACGCCATCCTCATCCTCGTGCTCTGCCTCACCTTCGGAGCTCGCTTCAACCTCCACTGCGACTCCGGCGCGCTTTACCGGCGAGAGAAACGTATCCGCCGCGAGCGAGTGCGGCCGCGTTTCACCCCTGCTATCCGCCGAGAAGGCGTAGAACGAGGAGACGGAGAGGGGGATACTGCCCTTTCTGGATCTCGGGCGATGGTGGGAGAGAGGCGAGCCCGAGAGGTCAGAGACCGTCCGCAGATGTGGGTGTGCGTGTACGCGGGCGGGTGATAGGGAGAGGGGAGGACGGGGATTGACGTGGTGTCCCAGCGTCTCGAAAGATCGCTTGGAGGTGAAAGATTGGCCAGACGGGGAGGACTTGTCGGGGAGGACGATGTGTGGAGGGATGGCGCCCGCTGTGGAGGTGGGAGGGAGGGGCACGATAACGGCGTCGGGTTGCGCTTTGGGAGCGGGACGAGGTCGAGGCGGAAGCGGACCTTTATACGCGGGTGAGTCGCCCCCGCCCCCGCCTCTCCGAACCGCTCCATCACCCCCACCACCTCCAGGACGCCGTTTCGTCGACGCCGAAATCGCCGCCACACGCGCTCTCCACTCCTTCTCGGCCTGCGAGCGCGTCTTGGGCGAGTGCGCCTTCACCGGCGGTCCGGATCGAGGGGACGAGGACGAGGACGAGCCGGATCCGTGTCGGAGGTGCGAGGGACGGGTGGTCTGGTGGTATGGTGTGATAGGGGGGTAGGGGGTGATGAGGTTCGGCCGGGACGTGCGGGGAGTGAGGATGGATACGCTCGGTCCGGAGAGGGTGGATGAGTCGAGAGAAGAGGAGAGTGTTCCGGCGGATGCAGTGGGGACGAAGGGACGACGAGCGGGATTGAAGCTGCTTGGCCCGACGGCCGTCTCTGCGAGCTCCTCAGAGCCGTACTTCCGACTCGCCTCGAGATCCGATATAGACCGCTTGATCTCGGCCAGCGGCGCAGCAGACGGACGGCCTAGAACGACCGCGCTCCCTTTGCGACACTTGGAGATCTTTCGGGCTACTCGCGCGCCGAGGGTCGCTGTAGACCCGGACGGTTTGGGGAGGTTTGGATCGACGATTGCGAGTGCGAGGGTGGGCTTGCTGAGTTTGCGGAGGGAGGCGAAGCTGGGGCGGGTGTCGAGTTTGGGTTTGGGGAGAGTAGGCGGCGCTGGTGGCTGGGCGAGACGAGGGGAGATAGGGGAGAGGTGGAATGGGTCCGCAGTGGGCTCTTCGGAGGGGGATCCGCTCGGAGATCTGCCGCTACGGCCATGACTGGGCTGAGCGGCGGATCCGGTGCTGGCGGTACCGGCGGAGTTGGAAGGTGCTTGACCCATTGTTCTAGATGTTTTGAGCCTATGATGTCAGCCACGCCTTGTGATCGTGCTCGTCAGGCAGGGGAGGGACGTACGGCTATCGGAACAAAAGAGGTCTGGAATCAGAGAACGATAAGCCGATAGTGGTGATGGATGTCGGGTGAGGGCAAGAACAAAAGGCAAAGAAGGAAGATGTCAAATGACAAGTTTTGGGGTTGAGGGTTGGGCGCTGAGCACCTCGCTAGTAAGCCTGCAGGCGAAAGGTATTGATGCCCGTACCCCTCGGAATGGGCACATCAATCGGGGTCAAGGATGACTCGTGTGCGCTAAAGAGAGGCGAAGGCGAGGCGAGGAAAGGGGTGAGGGATGTAAGTGTAGCAGGGACGAGTGGGCCTCGTGTCTCTCGTCTCTCGTGCTGGCGGCACTTTGGCCGAGGATCAAAATTTGCCCGGTGGGGCTGATCTGTGTATGGAAGGACAGGAGGCGCACAGAGGGACAATCGAGAGAACATGTGTACATGTGTCAGCGGGGACGAGAGGGGAGGTGAAGGGGGAAAGAAGGTGTGTGGAGGTTGGTCGATAAGATCTGAAACGTCCTCTTTCACCCCTTGGCGCGTTTCAGAAGTGTCATCTAGACCCCCCTTTCGAGAGGCTGACGCGGAGTAGCGATGAGGGATGGCCGGCAGGGTCGGAGCTGCGTCGATGACTATCGCCCGCGGATAATGAGACGATTATGGCTAGTTCATCAAGCCCAAGATGTTTGACAATGCACTACTACCCCTTCTTCCGAAAACCCCCCGGCTCCCTCAACTCTCGCAGCACCCGGCCCACTGGCCCATGATCACACAATCCAACCAGATGATCCTGCTTCTTCACATTTTCGTATACTATATAAAACCCTGTCCGTCAGCTCAGACCCATCCCCTCGTCTCCCTCTCAGATCCCCACTGCCAACTCACCGAATCATGTAACATCCGTTGTCTGCACGAGGTATCAGCGCTGGTTCGTTCCGGCCATGAAGGGGACCACGTGGTCTGAAGAATCGAAGGTCCACATCGGCCTAACAGACTGAGCGCGAGCCCAACCCATCCAGACGAGCAGGGAAGTGCGGGGGAGAGTAGTGGGCAGAGGAAAGACCACTCACATCCGTTCCTCTTCCCGTTCCCTCGGCTCCAACAGCAAACTCCGATCGTACATATCCCCCGCCGCTTCCACCTTTTGCAACCCCGCCGCCAAAAAGTCCTGGACCGGTTTACACTTGGCGAGGTTGTACGGCTGCGACTGATACTGCTGGATATCCCGTATAATCTCCGCCGAGAGGTGGCGCTTGAAGAAATTGATAAACTTCCGTTTGGGCGGGTCGGTGTCGAGCGTGGTGGACGAGGTGGAGGCGGTGAGGGCAAAGGTGGAGGTAGATGCAGTGGTACCCGTCATGGTCTGGACGGGGGAGCGGTTCGTGCTGAAGCCCGAGTGGGACGCGGCCGACGCGAGCGAGTTGACCGATGGGGAAGTGACCATCCCGCGTGTGACAGCGGCGGCTTTGGCGGCTTGCTTGTTGGCACTGTCGGCGATGGCGCGAGCGACGGCGGGATCGATGAGATCTCGGTTCCCGTCCTCGATGAAGGTCAGGGCGGAGAGGTAGAAGCCTGATTATCAGCTAAGCCCTACTCGTGTCAAGCGAATCGACTTACCCAAGAAGGGAACACAAGGTGGATTGATAGTCTTGAGCATCTCCTTGTAATTGGCAAAGTTTTTGCTCGAGTCCATCGTCTTGTCCAGATCCTCCTTCATCGCCAGCGTCTTGGCAGAGAGAAGCTCCTTGGTCCGCTTCAGCCGATCGACAGGCGCAGCGTTCAGTCCAGCGATGATGGCGGCCATGCTCGAGAAGTTGTTCATCAGGCGTAGGTCCTGCCATATCAGCCCAGACCTTACCTATCCAAACCCCCTATACAATTTCGCAGGAAAGTAGAACTCACAAAAGCACACTGAATGAAGTGCTTCATCAATGCCGCCCGCCCCTTCGCGTCCTTTGGCTGCAACACCAAGTACCCAATCCAAGCCGCCAGCTTGTTGGCTGTATGAATCACAATCCGTACATTGACAGCTTGAAGCTCGTCCTCCGACGCCCAGAGTTTATGGAGACATTCTGGAGCGCGGATCCGCTGGAAATTGGCGAATTCGATAATGGTGAGTTGGCGCGCGAGCTCGAGTGGGGGGATATCGGTGAGTTGGAGGGTCTTGCCTGAGACTCGGGGGAGGAGGGGGGCTGGAGGGGACAGGAGGCCGCCAGAGACGATACGGCGTTGGTTGGGGTCTTCGCCGCGGCGCTAGCCGATCAGCTTTGGGTCTCCAGTGGAATGGGGGAAGAAAACAGCTTACCCGCCGAGCAACGAGATTGTTCAGCGTCTTGGATAGCATCCGGAGCATCTCGGACCCGACAGCATCGACCATGGTCGACGTGGCAAAGTGCTCAATCTTGTCCAGCATGGGCATATCCTGATCGACCATAAAGTGGACGTCAAGCCACGCTCGAAGGACATTGGCGACTCTGCAGAGTATCAGCTATTGTCCCCTTGCTTGCAACCCTTCTTCATGACCCCGCCCGATGATCTCAGCCCTCCCTCACTCCCCGCCCAACGACCTCAACGCTCATCCCGAACTTCCAGCTCGAAACTTTGCCCTCCCTCCACGATGTGCTGGACTACTCACCTCAGTCGGATCGGCGTCTGCTTGAGCTTGACCCAGTCCGCCTCCTGCATCTCATCCATCCCGGCTGGCTGAGGGACATGATACCGCTCGAGCAGCTGTTCGAACAGCAGGTCGCCGGTGGTAAATGACCGAAAGGTGAGCATGAAGGCCTGGAAGAAGGACGTATCTGCCGATATCAGCTGTTTATCCTTCATTCCATTCCCGCCTTCTCCCCTTCATCTCCGGCCCCTTTCTTTTGTACAAAAAAAGCCCCGCCCGACCCGCTGTACACTGCAAAGAACAAGGATGAAGGAATTTAGACTGAATTTGGACTCACCCGTAGCTCCATGTGGCGTCAACCTCGCCACCAAAGCTTGCAGCGTCCCAGCCTTAACAGCCCCCTTATCATCAAACACAATATCCTCCATCTTGTAGTCCTCAGCCAGGTACCACGGGGTCGGAGCAGCCGGCGCCGCAGGTGGCGGGGGTGGCGGAGCCGGTAGTGATATCGACCCAAATCCGGCCGATCCGGGCGTGGTCAGCGCGCTAGGCGACTGCTGAGAGAGTGACTGTTGGCGCTGGAGATTAGGCTGGAGGGGCGGAGGAATGGGAGGTGGGCTGGTCGTCAAGTGCGGGATGTTCGATACGTCCTCGCCTAGGAGTTTGGCGAGTTTGCGCGCGCCGCGTTGCTTGTTGTTCAGCGCCATGGCGACCTTTTCTGCCTTTTCGCGAGCTGGACAGTCAGCCTGTTCCCTAGCTTGTCTCAACGCTTCTCCAGCTAGACTCACACTCAGCCTCACTGTCCACCTTGTTCGACCGACCAAAGAAACCCTTCATCAGCGTACTCGCGCGCTGCCCACTCCCTCCCCTCGTACTCCCCGCATCGCTCTCGGTCCGCTGGTACGCCAGACTAGTCGTACTGCTCCCCGCAGAAGGCTGCTCCGGTAGTCGGCTCTTCGACTTGTTGCCGCCACCGGCCGCGACACGTGCGAGCGAGACCTGGGACCCGCTGTTCGAGATGGGCGAAGAGGCGGTATATCCGCCTGAGCCGGAATCGCGTCGTCCGCCAGCTCGTCGTTGAGCGGCCGACCGGGGATCGCGATCGCGGTCCCGCTCGCGCTCGGCCTGGACTTGCCGGTCCAATCTCTCCTCGGAATCTTGGAAATCATCCTCAATTCCCCGCGTCTTGCCCCGTTTCTCCTCTACCGCCGATGCGCGAGAGGCACGAGACCCCCTCGACGTGTCCGAGACGATCGATGCGGGACGGGGAGGGCGCGGCGGAGCCGGGGCCTGAGTGACGATACCGTACCGAGGGGATCGAACGCCGATCTGACCTCTTGCGCCGAGTGTGTCAGTGATGTATCGCTGATCCCGAGCGATGGCGAGGATGGTGGACAGGGATCGGGTGGAGGATGTGACAGCAGCGCTGAGGGAAGAAAGGGCCGTATTGACTTGAGGAGAAGGAGTGGTATGAGAATGGCATAAAGCGAGGTAGTAAGCGGCGATATATCGGTCGAGGTCGAGTACCGCTCGGTCGAGATCCGATACTCCGGCTCTGGCTTGATGGACGAGCGACCCATACTTTCTCGAAAGATCATTCTCGCCCTCATCCCCTGGGATCCCGTCGATATCAATGACCGCAGCGACGTCCACATCCTGCAGGACCGCCTTGACTCTTTCCGCTGTCCGCATAATCCCCAATTCCCGCTCTTCTCCTCCTCCACTGCCACTACCATCCCGGACGCTGGACTCGAAGGCGCCCCTGGCATGCTCCGCATCCGCCAGCACATCGTCACCTAGCACTCTCGACAACCTCCCCACCTCATTCCCGCCAAACCCCCAGCGGCCGGCATACACTCCCCCTACTGGATTCTCCACCCCAATCCACGCCCACAATCTCCGTCCCGTGACCGCACCCCCCGTCGCCAACTCTGGAAACTCGACGAGTATATCCCTGAGCTTGCTCGCGCTCCGCATCACCTCCTGCCAGACCGACAATTTCGTCTCTGGGATCTTTTTCGAATAGAGCGCAGCGTGCACATTGGCCGAAAAGACACCGACGGAACCGACGAGGGTGATATCGCCCGTCCATGCCGGCCGGGGCATATCCTCGACAGTATCGATCGGACCGACGTATCCGAACGCACGAAGCAGGTCCCCGATAGACGCGAGGAGGTCCCGATGCGAAGTCGTGATTTGCTCGACGGCCTGTTCTTCCCGCGCAATAGCGGCCAGACGGGCAGGATGGGAATTGAGGTCGATCGCGCGCGACATCTCCTCTTCTGCCGCCGAGCCAGTTACGGACGCCTCAAATACCTCGCGCAGGGTATCATTGATGATTTCCAGCATGATGCTGAGGGACGACCGTTCCGTGGGTCGAGTAGCAATCTCCAGCTTGTGACGAGACCGCCGTTCCCAGTCCAGCATGGCTTTGGCCCGTTGTTCCGGGCTCAGCCGTTTCCGCGCCGCCGCTTCCTTGTCCGCGAGTGACCTTCCAGCGGGAAGAGGAACGCTTCCGAGCCGCATCCCGCCGAGGTCATCCGATACGTCCCCAATAGCGTTACTTTCCCGCCGAACCATCTCTTCCCGAGGGAGCACGAGCGATTCCGCTCCGGTGAGCCGATTGATGTAGTACCATTGTTGACCATCGTCGCTGAGCCGGCTGACCCAGGGGTAAGGGATCTCCGAGGTGGCTTTGGGGGGCGGACGAAAGTCGTCTGTGTGGGTATCCGATATAGAGGGTTCGGCGATGTAGGTGGAAGAAGGGGGATTCGAGCCGGGAGTGGGGAAATAGTCCGTTTCTTCGTCCTCGTACAGATCGTCCTCCTCGTGATTGGGCACTGGGAGATCCCACGAGTCCTCCCCGGTTTGGGTATTGTGGTAATATACCTGACAATGAGCTTCGCGCTCTCGCCTGAGGAGTGCTCGTGCTAACTTACCTCCCCATCTGCCGTTAAACACGGTATCCACGCGTCATCCTCCCCTCCCTCCCCATTCCCATTCCGCAAACTCGACCTCGTACTCTTCCTCACCCCCGCTCGAGGCGTCTCTTCCGCTCCTCTCCTCCCAGGCACAGGTGTAGTCCCATCCTCCGCACGTCCTCCATTCCCTCTTATAGTCCCTGCCGTCCCTTCCCTCTCTCTCCGCTTCGCCTCTGCCCCGCGCAATAGACCCGCTCCAAAGTCCTCCGCGTCGTCTCTCCTCCGATCGACGTGTCTCGAGCCGGACGGGCCAAACCGATTGACAGGGGACGAGGTCGACAGCGTATCGATCGTATCCGCCCTCGCCCGCTGTCTTCTCGCAGCAATCATGAACTCGTCCGCCTCCCCTCCTTCCCCTTCCCCCGCGCCAGCCGAGACACCCATACTCCGCGCTAAAGCGTCCAGGTCGTCGGATCCCCCGCCCCACGGTGCGCCGAGCGCATCATCGATCCCCAGTGCCTCCTCTGCGAGTATTGTCCGCCTCACTTCTGCTCCCCTGTTCCCCCCATCCTCCTCTTCCTCCTCGTCCAGCCCATACCCTTCCCGCTCCATCTCGTCGAGCTCGTCCTGCTCGACTAGATCCACATAATTGGACGGAAACCATCCCCGTGCATCTCCGAGCATACCATCCCACCACCCCGAATCGAGCGTGGTGATCACCTCGATCAGGTCGCCCTTTCGGAATGATAGAGCCGACGGGTCCGTAGCGATATAGTCGAATTTAGCGCGGACGAGGAATGAGCGGCCTTGACCTTGACCCTCCTCCCCTTCATCGGTCACCTCCGCGTCGTACTCGCCATACGATAGCTCGTTGAGTTCTGGAGACGGCTCCAGCTGGGGAGTGATCCCGTGTAGGCGCTCGTATGACCGTGCGAGTGGATCATTCCCCATTTGTCCGAGACCGCCAAAAGACCGTGAGCTGGACGGACCGGCGATGGCGTTGTGGGCGACATATGCCATGGCGCAGGTAAGAGGATGGGCTGAGCGTGTGATCTAGCGAGAGGATGAATGCGATTATGCGACCCCGAGCTGAGGGGAGGGAGGAGCGAGCGTAAGCGTGGAGGAATGGACGAGTCGACGTCTAGCGCTAAAGCTGCATGTCAGCGGATCCCAGATGTTATACCCTTCTCGTGATTCCTGTGACTATCCGTGACCAGCTCGTCAGGGGCCGAGACGTATCCGTCAGAGGATGAAGGGTAGACGGAAAGTCAACTCCCAAGCGCGGGTCATCAACAAATTACCTCCAGCTCCCGCTCAGACCGGATTTGCGGCACTTTCTTTCCACTTTGCAGAAGGATGATTTCACTCACCTCATTAGCCACCTAGGTCACTCCCGCTAGCTTTCTCTATGCGCCCACTGCGGTCTCCCACAAGTAGCTTGAACCCAAAGGCAGTCAAGCTGACACCGCTCCTGCTCGACGCGACGCCTCGATAACGCCTATAATTCTCGCCAGGTGCGCTCCCGAGTAGATTCCTCGGCTCCTCGTACGGACAGAGACGCTGCTGACCGCGCTATTATAGGAGTATAAGGATAGATGTATGTGCTAAAGAGTGAGCGGTAAGGTGAATGGGGCGTTTGGGTGGTTTAACGGGAACAGGAAATAAGGTCCGTGTCCGAACCCTAATTCCGATTCCGAAAGAGGGGTCCGTGCCTGAAAATCTTCCGGCCTAAAGCCTGGACCTTGCCTGAGGCCCGAGGTATGGATGGGTTTGGTACTCAGTTGCGCAGGTACTCCATACCAGCAGAACAGACCACAGATATTGATATTGTCTACAGCAAGAGCTCATCCGCCTCTACGTCATACGTCTTACGATACGGTATCTGGCGATTTTACTTCTCCCTCCTCTCCCCTTGCCTCCCCTTCCTCCCCCGTCTCCTCACCCGCCTACGCAAAAGCCTCATACTTCCATATCCTGGCCATACAGTCCCCACTCCCACTCGCGAGGTACTGCCCGCTCCTCGCCAGGTCGATACTAATGACCGAGTTCTTGTGGCCCTGGAGCATAAACTGTGCTTGTCCCGTGGCGATATTCCAGAACTGGATCGAGCGGTCTTTGGACCCGGAGACGACCCATTGACCATCAGGGGAGATGGCGACTGAGAGGACGTAGTCCTGGGGTCTCAGCGAGAACTTGGAAAGACGGCGAGAGCTCACCTTGTGCCCGTTCAGCGTACTCTGACATGTCCCCAGACCCTTCTCAGAGTCTTTACTTCCGTGAGGAACACCCTCGACTGCGCGCTTGGTCTGCGTGAGGTCCCAGACTCGGAGCGTGCGGTCGAGCGAGCCAGAGACGAGCGACTTGCCATCGGGCGAGAAGGCCACGCTGGGGATCAGCTGAAGGGTACAATATTTTTGCTCTCGTTCCTCGGAACTCACCTGTACACTGAATCCTTGTGCCCCTTGAGCCTCTCCACCTGCTGCCCTGTCGAGACATTCCACACGCGAACCATCGTATCCAGGCTTCCAGCAGCGACGAGTTTTCCATCGGGTGACACTGCAGGTCAGCCAAGGCCAATCAGTACAGCTAAGCCTGTAGATGCCGCCCCTGTCTCTCACTCGCACCCGACAGTCTCCCCTGATACGCCCTTAGCCTGCCCGATCCCCGTCGGACTGTCCCTCGGATCTTCTCCCTTCCCCCTGAACCCTCCCAATCGCCCGATCACCTCCGCCTTCCCTTCCCACCTTCCCTCCCTCCCACCCCTAAACCCAAACTCCACCCCAAACCCCAAGCCCAAGAAAAAAAAAAAACACTCACACGCCACGCTCGTGATCCCGGCATCGATCGGCCCATGCTCATTATGTATAAAGTCCTCAATCCTCAAATCAAACACACACACTCCCTTCTCGATATCCCAGATCCGGGCCGACTTGTCCCCCGAGCCCGAAACGAGGAACCTGCCGTCTCGCGAAAAGTCGAGCGAGTAGATTTCTTGCATGTGACCCTGGAGGAGGTGTCGGATGCGTTTTTGCTTGATGTCCCAGATCTTGGTGTCAGTTTGGGTTCGGGCGTCCGAGAGAGCGGGAGAGCGGGAGAGCGGGAGAGTAGGAGGGCTCGAGAGACACCAACACCATGAAGAAAGCGAACAGAAAAGAACATGGGGGAGGGTGGTCAAAGCAGGACTCACTCGAATTTGCCGGTCCTCCGCCCCGGTCGCGAGATACTTGCCATCAGGCGAGAAACAGATACTCCGGATGTACAGATCCCCCGAGCGCGTTGTCTGTTCGTCGAGCAGGACACTGCAGAGTCAGCCGAGCTCTCTCCTTGCTTTCTATCTTGTTTCGACACCGGCTGTTTTTCACCACGATCTGAACAAAATGGCGATAGTGAATATGATTTGAAAGCTGGGGGTGGAAGCCAAGAGCCAAACTCACCACACCTTCCCACCCGTCTTGACGTCGTATATCTGCGCGGTACGATTACACCCCGTCGCCAGGAATTTCCCATCATTGCTGAACTTGACACAGCACACGACTCTGCATAATCAGCTCCGTCCCTCTACCGAAGATCACATCTCCACCTCCAGCCCAAGTCTTCACAGCGCAATTTCTTCTCCTGCCCTTCTCCGCATGTCTCCACGACGCCCAACTCTCCATCCTTTCCCCATCCCCCTCGCCGTGACCCACCCCCACAAAGAAAAGAAACCAAAAAACTCACGTCTCATGGTTCAAAGTATGCACCAACCCCACATCCAAAATCTTCTTACTCTGGCTGCTCCAAACCGCAAACCAATCCGACCCCTCCTTCTTCAACTCCCTGGAGACATTTTCCGGGTCCAGGTCAGAGAGCAACACAGGCGGGGAGAGGGGTCCTGACGGCGTAGCAGCGGCGGCTGTTGTTGACGTGAGCGCTTGCGACTGCGTGGGCGCGGGCGCGGGCGCGGGCGGAGCGGCAGAGGGTGGCTGAGAAGGACGGTGATCGGTCTGTGCAGACCTGTGTCCGGCGGGGACGGACGGTGGGCGATAAGGCGCGGTCTGGGCCGGTGGGTAGGGTGAGCGAGCTGCGGTATTAGCTAGACTCTACGTCAAGGTGTATTAACGACAGATTCCTTGTCCGACGTTCGGTGGTTATCCGCGTATCACTCCCACCGGCCCCGGTCTATCCCTCTTGCTCCTCTCCCCTTCCCATCCGCTCGTCTCATCTCGTTTCATAGACCAGTCGATCCTTGCAGCAGTTACGCGACACTCACGCGCAGACGTATTCTCCAACCCCAGCCCCCCCACTCCACCCGCCTGCCCATTCAACGGCGGCCCCGGCAGCCCCGTCAACATCCCTTCTTTAACCCCCTCCGGTCTCGGCAAGTCTGGCGCGGGCGGTTTGGGCGGTAAGTCCAATGCGGGGCCTTTGGCGCTTCCCCCTGCGCCGCCAGCGCCACCGCCCGCGCCCGTCCCATCGGGATCAGCGGCGAGTTTGAGGGCTGTTATTTCCGTCCGGAGCCGGGCGATCTCGGCTTCGTAGCTGTGATGTCAGCGAGTGACCAAGAAGCGGAAAAGGGACGTATGTGGGCGGTATGAAGAGAGAACAAGTACGACAGATTGTCCCAGATGCAGGTACAAATGGGGATGAACAACTCACTCTTGCCGGACCTTGTTGTGCTGAGTCTCCAGCTCGTACAGCGCTTGTCGGATCAAGCCGAGTTCCCCGATTTGTGCTTGGACTGAAAGTGTCAGCTATCTTTCCTCGAGTATCTAAACGACAATCCTCCCAGGGACACCACCTGATCGCCTCAGAAAAGGCCGGAATGGATCCGCACCCAAATCCTCCCAAACCATCGCCCCGGCCTGAAGACTTTTCAGTCCCCTACCTCCCACCCTCCCCCACCCCCACCCCCTCCCGTACCCCGGGGCGCCTCTCGACCCTATCCAATAGCCCCAACGTGGACTTACGTTTCCCCTCATATTCATCCCTCTGGGCTCTCCACTGTCCCCCCTCCTGGCCCGCCACCTCAAACTCGGCCTTGACAGCATCCAACAACTCCAGGAGACGGCCATTCCCGCCTGCACCACCTCCTCCGGGTCCTCCTTGTCCATTTCCTCCTACTCCGCCGCCTCCGCCAGCAGGACCACCGCCTAGTCCTCCGCCGGCGGAGGGACCGCCGATGAGGACGGAGGGCATCGGTGCAGAGGATGTGATGGGAAGGCGGTGGTGCTGCGAGTTGAGTCAGCTAGTGCTCATCCAGGACAGAACGGGGCCAGTTGGGAGCGAGGAATATGGAGATGGTGAAGGATTAATGTCAGAAATGGGTGGGTATGGAGGGTACGGTCCTCAACTTCGTACCGACTCTTTCGCCAGAGACGCGCTACTGCCTTGACACCGCTTGCCCATCATTCCAAAACGCGCTACTCTCCAATCCTGGCCAGCTTCCCTGGGGACCAATTCTAGATGTGAACACTCTGGGACTGTCCAGTCCCTTCGCCCATCCGCGCGCGTCCCATCCTTCTCACTTCCGGCCCGGCTCCCATCCATATCCGCATCCCTCCCCAGACCTCACAGCACGGAACTCACATTATAGATAGGTGGCTGCATTTCGCCTTGCGCCAGCCCGGATTGATCGTAGATATGACCCTATCCACTTGGAGTTGACCTCAGTGAAAAAGGGTAGTGCCAGTCGCGTCGACTGATGGACTGGGTGGAGAGGAGAATCCACGTCGGACCAGATCTCCAATATGTCTTCTTTTGTTCGATCAATCCCCTGCTTCTTTGGCAGCGTGGGTAGATACACTCCTCTTCTAGGCGGAGAGGCGAAGCGCTAGGCGAGAACAGGGCAGCTCGTTATAGATAGATAAAGAGCAAGATGGAGATGTAATCAACAGAGTAATTAGAGTTGGGCTTGGAGTTGGAGAGCTATAGATTCAGGCACGAGTATGGATAAATAACGTAAGGATGGCGTGGCACCCAAGTGTGCTTGTGATCGGTTAGAAGCAGTATAGGTGGCGCAGTACAGCGACAAAGGAGTGACCACGCCCAGCACGGGAAGAGAGAACAAAGCAGCACAGCCCAGCCTGAGTAGAGGAACTACCAGGAGCGGACGAGGACCATATCGGGGCAAGCAAGCCAAGGCATTCCTTCCTTTTCCTACTAGCGCGTGATGACATTCCTCCCCCGGCTAAGTCCCTGAGTCAGATTGCACCCGCTCCACTCCCTACAGCCCAGCCACCCGGCACATTTCCACATTCATGTAGCGTGTCTAGATAGAATATGAGCACCATGATTCCTCTCCTTCCCTTGGCGCCTCAACGTCTCGCCTCTAGTTGTCTGTCCAGCGGAAGAAAGCGATCACTCGTCCGCTACATGATCAGCTTCGGCCCATATCAGACTACGTCTCAAGACGTACCAGAGATGAGCGCCAGAATCATCCTACAGCACATCAGCTTCCGTCCACACCAGTATGCTCGAAAAGAGACTCACCGGTACAGGTAGTAGAAGAATGAAACGAGGTAGAATCCAAGCTTGATAAAGCTCTCCTTCTTGTGTCCCGATAACGTCCGGAAAATCTCGGTGGCGTCGTACATGTGGTTCTTGGACATGATCCTGGGGCGTCAGCTGAGGACGAGTGGAGCCCTGGATCGGAGAACACAGCATGGAATGGCACGATGTGATTTCGAGCAGCAATTCCCCTAAATCCCCTTCTTCCGCGCTCCTCTCCAAGTCTTCCCTAGGTCCCCCGACGTTGTGACTTTCCCTCCCTCGTACCGCTTGCGCCCTCGAACGTGCACTCTACACCCTTCCCCTCCATCTCCTCTTCCATGCGAGCCATCACTATCGCTCAGGACCACTTGAGTATCCATCATCCCCCGTTACCCCCATATTACCCCTCCTGCACGACCCCTCATCCCGCAGAATCCGAACCCAACTCACTTGTTGACGTTATATCCCACCAAGGGTGCATTCAGCAAGAACGCCAGCCATTGTCCCGAGAGCAAGAAGCAGAGGGTGAGGAAGGCGTGTGCGATCATTTCGGGTAAGACAAACTGGTGCATCAGCTCTGATTCCTGGACGCCCTTCCTCGTCGTCTCTTCCTGCGCAAGGTCCCGTGGGTGGCTAGGGATTCAGAGGACAGACTCACTTGATTGAGCTTGTTGCAAAGATCGATGGGGTTGATGTAATCTACGCAAACCCATCAGCGCCAGCCCCCATCCAGCCTCCCGGTGCTTGAAATAGCTCAAAGCCAAGCTTGGACATACCGCATTCCAAGTCAGAGAACATGATGATCTGAGATATCAGCTCTCGTCCATATTACGTTTGAGATCATAGCGACAGGAGCAGCTGATAGGGCGGACATGACCCATCTCGCAGCTGCTCCAACATGACACCCTTGCTCGGCCGACAAAAAGCAGACTTACGAAGAAGACCATAGTGAACAGTAACACCGCGGCCATGAGGACCGAGAAGAGGAATAACCAGCCTGCATATGGAGCGCCGATATGTCGTATCGGTAATAGCAGATATGGATGAGCGAAAGGGAGGTCAGATTCGAGGAAAGGCGCATGATCAGCTTATGTCCTCATTCCTCCGCCCCAGTTTCCCGAAGCTCAACGGAGTAGAGCCACGCACCTTCGCCGCCCATTTTGAGCTGATTCTGTGCGTAAGATATAGGCTGTAAGGGTGTCTATACGACTATAGCGAGCAGAGGTAGATGGAGGTATGTATGCGAAGGAAAGCAGTTGCTGGTCGTGTTTCGTCGACAGCTGCTCAAACGAATTGCGTAATTCAATTTCAATAGGAAATTCTGATCCCGCTAATACAATTAGCTCGTGAGACTTGAAAGTGGCGGTCGGATGGGAGGAATGTGGCGGCGTTGTTGGAGCGCGAGGCACTGCCAGTCAATGTCACCCCATGAGACTGGCCGCTAAATCTGGGGATAGGCATCCGGCTTCCATGTAGACAAAGGCCCAGGTGCCGACTCAGGCGTGGACTTTAGTGTTACATATAGAGTACATACTCATTTACACAGCAAAAATATTCGCACACAGCTGCCAAGCCATGCAGTAGCAGCTCAGCTGGATCCGGGCCGTCTACCCTCGCCCCAATCTTCCGAACAGGTCGATTTTTTGCCGGTACAGACTAACCTGACTCCACCGTACCACCCGCACTCATTCTGATAGGTAGCGCTCTTGGCTTGAAGGCGGAATGTGTGGCCTGTAAAGGGGTCGGTGTTGCGCTCGAGGTGGCACTGCGTGTGTCAGCGTCGTCTCTGGCCACGGCCTTTGTGCCTCTGCAGAGGGACGTCCCACCACATAGGGCCTTGTGGGGTTCGGGAATGGACCTACAGCTGGAGATCCCTTGGGCCCATACGTACTGACCCCAAAAGCGCCAGCCCCGCCCTCCCACGTCTCACTTGCTCCTTCATGACCATTAAGCAAGTTTTGCCAATAAACCAACCGAAAAGGCCCTTTGGGGTCTTTGTCGTCCACCTCAAAAACGAGCTTGTGGACGGTCTCGTCAATGTTCACGCCGCCGATATGGATCTCGGCGAGACTTTTGGCTTTGGGGTCGCGGGGGATGATGATGACTTGCGCGGGGGTCGCGGTGGCTGGCATGGCTAGCATGGCGAGGAGAGGGAGGATCAGGGAGTATTGGGCTAGGGAGGGCATCGTGCTGGTTGCAGTGACAGACACTAGCAGAGATTGTCTTGAGCCTGTGCTGTATCTATTGACGACTACTGTACTAGCGCTAATGCGTTGTAAGTCAGAGATGTATGTATGCGCGGTACCGATAGCTTGAAGCTCTGCGTCTAGAGCTACGATACCCGTCTTTGGTCGAGTTGGAGGCCAATCTATATTTGTATTTTTCTATCTGCCCTGAGACTCGCCAATAGATAGATTGAAACACGGGACAGTGCAGGGGCCGCGAAGGCACGAAGGCTCGATACGGGGGGACTAGCTGTACCATGCCATACACGGACAACAAGGACCGCTCACTGCAATGGAGACAGGTCGAAACCTGTTGCAGCTGGGATGTGGCACGTATGGGCTCTTGCGTATCTGACTGGTCCGTTGACTATTCTCCTAGATCTGACTCCTGAAGAACAGTGGAGAGAGTGATACACCTCCGCGACTCTCGTGCATACTGTCATCCTTTACCTTGTTGCCCCCTTCGGTCGGGCGGAAAGGAGGGCAGGGAGGCGAGGTACAACTCGGTGCACAATCTGCAGCAGAATCTCAACTGCCCTTTCATGCGCCATCCTTTGTACTTCCCCTTCTCGCACCCCGTCAACACATCACATATACGCTTCGTGCATTCTGGGTCCTGGGAGTAGGTTGAGTGTCGGACAGGGGGACGGAAAGGTAGCATGAGAGAGGGGTCGAGACTGGCTTGCGGCCAGTGTGATGCCGCGCCACCTGTAGGATACAAGCGCAGCTAGGATGCGCTACTGTACATATACATTCTCTATACTATCTGTGAGGACTATGGTATAAGCTACTTGGGTATTACAAGCTAGCTTGTACAAGTAGCTACATAGGTACTCCCGTCAGTGCGGCACCGGACTGCTGTTCATGTTGGCATCCTTCAATCCCCAGTCTGACGCATGACACTACCTTGAAATCCGGGCCTGACTTGTCCGGCTCAAACGGCCCGGAGTCGACGGCACCGGTCTGGAGGTTCTTGGTCGTGATCAAGGTGAAATACCATCCGAGCCCGAGGTCATCCTGCTTGAAACCGTACTCGTACACCAGCTCGTGCGCTGTATGCTTGAGTCCGTCTTTGATGAACTCGACGTACTTGTCGGCGCCGGGATGGAGCCCTCCGTCCGTCAGGGTGATGCGCCTGCTGTCGCCGGGTTGGTCGCGGGCTGACGCGAGCATGGCGAGCGGGCTCAGGAGAGGTAAGAGGGCGAGAACATGAAGCATCTTGTATAGCGAATTTGGGTTGACAGGCAATTGGCCTGACTGCTGGCTGGTCGACGGTCTGGTGTCGATCGATGGGCTACTGCACTTAAGTCGATTTCGAATGACTACGGTCAGGTTCCATATATACCTGGACGTCGACTGCGAGAATAAGGGGTCGCAGCATACCAGTCCAGGTCAGAGGTGCCCCTTGATACGACGGGTCAAGGAGGTATATCCTATTGGATTTCCGCGGGGAGTGTCTTGCAGAGTACGAAGGAAGAGAGATACACTAGGGCAAAGTGTGAACGGATGGTGCACCTTTCGCCCCCGAATGCTCATGAAAGGGGATCAGCAAAGGATCGATATCTCCCACCTGATAGCTGTGCCATGTTTGGTAGGACCAAGGAAACCAGGAGATATATGGTCGGCAGCGTCAGAGCGCGCGGTGGCGGTCTTGCAGAGGCAATAGGCCCGACCGGCACGATACGTCGTATAATTGAGCATGCTACGCGACGGCTGCAGATGCCTCTTTGAGTGACAATATTACATGATTTAGTACTTGATGGTCCGCAAAAGACGCAGAGATGTACTTTTCTCTGCATCTTGCTGATACATGGTTTTAGCTTTAGCTAGCACATGGAATAGGTAATTTGTATCAGTATGCACGGTACGTGTGAGGAACTTAATGAGGTTTCTGATGCGGGTCGGAACACTCCGAAGGCTCGCCCTCGCATCTGATCCGCACCCCATTCACATAGCCGCACGGCCAGAGGTACTCGTCATTCTTGGCTGTGAAGAGGAAGGTGGTAGACTGGATAGCAGTGTTCGGCCGCGTTTCCAGTATACACTTCCGTGTCAGCTTGCGGGTCTCCATCTGACCCGGGAGCTCTGGCTGTAGTGTTACGTTTTCAAGAGCAGACTGGGGATGCATCTGACTCGATATGACCTCCTTATATATTCCAGTCTTGAACTTCCTACAGAAGTTCCTACGAGTTCCTACGAGTTCCTACAATCCCTGTTGTAGGACTTCCTATGTAGCAACTCCTATGTAGGACTTCCTACAGTTCCTACATAGCCTCCATGGTCCATTTGCACTGCCACACTTGGTCCGCCACATTGACCTGCCATACAGCCCCTGCAGTACGGCCTGGGATCTCGCCACTCAGGCGTCGCACTCTCTATACTGTAGGTGCGCCTACTCTGTCCCGTGTAGGAGTTGGTACCGAGCTCGGTTCCGAGTAGCCTCGCTGCCGGGATCGCTCCCGCTGAGACGTCGTATTCCTAACATGTAGGCGTCTGGACTCACCGAAGCAGTCCCCTTGCTCCCAAATGTGACACTCTGGAACTCACCTTTCCCCGCCTGCAATGTCTGATTGCCCTCCTTGCCCGATACGACATTCTTCCACCTGACCACCTCGAACATGACGTTCGGGTCTGCGCCGTGTACTTCAAAATCGACCTGATGGACAATCTCGTTCTCGAGGCCTCCGAAGCGGAACTCGACAAAGTCGTGCGCCTTCATGTCCTTCGGCTTGAGTGTGATGATCGCAGGGTTGGCGGCTTGTACGACCAGTGAGAAGACCAGGAACGCAACGAGGCATAAGTAATGCTTGGACGTGTGGGTCATCGTGAATGCGATAGTAAGTAAGGCTCAATGTTTGGCGTGGAGTACATCAGGATCACTGAAGCTATCCTATGCGTTTAGTGTCTGAAACAGGACCAAGTTCATGCGCCAGGAGGGGTAATATGGGACTACTTGAAAGGAGTCCACCCCAAACGACAAGTCTTGTCGCATTGCCCTTTAGCGCAATGGTCAGCCGCATGGCTGCCTACCGCGTCACAATGTCTCATCCAATTCTGGCGCGCGATGCCTTTTCATCCTGAGCATGGGCCGGTGGAGAACGAGCTATCGTTTCCATGGGATGAGCATCCAAGGCGTGAGTATACGTGAGCAAGATGACCGCGTGGATACGATGTAACGATCAGCTTTTCTGCCCCATCAGGTCTGCCGAACGGATTTTGGCCCGCTCAACCTTCGGACCACCCTGTACCACCCAGCTACCCGGCTGGCTACTGTGGCTGACTACCATGATGCGCCGGTGAAGCTCGAATGATGTACACTTGTGCGATAGACAGATCAAGGGGCATTATACGAGTGCAAGAACTTAAATGCTCCCCTCCGGTATGACTTCTCCTCTTCCCCGCCCCCTTTGCTTGTTTTGCCCATCATACATCATCCTGCAATAGCCTTCCTACCCTATACACCCACACGCATCACCATCCACCATGCAGCGCACAAAGACCTCTCAGGTGAGTCTCAGCGCCGGGAAATTCGCCCACCGCTCAAAGTCCGGGATCTCGCTGATAATCCAGCGAGAATCCCGCACGACTCCCTATGCCCGCCCCGGTACAGGCCCCGACGCACCCGGGTCATGGAAGCACGACCTGCACGCATCAGCTGCCCCTGCAGGCAGCTCTGGCGTCGCCGGCTCTCAGCTCGCCAAGCGGCTCGGCCTCGAATTAGCCAGCGCGAGCAAGCCATCACCCCGGAACGCGGGATCACTTTCGGGTCGGATATCGCAAAAGGGTCAAGAGCTCTTGACGGGCGCGTCAATGCCATCGGGCGGCTCGCAGATGTATGGGTACGCGGAAAACCCACCAGCGACGAGTAATATCAACATGGGGTATGAGCTGTTCCCGACGGGAGTGGGGAATGTGGGCGTGCAAGCGGCGCAGGGGGGTCAGGGGAGACCAACGAGAAGGAGCGTCTTTACGTCGGGACTGGCGGCGGCGGGACTGGGGGGTCAGGCGGAGAGAGAGAAGGAACGATTGAGGGAAGAGGCAAGGGAGAGGGAGAGGCAACAAAAGGCGAGACAGGCGCAGATGGCTGCGTCGAATGTCAGTATCAGGGGTCAGGGGAAGATATGGGTCAGAGTGGAGAATTTGGCAGCGGGTACGACGGCGGAGGATGTGCAAGTGAGTCGACGTCTCTTCTCGCTATGTGTACCACCCCTCTCTTTTCCCGAAAAGGTCGGCCAGAGAAGGAAGGAAAGACTTCACGACTTCCTCCACCCCATGATCCCCTCCTCGCAACTCTGCTTGCCTACTCTTGCGGATCCCAGCTGATTCTCAGTCCGCATTCGCCCCCTCTCCTATCATTTCCGCCCGTATATCCCCAGTCCCCTCCTCCAGACCCGACCTCGTCTCGATCGACCTGGAATATACCGACCGCGCGGCCGCCGACGAGCTCATCAAGACGTACGACGGCGTCGTGGCGGATGGAAACGCGCTCAAGCTGGGGATTGTCATTCAGAGTTTGGCGACGAGGCTGGGCGCGGGCGGCGCGGCGGAGGTGCCAAGCGGAGGAGGATTGGGATCGAGGATGGCCAGTGCGGCGAGTAGGGGGTCGTCTGCAGGGGGCAAAGAGCTGTTTGAGCCGCCAAAGGGGAGGTGAGTTTGCGTCCAACCTCTGCACATCAACAAGGATCATATTATTCATTGGCTTCTCTTTCTGGCCTCCTCGTGCTTGAAGCTGACGTCACAGCAAAATGTACTCGGATACCATTCTCGCCGCCGATCCCAACGCTACTATCATCACCCTCGCAGACCCCTCGCAAACAGACCTGTCGGACGCGGCGGCCCAACGGTCGAATGCCTGGGCGCGGGGATCTGGAAGTGCGCCTTCTTTGGGCCAAAGGGTGGGCGGTGGGCGATCAAATGGGGGAAGCAAAATGTATGGGTGGTAGTGAAGGGTTATGGCGGGTTCTGATGGTGAGGTTGGCGGAGAGAGGGCGGAAGCTGTAAGAAGGGGAAAGGATCGGGAAGATTGAGATGTGATGTTCTGGGGGAAGTGAAAGGAGCATGCAGACAATTCGACCATCATTGCGTCTGCAGTCGGGTTCTGATTGGTCAGATGATGTGCAACTGATCTTTGACTCATGCTCAGCCGAGAGCGAGCTAGCTCTTCTCTTTGTCACCCGCACAAGTACAGCAACATGGCCTGCATTTTGATACCTTTGACTACTTACACTGCTGATTATACTTTATGCCTCTCCTCGTCCGGGAAACGTTTGATATCCTACTTGAGACAGATGAGAGCGATAGAACTAGCCTCGACAGAGATGGTGCTGCCATTGACCGGGACCTCAACAACCGACCCCTCGGGGCTTCCGCTCGCCGTGTCGAAGTTCTGACCCGCCCATGACCTACATGATCAGCTTTGGCCACCGGAACATTAAGGAAATCAACTCACAAGCCAGAAGTCGAGTTGGTGTAAGGCGCAGTGAAGCGCTTCACGGTCGCATACTGACCAGCGGTCCATCCGCTCAAGCTGACATTGAGACCCTGACGTCCGCCTTGCGTGGTAGCGAGGTAGACCTGGCTGTTGACGAGCACGATGCGGCGGAGGTAGTTGTCCTCGTAGATACCGTACGCGGCGAGGGCGGACGAGTTGGTTCCGAGCTCGGCGACGTACGAGTTGCCGGATGTCCCGATGGCCTCGCCGACGATGAGGAACGAGTTCCAGAGCGGGGCGATGTGCGGCCGATCGGGGTGGCTGAGACCGTCGTCGAGGCCAGAACCGTTCAGGATGGAGGGCTGGACGACGCTGTAGGCGAACCCGCGACCGTTGTGGAAGTGGACGCGCTCGATACCGTTTGAAGCGGCGTAGAGCATGTAGTCCGTTCCCCAGAGGGTGGCTTCGGCGGTGTTGCTAGCGCCGGGAGCACCGTGGCTGATAGGTCAGCTAGGTCATGCCAGTCAAGAAGACTCAGCTCACTTTGAATAGGAGTTGGATTCGCCCTGTCAATCAGCTGATAGCCTCCCTGCTCGTCGAAGAGCTACTCACCAGAACATAAACCAAGCCCTCCTTCCTCGCTAGAACCGCATCTGCGACCCGCGTCGACAAGTTCCCCCTGACATTCACCTTGTCCATGAGCACTCCGGGCTGAACCGCAAACGCCGCATTGTACGATGCCGAGTAAAGATGCCCGGTGTACTGCTTGGTGACCGCGGCGACCGCGCCATCGTTGAGGAGCCCGGCGCTGAAGACCGACATGGCGGTAAAGATCCAGTTTGTGTTGAACCGGATGGACCGAGCGAAGGCGCCGGGGGAGAGGTACGTGCCAGAGGCGGAACCGAGGGTGATAGCGCCCGAGGACATGGCGGCCTTGATCTGTTTGTTCCAGTAGCTGACGTAGCTCTGAGGGGTGCTGGGAGGGGCGGTGCTTCCCCGGTCGGCGAGATCGACCTCATTCCCCACCTCCAGCTCCCGGAGGTTCACCTTGAGCTTGGAGCCGCCCTGGAAGGCCGCGGCCAGCAGCCGGATCTGCGCCTGAGTCTCCGTCTCGTTCTGGACCTTGTAGTTGACGCCCCAGTGGAAGTCGGTACCGTCCGGCAAGTTGGCAGAGAGGCGGTACCAGTCCCGACCGATGGAGATGGAGGAGGCCTCGGGAGCGGGGGTGTCAGGGGTAGGAGCAGGGAAGGTGAGATTGACGACTTCGTATGTGAGGTTGATACGAGCTCGATCTTCCGAGTTGGCTGATGGTGTCAGCGACAGTCCGAGAGGAAGCTCAGAGAAGCTTGACTCACCCCCGACACGGAGATACATCGCTGCGCCAGTACGCTCAGTCACCTGGGCAAAGATGTTGTTGACAAAGGGGTTGGGCTGGCCGACTTTAGGACCTGACCAGTCGGGCCAGCGGTCCATCTCGATACTCAGCGCAGGGAGCTGGCGGTCGAGACGCTCGGCGTATTTGGGCTGGCCGTAGGCGACCGATACCTCCGCCGAGGTGACATTGCCGGTGATGGCGCGGGAGGTGAGCAGAATTGAGGGGTGAGGGAGCAGCATGTTGGTCAGTGGGTAAGGTGGAGAGAAGTATGAGCGGGAGCCAGAAGCGGATGGCGACGCCTTATATCATCGGGGAGGGCGATGCGGGACTCGGACACACGGTCCCCGAAATGAACGCTTCATGTGACTGATCGTGCTGCCGGTCCGAGTCACCGAACAGCAGAGGGACCCATCTGTAAGTGTGGAGGCGCCGGGATGGGTATCACTAGCGTATCTTATGGGCTGCTATATCAGTGCGATATCCACTGCGGGCGATATCCGCTCCAGGGCCCTTGGTCATCGGTCCGGCATTTACCGGTTGCCGGCATGAGGAATGCGGAGTTGGTGCCACGTCACGCGAGCATGTCCACCCTGCGTCTACCGGCCTGTCCTGCCTGGGCTTCTGCCTCCCTCTCCAGTCCCCAAGCCAAGACCGAATCGTAGAAGGCATCTTGGTCTATATGTCTATGCATCTTATGTAGCCAGCCCAGTAGCTGTTTTATCTAAAACTCGACACAGATCTTCCCAAAGTGCTTCCCATCCGCCATGTACTGGTACGCCTCCTTCAGGTCTTCGAACTTGAACACCTAACAAGCCATGAGCTATGCCTTAAATTTCTTCCCACTGAAGCCTGACTCACTTTGTCGATGATAGGCCCGACTCCACCCGACTCCAGAGCGCGGTTGAGCTGCTTGAACTGCTCCCTATTGCAGAGGAAGATCCCTCTGACGCTCGCCGCCGAGTACAAGATGAGCTTGGCGAGATCCTCCTCCATGATCTCCTTCGGGATATGGCCGTAATCACTGAGATAGCCTGTATATCAGCTCACACCCCTTTCAGGCTCCTAAAGACCCGCATGGCACTTACCCGAGACTGCTACGAGCCCGTTCATCTTGGTCGCTCGGATACTCCGCCCAATGGTCCCCCGCCCAGCAATCTCAATGACAAAGTCCACTCCCTGACCTCCGTTGAGCTCGCGCGCCTTGACGTCCCAGTCGGAGATCTTGGAGTAATCGATTGTTTGAAGGGAAGTCTCCTTGGGCGCGCCCTCGGGGATGAGCGGGGTGAGAAGACTGACGGCCCGATCCAGCTTGGCCTGCGAGGAGGAGGTGAGGATGACGCGAGCACCAGCGATAAGAGCAAGCTGGGCGGCGAAGAGGGAGACACCGCCTGTTCCCAGACAGAGGACGGTCTGGCCGGATTGAAGCGAGGGGGTGTGGCCGAAGAGTGAAGACCAGGAAGCCGTAGCGGCGCCCTGAACATCAGCTGGGTCCAGTGAGGAAGAGGAAATATAGACATACAGTCAAGCTAGCTCCTTCCCGGAAGTCAAAGGTGGAGGGCATGTGCACGACCTCCTGCTCATCGCAAACAAAGTACTCCTGCGCAACACCGTCAATACCGCCCCCGAGACTCTTGCGGAGGTGGTGGACCGTCATATCTGTTTCCTGCGCCTATCAGCTCCTACTCCTGTGAGACCAAAGGCCAAGTGAGAGATCACAACTCACCCAGTGGTTTCCCTGGCCAAAGATGGGGATGACCTTGTCGCCGACCTTGAAGAGCGTAACGTCCTTTCCGACCGCCTCAACGACACCACTTCCATCTGTGGGTCAGCCATATCCTGATGTAGCCCACATGGTTAATACAGCTCACCTGCGACGGGAACGCAGTCCTTGAGAATGGGGTGAGGAGCAGGGTAGTCATTGTTGACGATCTGGACATCCCGGTTGTTGAGCGTCATGCACTTAACGTTGATACGGATCTGCGCAGTCAGCACTTGGTCTTTTTGGAATACATGGGAGCTGGTACACACATCGGTAGAGCTTCTCAGCTCGGGCACTGGCGCCTCGGGCTGGTACTCGAGCCCGTCAATACCGTTCCGGTGGGCGATGATGAATCGCTTCATTGTCTTGGGCGCCATTTTTGCTGGGTGTTGCTGTATTGTCTGAGGACGTGAGAGAAGTGAGAGATGTGGTAGAGCATGGTGAGTGCCAGCGTCGGACTTATATGACCCGCACGAGTGTGGGTGATTAATAAGGACGGGTGCCAAGGTGCGGAATGTCCAGCCTGGCGGAGGTAGATAACGGAGGAAGTTGCCGATGGGGGTTGGCCGGGTTCGGGAGATACGGCCGTGATCTCCGATATGGATGTATCTCGGAGGTATGGAGCGACTGGGCTCGCAGGGTTCTGGCAGGGCGGGAGACACAGGGGCTAGGTGCAGAAAGCAAAATGAACGAGAGAAAGAAAGCAAAAGGAGGCAGAATGTCGCAAAGTAGTGTCTATCTGAATCTCAAGGAGCTACTGATTTCCTGCCTAGACTAGATGCTCAAAACTCCACGCAGATCTTGCCAAAGTGCTTCCCATCCGCCATGTACTGATAAGCCTCCTTCATCTGCTCAAACTTGAAGACCTGTACGAAGTCAGCTCGTTCCCGTCCTCAAGCGCAAAGAGCAGCTCACCTTGTCGATGATTGGCTTGACGCCTCCGACCTCGAGAGCCCTGTTCATCTGCTTGAACTCCTCTCGGTTGCAGACAAAGACACCGCGGACGCTGGCAGCAGAGTACAAAATCAGCTTGGCGAGATCCTCTTCGAGAATGTGCTTGGGGATTGGCTTGTAGTCGCTCATGTAACCTGATAATCAGCGCCTTCCTCCTGCGAAGACTAGTGCAGCTCAAGATGCGTTGGAACCAGTCTCTCACTCACCAGAGACAGCCACCAGCCCAGCCATCCTTGTCGCCTTGATACTCCGCCCAATTGTACCCCTGCCCGCAATCTCAATCACAAAGTCCACGCCCTGTCCGCCGTTCAGCTCGCGAGCTTTTTGGTCCCAGTTGTCAATTTTGGAGTAGTCGATCGTCTGGAGCGAGGTATCTTTGGGAGCGGAGGGGTGAATGAGGGGAGTGAGGAGTCCGACGGCTCGGTCCAGCTTGGTCTGAGACGAAGAGGTGAGGATGACACGAGCGCCGGCGACGAGAGCGAGCTGGGCTGCGAAGAGCGAGACACCGCCGGTACCGAGACATAGGACGGTTTGGCCGGACTGAAGAGCGGGAGTGTGGGAGAAGAGGGAGGACCAAGCAGTAGTGGCAGCGACCTAAAACATCAGCTGCAGGCCAGCTCGAGCATATAGTCTACTCACCGACAAAGTCGAGCCGTCGCGATAATCAAAGTTGGAGGGCATCATGACCGCCTCTTCTTCGTCGCAGACAAAGTACTCTTGAGCGACACCGTCGATAGCTCCGCCCAGACCTCGCTTGAGCGAGCGCAGCTTCATGTCCTCTTCCTGCAGAGTCAGCTGGAGGGCATGGACTTCCCCTGTACTCGCGGGAAGTAAGGGCAGACCTACCCAGTGATGTCCCTGAGGGAATACAGGGCAGACCTTGTCGCCCACTTTGAAAAGCGTGACATCCTTACCGACAGCTTCCACTACACCGCTCCCATCTGGCTATATCAGCTGATGCTCGTACTCATCACAGACCAAAGTATCTTCCAGCTCACCAGAGATAGGGACACAGTCCTGCGGGACCTCGTGCGGCGCCGGATAGTCGCCAGTGACAATCTGGAGATCGCGAGCATTGATTGAGAGGCACTTGATATTGACTCGGATCTGAGCTGTCAGCATAGTTCCTCACCCCATGAATAGCTTCCACACTCCTGGTGTGGTCTGAAAGAAGCGAAGGGGACGACTCGCATCAGTTGAGCTTCTCAATTCGGGAACAGGCGCGTCCGTCTCGAGGTTGAGCCCGTCGATGCCATTCCGGTGGGCGAGAATGTAACGCTTCATTGTCTGGGGTGCCATTTTGGGAGTGTATGTTTAAGTATGGTCTCGGATGGGTGAGGGAAGATGAGGAAGATGATGAGCAAATAGATGGAACAAAGAGAAAAAGCAGACCACGGACGACCAAGACTTGGCTGAACAAGGTGGAGGAAGATAGCGGCAAAATCGACCGATGACGCAGTTGGTTTCGGCCTGCTTCGGCAAGAGCTGCCGATAGGTATAGGCTGCAGCTGGAACACCTCGTGCCTTTAGCTCGTCCTTGCGCTTTGTCAGCTGCTAACAGCATAGCCTCTGCGATGAGATCTAGATCATATGCATGTGGTTTCCGCTTCTGATGTACTGCACAACATCCCCCATGATTACACACTCGCAAGCTTCATCAGATACAGCTCCACCACCCTCTTCCCATTCCTCAGATTCAACAGCCTCATCCGCTCATTCGCCAGATGCCCCGCATCGCTCGCCTGACCCAGCGGGAGATGAACACACGGCGCCCCAAACTCCGTCTCGAGCCAAAAGATGGTAGGCACCGTACCGCCCTCACGAATCTTGAGGGGTGTCTTGCCCCATACTTCCTCGACGGACGTTTCGAGGGCTTTGAAGTATGGGTTGTCGAGCGAGGCGAGCCACCATGAGGCGTGATGAGTGATGTTCATCTTCTTGTCAGCTCTTGACTCTCCTCTCAGTCTACTTGGGAAAAAGAATAGCTCACCTCGAATGTATTGGCAGATTTGATCTCATCAAACGTCTCCTGGCAGTGCCGCTTCAAACCCGCCACAATCCCCTTGAGATCCTGATCTGGGACGAGCCGCATCGATATGTCCGCCGTGACCCGCTTGGGGATGACCGTCTTGTTGGACGAAGCAGATGAGGTTGTGATGTTGGCGATACTGAAACTGGGTTGACGCCAGATCTTGTCGAGCTCTTCGACGGGGCGGCCGCAAGCTTTGGCTACATCCGCCAGAAGGTCCATCTCCGCTGATGATTGGGATCGGACGTTGTCATCTGAGTCGTCAGCAATACTCCAGCTCAAGGACAGCAAAAAGCTTACAGAACTCGGGCAGTTTGACACCCTTCGCATCCCCTATTCCTCCAAGAACGCGCACCATGTCGAACATCGGCTCTGCGACCATCCCGCCGTCAACTCCACTATGCGCATCTGCACCGCCAGATGAGATCGTCAAGTTGGCATAGACCACCCCGCGCATACCATAGACGACGCAGGGGTTCTCTTCGTTGATCCAGGTCGAGTTGGAGAGGAGGATAGTATCGATATGACCGATAGATTCCTGCTGATCAGCTACATCCACAGCTTGCTTGCCGGAAATTCACCTTGTTCTTCCGCACAGTAGACGCGAACCCTCGACTTCCCGCCTCCTCTTCTCCCTCGATGAGCAACACGACGTCGACGTCCAGCTCCCTATTCCGCCTGAGTGTCGCCGCCGCACACGCTACCGCCAAGATCGGTCCCTTGTTGTCCGACACGCCTCGACCATAGAGGTAGCCGTTTCGCCCAGACAGCTCCCAGGGGTTGGTCTCCCACTGCTCTTCAGCGGCAGGCTGAACGTCGTAATGGCCGTAGAAGAGGAGACGCCGGCGTGGCTTGTCGGACTCGGAAGTGGAGGTTGCGATGAAGGTAGCGAGTACGAGTGGATTGCGGCCTTGATCCCCGGAGAGCTGAAGAATCAGCTCAAGAGTCTCACGACGAAGACCAACCAGACAGCTGAGGGGAAACTTACCACTTCCGCGGAGGCTCCCAATTGCCCCAAGATCTTCTTGAGCATATGTGCGCCCTGCCTGCAGCTCTCCCTGTGCGCGTCGTCGCTGACGGTGGGCACCGAGATGAGCTTTGACAAAGCGTAAAGCATGACGTCGCCTTCGCCGTCCATCTTGACTTCTGGGCTGAGCGAGGAGGACGATTGCGGATACTCGATCGACCAGATCTGCTGATCAGCCGAAGTCTACCATCAACAGGCAGGACTGACCTTGACGTAAGAATCGTTCCCCGCTGTGATCAGATCCCATCCCGCTCGAACTCCCTTGACGATGATCGAGCCCAGTACAATGCCGGAATGCGCCCGGAACGCGGCCGTACAGTCAAACTCCTCGTCCAGCCGCAGGACTCGCCCGTCCGCTGCGGCAGTGTACACCTCCCCACCTAGCACGCTCATACTCAGCACATCCGCCTCGTGCGCGTCGATCGTGCGGATACACGCGCCCGTCTCGAGATCCCAGATGAGGATCTCGCCGTCCTGGAGTCCGGCGTAAAGAAGCGAGTCGCGATAGGCGAGGGAGAGCACTCCGCCGGAAAGCTCAGAGAACTCGCGTTCGTAGTGCAGACCGCCGCCGGGCGCGCAGGACCATACCTTGACGTCCGAATCGCCCGAGCCGGAGATGAGCCACTTGGAGCCGTCTGGGCGATCGACTATCTGAAGTGCGTAGACATAGCCATAGTGCGCAAAGGACAAGCGATCCTCAACGTCCACTTCGAGCTCGTCCACCTGGATCTCGCGCGGGGTACCAGGACTGGAGAGGCTCATCTGGTCGAGATCCGCGATGTTGATTTGGGGCGATGCGAGGGGACGAGGGGTATTGGCACCACTCGGAGCAGTAGACGCTGGCTTGTCGAAGAAGTGATGGGGCTTGTATCGACCACTGCGCTGGCTGGGACCCGTGGGCGTGGATTGTTTGACTTCGTCAGCAGACGAAGTACCGTTGGCGTGAACAGGGACGGTAATGCTGGCGTTGGCGGCGGTAGTGGATTCCTTGAGTGGGTTTGCCTTGGATTTGGGGGAGAAGTTGATCCACTCGATAGTGGCACCTTGGGTTCCAAAGTAGAGGGTACCGCCGTTCCGCTCATCCCAGGCGAGCGAGTAGATATCTCCGGCGGTATCGTCGCAGGGATGGATGATATGCAGCGGCTCGAGGGTCTTGGTGCTCCAGATCTATGGGTCAGGTCTGAACAGGCATCATGGGAGTTAGACTTACTCGAATGTCCCCAGCGCTACTGGAACTCACCAGCCAGCCCTTCTCCTCGATGATCATCAATGCCATGATGCTCCCCTGATGCCCGAGAAGGCGGAACATCGGCTGGAGTGAGTTGCGTGAGAAGACCTAGTGATCAGCTCCATCCGCGAGTTGGAAGAGTAGGCCACTTACGACGATCTCATTGTCCGCGCTCTGACAGCCGGCGTACACGTATCGCTCATCCGCCGCCAACGCCAGCACCTTTCCACCACCCACATTCAGCAGATGGCTCAGAGCAGGCATCTTGCCCTTCTTCTCCCTCGTCAGCGAGTCGGCTGATGGGTTGACGTGAAGTTGGGTAGGATATCGATGAAGCCGGAGAGGTTTGGGGTGCGGGGAGAATTGGGCGGGATGTAGAGACCGTGGAATAGAGTTGACGGGCTCGAAGATCGCAGGGTCCGCGGGGAGAATGGCGTCGTGGGTAGGAGGTGAGGGGATCTTGGTAGAGGCAGCAATGGATGGGCGACGGGAGACGAGAGGGGATGTGAGAGAGATAGGAGGGAGGTCAGGCGAGATGTTCGGTGTGGTTGGGATGGAGTATAGTGGGGTAGCGGACGGTCGGCGGTTCCGTTTGTCGTTGGGGATGGGTGAGAGAGGAGGAGTGGCGAGAGAGTCGTATAGCGCAGGTAGTACGCGCGGGTCAGAGAGCGACATGATGATCAAGAGCGAGCAGAGATGAAGTTTGAATGAAATTGACCTTGGTGAGCTGGGATCTCTTGGGGACGGTCTGAGAGCAAGGTTCGGTTGTGAAGTTGGAAGAGGCACAAAGGGGGGACCAATTGAGTGATGGGTGGAGTATAAGTATGCTGGTGCTCAGGACAAGTGTGTGTAAGCGGTCCAAGCGGAGCTCGAATCAAGGGGATGGCGAATGAAAGCGTAACAGGTGGTGTGACCAGGGGTCGATCCGGCTTCGATAGCGCTACGAGGAGCAGGAGTTTGGTGTATTGACAGGAATCTGATGCGCCGACCAATGTGCCTCGCAAAAGCGCCCAGAACCAGGTAGAAGATGTGTGCGAGAAGAAGGAAGAGATGAGGGGGTAGCAAAGCAGCCACAAAGAACAGGTACTCACCCTTTCTCAGCCCACTCCTGCCGGCCCAAACGCCATCCCGTCCCCTCCTTTGTTCCTCCTCTCCTTCGTGCTGGTCATCATCCTCAACCCCACTCTGATCACGACCAGTCACATCATTTGCACTGCCGCCTTTCCTTTGTCGAACGTGATCGTCGAGACCATTGAGCTCATCCGAGGCGGTCTCGTGCCCGTCCGCGTGCTCAGAGCTCGGCTTTGCGACATCTGAGCTGCGGGAGAGGCGGCTGGGGCCAGCTTCTGGCGAGCATGACGAGCACATCGGTCGTGGGTAATGCCCTCTTGAGGTCTGGTCGGACCAGATGCAGCAAAAGCGCGACCGGCGGAATCGACGCTGGGAGGAGCGCTTCAGGTCTGCGGGTCCCGTTTCAGCGTCCTTTTTCGAGCCGTTATCCAAACGAGTAGCTGGTCCTTCGCCTTGCTGCGGGCGAGTATGGGTGGCTAGGTGGTATGAATGTGATGAGAGAGATGCATAGGAGTTGCACATAAAATGCCCGTGTGGTCGATCGTCCGCCGAGATTTCGGGTACCATCATGCCCGTGCGACCTGATCAGAGCAACAGAGGTGAATGTCCCGTAGATGCATACAATGACTAGACTATGACCCCTCCCCCGGTCCTCCCAACATGGTGTACAGTCTGCTAGATAACAGCGCAAAAGCAGAGTGATGATTAGTGTGTGGTCCCCCCAAAACCCCTCATATCCGTCCTCTCCGAGCCGCCTTGAGGCATTCCTCTTCCAGCCCTATCGTCCGCCTGACAATGACTCCTCCGTCCTGTAATATCTGGACGCCTTCGCATTGTACAAAGTCGGCCGGTTCTTCTACTCCCTGCATAGTCAGTTTCGGTCCCTCTACTGGAATACGAGGGAAAGATGAACTCACAAGATACACCGTCCGAACCTTGGATCTGACCAGCTCCAACGCACAACTCGGTCCGCCGCTAGTCCGTACAGAGCATGGCTCCATCGTAGCATAGCAGTCCGCCTCCCCCAATATCTCCTCTACCCCAGGTAGCTCCTGGGCTTTTGCCAACTCGGCATATCGAGCTCGGAAATTGGTCAGGGCGTTGGCTTCAGCGTGGGTGTTTCCCGGTATTTGCCGCGAGTAGCCGTTGTCGAGAATGAGACCAGCGGGACTTGTATTGGAGCCAGTGGAGAAGGTGGGGAAGTGGGATTGGAGAGCGAGATAGAGCGTCGAGGTAGAGGGTAGGAAAAGGGTCGAGCCGACGCAGAAGGCAGTGGGCGAGACGGGACATTGGAGGGTGAGATCGAGACAATGTCGCATGAGAGCGATATGAAGAGCATCTGAAGGATCAGCCCGAGTTCACCCACATTCTGGTCCACCGTAAACTCACCTGAAGTAGACGTCGAATCGGACTTGGCACCACTTTGCACGGCACCCGCATCGTCCTTCACCTCCGTCGTCCCCTGCGCCGCCGACACATTGACCACGAACGTCTCGTCCGTATTCTTCTTCTCGTACACCTTGATCTGGGCCGTGAAGTCACCCTCTGAGCCAGAAACATCGGGTCGACGAATGAGCTGGACCGAGATTTTGGTCTTTTGCGAGGCCGAGAGCGTGATGGCGAGCGTCGAGACGCAAGCCTGGGGTCCGACCTCATCGACATCGGCCTCGTCCTGCGTTTCTGCCCCGGCCGGGACCGCGCTGCCCGGACTGCCCGGCCCCTCCTTATCCGCCGTCTCTCCTCCGGTCTTCCCTTCGGAACCATCGGGTTCCACATCCGACTCCGCCCCGCCCCCATTCGATGCGGACACCGGCGCAGGCGGAAACTCCACCCCCAGCTCAGTCAACCTCGACTCGTACTTCTGGATCTTGTCCGGCTTCCCCTTCCTCCGCGCAATCTTCAGCTTTTGAAGCATCCCCTCCGCCTCCTCTTCCTGCTCTTTACTCAGCGCCGTCCCCGCATCGCTTTCGTCCTGCGAGATTGACACCTCGAACGCCTCTCCACCGTCGGCCGAGCGCGGCGCCACTTCGACAGCAAAGACCCGCTCAGACTTGGAGGTGTTGGTCAACACAAAGACGAGCGCCTTGACCGAGGTGGAAGCTGAGCTGGCGGCCGAGATGGGTGCCGAGCGCTCAATGACCCCAAAGTCCAGTAGCGCAGGCTGGACCGCAAAGTTGGGCTGTTTCCGTACGTTCGCCTTGACCGCGACATTTTGGTCCTGGTAAGAGTCGAGGACGTTCTCGATGACGATATTCTCTTGGTAGTTGCCGACGAGGGACGGGGTGAAGCTAAAGTTCTCGACCTCTTTCCGCCCGAACGCAGAGATCACGCCGTATCGACCCAATCCGAGCTTGAGATCGCCGGACGCAATCGAGCCGGACGTGCGGAGTCTGAAGAGTCCGATCGAGTCGGATTTGTTCTGCCCGTCAGCTGACGCTCATAGATAGCGGATTATACACTCACCTGAATGACAATAGTCTTGGACTTGACCTCGCCCTTTTCGCAATTCCCCATATTGATACTCGTCTGCTGCACCTCGAGTACGCTCCTCACACAGCTGCTCCGCACAATCAGATCCCGCACCGGCAGATCCCGCTGCTCCACCTGCGCGTTCGCAGTGGAGAGGTATGTCCGGTCAAACTCGTTCAGGCGGATAAAGAGCCGCGAGTCTGCCCGTTTTGGCCGGGTCGTGACGTGCGGCCTTATGGAGCCGTTTGGGGTCATGACGACGATGAGCTGTCGTGAGGCCAACGGGGCGATATGGAGTTGGCTGGCGGGTACGAGCCGACCCGAGGAGATGAGGTTGGCGAGTTCCTTGCGAAGCGAGATGGCCCGCTTGACAAAGACCTCTTCTTCCTCCAAAGTCCAGGAGGAGCCAGCCGTGCTCCGCTTGGCATCGTGTGCCTCGATCGCGAGGAGCAGCTCATCCACCGGCATCTTGGATACGTCTCCCGAGGAGAGCGCCTCCGGCTTTGGCTCGGCTCGCTTGCCAGTCAAGGCGGGTGACTTGGTCCCGTCCGGTGTAGGTGGACCAGAGTTGGGTACGAACGCTGTGCTGATCATAGAGGCGATATTGGGCATCGGACCTGCCGGCTTCTCCGGAGCGTCAGCGACCTTTGGCGAGACCGGCTGTTGAGGCTGGGGATGGACAGACCTCCGCTTGGCCTTGGTGTCTTTGGCGACGAGCCCGGTGGCTTTGGCAGAAGCGGCAAAGTCCAGCTTGGGTATACGCTGTCCCGAGAGCTTGGCCTTATCCTCCGATTCGATGGTATCGAGTAGGGCGGTCTTTTTGGAATGAGGGGAGGTCCGGTGCGCCGAGATAGGTGGTCCGGCAGCTAGATCCAAGTGCTCGTGCTCGTCAAGCAAGCTCCGATCCTTGAACATCACTGCGTTCCCGTACAGCTGGACCGGCCGACCGCGTCCGCCTTTTCTCAGCGCCGCAGCGACCGCCGCCCCGATAGACGGCTTTGGCGCTGCCGATACCGCCGTGTCCTCCCCTTCCTTCGCTTTCGCCGCCTTTTCCACCTCCTTCCCCAACCCCTTCGTCTTCCCCTTGGTCTTTGGCGCCGATACGGCCGGCCTACTCCCCAACTCCCGCAACGTCTCCATAAACCTCTCCTTCAAAGCGCCATTCTGCGGCGAGGTCACCCGCTCCAACGCAGAAGTATCCGCATACTTGCCCGTAAACACCATACTCTTCTCGAGCGGCTGCTCGCAGTCTTCGAGCTTGACGTACAGCTCAACGTCCTCTGGCTGGGACGCCATGAGCGCGAGGACGAGCGGTGCGGTGGTGAGGTTCTCGAACAGGAGTGTGCGAACGGTAGGGGAGTTGATGATGACGGAGCCAAAGTCGAGAAAGTTTGCGCCGGCGGGAGTGAGGATACGGTAAAGGTGGGAATGGAGGGTGACATTGTTGATGTCGATGTTCTTGGAGCGGATCTCGACGAGTTGGTCTGATCGTCAGCTATAATCCCCGGAGACCGGAGAAGACTCGCTCACCGTTGGCTCTATTCAACAAATTCCGCACAAACACCTGCTTCTCGTACCGCTCATTGATCCGCCTCGGGAAGAACTCCATCTTCTCCTCCACCTCCTCCAGCGGCGGAATGACAATCACATTCCGGTTTGTACTCAGCACCTTGCTGATCGCCGCAATCTCAATCTTGGCCGACAATTGGCTCAGATTCTTGATCCGCAGGGTGGTCGACTTGGAAGCGCCGACCGTGACTTCGCCAAAGTCCACCTTGGCGCCCGAGGCGATGGCGATAAGGGAGGTGCAGGATTCGGCTTGGCAGTGGAGGGTTTGCCGAGTGGGAGTAGCGTTGGTGGAGGAGGAGGAGCGGGATGAGGGAGTGGAGTCAATGTAGACTTTGAATTTGGTAGTGCGGAGGGAGCCGGCGATGTCTGGGGAATTGGTAGTATCGCGAGCCGGCCGGAAGAGGACGAATATGCGGTACTCGGTCCCTGGCCGCATAGCGAGCTCCTCGATCTGATTGGGGATGGCGCGGTCGGTGATACACTCGATGGACTGGGACATGTCCGGCCGAGGTGCAGGCGGGGAGGTGGAGACGATGTCCCGGTTGGAGAAGAAGGGCGCTTCGAGCTCCTCCTCGTCCGACTCGGTCGCATCCGTGTGGACGCGATAGCTGGAGGTATGGGAGGCGACGCGGGAGAGGGGATGGGAGGGAGTGACCGAGGGATCGCGATTGGTAGACACGCTGGTCCCGCGATGTGATGATGAGGCGTGGGATTCGCCATCCGCTGATGCGCCGTCCGAGTGTAGGAGGGAGCCAGCATCGTGCATGCTAGGCGGTCGACCCGTCGACGAGGTGGGCGATCCGGTCCTCGACCCATTCGGCGACACTAGCCTTCTTCCCCTTGACCTGTCCCTTGTCGACTGCCTCGACAACGCCAGCTCCGCAGTCTTCTTCCCGCTCGGCAACAGCTTCTCCATCGGGATATCCTCATCCATATCGTCCCCCGCCACCCCGGCCAGTCTAAAGACCACATCCAGTCCCTCCGACCCCGACAGCTTGATATCCAGCGGCCGATCCCCCGCGTTCTTGCACGTCACGAGCTTCTTTGCCCAGACGCCATCCGTAATCTGCCCAAAGTCCAGCGTCGTCCCGCTCAGCACCTTGAGCGAGGTGTCTGTCGACTCTGGCTGCCCCGAACCGACCGCGCGACAGGTGACGAGGTTTCCTGATTGATTGACGTTGGAAATGACAAAGTCAAAGCTGAAATCGGGAACGGGCTGCTTGACGCGCAATTCGAGCCGGAGATGCCGAGATGACAGAGCCGGGAGGGGTACGGGCTGACTGGACGTGTCCACGCCAAACACGTTCTCCGAGTCGAGGTCTCGAAGGGAGAACCACGCGGCGTCCTTGTATCTGGCATTGACGACCGCCGTCATCCATACCAGCTCGATCTCGGAGCGATTGACGAGCAGGATATCCCGGTGATATTCCTGCCCGACAATCGAGTCCGATCCGAAATCAATGACCATCTGCCCCGAGGACTGCTGAGCGCTCGAGGCGAGGCCAGAGGTGGGATCGATGAGTGCCGCGGTAAAGAGGGATTTGCAGACGGTAGCAAAGAAGGGGAGACCGATGTGTTGCATGGCGATGGGCGCAGAAGAAGAAGCCGCGTGGATGGAGATGGAGCCATGGACCGAGAATGCGCGATGGACGGGTTCTTGGCGCCGGATATTGGTGGGACCTTTGAAGCTGCCTGCGACGGATTGGCTTGAGCCAACGGAAACCGAGTCCGAGGCTGAGGAGGATGAGGAGAGACCGCCCGGGATGATGGGTACCGAAGCGACATCGTTGGACATTTGACGGGAAAGAGCAGGGAGGAGGCGAGGTGTGAAGCCGCCCTCGGACGAGGGGGACAAAGGGTTGGGCGGCGAGGCGATTTGCGAATGAGAAGGTGTAAAAGCGAGGTAGAAGGTGTGTGTGGAAAGTGAGGGTAGAATGGCGGTGAGAGTGGGCGTTCCGGCAGTATTCGAAGCGGAGGACGAGGTCGAGTAGGATGCCGCGGACGACATGTCTGAGCTGTCAGCGGAGATCTCGGCTTTGAGAAGCTTTATTCACCTTTCTCATCATCTCCTTTCCAGAACACAATCTGTGACCCCATATCGCTTCCCACTTCCACCTGTATCGCCTCCTGACCCAGATTTCTCAGCCCGAAACTCCGGACCTTGCGCTCACTCCCCGTTCCGTCCAGATAGGTAGACTGTAAATGTATCCACCCCGACGGCACATCCACCAGCTCGACGAGCTTGGTCTGTGTGATCGATATGTGCGAGAACGCCGAGGACGCCGCCGAGGTGGACGAAGACGCTGGAGATGAGCCTGTCGTGGTAGAGGCGATATCGACCGGTGAAGCCTTTCCCTCGGCTATCCTAGCTTTCGCCTGTCTCGGCGTCCCAGCATTCTCCCCTTCCTTTTCCTCCTCGTTGAGATGCATATACCCCTCCGCCATATCCAGCAGCCCCTTGACGCCCGCACCGACCAGCCCGCCTACGCCGTTGAGTATGCCCGCCATTGTTGGTCGTGTGACGGCGGTGAGAGGAGGGGGAAAAGAAGGGATCGAGCCGTGCTCGGAGCGGGTCTATACACCGAGCATGGTGGGTAGAAGGTGGCGATGGCGAGGTGAGAAGCCGCCGCTGGAGAGATGAGGTGGATGGAGGTCACCTCGGGGATGCTCGGCCGGGTACGACAGGCACGGTGTCCTTTGTGTGTTGGTCACACGAGCCGGTCCGGATGGCGCCGAGGGGGATGTGCTTCTCGCGAGCAAGCGCGGCGAGATGGAGCGATGGTGTATGCACAGCTGGAGCTGGGGAGGATGGAGCCGAGCCCAGGGTACGCGTGGGCGTCTCCGGAGGAAAGAACCCAGATGCAGAGTTTGAGCGTCTCTTTCCGCCGACAATTCCGAAGGACGCTGCTGATGGTTCGAGCTGGTTATTTCGAGCTACGAGAACGGTGGATAGCTACTCTGACCTCGTCTGGATAGTGTATAGCAGGCCTGTCTGCCTAGACAGGCTAGGGTGGGGAGTGGGTGAGGTGCAGAGCTGAAGCATAGTGGTCGTGTGAATTTGGCAACAACGACGGCGGTCCGCAAAGATGCCGTAACCGCCTAGAAGTGGCAGCACGGCCTGAGGAATGTGGCGGAGAGGAGGTGAAGAGGGCAGGCCTCGAATGATGATGAGCTGGACAGTCTAGAAGGCTAGGCTCCAAGCACGGCGGGTGAGCCAGCACAGGAGTGATACCATGTGGGATCAGTATCAGTGGCTTAAGATGTAATGATGACCCGGAAATAGACTGCAAATCCTCCGCGGCGTCTCTGAGTATCTAGCTGCCGAGCGACCCTAGACATTCTCCCTCCCTTCGGCTGGCCGCCCACAGCGGAGCATATCCTCCTGCTAGGCGTCTCAACCCCTCTTCCATTTCTCCCCCTGTCTCACGCACCCAAAATGTGAGAGTTGCAAGGGGAAAGGGATGCACAGACAACGGTCGTTGACATATCCCTTGATCTTTCAATGTGACATTTATCCCCTGATGTGGTGTATTTCCCCTTATATCTCGGTGGTGAGACTCGTTCTACGGTGATCCTCTGTCATAGTTACACCAATAGCCCCTGTGAGCTAGCCCTCTTGGAACAATACAAGAGCGCATCGAGCCCACTCTTGAATTGACAGACAGTACATCTTGCTGTCCCTGATCAAGAACGCTCCCAAATCCCATCAAGCAGATCTACAGCATGCTTCCTCAAACAGCTACCGCTGCTTTGTTCTCTCTCCTCTCCTTCCTTGTCCTCAAAGCTTCAGCTCGCGCCCCCACTGTCCTGACTGTCACCGCAGACGGCCGCGATACGTCCAAATGGGTCGAATACCGCCTCCCTGAAATCGGGAACGGCGTCGCCCATGAGCTCAAGTTCGAATTCAAGGAAAACCACTTCAACCTCTTGGAATGGACCAACTTCGATACCAAAGAGACCAAGAAGGGACCATTCCTCGCTGGAGACGGTCATTTCACAGCCAAGACCTTTGGGCCGAAGGGGACTCCGAACGTACGTCTACCGCCGGTATATGCTTGTACAGTCCCACGTGCTGACGGACAAGTGTCACTTCGAGAAGCAGGATGCGGGGCCAGATGAGGACCACACAATCCGCTTTGCGCGGGGGATAGACTCATACCTCTGGCCGTGCCAATTTGTGAACGGCTATGCTATGGTCTGCGAGGGCGGGAAGGGGAAGGCGGCGAGCTGCGATCCTAAGGCTTGGCCCGAGCCTGCATTGCCAGCGGGTCCGCCCAAGTAGGGTGGTATTGTACCGTATAGACGTCGGTATTGTACAGTATAGATGCCGCGAGAGGCTGTACAAATGACGAGATAGTGTACGGAGTATCGCGCTTCCGTGATCGACCGCATGTGCCATGCTTGTCGAGGCATGCGACGCAAGAGGGAACTGCACGAGTCGGGTGCGCAGGGCTTGCAACTTGCTATGGCTAGATGATGGGCCAAGTCGCTATGATGTAGAGTACAGGTGAGAGTGTAGGTGGAAGATACATGGGCGCACGCCACACCGAGAGCCGTCTACGAGTCTATGGAGGGAACGCCACACTAGACTAGCTACATCTGCCGGGCTGCTCCTCGAGGCCTGGGCCTAGGCCAGTCAAGTGTAGTCCGCAGGCGTGAGAACGACCAGCTTGGCTCCCTGCCCAAAAGTCTTCCTCAATTGCCCCTCCACCAGCGTGCGAACTTCCGGCTTGGTAGGAGGGACTGTGAACTCGGGACTCTTCGAGCCAGCCGGGCTGCTCATCCACTCTGATCGCACACCGTCCTTCACTGCATCGAGTCCGGCCTGGGTAATGGCAGTGCTCCGCGCGGTGATCTCCACATCGAACGGAGGGTAGGAGACGGGCATGATCCAGTATGTGGCGTCAAACGTATTGGCAGTGGTAGTGGCGACAGTCGGGGTGGCAAAGACCTCGCGACCGGTTCGTCCAGTGAGGGACGTAACGTGTAAGGTGGATCAAGACTGGGGAAGCTGGAAAACGTCTGTGTATCCGACACTGGAGAGCGCGGACCTCATATAGGTATGGGATGATGGTTAGCGAGGACGGTGTGGGGAAAGCGCAGGCTTGATACAATTCCGCCACACAACGAGGAATGAGGAGGTCCGTGCACAGCACACAGGCGAGGCTGACGAGAGCTCGCCGAATGTGGAGTTGACTCAACCTCCACCGCCCCTCCGTCCGAGGCGCCCACTCAGCCGCACTCTTGGCCGTATGTCACCTGGACAAGGGAATGCCACACGGAGACATAGTGGGTGACCGGCGGGAGGGTAGCCGAAGTGTCGTCGATGAGGCGGAGCGGCAAGTCTTGATCCAGTCGGATGAGCGGGAGGCCGAGCTGGCGGACGAGCCGAGAGTTGAGAAAGGATGAGCACGCCCCGCTGTCGAGTAAGGCCTGGACGTCGTGAAGGCGACCTCGGTGCTCGATGGCGACGGGTAGGGCGATGAGTTGGGAGACTGGAACAGTCAGCGACCTGATCTGCAGCACAGTAGAAGCGAGAGTGGGAGCGGGGACGGGGAGAAGGGGGGTGGGAGTTGGGAGAAGAGAACGAGAAAGCAAAGGGGGAATGGGACACGGCTTAGAGAAATTTTGCATAGCGCTCGCAGACGCGTGAAACCGCGAGCTCAAACATTTAAAGCCTCCTGTCCCTCCCCTCCCGCCTTCCTGTTCCTCCCCGCAAACTCTACGCAACCCTCAACGTCCTCCCGACCCGCCGCTGGACAACCGTCCTTATCCTTCTTGCAGTACCTGCACAACCCCTTCTTCTGAGCCTCGTCCCCCGTCATCTTCCTTTCCCCTCCGTCCACCGACACCTTGTGCACCGCCAACCCCCCTTTGAGAGAAGGGGGGCAGGGGAGCACTTCCGCCGCGAACTCTTGGAGCGAGTCGAGATTGGACCACTGGTATTTGACGCCGTGGGAGAGGGTGGTGTTGTAAGCGAGGAATTTGGCTTCGGCGGGGAGGAGGGAGTTGATGAAGATGGAGCAGATGAAGGGGCCGAGGGGAGGGTCTGCGCAGCGAGCGAGCATGCGGTTGAAGTTGGCCAGGTGGGAGTCTATATTGCTGTTAGTCTGCTTGCACTTGAGCAACGCCTCGTTCGCCTGCGCCGCCGTGTTGACCTCCCCCCATGCCTTCATAAAGACCCTCTCCTCTACCTCGCTGGTTCCTCCCGTCCGACGGCGTCCGCGGCATCCTCTATCGCAACAAGCAGTACGTCCCCGACGGACCGCTCAGGACGGAGGTGTTACGCTTGGCGCACGACTCGCTCATAGTCGGTCATGGCGGTCGGGATAAGACGGCGGAGTTGGTCAAGAGGAGTTACAATTGGCCAGGGCTGGATGAGACGTGCAGGAGGTACTGTGAGTCCTGCGCAGAGTGTCAAGCTTCCAAGCCGCAACGGACACACCCGCACGGTCCCCTCGTCCCTCTACCCGTCGCCCGGGGTCCTTGGCGGTCCATCGCTTGGGATCACATCGGTCCTCTACCACGGTCCGCGGACGGTTTCGACATGATCCTCGTCGTCACCGATCGTTTCACCAAGGCCATCATCCTCATTCCCACTCGCCAAACCGATACGGCTCGTCAACTCGCTACCCAATTCATCCATTACGTTTTCCGCGAGTACGGTCTACCCGATGACCTCGTTTCGGACCGCGGTGCTACCTTCTCGTCGGAGTGGTGGGGCGAGGTGTGCAGGCAACTCGGCATCAAGCGCAAGCTATCGACGGCGTACCACCCCCAGACGGACGGCCAGACGGAGCGGGTCAATCAGTCGGTCGAACACATGCTCCGCATCTCGATCAACTACCAACAGGACGATTGGGCGGGGCCCAAGCTCGACGCGGTCCAGTTCGGTTACAACAACTCCGTCCACACGGCTACTCGTCACTCGCCCTTCTACCTCAACCACGGCTACCACCCCCGGACCGAGCTCGACCCCGCGCAGGCGCCCACCGCTACCGTCCCGGATGCCGCCCATTTCGTCGGAGTCGTCCACGAGGCCCGCTTGGCTGCCAAGGGGCATATCGAAGTTGCTCGGCGTCGGATGCTTGGGCTGTCGGACAGCCGCACCTCTCCCGCTCCTCCTATTCATGCTGGGGACCAAGTGCTGATAAATGCAGAACATATCGACACCTCCCAAAAATCCAAAAAACTCGCCTTCCGCTTCATCGGCCCATACACCGTCACTGCCCAATTAGGCCCGGTCAACTTCCGCGTCCATATCCCCAACTCCTCTCGCCACGATGTATTCCACGTCGACCGTCTCCGCCCTTACGTCGACCCAGAGTCATTCCCACATCGGCCCACGCTGGATCGCCCCCCTCCCGAGTTAGTGGACAGTAACGCGTATCTTGTGAGTAAGATCCTCGATTCCGCACGCAAGAGACGCAAGCTGTTCTACTTAGTTGAATGGGAGGGCTACGGCCCCGAGGACCGCGAATGGGTCCGAGCCTCCGAGTTCCACCCCGACGACACCCTGGTCGAACACTTCCGCGCGGAAAATCCCACCAAGGAAACACACACAACCAGGCGTCAGGCGTAGATGGGAGAAGGGTCTTATGTCACCTGGACAAGGGAATGCCACACGCACGGCCTTTTATATTTACTTTGTATAACCCCCAAACCCCGGAACCCTGATCCCTGACCGCGACTGCTTTTCACATCGCTGGCCACATCTCTTCTTCCCTCATCCGCTTTTATATATCCTCATTAGCATTTCATGTACCTTAGTACTATCGCCGCGCAGTCATCCCTCATCCTCGTCGCCTCTTCCTGTGACACCGTCCAACGGTTCATCTTCATCTTATCCTTCCTTCATCCACCCAGAGGCCTCTCACTTCGACTTTGACTTCAACTTCAGTGTCGAACACACGGGTCCCCGGCGGCCACACAGAGAGTGCAACCCTTCTCCATCCTCTTCCCCTCCGCGTAGATCTGCGTGACATTGCCCTTGCGTCGCTCCCGGACAAGTCAGCATAAGATCAGACGAGGGACATGAGGGACTTACCCCGAGAGGAACGCGAGCCTTGGAGGACGAGCTAGTAGAAACACTAGAAGCCGACGAGGAGAAAACGGAGATGGGAACCTGCGGCGGTCCGTGCGGAACAAATGCGGACGCCTGGGGCGGAGCAAAGCTAGGACCGAGTGGATCGGCGATGATCACCGCCTGGAGGGTAGACTCGGATGAGTCGGTGATAGACAAGGCCTGTCGAAGGAGTCTCGGATCAATGTTCTTCAGGACATTGATCCAAGAGGCGTTGGACGCTGTGTCCGGAACCGGGACCTCCGGGAGTTCCGGAACGAATGACAAAGGCGAGACGGGCACCGACAAGTTGAAAGGGGGACCAGACGGATCGACATTGAAGTTGAAGTCAAAGTCGAAGTGAGAGGCCTCTGGGTGGATGAAGGAAGGATAAGATGAAGATGAACCGTTGGACGGCCAAGAGTGCGGCTGAGTGGGCGCCTCGGACGGAGGGGCGGTGGAGGTTGAGTCAACTCCACATTCGGCGAGCTGCGGATCAGCTAAAAGCAATAACCTGCAATAACCGAGACCATTACGTACGAGGGCCTGGAAGTCCGTCGCGAAAGCCGGAATCCGCGAAAGCCGCATCGATCTCACCAACAGTGAGACTGCCGAGGGTGGGATCTTGTTGGTAAAGAGACATGTTGTGTGTGTTGGCGTGGATCAGGGGTGATGGAAGATGACGATGTGTTTGAGGGAAAAACACAGGGACACATCAGGGGTTATATAGCCCTGGGAGGCATGGGAGCATGTGACTCGAGAGGGAGTGTTAAAGTTAGCGCATGATAAGGCTCATCAGCTTGGCATACCGGAAGTGGTAGCTGTCAGTGGACTATCGAAGCGATAGGCAATATAGCTAGCGATAGGTTAGCTATCGCTAGGTTGATAGCTTAGGGCTATCGATAGGTTAGCTATCGATAGGCTATCAGTAGGTCGCTAGGTATCGGTAGCTTGATAGGTTAGCTATCGATAGGTCTGGAATATATAAGAAGAGCCAAACGAGTCGTATGCATCCCCAGTCTGCTCTTGAAAACTTAACAACGAGAGCCATGGATGGCTAAGCGTTGGATAGATCGTCAATCACCGTACATAGCACTAGCCACATACATGTTCATGTAGCTCTTGCTCTGTCCACCTACAGCTTGACCTATCGACACTCGTTGCTACTCCCATCGACGTCTATACGGTTCGGCACACTCCTCGTATCACTCTCATACCCCTCCCCTGTGCGCTAGTCCTCCCTAGTTCACCTCGATTTCCTCTCTTTCGCTTGCCATCGATCCAGCTTCCACCCTTTTTCACCACAACGGAAGCCGAGTCACACACATTCGCCTTCGTGTCTCTGCGGATTGCGCAATAGGAAGCCACGACGGATGACTCGCCGTTTGCAACGCAGAGTCAGGAAGGCCTGTGATATGTGCGACAGTGTCGCTTAAAGCAACACAAAGGATATGCACCAGTGAGAGCAAGCTAGTATATGCATGACATGATAGCTGACTACGAACAGGAAACAAGAGCCGCTTGAGAGTCAGGAGCCGGCCGTCCGTCCGCAGGGAACATCTCGCCCAGCTTGACCCCCCCTCGAAATCTCTCAATCAGTGCAGCCTCGACTACATCCTTGACCTGTGACTTCATCGCTGAGTGCGTGAGACCTCCGGTCGACGTGGAGACCGTGGTTGAGGATGTATGAGTTTTGCCCCACTCAGTGATGGCATTGCGCTTGACATAGTCGAGTCCAGGAGGGAGAATCGCACCGCTTTGAGAGCTGAACTCCAGCCCGAGATCAGTGGATCCGGTACCATCGGTGCTTTCGAATGTCCAGTAGGTCACGTTGCCAGTAGTGACCGGGGCAATGGTGGGAAGTCTGCTCATTGGGGAAAGACGAGAGGGTTTGATAGGTAGAGTATTTGACCGGGTATGTCAAGCAACGTGTGAGGGGCGTGCCAAGTCGAAAATAGCAGCTAGCTACAGGTCGGGAGAGAGGGCTTGCTTGATTCGGTGGTATGGTGACTTGTATGAGAGTTGATTCTGCTCGGAGTTGCTTTTGGCTTCAAGACTGATGTATGAAGCGGATGGGTCGGAGCGTCAGGTTTCTTCATACATCTGTACCGAGAGCAGAGGGGATTCGACAGGTTGTCGGACAATCAAACCTGGACAGTCGAGTCTTGAATGGCGTCACGGAAGGCCTCGCTAGAGACAATGGCCTGCAAGAAGCACAAAGGACGAGGTGCACTTTGTGGTACTCGCAGGAGACCGGGACCTGGCGTGCGATGTGCCACCGCACTCTCACCAGAAAGCGGGCAGCAAACGCGCTGAGTCGTCCCCAAAATGTTCTAGCAGTTGAGTGCGTCCGATCGACCTGGATTGTCTTGATGGACCAGCTCGTATCGGTCCGGTCAGTAACAATTGAGACCAGCCACAAAGTCATAGTATGCATGATGGAGACACAGCTGCCTAGTCCGATTCCGAAGGGCTATCGAGCGCAGGCATATCGGGCGCAGGCAGGAACTCTTCCACCGTCAGGCACCTCAATCTGACCAGATCTCCGTATTATCCTTTCAGCTCAGACTCTATCAGAACCTTGATCTCGTCCCTGGTAGGGGCAACAGTGGTCTCGGGGCTCATCCGGCCAGCCTTGGACTCCATCCGCGTGGTGAAGATGTTCGCCTTGACCGTGGCAGTACCGGGCGGTAGAGTCTGGGTGGCCGTTGCAGTATCGGGCACGCTCGACCGGACACTTCCGCTTGCATTCGAAGCGGTCTCAGTGAGCGGAATGGTGAACTCCAGCTCGAAAGGGGGCCAGAGATCATCCCTCACCTAGTAGCTTACGTCTACGGTGCTGACAGTGGTCGAGGGGCCGGCGACAGCAGTAGGAGCATGCTCAGTGCGGGTGGTGAATACCAACTCGTACCCAGACCCGCTGGCCGGGGGGTGTACTGCCGCAGTGGTAGTGACGGATGTGCTGGCTGCAGGGGTGGTAGGCGTAAGGAATACCTCGTGTCCGGAGCGGCCTGAGAGTGGCATATCGTCTGAGGAGCAGGCTGACCTGCACTAACGCGGTACGTCGAAGGGGGCTTGAAGATAATGATAATGACCGGAAGACTTGAGGATGCGCAGCAAATGCGAGGGGGAAATGAGAGAGTATATCTGTCAGCCATAAGTAGACTGCAGCGCGGCGCGAGGCTTTGGAGCTGGGCAGTACTTGAATGGGTCGCAATGGAAGGCCAATAGCGTGACATGGTGAGAGCGCGATCAGAATAAGCGAGGCATATAACCTGGAGCCTGCGGTCAAAGGTAGAGTTCCCGGCGTGTACCACTCTCGGCGGTGAGGGGTATGATCAATAGGCTTACACCAAGTTGAGGCTGAGATGCAGGTAGGTACATGGCTTAGCCCTCGGCTCGTCTGGACTTTCAAGCCTTGCTTGCAGTCATCAGCTGTCTGTTCGTAGTACCGCTACATACCGGAAGCTAGGTAGAGCAGCGTTTGCCACATCCGACCCCGCTTTGCCACCCGGGCATACGCGCCATTTGGGGCCAGTTCACAAGTATCCAGCATGAGATTCACACCAGTATGTAACCTCAGCCTCATATCTCATGGCCAGGTACTCGCTGGGTACATCAGTCAGCTACAGCGGTGAAGGATGAGGTGCCACACCCTCCGCCACAAGCTGTTCCCGATCTAGATCGGCAGTTCGGGCATCGGCGATCCTCAGGCACGGCTTGGATGCCGTCATCATCGCCGCGGCGCTGATGCATGATGTGGCTGACTTTTCGAAAGGCCTATCTTGTTGTCTCTCTTCCACCCTTCATCTCCCTATACACCATGTCCACCCAGACCAAGCCCACAGCTATCGTTATCGGAGCAGGTGTAGGAGGTATCGCTACCGCAGCTCGTCTCGCTCACGCTGGCTACCAAGTGACCGTTTACGAAAAGAACGAGTTTGCAGGCGGCCGATGCTCGCTCATCCACCACGAAGGGTATCGCTTCGATCAAGGCCCATCCCTCCTCCTTCTCCCTCCACTCTTCCACCAGCTCTACAACGACCTCGGCGAGAAGCTCGAGGACCACATCGAGTTGATCCAGTGCAACCCCAACTACATCATCCACTACCACGATGGCGAGAAGATCATGCTTACGAGCAATCGGGCTCAGATGGAGCAGGAGGCGGAGAAGTGGGACGGTCCAGGTGGAGCTAAGCGATTGGAGGGGTTCCTTGCGTGAGTACTAGCCTTGCCATCTGAGTGTCGATCTGAGCTGACTCGGTAGTGAGGCCCGTAAGCACGGCGAGGTATCTTACGATCAAGTTCTCGGCAAGAACTTCCCCTCGATCTTCTCGATCCTCCGCCCCAAATTCTTCATGCACGTCCTCGATCTCCACCCTTTCGCCACTGTCTACGGTCGGTGTGCCAGGTGGTTCAAGACGGAGCGGATGAGGCGGGCGTTCAGCTTTGCATCGATGTACCTCGGGAGCTCGCCTTTCGACGCGCCAGGAACCTACTCGTAAGTCAACCCGCTCTAACACTGAGATACCGCTGACTCTTTAGTCTCCTCCAGTGGTCCGAGACCTGTGAGGGTATTGTGAGTCCATCCCATGCCCTTATGAGCTCAGCTGACGTTCCAGTGGTACCCCAAGGGCGGTTTCTACCAGGTCCCCGCCTCCGTCAAGCGCATCGCCGAGAAGAACGGCGCCAAGTTCCACCTCTCCACTCCCGTCAAGTGCGTCACCTACGACTCGAACAACAAGGCTACCGGTGTCCTCCTCGTCAACGGTCAAAAGCACAATGCCGACGTTGTCGTCGTCAACTCAGACCTCACCTGGTCGTACAACAACCTCTTTGTCAAGGAGGGCGAGGAGGGGACCGGTAAGACCCTTGCCGATGCCAACTCGAACGGTACCCCGGTGAGCAAGAAAGAGTTGCTCGACCCCAAGAAGGCGAACAGCTTGGTGCAGAAGCCCCACTCGTAAGTCTCGTTGCACTCACACAGGGGTAAAGCTGATAATCAGGTGCTCTTCCATCTCCTTCTACTGGGCTATGGACCGCAAGCTCGATGACCTCAAGGGCCACAATATCTTCCTGGTGTGTACCACCCCATGCTGACTAGAGCAAAGCTGACATACAGGCCGAGGAGTACAAGGCCTCATTCGACGATATCTTCCGAGACCGCTCCATGCCCCGCGAGCCCTCGTTCTACATCAACGTTCCCTCGCGTATCGACCCCACGGCCGCGCCCGAGGGCAAGGACTCGCTCGTCGTGCTCGTCCCCGTCGGTCACCTCTCGCCCGGCAAGAAGGGTTCCGACCCCGACGACGAGGGAGCGGACCAGGACTGGCCCGGACTCGTCGAGCGCGCCAGGAAGCAGATCATTGAGATTGTCGAGGAGAGGTTGGGGATCACGGGTCTGAAGGATATGATTCTTTGGGAGGAGGTCAACACCCCTTTGACTTGTGAGTTGCTCCAGGCGGGAGAAATTTGGCAGAGCTGATTCATCAGGGAGGGAGAAGTTCAACCTCACCCACGGTTCCATCCTCGGTATCACCCACGACTTCTTCAACGTCTTGTCATTCCGTCACCAGTCCCGCCACCCCAAGCTCTCCGGCGCGTACTTTGTCGGCGCGTCCGCTCACCCCGGTACCGGAGTAGGTTCCCTGTCATTCTGAATCATGACTGAGCTGACGATCAGGTGCCCATCGCTATCGCCGGCTCCAAGCTCTGCGCCGAGACCATCATGCGCGACAGTGGCATCAACCTCCCCTCCACGTACACCGCCAAGCCCCCCGTGGCAACCTCGGACCTGGACCGCCCCCGCTCCCAGAACCTCATCCACTACTTTGAGCGCACCGTCCTCGGCCTCGCACCCTTCGTCACTGGCGCCCTCATCGCTTCGAGCATCCTCGCCATCGCCGCGCTCGCGACCGGCCTCATCACCCTTCCGGCCATCATCAAGTTCCTCGGTCTCGAGTCGCACGTCGCGCGCTACTTGCCGTCGTACGGTCTCGAGGGGGCTCAGGGTTGGGAGAAGTACTCGCCCCTCTCAGCCAAATCCAACGGTCTGTTGGGGTCATACGGCTGGACCGCACCCATCATCCTCCTCAACTTGGTCATGGCGTACATGACCCTTTCGGGCGCGGGCAAGAAGGCGCAGCCGGTGGCGTACAAGGCGGGCAGGGAGGAGGTGGTCGGTATGCCGGTACCCATCGATGCGCGCAAGCCCGTCATGGTCGGGCACAAGGGGGCGGTGGGTATGCCGGTGCCTATTGATGCCAACGGGCCGGTGCTTGCTCGGGCTTTGTAAGTGGGGAAGGCGTCGGTCAGGATCGGGTGGGTTCGTCAGGATTGAGAGGTCTCGTTAGAGTTTCACATACACTAGGTCATGATAGATGTGCATAGATGCAAAAGTACCTCTCGCCGTGACAGACTGGCGAGGGCAAAGGCAAACACCATGGTCAGCTATACGCGTCAGACTCAATCAATGCATGATCTACGCATACTCTGTGAGACCAGTGATCTGATCAGGCTCGGTTGCGAGGACAATCTCGACCGCCTCACCACTGCTGTCCCAAACGCAGGGCAACCCAGAAGCCATCCACTTTGACGAACCTCTTCAACTCCTCTTCCGACAAAGATCCGTCGAGACTCCCTTCAGGCTTGGCCTGGACGACTTTGATAGCAAGAAAAAGCGGTCCCGCGATGTTGCATCTGTGAGTGCGGCGATACCAGGGGAATCTGGACTTTGTCATGCCAGGCAGGGTCGTGGTGGCGGTCAAGAAGGACCGACCGTCCGGCCTCCATTCGGAGAGAAAGGTGTATTCGCCGGGAAGGCGAGCTGCAGCTTTGGACGGCATGTTCGAGTACTGGTATGAGATGAAATGGTTGGAGAGTGGGTATGCTCGGATAATTGGAGCCTGGTTGAAGGTAAGAGAAGAGCGTGATATGTATGAGGACGAATATGGGAAAAAGCCCGCTGTTGGGATAGGCAACGCCCTCAAGCCGTCAAGCTTGTCGTTACGCTTGACTGTCCTTTCAGATACCCCCTTTTTGCCTGATTTCAGGCTTCAGCGAGTAGTTGCATATGAGTGTATACTCGACGTAGATCGTGCCCTCCTTTCAGCTCTTGTAACCGTTTCGTGCCGCCGGAGACCCCTGAGTGTTCACAAAGCTGCCTTGACTGCCTCCCAAGTTACGCTCGGCTGGCCGGGCAAGGTTGATGCTTGAGTAGTTACTAGTCAGTATAGCGCTGAAGCATGTACAAGGGCATACGCATAAAAGCGAACGGAGCAATCCGCCGAGCAAAGATCAGTGGATATCAGAGTCAATATCGTGAGAGTATCATACCATAACTTCCTAAATGTGCATGTCTTGTTGAGACCCTCTGATACTCACGCCACATCCCTGCTCCCGCACTTTTCACCGGAGCATATTCGGCGGACCATCCACCATCGAGTCGAAGAGGAAGCTCCAGTCGGTCGGATCTTGGGCGACATAGTTGAACAGGTCGTTATCCAACCAATTCATGTTGGTTTCCTGCGTTTCAACTTCGGCTGGAGCTTTGACTTACAAGATTCTGCAGTGGTAGGGAATGGTCAAACAGGTCTCCCAAGACCCCCGAGCCGGGCTGGAATGGCCCGGTAGCTGTCAATGCGATTGACTGGGGCTGCGGAGAGCCCACCTGAGAGATAGGCGGAAGATGGTGGTCTCGGCGGGCTCGACCCAGTGTCTGCTTGATCTGCTGGAACAGCCTGCCGCTTGAAGCTGCCGCATCAGCTTTGTACCTGCACAGACGGAGTGTGAAACTCACCCGTTCTGAACATCTCCATGAGCGCCTCAAGGTCACGATTGACCTGTCGGAGATCGAGCTGCTCAGGAGCGAGCCGTGCAAACCTGATGACCATACGGGCAGCAAATACGATTCCGACGTCTACGATCAGCCAAGTAGCAACTCTCATACGAACGTGTTGTGGAGGTAGCTAGGAAGTCAGCGCACATTCTAGCACACGTAGCCCAAGGAACACTCACAAGAGGCAAAATGAGACTTGTACTATAGAATCAGCATGGTTCAAGATGGGACTCACCCCTTGGCTGTGTATAGCCATATGCAGTAAGGACGTCGCAGCAGTCATCGCTCTTTGGAAAGCCTGAGCTCTGTATCCTTGAAGCTGAGCGACATCTTGCCGCTGGTTGATACCCGCCAGGAGGGGAAAGTGAGCAGTCAGGCTGGCAGTCAGCGATCGCCCTGTCCTCAACTCGATGACTTACACTACGTGGTTACTCGCGGTAATCACTGCCAAGTGAGCTTAATCTTGAGCAGCAGCTTGAAGACTCACGTATGTCTCTGATATAATCGCCCGGCGGTACGTTTTGCCGGTCTAGCAGGTCAGCAGTATTACTGGTAGGTACCTACCATAGAACGCAGTCCATTCCGTTCGCCAGATGGTAACGATCTCAAAGTCGCTGCTTGCTCGAGCGATGAGGTCCTATAGGGTCGGCGGCGGAGTCGGCGCTATTGTCAAATGACGTCTTTCTGCTCATCAGCGGACACCTTCTGTGGTACTCACGTCTGCGCTGTAGCAATTCGCAAGCTGCGACAAGCCGACTGTCCCCAAGATTGCTGAGCGGGTGATCAAGGAATTGACGCCCTAAGCGTATACACGGCTCGTCACCGATAAGAAGTGGTCGTCCGTGGTTGAAGCACATTCTGCGGTCAGTCCTGGGCGACATCATGCACCTACTCATACTCCATTTTGCAGACCTGCTTGTCAGCTGGTATTGCCGTTAGCACTCACTGCAAGCCATATCCTCGCCCCCTCGACCAGTCGACGTTCCGACTGGAGATCCCGCCCGCTATTGGAAGATACAGCGAGTAGCTGGGGCAGACAGTGTTGAAGGTTGAGCTCGAGACTGTTATCAGCGCGCTGCCTAAGTCTTCACTCACGCTATCCGCAGTGCCATGCCCATCCACCTCCATCCATCATCGCGCCATGCAGATATAAGGACTACAGTCAGTCCACTCTGCGTTCCACTTACCGAGTGCTTGTACCGTCAGACGTTCGTCGAATTGGTCCGATGCGGTCGAAAAGGCGCAACTCTTGGCTGCAAGGTGAGCTTGGGCTATCGTCCGACCTACCGAGATGCGAGACATGGTCGTGCAGACGATGGACCACGTCTACACTGTCAAAGTCTGCTCTATTAGCGCTACCAGATACCACGACATACCATCACCGTCCTGAGCAAATCCAATAGTCAAAATGACAGTAAACGCGAGAGCGGATTTCGATCGTATTCTGCCATCAGCTCGCCCGGGGATCTGACTCACGAGGCCCATGTATCTTGTGCTGCGTCAAAGACCGGCAGAGTAATATGAGAAGAGACAAAGTACCTCTTGATCAGCTAGCTCAGCGATACCAGCTCACCTTTCAAAGTACCGCCGACTCTGGCTTTCTGTGCAGATGCCGCGGAGGATCGGATCCTCAGACGAGTAGCTCGAAGGCGGGGGCATTTCCCCAGGAGCTGGATGGAACGATGGCCCGCCATCTGGTCCCCGCCGGTGTCGCTCAGAATCCGCTTCGTCGAAATGAGCAGCCTTCCTCTTATTGAGCCGGACCGATGATGCTGTAGCGCGAGATATGACGACGTCGAGCGGGGCAAGACGAGGTACAGTGTCGTCTAGCGGGTCGTCGTGTACCGGATCGTCCGTAGAGCTCCCCGACTGGGACGAAGCCGGGCGCCTATTATCGCCAATGTCGGAACGGCCTGAAACCACGGTGCCGACATTCGGCGAGGGCAGATGGCGGCCGCTAGTATCTGCGCATTTCAGCTCTGACCGCAGACAATACCCACCAGTTGCCAAAGGGGAGGGGTTCTGAGGAGCTCGCCCCGCTAGTATAGCGCTGATGCTGCCGAGCTGCGCATTGATAGCAGTGAACTGGCCTTCTATACTTGCGATCCGTCTTCTGTCAGCTGCATCCTCTTGGAGGGACCTACTTCTCCATCTCTGCCATCTTGGAGCTCCGCCTCCCGTCGAAGGTACAGTCTGCGCCACTATCCCTGCATCGCTCGCACGGCGGGTTCTCGCGGTCGACGCATTTGACTTTGGCTTTGTAGCAGTGGTCCTGAGGTCAGGTCGAGTCAGTAAGGTAACCTACACATGCCTCTGAGTCGGTCAGCGCGTCTTGTTCGTCATTCAGAGAGCATGCTTGACTGACTGGATGCCATCCTGGGAGTAGCTTGCCAAGCTGCTGAGAGGTGTAAAAGTATCTTATCAGATGGCAAGTTGGCTCTGAGATCTGAGTTCCAGGCTTGTCCGGCCGCCTTCGTAAAGTCCGGGCCGGAAAAGACCGGAATTTCAAGGTCGAGCTCAGAGACGAGTCAAGGCAAGGCGAATCATGCATCTATCCATCTCTACTGTGCTCTATTACTACGGACTACATCAAGAACAAGCTGGCAGGAGGCTGGGTCTTTGTGACTCCGATGACCAAAGTGGGCGCCTCAGTCTCACGAAGGGAGTCGGGGAAGGTGTAGACGACCTCGTAATAGTAAGCACCGTGGATCTTCTGCGCCAGGGAGAACGAGACAGCGCGATCGCCCTTGTCAACGATGCTGCCGCTCAGATGGATGTCCAGGCCCGGGAGGGAAGCCTTTCCGTCGGCCAGGAACTCGTGATCCAGGTGCAGGCCGGGGAGGCAGCCGAAGCGGATAGCGACGCGATTGGAGGTCGGACTGCCTGGGAAATCGGTAGGGGTGAGGTAGCGGACGGTGAGCGAGTCCTTGGAAGCGATGAAGGAAGTGCAAGCGTTCTCGGGCCAGACCTACTCATTAGCTCTGACGCCATACACGCACTCACCGAGATCCAACCGCAACCAGAGCCATGGTTTCCCGAGTCCCACTGAATCACACCGGGGTTGAACTGCGCCGGAATCCCCTTTGGCCCGCCGATCCGATCCTCATCAAACTCGACGCCTCCGATTGAGAGCCCTTCTTCCAGCCAGTAGGTGTATCGGCGAGGCTTGCGGTCGTGTGGCGGGAATGTCGAGCGAGGGGTGTACATGTGGGGAGCGTATAGCTTCTTAAACTTGGCGCGGGTCTCATCCGAAAGGTCGGCTTCCGTATATGGCGCGGTGAGCATCTGCATGGGTATGAGAGCTGCGTCGGTGAAGTGGTCCGAGCCGTTGAGGGGGGAGGGCATCGGCGCTGACTATCAGCTTCGGTTTGAGAGCAACTCACCATCTTCTATGCCTACGACCGATGCAATGTTCGCTGCGACGGTGGCGTAGTACTGATCATCAGCGATGTTCTCGTGCAAAGCCCTACAGACTCACCTGGGTCATGCAGTATCCGTACGACCGGTCCCATGGTCCAGCAACATTCTTGAGCGAGGGGTTGTACGTTTCCGCTGCTTGATCAGCTAAAGCCCGGTGCGGTCATGTTTAGGAAGAACGGACCTTGAGACTCCCAGATCGCCTTCATGAGCCTCGGAGCGACCTTGCTGATGGCGGATTCGGGCGGACAAAACTTGGCTAAAGCCAGCGCCATGAGGGTGACGCCGGCGTAGGTAGGGCTGTTGAACTCGCCAGGGGTATCGTCTCGGTCGAACAGCTCAACTGCCTCTTGTACCCAGCCCTGACATCAGCCTGGTCCAGTGAGAGACTCACCTCTGCTTGCTCGATGAGTTGCTTGTCGCCCATCATGTGGCCAGTGTAGGTACTGCAGACACAGCGCAGGAACCACGGCTAAACGTCAGCTTCTACGCCACAGTAGCACTCACGTTGGTGTATGAAGGCCACATGTCATCCCCGTGCCAGCCACCATGGCGCTTGGCGTTCCCGATGCAGGCGGTGTGCATAGCCTTCTTGATCCCCTCGATGAGGTCCGAGTCGAGCTTGTCACTGAATTGATCCAAAACCTGCATTCCAGCCATCGTGAAGAAGAGGCTACATGTCAGCTCGGCGTGAGTGTTTGACTTGCGCATTGTTCGGATCTGCTCATCAGCTACTGCCTCCTGGACGAGCGTGACTTGCTCACCATAAGAGTCATAAATCTAGCCCGTCAGCGCTGGCTTCGAGGCGTCGATAGGATGCAACTCACCTCTCCCACCCACAAGGGGTTCTTTCCTGATGACCAGGGATGTACAGCATGCTTCTTGAATCTGAAAGGTCAGCCCGTTCCATCCTTCCAAGCGCCATAACTCACGAGCCATAGTTCTGCTCGAAGGACGAATCAAGCTCTTGGAGATGGAGCGAGTTGGCGAGAAGCTTCTTTGCCCGCTCGACATCACCGGGCTGGTCACGAGCAAGAAGGCCGACCGAATACCACGAGGACAGCTTGGCGGACGAGAAGCTAATGTGTCAGCTGCAGCTCGTCTCCGCTCGCTGATCTTGCTCACAGAAGAGGGGGCCGGTAGTTTGCGTCGAGGATATCCATACCCAAGTTAAACAGCGCCTTATGGCTGGCAGTCAAGCCTGCCTCGTCGAGGAAGTTTTTCGCGGTCAAGTCGACTGGGTGTGGATCGGCTATGGGGGTGAGTACTCTAGTGAGCGAGACGATGCAGTGATGTTGGAGAAGGCAAGATGCCAGACGCGCTGAGTTCGGCGGTAATAGTTGGTCGGCGGTACGGCACCGCATGCCGGACCGAGCACTAACCGTACCCGCTAGCAGATCTCGGGTCCGGATCGCCGACCTCCCGCCGGCCCATGTTGCCGTTGCGATTGCCGCCAACCCCCTTCTCAACCTCCCTTGTCGGACCCGTTTCGCCGTGGGAGGGAGGGGGACCCCCTTATATACTGGAACAGCCCCTCATGGAGCTCCGGTCTACCCCACTCTTATCTTGCCAAAATGCAGTCAGAAGACAAGAACGAAATCCAGCACCTCCCCGACATCGGTCGAGCGGACTCTAACGAGGGCGAGAAGGTGGCGCCGTTCGACAACTCGCACATCCAAATCCAGTCGGTCGACAAGCTCACTCCCTTCCAAGCGGCATGGCGGTTCAGGCGGATTGGCTTCTTCTGCTTCTTGGCTGCGTTCTCCGCCGGGCTTGATGGGTTCCAGGGTGAGTCAAGAGCTGCGCAATTCTCGGTGATGGCGCTAACAACGTAGGCCCTTTTACGGTTCAATCGTCGCCAACAAGGGTTTCATCCAGCAGGTGAGTCTTCTGCCAGCGCAGACATCGCCATCGCTCTGTGCTGATCAGGCAGTTCGCTCCTCCCGGCACGACCGTACTCGACGCCCAATGGGTATCCATCTGGGGAGGCTTGTCGAGCACGTTCCAATGCCTCGCTCAAATCGCGATGGTCTTCTTGACCGACCGCTTTGGCCGTCGGCCTGCCTTGTGGCTGACCTGGGTCCTCCTCTGCTCTGTAGGTCCACCCATCTCCACCTAGAATGCACTGACACGGCAGTCCGTCCTCGCCGAATCACTCGTCACTACCAATGTCGGATGGATGGGCGCCAAAATCCTTGCTGGCGCAGGTATCGGGGCCATGCAGGCTACTCTTCCCCTCTACATCAATGAGCTCTCCCCCACCCAGATCCGCGGCTTCTTTACCGAGGCGTACACCTTGTGAGTAGCCTTTCCACTTGAGGTGAGGCAGTAGCTGAAAAGATTAGCTGGTACGTCTCCGGACAGTTGATGTCGGCCGTCACGCTCCAGCGACTCGGCGTCACCAACCCCTACGACTTCCGTCTCGCCATCTACACCCAGTGGGGCATGATCGGCGGTCTGGCCATCATCTACCTCGTCCTCCCCGAGTCTCCCTGGTGGCTCGTCCAGCACGACAAGATCGACAAGGCCCGCAAGTCCCTCGGTCGGCTCAAGCGCGGCGTTCCCGACTACGACGTCGAGGTCGAGCTCGCCGTCATGCGCAACACCATCGACGAGCAGCGTGCTCGCGCCCAGCAGACCGGACCTATCCCTCTCAAGATGATCTTCCGCGGCCTCAACGGGAAACGCCTCATTATCGCCCTCTGGCCCAAGCTGTGTCAACAATTTGTCGGTCTGTCAGTCTTCAACAACTACGCCACCTACTTCTGTGAGTTTTCCAGTGGGAAGGGGTCTCTGTTACCGTCTATTTGGACTCAGCTAACCTCATACAGTCCAGATTGCAGGCAACAAGGACCCGTTCCTGTAAGCATCTGAAAGAATCTAATGATCCTCCCGAGTATTGCTGACTTTCCAGCGTCACCATCATCCTCTCGTGCTGTCAGCTCCTCTCAATGTGCTTCACCATGGTCCTCGTCGACAACTGGGGTCGGCGTCCTCTCACTGTATACGGCTACATGATCACCACCCTCGCCGACTTTGGTATGGGCGCCGTCGGGATGTACGATGTCGCGGGTAACGAAAAGCTCGGCAGTCTCCTCGTGTTCTTTGCCTGCCTCGCCACCTTCACTACCACCTCCAGTAGCGCCATCGGATACGCCTACCTCTCCGAGATCCCCAAGCAGGACTTCCGAGCCAAGTCGGCTGGGTGGGGTCTGGCCTTCCCGAACTTCTTCAGTATCATGGTGAGTAGTCGTATTCTGTGAGAGTGCCTCAGCTGATTCGTCAGTTCTCCTTTGTCACCCCTTATATGCTCAAGGGTACCACATCTGGCTTCCCTGGGTGGGGTGTCAAGACCGGCTTCTTCTTCGGTGAGTACCCTCACTACAGACGTAGTACTCTTAGCTGACTTCCAGGTTGCACCGGTGTCATCGTCTGCACTGTCAGCTGGTTCATCATCCCCGAGACCGCTCGTCGCACACCCGCCGAGATTGACGAGATGTTCGAGTCGCGAGTCAATCTCCGCAAGTTCAAGGGGTACAAGACGGAGGTTCAGCGGGAGTTAGACGAGCAGGAGCACGTCGCTGAGCTGAGGCCTTAGACAATTGTAGGCATCAGGTAAAGGAGGGGCGCTTGTAGCAGGAGGTAGCTAGTTGCTTTATTTGGGTCTGCGAATGTATGGTGTTGAATCATGCCACACGGTCAGCTATTCTTGGCGCGCATTGCCGCAGGGGAATAGGGACATGGGGCATGTAACACCAACGTAGCAGGGGACAGATGGCAGTGTCGGTCGCTGTATGGGGTGTCTATAGACTTCCTTGATCTGAGAACGTGCGTCAGCATCAGCGTCGTACGATATCAATAGGTCTTCGTTCGGTCTTGCCGTAGATGTAATTAGATAGTATCAGTCGCGTAGCAGTGTCAGGAGATGGATTGGCCGCTTGCCTTAGCTCGAACAGCTCCAGGCATCCCCATGTGCCGGAGTCGACGAGTCCTTCCAGACATCATCACCTAGCTGTCATCGTGCACGTCAGTGTGTCAATCACCAGAGATGAGTTGGCTAGTATGCACATTGCTGTGCTGCAGACGCATCAGGACTGTCAATAGCGCCCCATCTACTGATGTCCCCTACGACCTGTCCGACTCGTCGGTCGACATGTCAGCCTCCCAGTCTGTAGATGTATACGCATATGCATCGACGTTGATTACTTCTTCCATCCCTCTCGCATCTCCTACCACCCGCCCGTCTTCTCACTCGGTTCTTCCCTTGGCGGCAGCTCCTTCATCCCCCTGCCCTCATCCTCCTCCGTCTTTGCCGCCTTGTACTGATTCCACCTGACCGTCATCCCCCTTCCTGCCCGACCTGGATCATCCCATCCCACATGAAACTCCCCCTCTCCCGCCGCATCTTCCAGCAGGGACACCTGATCACCCCACCCGCCCAGACACCCCACCAACCACCGCTTGCTCCCGCCGCACAGACCAGCAGCGAGCACCGAGTCTCCCCAGAGCTCCCCCAAGCTCACCTCCCCGATCTTCCACGCGGTCAGGAGCGCTCTCACTCGTTCCTGTACCTCCTCGACACCCGCCTTCTTGCCATGCCGACCCGCCGCTTCCGCCATGATGGTGCTCGGAAGCAAGAAGCGCCCGACGAGCTTGTGCGGATGCGCCGTCTCCTTGCTGAGCCATGGTAGTTCGCTAGATCGGACAGAGCGGGGAGAGCGCATAGGGATACCGGAGGCGAGACGGAAGAGCGCGACTTGGCTGGCGAAGATGGGAGCGTTGGGGGAGAAGTGGTGGTCGGAGGGATAGTAGGACGGGGAGGAGGAGAGACCGACGCCGGAGAGCTCGACCTCGTAGCCCCAATCTTGAGCGGCAGAGTTGGCCCAGGAAGCGAACTCGGCAGAGGTCATTTCGAGCTTGTGGTCGGAGTGACTGAGTATTAGCTCAATTCAGGCAGAAGTAAGAGACGAGCAAGGTATGGAAAGGTACAGCCGGGAAGACTGGGGTAGAGGAGGATGAGGAGGTTGTAGCTGATGTCTTCAAAGCTGGAGTGAGAGTGGGTCGGACGAAGAGAGATACAGCTGCCTAAGAGTTTGGAGGTGCTTGCCGAGCAGGTGCCTACCCCGCCCAAGCCGCACACGACGCCGCCCCGCAAACTCCGCACTCGTGCTCGCTTGAACGGCCGAGTGAATCTCCTTCCTCTCCATCCTCTGCCCTACCTCAATCCCATCCTTCCCCATGTATGACTATCCTCATCCTTCAATGTCTCCACCCTCACCCCCGACCCAGCCCCAGCGCTCAGCGGCTACCTCTTTCTCAATCCCCTTGGCCATCTGACAATCTCGAGCTGACTCACCGGAACACCCGCTCTGTCCTTCCAGTGGGATCAATGAACCCCTTCCGCGCAAAGTTGTTCTCTCCATCTCCATGATCGTCATGCCTCGGGAATTTGGCGTTGAAGTCGAAGTTCTAGTAAGAGAGTCAGCTTGATCTTGGGGAGAGGGACCCGTCCAGTCCCCACTCGCATCTCGCCCGGTGCCCAGTCCCCCCGTACAGCAGCCTATCCTGGCTACTCCCGCTCCAATCCTTCCTTTTCTCCACAGTGCCCGAGTATCAGAAACCGAGCGCATCCTCCTCATACCCGGATATAGTATTGACTCCAGATTGACCAACTCACCGGGGTGGATATCAATAACAGCCTCGGCCTATACGTCCCCAGACAGACCACACCAAAGCGGCTCAGCACCAGCGGATCCAGGTGCTCAATGACCTCCAGCGCCACCATTGCCTCATACCCCTCCAGATGCTGATTGTACGACTCGATCCCGCCCAGCCAGAGCTCAGTGGTCAAAGGAGAGAAACGCCGAGTTCTAGTAGGTGCCGCCGAGCTGGATTGCGCGGTGGCCGAGGCCGAAGAGGAAGGGAAAGTAGAGGTGGTAGGGGAGGCGGATGTCGACGTTGAGGTGGAGTTTGGAGGGGCGAGGATCGAGAGTGCTGAGGGTAGGACGCTGGGTTCGGGGTCGAGAGCCGCGAGACGCTAAGGTGTCAGCTGTGTACTGGAGCTGTGTGATTGGCTTGGACTGCATTGTCGGATGGAGGGAATGAGGATGAACATGTTCAGCAGGAAGGAAGAGGAAGGGAGACGGCGGCGGGAGGGCATGTAGCAATTGAAAGAGACGGCCGAGGAAAGATGAGTCGGAGCCGCGACAGGCTGGTGTGACAGATGGCCAGCGTCCGAAAGAGGAAGGGGATAGTATCAGTCGGACAGCGGTCCCCCGTCGCCCCACCATCTTCACCTGGATACTCTGCACCACATCCATCACTGTTAACTCCCTACGACCGCCTTGGTGTATTGGTCGCTCCTATTCCCCCACCGTCACGCCACGGGCCTCACAGCGCAGCCTCATCTCTGGACGCTCCTCGTCGCCTTCATCATGCGTCAGGTTGTTCCCCCTCAACAAAGCCACCCACTCGAGCCCGACCAGAATCACCAAGACCTCCGCCTACACCCAGCTGAACTCACATTTAGGAACAACTCTGGCTCTTCTCCCTCCCATTCTGGCTCTTTCGCTTGACCGACAGCAAGTCCTTCGACACCCGCAGCGATAGAAGCCACCTCGACGCTGGGCTCTCCCGTCGGGGTACCGCTCTTGGTCGTTCGCCGGCGGAGTGGTGCTTCTTGTATAGTCGCTGGAGGTTGGATGAGGGTTTCGAGAAGTGCTCCAGGGCCTGCACCGACGTCTAGGACCTATCTGATCAGCTCAGGCTCTAGAATATGCCAAATAGGAAGATACAGAATCCTGTAGCTTACGGATCAAGACAAAAAGAGGTCAAACTTACGGATCGTACGCCTTCCCTTCGCAGCACGTCCAGTGCCCAATGTCGCCTCTGCATCCATAGACTGACCTGTCAGTGATGCCTCTTGCGTATGATGCATAGAGAACTCACTCTGGAGTGAAGGTCACACCTGTCACATCGGCTGCTTCGACCATCGAGACTTCGACTTTGGGCAGATCGGTCGGGAGCGACGATGGCGAGAGCAAATCAGGCGAAGGCAGCGGCTCTTTGGGACGCGGCATCTTGAACCTGACGACGGCGCAAGGGGCGCTATGGGAGGTATAGGTAAAGGTATCAGTGATAGACAAAGGAATGAAGAGTAGAAGGGGGACGACGTGGATGGAGGACAAGCCAGGGACCAAGAGACGCGCGGGGAAGTTTCGGCTTCGGCTCCGGAATTCCGGAAATACAAGGGGCAGTCCGGGGCCACAGCGGGGGCGGGGAAGAGACCGGCGGCAAGTGTATATGACCTTGCAGGGGTCGTGGACAATGCTCTGACCACGACTGGTGCCTAGCTGTACTGTCTGTAGGCCGATGCGAACGCAATACTGGCGCTCCATTTGTACAGCCTCACCGCGCGGGCATGCGCGAGGAGCAAGGCCAGCTGAGCCTACATTTGGGCGTGCAGATCGAGCCTGTACCAGGCCGAGCTTCGTAGTCCTGGGGAGATCATACACGAGCGCGAATGACGAGCAGTACTTGTCAAGATACGCTCTTGCTATGGACATGGAGCGAAAGCCCAGCTGACAGCTCGATATCCGCCACGTCCAACTGCCACTCCGCCAAGCCAGTGTCCGGATTTTACCGACAGATTATTGTCCGGATTCCGGATATCTGACCACCGACGTCATCATTCCTTGGAGCTGTCAGCTTCAACCTCGCCCAAGTCCATCGACTCTATCCTCCTGCCTCTATACTATACCATTCATACTTACCCTACCTGACTCACTCACCCACTTACACACATCAAATATGTCGCCTCCATCCTCCGTACCCGAACAGTACCGTCCCTCCTACCTGCCCCCGCAGATCGCCAACCAAAGGCAGGAGGATCTGCCCGGGAAGCAAGACCCGATGGACCCCGCACCGCTCGACGATGTCATGGCGGATGGGACAAAGTACAAGGCGGCTGGCAAGCTCGAGGGCAAGAGGGCGGTCGTGACGGGTGGAGACAGTGGGATTGGCAGGGCGGTCGCGATTCTCTAGTGAGTAGTTTTGATGATACGGATGTGTGAGGCTTGGGAAGCGGCGTGGGTGGGTGGAATGAGCAAGGGGTATGGACTGGTCTGAGAGGATTACATTTGAGAGCGGAGAGTCTGCAGATCATGGACGCCATGGCGTCAGGCAGACAAGCTTTCCGACCACTGCTCGAGCTCCAGCCGGACACCTTATCACTCAACCTTTTGCTTCTACCCTCCCCGCCCATCTGACCCGCTTCATCTACTCCCATCCCTCGCTCACCCTCATCACGTAGACTCTAGCTGACTAAGCAGTGCCCTCGAGGGAGCCTCCCTCTTCATCCACTACCACCCCAAGGAGCAGACCGACGCCGACAACGTCAAGGCGTACATTGCCAAGGTCGCTCCGAACGCTGCGGTCGAGCTATACGCCAAGGATCTGGCAACTGAGTCGGCGTGTCTGGAGATGGTCGAGGAGGTCAAGAAATGGAGCAAGGGAGAGCTGCATGTTCTGTGAGTACAAAGCTGCTTGACGATGAAGAGAAGGCGGGTATTGCGTGAAGGTGGGGCAGGGCACGATCGGGGAGATGAGCGGCACGAGCGGATGGAGTGCAGTCTGCAGGCAGGTGAAATGATGGTGGTGGGAGGGCGGAAGGAGGGACGGAGCGCGGCTCTTCGCATGTGGTTGCCGGGTCATGCGGTAGGCTCTGTCAGAGACAGGAACTATGGGGAAGCAGTCTAGGCGGGACGGTTGATATCGGTCGCAAATCTTGGCTCTGGCCAGTATAGACGATAGGGGGAACAGAGCGGGGGAGAGCTATCCTGGAGTGCTGCGAGGCCGGTTCGATCCAGCTTGTGGCCTTGCGCTGACTATCCAGGGTGAACAACCATGCTACCCAGAACGAGGTGCCCGCCATTGCTGATCTCGAGTCCGAGCAGTGGAGGCACGTCTTTGACGTCAACATGTAGGTCCATCTCTCACACTCTCTGTATACTTCAGGTCATTCACCTCGATGCCCATGGCGATAGCATATACTCCTCCTCAGCATCCGAGCTCCTACTTCTTGAGATCGATCATGCGTAGAGCTGACTTCCCAGCCACTCCTTCTTCTACCTCACCAAGAACCTCATTCCGATCATGCCCTGGGGCGCCAGCATCATCAACAACGCCTCGATCAACCCGTTCAAGGGTCACCCCAAGGTATGTCTCCTCTCTTGCATCAGCTAGGGTACGGCCGTGCGTGCACCTTGCGTTTGATAGACGAGCTGATCGCTTAGCTCCTCGACTACACCGCTACCAAGGGAGCCATCGTCGCCTTCACACGAGGGCTGTCGAACCAGATCGTGCAGGAGAAGGGTATCCGTGTCAAGTCAGCTTGGTCATCTGTGTATACCATGGAGCTGCCAGCTGACAGTCCTCAGCGCTGTTTGCCCTGGTCCCATCTGGACGCCTCTGGTCATCGCCACCATGGGGAAGGACTCGCTCGAGGACTTTGGACCATCCAGTACGTTCTCCATCGCTGTTCTCCCCGACATCCTCCCTGTCTCATGTTTGATTCCCTCCTCGACGGCTTGCCCACCCCGCACCTCTGTCCACCGCTCGACCCCTACAATGATTCCTCCCCTCGCCCCTTTCTCTTCTGCTCGAGACCTAGCTGACTTCACAGCGCCCATCGGCCGAGCCGGTCAGCCCGTTGAGGTTGCTACCGCCTTTGTCTTCCTCGCCAGCGTCGACAGCTCGTACTTTACTGCTCAGGTAAGCTGCACCTGCACCCTCTGACACTTGTCTTGGTGAAGTAGTGAACTGATATCATCAGTGCTTCCACGTCAACGGCGGAGCTGCGTACTAGGCCAGAAATGAGAGGACTCGAAGCAACTGTGTAGCCATATAGTAGATGATGGTGGATATGACTGGGAACGTATGATGGTTCTGTAAATACGCTTGCCTGCTGTACTCATCGATGGCTCGGGCTTCCTAGGTCATATCAGGTGATGCCTCACTCTGTGCCCACTCGACAGACAGCTTTCAGGCTTGGTCGGAAGGCAGATATCTACGAGCTCGGCAACTCCAGCCGTCTTCTTCCACTTCCCTCTGCAGTCAATGATTGATCGCTATGGCAGAAGAGCGATGACTCAAGCACCTGCAGAGTACTCAGCCGCCCATCATGTACTACTACACCGTGAGTCTTGATGGGCTTTGGGGGTTAGGGGGCCTTAGGGTTAGGGGGCCTTAGGGGTTAGGGGGTTAGGTGGGTCTGCCGCTCTTTATGTTCCCTGATCTGCAAGTGTTGCTGGTAGGGGTAATTGGCGGTCGTCTGGTCTTTTGTACATATTCAGCCCCGTCTCCACTCTATTGTCAGTCTTTCCCGCTACTCCTGCAGCTTTCATCGACGTCGCTTGTCAACCTTTAATCAGCGGGTGCGATATCACGAAGGAAGGGTCTGTGGTTTCTTTTTTGGTGGCGCCTTGTCGCCCAACTTAGTGCTGCCTGTACCTCCACACTATGCCTCCCTTCCCCTTTGCGCCCCAACTACCACTTTTTCTTCCTCCTGACTGTTTCCCTATTTTCAATCTCCCGATCATCCCTTGGTCATTCCTCCCTCGTCCTCGCCTGTGTTTTCCCCTTTTTTTTTTTCCCCTCCCCTCTGTTTCTTCTTCCCCCCTCCCCGTTACGAGC